CTAATTGGTTTCCAGCCCTTGAATGCTTTACGAATATCCATTGACGATTCCAGCAGACTAAAGGATGAAGTGCAGCAGGACTTTATTTCAGCCTCAACGAAATAAAGAGTCGAGATTAACAAACCAAGGAACATGAGCCAATAGTTTATAGCCACAGCGATAGGTGCGCCAAGGTAACCAAACTTTTTCACAAAAAGGACATTCATAATGAGATTCGAAGGTGCTGCAAAAAGTAAAACATACGTAGAAATGTGGTAAACTCCTTGAGACTGCAAAAATCGCTTACCACATTCAAACAAGATATATGCTGGAATTCCTGGACTGAGATATTTCAAGTATGCAGCAGCCAACTTCGCAGTTGCTTTATCCGGCAACAAAAGGGTAATCAAGTCGTACCCAAAAAAGACCCAAATGAATAAAACAGGGAGCATGATCACAAAGATCAATGCAATGCACTTTTGCATATAGTCTCCTACCAAATGGTACTTTTTGGCTCCAAAAGCCTGCGGACATAATGTATCTAAAGCAGTAGCGATACCCTGAATAGTTGCATATCCCGTGATGTTAGCGGTCATTGAGCCCATTGAAACTGCAGCCAATTCCACGGCACCTAAATGGCCCACAGTGAAAACCGAAACAGTTGACAAAGAGTTTTGAAGAAGAAACGTCATAACCAAAGGAACTGAGGATTTGATCAAAGATATCAACTCGATAGTTGCAGTAGTGTCATGAATTCTCTTCGAAGTGATTGCTCCCTCGAAGACAGAGGCCACTTCCTCATCGTCGTTTTCGTTCACGGCAATATTGTTCACTTTAAGAAAGTCTCTCTCTTCTTGAATGATTTCATGGGCAACACTGGATCTACGCCTGTTATTGTGACGGGTGGCGCCCAACAATGGTCTGTTTTCATTGTGGCTAATCGTACTCTCCACATCATCGTCCCTAGTATGAACGAAATCTTTGGGAAGGAACAAACCTTGTTTCCCCACTGATCCGTAAACCACAGAGGCTCTCCTTTCAGTATTTGAGTGAGTGAACTGGTGGGTTCTCTGTGCTGGGTCTGACATTTGGTCGAAGAGGTGTAGAAAGTCAAAATTATTCGCACCATCGTGCAAATATTGCATCATAGTCTCCTCTTCCAATGTGCAAGACGTGTTACAGATATGCGAATGTAAAGTATAACACCTTATCTAACCTTAAGGGTGCTTTGAATGATATTAATTGCTATGTCGATCATATCTGGCTATCCTGAACTTATGAACTGAGAAAAGGATTTCTGGGCTAGGAGCTTATTGGATGGAGAAATCAATGGCATACAGTGGGGAACACTACGCTTATCGTAAATGTATACTTTTGAGAAGAGGTTGCGTACTTGATTTTTACATGTGGCTTGTGGTTTATAGCAAAGATACATGCTTTGTTGACAATAACTGCTTCATTGGATGGATACCAATTGAATTGTATGTGACTCACTCAGTGGGTGTGAGATATTGATGTCGAGATAAGCTTGAATTAGTATATACAGTCCATGCAGCTTTATATACATGATGGTAGAAAGTACACTTGCCTATTGAGGAAGAAACGTGAAGGTACAGAACAATTCATGATTTATATGCAGTTTGAAAGAAGTGTCTTTTTTTAACTGCGACTACCGCCAATATCAGGAATTATAGAAAAGAATGCCAATAACCATTCTACTTCTTCATTCGTTTGATGGCTATTTATCGCGATTTACTAACACCGAGGGCTAAGTGCACTGAAGCATATATCACAGTGGTCTTTGGCAACGATCATAACTATCACTCAATCACAGCATGATGCCCCATGGTCTCAGCTAAACTTCAAAGATTAGATTACTAAAAAGAATTCACGTATTTCTGGTCAATTTTCACAAGTGCCGGAGAGGTACGTGCTATTGTGAGGTTTCCCTGCTGAAGCATAGCCATTGGCCAGTATACCTCGGTAAGAAACCAATTGTAAGGACAACTGTTGACCTCGTCAATAAATCCGTAACAGAGTGAATAAAACCATTTAGTATAGTTCATGAGGTACTTCGCGGCTAAAATCTGAAAAGTGAAGTCATAAAATCGTTACAGCAAACAGTGAAAATTTCAATGATAATCTCGTTTGTTTCTCATGGACTTTAACACAGTTGAAGACAATTATTCGTTAGTGTATCATAAGTCCCGGTGATATCTTTATCACATCTCAACTGCTTTCGTGATGAAGAATGACTCCTGTTCTTATCTGATGCTAATGCGGCATGTATGTTGTGATAAGCTAATCCCATTAACTTTAATATGCAAAATAGAGGGGTCGAAGCTGGGTCAGAAATGATTCTTATTGCAGTTCGTTGATATTCAACAAAAGTTGCGCTAAACATCTCTTCGTAGCAACGTCATCCTGCAATATGGAAGAGAACGTCCCATCTCGCAAGGGCTCCGGCAATATCGTAGCCAAAGCTTTCCTGGCTTCTAAGTTATCTGATAACCGCATGTAGCACCTTACGACATGCTTTAGCAAACGTCCAGAGCTGCTTGCAGGATGATGCTGTAATTGGCGATTCTGAGACTGGTCATTTTGAGGCTGTTGATTCTGTTCCGTAACTGACCTTAATTGTTCGATCATTTTAGATAAAACGGATGCGACTGTATGGAACCTTTCATATGTTGTGCAGATATATGACAAGCCTTGGTCATCCAAAAGAATCTTTTGCAAAATAAAAATCGCCACAGTTTTGGAAAGCTCCGAAGAAATTTCCATGATATTTAAGCAAAGGGGGACAATTTCTGTAGTCAACAAAAAATTAATAACCTCGGGAGTGTCATTCTTAACTAATGCACCAATCACACCTAAGCTTGTGAGTCTCAAGTATTCAAAGGAGCGCTGTCTAGCATTCGTGGACAAGAATGGATAAAGATACAAAGGCAAGTTTGCATTGAGAAATGAGGCTCGGGTTTGCACATTTGAAGCAACACATTGAAGTAACGCAAGGGCATTGCACACACGGTTCGAAACTGACGCTGTTAAAACGGGAGGGTTCAAAAAAGGGTAGACTGATATAATCTCTTCTAATAAAACGGTCATAACACCGAAAGAGTTCCATAACACCAACGCCAAATCATCATATTGCTCGCGTTTCTTACCCAACTCAAGTAACGCCCGTTCCCTGTTACTGCCAGTGACTAGTTCTGAAATCCACTGGTAAATCTGCTTGTCATTTAATGCATTGTTCGGATGGTCGCCTCCTGCAATAGGCTGTTCCAGAATCTGGTTGTTCGTTTGCCCTGATTGGACAGTGGTACCGTACATAGTATGGATTGATATTTGGTTGGTTAACAAAATGAAAGTAATGTTCTCAACATTCGTGCGAAACACAATTCAATGCGCAAATATCAAAAAAATAAACGACCCCGGTGAGGATCGAACTCACGATCTCAAGATTAACAGTCTTACGCCTTAGCCAGCTTGGCCACGGAGTCGTTCTTGTTGAGTTGTTTTGCATATGTATATATATTATAACTATAGTTATTGCCGTTGCTGTGTGTGTCTTCTTTCTTCGAAAACTATCAACCAGTTTATATTCCCCTTCTCTTTGCCGCACATACGAAGATTAATCCTCCAAATGTGAATTATGTCTTGTCCTGCATATTGTTGTCACATGCAACCGATTTGTCAGCTGTTGTATCTTCCATTCGATTAGTAAAACACGGATATACGTCCCTTTTTCAACAATGACGCGTACACTGTTTGAAACCGTATTCAATGTTCCTTTGGAATGTCAATCTTGTGTTGACTCGGTCGATGCTGCTCTCAAGCGCTTGAAGGATATTGAAAGTTTCAATGTGGATTTGAAATCCGAAACTGTGACAGTGATGGGAAACTTGCCCCCTTCCGAAATAGTTAAAGCTATTCAAGCCACTGGAAAGGATGCGATTATCCGTGGTACGGGAAAACCAAATTCGGCTGCTGTATGCATCTTGGAATCTTTCGACCCAAAGGACAAGCTTCAACCAGTTAAAGGATTGGCTAGAATTGTTGCCGTCAGTGATCTGGACGTTTACGTGGATTTAACAGTCAATGGCCTTCCAAAAGGAACGTATTATCCTCTGATTAGGAAATCAGGAAACTTAAGTTTGGGTGCTCTTTCCACTGGAGGACTTTTCCATGCGTTCGCACCAATTGAAGTGGATCAGCCATCTGATTTAACTACTACCATCAATTCTTTGGGTGCCTTCAATAGCGATAAGCTGCTTTTCTCCGGTCAGTCTTTCCTCCATGCAAACTTAAAAGTGCAAGATCTAATTGGCAGGAGCATGATTTTGTCGAAGCTCAAAGACGACATCAGTAAGGACGCTCTTTGTGGGGTTATTGCTAGAAGTGCAGGTGCATGGGAAAACGATAAATCTGTTTGCAGTTGCACTGGAAAAACCGTGTGGCAAGAAAGAGTCGATGCAGTCCAGAGAGGAGTAACTTCCTAAAGAATGTACCCGACGCCTAGTTTAGGTCGAATGAATAATGAGTTTCTGAGTATTCACGTGAGTTGTGTAGGTAGCGTTTTCGATTTCTTTTTTTTTTTTTTTCTAAGCGCAATGGTTACCGATTTTCATCTTTAAGTAATCCTCATACCGGAAGGTAAATCGAGACATACATCAGCTCGATTACAGTTTCAGCCATCTCATTAACGCCAGCCAAATCAGTTAGAAAGTCTTTATATTTGAGTCTGTGTCCTTTGTATTAAATTGAAATGTCCCAACCATCCCTTTCAGGAAAGTATGTTGAAATTCAAAATGCTTTCAGAGATCAGGTTGACATGATCAAATATAAGCGAACAGTACAGATCAAGCTCTCGTCTTTCCCATCAAATGTTTCCCTATCAGACATATTTGAGGCACTCAATGAAATATGCCATCATCTAGGTGCACCATTGCGCCTCGAAAGAATCATATTGGCCGGAAACGAATTGACAACACTTCCTCAAGAGTTCCTGTTGATTAGTGGTCCATCTTTGAGGTACCTAGATCTTCACAATAATGCATTCACTAATTTGCCATCGATATTAGCTAGCGCATGTCCAAATTTAGAGGGGTTAGATGTTTCAGGAAACTACTTGACTCTGCTACCTCGCTCTGTGCTACAAAACTTACCTGAACTCAAAGTGCTTCTGTTGAAAAGAAACAACTTTTCATTTTTGAACCCGTTTCTCGGAGAGATGATCAATTTGGAAGCCATTAACGCTTCTGAAAATCCGCTTATCATGCCTTCTATTGAAGTTATGAAGAATATGCCTGGAGGTACAAACGATTTAAAGGCATATTTACTTTCTCATAGTACAATTTTGGAACAGCAAATTCAACATCAATTGCTGCAACTGCAAAAACAAGCGCCCTCTACTCCAAATGTCTCTCGCACCCGATCCTTTTCTGATACCAGATCTAAATCTCTGAAAGCAAGTCGCAGAATGGGATTTATCGTAAACAGTTCGAAAGCCACTCCCGATGAAGCCAATGGATCTTCAACAACATCTGAATCTACACCCAGCAAGCCTGAACGTAAGTTGCTGTTACCTACGTATGATAAGAACGATTTCATCTCATTCCTGCAGCCTCAAGCTGATATGTCATTTACATCCACATATACACTTTCGACAGCATCAAATTCTCGATCAGTGTCTCCTTCAAGCAACTCTACTGTGACCACCAGCAGGCCTGTGAGTCGTAGTAGAAGCAGGTCTAACACTTTGAGAGAAATTGACTCGGTGCTTGAGAGTAATGACTTAGCAGATTCGAATCAAAAATCCGGTGCATATTTTAGGCGTTTGTCAACATTGCAGGAACGTCCAGGTGATGAGGCATTCAGAGCATCTCAAGAAGAATTGGTGGAAAAGGAGGACTCTACGAAAAGTGCTTCAAAGGAGGTTGGAATTGATGTTTCACCAACCAAGCCAATATTAAAAAAGTCATCAAATACATCTCAACATCAATCGACCCCAGCTAATGTGAATTTACAGCTGCAGGTGTCAGGCATCGACCATTCTCAATGCTCTCATGACTTGAGTACCGCTTTAAAAGTCGCTAGAAAAATGCTTTTTTCATTTAGTGAAGTACACTTATCGGTCAAGAGGTTTACTGGATTTTGTTCCGATAGAAAGGTATCTATGAAAGTGGTTCCTTTGCTCCATACTACGAAGGGAAACATTGACTTTCTCGTTGAAACTTTGGAAGCTGCGGAAGATAAGGGTGAAAATCAGGCTTCGATTATGGATGCTGTTCAGACATGTATCATATCATTCAAGCAAATATTCAGCTTGATCAGTGAAAACTTTGCAACGTTTGTTGCAAAGATTGATGTTTGCTTTGTGAGGATGGTCTACTTAACTCTTTTCGGCTCTTTCAATGAAATGCAGAATGCATTCAAACTATTGCTTAAAACCTCCACTCCACAAAAAATTCCCTTAGCACGCAATCTCTCATCTTTAGCGTTGGATGGAAAGTCTAGAATCCTCCAACCGACTTTTGATGAAAGTGCCAACCCCAATCAAGATGCTGTTTTGAATAATCCTAACGCCGATAGCAGTATAAGCCCTACAGAGATTGATGAAAAATTATACCAAGCAATTGCTTTGGCAACTACGAATGCCCAAATTGTTTTCGGACAGCTAACAAAGTCTATAAACAAGAGTGCGATTGCTTCGGCGAATACAAATTCGACGCAGATGAATCTGACTGTATCAGCGAAATTCAAAGAGTTAACAAGCGTTTGTTTATCCTCCATGGATATTACTAAGAGACTCATTACCAAGCTTTCAACGATTAGATCCAATCAGACGCAGCAGAATCGAAAATTGTTCTGGGATGACATAAACCTTTTTTTGAAGGCAATCATCCAAACTTTCTCCTCTGTTAAAGCGATCATGAAAGACGTGCCTATTTTGAATGAAGTACGTCAATCGATGGCTCACTTGACTAAAACGACCAAGGATTTGACTCTTTTGTTGGAAGTGTCTTCGTACAAGTCAATGTCGGATGCTCTGGTACCACTTCCAGTAAACTCACTGGTTAATTTGAATGGTATCCTTCTGCCATCTACTGCCACAAGTACGAATTCAGCGTCTACTGTCAATCTCTCGCAGATGGGGACTACAGCAGTGAGAACCCCGCTTGTGGCAACTGTAGGATCTGCAGCAGCTCTGGCAATTCTTCCTCGTTCGGATTCACATACGGCAATGGCAAATTCGAATAACACGGTTCCCATGTCAATCAACATTCCTCCTCTGGTTGCTTCGGATGTTCTCAATACAGGCTTACATACTGCTCCTGTGCAATCTATGGAGCAGTTCTATGCAAAGAACGTGAATCCGTTTGACTAGAAGGTATCTTTGTCTGCATTTAAATAGAATCGCGTTTGTAACGCATGCGCTATCCTCATTTTATAAATACGCTCCACCACAATGGATCATTTAAATAGCTTCTCAAGTTCAGCAAGTCATAAAGACAACGGATTGTATTTAAGTAATGGTTCTCTTGATTTTGAAGCGGTGATTAGCCAATTGCTAAAAGGGTCTTTGACTTACTCTAAAGTTTGGGAACTTAGCGCCTCTCTTTGTTTGAAAACCCACTTCATAGAGCCTCCATGTTTGTTGCCTCTTGATTTCTGCGAAACGTCTCCAGCCCGGCCTATTACCGAATTGGGTACACTTTTGAAGAAGTCATGTCCGTCAATCGAGCTCTATAAAGAGTTCCGTTCGCTAAGAATTGGGTACACCGAGAATTCTCCTCTGGCGATAAGAGTGTTGAATTCTTCCTCCACTAGCCGCACAAACAGCCCAAAATTTATAAGCAGAAAAGAGCTCGGGCAGGAAAACGATAACTTTCTAGGAGAAAAACTGATTGTAATTCCAAAACGGAAAAAAATGACAAGGGGAATCTGTAAATCATGCTGTTAGCAAGAACGCCCGTTTCTTCCACGATAAGTTTTCGAATTCTCAGATGTCTCTTCCTAATTACTACCAAAAGAGATATGAGCCCTCTACTTCTCTCGTGTTTATTGAGAAGATAAACTTGTCTCAGATTTTCTCCGATGCTCCCACTGAAGATGAAAGGAGATTTGAGATATTTATTTCTACATTACCAAAAACTGGAGATCGTCGAATAGCGGGCGTACTAGCCGATAAATTGAGGGAATCTGTTGACTTTCTAGCACAAGTTATCAAGAATTACGTAAGAGAGTGTAACTTTTGTTCGCGAGGCGATTCTATGTGCATCTGCTTGGGCTAAGATCACAGTTTTTTACATTCGCACCTGCTTATTGACAAATACACAAAGAGTTCAAGAGGTTAAAAAAAATGTAAAACCGGTATGCCGATGAACGATTTTAGATGACCTGTTTTTAGCAAATAGTATTTCACCTACGCCTCTACGTATACCTCAAAAAAATTTAACGACGTGCTGAAAATTTGCAAATGCCTTTTATCATTGCCAAGCTCGCTTCGCGATAAGCGACGTCACTTCATAATCGGTTGACGAACACTACCTCGAAAATAATGAGTTGACAAATTCATCTTCTTTAAGTTGCAGTTTCATAGCAGAAAAATTCAAAAGTTGCAAAATCTTTATTCCTCCACACAGAGTCAAATGCAATGGAACCCATAGAACCAAAAGAAAGAAACAGCCCAGTCATGCATCCTAGAGTCTCAAACGCGCAATGCCGCGGAGTTCAGACTACGATAAGAGAGATCCCGCGGCCTCAAGCATAAATACCTGCATATTGACCGGTGTACCGACCAGCTTATCGGAATCGCCGCGGCCATCCGATAGCAAATAGTTGCGCCCACATTACATATATAATGAAGCACTCGCCACGAATGATTTAGCCTTACCAAAAACAAACACACACAGTTACTCATGACCACATCACAATTGATTGTTGAGGCTGCTCCAAACGGATTCGGGTGCACCATCACTCTTCCTAGCTACGCTAAGAATGACCCTGCCAACTTGAACGAGAGCGACTTCAAGAAGTTGTACGAGGCTACGCTAACCCACCTTGTGACCATCATTCCAGGCCAAGAAGAGCTTGCACCAAAGAGCCAGTACCTTTTGACCAAACGGTTTGATCCTACAATCCCAGAACCAAAAGAGGAAGGCCTTGGTGGCTACGGCCACGGGAAGGAATTTCGCCACACGCAGTCGGTTCTCAGAAAAGATGGAACTTCTGTCAAGTCTCAGCCCCAGGTGCAAATCTTGGGTCAGGGTACTTTTGCTGCAGATGAGCCTGGCAACGAGAATGGTGAGGCCATTTCTCTTACCCATCCATCGCACACCACATTCCACAAGGAGCCATTGACCGAAGACCAGATCAAAAAGGAGCATAGGACTCGTTTTTACCGCTGGCATATCGACTCTGCGCTTTACGACTTGTCGCCTCCGATGGTGACTACTCTTTTGGGAATTAAAGTTCCTCCTGCAACACAGACACAGCTTATCGATTACGATGATGGAACGGGTGACAAGTTGGAGTTAACACAGGGCGCCACCTGTTTTGTGTCTGGTGCCGCGGCTTTTGATAGGCTTTCTGATGAGGAGAAAGAGTTTGCGCTCAACACTATTGTGGAGTACGCTCCACACCCATATATATTCATTTCGCCAGCCAAGGCCACTAAAGATGGCTTGACAATGGTCTCTGAAGGTAAAGAAATGGACCTCAAGGACCTTCCGGAATGGGAAGAGTCCAAAATCAAGCGTTTGCCTATGGTCTGGACCAACCCTGTGACCAAGAAGCATCACTTGCAGGTCCATGGCTGTTGCATTCACAAGTTGCACACCAAAACCGGTTCAGAGACCAAGACTTTGGGCTTGGAGGAGGCCAGAAAGAAGGTTCATTCCATGATGCGTCCAGCCATTGCCCCTCAAAATGTATTGGCTCATTCATGGAAGCAAGGTGACTTGGTGATTTTCTTCAACAGAGGTGTATGGCACTCAGTTACAGGCGAGTTCAAGGGCATGCACGGTGGAGCTGACGAAAAGAGATTGATGCACCAATGTAACATTGCAAGTGGTGCTGACCCAGTAACGGCTTAAATTGACAAGTTTTATTTTAAATGTATGATAGTTTGGACATTTTAGTAGGATCAAGTTCATGTAAAGCGAACGATTCTTGTGATGGCTCATCACAGTAACAGTTCACAATCTTTCCTAAACTCCGATAATGACCACTATGAGTGGGACAATGGCATTATACTGAGAGAGGACAAGGAAATTTGCAAACAACGAAAATGAGCAGCAACAGAACGAACTATTTAGTATTTGATTGTAAAAACATCAGCCTTAAAAAGATGAATATTGATGAGAAAAATAGAAGAAATATAAGAAGTTGAGCAAAACAAAAGAAGGCTATAGCTTCATCCAGAAAACAGGCAAGGGCCAGTATTCAGGCGCATAGGCCAATCATTTTCCTTACTTGTGAAATGTGTTCTTGTTCCAAGATTGCCAGTAGTGCATCGATGCGCAAAATCTTATCGCACAGAATGTGACAACCCAACTCCGTCCTTAGCGAAGAATACTGCAATGGGACATTACGTAACAATTGCCACGTGCAATCTCAACCAATGGGCACTTGACTTTGAAGGAAACAGAGACAGGATCCTTGAGAGTATCAAACAGGCGAAAGCCCGCGGAGCCAAGCTTCGGGTGGGGCCTGAATTGGAGGTTTGTGGTTACGGCTGCTTGGACCACTTTGCCGAGAACGACTTGTATGACCAGTCGTGGCAGATGTACTCACAAATCTTGAGCTCCCCCGAAACTGACAACATCATTTTGGATATTGGTATGCCCATTATTCACAAGTCTATCAAGTACAACTGTCGTATCTTGAGTTACAACCACAAGATCTTGTACATTCGTCCCAAGTTGTACTTGGCTAATGATGGCAACTATCGGGAGATGCGGTACTTCACGCCTTGGAACAGGCCCAAGTATCATGAGGTGTACCAGCTTCCGAAAAAGATCCAGCGTGTTACGGGCCAGACTTCTGTGCCGATCGGAGATTGCGTGATGGAAACGTTGGAAACAAAGCTCGGCGCCGAAACGTGCGAGGAATTGTTCACGCCCGAATCCCCACACATCTCAATGGCCTTGGACGGTGTGGAAATCATCACCAACTCTTCAGGCTCTCATCATGAACTCAGAAAGTTGGACACCCGGTTGGAGTTAATCACGGAGGCCACGAAAAAATGTGGTGGAATTTATCTTTACGCCAACCAAAAGGGCTGTGATGGCGATCGCTTGTACTACGACGGCTGTGCTTGTATTGTTGTTAATGGCAAGATGCTCGCACAGGGATCGCAGTTTTCTCTTTCTGACGTAGAGGTGGTGGTGGCCACAGTGGACTTGGATGATGTGCGCTCTTACCGTAACCAGAAATCTGCCGCCATGCAATCGGTGAACCAGAGCTCGCCGTACCACACGATTTCAACCAACATTGAGATGTCGCCCTCTTCGCATATTTTCAACCCATCGATCATGCCCACTGAGCCCTTGGAAAAAATCAGATATCATCTTCCAGAAGAGGAAATTGCCTTGGGGCCCGCATGCTGGTTATGGGATTACTTACGTCGTTCCAAAACGGCGGGCTTCTTCTTGCCGTTGAGTGGAGGTATTGACTCTTGTGCAACTGCGGTGATTGTCCATTCCATGTGTCGTTTAGTTGTCGCCGCAGTGAAGGATGAAAATAAGCAGGTTTTGGAAGATGTACGCAGCTTGACTAAAGACCCTTCGTTTACGCCTAAGACTCCTCAAGAATTGGCCAACAGAATTTTCTACTCTTCATTTATGGGAACGGTCAATTCTTCGAAAGAGACGCGTGCTCGAGCAAAAGAGTTGGCACAAGAAATTGGCTCGTACCACATCGATATGAACATGGATACTCTTGTCACTGCAGTGGTCAATGTGTTTGAAGTTGCGACAGGAAAAAAGCCCATTTTCAAAATTTTCGGAGGCAGCCAAACGGAAAACCTTGCTCTTCAGAATATCCAGGCTAGGTTGAGGATGGTCTTAAGTTACCTATTTGCCCAATTATTGCCATGGACGAGAAAAAAGGAGGGGGGCCTACTTGTTTTAGGAAGTGCTAATGTTGACGAATGCTTAAGAGGGTACTTGACCAAGTACGATTGCTCGAGCGCAGATATCAACCCGATCGGTGGAATCTCCAAAACCGACTTAAAGGCTTTCATCAAATGGGCAGAGACAAACTTTGAAATGCCCATTTTGAGAGAATTCTTGGACGCTACACCTACTGCAGAACTAGAACCAATTACGGAGAATTACGTTCAGTCCGATGAAGTTGATATGGGAATGACGTACGCAGAGCTTTCGAGGTTCGGTAGATTGAGGAAAGTGGACAAATGTGGACCTAAAGCTATGTTTGTGAAGTTATACCATGAATGGTCTCAACCACCTTACAACTATAGCGCTGAAGTTATCGCTGAGAAAGTCAAGAGATTTTGGTTTTTCTACGCTATTAACCGGCATAAAATGACGACGATGACTCCTGCGTACCATGCTGAGCAGTATTCGCCAGAGGACAACAGATTCGACTTGCGGCCATTCTTGATCAATCCAAGATTCCCTGTGGCCAGTAAGAACATTGATGAGATTGTTGCTAAGATCAATGAGCGCAAGAGCGAACTCAACCTGAGTTCATTGACTGTAGATTGAGAACACATAATGAACAGCTTCTCATGGTTTTCTTTTTTGTTGGTTCTGTATTTTTAATTCATATCATCCATTGTATACATTTTACGAGAATGCATTCGTTTAAAAGAGTTTCGTACATTTGTCATTATCACGGATTTTGAGATCACATAGAGACTCTGATCTTATCACTAGGCATTTCTTGGAGATGAAGTAAATTCTAAAACATGATGAAGAAGAGGCTCTGAAGATTACATGTACAATGATTGTGCTATCGTGCAAATATCCGTCCTTCTTCTACAATATAAATTTATGACAGACCCTGTTCATCATAAAGGTATTCATGTTCTCCTAACTTTTTTTTATGTATCCAAGTTTTCCATATCCCCCTGAGCCTTATTGGTTTACCTTTCCACCCCAACGGGTTTCGATTGGAGATCCTTTTCCAGTAATGGTCACCGGACTATTGCGACGGACGAAATCCATGATGGTGATTGCAGTCTGCTTCGGAACATCTTCGTGTACAAAATGGCCCGTTGCGGTATTGTTGAACACAATGAGTTGGTATTTACCTTGCATCTGTCCGATGATGAGTTCCTTGTCCAAGTTATCATTTCCTGAAAGGATAAGGAGCTTGGCCACTTTATTTCCGGACTTTTTGCCGCAATTTATGAAGTTGTCGGAGAGATTGACAAACCAGCTGTCCCAAAACTCACTCATACTTCCCAAGTCGGCTTTCCACGTTAGAGAACCGTCCAGGTTCCGGCGGAGGAGGTCTATCACGCTTACACGAGCGGAATTTTCATTTAATAGAAGACGCAACAGAAAATGCCACTGAATGGCGTCTGCGTAATGTGCAAAAGACTGTGGACGCTTGTTTAAGAACAGAGGTACGGACGAAAGTGCCCGTATGGCAGTCTCCTCCACAATGTCGAGAACAACAAGCCCCTTAATGCTGTGGGAGTTCGAGACGCGGCGAAGAATGTAGTTGGTGAGAACAGCCCCGCCCAAAGAGTGGCCCACCAAATATATCAAGTGGCGGCCGTTTCGTTTGGCAAACTCGTCCAAAATGAGAGCAAAATCTTGCGTGAACGAGTCCAACGAGTACTCTGCCGGCACCGGGACAGAAGAGTCGCCGTGGCCGCGGGCATCAAAGGCAAAAACGCCCACGGACTCTTTTGTCTCGCATTCCTCCACGAGACTCTTGGCTAGCGCATAAAACGTCATGGCAGACGAGCCGGCGCCGTGGTGACACACCAAAACAGTGCCTCCCGGAGTCGAAGGAGGCATGAAGTAAGTCTGGAAAGAAGCGCCGCCAAACAGGTAAGTGTCCTGATTGGTGAAGAAGTAGTCCCTTTCTCGGCGGAAGCAGGAGGCAAGATCCTCATCTTCCTGGGACGGTTCCCCAGCAGGCGACAGGGGCTGCGGGCTTTTCTGAGCAGCCGGGTTTTCTGCCACGGGCTCCATTCCGAAAGCCGCCGACTTGCTCCGGCCAAAGATTTTTCTCTGTAGGTCGCTCATGGAGAAAGAGCGTCTGGTTTGTGGGGATCTTGAGTAGAGACATTTTGCGCGCGCAATGTCGCAGCATCGTTCAAGATGCCCTAGACACCTGGTCAGTCCTTCTGCTTCTTGGTTCATCCAGTCCGGGGTTTCCCTTCTTCTTTTTTGTTTCCCTTTCTTTTCTGTTTCATTCTTTTTATGGACCTCACACGCCACTTCCAGTACATGGCCGTGGCCACGTTTGTGGCGTACCGAGCCTTTGCCAATGGAGAAACACCCGTCGCTTGCGTTTTCGTCCATGAGCCCAGCCAAACCATCTTGGCCTTTGGATGCAACGACACAAACCGCTCGCTCAACGGCACACGCCACGCCGAGTTCATGGCCATCGACAAAATCCTACAGGAGAACCATCTCTTGAACAGCCTGCCCGAAAAAGTCGCGGCGTTTTTCAGCCAGGTGGTGCTTTACGTCACCGTGGAGCCTTGTGTCATGTGTGCTCTGGCGCTCCGGCATGTGGGCATTAAGAAGGTGTACTTTGGCGCCGCCAACGATCGGTTCGGAGGCAACGGCACGGTGATCAAGGTACAGGAAAACGACAGCTACTTGAGTTTTGGCGGAATCATGCGAGTGGAGGCGGTGCACTTGCTCCGGAATTTCTACGTGCAAGAAAACGAAACTGCGCCCGTGCCCAAATTGAAAAAGAACAGGGACATCGAGGGGAAGCCGTTTCCGCCGAATCTAGACTTCCCCAAGTACGTCACCAAGGACCAGTTCTGTGCCGAGTATGGCGAAACGCGGGGCGCCCTTTTTTACGATGAGCCTCATCCTACATGCGAGGTGACGCCCGTATTGGGTGGCAGATACGATATCAAAATTTTACTAAGCGACGGGAAAATTCTTGCCATGCCGAAGTTAGGTGAACTTTATCCGCAAGTTGCATTTCTGCCGGACAACCAGGCTTACGCTGCTTTGGTTGAGGAGGACATAGATACGTTGGTGGCATTTTTACCTGTGGTGACTGAAAATGGAGAGGTGAATTATGAGATTGACGTACGGCCAAAACGCCTAAAATTTTCGAGTGAAGATTAACCTTTAGGTGATGCACGGACGCCTGCAACAATATTGACCACGCATCAAAGAAATCTGCACCTTTCGCGAGGCGACATGAGCATAATTTCTTCAGTCACACATCCTTGCATAATGGCAAGGCCAATCGTGCACAGAGCCTCGGAATGTGCTTTCTTTTTCGCTTTGCCGTCTTGCATCTTTCATCATGGGCGTTTTGGTCAGACACTATCCTGCACATAGACACAACTTACTCCGTATTCCTGCTCGTAAATGAGTTAATTAGACGTTGCACTGAATTTCACGTTTAAGTAGACCAATGAGCATAAGCGGGTTTTCGCCTACGGGGATTTCCTTTTCAGTCTTTTTTTCCTTTGGCCACTTTTTTTATTTTTCAGAGCGCTCATGATTCTCAGTCTCACCTTTGAGGAAATGAAGATGTTAGGGTCCACACGGCCCGAATGCAGTCCAGAAAATAAGCTTTAGACTCAAACTAACACATTATTTTGCGCGGAGGACGCATGGCGCCTACGTGTGAACAATGACTGCATGCCGTACTGCTAATAGTTGCTGAATCGGGTTGCGAGCTCACACACCGACTAAACACCGACAATCTCAAAAAACAATCTTCCCATGCGGAACAATACAAGGAGCCAGGAGAGTTCGTCTTTGAGTGCCCAGGTAAAATTTGGAAGTTGTACAGAAAGAGGGCCGGCTGAAAAGGAAGAAAATAGCGCTGATAACGGCTCAGGCCGATTCCATGCATGGATGCAATGATCCATGCATATGCGACGTCTCATTTGCCGGCCGCAAGACCTTTTTGCTGCGGCTATGGAATTCACTCGCCCCATACGCCGCTGTGTAAGCCCAAATGCCGTTTAAAAGAAAGCAATGGGCCCTTTCTTTTATTTCCTCGCTTGTTTCCGTTTTCTGCCCGTTCAAAATCTCCTTTTTGCCCATTTTTGAAGAGGCGCCATGCTCATCACTTTATTCCCAGTCCTCCTCTGGTTTATAGCCCTAGCGTCTGCCGCTCAGGTTTCCGGAATTTTCACGGGCATAAATTCCATCACTCCTGGAGACAAGGCCTGGCCCAAATACCCGTCATGGACTGCGTCAATCGCATGGAAAATGGATGCTTCCAAAGTGAAGGCCGGCGATACGTTCAAATTGGAAATGCCCTATGTTTTCAAATTCACCACCTCCTCATCCAGCATTCTGTTAACTGCTGGAGGGAAGACCTTTGCCACATGTTCCTTGACGTCGGGCGAGAACTTGCTTGCATACTCAGAAATCGATTGTACGGCGCTGCTGGCCATTACGTCTGTGCAAAGTGCCTCTGGAACGTTTTCGGTCACTTTCACTTTCAGCTCGGGAGCCACCGACGAAAAATTGGATCTCGAGGCCGCGGCGCACTGGAAAGCGGGCGCCAATACCGTCTCCTTCAATGATGGCACCAACACCATCTCCACCACAGTGAACATGGCTGCCGGTGCCACCTATTTTGGCTCCGGACATGGATCGGGCGCCCATGGCGGCAGAACGCTCCCATCTTTGAACAAACTTGAAATGTATTTTCTCGACGCATCGTCTTCGAGAACCCGGTCTGGGTCGCTTTCGCTTCTGGTGGCGCTGAACACGCCATTGGACTGCTCGTCATCCAAGGCTTTTCTCACCACAAAGGTCAATGCCTGGGAATTCCCAGAGAACTCCTTCGATTCCGTCCAGGGAGCCACTTTCAACTTCAAGTGCTCTTCTCTGAGAATAGATGTCACCTACACCAATTTGCCGGCGCAGTACACGCCGTACATCGAGGCGTACAGTGTCATTCCCGTGTCCAACATCTTCACGGTGGCATACCGGCTGTCGGACCAGTACAACCCCAACCGCATCACCGTTGACAATTACCAATTCGCTGTGTACTCGAACCAGCAGCCTCTGGGCGATGGAAGCTACATAGATATCGAGCTCACCACCATCACCAGAGACGACATTACTCGAACCTCCCTTACTACTGCCACAGGCTCTGGAACAAACACCATTGAGGTCTATGTTCCCCGAGAGTCCACCACCACAACCCTCACCAACAGTGTCAGTACGAGCAAGACCTCCACTGTGACAGGTTCGGATGGTGTCGCTACGGTCATTGTGAATGTGCCCACGCCAACGGTTTCCACCACCAAAACGTACTCTGGCTCGATGAAAACGACATCGACATATACTTCCAGCGGAACTGTTTATGTGGAGGTGGATGTGCCTACTGCAACGCTGTCTAAGACAGTGACTTACTCAGACTCAACTTCGAGGACAACCACTTATACGTCTGACGGAACAGTAATTGTTGAAGTTGACGTGCCTACTCCAACTCTGTCCAAAACATTAACTTACTCAGGATCGAATTCTAGAACGACCACTTATACGTCTGGTGGTACTGTAATAGTGGAGGTGGATGTGCCTACTGCAACGCTGTCTAAGACACTAACATACTCGGACTCCACTTCGAGGACAACTACTTTTACCTCCGGTGGTACTGTAATAGTTGAAGTTGATGTGCCGACTCCGACGCTGTCCAAAACATTAACGTACTCAGACTCGACTTCGAGAACAACTACTTATACGTCCGGCGGAACAGTAATTGTTGAAGTTGATGTGCCTACTCCCACGCTGTCCAAAACATCAACTTACTCTGGTTCCATTTCCAGAACAACCACTTTTACCTCTGGTGGTACCGTAATAGTTGAAGTGGATGTTCCCACCCCGACACTGTCTAGAACGCAGACGTATCTAGATTCCACCACCAGAACCACAACATACACTTCCGGCGGCACAGTCGTGGTGGAGGTGGATGTGCCGATCCCAACACAGACCACTACAGTAACCAGAGGCACTGTCTCGTTTACTACAACCCGCACGGCTTCTCCAGGTGGAACAGCTACTGTCGAAATTGATGTCCCAACTTCTACAACCACGAAAACAGCTACTTGGACAGGGGCTACCGCAACCACCAAAACCTCGACGTCTGACGGCACTGTAGTTGTGGAAATCGACGTGCCAATTCCTACTGTAACTACCACGATTACTAGAGGCACCGTTCTGTTCACAACTACACGCACTGCTTCTCCAGGCGGCACTGCCACCGTTGAAATTGATGTGCCAACTTCTACAATCACAAAGACAGTCACATGGACAGGTGCAAGCACCAATACTTCCACGTACACTTCTGATGGAACTGTCGTGGTTGAAGTCGATGTTCCCATTCCTACCCAAACAACCACAGTCACCAGAGGTACCGTTCTGTTCACAACTACACATACTGCTTCGCCTGGTGGCACTGCAACGGTTGAAGTCGATGTTCCGACGTCCTCTACTACCAAAACGGCTACGTGGACTGGATCGACCACTAACACCACCACCTTCACTTCTGGTGGAACAGTGGTGGTTGAAATCGATGTTCCCATTCCTACCCAAACAACCACAGTCACCAGAGGCACTGTCTTGTTCACAACCACCCATACAGCTTCACCAGGAGGAACTGCCACCATTGAGATCGACGTTCCAACATCTACAATCACCAAGACTGTTACTTGGACGGGTTCTGCTACAAACACTTCTACATACACTTCCGATGGGACAGTTGTTGTTCAAGTGGATGTTCCGATCCCTACCCAAACCACCACAATTACGAGTGGCACTGTCTTGTTCACGACTACGCATACGGCATCTCCAGGTGGAACTGCCACCGTTGAAATTGATGTGCCAACGTCTACAATCTCAAAGACTGTCACTTGGACAAGAGCTTCCACCAATACTTCTACGTACACTTCAGATGGAACGGTTGTTGTCGAAGTGGGTGTTCCTGTTCCTACGGTGACAACCACCAGAACTTATACTGGTGCAGAGACTACTACAATTACTCATGATGGAACTCCAGGCGAAACTGCAACAGTGGAGGTTGAGATTCCTATCCCGACTGTTACATCTACAATTTCCTATGACGGAAGCGTGGTTTCGTATCTGACCAAGACTGCCTCTATTGGAGAAACGGCTGTGGTGGTGATTAAAGTTCCAGAATCTGTTTCGTTCACCACTAAAACAGGCAGCGACCAAACCACTCGTACGAGATCTTACACTCTGGATGGAACGCTTATCATTGAAATTGATATCCCCACTCAAACAAGTGAAACTACCAGAACCTGGACCGCATCAACTTCTAGAACCTCCACTTACACGACTGGCGGTACAGTGGTCATCGAGGTAGATGTGCCAATTCCTACTGAAACTACCACGATTACTAGAGGCACTGTTCTGTTCACAACTACACATACTGCTTCACCTGGTGGTACTGCTACAGTTGAAGTGGATGTACCGACTTCCTCTGTCACCAAGACGGTAACCTGGACGGGATCAACCTCTAATACTTCTACATACACTTCTGATGGTACTGTGGTTGTGGAGATCGATGTTCCAATCCCTACTCGGACAACCACTATAACGAGTGGCACTGCTTTGTTCACTACAACGCATACAGCCTCCCCTGGAGAAACTGCGATTGTTGAAGTCGATGTGCCAACTTCGACAATCACCAAGACGGTGACTTGGACAGGATCCGCTACAAACACCTCGACATACACTTCAGATGGGACTGTTGTGGTTGAAATCGATGTGCCCATTCCGACACAAACCACCACAGTTACAAGTGGCACTGCTTTGTTCACAACGACTCATACCGCTTCACCAGGCGGAACGGCAATCGTTGAAGTCGACGTTCCGACATCTACAATCACCCAGACTGTGACTTGGACAGGATCCGCTACAAACACTTCGACATATACTTCAGATGGAACTGTCGTTGTGGAAATTGATGTACCGATTCCAACAGAAACCACTACGATTACCAGCGGCAGTGTCTTATTTACGACTACCCATACTGCTTCCCCAGGCGGAACTGCAGTCGTAGAAGTGGACGTGCCTACTTCCACCGTCACCAAGACTGTTACTTGGACAGGGCCTTCTACGAATACTTCTACGTACACTTCAGATGGGACAGTTGTCGTGGAAATCGATGTGCCAATTCCAACCAATACTGCTACTGTTACACGAGGAAGTGTTTCGTTTACGACTACGCATACGGCTTCTCCGGGAGGCACTGCCACCATTGAAATTGATGTACCAACTTCTACCATCACCAAGACAATTACTTGGACGGGATCAAGCACCAACACTTCCACTTACACTTCTGATGGAACTATCGTGGTTGAAATCGATGTTCCCATTCCTACTCAAACCACCACCATTACCAGTGGAACGGTCTTGTTCACGACTACGCATACTGCTTCCCCGGGTGGAACCGCTACTATCGAAATTGACGTTCCTACTTCTACCATCTCCAAAACTGTTACTTGGACGGGTTCCTCAACGAACACTTCCACATATACATCAGATGGAACTGTCGTGGTTGAAATTGATGTTCCAATTCCTACTCAAACCACAACGATTACCAGTGGCACTGTCTTGTTCACAACAACTCATACAGCTTCCCCAGGAGGCACTGCCACCGTTGAAATTGATGTGCCAACGTCTACAATCTCAAAGACTGTCACTTGGACAGGAGTTTCTACCAATACTTCTACCTACACAACTGATGGAACGGTTGTGGTTGAGATCGATGTTCCCGTTCCTACAGTGACAACTACCAGAACATATACTGGTGCAGAAACAACCACAATTACTCATGATGGAACTCCAGGCGAAACTGCAACAGTGGAGGTTGAGATTCCTATTCCCACTGTTACATCGACAGTTTCATATGACGGAACTGCGGTTTCTTATCTGACGAAAACTGCTTCCATCGGGGAAACTGCAGTGGTGGTGATCAATGTTCCGGAATCTGTTTCGTTTACTACCAAGACTGTCAGTGATCAAACCACTCGCACGAGATCTTACACTCTGGATGGAACACTCATCATTGAGATCGATGTTCCAACTTCTACAATCACGAAGACTGCTACATGGACGGGATCAAGCACCAACACATCTACATACACTTCCGATGGAACTGTGGTTGTTGAAATCGATGTTCCAATTCCAACAGAAACCACAACCATTACCAGCGGTTCAGTATTGTTCACGACTACACATACTGCTTCGCCTGGTGGAACTGCAACAGTCGAAGTAGATGTTCCTACCTCATCCATTACGAAAACTGCCACCTGGACCGGATCGACTACCAATACTACCACATACACTTCTGACGGCACTGTTGTCGTGGAAATTGATGTTCCAGTCCCAACAGAAACTACCACAATCACCAGTGGCAGTGTCTTGTTCACAACTACGCATACCGCCTCTCCTGGTGGAACCGCCATTGTTGAAGTGGACGTTCCAACTTCTACAATCACAAAGACAGTCACATGGACTGGTTCATCCACAAATACTTCTACCTACACTTCAGATGGAACTGTCGTGGTTGAGGTCGATGTGCCCATTCCAACCGAAACCACTTCAATCACTAGTGGAACGGCATTGTTCACGACAACCCAAACTGCCTCTCCTGGTGGAACTGCAATCATCGAAGTTGGTGTGCCTACATCTTCAATCACCAAGACTGTCACTTGGACAGGAGTTTCTACCAATACTTCTACCTACACAACTGATGGAACGGTTGTGGTTGAGATCGATGTTCCTGTTCCTACAGTGACAACATCAAGAACTTATACTGGTGCAGAGACAACCACAATCACTCATGATGGAACTCCAGGCGAAACTGCTACTGTAGAAGTGGAAATTCCCATCCCCACCATCACATCCACGGTTTCATATGACGGAACTGTTGTTTCTTATCTGACGAAAACTGCTTCCATCGGGGAAACTGCAGTGGTGGTTGTCAATGTTCCAGAATCTGTTTCGTTCACTACTATAACAGGCAGTGACCAGACTACCCGCACAAGATCTTACACTTTAGATGGAACATATGTCATTATAATTGAGGTTCCTACTTCCACAATTACCAAGACGGCTACGTGGACAGGCTCTTCCACAAACACATCCACATACACTTCTGATGGCACTGTTGTTGTCGAGGTTGATGTTCCAATTCCGACAGAAACTGTTACAGTGACTAGTGGTAGTGTTCCATTCACGACTACTCACTCTGCATCTCCAGGCGGAACTGCAACTGTTGAAGTCGGAGTTCCTACCTCCACCATCACCAAAACTGCAACATGGACTGGCTCGACAACCAGTAATGCCACTTACACTACTAACGGCACCGTTGTGGTTGAAATAGATGTTCCTGTCCCAACACAAACAGTGACGATTACTTCTGGTACCGTTTTGGCAACTACCACACTAGCTGCTGTTCCAGGATCTACAGCTGTGGTTCATATTTTGGTACCATCAGTGGACACAGATTCCACTTGGTCTAGTGTGTCGTCTACTGAAATTGACGTTTCTTCAAGTAGCTTTTCGGAAACGTCCGCCTCTGCATCGGAAAGCACTTATGTTCTGTCTGTTGCATCTTCAACCAACACTGACGCTTCTTCCAACACTCAACTATCAGCATCTGCATCACAATCTGGAAGCACATTGGCTTCGCTGTCCAGTGGACCCAGCTCCTCCTTCCATTCTTTCAACTTCCAAAATAGCTCTGTCCCATACCGTTCTGTGACCCCATCTGCTACAATTGTTTCTACAGATATTACTTCAGACGTTTCTACAGATATTTCTTCAGACGTTTCTACAGATATCTCTTCACATGATTCGTCTACAGATGTCTCGTCCACAATTGATCCATATGTTTCCGCTACAGACGCATCGTCGATTGTTTCACCCACAGCTGTTTCCACAGTTGCCTCATCCACGACTGATCCATCCACAGATGCTTCTACGAACGTTCCGTCTGTTGATGCATCCTCAGACATTTCCACAGAAGTTTCTACAGGTCTATCAGCAACAATTGTTTCGTCCACAGATGCATCAAGAGACCCTGCTTCTGCAGACATTTCCTCTGGTTATGTGTCAACCGACCCTGCCTCCACAGATTTGTCCTCTACATATATGTCTGCAGATCCTCCGCCTACAGATGCCTCGTACACGGATGTTACTTCTGCGGATGCTACATCTACGGATGTTACTTCTGCGGATGCTACATCTACGGATGTTACTTCTGCGGATGCTACATCTACGGATGTTACTTCTACGGATGTTACATCTGCAGCTTCGTCTACGGATGTTGCGTCTACGGACCTTTCTGATACTGTCGTTTCCTCTGCAACTCCATCAGCTGACCCGTCTGCTTCTACAACTGATACGTCCACAGAAAACCTATCGCTGTTGCCAAGAGCATCTCAGAGTGGGCCAAGCAGTTCGCTTACTAGTGGAACATTGCTGGTGGAATCAGATTTGCCCGCTTCTTCTAATACAGCAACAGTTTACCCGTCCACCAAAGATCCAGTTTCTTATGTTACTGGATCTTCAGAAACCCAAGATTCAAATCTGGGAGAGCAGACGTCTGTGCCACAAGTGTCTTCGTCCAGTGACATGCATCCTACGTCCACTGTATTCCCAGTTATTCCTCCGGGACCAGGGAGCGATACTGGATCGAACGGTTCTGGGTCTAATGGATCTGGGTCTGATGGGTCTGGATCAAACGGATCTGGGTCTAGTGGGTCTGGATCTGATGGATCAGGATCTAATGGATCAGGATCTGGGTCTAGTGGGTCTGGATCTGATGGATCAGGATCTAATGGGTCTGGATCAGGATCTAATGGATCAGGATCAGGGTCTAATGGATCTGGACCAAACGGGTCTGGATCAAACGGGTCTGGATCAGGATCTAATGGATCAGGATCAGGATCAAACGGTTCTGGAAGTGCTGGAACAGATGGATCTAGCGGTGCTGGCTCCAATTCAAACGGCTCCGGTTCTGGCTCCGGCACAGGATCGGGTTCAGAAGGAAATAACGGACCACAAAGTCCTGGTGGTTCCAACAATGGCTCTGGGTCCAACAATGGTTCGGACACTGGGTCTAATGGAAACGAACTGAACGAAGGATCGGGCGACTCAAACACCAACGGGTCCAACGCCAACACCAACACAAACGCCAACTCCAACGCCAACCCTGGCCCTGCTTCCGCCAACGCCTCGAACCAGGGCGCCGCCTCGAACCAGGCCCGCCCCACGTCCTGGTCCTATGTCTACGCGCCCTCCGCGTCCGCGCCCAGCGCGTCGGCCACGGGATCCAGACCGCCTGTCGTCACTGGCGTTTCCGGCGCGACTTCGCCGACATGGGCCATGGCCGTCTTGGCCAGTGTGCTTGCATGCGGCCTCCTATTCTAATGACATTCATTTTGCACCCAAGGTGCATCCAAATACCGCCTTCAAAACGTCTACGCTTTTTCTTAAAAATTTTTGTGACTGTTCTTCGAACGTCTAGGACCTTTCATTTCACTTCACCTAATATTTCTTGGTTTATACTTTATCGTGTAATAAAACTCGTATGTACTTATGCATCGTGCCTGGTTCGCGCAGATTATGCATGCCGCCCCTTCGGAAGCTGAGACAACAGACACGAGAAGGCAAAAGGGAAAGGTCTGGGAAAATTGAATTTTTATTGAAATTTGCCAAATGGGAATTTGCCCGATCGGGAAAGATGCCCGGCCCAAGAAGGCGGAACCTAATTTCAAACCTAACAATGCCGCGGCCGTCCCTTCGCCAGTACCTTACAACGACAGGCGTGGAAACGGGACTACCTGCAGTCGCATTTGTTTGAACGTTCGCGCGGCAATGAGACAAGGCTCATACTGCAGAAAACTTATATAGAGAGAAAGAACAAAAAAGTTCACTTAAGTTCACTTTTGGCCAAACATGAAATTGCTGCTTTTGTTGGTGTGCTCGTTGGCTGCGGCCAACGTTGTTGTTGAGTATGTGACTGTCACTGCGTTCGTCACCATGAAAAAGGGCCAGCTTGGCGGGGCCGGCCCAAGTCTGGCAGTTGAAGAAAGCTTGTGGACTGAAACCACAGAGATCGCTCAGGATCAGAGCACAAAAGCGGTCAGCACGCAGCCGGCTCTGCAGGAGTCTGAGGCGGCCGCTAGTCCTTCTCAGGCGTCTGTGCCTTTAGCCGCGGCTGAAGTGTCCAGCGAGCCAAGTTCGTCACCAAGTTCGTCGCCAAGTTCGTCTGCTCCTGGACCGGTCCAGTCTCAAGCTCCGGCTCAGTCTGCACCAGCCCATCACGCTCATACTCGTGCCTCGTCTGCTCAGACTTCATCTGCACCAGCCCAGACTTCAACTGCTCAGACTTCGTCTGCACCAGCCCAATCTTCCTCGCAATCCCAGTCGGGCTCCTTCTCCGGCGACGGAACATACTACGACACCGGCATGGGCGCGTGTGGCATTACCAGCACGGATTCCGACTTCATAGTTGCCGTCAGCAAAGACTTGTTTGACCAGTACACGCCCAACGGCAATCCAAACCACAACTCCTTGTGTGGCAAGAAGATCGAGGCCTTTTACGAGGGCAAGTCGGTGGAAGTCACTGTGGTGGACCGTTGCGAGGGCTGTGCGTACGGAAGCTTGGACTTCTCGCCTGCGGCCTTCCGCCAGTTGGCCGACCAGGGCTTGGGCAGAATCAAAATCACATGGAACTGGGCCTAGAGTGGACGAGCTTTGGCCAATTCCCGTGGACGGCATCGCTACTCTGGCTGAAGATTCCTTCAGTCTTTGCACCTGGTCATTATCTACACTATGCATCTCCATCCTTTTGCACTATAGAATATCCGTGTCGTGCCTCTTATAGATCTGGCATCATACCACTCTCCTTATATCACAAATTCGTTACAAGCCCGTGGGGCAAATTCACTTCACATATACGTCACATCGTCATATCTGCCTTGTATTTCCAGTAATTTCAGCTAGAAAATGCCGAAATGATCGAAGAATCTAACTTACATTTGATCATTCGTAATAATATACACTAGCCATCGTGTTATATGTCTACGTATCTAGATCAATCTCTGACTAGTCAGTGTGTATGTACTGGGGTAAGCGGTACAATTATTGATGGATTAGACGTTTCGAGAATAGTACTCGAGCGAGTCCTAGAAAGATATCCCGATTTAAAGTTTCTGATTGCTGTATTTTAACTATAGATTGAAATCTTTAAATGAATAGTTCTACCTTATTAATCATCCAACTCTCTCATTATATGCTCTACTCAACCAAATGCTAATTGTATATTAGAACTATAATGCCCTAAAAATACCACTAGCTATTGCTAAACATAATAATAAACTTCATAAATTTCATCAATCATTTAATGAGTATCACAATCGGCTACTGCCAGACTAAATTTCAGGATTTCCTTTTAATGTGTCCAGATATTCTTGAGAAGAGCCGTGGTTATATCAGACGGAAATTGATACTAGGACTATCAGATAATTTTTGGACTGTTCACAATGATTACTTCGTTCCAAATCAATGCAAGCTAGCCTGATAAACATTCATCACACGATGGAGCTTCGATCTACATTGTTCATGGTCTGTTGCAAATTTGTTCGAAACTAGGCCAACTTTAGTTTTGGTACGTTGATACGCATCTTCAATTAGAAATGGCAGAAGAAGCATCTCCATGAACGTTGTTTCTTGAAATCTACTCTCGCTTGTCGTCACAATCTTTGTTCCTCCTTTTCATTATCGAAGTCTATTATGCAATAAATTGCAAAAGACTGAACAATATTCGAGCAAATAGGAAAGAAAAAAGTTCGAACACATTTTCAAACAAATAGTCTTATGAATATTTGAACGTCACTCGGCGACTCTGACCTTCGGTCAGGTCGTCTATTCGTTTGCTGCCTCATACCGTTTTTCTTCTTTTTCTGTTTGGTTTCATTATCCAGTGGTTGAGTGGATCAATTGAGCATTTCAATACCGCACCAATATAGTCTGAATATTACATTTCTCATTTCTACAATACATTCGAAATTCTACATTACTTCTACATTTCTAAAATTCTACATTACATTCTACATTTCTAATTCTACACTGTACAATTCTATTTTCTACATTCTACATTCAAAAATTTAATACTGGATCTCCTCCGCAGCAACTAGAAACCTGTATTAAGTTTCTATCCATTAACAATAATTTACCTGCTGTTAATACAGATGATGATAATAATAATAATAATATAGCTGTAAAGAATATATCATTAAACTAATATAAATGGAATATCTTTTACAGGAATAGATAAGATATCTAATACTACTATATAAAGATATCTAATACTTTACTACAGCTTCGCATTCTTGGCGATTTCCTTAGGCTTGCGTTTCTCTACTATTTTCTACTTTTCACTTCCTTGTATTCCTCTATCATCCTCTGTCATCTTCTTTCTCTCCTTCTCTTCCTTCTTTTCCTCTTCACTGTGAAACCCTTTGTGCAATAGCGTCAGCTGACTCTTGGGCTTCTTGCTGGTAATCAGAGATCAATCCACGAGTCTCTGAAAGAGACATCAGTCAGAGTGAATCTTCAATAGGCAGAGGTGTTGGACACTTGAGGAGCAAGTGTATGGATTGATATATCGGGATGGATGATCCTTGGAGAAGAATCCATCCTAGAGAAAAGATGAAGATCTTATACTTGAGTCTCTCATAAAGAGACTGTTCTCCAATCAGGAACATAGGGAATCTCCTGATTCCAATCTAGGACTTGTCCATGGATCGCCGTGGCATTGTCGTGGTATAAATTATTAACTGAAAAATGATCAGATTATGAATTATTTAAAAAAGTATTTAATATGATTAAAAATAAAGAACATTTAACCATTTCTAGTATCCTCTTCTATGATGGCAGTGAAGTCCTCACGGCATCGAGAATAGCATACGGCCTTCCCAAGAGATTTGGGAAGGACACACAGTGATGACATAAGGGAAGAGCTCACACCACATGTCATGATGTCAGACGATTGCGTACGGCAAAGATAAGTGAAGGCCTTACGCCATTTGACAAGACATCATACAATTGCTCACGGCAATAGAAGTGCCGTACCTACGGCACTCCATCCTAACATATCGGAGACCAATCTTCATAACGTAATTTTAAGAGAGACAATTTAGATAGTGTGCATATACCTCACTGGCTCTCAACAGTAATCAGTTGTGCACCTACACCATCGCCAGCCGCACACCTTCACCGCCATGGACTCCGACGACGACTTTTCTGCACACCTGGCGGAGCTGGACGTGCCGCTTTCGCCCGACTCGGACGGAATGGCCCGGCGCACACGCGCACGCGCCTCCGAGCCCAAGCAGGCCGCCTACGCCTGGGAAGACGAGTACCAGCGCACATGGGACATTGTCAAGGACGACACGCTGAGACCGGTGGAGCTCCTCGTCCAGCAGATGGTGGACGCACGCAAGGCCAAGCTCAGCCGCAACGCCGCCACGCCGTTCCAGCGCGGCATCATCCGCACGGTGGTGGTGGTGGTGGATGCGTCGCGGGCCATGCTCGAGAAGGACTTGCGGCCCACGCGCTTTGGCGCCACGGTGGCGCACCTCCAGGACTTTGTGGCGGAGTTTTTCGACCAGAACCCGATCGCGCAGATGGCCGTGGTGATGATGCGCAACGGCGTGGCGTCGGTGGTGAGCGAGCTCAGCGGCCTGGCCCAGCTCCACATCGAGCGCCTCCGGGCGCTCCGCGCGCGCCAGCACACGCTCGAGCCCAAGGGCGACCCGCTGTTGCAGAACGCGCTCGAGTTGGCGCGGGCGCTTCTCACGGCCGGCGGCGGACCGACGTCCCGCAGCTCGCGCGAGATCGTGGTGGTGTTTGGCGCTCTTTTCACGCTGGACCCGGGCGACATCCACCAGACCATCGACTCGCTTGTGCGCGACGAGATCCGCGTGCGGGTGATAGGGCTAGCGGCGCAGGTGGCCATCTGCCGCGAGCTTGTGGCTCGCACCAACGCCGGCGAGTGTGCGGGCTACGGCGTGATAGTGGGCGACGCGCACTTCCGCGAGCTTCTCATGGCGTGCGTGGAGCCGCTTGCGGTGGCGCGGCGGGCGGCCGAGACGGCCACGGGCGTGCCGGTGCTTCGAATGGGCTTCCCGCTGCGGGCGCCGGCGGCGCCGGGCATGCCGGTGTTGTGTGCGTGCCATCCGCAGGGCGGCGGCGCCGACACGGGCTACTGGTGCCCGCAGTGCCGCAGCCGCGTGTGTCTGCTTCCGTGTGTGTGTCCCGTGTGCGGGCTCATGTTGATCTTGCTGACGCACTTGGCCCGCACGCACCACCACTTGGTGCCGCCGCCGGACTACGAGACAAAGGAGGAGACAAAGGAGACAAAGGAGACAAACGACAGCAACAACGACAACAGCAACAGCAACAACGACAGCAGCAACAGCAACAACGATTCCAGCGGGAACTCCTCCGAGCGCTGCTTCGGGTGTCTTGCCCAGGGCGACGGGGCGCTCGGCGCCCGCTACGCTTGCGCGGCCTGTGGCCAGCGCTTCTGCATCGACTGCGACGTGTTTGTGCACGAGGTGCTCCACAACTGTCCGGGCTGCGAGGCCCGTGCGGCATGAGGCTTCGAGCAGCAGAAAGATTGGCCTTTGGCTATCTTGGCCTCCTGCCTCCTTTAGTTGACTGGTCATTCAATGCATTCTTAGAACATAATCAGACGCTTAATATATACTTCTCTGGGCCGGTTGTATCGAATTATCTTTGATGGCCATCACTAATGGCTAGAACTAGGAAGTCGTTAATGATGTGAAATGATAATAATCAGCGTAAAAAATCCAAATGCCATTAGAAACTGCTTACGTTTCCGGAACTTCGTGAACTTTGCCGTACGATTCATCTTCGCTGAAGATGCTGAAGTAGAACGTACTACAAATGTACTACAAATGAAATCTAAGATGCTGAAGTGGGAAAGAATTACCAAAGAAATTTAAAATGCTGAAGAGGGAGAGAATTGCACCACAAAAGAAATCTAAGATGCTGAAGTAGAATGGTACTGCAAAATAAATCAAAGGTGCTGAAGTAGAATTGTACTACAAAAAAAATCAAAGGCGCTGAAGTAGAATTGTACTGCAAAATAAATCTAAGATGCTGAAGTAGAATTGTACTACAAAAGAAATCTAAGGTGCTAAAGTGGGAAAGAATACAAAATGAATTTAAGATGCTGGACTGGGGAACTATACACAAAATGAAAGGTAGTTTTTGAACCAACAACAACTCTTGTTTAATGCCAGATAATCGTTTGTTCATCGAAAGCATTTCTAAATGTTTGGCAAACAGACGGGTCTGATGTTATATTCCTGTTTAAATAAAATTAATGAACCAATTTATGTAAAATGTCCAAAATCAAGTGTCCTTTCAGCATTCTGATTATATCACCGTATATTGCTCAAAAAGTAATAGTTTAGTTACTGCTACTGTTTTTCATCTTTTCCTTTCTTCACTTCTACCTCCCAAATGTTCTCTATCAATTATCGAGTGTTTATTTGTACATAGTGCTACTTGTTACCCCATGCGGACGAGCCGCCATCGTTACCCCAAGAGGAGCCCTTGTTCGAGGAGTTTCCCCATGCTGAAGAGTCACCTTTAGAATCCTGGTTGCCCCAGGCCGAGGAGCCACCGGACTTGCCCCACGCAGAGTTGTTGCCCAGCTTGTTGCCCCACGAGGAATTGTTTCCTTTGTCTCCCCACGAGGAATTGTTTCCTTTGTCTCCCCATGAGGAATTGTTTCCCTTGTCGCCCCAAGCAGAAGAGCCACCTTTGTTTCCCCACGACGAGCTGTTGCCCTTATTTCCCCACGACGACGAGCCGCCCTTGTCGCCCCAAGAGGAGGAACCGCCCTTGTTTCCCCATGCAGAAGAGCCACCGCTGCTGCCCCATGAAGATGAGCCGCCTTTGTTGCCCCACGCGGACGAGCCGCCCTTGTTGTTGCCCCAGGCCGAAGAGCCGCCCCAGGCCGAGGCGCCGCCGCCGCCGCCCCAAGTAGAGGCTCCTCCAGCAGCAGGAGTTTTGCCGCCCCACGCAGACGCACCGCCAACCGCCGGCGTGGCACCGCCCGCCGCTGGAGTTGCGCCGCCCCAAGCGGACCGGGCGCCCGACGCAAACGCCGGCCCGCTGCCGCCCACCGGCCTCGTGTCCTGCGCGCCAATGAACCGCAAGTATGGCACGGACTCGCCGCGCACCATCACGCTCAATTTCGTCTTGTTCACCTTGATCTTCTTCGCCTTGGTGTGCAACTCGATCCGCGCATCCGTGTCGTCGGTCTCAACCACCTTTCCCATAAGACCCTTGTAGTTGCCGTTGTTCACCACAACATCCTTGTAAAGCAACTTGTCACGGCCGCCCGCACGTGTCACGCCCGCCGTAGGCACTGGCGCCGCCTTGATGTTTGGGTTCATGCGGCTCAAGTCAGGGCCCAACGTCCGCGACACCATCAGGTTCTTGGTGGCAATGGTGCTCACGTTCAACGCGCTCAGCACGAAAAGACCCAAATTCTCCTGGAGCTCGTGCGACTCGATGAAAAGCGTGTTCTTGTGGATGTGCACAATCACACCTTCCTTCTTGGCATCGCCGCTTTCACGCACAGTGTCGCCCACGCGGATCGGAAGACCGTGGCGATCGGTGGCCACCTGCTCACGCCGTGTCATGCGGAGCTTGGCAGCTATACCGGTCGGCTTCACCGACACCACGCGCCCGTCCTGGGTCAAAACGCCAAACAAGCCCTTGTCCGCCTGCACAATCACACCAACCGTCTGGGCATTGAGCTGCACCAAGTCCTTGATTCCGTATTGCCCGTTGGCCATGTCTGCGCTCGACAGCGTGTCTGTGGCCTTGATGAGGTAGTTGGCAAAGACACGCACATCCTCTTTGCTCTGGTCACTCAATAACACCACCGAGTCACCGTCGATCTTGATCACCAAACCGGTCTGGTCCGCGTGCTTTCCCTCGACCACCTTGACGTGGTCTCCCGGTGAAAACACCTTGCGCAAGTCCAGCGTAGTCACCGTGACCTCTTGGCCCACAAACTGCGGGTCGGCCGACTCCGTCACACGCATGGTCACTTCATTTAGAGACACACCCATCACCACACCAATGGTTTTCGCCTGCTCGCCGCGACGCACCTCCACCTTGTCGCCCGGCTGGAACGCCGACGCACGGCCGCCCTCGTGGTTGCGCGAGCTCTTCAAAGACGCCGCCACCGCAGCAAGATCCATTCCGTCTTCCTCCGTGTTTCCTGTCTGGAACCGGTCCAACTCCTCCAACGTCGGATGCACGTCTTTGGTCTGGATGAACTGCAACTTGAAGTCCTTGTACAAGAACCCCTCGATGTACTCGTCGCCGCGGTAAATGTAGCTTCGAGGGCCTCTTCCGGGCTGCAAGTAGTCGCCATCATACATGCGGGCCTCTTGCTCGCTGAAGAGACGCGGAACAGGACGCACCTTCAGCCGGATGCGCTTTCCCTCAGGCGTGAAGTCGTCGTTTTTGCCGTAGTCCAAGCGCGGCACCACTTTGCACCGCACTTCCAAGCCGTTTTCCGACAAGTTGTCCACCACCGCCAAGTCGCCCTTGTACTTGCCCCGCGTGATGCGCACATAGATCCCCGGCACGATTTCCACGTCGGACGATTTCACCTGCTTGAGCAAGTCTGGATACTCGCTCACGGGAACAATAATACGCTGCTTGGCGTATATGTTCACCATACCGTTCAACGCCCGCTCAATGGCCTCAGGCTTCTTGGCCTCCATGTAGATGTAGCCCTTGAACGCGTCACGCTGGAAAACAGACAACACCTCAAGCGGTTTGCCCAGGCGGGCCAAAGTGCGCTTCTTTTCGTAAAGACGCCGCACCAAATCCTTCTCGCGGCCCGGTGTGCACCGGATGGCGAAGATGGCCGGGTCGTTGATCGATGGCATCAACAACTTCTGCGACACCGTGCCGCTGGCGGTGGTTTCGCCTCGATAAACAGTGTGGGTCTTTCTGTATCTCTGCTTCAACGTTTCCGCCAACTCTTCGGCGTCCTGGTCCTCCGCCTGCTGCCGCCGCTGGTCGTACTGTCTGTGGAGCCTGTCGTCCTCTAAGCTGTGGCCGCCTGTTTCCTTTTCCGCATGGTCGTCGGATATAAATTGCTCTCTCAACAATTCGGCCTCCTCGTCGTCTTCATCAAGCTCGTCTTCCTCCTCGTCGTCGACTTCGGCCTCGATATCAAGGAACTGGTTGGCCCGTCTTCTTTTTCTGCACGACACGTCGTCGTCGTCATCTTCGTCTTCGTCTTCGTCTTCGTCTTCTTCGTCATTTTCATTTTCGTTGTCGTTTCCGTTCTCGTCATTGTCTTCGTCAGCGTTTTCCAATTCCTGCTGCGCGCTTTCGCCATCCTCGTCGCCGTCCTCTTGCTTGGTCTCGAAATTGTGCTCTTCGTCCTCCTCCACAGGCCCTTCGCTAGTTAGCGCTGCCTGGGTCGAATCAATGTTTTCTTCTTTCAATGCCGCTTCCGGGCCGTTTTCCATTTCGTCTCTAGGACGTTTCACTCCCGCCAGAACGGTCTCGTGACCTGTGCTGGGCGTCGTGTTCCCGTCAGACATTTTTGTGTATGATCGGGAGGGTTGCGTTTAGAAGAAGATTTTCCTGTAGCTTTTTCGAAAGGTGGAGGGCGTGCGCGAACCGCGCGATCACGAAGCACAAAGGTAAAGGTGCATAGACGTAAATAGAGACGTAAATACTCAGAGGCATAAAGGGACAACTGAAAGAAATCCGGTCGTAGAAAGCAGATATGGAGAATTTTTTTTTGGATAGTGTTTGATCATATAAGAAGAGATAAGTCTGCTGTCGTCTGATTTTCTCGGTATTTCTAATCTGTTTATCTGCCACTGATATCTTACCTGTGATATCTATCTTACCTGTGATATCTTACCTGTGATATCTTACCTGTGATATCTTACCTGTGATATCGTATCTGAGATATCTTATCTGAGATATCATAATTGCAATGAAGTCGTACAATCTGTCATGACGTACATATTTGTGCAATGTTTTGATTTGTCTATCTATTTGTCTAGATCTTTCTCGATTGCGACTGTTTTCACCAGTCCATGCAAGTTTTCTTTGTTCCTCTACCATTTTGATTATAAATCAGGCGAGAGAAGTGAAATTAAGAGCAAACTAGAGGAAAAAGGGAAGATGGCACTTCGCTGGGCAAAAATGCAAAAATACAAGTTGAAGCGTCAATCCAGACGAAATAATAAATATAAGTTCAGGCGTCACTTACAGACACCGATTTTTGCCCGGTGTCTTAGAATATAGTGAGAAAATGACCCAACCTGCCGAGTATCATTTTGATTGTTCTGTTTTCTTTTTCGTCTGGCCGACCATAAAACAGATATAAAACGAGAACTCCTCGCACATGCTCTCTACCATGAATCCTCTTGTTATTTTTGCTCTCACATCTCTTGCAGCGGCCTTTCTGGTTTGGCCCAACTCGTCTTTTACAGAAATCCTGTGCCTGGCACCTTTGGATCCCATTCTCTTGCAAAGCCCAGACCTGCTCTTTTGGTGCAGAGAAAACAATAACACAATTTTCCACGAGTCCAGACTCAACACCTCCAATGCCTTGCGGCCGTATGTGATTGGTGATCTGAGGGTGTTTCCTGGAAATGTGCCTGTGGAAACTTTCAACCGGAAAATCTCCAACCGTAACCGCGTATCCAAAGTTTGGATTGAGCTTGAACCCAACGACTACACCCAAGAAACAGAGAATTTTCCCATCACACAGTGTCTTTCTCTTCAAGACACAGAAGGGTCTCTTTTGGGCACTGTTCTCAAGCAACTCAGTCTTTCGGCCGATGGAGGCCAAAGTTATGGCGTCGAGGACTGGTTCACCTTGGACTGGCTGCTAGTATTTACGTCTATGCTATCTCTCGGCGCCGACTATCTCTGTTCTGCCAAACCGGGGCAAACGGTCCAGTTGATTAGCACACCAAGTAGTTACAGGTTTTCCAGTGCTCGTTTCAGAAACATTACTCTCACAAGAGATGGGCCTGAATACGGAGAGTGGCAAGATGCGCCGGAGACTCGAGTGTACTCCAGAATTCCAATTGTTAAGTGTGTGACGGATCCAAAAGAATTGCAGTGTGGGCTTCGCCAATTGCCCAATTCAGTTTTCGCTCAGACGGAGGAAAATGAAACAGAAGCTGAACACCAAACTCACTAATTAACCCGAAGAATGTATTTGATGACGTCAGCTTTATGTTTAGCGAGTCTTATTTGACAGTCGTATTTTTAAATTTATTGTAGTTCCACTCTAATTAATATATTATATGTGTGTCCTAGCATTTGACTGATAATCTGACGAGTCTCCAAATCCCATGTACAAGCTAAAATTTTTTTCACGAGATGCTCTACAGACCTATTTTATTGACTTTCCATTTTCTGCTTCTGATGAAGGTTTTTTACTTTTTCGCATTCAATTATCTTTCTGTAGTTTGAGTTTTCGCTGCATGTCGCACATAAAACCGTTGGGCATCACGTTGGGATGTCCTGGTGTCCGGGTTTCCTTTCCAATTAACGAAAATCCTTCGAATCCCCAACCACCTTCGCCGTTAACTATGACCAGCGAAATTGCCGCAATCGCCAAAGAATTGAAGTCTTCTTTGAAGCAGTTCCCCAACTTCCCGCAAGAGGGTATCCTTTTCGAGGACTTCTTGCCTATTTTTGCCAAACCTGACTTGTTCCAAAAATTGGTGGATGCTTTCAAGTTGCACTTGCAAGGAACAAAAGTCGACTACATTGTGGGCTTGGAGAGCAGAGGCTTCCTTTTCGGCCCTACTTTGGCCTTGGCCTTGGGTGCTGGTTTCATTCCAGTGAGAAAACCAGGAAAGTTGCCTGGCCCTACCTTGTCTGCCGAGTTCAAGAAGGAGTACGGCAGCGATGTTTTCGAGATCCAGGAGGGTGTGATCCCCAAAGACGCTAATGTTGTGATTGTGGACGACATCTTGGCCACAGGCGGAAGTGCCAGCGCAGCAGGAGAATTGGTTACCAAAGCAGGAGCCAAAGTGGTGGAGTATCTTTTCGTGATGGAGTTGACGTTTTTGAACGGAAAGGACAAGTTGGGTGCGCCTAGATTCACCTTGTTGAGCGGCCAAGACGAGGCTCTTTAGATTATGTATGAAGCCTGAATGACTGACTGGAAGGTAGAAATGATAGACACGGTAGAAATGGAGCTCGACTTTGAAAGTAGGCTGGAAGATGGCGAATGTCGTAATGAAGTCATTCGTTGCACTGGACATTTTACGCTATACGTATGTGTGTATCTGAAGTATTACGAGTTATTCTGTTTGTCTCTGCAATATTATGGCCGCAATCGTCATAAATGAATATAATTTAAGGAAAATAAGAGCCTATTGAATTTACGATCATTGTTGACGTTCTCATCGGTTAAGTATTGATTTCGACTATGTTGACCATACGATTAAGTATAGATCACGACTTTTTGACCATACGGTTATGTATTGATTAGGACCATGTTGACCATATGTGAATATGGAGACTTAAATACTGCTCTTTCACTAGTACACATGAGGAATTTGCAGCTAAAACCGTATTGATTCGTTCGTCAGATTTTATTCTCATATTTTTCACTACATTACTGCTTAGCCTCGAGCCATGCATGAATGCCATCGTAGTTCACACGTATTCACAAACAAAGGAGTCTTTCACTTCCAGACCCATTGCTCATGACAAAATTCGACAACCAGGTTCTCTCAACTCTTGAAAATAAGAAACGCAAGCTCTCCAATATAGAAGTAGGCAAAGTATCCCTGTTCATGGGTCACATACGAGCCAAAGGACTTGCCGACAATCACGTGCCACGACGCTCCGTACAACAAGTCCAACTCTTTCTTTAGGTACGTGGCAATGTCTTTCTCGACTTTGTATGTTCTTGTGGCATCAACCGCCAACTCCAACACTTTGGATTGGGTTTCTTCGGCAAGATCCGACGCCTTCAAAATCGCTAGAAAGGTTAGCCAGAGCAATTGAAACAGATGGAGACACACATACGAGTAATTTCGGCCAGAGATATGCTGGCAGGAACAGAAGCCATTTTGTGGTGGAAAGAAGAGACGTTTATGGAGCAAGATATGTTAGGGTTGCATGCAGTACTATTGTAGGTTGGAGCTAAGATAAGAGGACAAAAGGTGGCTAGTTCATGTGATCTGGTCAAAAAGCTCGTTTAAACGGGAAGGAGAACTGGATTATAACACGGAGCTTTCGGTGTTTTCATGAGAAGTTGAGGTGGTTCGGCCAAGATAAGCCTAAAAAGGTAATTTAGAGCAAGGAAAAGCTGACGGAAAAATTCATGTGGCAAGGAATCTAGTCATCGTTCAGGACTTGTACGAAAACGGTAATGAGTATGAGGGTGAGAGAGATTTTTGTTTTTTTCTTCTTCAGATCGATACTTCAGATGAATGAGTAGATGCGACTTCAGAAAGCTCAATGGTCATAAATGGAATAAGTTGTACGCAAAAATGTATTAGCCCAATTAAAGAGAGTAATTAATTTCTATTTTTGTAATGTAATAAAATCAAATGTTTGGAGGGTACAGTATTAATGCTGACCATTTCAACTCAAATACAACAAAAATTACAGGAATCTTTAAAGAACTTGAAAAAATCATCTTTCTTGAATTTGACTGGTTGAGACTAGAAAGCGTAAAGTTGAATACTGCTGAAACCAATCTTTGTCTCCTGATGCCAATCTTAGTCTCCTGAGGCTATACGTATGTGACTACAAACTTGACATAATAGTTCAGTCAAAATGGAGCCAGAAAATTGACTCGTAAATGCATTAAACAGTTCAATTATACTTTAGTGACAGCAATGGGATTTTTACCAACTCCAATGCCCATACTTCAATCAAGGGCGTTCAGATGATTTCAATCATTATCGCCTTATATGACAAGAAATTCAAAGATTAAGACAAATGATAAATGATAGAAACACGGGTTGAGCCAAATCTAGTATCACGCTATATACAATTCTTTTTTCTTTATATAATCGTGATCGTCGATCCTCCAGTTATAATTCGTTTGGCCGAATCTTGCATTTGATTTGAGTGAGAACAGTTATGTCACACACCAGTACAAAAATCACCGACCGTAACAAACCAGACATAATCGATAACCACTGATTATAAGTCAAACATAGTATTTTTCCACTGATATAAATCAAACATAATATTTTCCACTGATTAAATCAACCTGGCCAGTCCCCGAATCCCACATAAGGTGGAGGTCACGTGCCACACACCCATACTCAAGCGCTTAGTACTGATACACTTTTCAGTAATTGCCCGGAGTCTTACAAATCCGAACTTACTGGCCTTCAGGACGGCGTTAATACGGCTATAGCCGGTCTTACTCAATCATCGGAATTTCCCGGCTCAATCTCACAGCAGCCTCACTTACATCACATTCCACCTGATATACGGCCTAATCATCCAATCCTGACCAGCCATGACAGATGCGTGGTCCGTGTCGAACATTTTGACCCACTACCATAAAATCGGCCATTTGCAGCTGGTGACATACGCCATCTACACGGTGAAAGAAGATGCCATGGACCAGTACCTTCTCGAGCTCGAGCTTCAGATCCGGCACCAGCATCCGCATATCTTGTTGATCTACTACAACAAGAGCCTCTACCACTTCAGTCTCGACGAGCCCAAGAAGTACGACGGCGGCGAAAGCGACAATTCGGCCGCCAGCGGCTCTTCCAAGTTGCATCTGCTATATCCGCAATTGATCCTCCAACACGAGAATACTGTGGCTGCAGGCGAGTTGGCCAATCCTTCCCGCGTGGCGAAAAGCGCTGCCAGCAGAAAGAAGGGCAAGGACGACTCGCCCGTGGACGAACATTTGGCGTTTGCCAGTCTTTCGTTTCTCAAAGCGGTGAAAAAGTGCATTGTGTACAGCTTGTCCTTGTCGGGCCAGATGCAGATCTTCGGCAACTATCTTGTTGCACGAGCGCCCGGGTCGTCGTTCCAGAAGACCGTGGTGCAGACCGACCCGATCCTTTTGGCCAACGGCGACCTCATTGTTTCGCTTTCCCAGCGCAACAGCCTAAAGCTTTTCGAGACTCTGGCTTTGGACGTCCCTCTGGAAATGGCCGATTATGCCAATTCCTTTGTCATTTACGTTCTTCCGTCTGGGTTGCGGTGCCACTTGTACGATACGGTCAACTACGAGCAGAACTTTACTTACGTGGCGTCCAAGTCGAGCGAAAACCTCCTTCGGCTTCTCAAATACAGCATGGGCGTCGACTTGACCAAGAAAAAACAGATTTTATGGGCCAAGCTAATCCCCAACTTGCAGCATCTCAACAACCAGACGTCCAACATCTCGCATTTCGTTCATGACGTCGAAAACAAAAAGTATATTCTCTGGCCGTGGGAGCTCTGCCTCTTGCAATTTGGCTCCGTCGAGGAATGCGTCCAAACAGACCCTGACCCTTCAGCCAAAGACCCGTTGAGCCTTGTATCGGACTTTATCCAGTTTTCCATCAACTGCCATAATGCCGAACCTGCACTAAAACCGCCGGTTCCAGAGCCTATAGGCTTGACTGATCCTGGAAGTGTTGGGAATATCCCACCTTTTAGCATTCCGAGTGCTCTTTCCACTGGTGCAAGTACAGGCGGGGAAGAGACAAAGCATGAAACACAAATGCTAAACCAAGTGCCTAATATTTTTCTGCAAGACGATACGTTTTTCGACCCTAGCGACCCGAATGTGGGTCTCGAACATAAACACAACGCAACTGAGCAACCAAAGTCTGAGGAGGAGGATTTGGAAGATCTTTTTGGCTATAGTCTGGATTCAGATACGAAAAAAAACACACAAGACGAAGGAAGCGCAGACGGGAAAGAGGAAGACATCAAGAAGGAAGAAAACGACTTTAAAGAAGACCATGAAGACTTCGAACAAGACAATGAAACCGAGAATGTCCAAAAGTCACCCGCATCAAGGGACTCGAATATCCAAGAAGAGAGCGACGTGTCTTTCCAAGTGGGCAACAAACAAACAGGGGAAGAATCTTTCATCAACATCCCCAGAGACCAGATGATCACAGCGCCTTTTGAACCGCTGACTACAACATACGACGATCCGGGGGCGCCGTTGCCGATTATGCCCACCCCAATCCTCCAAAGCACGCCGTTCCACAGTCTGACTGCCAATACAGCACAGGCAAAGCCACCCGCTGAGGCGAAAAAAGGAGGCCGGGGCCTTTCAGGCGACGGATATGTGTTTTCGCCCATTTCATTCAACCCCAAGATCCGAAGCAGCATCGATACAAAGTACGGCAAGGGCGGGAAGTTCTACGTGGCCCGTGAGGCATCGAGCGGGCCAGAAGAGTCCAGATCGCGTCTTCGAGAGACGAGCGTGTACAATGCGACGGACTTGCCGTTTCGAAGAGAAGTGAACTCGAGCGCCCCAGAGACCGAAGAGGCTTTTCTGGACGGAATCGAGAGAAGAGACGAGCGAGGAGAGGAACGAGAAGGAGAAAGAACAGAACCGGCAGAAATGCAAAGAACAGATAGAGGAGATACAATGCGGACAGAGAGAGGAGAGGCAATGCGGACAGATAGAGGAGAGGCAATGCGGACAGATAGAGGAGACACCTTCGATGACACCTTCCACATGGGCATCGAAGATGTCGAAGACGAAGACGACGAAGACGAAGAAGAGGACGACGACGAGGAAAGCGATGTCGACGAAGAATTTTCGAGCGGCGAGCTCCGAACGTCGCCGTTGAAGCTCAACACCACTCTGGGAGACATTTTCCACTGGCCCCCGGCGCTGGCCGTGGACACACAGAAACAGACGCAGGCGTCTTTTGCCTTGGGGTCGGGCCTCTTGTCGCCGGGCCAAACGCGCGCCCTCGGCTCAAAGGGCGAGTCGCCCTTCGGCACCGTTCTTTCCGACACACAGTACCTTTCGTTTTCGCCCATGCCTGCGGCGGAAAAGGCGCTGTCGCACATCGACACGGCGATCGGCGACGAGGCGGAAAAGAAAGAAGAGGCGGCGCCCGCATCCGGCGCCGGCGAGCTGACAAACTGCTTGCCGCTTATTTTGCGCAGCATCAACGTGTACAGCATTCCGAGCCGGTTTCTTTTGCGGAAGGCTCTTCAGTGGGGCGGCGTGGCACTTGCGCCCGGATTCGATATGGACGTCGACAATGACGACGACTTTGATTCGCCGGGCGCACTTTCGGTGCGGGCCGCGCACCTCGACGAGTTTTTGCACTGGCTCACGGGCAACCTTGTGTTCAGCGGCGGCGGGCGCGCGCGCCCGAAACGCATGCGGCTCTGCGCGCCCGCGCGGATGCTCGAGGAGGCGGGCGCGCCCCAAAACAGCGCGCCCCAAAACAGCGCGCCCCAAAACAGCGCGCACAACAAAACGGGCGCCGGCAGCGACAGCGTCGCCCTAGACGGCGAGGTTTCGCCCGAGGTGGCGCGGGTGTTTGCGTCGGTGTTCCCGCTCAGCTACCAAATAGCGCTTGGCGAGTTTGTCACCGAGAGCGAGCAGAAGCCGCCGCCGGCGGACGACCAGCTTTTCCTCGGCGACATGGGCGAAAACGGCCCCGGCGACGTTTTCTGGCACACGTTGGCGCCGGAGCAGCAGCACCGCGGCGGGTTCGAGCGGTACCGGCGGCAGAGGCTCGACAAGCCCAGCCGGCCGGCCGACGACGCGCACGTGTTCTCGACGGGCGACGTCAAGGCCACCGTGCTCAAAAACGACGACACGCTCAACGTCAGCGTGGTGGGCACGCGGCTCTGGCGCCACTTGAACTTCCGCCCCGTGGGCGGCCCCAAACGGTTCCAGGTGGTGCTCATTTCCGAGGCCAGCGGCGGCTTGGCGCACGACGCAGCCCACGACTGGGGCGACGCCATGCTGGGCTTTCTTGCCATGCTCCAGAGCAGCTTCCGCGAAAACCACCTCGGCAGCATCAGCCCGTTGAGTCTCCAGCCGCCGGCGACACGGCCCGACCTCGAAGGCATCAGCAACGGGCTCATGCTTGTGCCGCGGGCGCCAGGAACCGCGTACCGGGACTTCTACAAAAGCGTCGACCGCCGCTTGTGGGCGCTCGCCGAGTTGGTCAAGTTGGACCTCATCAACAAGACACGGCGCTTTGACTTTGGGCGCCCGCTTCTTGTGCTCTTTGTGTCGTTCGACCAGAGCCTTGCGCAGGCGCTGCAGCACGCCAAGCTCTGCCGCAACTTGCGGCTGTTTCTCAGCGACCATCGGTTGGCGGTGGTGGAGCTTTTCTCGCACGTGGTGGCGGGCGACCAAGTGGTGCGGCAGTCGCGCGCGCGGCGGCGCCTCCGGTACTTGCTGGCGGGCGCGCTCGCGCGCTTGTCGCTCGCGTTGTACGACAAGTGCCCGGCGCGGGACACGCGCGCCGCCCGGTTGCACACGCACTTGGTGCGCGCGCCGCCCGAGACGTTGGCGTTGCGGTGGGCGGCGACGGCCGGGCGCGAGTCGTTCCACGACGGCGTTTTTCTCCACGTGGCGTACGAGCGGTCGGTCGACAAGCGGTGGATCTGCGCCGCGTGGCTGGATCCGCTCGGCCTCGCCACCGGCGTGCGCCTGTGGTTCTGCCCGAGAGACGGCACGGGCCACAGCTTGGAACATGTCATTGGCGCCTTGTGGACCGAGGCGAGCGCGCTGTTGCGGCGGTTGGCCGAGGGCCCCGCCACAGGCAAGCGGTTTCTTGTGCTCACGCGCATCAGCAGCATTATCCCCGACGACGAGTTGGTGTTTTGGAAACAGCTCACGGCAAAGAACAAGGACGTGTCGTTGGTGGTGGTGTCGACCAGCAGACTGCCGCGGAGCTTGTTTGCGCAGAAGGACGGCGGCGCAAAGGTGTTGTCTCCGGAAACTGCCATGCGGGAAACGGAGATGGCGATGAAGGCTGGGGCTGGCGTCGAAGGAATGGGAGCGGGCGAGTCCGAGATGGGCACAATGGGCGCAATGGGCACAATGGGCGCAATGGGCGCGGCAATTATGGGCTCTGATTCGGGCGGCGAAGCCAAAGCGCCCGGCGCAACCAAGGACCCGGGCGAGAAGGCCGAGCTGCCGTTGGCGTTTCTTCGGGGCGCACCTTTCATGGGCGCGCCGTTTTTGGGCCTCTCGCCGCCCGAGGCGCCCGCAGCAGACTATGTTTTGCGCGACCCGCGCCTCGACATTGTGGGCGTGGTGCCTCGAACGCCGCTTCCGTCCTTCAACTCGCCCACTCGCTTCGGCTTGCGCACAGGCTACTTGGTGCGCGAGACGCGAGCAAAGCGCTACTTGGTGTTTGAAGTGACGCTTCTCAGCTGCCTGGCACATTGGAGCTTGGGCGGAGTCATGCGCCTTTTGCTTCACCACTATAAGAAGTTGATGGTGCTCAACGACATTTTGGGCGTGGCCGGCGACGAACCGGAGACGTTGGTGCCGTGGCACATCAATGCCGTCGTCAAGACTGTGGATTACTTGGTGCATGTGAATGTCGACCAGGCCACGACGCCATAGAAGGAATGTCGTCGAGGTGGGCTCTGTTATCCTGTTTCATTTGGATGCTAAGACTAGCGGTATCGGATTGGGGCACTAGGCAATATCTTTTGCGTTATTGGAGTTGGTTGATCCGGAAACAACGGGAATCTTTTCTGTTTGAAGGTTATGGGAATTGATGGCTCCACAGGGTTGCTCTAGTACATTTACGCATGCCATGTGGCGCACGTCTACTCAATGTTCTAGCTGGTAATAGGAACATGCTATGGCATATAGTCGAACGTCATAGGCCCAATTGCCTTCACAGTATTGAGCCCTTTAGCGAAGTCAACAACATTATACGAGCACGTACCAATGGTGCAACTTTCATAAGGCACCGAATACTTAGCTCCTTTCGACTGCGATTGATTTAAGAATGGATTATGCGTCTTCATGTTCGTCACCTAATTATTAGATCTTGGTAACACATCAAGAAGCAAAGATTGAAAGAGATGACATATTTTGCACGATGCAACATACTATAAAGTGACGATTTGGTCAGATATAGTAGTCGGATTTCGAGTACTGATGTTCAGTCACCGAAAGTATCTAAGGGACTAAAATAAAGAGGTATTTCATGAGTTACAAGCAGTAAGCTTGCAGTAGAGTGAAACACAACAATTTCAAACCTTGCTCAAGAAGCGAAGGCGATATTGTAAGAAATCATCATTTTCTTCTCATAGTGGCAGGTGGATTTGTTAATGAAGAATTAAATGTAGAAGTGTTCAAGTTTGAAGCTACAAATACTCATTAGTTCCAGTTTTGGTTCATTTGACTGGTTATTATTGTGGTTTTCAAATACGACATTTTGATTGTTACTGTTCAGCGTGTATGTTACTCAACGGAAACATTTAAATCCAAAGAAATCAGATCCAAATACCAAAAGCCAAACTAAATTGGAAAGTAAGCAAGAAAAGCGGAAATTTTCTAAATAAATCGCCCAGGTCTGAAGTTTGGAAGAATTCTGAAAATTAATTTACGCTTGTACATCTTATGTTTCTTGTGTATGTTTCTTTAATTTGAACCATTCTACTAGTATACTTGTGATTTGTTGAATAGAAATTAAAACTGCAATTGCTTTTTTCCCAATGTTGGTACTCTCCATAAAATTTACTCACACTCAAAATCAAAATACCATAATCTTTACAGTTGAAATGCTCTCCATGTGATTGTTCTCGTCTAAATAAAAATGCTTCACTTTTCGGAGAACATACTAAACTAAGCACCTCACGATATCCTGCACAAAAGCACCATTCCATATCAACAGCGCGTCTAGTCTATCTTCTTTCAACTCCATCCTTACTGTTTCTTCTTTTTCTCTTCGAAACTTCCCAAACCAGTTTTCCATCCCCATGGAGTCGACGCAAGAGATCATCAGCAACTATTTGGGGCGGGCGCACGACTTCGATCTCGACTCCCTTGCGGACCCTTTGGACGACCCGTTCGACGCGGTCGAAGCGCCGCTCTTGTCGCCTCCCACACCCTTAGAGAGGGCGCCAGTGGCACAGCTGCCGCTGGTTGCAAAAGGGCTGGCGGCTAAAGAAACGGCCGGTCGTGCTCTGCCCAGAAACCAGCCCCTGGAGACGTTTTCCCTCTGGGACGACATGTCGTGGCGCGACACGCACCGGCGCGTGGACGCGGCCGCCGTGCCCAGCCTGAAGGAGTTTGAGCGGTACCTGGCGCTCTTGGCGTCGTCGACCGACAAGTTGGTGCGGCAATTGGGCGAGGTGCGCGCGAAAAACCGCGAGCTCGAGGCGCGCGCGGCGCAACTTGAGGCGGAGTGTGCGCGCGCGCGCGAAAGCCAGGGCGAACTCGCCCTGCTCCGTGTGGAGCTCGCGCAGTCGCAGGAGGAATGTTCGCGCCACGCCCAGGTCGAGCGCGCCAACAAGCTCTTGGTGCGAGAAAACAACTTGCTTCGGGAAAAGCTTGCCAAGTATAAGGCGTTGTACGACGAGGTGAAGCTGCAGGGGCTGCAGGGGCTGCAGAATCTGCCACAGAAGCAAAGCTTGTACAACCAAATACCACAGCATCAGCAACAGCATCAGCAACAGAATGAAGTGCCACAGAATCAAGTGCCACAGAATCAAGTGCCACAGAATCAAGTGCCACAGAATCAGCAACGCAATCAAGTACCGCTACAGCAGAATCAAATGCCACAGAATCAGACACTACATAATCAAATCCCTCCGTTCCAGGCACCGCAGGGTGTTCAAATACCTCAAGTACCCCAGAATGAACCCCAAACACTACACAACCCGAATCCGGCTCCAACCTACCACGAGCCACACAGATCTGCGCCAGCTTCGGTTCCAAGCAACGCAGATCAGCCAGCCGCAGGCCAACCCCAATCGACTCAGTCTCAGCCGGGCCTGTCTGGTGTATCTGGTCTGTCTGGTGTATCTGGTCTGTCTCTGTCTGGCCTGCCTGGCCTGGGCCCAGACCTCGCCGCGCTTCTTCGCAGTCTCCAGACGCCAGAGCTCCTGCAGTTGGCCGGCTACGTTGCCCAAATCAGCTTGGAAATGCAGAAGGTCAATCTGACGTTGGCCCGCACGTGCTGCCACTCCAAGCCGCCTTGCTCCGCGTGCTCCAGCGCCAGCGCCAGCCGCGGAATGGACCACTCGTCGCCCGTCGCGGAGCTGGGCCCGACAGAAACACTCATGGGCAAGTACCCGTGGAACCGGACTGTGTAGCATTGTTGTGTTCGGCGCAGCCTTTATTTATTGCCGTTTGTGCCTATTGTGGATCTGCGGCGCGTGGTGGGCCTATTGTTGCCAGGATGGATCTGCACCGCGTCTAATGTCGAATGGGCGCCGTTGTTGTGATCTGGTATGGGGTCGGAAGTTTAGTGCAAGTGCTTTCGCGACCCACAGCTTGGCTACTAGACGTGGTGGGGCAGATACAAGGCTACATTGAATGGTACTGGTATGGTACATGGGTAGTCAGCATACAGAGTGCGGTGCAAGTTTTAGTTTGGTTGATTGTTGGAAGTTATCTGATTGTTGGATGTTATTTGGTTGTTGGATATTATTTGGTTGATTGTTGGATGTTTAGTTGGTCGAGTTATAGATTTGGGTTGAATAATACACTATCGTTTTAAGGTATTTCTCTCGCCTTAGCGGAAAATGTCGTAGCAATCGCCGCGTGTCGCATTATGCGCGACCAATTTCAGATTTCACTTGCAACATTAGACACCGCGACACTGCGAGCAACTCCGCGACAGCGACACTGAAACACGACACTAGCGACACGACGCCATACACCAAGACAGAACAACAAAAGGTGAAAAAATGAAAAACGTAAAAAACCAAAAAATACAACAAAATTACGCCAAGCAACACAAATTTCCCCACCCCAATCGCACGGCCTCTGCCCCCGCGTAGTCTGTCTCTGTCTTCGTTGCTCATGCATGTTTACAAAGTCTCCCAATCTGGTGTCGCGCACTAAGAACGCGCGATGCTTGTCCACGCTTTTTTTGTCCAGATCCACCCGCACCCTTAGTACTGTGAGACTTTTCTTCCCCACGTCCTTGTTCTTTCTCTTTTGTCTAGTGGACCGGTGTGTTTCTGCCTCTGTCCTATTTCTGTGCTTGTGTGCCTTTCAGCCTTTCCTTCAGGTCGTTTTTCTCCTGGCGTTTTTTGGCGGCTTCTTTGGCGCTTCCTCAATCTTCGCCTGCCAGTGTTCTGGCTGTCTCCTTTGTTAGATTGGTCAGGTCAATCGTGTATCGTGATCGTGTATCGTGATCGTGTCTTCAATCTGAATCGAATCCCACCGTGTCTCATTTGAATCGAACTTCATCGTGTCATCTGAATCGAATCCCACCGTGTCTCATTTGAATCGAACTCCCGTGTCATCTGAATCGTCCATCGTGTCATCTATCCCCATCCTTCATGTCCTCGCTCAATAACGAAAATGTGCACCGCATGTCCCGCTCGCGGGCGAAATCCGCCCAGCCGCCGGCCCCGGAGCCGCCACAGGCCGAAGACGTGCTTGTGCAATCCACAACGGCGCCAAAACCACAGCGCCGCCACCTAGGCGACGTTTCCCGCCAGTTTGGCATTGCCACAGACTCGCAGCATGCGCAGCGGCCCGCTGCCGTGCCGTCGTCTCGAAAACGGGCGCCCGAAACGGAAAAACCAGGCGAGACCGTCCCTCGGCCCCTTTCTCGAACAGACACGTTTGCCCGCCCGCAGGCGCCGTTGCTTGGCGACCCGCTTGGCGACTCGCTTGTGCGGTTGCCGCAGAAGCGCCAGGCCACAGAGTCCAGCACCAACTTGGTGGAAAAACTCCACGTCTCGGAAAACCACAAGAAATCTCGCCGCGAGGACTACCAGTGGCAGGACCTCGACGAAGAGGACGCAGATGATCCGCTTATGGTCAGCGAGTACGTGGGCGAGATTTTCCCTTACTTGCACGAGCTCGAGCGCAAAACTTTGCCCGACGCCAACTACTTGTACAAGCAGACGCAGTTGAAGCCACGCATGCGGTCGATCTTGGTGGACTGGCTTGTGGAGATGCACCAGCGGTTCCGTCTCTTGCCCGGAAACGTTGTTTTTGGCCATCAACACCATGGACCGGTTCATGTCTGTCGAGGTTGTGCAGATCGACAAGTTGCAGCTTTTGGCCACCGGGTCGCTTTTCATCGCCGCCAAGTACGAGGAGGTGTTTTCGCCGCTGGTGAAAAACTACGCCTACTACACCGACGGCTCCTACACCGAGGACGAGATTCTCCAGGCGGAAAAGTACATCTTGACCATCTTGGACTTTGACCTCAACTACCCGAACCCTATGAACTTCTTGCGCCGCATCTCCAAGGCCGACGACTACGACGTGCAGCTGCGTACCTTGGGCAAGTTTCTCTTGGAAATCACCGTGGTGGACTATCGTTTCATCGGCATGCTCCCGTCGCTTTGTTCTGCCGCCGCCATGTACATTGCCCGTCTAGCGTTGGGAAAAGATCCCGTGTGGAACGGCAACCTAATCCACTACTCGGGCGGCTACCGTGTTGAAGACATGAAGGAGTGCATCGAGCTCATAGTCCAGTACCTTGTGTCGCCGGTGGAACACGACGAGTTTTTCAAAAAATACGCCACGCGCAAGTTCATGAAGGCCAGCATCTTCTGCCGCAGCTGGGCCAAGAAGTTTGTTGCCGAGAAGAAGGACTTGTTTGACGAGCTGCTATTAACCGAGAACGCCTCCAAGTGACGCCCTTGCATCTGCCGTTGTGGGCCTGCCATAACTTTCGTCCCTGCATTTTCATTTCTTAGATTGCCATGGCACCAATGCCTGCTATTTTCTCCACCTATTCCCTATGCATAGCAGCCTGTGTGGCTCTTTTGGCTAGAACACGCATAATGATACATTTCATAGTCATCGCCGTAGTCAATGCAAGCTTAAATTAATCAGAGAACTGGAATGGTAGAGCGAAAGCACCTAGACAGAAATACCACGTCACTTCACCTATTTAAATGTCGACAAGGAAGCAAACGGTTCCAAAGCCAGGAGCTTGAACAATCTTATTTTGAGTGCTATGGCAAGATTGTGGAGTAAACAATTTATCTACATTTTCTTAATATCTTACCGTATCAATACCTGTTCAGCGAAAGAAGTTATCCTTATAAAGAATTTCCGTCTGTTTGTATGATGACAATCCTTCCTGAAGAAGGCTGCTAGAACGGAGACAGTCGACATACATTTCGTACCAAAGGACTTCAGCAAAAGTTTCAATTCGACAATTGGTGGCTATAGGTTGCAGCATACTAATGATAACGAAACTTAGACAATAGATGCTGATTTAGATTATTCAAACAGCAAAAGACCAGCCACACCACCTTCATCACTTGAACAGAACTTCGAGCTCAACAAGTGACCGGCATTTTCATTGGCCAAATTGCCTGTCTCCTCGTTGAAAACCACATTTCCAAAAATACCCAATTCCACATAGATGTACCGCAGATCACAGTTCACAATCACGTCGTCGGCAAAAGTCTGGCTGCCAAAGTTGAATTGGTACTCAATCAATTGAAACGATTTCTCCAATCGGCACGGCATTGAGGTTTAACCGAACCAGAAAGAAGATCCTGGTTCGCTTGTAGATATGGAATTGATGGCAGAGGATCGAATTACCTCCGATCTTCATAGGTGGAAGCTGCGAGTAATCACTTCCATCAAATGGAAGTTTAACTTTGGAGCCTCCTTACTTACATATCTGTCGTACAAAATAGGCCGGCCAATCCATTTCGGTAGACCATTTCTTAATTGATTGGCCAAAAGCCCTGTATGCTCAATTGCCGGAGGATATGTTAGTTGCGAGCTATGAGAAATTACTCAACGAGATTTTGTCAATAGTTACGCCATGGCTCTGCAGTTTATTCTTTGTCGTCTCTTATGCCTTAGTTGTCTTCATCTTCCTTTCGTAGGTCCTTTCTTATCGCCTCTCATCTTTCCTATTAAACTGGCCTTCAAAGTTCAATTTGCACACATTCTTTCAAGCAAAACAAGTCAATTAATTCGGGATCATTACCAAATACCTTCCAGCTGTATAATTGAGGTTGATGCTTGGTTGCAAAAATGTCGCTGGCAATGGGTGTCAGTGTCGTGTATGTCGCGGCCCGTTGGTGCTTGTCGCGTCGCGTTGTTTGTTCATGTCGCGCCCGCATCGCCAAATGTCGCCAACCACCATGAACCTTTTCCAGGGCACACGGTTTCTTCTCTTGCAGGAAGCCGAAACCGCCGAATCGGATCTTGCAGAATGGCGCCGGCTCGTGGCGTCTCAGGGCGGCTCTTCCCACCTCGCTGCGGCCTCCGACGCCCGAGCTATCGCGCAAAACGACATTGACCATATCATCTCCCAGCACAGCAACTTTGCCGCCGCCGGAGAAGCGGCCGACCGCATGATTCCCGTCACGACGGCCCAGTGGCTTGTGGACTCGGCGGACGCGGGCCAAAAAAGAAACTATCGGCTCTATTCTCCGAGCCCGCTCCCGTTCATGGATAAAGTGGTGATTTGCGTGGCAGACAACATTGCCGAGGCGGACCGCGAGGCCATATACACGTGTGTGCGGGCGTTTGGCGGCCAGTACTTGGACGCCTTGTCCCGGTATACGACGCATCTTGTGGCGACAGATCTTTCGAACGGAAAAAGTCTTGTGGCGGCCAGTGTTCGGCGCGAGGAGCATGATATCCAGATTGTGCTTCCACAATGGGTGTACGACAGTATGAGAGAGCAGCGGCGGTTGCCGGAGGCGCCGTATTTGGTGGCGGGGATGCTTGAAAGGAGGGGAGAGAAGAAGGAAGAGAGGAAGGACACGGAAACTGACGAATCAAACGAATCTGAAAAATCTGAGAACGAACCAAACGAACATGAAAAATCTGAAGAATCTGAAAAATCTGAAAAATCTGAAAACGAAACAGAGAAGACACAACGGAACGAAAGTGACCAGGCATTGGCCTTGCGCGGAAAAACCATCGGTGTGGGCGAAAACTGGCTCAGCCCGCCCCTCCAGGCGGCCGTCGAGGCGCTCATTGTGCGATGCGGCGGCGCGCTCGCCCCGCCAGACCAGGCGGACATTGTGCTTTCGCGCCACCGGTCGACGCGCGCGCCGCGCCGCGCCCAATCCGCCTCGCTCTTGTGGCTCTTTGACGTGGCGCGCCGCCGCAAATACTGCGCGCCCAAAAATCTTCTCCATGTGCCTGCGCCGGCGCAAAAAATCCCCGAGTTTGCCAGGCTCCGCATCAGCGTCACAGGCTACAGCGGCGACGCGCGGCACTACTTGGCCCAGCTCCTCAGCGGCATGGGCGCCGAGTTCACCAAAACTTTAGACAGCCGCAACGATTTTTTGGTGTGTGCGCGGGCGGCGGGCGCCAAGTTCCATGCGGCGCAGAATCGCTGGAAGGTGCGCGTGGTGAACCATTTGTGGGTCGAGGAGTGCTATGCGGCGTGGCGGTATTTGGAGCCGGCGCGCGCGCGGTACACAAAAATCGGGGCGGGCGTCTTGGGGCGCGGGCGCGAAAACGTGGAGGAGAATGAAGAGGAAAAAGGAGAGGAAAAAGAAGAGGAAAAAGAGGAGGAGGAAGAACAAAACGAAAAAGCAACAGAGGAGGAAGAGAATGGGCTGGCCAGTCTTGTCGTTGCAGTGGAGACGAACACGGCAGGCGAATCAGGCGAATCAGACGAAATGCAAATAAACACGGCCAAATCAGACACGCCCGTTGTATCAGAAAAAGCGGAATCAGACAAGGAATCGGAGGAACCAATAGCCATTTCGGGCCATCCAGATGTGTCGGACCATGCAGACAAGTCGGACCAGTTAGACCATGCAGACAAGTCGGACCGTTCAGACACGCAGGACCTTTCTGTGTCCCAGGCGTCCATCTCGCCCGCCCAGAGAATCATCGACGTGCCGTCCCAGCTGTCGCCGGTCCGGGCCAGCCGCTCCGCCAAACAAAAGGCCTCCGCCAAACTCCACACAGACATGGAGGACTTGAACCAGTACACGTCCATGGCCAAGTCCGTCCGCAAGATGAGAACGTACATGGAGGAGCTCGAGCAGTCGGCAAAGCGGCGCACGGCGTCGCCCGAGCCGCCGCTGAAGAAGGCCAAGACAGAAAAACCCAAAGCACCCAAAGCAGAAGCAAAAACCAAAGCAGAAGCAAAAACCAAAGACGCCAAAAAAACACTGGATGTCCATGTGGTGGCCGTCATGACCGGCTGCGAGCAGGACTTGCTGTTGGCCCGGGCAGACATTGTGCGTCTTGCCCACGCCGGCATCAGCATCGTCAACGACTACAGCCCGAAAAAGCACATCGACACCATCATTGCGCCGCGTGTTCTCCGCACAGAAAAAGTTCTTGAAGAGCTTGAGCAAAGCCCGCCGCATTGTGCATCCGCTGTATGTGGCCGATGTTCTAAAACGGCTTTCGGCCGTGGAGCTTTCGTGGCAAGACCTCAGCAAGGAGTTCAATATCGACGACTATGCTTTGGATAAGGTGGTGTCGGTGAAAAAGATCAACATCGAGCTAGGGTTCGTGGGCAAGGAAAATGCGTTGCAGCGTCTTCTCCGCCACGAAAACGGGTTGGTTTTCGCCGGCGTCAGCTTGAACTTGTCGGTGAACTTGAACGGCGGGCCGGACTTGATTGCCAGCATTTTGAAGGAGCATGGTTTGGTGGACTTTCGGGCGGTCAAGCTCAATTCGCCGCAGAAGAACTGGGTGCAAAATGCCGACGGCGCCACCATCGTCGTGGCCCATAAGACCAAGGACAAGAAGTTTCTCTCTCGCATAGACAACGTGACGGTGGTGGATTGGGACTGGTGTGTCCAGAGCATATTCCATGGCCACATGGAGGATTTGAAGGCCTTTGCGTTGAAGTGAAGGCATTTTGATGAAGTGAAGGCATTTTGAATGAAGTGAAGGGCATTTTGATGAAGTGAAGGCATTTTGATTGAGGTGAAGTGCATTTTGAATGAAGTGAAGGCATTTTGATTGAGGTGAAGTGCATTTTGAATGAAGTGAAGGGCATTTGGAATGAAGTGAAGGGCATTTTGAATGCAGTGTTCAAGCAGGCTTTAACTAATATACATACATCACCAGAGTGTATTGGCTGGATTGTAGCTGAGGACGAATGTTCGGCCCGCTTCATATAGAACGGTAGTCATGGAGGTTGGCCCAGCTGGAATTATTACAAGCCAAGAAAGCAGGCAAGGCCGTTTGTCGGAGTAAATACACGCAATTATGGAACATTAAACCCCAATTAATGACAAACAGACCAGTATATAACTAGTTTTGAAACTAAGTACATCTTCACAGTCAAGAGCTAGGACAAGCGAATAGGAATATCACAGCTATAGCATGTCCTGTTGCTAATACATAAATACTTGGTTATTACCATGTAAATTGAGCATCAGGTCCTGATAACTCTAAGCGTATTATTACTGACATAGCAGTGGCCACCATTGATAATAAACCATAACCTATATATTCTGTTTTAATTGAATATAATAAAAAGTTTTGGTTATCTGAGAAATCCACACCACTACCTAAAATGCCTAGTCTATATCATTCTTTGAATGTCAATGTGCCCAACCTATTCTATTTGCTTCTTTTCAGCGAATCAGTGCTACATCCAGTTACATCGGTTCGTGTATTCTACCTTGTCCTTTTTTCGTATTACAAGCAATGCCAGACACGGCCAGATTATCGAACATAACGGCACATTGGCAATTCACAATAAAATCCAATCGGGAATTTAGATGGCACGATACATCAGAATCTGGACCATTACACATCTATTTTGGAAGCTACAGCTCGGGCGACGGTTCGGTAGGCGGTGAGTTTTATATGATTTCTCCTGTCGGCACCAGCTTCTATCAGGTCCGTATGTAGCCTCGGTCTCACGCTCAGCGTCAGATATCGATCAAGCTCGGCTCGTCCTTGCTGTTGCCAAAGCCGTAGCCTGTGGCAGCGGGCTCAATGCGCTGCGGCGCAGAGGTGCCGATTCCCGTGTTCAAAAACGGATTTCCCGTGGCGTTCGAGCTCATGCGCACGTCTCCCGTCTGCGGCCGCATGCCTGTGCCCATGGAGTTGATGAAGGTGCCTGTTTTTGTGTGCTGGTGCGGGATACGCGTGGCGCCGGTGTTTCCAAAGGTGTCGACGCCCGTGCCGGTGGCCAAGAGAGTGTTGAGCTCGTGCGAGTCGTTGTACTTGCGGCCGGGCTGCTGGGGCTGTGTGTAGAAGGCGGGCTGCAGCTTCTGCTCGGAGGCCAACTCGGCCAACGAGGGCTGTTGCAGCTGTTGCAGCTGCTGCAGCTGCGGCTGGGGCGTGTGGTCCAAGGCGAACGGGTTGTTGGAGCCTGTTTTGAGCGGGCGCAACTCCTCGCCGGCAAAGCCCGTGAACTGCGGCGCCTGGTCGGGGAAGCCGTTCTGCCCGGCAAACTGTCCGGTCTGGTACTGCGGGAACTGGCTCTGGAACTGACCCGTCTGGAACTGGCCTGTCTGGAATTGGCCCGTCTGGTACTGCGGGAACTGGCCCGTCTGGTACTGTGGGAACTGGCCCGTCTGGAACTGGCCCGTCTGGTACTGGTTGGGGAAGTACTGCGGCTGCGCATACTGCTGGAACGGGTCCTGGGTCTGGCCCGTCTGGAAGTAGAGCGCATACTGCTGGGTCTGGCCCTGCGCGGGCTCGCTCAAGTCCAAGAGGTTTTCGTTCTCGGCCTGCTTGCGGCGGCGCATCTCCTCCTCCTCGAGCGAAAGCTTGAGCGCAGCCTGGAGCTCGGCGTCGTCGTCGGAGCGCTCGCGCTCGTTCTCGCGCTCGGCGGTCTCGCGCGACATCTCGAGCGCCCGCTGCAAGTCGGCGTCGTAAGGGTCGGACGCCGCCGCCCGCAGCCGCTGGCGCCGCGCCGGCTCGCGCCGGGCATTTTTGCGCTCCGCCGCAAGCCGCTCGTCGTTCTGCAAAAGCGCAACCAATTCCTTCGCCTTGACGCGGATAAGCGCCCCCTGGTCGCTGTTGGCGTCGTCTAAGTGCACAAACTCGCGCAACGTCTTGATGATGTACAAGTTGTCCTTGGCCCACAAGACGCACTTGTCCAGGCCAAACCGCACAAGGTAGTCGAGCACCGTCAACGACTTGGCCACGTGGCGCCAGTTCTTGCCCTTGTCGTTGAGCCGGCGGTCGAGCATGTCCATGATCTCCAAAAACTCCGTTTGGGTGTTGTAGGTGGCCGCGGCGATTTCCTCCATGTCGTAGGTGGAGGGGCCCAGCGGGTCGTTGGACGTGGCCTTGCGCACGAGAATCTGCGTCGCCGAGTAGCCATTGGCGACGTTTTTGATCAGGCGGACGATTTTCGACATGGTGGGGCACAAGTTGTGTGAGCAAGATTGGTGATAGGGGCGGAGGCGGCGCACCCGTGCCTCCCGCGCTGACAGTCTTCAAACCTAACGATCAATTAATTAACCAAAACTAATTGAACCAAAACTAATTAAACCAAAACTAATTAACCAAAACTAATTAACCAAAACTAATTAACCAAAAACTGAACCAAATCGAACAATCATCAAACCAAAATTAGTCATTCAACACGAAAACTAAATACAGAAATGTCAGGCACTTTCGATTAAGCATGCTTGCCTCTTTAGCTAGCTTAATCGTTTACTGTAGATTATTTCTGTATTTCCAGATGGCTAGTCTTTCAGCAGTTTAACCATCTTCAAGTTCCCATACTATTTACTTGATTTTGTTTGGTCTGAACAGTTTTTCGTTTAATTTAAACAGTTCGTATGGTTGAAATGATTAATTTTGGTTCAATTAATTTGACTGTAGTGACTGTAGACTGTTCAAGATTTATGAGAACGATTAATGTCTTTTCATGCTGGTTTGTTCACATTTTCCTGTTGGCTTTTCTCTTGCTTCATTGATTTCCTTGTATGAATAGATTATGAGACTGTGACTACGCCTTCTGGCGGCCAGAATTTGTATTTTGCCAGGATTTTCTGGATATCCAAATAAAGCCGAATCACAAAGAACACTTCCATAATTGTATCCTCTTGTACAGAAACGAGATGTGAAAGGCAACTTTAAGTTGGCACCCTTTTCTCTTAATGTTTTTGACTATTTACTTCATTGTTTTGTCTTGATCTGAATCTTTCAGGACCAGTAAACGTCTTGGCTTGAAGCAAAATGTCCCTTGTCTGCGGACAAGCAAAGTAGAGATTAAACCAAAACAACAATCAGTCCAATGAGCCCTTTTGGGCTATAACGAAAGCAACAAAAGTACGGTACCATCATTTGTGTTGGCTTTTGAATTGATCAACCTTTGCGTTCGTTGATTTCCAGAGCATAATTCACAATCACTTCGATATTCTAGATGCAAACAGAGCGGTTAAATCCTTTACTTGCTTACGTTCGCTGCATTTGACAGTTTCAATCTTTACATTTCTCGATTATTTTCTAGTTCGATAAGCGTTAAATAATCAAGTCTTGCCGTTTAGTCCAAATAATCTTATTTAATTATTAGGCGAAGCACTCTACATTGTTCATTTTTTGACACTTCTTCTCCAATCACAAAGCTTACGATAATGAGTTCGGGTAAAATACAGAAATGTGGACATTCAAGTCATTACCTCCAACTGATCGTAAAAACAATTCTAACTAGATTCTAAGATGATATGCTTTTCTTGCAGAGTACAGCTTTATGACGATTATAGCTGATTGACACATCTAGCTCCAAGTGTCGATGGAATACAATTTTTTACATTAATTTCTATCTGAAGTAACTTCATTCAACCCAGTTTTGGCCCAAGAGCACATTGTTAATTCTGATTCATAAGCCCAGATGATGCAATTTTGAGCTGATGAAATTAAGTGCACATGCATAACTGTAAATTTGACGTAACTGCGGTTTGAATAAACGTTTTTATTTCCGGAGCCTACCCCTTAATTCCGAATAGATAAGCATCGGATTTTCATCGTACGAGATAGTGTCTTTATCGTCTAATTAAATCCGGACTGGCGTACGTCTGGGAGGGGAAGCATTCACGTGACATTTGGCACGTGAATTCAAAGATGTCTGGGTGTAAAAAGTGCCGGTGTAAGGGTTTTTGTGTGTTTGGTGTATGGATGTTTAAGGATGTAAGGATTTTTATACTTTTGGTGTACGGATGTTTGTCTTTCATGGTGTACGGGTGTGTATTTTCTTCATTACGTGTTTGTGGATTTCGTTCCCAAGACGTGTTTGTGAAAGTGAATCTTGCATGATGCAATGTATGTTCATCCCCTCTTGCATTTTCTGCGTCTTCGTTGCATTCTGTTGAGTCAAAGCACTTTTCTCGCGTCGAAACCATACATGACCAAAAACGTGAAAGGACCAAAAGAAAGTAAAAAAAAGAAAATTGTTTCGGCTTACAGCTTATCACAAAATGTATCTACTCTATCTTTCTCCTTCTTGATTGCCCTTTTCGTCGTGAAAGTATTTCCTCAAGTAGCCTTTTTGCATTCTCATCGCTCCACGTGACCTCATTCTTTACTTCTAAGGTTTGTAACATGGACAAAAACCAAATCCCACAAATTCTCGGCCAATGCCAGCGTCTTCTAGAAAATGGCGGATCGGAAGATGAATATTCCAAAGCTTTGAGTCTGCTTGGCTCAATAGTCCAGGCGACAGGTCTGGATATGGCATTTCGTCAACAAATCGCCCAAGAAGCAGGAATCTTGGACCAATGCATTGATATCATCTCCAACTCGCTTCTGGTTGATTTTTCCTCTTCGCGTGAAGAAGAGCTATACGTTCGGCTTTTGCGAGGGCTCAATCTCTTCACAAGGAACATTGTGGCGTCTTCTCCGACAGTGGTGGATTTGCCGCTTCTTTTGCTCAACATCCAGCATTTTCTTTCCAAAGTGGACCAGACAAACCCGTTCTTTTTGCGCTGTTTTGTGTCGTACCTAGAGATTTTGGCGAATTTGGTGCTTCAGCACGGCGCAGACTTCAAGTGTAATCTCGCTTTGGTTTCCGACACTTTCAAGCCCGCAGTTTTGGACATCATCTCTTGTAATGACTCGTGTATGGTCCCGTTTCTTATATCTTGCAAGGGGTTCGTGCAGAAGGAAAACGTTGCAGCGCTTTTGAAAGAAGAATTGCACCAGCCTTTGCTCTCCTTTTTGCTCCAGCGAGCTTTTACGTTCTTAAATGTGGAAGAAGTTGATCTCTCAGCAGACGCAGTTTTGGGTATTTTCGAGAATATCTTCTCGAACGAGAGCTGTGAAAAGTGGCTTCTATCAATGCAAGAACACGAAGATTTTGGCAGAATCCTCAAACTTTCTCAACTTGTCACCACGCATCGAGAAGATTGGGACAATTATCAATGTTTGGCTATCATGGGCTGGGCTTTTACATTTCTCAAGATATGGGCGGAGTCGGCAAGCGTTCTACTTCTGGCTTCGGAGTATGACAAAGATGCATTGTCAAATGTTCATTCTAAACTCGTGGTTGTTCTCGATATCATGGCGGATCTCGGCAAATTCCACTCGGCCAAACAGTTTTTGGAGCACTATAATGTCTTGGATACGCTTGTGCCTCTTCTCCGAGCCACACACGAAAACACAAAAGCAAGAACTATGAAAGACAAAGCGTCTCTGGATGGAAAGAAGTTTCCGATGGTAAAATCGCTCATCATTGAAATCATGGCGTTTGCGTGCCACAAGTCGTTCAAGTCACAAGAGAAAATCAGAGAATTACACGGCCTCGAGGTTGTGTTGTCGAGCTGTATCATTGACGAAGATAATCCATACATAAAAGAGCGTTCGATCTTGTGCTTGAAGTTTTTGTTGGAAAACAACAAGGCTAATCAGGACTTTGTGGCCCAGCTTGAGGCGAAAGAAGTTGTGGATGACACAGCGCTTCACCAGGCTGGATATGAAGTGGAAATGAGCGATGGAAAAGTCAAACTCAGAAAGCTGGCGGAAACTAATGAAAGTAACGGAGAGAAATGAAAACCACTAAATGCAAGACTCCTTTAGTTGAAAAGTAAACGATAGAGAGTATTTTTTAATCGTCTGTTGAACTGTTACTTGCGACTCTAAATCCATGGTCTGAGGAGAAAAACCTCGACTTCTAATGACGAACATCTACGAGAAACTCCAAATCTTTATTTCAAGCAAGACAAAAGAAAATCTAGAAACTTCTGTAGCATCGTTATTGTTATCGAAACGATTCCTGATTCTGGGATTCATTTCGTTGGATAATGTTCCTTACTTGAGTAATTTGGCACCTGTCTGAAAATGAAATCATTTCACGCTTCAGTGTTTACTAGGTTTCATTTTCATCAATTTCATTTTTCTATCGTAGTTTCAGAATTAAGAAGGTATAAGCAGTATACTTTGATGTTGAGTGCCACTTTGTCAAATTGATTGTGACAATACTGAAGCACAATGGAGATTCTAAAGCATGGCCATCGTCATTCACCTTGGTATTTTAAATATCTTGTAGTACTTTAAATATCGATTCAGTAACTTGACTCACATTTGTTGCGACTAAATGCTACATTTCAAAGATACTCGTGCCTAATGGTCTTGTTTTAAATAAACCCAGTTGAACTGCAAATTAACCACTTTAAACGGCCTCTGGTTCCTTCGCCAACTCAGCCTCAATAACGTTCTTGATCTTTTCCAAAGATGGCTCGTCCACCAACAACAATCTCTTTTCCTTGAGCGCCAACGCCTTCAACTCGTCCGGAAGAACGTCCTTTTCGAAAGAATAGCCGTCGATTTCCAGCAAGGACTTGTTCACCACTTCAGAGAACTTGGCAGGATGTGCGGTCGCCAATGAAATATACTGAACAGAAGCGTCGGACGAGTCTCTCTCGATGTTTCTCAAAGAGGCAGCAACGCCCACAGCAGAATGTGGGTCCAAAACGTATTTTTCTGGGTGTGCAGTGTAGATTTTGCGGATGGTGGCTGAAGTTTCTGCATCGTCAACTCTCTCGGAGTCAAAGTCCGCTCTAGCCGCTGCTGTGACGGCGTCAGGAGCAGATACAGAGCCGGTAGTTTTGAGCTGCTGCATCCACTCGTTCAAAATGTGGCCTGCTTTCGAGTCGTCGCCTCCGGCCATGTTGTCTCTGACCAAATACCACAACAAACGCTCAAAGTTGGACGAGATAAGGATGTCCATGGCGGGCGAGTAGGTGGCCTTGACCTCGCCGTCCTTCTCGTATCTGCCGGACTTCAAGAAACGGTCCAAAATGTCGTTTTCGTTCGTGGCGATAATCAAGCGGTCGGCAGGCAATCCCATCTTCTTGGCGTAGTAGCCGGCCAAAATGTCGCCAAAGTTGCCCGAGGGCACGACGAATCTGGGCTTGACCAGGTCGCCGCCCGCCTGCTCCACCTTTTTGAGCAACTGGAAGTACGAGTAGAAGTAGTAGGTCATCTGGGCCAAGATCCGCGCCCAGTTGATGGAGTTGACGGCGCCCACGTGGTGCTTCTCGTTGAAGTCCTTGTCGCCGAAAATCTGCTTGACAATGTCCTGGCAGTCGTCAAACGTGCCCTTGACAGACAATGTGTGCACATTGGCGTCTTCCACCGTGGTCATCTGCTCCTCCTGGATGGGCGAGATGCGCCCAGTCGGATACAAGATGAACACAGACACGTCTTTCTTGCCGCGCAAGCCGTAGATGGCCGCCGAGCCCGTGTCGCCCGAAGTGGCTCCCACAACGGTGATTTTCTTTCTTTGGGCGGGATCAGCGATCTTGGCGTTGCTCCGCACCAAAAAGTACTCGAACAAGTTGCCGACAAACTGCAACGCCACGTCTTTGAACGCGTACGTGGGCCCGTGGAACAACTCCAACAAGTACAAGTGCTTGGCCGCGTCCAACTCTTTGATTGGCGTGATTTCGCTGGCACGAAAAGTGGAGTACGATTTTTCCACCAAGGTGCGGAGATCGGCGTCGGGGATCTCGCTGCGGGCTATGTACTTGCGCATGATGTTGAAGGCAAGCTGCTCGAAGGTCAAGTTTTTCCACTGGCGGATAAAGTCAGGCTCCAACTTTGGAATGGCCGATGGCACGAAAAGACCGCCGTCTTTGGCCAAGCCGGTCATCACCGCGTCTTCAAAAGAGAGCGCCTGGTCGGATTCGCTTCGCGTGGATCTGTAAGTCTGAGACATGTTGGTGAAGAAAGAAGGCGGAAGTAGAGAGTAAAGTATGAATCATACTTGGCGTGGAGGCACGTGCAGGACAAAAGTACAGATAAGCAAGGAAAGTGAAGAAAGAGAAAGAGAGAGAGAGAGAGAGAGAGAGAGAAATAGAAAGAGACGAAAGAGAAGTAAGAGACGAAAGAGAGAAAGAGAAAGAGAAAGAGAATAGGAGGTCGAGAGCAAAACTGTCAAAAGATAGAAAGCTCTAAAAGTGCTTATATGCAATCAGCCATTGCATCTACCAAATAGCCGATACTAAAAAAGGAAAAGGCGATGCGTAAAAAAAGATTCAGGCAATTTTCGACTGTCTGTTCGATTTTTGACTTCGGCCTGGGTTAAGACTACGAACTGACCAAGGAAGTGTATGCAGGTATATACATTGGGTCTTTTACTGTCAATGTCAAGAGAGCCGCTTCGAGCTTAAGTATGCGGTGCACGGATGTTGGTTTCCTGGTGTCTGGGTTTTTTGCTATTGGATGTACGGATGTTGTGTGGTGCACGGGTGTTGTCTTGTCGGATGTACGGGTGTCGATTCCTTTTTGTGGCAGCCACCAACCCCCACATTGTGGGGTACAAAAAGAAATTACCCTTTGCTACTACTTTCTTTCTAGAAAACTTCATCTGCAACTTGAATTTGGTGGAGGAAGCGTAACAATTCTTACAACTCTCAACCAAAATATTGAGAGAACAGAAACAGGGAAAGTAATAAAAAGTCCTGCCACAAAAAATACTGCGAATAAGGCTAAGGTTTCCAACAAGGCTGGCGAAATACCCAATAATGCAATAGTATATCTAGCGATTAGGTTTTCTGACCTTTTAGATTCTTTCAATGTGAAGGCTCTGCATGATTGAAAGCTTCTAAACCTGAAAGTTCGGCAGCATATCACCAATACTTCAGTCTAGATTTGTGTCGGTAGGACAAGAAACAGCAACAATTATCCATTCCATCGCCTAAAATGCCCAAACAACGGAGAAATGTTTATAATAGGAACCAGCATGTCAGCAAACTAGGCAGTGCACTAAGAATTTTAGACCCATAGTCAATGTCTATAATCAAAATTCGCGCTCTTAGTGAATTAGCTGGATCCAAAAAAAGCTGAAGAGAAAAAGATGGCCTAGACTTTTCGTCATTTAATAATGCTCTTATTACAAATAAGTAAATGGCTGGAGGGAAGAAAGACCAAAAAAATGCGCAAGCCCGGAATCGAACCGGGGGCCCAACGATGGCAACGTTGGATTTTACCACTAAACCACTTGCGCTTCTATGAATGCTCCTGGCCCTTGAATATATAGGGACTGCCACTGAAGAAATATCTTAAAGTGTTACTTCACTTTCGGCATACTCTTGTCTAGTGACTGACAAAGAAGAGCAGAAATTCCCAGTACTGCTACAATGGTTGGATTGAGTTATCTCTAGAATCTCACGTGCATTTCCAGTCAAATTCCATAAGGATTGGTTCATTGTGACTGTACCAGACCCTTGAGCAAGAATCAAGGTTATCCTTCGTGTTGTTTCGTCTTTTGTTTATATTGTTAGTCAAATTACATATTAAGTCTCTACTTATATCTTTCAACAGCAGAAGACTGTGTCTAGTAAGCTCTTCTATTCGTATGTCCTCGAAAACCAATTCAACAGCATACAAGAGCTTACTTAAATGGTTTTCATAATTACAATGATCTGCCTTCCGACCATAAAAGAGTATTATGGGGGTACGTTAGAAAATACTGAAGTGGTGCTGGCCCTCAAACAGAAAAATATCAACTCCAAGTAAAATGCTGTTTGTCGCAGAATAACAGACGATGTTAATAAAACGGATCCTTTTCACCTAGACATAGGTAATGAATCAAGCCGGTGGTAGAATTGTGCACTAGCAATTCCTGTACCAGTTCATTCAACTTCATGATTCTGGGCAAGGTCAATAAATTATTTTTTTTTAGTTTTATCATTAAGAGGTGAAGCTGTGCTGTCTTATTTAGGTTTCCGGGGCTCTAAAGTTTCGCTGGTTTGCTTGGTCTAAAGAAAATACCTCGCTTCCCTTCAATTCTCTTCATTGGCTCAATAAGTTCCATGGCTTATTAATCTTCTTTCCTGAGGTGTATCGTTGCATTTTAATGTTTGCTTCATTAGTTTTGGCTTATTGATCTCTTTGATAAGTTATTGCTTAATATTTATGCTCAATTAGTTTCGTTGGCTTAATTAGTATTTTATGCTTAATTGGTATTTTATGCTTAATTAGTATCTTATTGCTTAATTAGTATCTTAATGCTTAATTAGTTTCGTTGGCTTAATTAGTTGGCTTAATTAGTATATTATGCTTAATTGGTTTCATTGGCTCGATTAACACTCTTCTGATAGATTACTTCGTCATCTTTTTGTTCATCACGATCTTTCTGTTCACTACCTCGTTGATCTTTTTGCTACTTTCCTCAATCTTTTTGTTACTTTGATTCTTTGTTCTTTCTTTATCCATCTTGCTTTTTCTAACACAGAACTTTCATTCATTTGTGGAAGCCCGCCTGTTTTCTCTGGTTCATTTCGCACCCAGTCTAGAATTGCGTAAGTGCGACGGCAACAAACCAGCTTTTAACATTTACATACTCCCTCTTCTTTCTAGTTGCGACTCCTCTTTTTCTTCTTTTCTTCCCTTCTTCTTCCTCCTCTTCTTCTTATCTTCTACTTCCTCCTCTTCTTCGTCTTCTTTCCTTCCTCCTCTTCTTCGTCTTCTTTCCTTCCTCCTCTCCCCTCCTTCGGAGGTACTGGTCAACTCTTACAAATCTCCAACACATCCGCCAACAAGCGGTTCTCCAATGTCCTTAGCCTTGCGGACATTGCTGCCAAAACACGCGGCGGCGCCTTTTTTGCAGCCAAAACATGCACCCGTGCTCTCGTTCCGCCGCCGGCGCTCGGGCCCGGGCCCCTACGCCAACCAGATCTTCCACACCGGCGCCGACGACAATCTCCGCCACTTGACGGCGCAGTTTGGCGCGGTCGCCCACACGTTTGGCTACGGCTCGGGCGTGTTCCCGCAGGCCGGCTACGGCGCTGCCGCCGTGCCAAAGCCCCAGATCGACATGGTGCACATCGTAGCGGATCCAGCAGCGTTCCACCGCGCCAACAGCGCCCGTTTCCCGGCCCACTACTCGGCGCTTCTTCTGTTGGGCGTGGGCGCGGTGGCGTGGGTGCAGCGGCTTGGCGCGGGCGTCTACTTCAACCCGTACGTGGCCATGGCCGGCCTCCTGGGCGAAAAGTCCATGGTCAAGTACGGCGTGGTGTCGCAGCAGACGGCGTTGGACGACATCACGCAGTGGACCACGATGTACGTGGCGGGCCGGCTCCACAAGCCGGTCAAGCACTTTGGCGTCTGTTCGCCAGAGTCTGGGCCAGACTCGGCAAAATCGCCGGGACCAGACTCGACAGACCTGCCGGCGCTGTTTCTGGCCCGCCTCTTGCACGCCAACAACTACAACCTCGCCAGCGCCTTCAACCTCTCGCTCTTGCTTCTACCGCGCAAGAAGCGCCACACGGCGTTTGCCGAGGACGCTTTGTACGAGAAAATCGCCCTGTTGTCGTACATGGGCGACCCGCGCATGCTTGTGGGCGGCGAAAACCCAAACAAGGTCAAGAACATCGTCAGCAAGCAGGCGCTGCGCTTTGCGCTGCTCTACGAGCCGTATTTGGCGCAGGCCTTGCGCAACGGCCTTTTGCAAAGAGCCCCGGACGGCCAGCTTGAGAAAACCATGGACGTCGAAGCGGCCGCGGCCTTGATTGCAGACTTGCCCTTGTGTTTCCGCCGCCGCGTGCTTCTGTCGTACCGCAACAAGTTTGCCTCCACGCTCAAGGACGATCGGGCCGCAAGCGACTTTCTTGCGGGGCAGACCGACACTGTGCCTGTGGGGCCGTTTCTTTTGGCGGTGGCGGCCGACTCTTTTTTGCGGGCCACGTTGAAAGCGTCTGTGCTGGCCACCATAGCATACCCGGCGCTCGTGCAGTCGGTCAAGGGTATCTTCACGGCGGGCATAGCCAAGTCGGCGAAGTATGCGTGGGAAAAGAAGATGAAGAGCCGACAGAGTAAGAAGTAAGAAGACGATAGGGATAGAGAAGACAGGTTATGGAAAAGAGCATAGATACGGAGATGTAGGAAGTAACAGCTGGGAGGAAGCAAGGATATGAAGACGGTAGGTGAAATAATTGGCGAGGGAAGAAATAATGGACGAAGGAAGAAATTATTGGTGAAGAAATGATTGGCGAGGGACGAAATTACTGGCGAAGGAGTAATGATGGCAGAAGTGGATGTGGCTCAACACACGAACCCGAAAGAAACGAACGACAAGAAACGAACGACAAGAAACGAACGACGAAGAAACGAACGACGAAGAAACGAACGACGAACAGAAATAAACGAAAGAAACGAAATCAATGCACAGCGATCAAGTGCCATTGAGACTTGTTTTCGTGTAACTTTCCCAGTGGCTTGAAGCTTGATAACTGGCCCAGACAAGACATGACGGAGGACAAGAAAAAATCACAGGATCCAAGAATAAAGATGAGTACAGGAAATTCAACAGACAGATGGACTACAGGCTTACACGTTGGACATAGGACATACATAGACACCGTGCTGAGTCTACCTGCGATCTTTGCTACATCTTCATAACCAATCCTACCTTTCCATACACACAAATAAAGACATAACCAGTCATGTCAGCGATACTGGGGTTCTGGAACCGCGCGGGGAATGTTCTGTTGGGGACCAGCTGACCAACTGGGAAGAGGCATGTGATCTCCGTATGGCGACAGGGCCAGAGTCAAGCGAGGAATGTACACCGGGTGTTGCAGCTTGGCCTGCAGCAGGAGCGGCGGCAGTAGCAGCGGCTGCGGCACTTGCAGCATGGCCAGAAGCTGCGGCACTTGCAGCACCTGTTGCAGCTGTAGCTGGGGCATCTGGTGCGATTGCTGCATGGCCAACGGCGGCGCTTGCATGTACGGATATGGGAGCATCAGCGGAGGATAATAGTATGCGGGCTGCACCGACAGGTAGTACTGGAACTGCGGGTCGCCGTACGGAGGCGCATACAGCACCATCTTGCCCGGTGGGTACATCTGCATCGACGGAATGGCCTGGTGCGGATGGTTCAAGGGCGAGTCTGTGGGCTTGAATTGCAAAACCGAGCTCAGATAGACGTTGGGGTCGAATTGAAGATTGACCAAGAGCGGGTCTTCGGACGGGATTTTGCCCTGGATGATGCCGTCGGCGCGCTCCTTGGAGTTGTAGTAGCAAACCAAGTTGAGCTTTTCGTTCTGCTTTGTTGTGAGCGAAAACGTTTGCTTGACCAAGCCGTTGGGAAGCGGGTTTCTGTTCTCGTCTTGCTCGTGGTAAATGAGGAAAGGGCCTTTGATCTTGGATGCCAGCCAAGTTTTGCCGTCTGTCCAGCGTTTCATGCCGCCCTCTGTCTGGCTCCAGGCAAAGACAGAGCCCAGCGTTATGTTTTTGCGCTCAATGTCATTGAGTCGTCTTCTGACTTTGTAGAGCAAGTTTTGGCGCGTGCCCTCTAGAACCAAAAGGGCATCTTGTAGTGTAAGAATCAGTCCGTGGTAGGTTTCATTGGCCGCTGAGGAGGAGTACTCTGGGATGATGTACATAAACGGACAAGAGCGATACGGTGGAGAAGTAGGAGGAGGAAGAACCGAGATAGAGGTGTCAAACCAGTGAGGGAATTCGATGCAGGGACGAAGCTTTTTAGGGAAAGAAGGTAAGTTTATATAAGGCGCAGACGCTAGAGACTGCGGTGGGGGAGTGATTTAAAGTCTCAACTCAGAATTTAAATCTCGAATAGATCTAGGAATAGTACGCATTTAGTCCACTGCGCAGTGCCCAAACACGCAGCACATGACATTGCCGCGCAGCATAGTGCATAATGCGCATGCGAGAAAACAAAAAAAAAAAAAGAGACAAAAAAAAAATCTCCCTGCAGTGAGCGCCATAGTGGCATAAACAGAGACGATCCACCTAAGCCTGGGAAGCAAAGAGTGCATGCGCTCTTTTAGGCCGCATATGCATGCGCACAGCGATTCACAAATATCATGTTTCCGAATCGAGCTGCCTCCACCTGCATACGCATCTGTTGATCGCTTTGTTAATTTGCGTATATGCTGGAGGGACATTTTTCCCTCCTTCCCATCATTGTTCCTCTCCACCGCTTGCGAGATTAAAACTTGCATTGTCTCGTCTGCTTGCAACGTTGCATGCACACGCGAAAATCAACCGACACAATGCAACATGTCTTGTTTGTTTCGTTCTCTCGCATGGATTCGTAATCACGGCTAGGCGCAGAAGCTTTTGGAGAACCCTGACTCTCGGCTACACAGAGTTGGGGTCTATGCGAATTCTGTTTGCATGTGTTCAAGATGGCCCGTGCCAAAATTATTCCCAACATTGATCATCTCTTGTGTGCACAACAGTCTTTAGTAATTTCTGACTTCAGAGCGGTATCTGCGACATTAGCATTTGCTCTTGTGCCAGTCGCTACTCCACTTGGAACTACTGCCAAGCCGCCTAATTATGCCGGCACGGGAGAATGACAAAGCGCCGAATCGATGTATTATGTGCGTCTGCCTGACAATGCATGCGACAACAGCCAGGCGGAATTTTGGCCACGTTTGGCCGAGAAGATGTCAGCCACGGAAGTTTGGGTCTGCGCTGACATAGACACAAGTCCGGCGAATCTGCCTTGTCTAGAATTCTGAACGCCACACCAGGCCCGACGGGGCCCAAAAACACCCGGACCTCCCGTGCTACACCTTTGTTCCACCCGAAACAAATAAAAATCCACACTATGCCGCCCCGTGCCCACCACCGAGAATCGGCGTCCGAGTCCGAAGCCAAAACAGGAACAACGTCTCGCGCGGCCAACAAGGCCCGGAACGCTGTGGCGCAGGCCGCCCAGCTCGAACTTCTTTCCAAACATATCCACTCGAACGGGCCCAACGACAAGCCCAAGGTGGATCCGTTGGATTTTGTGGCCTTGGACGACGATGCGCTCACCAAGTACAGCAGCAAGTACGGGCTCAACTTGCCGCCGATCGAGAGCATCAACGAGAACATCCTCCAGTCTGAGATTGGCAAGAAAACCAGTCTGGCGAAGAAGTTGAAGGGCGCCCATCGCATCAGCAAGCCGGAGTATGCCAGCGAGGTGCTGAAGCATTTTGCGGCGGTGCCGTGCCGCGAGAACGAGATGATTGCCAACTTTTTGTACAAGGTGAAGAACGAGAAGAAGACGTTCAAGCTTACGTTTTGAGACGTCAGAAAATATTCAGCTGTTTGAGAAGACTCAAGCTTACGTTGAAGACGTCAAGTTTATGTTGAAGACGTCAAGCTTACTTTTTGAGAAGACGTCAAGCTTACGTTGAGAAGACGTTCAGCTTATGTTTGAGAAGACTCAAGCTTACGTTTGAGGAGGTGTGCGGTTGTTTCTAGGAGTTCGGAGCGAGTTTGATGAGTCTACTCCAATTAGTCTACTGAGACTATTCAGAGTTTCAGTGCTCAAGAGTTCAAGTGCTCAATCGAAAGGCTTTACGAATCTTCTCCACTCTAATCTCTCTCTATTCTCTCTAATCTCTCTCTAATCTCTCTATTCTCTCTCTAATCTTTCTCTAATCTCTCGACTCTCTCATAATTATCATTGGAGTTGTCTTATTTAGTCACAATGAATGGTCATTTGGTATCTAGAGGACGGGTAGGACTGTTTTGTCTTTTCTATATTTTTTATCAGGGAATCCGCTTCTTCATTTCTCTTCACGTCAATCTACCATGGTCCCATATTTCCGTTTCCCAAAAATCTTGACGTATTTGTATGCCCGTGACATAATGGCAGATTTGCCATGTTCTTTTCCCATTGCGAAGAGAATTCAACGTTGACAAAGGATCCATAATGTCAATCTGATAACCTAACCTAACCAGAACTCAACACTAGACAAAAAATCAATGAGCAGAAATGAAAAGTAATCTATGAGCAGAAAAAGAAGACCAATTACAAGCGCATCTGCCTCATGTGAAAACACAGAGCCTAGGGAAGATCGAATAAGCCGTGAAATAAAAGAAAACGCACCTTTGCTTAACCCTTCAGGTTACCATCAGGGTCATTACTAATAATGCCAAGCGAACCTGAAATGCACTCCGAGATCAAAAACTTTTTTTAATCTGAATGCCTAAACGAAAGTATAAACCGTAGTCAGAACCAGTTTGCAGCTTGGTGTCCAATCAGACGATTCCGAATAGTTTGCAACGTGGTAACACACTTGCAAAAGAAATTAAGCGTTCGTCCTCCCATGCACAGCCTCTTATTTCGTCTGGATAAATATTTCCGAATGTACAATTTCTTCGCTTTACATTAACTTGAGTTCCCTTTCTTTTATGGTGTCAATGCCTTATACATTGGCTTCAGGTTGAAAATCAAAGTCGGCGGTCAGTCCGAATTTGCGGCAGTAAGACGTTGATCGTTTGATATTCAGCCGCTTTTCCTTCGCAATTCAAAAACTATGAGGGAAGGAGAAAGCGACATGCCGATAGGAATAATGTAGAAAGAATAATGTAGGAGGAATTATCTACGCTCGGCAAAGTGTCATCAGCCGGCCAAGGGAATAGTCAGATTGCTTCTTTCCCTTGACACGGATAACAGCTGATCGATTTGAACTTGGCCGATTCAAAACCCGAATAAAAACAATTTAAGCCGAATTCAGCTTTAAACCGTTTGAATGAATATTTATCACTGGCATTCAAACCCACCCTGGTGATGTCATCGCCTTCTTACTCTTGTTTTCATTATGCTCCAGATTTCTAGAGTTCTCCTCTTTCACCTGATATCCTTTGGCCATATTTGCAATATTCCCACACGATATCTCTATTAACTTCATTGTGCCTCTGCCATCTCCACTACCTCCTTCTATCTCTACCATTCCCATCACATCTCTTCCATCATATCTCCTCCAGCTTCATGGTCTCTCCTGCATACATTCCAAGTTCACCATCCACCAACACATTAATCTTCTAAACAAGTGTCCTGCACACACATCCAAGACATGAATGCTTCCACCATCGCCATCCATTGGCATGATGACAGCCAGCCCGTGTATTCTGTGACTTTCCAGCACCGCACAGACGACATTTCCCGCCTCGCGTCCGCCGGCGGCGACAACAACATCCGCATTTGGAAAGTGTCGTATCCCAAACCAGAAAACACTCTGCCGCCCACTGTCGAGTACCTTTCGACGCTCCGAAAACACACGCAGGCGGTCAATGTGGTGCGGTTTTCGCCGCGCGGCGACGTGCTTGCGTCTGCGGGCGACGACGGCTTGCTTATTCTCTGGACCAAGAGCGACAAGATCGTGGCGGATTTTGGCCACCAGGACGACGACGCCAAGGAGAGCTGGGTGCCGCGCCACATTCTCAACATGCTGCTGGAGGTGTATGACCTCAGCTGGTCGCCCGACGCGGCGTTTCTTGCCGCGGGCTCGATGGACAATACAACGAGGATTTTCAGTGCCTCGGGAAACAGGCTTTGCGAGTTGACAGACCATTCTCACTACGTACAAGGCGTGGCGTGGGACCCGCAGAACGAGTACCTTGCCACGCAGAGCGCCGACCGCACACTCCAGCTCTACCGGTGGGAAAACGGTGAAATGGTGCCTTTGGCCAAACATTGCCGTGTCGAGCTTCCCACGGCCAAGCTCTCAGTGGCAGGAAAAGAGCTTGACACGGCGCACCCGTCCGAGCCGTCGCTGGGCCGCCGCACGTACTTGTTCCACCTGGAGGCGCTCCAGTCGTTTTTCCGGCGCCTTGCCTTTTCGCCCGACGGGGCGCTTTTGGTGGCGCCGCTGGGTGTTTTCCGCGAGGAGCCCGACCTGCTTGAAACCGCCTACGTGTTTGTCCGGAGCGGCTTGGCGCGAGGGCCCGTGTGTCACCTTCCAGGGCTAAACAAGCCGTCAGTGGCCGTGGCCTTTAGTCCCGTGCGCTACAAGAGCAGAAACGGCGCTGTGTTTGCTTTGCCGTACAAAATGGTGTTTGCTGTGGCGACGCAGACGTCTGTAGTGGTTTACGATACAGAACAGCTCCAGCCTTTAGGTGTACAAGCCGATATGCATTACTTGTCCATTACAGACTTGTGTTGGCATCCGGACGGACAGAGTCTTGTGGTTTCGTCGGCGGAGGGGTTCTGCCTGGTGATTGTGTTTGATGCCGGTGTGTTTGGCGAGGTGTACGGAGGAAATTTGGAGAAAGGAGATGGAGGTTTGGAAGGAGATGGAAATCTGGTGAAAAGAGATGGAAAGTTGGAGAAAGCAGACGAAACCTTAGAGCGGGAAAATGAGAGAGAGGCCCGAATCGCAGAAGACAATGCAAAAGGCGTCGTCCTGACTACTGCTGAATACAACGAAGTAACCTGTGATGGCGGAAAACCAGAGGAAAGAGCCACCGTGGCAACTGGAGCAGAAGACGCTAAGGACTCCTTGCATGATACGCAGAAACTGGATCCTGAGAGTGTCCCAGCTATGGATCCTGAGAGTGTCCCAGCTATGGACCCAACATCTACAAACTCAGACAGGGCCGAAAATGTCCCAACTGCCATGGATCCAACATCTACAAATTCAGACATGGTCGAAAGTGGATCTACGGCGGTCCTGGCAGACCAGGCGACAGCCGCTCAGATTCTGCAGAGTCTGCCTTTCCTGCAACCCACGCAAACAGAAGCGAATTCTCAGGTTTCGGCGCTTCTATCGCAGTTCATAGCTCCACCCGTAGCAGCGGACCAGAACAAGAAGCGGCGTGTCCAGCCAACGCTCATCCAGCCGGAGAAAAACGACGGAAATAAGTAACGACAGGGCGAGACGAACGGGAAGCTCAATATACCAAAAACTGGCTTAGAAACAAGCTGAGACGAACGGAGAAGCTCAATATACCAAAAATTGGCTAGAAACGGTTCGAAAGGCTACGACGAAGAACTTGGTGTTACGTATTGAAGTGTTATAATAGGTATTATGGGATCCAGCGATCGGCAAATGTACGGCTAATCGATGCCTTAGCAATGTAACCAGCCAAGCCACACTCTACGGATCAATTATTACTACAATTCATGTCGGCAATACCACGACGTTAATCCACACTCTACGGATCAATTATTACTACAATTCATGTCGGCAATACCACGACGTTAATCCACACTATATCGGTCAATTAGTACGTACTACCAATTTTCAATGTCGGTCAATACTACGTACTGCCTTCATTATGTCGGTCAATTACTATGTACGCCAATTCTCACTATGTCGGTCAATTACCTTCAGTCAATTACGCCTTCAGTCAATTACCTTCATGTGGTCAATCCTTCATGTGGTCAATTACCTTCATGTGGTCAATTACCTTCATGTGGCCAATTACCTTCATGGTCAATTACCTTCATGTTCATTGTATCCTTCTCCCTAGTCGCCAATCACGTCGTTCGCCAACGACTTCTCCAAGCGCCGTCTCGCCCGCAAGATCATCTCCTCTCTTCGTCTCTGCAACAACGCCAGCCGTTCGCTTTCGTCCTGGCCCCACTTGGCGTCGGTCTCGTCCGCGTCCGCGAGGACCTCGATGTTATATTTCTCAAGCAACGTCTTGGCCCCGCCCTCCGGCGCCACATTGTGGGCGTTGTCCTCGGCATCGTGCCCTGGCGGGAACGGCAAAGACAGGTTTTCCATGTATTCGTCCACGGTGGCCTCGACAGAGCCCGTGCGCTCCAAACTGAAGCGGATCTGCTGCTCCGTGAGCTGCGGCGCAATGGCACGCACCACCTCGACCATGGAGTCCGTGACTTCGCGGCGGCGTCTCTGTCTTGCCGCCGGAACATGGTTGTTGGTGTGGTTTTCGGGCTGGCCCACTGACGTGTGGACATTGAACTCGTCGGGCACCGACTGCGGAATGGGCGAGATCAACCAGCGCAAAAAGAGAAACGCCACGAGAAGCACGAGAATGAAGACGATTGTGGAGGTGTCCATGGTGGAAATAGGCCACTTTAGAATATGGGCCTCTTTAAAGTCGAGGTGAGCGCTCATGTGCGGGCGAGCGCGTGGTGGGAGGTCACGTGACCACCTAACTACTGGAAGAAAACGGTTAGAGCGAAAAGACGAGCGGGAAAACGGCGGGAAAACGCGGCAGTTATTGTCATGGCAGGTAGAATGTCGTGGCGGGCGTCACGTGGCATAGGGGGATGACGTGGCAGGCCGAAGCAGGTGCGTGGTTCGGCCCGACTATAGGCTGCCGGAACCGGCACCAGAGTTAAAGTTCCAGGACGGAATTTGAATGCCTCTTGCATGATGCGCAAAACGAGCGTCTGCGACAGAAAGCAGGCACTTGCGCACGCAGATACGCAGCGGAGAAGCACAGAGAAGATGCTTGGGACCTGGTTGGGGAGGTATGCGAGCCTGCTGCCCAATTATAGAAACGAGCCTCACGTAGCAACAGCACCTTGCCGAAGAAAATATTCACATCCACAGGACGCACTCTGCGTGCGCACGATCTAGCAGATCTTCTTTGAGCATACGCGCGCTGCAGCGTCTGTATAGTATCCACTGGTTTAAACATGCTTCGTGACACATCGGTAAGTCGCTGGCCGCACTGGCGGTGATTTTCTATGACATCGTAAATGCTTTGTCGCAAAACAGCATAGCCCGCCCCTTGTTCCTGCCGTTTTGGGGGCAAGGTTCTGCGTTCGCGCCCGTTGGCGTTTTGGTTTGGCGCCTCTGGTCTATTTTTCGTAACCAGCGCTTTTACGATTTAGAGTTATGCAGCCTTGAGACTGACAATAAGCTTCTGGATCGTGTAGGTGCAGCCGGCTGGGAGGCGGTGGCTTAGAGAATGAGCTAACTCATATCCCAACATTTTAAGCCGCTCTGCAGCACGGTGCATAAACCAAAATCTGGCCATGTGCAGACCCGCTTAACTAATCCGCTGCAAGCGGCAGCTTCTATACGTACCCTCGCCAAAAGTACAGCTGCACTTCCGAGGTACAGTGCCCGCGGGGTTCACATGCACGAGACTGACAGGAGCTGCATACGCCACTCAAATTACGCATCTCCTCTGATGCTGAAGTTTCAGTGCCATCGAAGTCTTTGGTCTCCTCTGTACCTGTGTATATTAATTCCATTCATATGCTTGGCCTGTGACAATTTGCTTCTGTTGAAAAACCACCCTTTTTCGCTGTGGGGCCCAATTACGCCCGCATGCATATTTTATCCGAGCATCTAATTTAAGTCCATTGTAAGGCAAGTGCTTGCAGTATTCCGCACGTTATCATGTATATCTCGCTTAATGGCTTGGAAAAGTCTATTGGGATGCCGAGAATCCAGGCTATGGCGTAGGCTTGCAGATGATTGGGGTTCGGGAATTCGCTGCTGTTTTGCTTACAATGTCTCACTTGCGAGGACCCAATTACTAATAGCCGTGGCTTGGCAAATAATCCCGCAGTGCCAATTATAGTGCCAATTCCATTAGCAGAGTTTCCAACCCAGGTGCCGGTACGGTTTATCTTGAGAGACAGAAGTACAAACTATAGTTGGCCAACTGTAAATAGCTAAAGTGTAGCCAAATTGTAGATCGCCAAATTATAGATAGATGAACGAAACTAAAGATGAAAAGTGTACTGGCAAAATTAGACCAAAAAGGGAACTGAACTGGAAAAGAAATTGAACTGGAAAAAAAAATTGAACTGGAAAAGAAATTGAACCAGTGAACTGAACTGACAAAGGAAGTAAATGAACTGAAGACACAGACAAAACCTGACCTAACAGACAAGAACTGATAGACAAAGAAAATAAAAGACAACAGAACTGATAGACAAAGAATATAAAAGACAACAGAACTGATAGACAAAGAATATAAAAGACAACAGAACTGACAGACAGAACTGACAGACAGAACTGACAGACAGAACTGACAGACAAATAAGAAACACAGAACTGTTAGAGGAACTGACAGACAAATAAAAAACACAGAACTGTTAGAGGAACTGACAGACAAATAAAAAACACAGAACGGTTAGAGAAACTGACAATCATTACCTGTGCTTTGACGTGCGGAATTACAAAGTAGATAGGCATTCTGCGAATGCATGAAGCCTAGCAAACTCTTAGCTTCAAAATCTTACTTGAATGGCAATTCTAGCATTTAGACGATTTCAGCAATCTGATGGTCTTTTTTTAGCCGTCTGGCCGTGTGGCCAGCCGTAGCCTGTATACACCCGTACCCCATATCTCCACGCTTCAGATAGCTACGACTCTGCTTTCAGTATGGATCTTAAGAACAACAGAGAGCTCCATGAGATGATGCGGACGTTTGTCATTTTGGATAAGGACAACGTCTTGTCTTCGGACTCTGAGCCGACAGACCTGGAGTCCGACACGCAAGAGTACTTTTCGTCCAAAAGCGGCAAGCATGCATTCAAGCAGAAAGATAGAGAGACTGGACTGTCAGAGACGGAGGGGAGGACGGCAGAAAGGCAATTGGCAGAGACAGAAACGGCAGAAAGACATGACAGACATGAAAGACAAGAAAGACAAGAAGGACAAGAAAGACAAGAAAGACAAGAAGGACAAGAAGGACAAGAAAGACAAGAGAGACAAGAAAGACATGAAAGACATGAAAGACATGAAAGACAGTCGACAACAGCAGAATCGACAGCCAAAAGCGCATCTGCCGCTACAAAGACAGAAGCCTCTACAGAACATTCCGCCAAGCTCCATTCTACAAACCCGCTGAGTTTCTACGAAGACTATTGCACCCGCTACATGCATTTCACCGACACCAACCCCACCACGTACCACGCCATAGACTTCTTTGCACGGCTCTTGGAGGAAAAACAGTTTTGCGCCGTTGCAGAAAGAGACACCTTCGATATTTCTGGCGGACTGCGCTTTTTCGTCACAAGAGGCGGCCAGGCCATGGTGGCCGTAGTTGTGGGCCAGAACTGGCTGCCTGAGAAAGGAATCGGCGCTGTTGCCGCACACGTAGACGCCTTGACAGCAAAACTCAAGCCTTCGTCGCTCAAAGAATCCGTTGACGGATTTCATCTTTTGGGTGTAGCTGCGTACTCCGGCGCACTCAACCATCTTTGGCTCGACCGCGACTTGGGAATTGCAGGCTCTGTTTTGGTCCGTGACGCCGAGTCGGGCAAAGTGTCGTCTCGCCTCGTGACGTCGGGCCGCCATGCCATCTGCCGAATTCCCTCGTTGGCGCCGCATTTTGGAAGCGCTGCGGCGCCTCTTCCGTACAACCAGGAAACGAAAATGGTTCCTGTGATGGGCTTTGGCGGCGACGACGCCCCGCCGTCCGCTCTGGAAAAACGCCTGCCCTTATATGGGCGTCACTCGCTCTCTTTGCTTCGGTACCTCGCCCAATTGGCCAATTGCAAAGTGGAGCACTTGTGCGCCGCCGACTTGGAGCTTTTCGATGTCCAGCCGGCTGCCCGCGGCGGCTTGCAACGCGAATTCATGTTTGCTCCAAGAATAGACGACCGCTTGTGTGCCTTCAGTGCTGTCCATGCGCTTGTTTCGTTGTCGGACATTGACTTGGCCCAAAGCGACAGCTGCCACGTTGTTTTCCTTGCCAACAACGAGGAAATCGGCTCTGCTACACGCACAGGCGCAAAGGGAAAGTTGTTGAACAGCGTGGTGGAAAGATTGGTGTCGGCCCGCAATGCGGCCGCTTCTGGCTCTGCTTCAGGAATCCCGGAGACTTGCGGAAACTCAAACAGTGCATACGCTCGAAGCCTGCCACATACAGAGAACTCTGTCGCTCGCGTCTTTGCCAACTCGGTCCTTCTTTCTGCAGATGTGACGCATTCACTCAACCCAAATTTCAAGGAGGCTTACTTGGCGGGACATTATCCCCTTCCTAACACAGGACTTACCCTCAAGAAGGACGCAAACGGCCACGTCATGACAGACCTGCTTGGCGTGTTATTGATGGAATCCATCGCATCCAAATGCGGCTTACGTATTCAGCAGTTCCACATCCGGAACGACATGCCGTCTGGCGGGACTATCGGTCCTATGCTTGCCACAGATACGGGCGCAAGAGTTATTGACGTGGGCTTGCCTCAACTCAGCATGCATAGCATTCGAGCTGCAGCAGGATACAAAGAGCCAGGACTAGGCATTGAAGCGTTTGGTGCGTTTTTTGCCCACTGGCGTCTGACTATGGACTCTATCGACTATCTGTGAGACTACTGTGTTCCTCATTTCTTTTTTTTTTTTTCTGTTTATGTTTTTTTCTGTTCATTTTATTTTTTTTCCTCCGATTTCTTGTTCAATTTTTTTTCTTATTTTTTTCCCATGTTGTTGAAGTATGCTGGTTGATAAAGCTTATTTCCTCTTGCGACCTTTCGGGACAGCACGCTTCATGCTCAAATACGCTGCTGCGGTACTTATGCGTGTTTTGATAAAGCTGCGGTAACATTGAGGAAGGTTTTCACTCTTACGAAGGGGCTTTTATTAACGGAGAATTGGCCCTTTGGCTCCCAACTATCTGTCTTTCGCTAAAATGTTTTTACGATGTGCCATAAAATGATCTTCTAGAATGCGTCTCTGCAAGGATCGAGCCGATGAAATAATGCAATGGAATACACGAATGAATGAATGTATGCATACCAGAATTCTGCATCTGCGGCTATACGCTAATGCGCAAATGCGCTACTGCACCGCGTGTTATTTTGTACGCCATGCACTGCTTGATTATATTATGGCCGGCTGCAGCGGCATTTGAGAAACTTTAAACGGCAACCCCTAGTCTTCGCATCCTGAATCCTTCCAGTCTATCAAAGATTTGGGCCCAAAACATACAGAACTATTCCAGGAATCCGTTGCGTGTTTTTTGCAACACAAAATGCGAAGTGAAGTGTGTAATGCGGAAAAGTATCCCCGTTCCTCTTCATCTTCACTTTAGCGCTACCGCAGGCACGTTATCTTCCCGGGGTTGGAAGCCCTGTTTTTACTTTAAGCTAGCTTCTCAATTAGGGCATAACTTGGTATGCTGTAACCTCAAATTTGAGGAAAAGAAATTTATTTTCCGCTCTTCTGTCTAGACAAATCTTTATTTCTTCTCTCGGAGATTAGGTGTGATGAAGGGAGTAGTATAAAGGTAAAAACAATAGAGGTAAGTATTGGCGGACACGGGGAGAAAGTTTCACAGCTAGTCTTCAGGCCCTTGCAGGGCACAGCCCGCCGGATTTAGACAACAGATGTGGCACACACCGGTTTTCAGCGCCAATAAATCTTTCTAGCCAGACGTGCCATCGTCTCAGAAACATGTTTGAGGAAATGTTCTAGTACGTTTTACGAAGTCATGAGACAGTTGGGAAGGGAATGATCTTCGCCAGGGTAAAGCGGGGCTTACGAATCAAAAGAAAGGCAAGATACGAACATCACGGAAAATACCAAGTGGAGAGTAGCAGAGAAAATAATCACAAGCATGTGCATAAGCAATTTCCATAAGGGGACTGTATTTGCATTTCTCAATGTTGTTTTTCAACCAGAGGAACTGAGACAGGTGTGGTCAGGCACACTTCCTATCCTAGTAATAAAAAGCCTTGCTTTTTTTTAAGCAGTCAATCTCTTGTTGAAGTGAAAAACTGGACCTCGGTTAAATGAATTAAGTGTTCGGATCAGGGGAAGTTGCACATTGGTCAAAGTGAACACAACGGTCCGCCGCTTCCACTTGGGAAATGCCGAAGTTGCACAGTTACTTGCAGTAGAAACATCTTTAGCGGCGGAAATTACACATCTTTCCGCTACACGGTGGCTCCTATTTGCACCCCATTCCGTTATTTTTTAGCCAGAGACTTCGGTATTATTCTGCATGCAGAAGTTAATGCACGCTGCACATACACATGAATATTTTGAATACAAACATTCAGAGGCCATATACGAGTACAAGGAGAAAGCCCTTCGCAACCCACATAACTTCAAAAGTTTTCAGCACCTTCTCGCTCGTAACGTTAAGCTTGCCCCAACCGAGCGATTTTAGCACGCTAAACGAAAAGTGTATGCGGAGCCACTAAAAAATGCACAATCTACTGCTTGTGCAGGCAATTTCCATGTAAAGTGTACACTGCGTAACGGAGCGTCTGCACCAGGCATGCTAGGCGCTAGAGTACGAATGGTGTTACTGGATTAGCCAAAGTTCCAAGTCTGTGGAGGAAAAAAACCGCAGTTCTAGTCTAGACCTGTGGAAATGAATAAGCATTTTTGAGTAAGAAAAAGCCAGCAATTAGATCTTCTCTTGCGTACGGAACAGAGAGCAATCTTGGACTGTCGGAAAATAAGTAAGAGTGCTTCTCAAAAATATCTGCTAGGGGTAGGAACAAGATTTTTTTGGAACAAAAGGACGAGGGGAGCACTTTGAGCTTTGGTAATTTACAGAAGCGCAGATTAATAAAGCACCCGTATTTTTTGCCTTAGGGCAATTGATGTGGGAAATACGAGTGGTTCCTCTTCTAACGCAAAAGCATCGTTCCTAACGTCACAGACATGGAAGTTGGCATGAACGGTTGATAGAAACCAATTAGAAACGATAGACTGGCCAAATCACAAAAAATTCGTTAGGAATTACTAGATAAGGAACTTGTCGTCGATTATATTTCTCATTGGTGGCGGCGGTCTAGCTACCGGTATATTTCGGAATGCTTCTACTCCTCAAGACAACTTCTGGTCTCTTTTCCGGGCCAGTGTCATTGATTTGCCTTCTAGCTCAAACTGACAATGGTAGCACATTTATCAACTGATCGGCTGGACTTTTTTTGTTCGACAAGATAGAGAATGGGCAGATTATCAAGCGAGTTGACTACCACTGAAGACACCTGACTCCATCCTTTGAAAGTGTCCATGTTTCAAGAACCAATTGAGATAAGCACAGAAACTTGAAATCCGTTGGACTCTTCCCTGACTGTCTCAATCTTCGACTATTGGGTCAATCTTCGACTTGCGGATAAAGCACAGGGAACTAAGTTTGTGGCAATGAATTTGAATAGAGTGGTCATACTTACCAGTGACGACATATGCTCAAGACTACGACGGTATCTGAGCTTCGATCCTAGATTTTGTCATGGAGCGTGCTTGGTAATGCTTCACAAACTACAGGGCAAAGTAGAGTGGATGGCATTTCGCTGGCGAAAATACAAGAGTTGGGATGGAGAAAATACAAGAGTTGGGATGGAGAGAATACAAGAGTTTGGCGAAAAAATGGTAAAATACAAGAGTTGGGCAAAAGAAGATGGCAAAAATACAAGTCAGGCGACACCAGGCCAGCCAGCTTCGCCGGTTGCCTGATTCAGTTAGACTTCAGTAAATTCACCTCCCATGAACGAGTCTCCAGGATCCAGAACTAGCAAAAGAACTTGGCATGGGTTCAAATTCCAACGCCAAACGGCAGAATGTCAAGCGAGAACAGTAAGTGTCAAGTAGGAATAGGCAAGGCTGAAGATCCAAGTACGGCAAGACTATGCAAATTGGGCTTAGTTCGGACAAGTTTGGATCGACGTATCGACGTATCGATGAATCGGCTAAATCGGCTAAATCGACTGAATCGACTTGTGTTACTGCTTATGTTTGTTGCTCGCTTCTACGGCTTTAACCAATAAGAATCTAGAGTATGCAAATGATTATAGGCCAGCACACAAGTAACAAAAAGATACTTCCTTTCTTCGATCTTCAGCATTAAAGTGCATATCCATGACTCCAAAGGTACCGCTTAATAACTGTTCGTGCTGAATTTCTTCTAGACCTCGATGATTATTGGTCTGAACAAAAGGGTACTGTCCTTGATTGTGTTACTTGCTGGTTTGTTACTCAGACGTTTGTCCGTTGTTTCGAATGTTTTTCGGTCTGTCTCAGACGTTTGTCCATGTTTTACATGTTTTTGAATGTTTTACATTCTCGGTTCTACATGGGTATCATTTGTCATTTGTCATTTGTCATTAGAGCCGCGAGGGCATACACCCGTGCACCAAAAAAAATGCCCGCCACAGTTGCGAGCGGCGTTTGGTGGGCGCACGCAAAAACATAAATAAGCAAGGCGATGGGGCCTGCACACACAGACGATGCACAAGCACGCACAATCACAACCACCGTACATTACAGCACGCAAATTTTTCCCAACACCGTACAATCATACTATAGAGCCAGCTCCGACGCATGCAGCGACAAACGCAGCCACAAGCAAGCTCTTCTTGGAGCCGCCCTTGGAGCCGCCGCTCTTGGAGCTTGTGGTCTGGTTGAAAGAAACACCGCCCGTAGACGAAGACAAGGTTGCATTGGCGGTCTGCGTGCCGTTTGTCACCCCGAGATGCCATTTCTGCGACGTGATGGAGTCGTCGCCGACGTTGGAGATGGAGCTCAACTGTTGGAGCCCCAGTAGCATGGTCACGGTGGCCGGGTTGCTTTCCAGAAGCGCCAGCGAGTCAAGAAGAAGCGACATGAGAAGATAAAGAAACTGGTGGTGGACAGGGCCCAGGAGAAGCAGACGACACCCAATATATAGCTTGTGCCGTTTCCTAACCGTCGGACACGCAAATGCCCACATCAAACGTGACAAGAGTTGCCCAAACACATGCACGGTACCTGATGCATATGCCGGCCATGACAGGAGGTGCGCGCCATTTTGGGGGGGCGGCGATGTCATTGCGCAGATACTCAGGCACACAAGCCGCGGCGCGTTCGAGAAACCCACTTTATTGGCCCAGCCGGGACCGCTGCGGAATGTCCATGCATACGCACACAACATGTCAACAAGCACGAGCAGACTAGAGAAGGGACAGAAGGGACGAGAGAAGTCAAAAGAAAGAGGCAAGTAGACGAAATTAGAACGTAGAAACATAAAGCCATAGAATACAAATCAGGATACTACAGATAACACAGATAACACAGATAACACAGATAACACAGATAACACAGATACATACAGAAAATACAGAAAATACAGAAAACATCGAAAATACAGAAAATACAGACGTAGCACAGCCATCTGAGACGCAAACAGAACGCGCACAATCGGAGATGCCCCAAGATTAGGAGCACCTTCGCCCGGCTAAAATAACGTTTCGGCCCATTCTGTTTTGCATGTGTCGGTGCTACTCGTCTAACAGGAGGCCCGCGATCTGACTAAGCATGTCTCGTCTCGGTCGTTTTGGTGTGGTATTGTCTGGTGTTGGCAATCTAATTCGTGACTTTGAATTTCGTGCCAATCTGATTTCGTGGCCAATCTGAATTCGTATTCTCGGGCGAGATGAGATGATAACTCGGATCGAACCACTTATGCCATTAAGCTTTGAAGTAGGAACAATGCCTTCAACTCCTCGTTCCATCTCCGATTCGTGCTTAAAACACCTCATGCTTATGTGAATGCTCATTCATGCTTATGCGGATGCTTATTCGTGCTTCTGCGAATGCTTATTCGAATGCTTAATCAAATGCTTGTGCAAGCTCATTCCACTTCTATTTCCTGATTCTGTTTCGAAACTCTTCAACTGTAGACATCCACAATGGTTTTGAGGTGGCGGAATTGAGCATATTACAGAGACAGAATTGCGTCTTTCATTCCTGCCAGTATCCAGATAAAGATGTTGGTCCTACATCTGCTCCTGCTAACAAATTTATCTGAGCTTTACACAACGTGCGCCCATAAACTTCATTCAAGGTATATTTTCCGATGTCTATGCATAACGGGTAAACACCGAAGTACCTACAAACTGGTGTTACTGGCCTAAATCCCTGGCGTCAGAAACCATCGAGACAAGTTGACTTGTGTTTTCCACTTGCGTTTTCAATAATCTCTCTGATGACGAACATAGTTGCGGGAATAGAAGGTAAAGAAGTTAGAGAGTTACTGAAGAATTAAAAGCTACCGCCAACCTGATAGGGTGCATGAACAATTAGAACATCAGAAAACCTCTCATTTGTGAACATATTACGACCTGGAGATACTCAAAGTAGGTCATGATTTTCCAGCTTGCTGAATGAAAATAGGGTACTTTATTCATCGTGTTGGAAGATCTCTAGTAACTCTGGTGGGTTGGGTCATCTCTAACTTTGTAAAAGTGGCCATTCTCAACTATGAGGACATTCACCTTATGGTATTGGGTAAACGAGTCACCAGTCTTTATTTAGCTGAACTACTAGCTTAGCATAATATTGTGCTCCTGGATTCCTGGACCTGGCCTATACTTTAGTGGCATTGAATTCACTATAAAGAAAACAGTCGCTTCAGCTTGGCCTGTAATGGAGTTTATACAATACAAGGACGTTATGAGTTCTCATCAGTTTCCCAGATCCTTCTGTTTCTCCGTACCCAAGAACATTGATGCCTTGCGTGTTTTTAACGAATATGTGATAGAGGTACAACAAAGATTGAGGTCATTTGAAATCTTTCATGTCTTCTCCTGGTTCTTAATCGTTGATCACATCTTGCGTGACCAGTAGCTACGGAAACTGCTTCATTGAGCTATGGAATTGAACCATATGGTCCACAATTGTCATGTGTTCGGTTTAGCCTTCATTCATTGAAGTAAGGTAAAACAGATACTAGTCTTCCACCCTCTTTCATTTCTCTTCTTCATTTCTTCAACTCTGTATCCTACTCGCATTCTTAACACTTTTCTTCTAATTGTGTCTAAATCTACTTCATCTTGAACCTGTTCATGGAGCTGAGGCAAGCGCATTGTACTTCCCCCGTCCCAACCACGAGCGTTTGCGTTGTTTAAACGCAAGGAGATCTGCCAAAGGTGGCGGATCAATGGCCAGATCGTCCTGCAAAGACGGAACTTCAGACAGCACTGGTTTGATTGGCTCCGGAAGCGAAGGTGTGCCAGTGATGAGGCCGTCAAGTTCCGAGCGCATGGACGCCGGGTTCCGGGCCAACTGGGCCGCGGTAGGGCGGATTTGATTTTCGTTTTCGTGGACCGACAAGTTGCGGGTCGAGCTGGTGTCCGTGGCGCCGTAGCCCAGGTGGAAAGAGAACACCAGACTGGAGTCGTCAAACACCGAGCCCATGTCCTCCAAAGTAAGGCCCTTTGTCTCGGGAAACATGTAGCGCACGCACAAGTACGAGAGCACACACAGAGAGCCGGGGATCAAGTATGTGCGCCAGGTGATAGACGCCAATAATATGGGTGTCATTTCGCCGACAATGAAGTTGAAGAGCCAGTTCGTGGCTGTTGACGTGGCAGCACCTTTCGACCTCACGGAGTTGGGCAACACCTCGTTCATCATCCACGGGATCGGGCCCCAGCTGGCGCCAAACGCTGCGTTGAACACAATGACAAACCCAACAACCACGTTGGGGGTGTGGCGGTTCTGCAAGTACGACAGGTACGCAATGGCGAAAAGCGACACCGCCATCACCACAGCCCCGGTCATGAGCAACGGCTTGCGGCCCCAGTTGTCAACCAAGTACCACGGCGGGATGGTGCTGGCAATGTAGACGAGCGAGTTGATGCCGGCCATGAAGATGGCCGCGCGGCCTTTCCAGCCGGCCGCCTCGAAAATCATGGGCGCATAGTACGAGATGATGTTGATACCGTTCATCTGCGCAAACATCTGCGAGAAGCACGCCACAGACAACCGCTTCTTGTACCGCGTGAACATGTAGCGATACAGGCGCTCTCCGCCTTCCACACGCGCCACCAAAACGTGCTCCTTGATCTGGCGGAACTCAACACGCGCAATCTCGTCCTCGACGTCGCCGTCCGCGTACAAGTCGCTGATGACAATCATGCCTTCCACGTCGTGGTCGTGGTCCAAAAGCCAGCGCGGGGTCTCGACAATGACAAAGGTGCCGGCAAACAACAAGGCGCCCATGATGCACTGCAACACCAACGGCATGCGCCACAGCAAGTTGCTTTCCAAAAACAGAAAGCCGTAGTCGACCCAGATCGACGTCAGGTAGCCAATGATGTTGCCGGTGAACTCCAAGCACGCATAGAAGCCGCGGTCGGATGGGGGGCTGATCTCCGACTGGTAGCACGGAATGATGGTGGTCAAAAAGCCAATGGCCACACCGCCCACAAGGCGGCCAAAGCCCAAGACCCAAATGTCGGGCGAAAGCGCCTGCACCAAGCCGCCCACAACGAAAATAAACGAGCCGTAGCGGATCGTCCTGCGCCGCCCGATCTTGTCGCCGACCTTGCCGGCCTCGAAGCTCGAGAAGAGCGCGCCAATCTCCAAAATGGCAATCATGGTACCCACCGCCGCAGGGCTCGGGTTCTTGTAGTAGGCCTTGAAGTACTTGTTGGTCAAGAGCGACGACATCAAGCCCTGCTCAAAGCCAAAGAGGAACACGCCCAACGACACGAACATGGACGTGAAGTTCAAAAGCGCCCGGCCCACGAGAAACGTGTCGGCGATTTTCTGTGTCATTGTTGATTTGGTTTATCGCCAGGGGATAGATATGGGTGTGTGCAGGCGATAGCACGACTGATGACAGAGACAGACAGACACAAAAGAGAGGGACAAATGACAGAAGGACAGTCGGAGCCTGTAAAGATAGGAGGTTGTTGAATAAACGGGGCAAGAAACACCGCAAGAAGAAAGACGGTGTTGTGTATTCGCGCGATCGAACCCTGTCGAAATCGCTATCAGCTCTTGTACAGTCGGCATGATAAACTTTGTCGGTCGATTATCAAGGACACTGCCAACGATAAACTTTGTCGGTCAACGGAGACTGCCTTTTGTGCCTACAACGGAATAGCTATGTACAATCCATTGATGAATCTCCGGCATGTCATTGACACTTTATTACTAAAGTATAGCAGATTACGTTAATACCTTCGCACTCAAATTACTGATATGTACTTCGCTATATTACTTCGTTACCCAATACTTTTCATCACTTTTTCCATTACTTTTCTCCATTACTTTTCTACTTCACAGACCCAGTTCTTGTAAGAGTGTTTCACTGTCATTGGTTACAAACATGGCCTTAAAGGACCGTGCCTTTCTGGACAATGGCCAAAGCTAATTAAGAATCTCGTGATTTTGGATGAAGAGGGAAATTGGCATAGCGGTGTCTTTCTCACGTTGTTTTATGGTGAATTGAGTTTGTTCTATTTTTCCTTGGATTTATTTTCCTTGTTTTTTGTATCCAATTTGTGCGTTTCTGCCAAAATTGGTATGTGTGCGCAAATGTGTAGCAGACCCCAACGCAAATGGAAAGTGTTTTCTAAAAATCAATTCAGAAAAACAGCAGGTAAATTACTTATCAATGAAATTGTACCGCCCTATTGCTTTGGCAGTCTGATGCAAGAAGATAGCTGAACCCGTTGCTATAGTGAGCGATGAGACATTCGGGCAAAAGACACCTGATAAACTTCTAAGGAAGACGAAGTTTTGAACCTGTAATATACATCTTAGGAGCTTTGAAGTTTAGTATATTTGTGGGCCGAAATGTTGGGAATCAACTGCAATCGAATGGTATATCTATATTTAGTGTGAGTATATAACATCGTCATTGTCACTACGTAATACACAGAGTACTTGATACAGATTCTGGTATATCACCATGGGAATTACTTGAAGTACGGACTTGTCGACTACGGACTTGTCGACTAGGTATCAATAAAGTGACTAGCAATTCCACGTATCAATAAAGTGAAAAGTTCTCACCGACAGAACTCGTGAAATCTGGCCATTGGAGATTGAACGCTTTGGTTTGCGAATAAACGATATAAGAGCAAAAAAGAGGTGGACAAGCTTCGAGTTGTTTGATTTTCCAGCAAATGAAGATCAATACGTTATTAATCTCCAGATAACTCAATTTATTGCTAAGCTTGTCACAAGAGATGCATTTGATAGTCTAAGTCTTAAATTGCAATTTGCATAGCTACACGAAGATCAACCAGGAAATTAATATTCACCTATAGGACAAAGACCGAACCAAACAATTTTATGCGTCAACTATATCATGCGTCAACTTTTGAGCTTACAACAACAAGGCACCGGCAGCAATAAAGGCACCAGCAGCAATCTTGGCCTGGGCACCACCGTTCACACTAGACACCTCTGGAGCAGCAGAGGATGGAGCAGCAGTGCAGTGGTGGTCGGAGCAAGAGGTGACGGTCACCAAGGTGGACTCGACGTTTGTGACGGTAGCGTTACCGTAGGCAGCAGAAGACGACACTGGAGCAGCAGAAGGAGCTGGGGCAGAAGACTCTGGAGCAGAGGATGGAGCAGCAGAGGATGGAGCAGCAGAAGACTCTGGGGCAGCAGAAGAAGAAGCAGGAGCGTCCTGAGGAGCGCCACTGTTCAATTGCACCTCTTCACCGCCGTTAGGGCACACAACACCGTTGATGTAGTACTTGTTGTCGCCGTCTGGGCAGGCGTAGATCTTGTTGATGCCGGCAGCGTTCAATCTCAAGTGGCCGTCCACAAGACCCCAGGCGCTCGAGGCGTCAGCCTTGCTCTTCAAGACAATGCCGTCCTTTGGAGTGGAGGTGAGGTAGACATCGCCAGATTGGCCCTCAACGGACAAGTATCCGTCTGGCTCTTGCAAGTGGAGGGTGAGAGGACCGCCTTGGTTCAAGACGAGTCTGTTGCCGTCAAGTTGGACTGGGCTGTTGATGTTGTTTCCGACCGCAGTCAATTGGAAGGTTTGGTCGGCAACGACGAAGGCAGCGAGAGACAATAAAGTGGCGAGTTGGAACATTGGAGATGTGTTTGAATGAATAAGGAATGAAAATGCCAATTGACCGGAGGATGGGCCCGTATTTATATGTGAGTCTTGGATGACGCTGGATGGTGGTGCCTGGCTTTAATCCACATATAGTCACTGCACCAGGCCACAGAAGGAAGATGCCGTTTGCGGACATTGCGTGGCGCCCATGCAGAGAAGACGCACTGTTGAGCCAATCACACAAGCAAGGGCCCACTTTGCGCCGGCGCTGCAACCTCCAAAACGGCGTTGGTGCAGTCTTTTGCGTGTGCTTGAGCGTGGTGTTGTTGCAGGTCAGGCGGTGTGCAGAATTACTTCCCGATCGGGCCTCGGCTAGCTGTTTCGGTGTGGCCACAGCCAAAAATAGCAATCAGCCTTACGAAGCAAGAGAAGCAAAAGAAATGATCGGAGAAGGTTGAGAGAAGGTCGGCAAAGTAAAAAATGGAAAGTCGACAGAAAGTCGGCAAAGTCGACAGAAAGTCGATAAAGTCAGCAGAATCGACAGAAACCCAGTACAGAATCTATTCAAGAGCTTTGGACAATGGCGAGACTATTTTCACTACCATTTCTAAATATTCCACCGTTGGCACTGAAGCCAGCCACGTGCAAGCACACTCTATTTATACACAGAGTATCCAAACCGTCGGAGACCGGAGGTTTCGGGGCCCTGCTTTAGATTTATCGGGTCAATGTGGACACCATCGGAGTGTCTTAGTAAATGGAAATCTGTAGCACTGGGTTTCTTTGGTCTCAGGTCGTTGATTAAAAGTGGTTAAATTTGCGTAAGTCTTATTTCTTGTATTGCACATCTGCCCACCTCTATTGGTGAATTATGTGGTGAAATCAGGTTCTCAGACGCTTTCAAAAATTGAACAGTCAAACGAATTTGGTGCAAATGATTTGTGGCCTAACAATCATGAAAACTTGTTTTGCAATCACATTCGCCACGAACAGAGCATGCAAGCAATCTCTCTGAATCTCTGATCCCGTTAGTTCGTCTTACATTTGTTAGACATGCATGTATCTGGTTCATTCACATAAATGTATCAGGGCCAACAGTAGTTATTCACACAAGAATTCTGGAATAAAAATGGTCAGAGTCCTGACTTGATCGGCATTAGGTTTCGTTTCCACTTAGTCTAGGTTTTTTGTCGTATTTTTACATATCTTCAACTTTGAAGTCGCCTCCGGTAGACTCTGCTACCGCACACGCCAATCCATGGCTTGTTCTAAAGATACTCGTATCCGGCAAATCCACGGCCTATTTTAAAGATACTCGTATACCGCAAATCCAGCTGGTGTAATCTACAAAAGACCAAATATCGGAATCCTGGAATTGGACAGACAAAAAAATGCAGTGTCCACTAATTGTCCAGACTGTTAATTATTACTTTGTTAGCCCAAAGAGCACCAATCACCGGATATTGCTCAAACGCGTGCTGTTGAGATGCACATTGATGTCCAAGCGGTCAGCATCCTCTTCGATCTTGCGCAATCTCTTGTTCTGGGCATCCACTTCCTGGCCCATGAGCGTGGCCGTTCCCTTCAATTTTTTGGTGTAGCTGGAGATTTGGTCGAGGTTGGACGCCAACTCCTTCTCGATCTCGTCGTCCTCCGAGTCGTTTTCAAACTGGTACCGCTGTGCTTGCTGTAAATGCTTTTCTCCCTGGTACTTGGAGTATGTATCTGAGCTTGTGGCGTTCGAAGTAAGCCCCTGCTTTACCCGCTGCTCACTTGCGTACATGCCTTGTCTGTTGGTCTCACGCAAGTACTTCTCCTGCTCCTTCTGTGTTTTGAGCCGGGCCTCCTGCTGATGCAAACGCAGCTTCTTGTTGAACGGGTTTCCTGTGGCCGGGATGAAAATCGACCGGTTCAACCGGTGCAACTCCTTGACTTTCTCGTCGGCGATCTGCGTTTGTGTCTCGCCCAACAAAAGATCCTGTTCCGCATTGTAGAGCCGCTCAGACTGCGAGCCCAAGACACCCAAGGTGTTTGTCCCCAGGGCGTCTGCCTGCATGGCATGTTGCAAAGTGTTTCTCGTCAGCTGCAACGATTCCTGCTTGACAAAGCGAATGTCCTGTTTGATGGCCTCGACTTCCTCGTCTTCGGAGTTGGGCTGTTCTTCGCCGGGCAAAAAATCGTCGCCCACATTCAAGTCCTCCTCGTCCGAGACTGCATTGAGATCCAACGTCTCGGTGTCGCCGCCGCGTTTCACAGGCCGCCGCAACTGCACGGGCGGCTGCTCTGTGGGGATGGCGTTCAAATCGAGCGTCAGCTCGTCCGACCGTCCGTTCAGGGGCGCATAGCCGCCAGGGGTCGATTTCCGAGCGTACGGATCCGTCACGCCGCTTCGGCTGGTGGCTGCGCCGTACGGGTTGGTTGTAGGGGCGGCACTGGAGTATGCGTTTGTGCTGGAATGTGCGTTTGTACTGGAATGTGCGCTTGTGCTGGAGTAAGGGCTGCGTGACGGCGCTTGGCTCAGGCTGGCATAAGGGTTCGAACGCGACGACCCGTTCGTTGAGCCGCTGTCCTTTGCGTTTGTGCTATAGGGACTGGAATACGGGCTTGAGCTGGAATTAGGCGCCGAGTACGGGTTGGAGGCCGAGCTCGCCGACGTTTCGGCGCCGTTTGCCGCATACGGGTTCCCTTGTGTCTGGCCCATGTTGGCGTAAGGGTTAACCGGCGCAAGACCTGGTTTTCGGGCGCTTTGGTCTTGGGCATACTGTCTGAAAGCGCCAAACTTCTCTGGGCGGGCATGGCCGCCTTTTGTGGAGATTCCCACTTTCTGCATCTCCTGGACGAGCTCCTGCTCGGTGGGCTCCTTTTTTTTGAACATTTTCTTGATTCCCATGGTGTATAAAGATGTAGATAGATTTGTGAGGCGCATAGTGGATAAGGCGTGAGCGGGCGTATGCAGGCAGGAACCGATAGCATACCAGTATACTATTGGTATTGGTATTGGTATTGTATTGTATTAATATTACTAGTTTTGGGTATTGGGTATTGGTATTTTAATTATTGTATTTATGGATTTATGGATTTATGAATTTATGGATTTATGAATTTATGGATTCATTGCTTTATTCGTAGTAAGATGTTTGAGATCGTTGCTACTTGTGGCAATAATTGGTAGATACTTTGGCGGTTTAAGTGTCGACGACGATGTTTATTCATGCCTGTTTCAGATTCTTGTGGTGGCCATTCTTGAGATTCATAGTGTCGAAAGAAAGAAATACCTTAACCACAATAGCTTGCGAATTATGCTGTTTGAAGTATGCCTTTTACTAGGCAGGCAAAAGCGAAATGAATGTGCTTGGTCTACCTACATTCATTTGAGTGATCGAAGCTGATTGAATGCTATTTCTATTGGTTCTGATTTACAGTTACCTTGTTTGCCAACTCCGATGTCAAATCTGTATCAAAAAGCAACTCTTGAGAGAGGTCTGACACTATTTGGTTTCACCAACATCACTCCATGCAACGGTATTTATATATTTATATGGATTACACTTCCCATTTTTCTACTCTCATTTTCTACTTTTTCTTTTTTTTCTACTTTCATTTTTCTACTTTTTCTTTTTTTCTACTCTCTCATTTTTCCACTCTCACTTTTCTGTCTTATTTTCTCATTCTTTTTTTTTTTTTTTTTTTTTTTGCTCCATCTCAGCCGTTCCTGCATTCCCTGTCATCTCCTCTTCTGTCATGTCCCATCTTGAGTTGCCCCAACCAAAACGGAGAAAAATGCTAGCCGGAGAAAAAACCCTCCATGTGACGCTTTCGGGAACAGAAATCCGTGCAAACGGAACCATGACACCGCCCGTCGGAGAAGACAGAAGTGCCATTCTGAACGACATCGACATGGACCCACAAGAGCATATCGACTGTCCTTGTGGCTATCTTCATGGCCCAGGCTCGGGTTCTCACGACATTTCTGCCGTTGGTTTCAGTGCAAATATGATGCGTGGGCCCGATTAAGGTGGGCCGAGCTGTGTTGCTGGGAAATGGTGGTGGGTCTATCTCATCACTATCGTGTCATTTTTTCTGCTACCAGCAATTTGACTTGTAATCTGCCACCTCTACAACGGTCTCAACATCAATGTCTACAACATCAATGTCTACAACATCAATGTCTACAACATCAATGTCTACAACATCAATGTCTACAACATTAATGTCTGCAACATCAATGCCCAACGGTATCAACATCATGGCCGTCTAACATGAATAACGGTCTATCACAACTAATCAACGATCGACTCAAATCTTTCAACCATAAAAGCTGTCAAACATCAAAATCAATCAGCATCTATCAAGTCCTACCAAGGTCTATCAGCCTAATCAACTTGATAACACTGCTCATTTTTTAGCTAATGCATTCCGGATCCATTGACTTGATGCTTTTCGGTACATAGATAATGAACTCTCCTAGCATAGTCCATCGCTCACGTAACAAATTCCGCTAATGAAACATATTCACGTTGGTGAGACATGTAAACGTCCGCTAATTAAAAGCAGAAGGCTTGAAAAAAGGTCACACGAGCACAATGTTCCATGATTCAGACTCACCTGCTTTTTAATTCCTTAAGAGACGGTAACACCATAGCGAACAGCACAGCCTGTAAGTGAAAAATTGCCCGGAATGGTAAAAACATATTGGTCTGAAGAACTTTAATGCCATATTGCAAAAGAACTACATGAGGACTTCTTTTGCTATTTCTTCGGTCAAAACCAACTTGTAGCTTCGCCTATGCGTGCCTGGGTCTTTACTCGATTTCGTTTGGATCTTTTGAAAGAAAACCAAGCTCTGTAATATCTCGAATAAAACCTTGCGGCGAGCAAAAGCAAAGACAATCGGCAAATCCGATTTTCAGCAATGAGCTACCACAACACCTACGCTAGCCTGAACACAGAGCAAGCCACATTGGCCTAATCCATGGATTCCCACAATCAAAATGCCACCAAATCAACTAATCCTACCACCAAGTCAGGTGACCTGCAGAGTGAAATTTCAGTACAAGGTGTAAAAAGTCCTCGAACTCCTATTCCGGCGGAAAAGGCGGAAAGTTTTCCCAATCGGAGCACAGGGCGTTAGCCATTTTTTTCCTTTTTCTTGTCTAAATGATCTGAGACCGCATGTCCGCATATCCGGCCGTTTCCATTACGACATGTGGGATTCGTGCGATTCCACACTTCGCAAAGTATTAGCATCAGTAAATCACCATACCTGGCAACAAAACGCCAGACCACTCGAAAAAAGTGGCCTTAAGAGCCATAAGAAAAACAGGCAAATCCAAAAGCATATCCCACCAACAATACCATTGAACAATAGTCAAACCCATTCACCTGGACAGCAAATGAAAAGTCGTCCTTGCTTATCTAATATGTGGATACTGTGGCTGCGAACTTCATGCACCACAGCATTCTCACGACATTTCCCTGCTTCAGCCACATGATAACGCAGATTAGTCATCGCCGTTCCTATATAACAATGTAATTTTGCACATGTCCCAACACCAGAAACTTGTCTCTTGTCAACATGGGATTTTGGAAATCGCTCAAGACTCAGCTTGAAGGCCCGGAAATCGTCGAGGCCAGCCGCATCAGGAAGGGTAACAGCGCCGTCACTCAAACATCCAACTCAGACTCGTCTTCCTCGTCTTTGAAGCACCAGGAGATTGTGTACGATGTCGAAGTTTCGTCGGAGGTTGCGTCCGAGCCATACATTGACATCGAGGTCAAGTTGACTCCGGAGGAAATTGCAAGGAGACAGACCCTTTTGTTCAAGATCCAAAAGTTTCTCTGGGACGGCGCCGACAAGCACCCAAAGGAGCAGAAGTACTTGGCCAAGCTCGACTTTTTCTTGTTGAGTTCGTCGATGGCCGGATATTTCATCAAGAACTTGAACCAGTCCAACGTCACCACCGCCTACGTTAACGGAATGGACGAGCACTTCAAAATGAACAACAACCAGTACAACTACATGGTCACCTGCTGGACCATCGGGTACATTCTCGGCCAAATCCCGTCGAATCTTATTTTGCACCGTATTTCGGCCCGGTACTACTTGGGCGGATTGGAAGTGTCGTGGGCCATCTTGACCGTTTTGATGATCACCTGTAAAAACCTCAAGTCCATGTACGCTTTGCGGTTTTTCATTGGCTTGTTGGAGTCGGGTTTTTTCCCCGGTATGGAGTATTTGGTTGGAAGCAACTATTCGGCCTCGGAGATTTCCACTAGAAGCGCCTATTTTGCTGTTGCTGGTAATGCTGCCGGTCTCATTTCGGGACCTTTGCAATTGGGTCTTTTGAAAAGGTTCAAGCACTCAAAAATGCCTCCGTTCAAGTGGATGTTTGTCTTTGACGCCGTCATCTCTTTCCCTATTGCCATCTACACCATGTGTGTCGATCCTAATACTCCAAGTACTACCGATGCGTTTTATTTTACTAGTGAAGATCGTCTTGTGGGACTCGAAAGGCGCCGGCGTCTTGGAGCCGAGTTGAACACTAGAAACAAGTACACGTGGAAGAAAATCAAGTCTTTCTTCAACACCTGGCACGTTTACGTGTTCCCACTCTTGTTTTTGGCCTACAACAATTCGTGTACTGCCATCAGTCAGCCTACTTTCACCACGTGGATGAAACTTGACTTGAAGCTTGGACTGTACGAGTATAATACCTATCCATCCATTCTTACCGGAGTTGCCATTACTGTCACTGTTCTTTTGGCGTATTCGCATAACTACATTGGCGGAAAGAAGAACCACTTTTATGTCATTGGTTTTTTCATTCCTCTTATTGTTGGATGTGCTCTATTGGCCCACTGGGATATTCCTAGAGGTCTCCATTGGGTATGTTACTACTTTATTGGTGTCCCACCATCATTCGGTCAGCCATTCATCTTTTCTTGGGTCAATCGGCTCATGTTCCAAGATGACATGAAAAGAAACTTCTTGGTTGTCTGCACAAACGTGTTGGCATATGTTACAGGAGCCTGGGTTCCTATTCTCACCTGGAACACCAACGAGAAACCTAGATATCACACCGGCTTTACTTACACTGCCTGTTTGTCTTCTTTCGGTTTGATCATGACTTTGCTTGCTTGGTATTTAACAAATAGAGATGCAAAAAGAGCTGAAGAGGAGTCTGATGATGTGGAGAGCCAAACAGATGCTCTGAAGGTGACTACTTAAATATTCTATTAAATCTTCTATTAAACGATTCGATATTCTGGACTAACATAAATGTATGGCCCAACAAATCATATTCGTCTTCTTCAATAGATTATGGTCCTTTGAATTCCAGTTTTGTTGAATAAAGCCTAAACCTATAAAAGTTCGAGCTCAGTAACGTCTACATCGAAGTAAACCTGTTGGAAAATTGATTTGAAGCACGCAATATAACACTAAAGATGACAAAGTCATTTTTGGCAAAGGTAAAGTTCGTTCAATTAGTAAATAGCACTGTTGTTCAGACGCAGTAAATATTTTGGCACTAATGTTTCTATTAGTCCCCTAACTGAGCATATTAATCCCGTTCCGCTTCGATATTGTCTAGACTAAGTCATTTAAAGTCTAGAATTTCTCGTTTGAGAATAACTCAAAAGGACTCAGGTCCCTCAATCTCTTGTGTGTTATGTCGTTCTCAGAATGACAGGAATGAAGATTGTTTGATTATCTACAGTTGTCTGGAATATGCATTTCCGAATAGAGTTCAGCACCACAAGGATCCCGAATAAAAAAAGCAACCCATAATAGTAAGAGTTCGGACTGAAAACTGTGATACGTAATAACTTCAAGAATTCTCTCTTTCCTCCTGAAAGCAGGCGAAAAATTGGCCCCACTTAACCCATATCCCGTTGGACGAGTCTATGTCCCTTCATCACTACATCTGTCTAACTGTACTTCGATATTGTCTATGTCGATGATGCTGATATTTTACACACGGATTTCTCCAAAATCTTTCTGCCTTTTACTCCAAGGAAGCAATTTCCTTGACAATCTCGTCGTAGGCCTCTCTGTACTCCTCGGTCTTGTCAGCGTTCTTCTTGGCCTTTCCGCCGCCTGGAACAATAAAGACACAAGAAGTTGGTCTCTTGGTGGCGCCGGCAGATCCCAAATCTTCCTTGGATGGGATGAAAACGAAAGGAACAGCCGAATCTTCACAAAGAACTGGGATGTGGGAGATGACATCTGCTGGGGAAATGTCGCCGGCGATGATCACAAGACCCTTTTCGCCCTTTCTCAAAGCCTTGACGACTTCCTTCACACCTCTCTTGACATGCTTGGCTTTCGATGCTTTTTTCACCGTTTTGAGCACTTTTTTGTTCAATTTTTTGGGAGCAAGAGGCTTGGCGAACGGCAAAACGGCCGACATTCTCTTTTCGTAGTTGTCCTCGCTGGACTCTTCCACTTTGTCCTTCTTGGCCATTTTTGTGGATGCTTTAGGTTGGGTTCTGGAAAAAATGTTTAGCGTTTTTTCGGGATGAGATGGTGGATGCAGTGTGGGTCACGTGAGAGAATCACCGTCATAATGGCCAAAACACCACATTCAAATGTTTGCTTGTTGAATTGGATGGATATTAAGGTAATAGTTTCCTTGGGCTGGGCCTGGGGTAATACTTTTCTGTTCTAGTCTCTCTTATCTCCATTCCTTACTTCTTGCGTCATCATTCCTCTTCATTTCCCCTTTTGATTCTTTCATGCTGCCATTTTCTTTCTCCAACCGGTCCGGTCTCTCTTTATTTGAATCTGCTTTTCTGGCTTCTCCTTCTCTGCTTCGTGACGTTTACTTTCTCCGTAGTCTTTCTCTGACCCAATATATACCTGCATATACACACCACCATCTCCACCTCCACCTTTTCTATTCTTCCCATGTATCTGAAAAATCGGCCTGGCGCCAGATTTCCGGGAAAAAGAAAACAAAACTCGGCTCATGCGACCCAGAATACCCCCGATGTGCTTTTACTTGAAAACCCAAAGCCTCCGTCGTCGCTGACAGAGAATGTCGTGGATGAGGCGAAAGTCAAACAGTATCTCCAGAAATTGTCGCTTCCACAGGAAGAAAACCCCTCCGCATGCATCAAGTTTGTCATTTCCGTTTCGGAAAGCCGCAAGTTCACCCCCGAGTTGCAAGACGAGTGGCAGAAACTCTTTGACATCAGCTCCATCTCCATCTCTGAAGAAAACCCGTTTTCCGTCGACCAGATTGTCACACTACACGGAAATCTACGCCAGGTGCTGTGTGCGGCGTTGTTCTTTTCCTTTTTTCTCTGCAGCAAGGTCAACAACATTGTGAAGACAGAGCCGTTCACACTCAAATCGTCAAATTACCATTTGGATGTTCTAATAGAGGCTAGCCCACTTCAAATGGAGAAGCTAGCGTCGAAGTTCCCGGCCCAATCGATGGATTACAGCGCCTACGACAACAACTTGAATCTCCACATGGCCACGTTGCACGGAGATTTTACCTCGTTGTTCAACAGCATCGTTTTCATTTTCCAGAGGTTTCGCTACGATAAGTATCTTTCAGCCAACGTGGAACAGTATCCCATCACCAGAGCCCATGATGGAGATAAACTTTTCCAGCGGGAAGAGGTCAACAAAGAAGTACTCGCTCGAAACAAGAACGACCTTCTTCAGTACATATACACACAGGCGTATCTCCAGCTGTGAGATTAATCAACAGTATATATATTTTTTATCCACTAGAATCTTGACGTATACATTATCTCCACAGCAGCGTGTCGAGGTTTTCTCCTCAGACCTTGGCAACTGTGGTGCCATTGTGCTTTCTCGAAATCGTAGCAACACGGTCGCCCAACGACAAGGCCAAGCCCTGGCCCTTGGATCTGATGCGGACATGTCCGATGATGGGCCCGTCTGCCTGCTTCTCGATACACAAGTTGGCCAAGGCGTCTTCTCCAAACGAAGACCGCGAATACAAGTTCGCCGCCAAAAAGTGACACTCTTCGCCGACAATTGCACCGGGTGTCAAACAGTTCATGTTGGTTCCAGCCATCAACTCTTCCAAGTACTCCTTCAAGGAGCCCATCTGCGACTTGATGGTAATCTTGTTTTCCCATTCAAACTCGTTCCACATCTTGCGGAAGGCGCTCTCCGTACACGTGGCAGGCTTGATGTAGTCCATAATGTCCACATGCACATCATTCAAGATCACGATTGTCGAGTCGTCCGAATGTTGGCCGTCGTAGACAATGTTTCCAAAAATGACTCCGGTATCGGCAGAAGTCACCTTCACGGTTACCGAAATCTTGTGGAAGCCGTGTGGACCAATGTTGGTGGTAGCAGGCTTGTCCACCACTTTCAAGTCACCCAAAGTGGCAAACTCCACAGACAAGTTGCGCATAGTAGATGTAGTTTGGTTGACCAACAAAACATCCAAGGTAATGTCGAACTGGTGTACCTTGACGTATGCCTCTGCATAGATTGGGTCAGAGAAACCGGTCAATTGCAAGATCTTGTTCAATCTCGACGACAACTCTTCTGTCTTTGTCGTGGCTCCTGCTGCCAAAGTAATATCGTCCGTCGACGTTTTGGAACCAGCGTCGCTCTTTGCAAATTGTCTGAAAACAATTGCATCGTCGATCTGCTCGGCGTTTTCGTGGAAATCCTTGGCTTCGGCCTTTGCCTTCTTTGCTTGTTCGCTCTTGACCTGTTCCTTGTATGCATCCTTGGTGTCTTCCAAGAAACCTTGCGAGATCAAGTGGCTGTCCTCATCGTCGGTTAAAAAGGCAATACATGCCAAAATGCGGTCTGCCGAGTCCTCATCGATTTTCTTAGCCACATACGAAGACTCGCCGACACGCAACATTGACACCATCATCAACAAAGCTTCCGCCTTCAACGCATTCAAAAATTTCTCTGCTGTCTGGAGCTTCTGCAATCTCAAAACAAGCTTGACCAAAGTAGAAGCCAAAACAGACCCCAAGTAAAAGTCGCCGCCCAAAATGAGCTTTCTGACGCGCACAATGTCCTCGTCTTCCGAATTCTCGTAAGTGGACGTCAATGCATTTTCGGTAGCATATGTGCCGTCTGGTAAAACAACAGGTTTCTTTTTTGGCTTTGAAGCAGAGTCTTTCTCGTCGTCATTCTCATCATCGCTGCCATCACCACCTTCCAAGTGTCTCTTCTCACTGGCTAAGATTGGAACTTCGCCAATGGTGGTTCTGATGAATTTCCATGCCTCCTTGATCAAGGACTCGTCTTCGGAGTATTCACCCAAAATCCAAAATGCGCCACGGAAAACCTTGCCTGACTTGACTTCTGGCAAACTCTTGACTAACTTATGGATCACAGACTGTCTCAAGTCTGGGAATTTTTCCACTGCTTCCTTAACAAAAGTAACAACATCATATGCTGCACTGCTCGAAAGGTCGCCAATGGATTCTAACAACAAATCAATCACATTTGTAGCCACCTCACCGAAATTGATTGCGAGCTGATGGATCGCGTTAATCAATAACTGTCTATATTCAGAGCCCTTGTCTTCACTAGACGTTGAGGATCTCAGCAACTCCTTCTTCAACAACTTGACAATGTCTTCGACATTTCTGCTGGAAACCAACTGCAATGCCACGTGGAGGGCCTTTTTCCGCACGTCGATATCTTGGGTCGACAACACATTCAAAACGTCTAGGGACAAGTTTTGCAAAAGGCCTGGGTGGGTTTTGTTTAACTCGTTAATGCGTTCCAAGGTGATGATTTTCACGTTGTTGTCGGCTTCTTTGGTGGCCAATTCCACGAACTTTGTGCCTGCCAAAATAATCGATTGCGAAGATGACGAAATCACACTCAAGGTGACAGCTGCTTCGTAAACCACCAGGTTGGAGGAGCTTTCAATGATTTCTGTGATCAATTGCACATACTGGCTCTTCAATTGGGAAGAAGAAGCTGCATCCTTTCTAATAAATTCGACAAACGCCAATTGCAAAAGAGGATCAAAGGTCTCCAAAGAGGGGATACTCTCTTGCATGTACTGTAAAGTGGCATCTCTGTTGACTTCACCCAAACACACGAAGGCGTTCCTCTTGCACACGGAGTCGAACTCCTCGGCCAAAAACGTGTAAATCAATTCTGGGGCGTCAGGAATCAAGTGGTCGGAGACCTTGAAGATGGAGTAGAGAGCGAAAACGGCATTCTTGCGCACATATGCGTGGCGGTGCACCAAGCACTGGCGCACGTTGGGCACCAAGGTCTCCAACAACTCTGGTTCTTTCAACTTACACAAAAACCGCAACGTGTTGCCTCGAATGTACTCGTTCGGGTGCTGCAAGTCATGCTGGATGGCATTGCACACGAGAATCATCTCGTGGCGCATTTTGCCGTGCTCGTCCAACTTGGGACACACCTCCCAGTAAAAGTACAACAACTTTTTCAACTCCTTGTTTCTTGAAGGCATGACAAAACGAATAATGTGCATCAACAAGTCGGGCATGGCGTCGCCGTTGAGCACCGTCACGATGATGCGCTTCATGGTCAAGATCTTGACGTCATCTTTGCTTTTTTCCAAAAGAGACTTGAATTCAGACACCGACGTTTTGGCCGCAGTATTGGGCTCGTAGATCAAGGTGTACCCAGTGTCAGACATGGTCGAATACGGATAAGAGAGGTCTTTCTTGGGCAGAAAAGGAAAAGACACGATTTATCGGCGGGCTCGATCGAGTTGGCTGAGTGGATCTGGCGTGTAGATGTGTTTTAGACACTCTGGAAGTGGATCGAGGAAAAAACAGGGTCACGTGCCACACGTCACGCGGGCGCCAAACAAGAGACGGAAACAGACGCGCACAATGAATAATTAGACTAGTTTGAATTTCTCAATGAATAACGTAGAATTACCGAATAGTTTTGTGCCTCGTATGTATCATGGTAGAGGGCGAGAGAGAAATATGGGTTTAAGAGGTGGTAGAGGTGGAAGAGATGAGAGGTGGTAGAGGTGGTAGAGATGGCATATTGTGCGGTCCATGGCATTTTTAGTTGGGACCAGCAAATCACACTATTGTAAGAAGACGAAAGTAACTAGGATGGCGGGGAGATGCAATTTTCGTTCATGCACTGAGAAGCACAAAAGGCTCTTTCGAATATTTCTTCACAGAAAAGAATCGACTCAGGTAGGCAAGAACTCTTCAGGTACACGAGCGAACGTTGAACAGCTTATGAAAGAGAGTACGACAAACAAGCGTGTGATATTGAAACAGCTGAGAAGCCCCACTTTGTCTAAAACACTTGTGATTTGCCCTTTCCTCAGTATCCCTCTATCCTCCACTCTACTCCTCATCGCTCGAGTCCGGATTGGCAAGGAAAAGATGTGGTTTCTCTTCATCGCTCGCATCCTCGTGTATGCTGAATGCGTCTGTTTCAGCCTCACTATAGTTGTAGCCTGGATGCTGGTAGAAGCCGTCGCTGGGCTCGGCCACTGATCCTTCTGAATCAGACGATGCTGTGGTTTCACGTGTTTGCACACTCTGAATGTCAGACACAGACGCAGTCCTGCTGGCTTCTCCTGGCGGCGTTCCGGCAACGGCCATTGGTGGAGTAGACAGAATCGACGTCGTAGGCGTGACTCGTCCGGGTATACTGGCCGTCAGCTGCGCACGGCGGTTGTTCTGAGTGCTCGACCTGCCAAGCGATCCGAACCGGTTTGTGTCAGCCACCTCATCCACTTCAGCCGCGAGCAACCGCGGTTGGAGATGGCCGTGCTTCAACTCGACCCCACTGGTCTTTTTCATCCGTGGAGACATGGTGTTTCCGAGGCGCGTGAACCGGCCAGAAATCGCCATCGTCTTGCGGTCTAATGGCATGATCCCTGTCGGAAGTTTCCACTTGCCAGGCCCCGTTTCGTTGTACGCAGTGCCTGCATTGCGCCGGATGGTCTGGACGTAGCTACAGCGTTCTCCTTCTCCTGGGCGAAGCGAGAACGCCCGCTTGAGAGTGGCAAGGTTGACATGTCCTCCAGATAGCGCACTGCTGGTTGAACTTACCGACAGAACGCGCTTGTGTAACAGCTCTGGGCGCTTCCCTGCGACATTCTCGGGCTCAGGAAATGTGTAGCCAAAAGAGAAGTCCAGCGGCGATTTTGTGATGGGTGCCAGACTTGGACTAAGTGCAATGCTCGGTTCGGCAGACAAGCCCACCGGGCTTTGGGGAATAGTTAGGTTTTCCTGGTTTTTGAAGTTCTCGCCCTCCATGGGGAGATCGAGGGGTTGGTTGAGTGGGAGATTGTCAATATGAGAAGGAATCAGAGCAATTTCCACATGCGAAGGAACCAGAGCAATTTCCACATGAGAGGGCACCTGGGAAATTTCCATGCTCGACACGTTCACGTCGTCGATCTGCGGGCTCAGGTCCACTTGGGTCAGACTGACCTGGCCCAGGCTCATCTGGCTCAGATTGGCCTGGCCCAGACTAAAATGGCTCAGACTGGACTCCATATGCGACGGAATCAGATTCGTTAGCATTCCGCGCCACATTTCGGGTCCACCTTCTCTCTCTTCTCTTTCGTGAACGGACCTGCTGTCTGTTCTTTCTCGATCATCCACTTTCTCGCTATCTTCAATACTCCCACTTTCGCCTCTGTTTTCTGGTCCTGTTTCATATGCACTAGCGAAACTGCTTTCTGTAGACATGGGCCATTCGCCTTGCTGTCGTTCTGACCACGACTGAGCTGCAAGAGGCCCAAAATCGTTCGGACTGGTCAATTCCAGCTCTTCTCCCAGGCCGTCTTGCAGAAACGTTTCTACTCCATCTTTTGGGTATGGCCGCAGTCCGATTTCGTGTTCGAGCCTTCCAATGATGTCATCGAGTGCATGGGTGCTTTCCTTCTGTGTTTTTTGATTTTCACCAAGCTTGTCGCTACTACTGTCCGACGGCGGTGGGCGCCGGTGCAACAGCCGCAGATGAGTGGACAGGTACACGGGAAGAGCCGGCAAATGTTCCGGTGATCGAGTGCGCTGAGCTGTTACTGCTTCAGGGTCGAGCCGATTCTGGTTTTGTCTGTTCTGGCGCATTTCTCTATTTTCGAGCGGCAGCTCGGGCAATCGCTCTTGCAGCAGACTGTAATGCTCTCCAAGCTGCGGCTGCAGCCGTTTGTTGTAAAGGGGCACACGCGAGAGCGGCGTTTTAGCCGCCAGGTTATTGTTGTTGGCGTTTGGATCCAAAGACAAGCGGGGACGAGGCAGGGGCGATTTTGACGTTCCCAGAGTCGCAGCTCCAGATGAAATCGACTCCTGAGCGCCTAGTTTGGGCATCAGCGCCATTCGGGGCATTGGTGAGTGGTCTTTTCGATCATGTTCGGCAGAAAAGATGGACAGGATTCGGGAGCCGAAAAGGCGGGAGACGCGCTTTTCTTTGTCCATGGCAGGCGCAGGGCGCAGAATGTAAGACTGGGGACTGCGTTTTTCGATGAGAAAAGGGGAAAGAACCGGGCAAGTTTGCTGGCGGATAGAGTTTGAAGAAGAAGGTTGGAGATGGTGAGACGCGCACGTGACTCGGCATTGTGGTGAAGTATGGGGACAAGACGGGAAGGACACGACTTTGAAGAGAAGAAGCATACAAAGAATTGAAGATTAGATGATGATATAAAATAAAATGAAAGGTAAAAAAGAGTCAAGAAGGAATTGGAGATGTTTGATTTAAGGAAAGGAGATTGATTGGTTGGGTAAGCAAGAAGTCCATAATCAATTATAAGACAGAAGAGCGAATATAGTTAAGGTAGCTAAATTCAAGCTAGATTGATATACGGATCGACAAACCGAATCCAGATGAAAGTACTCTTCTAACTAAGCATAAAATCTGTGTGTAGAAATCGTCTCGCAGATCAAATGGCCCAGCCACAGGAATTCTATGTTTCGTCGATGTCAAAAAGTTCCTTCGAATTCACATTACCTTCTCGTTTAACATTTTATTAACCTCTTCATCTCTTTACTGGTTTTTTGTGTCATTTGGTGCCACTTTTGCCAAATTTTAGTGTCTACTTCACTGAACCACAGATGCAATTTCCAGACAAACCAGCTTGACCGTCTTCTGGGGCTATTCTGATAAGGATAGTTTGATAAAGGTTAGTGTAGGTTAGTGTGTTTTAAGTTAGACATGCATACTGTCGCCATCAAGTCTGAAAAGAGAACTTATGTCGAAAGACAAGCCGAACACTACTATACTTATACTTTCCGAATTACTTCAGCATGCAATTGAATGTGACATTAGAGAAGCCTAAATAGCCATCATCTGTTTGAATTTTATTAGCATCATGAGGATTCTGCAGAAGTTCAACATTTAAAGAAGATCAATAGATTCATATTCGGCTTAAAAGATTGAACTACAATTATACCCTGACAATTGGCCAAAGTGCCTAATTTCGGGAAAATTCAGAGTACATTAAGTGATACGTAATTTAATTACAGTGAAAATAACCAAGGTTGACCAAATTATGATCTGGGAGATCTCGCCAAGTTGTAACCATAACAGCTTTGACTAGAAAGATTTGTAAAATAAACACCCTTTTTTAAGAGCTTAACTGGCTAAACTGAAATGTAAAGACTTCCTAAAATACGCCTGTCAGATCCTCTGTTGATACTGAAGTGAAAGTAACTGAAGCCTCAAAAGAGACTGACGTCTCTTCCTAGATGTCAATGACGTGAATAAAGACTTACAACTTGTCCAGACATCAATCACCTATATGTCAAAAGTAAGCTATTAAACTACACTAGACTATATTAATTATACTATAATATATCAAGATTATTTTAATTAGCCTTTATGCTAAACTAGATTATATTTATACGATACTCTACAGTGGGCATTAGTACTTTTTCTGGACTAAACACCTGCTTAGAGCTTTAAGATTTTCGTTGTAATCTAGATTTCCAAGAAACCTCAATTGCAATTTAACTTCTATGGCAATTTAACTTCTGACTCTGAAACCGTGAATATTAAAACAGTCAAGTTACAAAAGCAAACCGAAATTCACCAATTCCACCATTTCTTCTATTCATCTGCTTCGATTCCATTCTGCACCATTCTTCTCTGCATTATGCTCACGAAAAATCCATTGCTTCTTCTCGCGCCAACAATCTTTTTCACCTAAATCTTTTCCATGTCTGCCACAGGTATGTCAATTTTCTATCGCCAGAATCAAAAAAGCGCCTTCTAACCTCAGAAACCCCCGACTACTCCATTGCCAACCCTAGTGTGGTGGAAAAATACAAAACCGCCGGTAACATCGCCAACAAGGCCATTGCGCAAGTCAGAAACGCCTTGAAAGACGGCGCCACCGTGTTCGAGTTATGTGAGATCGGCGACAAAGTCATGAACGACGAGCTTGCGCTCATCTACACGTCGAAGAAGTCCCGCAAGATTCTGAAGGGCATTGCTTTCCCCACATGTGTGAACCCCAACAACATTCCGGCGCATTTGTCGCCTGAGAGCGCTGAGGACTCGAGCAACTTGACATTGAAGGACGGCGACGTTGTCAACATCATGCTTGGTGTCCAGGTGGACGGATTCCCTTCGATTGTGGCGGAAACCGCTGTGGTGGGCGAAAGTAAGGAATCGCCAATTACTGGCGCCAAAGCCGACTTGCTTGCCAGTGCCTGGAATGCGTCCGAGGCTGCCATTCGGACTTTGAAGCCCGGCAACAAAAACTGGGACGTGACCAACGTTGTTGATGCCGTGGCCAAGGACTTTGGAACCACCGCGGTCCAGTCAATGTTGTCGCACAACCAAGAGCGCAACGTCATGTATGGACCAAAAGAAATCATCTTGAACCCTGCCAAGGAGCACAAGTCCAAGATGGAGTCGTACAAGATCGAGGAGTTGGACGTCTACGGTTTGGACATTTTGATTTCCACCTCCAGCGACGGCAAAGTGAAGAAATCGAACTACAAAACGACATTGCACAAGTTGACCGGAAACTCGTACTCATTGAAGTTGAAGTCGTCCCACCAAGCTTTGCGTGAGTTCAAGGAGAAGGTGAATGGTCCTTTCCCTGCCAATGTCAAGATTTTTGAAAACCCAAGAAAAGTTCGTACTGGCTTGATCGAATGTGCCAACCACGAAGTCGTTTTGCCTTACGAGATCATGGAGGGTAAGAAAGACGACTTTATTGCTCAATTCTTCACCACTGTGGCTGTGACTAAGAATGGTATTGAAAAGTACACATCCCCAACTTTTGTTCCTGAATTCTACCAGACAGACAAGAAGGTGACCAGCGAGGACATTGCTGAGTTGATCAAAACTCCTTTGTCCCTGAAAAAGGCTAAGAAGAACTAATCATGTCTCCATTGACGTTCTTCGTTCACAGGATAGTTAGTGAATATAAAATGAGAAAAGAAAGAGGTTCTGGTAGACATCTTCCGGTTATTTCGGGCGACTCTTGAACAAAGTGATGATTCTTCGTTGGCGGATGTCTTTATTTAGCTTAAGGCGAAGTTTTTGAACGTTCATTGAGATATTGATCAAGCATATACATCAGAATATTGAAAAAAAGGCCTTCATTCCCCTATGTTCCCTCTTCATATAATGAACGTTCTCTTGCTTTCCTTTTAGCCATACCATGCGTGTCGATAAAAATGAAGTCACTAATCATATAATAAGACCAAAAAATACAAGACTATAAGCATATTTATTATTTTCAGCCTGCAATGACTTACAGAGAGGTTAAGAGTCCAGTTTCTAGAGGATTTCACTAGAAAGAGCCTTTTTCCAATTATTATCATCAGCTACTTGCCTGGCCAATAATAAAACGTGATTTATCTCCGCATAAAATTTTGAAAAGATCTAAACGAAGTTCCATTCTATTCTTTCAAAAATATTGTTTCTTTACTAGACAATTTAGTGGCTGAATAGATGTATAAGAGTAATTTTCTAACTATTGATTATGCACTTCACAAAGGATGATGATTTTTTATCTGATAGAAAAAGTCGATCATAGATAACCAAAAAAGGTGTTTGATTTCAGCTTGCAAACTGTTATTTCTCGACCAGTAAACCTTTACATTTATCCCCATTCCCACAATGGAATACTTATAGCTGCTTCCTATTACAGTGGGACATTACTTTTTCAGCATATCTATCATTCGCCCTATAAATCTATCCTCTTTCTGGGGCCTTCTTTGAGATGGTTAGTATTTTGTTTTCTTCCCTATGTATAGGCTACATATACTAGACTCACTTGAGAAAAAATGACAAGTCGCCATATTCTGGAGAAAAGTGGATTCGTATTTTTATGGGGCTCTCACCCCGGTCTACCGGAAATTAATTTTCCTCGCATAAGCTGGACTGGCGATTACTAGAAACGGTGGAATCTTCTCGTGGTATTCTACTAATTTTTCTTATTTTATTTTCGTTTTTCTTCCTTTTTTATGTTGGCTTTTATTTTTCAGGGCCATTATTATACTTTAATCGTGTAAATGGTTCAACACTCAAATGGAATGCAAGTCTCAGTATAGAGGCAGTAGACGTAGACCTTAATACTCTATTTATTTATTTTATTTATTTATTTATTTATTTTTTGTCAATTTACGAATCCATTTCACCAGTGGAATAATTTCTGTTCATATGCCTATATTGATCATCGCATACCAATTACTGTGTCAATTTCGAAGACGCAATCCTTTTCCAATTTCTTTCGGGCCTCTTTCCGTTTAGTTCCAATTTTTGCTGTGATTTCCAATCCATTTCTACTTGCCTTCCCATAGGCCACAATTTCGCCAAGCCAACTTGGACTGATTTTCTCCAACTATGTACCCATATTTTATCACGTCCATTCGCGATATCAGTCCGCGCACCAAAAAGATATTTCCACCTCTCGTCTTTCCAACAAGAAGACCGGCCACTGGCGAACTGCCCATTGTATCACAAAACAACCGCCATTTTCTTTTCTGGCGCCCCTGCTTGGCTTGTTTTACTTTTCCCCCCCCATTTATTTATTGCCACTTTTGGCCGTTCTAGCTAAGCCAGCCTACTTTTCCCTTCTACCGCTTTACCCGCCTACATTTTCTGCAACACCCTGGCCACTTTACACACGTGTCGACGAAAACCACACTTACGCCTTTTCCCAATATGTCTGAAACTCCACGGCGCCGCGGCAGACCCAGAATCGTGCGGCCCGAAGGTGCACCCAAAGAACAAAAGAAACGTGGGCGAAAGCCAGGATCTCTCAACAAAAAAACCACCGTGGCGCTTGCCCGCCGCTCGTCGCCGCGTGTGGAGGCGGCAAACTCGGCGCTGCTATTGGCGCTGCCTTTTGCTTCTGGTGCAAACGGCCCAGACCCTGTTTTGGCGCGAGTGCCAGTTCTTTCCGCCGACGGCTTTGTCGAGCCCGAGTTGGCGCCCCTGCGGCCTGGTATCTCCGGATTCCCGCTAGAAGCGTTGCCGCCCAAGGCGAAGAGACCTGTTCTGGGCGGCAGAGGCCGCAAACCCAAAAACCGCGGCACCACACCCGAGGAAAACGAGCGAGACGCTGCCGCACAGAAAGTAGAGGCTGCCTACCGCCAATCGCTACAGACGCCACGGCTGGAGCTGCTCACGGCCGCGTCCGAGATCCGCACGGGGCCCCGTAAACGCGGGAGACCCAGAAAAGACGGACTAGCAGCAGATCACACAGATACAGACACTGCTCACATAAAAGCTGCAGACGGCGAATACTCGGCGAGAACACCCAGCACGCCGCGCGGCGCCAAAAGACTCAAAACCAGGCTCAAAGGTCTGCCGCAAAAGGGCCGGCTCTTTATAGCGCCCCAGCCAGAAGACACGACGCAAAACGACGACTACTGCGCCACATGCGGCGGAACTGGCGAGTTCATTTGCTGCGACCTGTGCCCGAAGTCATTCCACCTTCTTTGCTGCGGCCCGCCGCTCCGAGAAGTGCCCGAGGACAATTGGAACTGCTCCGAGTGCCGCGCCGCCCAGGGCATGACGCAGCGCCGCCTGTGGAACTCGGTGGGTGTTTTTGGCGCCCTTCTTAATGCTCTCCACGGACGCAACCCGCGTGAATACTGTCTTCCGCGGAGGCTCCGAGAAAACACCTTTATCGACGTTTCCGCTGGGCCAAGCGGCCAGTACACCGATGCGCTGTTGAAGCCAGAGCGCACAAGCCGTGCGGACGAGTTGGACATTGATGCGCTCTACGACCGTGCCGGCAGGCCGTTTTTGTGCCACCGGTGCCGCATGTCGGGCCGGGCCAACAAAACGCTCGTGGCATGCGACTACTGTCCGCTCAAGTGGCACCTCGACTGTCTTCCCGAGCCCGTGTGCCTGGCCAAGACGTTGGGGATGAAGTGGCGCTGTCCCAACCACGTGGCACTGCTCTATCCGCTCAACTGGCACGAAACTCGCTTTTTCCGGGATACTCCCGTGTTGGATCTGGCTTTACATGCGCATTTCCTCAAGATCGCCATGGCCAGCAACTTCCTCATAAAGCACGAGGACCAGCCGTACATTGCCGACGCACGTACGCCGCTGTTGGCTGAGTATGTCCAGTACCAGAAACAGGACTTTGTGTCGAATACCACGCGGTTTGTCGATGCGGCGCAGAAGGATGGCGACAATCTCATATGCGATAATGACGATGACACGGCGCCGCAGTTCCGCGTGCCTGACTTCATGCAAAACTACTACGTCGATGGGCGAATCGTGGCACGCAGCTCGCGGCGCCTTGGCAAGATTCTTCTCATGACAAACGCCGACGATCCAGACAAGACGCCGTTCATTTACCGCGTGCCGGAGCGGCAAGTGCTTTTGGATTTTTTGCGCACTCGGTCGAAGCAGCTGATCATGGAATCTATTGGCCAGTACGAGCAGCGGGCACAGGCCGAAGCACAGCGTGACGCGCTGGTTGCTGAAGACTTGGCCGCCCTTGCGGAAAAGCCAACAGAAAAGGTGGTGGAGCATGCGGATACAGAACACGCTGTGAACAACAGCACAATTGCTGTGCGTGTGGAAAAAGTCAGGTTGGACGAGTTGGTGGTTGCAGCGGCTGCGCTTGAAAGCGAAGAAAACACATCGAAGGGACTTTTGAAGGAGAGTGAAGGCAAGCGGACTGAGACTGAAAATGACAGTCAGACATTGAAGGACAATGTTACGTTGGACTCGAATGGCTCGGATGCTTCTAATGGCCAAGGAGAGTGCCGCAAGCCAGAAAACGGCCGCAGCCCAGAAGCAGTCGCTGCTGGAAGTACGGGCTCCAACAAGGGCTTGGGTGGAATTGCGGCTAATGTAGACTATCAAGAGGGACATTTTGACAATGGCAACAAGCCGACGCTCCCTGAGATTTCGGCAGATGAGATCAGCCAACTTCGGCAGGTGAAAAAGCTCATGGATGCAAAGGGCCACAAGGCACTTCTAGAGTTCTTGCGGAGCTAGTACATAGTCATTGCACAACTGCATGAAACAGTAATATTACCATCTCATGAGATGATCTGAATGAGCAATACTATTGATTGACTTGTTCAATTAGGTTTAAGGTTGAGTTGCTTGAAACGTCAGTGTGAACCTTTCAACCAAAATGATTCAATCGTAAACAAATCTAGGAGTAGAAAATTGTAGGTATTTTATTCTGAAAAGCTAGGAGTTATAAACCCAATGAAAAAAAAAAGTTATGGATGTATTGCTTCAGTTGTAGTACAATACAAAAGAAAAAAATTGATCTTATCAAAACTTGAGTCGACCTCCCTTTTAATATCAGGGACTTAATCCTCTTGTTTCTGTCTTTTTTTTTTTTTTTTTTTTTTTTTTTTTTTGAAACACATCATGTTAGTATCCCAAAACTTAAATTATCTTTGTTCATTTTTATTTTCTGAGAAGATCAATTTTTTTGTCTTGCTTCCTTGTTACGACTACTTCAAATTAAAGACCAAAGTAAATGATGGTATTTTCTTTCTGCTTGACCTTTTCTCCTCTATCGTGAGAGCTCAAACCACAAAACCCTAGCCTTGAGCTTTGAATAGACCTCATAACTTCAATGTTAAAAACATACGTATTAACTCGGTCGATTGAATTTGCCTTTCTTGTAATTTCTGACATTACATAATCTTCAACAGCTGGAATACTCAGCTTTTTGATTAACTTAAGTAGCTTGTATTTTTGTAATCTTCGACCAAGCATAGTTTACGGAATAGTATTTGTATCTGTCTCATTTGAAGATATGGCAACCAAGCCAAGCCTATCAAATTGAAGGTGCAAACCAGATCTAATCTTGCACCCGAACTACAGGTAAATACTACTATATTGCAATCGTTGAAGCAGTAGCATTAATGATAAATTTCCCGTTGGATCTAACAATTTGCAGACACGTAAACTCAACAAGCAAGGTATTCTATCCACATTTATTCCATGACTAAAATGCATCAGTGTATGTACAAGAACCTCAGCGGAGGCGGTTTTTTGGCACAGCGACAACAGGAATGTCTGCTGCGTCCACGGGCGTAGCCTTGGTGGCGTCGACAAGCTTCTTCAAGATGTCGTTGTGGTCTGTGAAAAGACAATCAATGTCCTTTTTCGATCCATCGGTGCCGTGGATAACGATCTTAGAAGGCACCTTGGCAATCTCCTCTTTGGTTTGCGCCCTCACTCGTGTGGTGACAAAGTCAACGTGCTCATTGTGGAACTTCAACACGGGCAAGTTTCGTCTCCAGAAATGCTTCAAGCCTGCGGCCGGCTTGAAAACGTTTTTCAGAATCAAAATGAGCTCGAGCTTTTTGATCTGCGGACCTAGTTTGAAGGCATTTTCGGGTGTTCCGGCAATGAGATTCAACCGTGCAACCTGCTTCAATATTTTTGAAGAGGGCAAGTTTTTGAACATAGACGCAGACATGGCGGTTGGATTCAAGATGGAAGGGCATTTTTTTCGGTCTTGGATATGTGGTCACGTGAGCACGCTTGCAAGTGTGCAGTCTATGTTAACTTTTCGTAGGCCGAAGTTAATTATGGATGTTTGGATGGGCTGGAAATGTTAAATTTTTGTAATTTGGTTTTTTTAGCAGAGTTGAGGTGACGTGGACTTTTTTGGCGTATCCTGTTGAGAAAATACGTTGAGAAGCTGGTGTTTTTTTTTTTTTTTTGAGAAGATAAATTAAGGAAAAATTTACATAATTTTGTAATTAGAAGTATGATAAATCTTGTAGTAGATTTACCAGTATGCTGAGTTCACCGATTAGGAATCTCTGTAAACGAATGATATAGATAGTTATAATGGAATATCTAGAATTTCAATGGTGTTTCTGAGACATGCTTAGACTAGATCACTGATTGTACTTGAAAGAATTAGAAATCGAGAAGGTGCACCTATAGAATTTTAATCCTGAAGGAATTAGATGGTAAATTCTCTGGCCAGTATTGGCCCGTAATGAAGGTTATGAAAGATTTGATTCTTCCTTCATCGTTTTTCTCCATGGATATGACAAAAGTTCCGTTTTAGAGGTACTTGTCAGTTTGATCCTTGACAGTTGTCAGTCTCCAATATTCTCTTGCTGGCGATAATCTATTGACTACCATTGACATATTCAACTGCTTTAAGTTACTGAAACATTGTGTGCTTTCTTTGGTTGAATTATTTACTCTAGCATGGTATTCTACAAATGATAGGTTGCACTAGCTGACCCTTTGGAAACTTGGAAATCATTGTCTATAATATCCTACTAATATTTTGTTGTTGAAGAAAGTGTAAGGCTCCGTGTTTACTCTATTTGGTATTTTGTATTATCAGAGATTATAACTTCTATCTTCACTCTAATTTTGAGCTAGCTGGTTTCTCAATTGGATTTATAGTTTGCTGTTTAGGACTCATGTGGGGTTTTCCATCATGGTTTCATTTGAAACGATCAGAATTCCTCGGGATCTATAGACATGGATCCCAATAATAGTAATAGCTAACGAATTGGATTGGAAATAGTTACTTAAGTTTGTTTCGAAACAGACCGTAGTCTAACTTCAGAGGAAACCAGTAAGGAACGTTCACAGTACATAAACTACAATAAGAATAGGCACAAATTATTCTAGTCTGTAGAATCCATTTGAAAATAGCCACAAGAATTTCTTGCCAAACTCTGATTACCGACAAGATATGTCCCACATTATGTGTGGTCTTCGCCTTTGTCAATCCTATTGTTACTACATATGCGATCAGCCAGTATTATAGTGCATGGGTTTTTTTTTCTTCTTTCAAAGACAGATGAAGAGTAATAGTATAGCTTTCGGCGAGTGATTATAAATGATCTCATATCGAATCTATACAATGCCATTTAGTTTCGAGATTTGGTTGTTCCAAAGGTTAAACTAAAACGAGAGGATAATCTACGCTCCAAACCATTTCAAGCTTTTAAAGTGAGTTGAATTCAAGTAAAGGAAACCATATTAACTAAAAATCGTCTGGGGAGGCTTCTGGTTCGTAGTCTAAAAAGTTCGATAATGATGAACCGATGTCCATGCCACAAGTTTCGTTCCTACAACGCTTTTAGTCCGGGCATTTCGACTATTGGCACAAACTGTCTATTAAAAAATAGAATTTTGAGTAGTAATGAAAACCACAATTTACCAAGGCCCTCCTATTTACAAATAACTCATCTGGCCCATGACTCATCCCAAAAAGGTAAGCGCGGTTCGCTATCAGTAGTGGTCACGTGACTGAGACAATATATAATGGAGAATTGAAGCCGAAAAAAAAAACTCAAAAACAACCACACGAAGAAGAAATGCGGATTTCTCCTCGTCTTTTCCTCTCAAAAGCCGAGCGCTTCGTTCCTAAGTCGGGCGTTTATCCGCAAGGCTTTGCCGTGGGCGGAATACACTGCGGCATCAAAAAGCCCGATGTTTTGGATTTGGCCATGCTCCAGAATACGTCTGGAAAAGATGCTGTTGCCGCTGCTGTGTTCACACAAAACAAGTTCAAGGCAGCGCCTGTGCAAGTTTCGGCAGAAATCCTCGAAAAAAGCGGAGGTGCCATCAATTCGCTCATTGTCAATTCGGGAAATGCCAATGCAGTTACAGGCACCAAGGGATTGGAAGATGCTCGTAGCATGGTGGCGGCTACAGACGAGGCTGCCAAAAACACAAAAACAGCGTCGCTCGTCATGTCCACAGGCGTGATTGGCAACCGGCTCCCGATCGGGAATATCTTGAGCGGCATTCCTGTGTTGGGCCAGCAGTTGGGCTCCACCCACGCCCACTGGCTCCAGTGTGCGCAGGCCATCTGCACCACGGACCTGTTTCCGAAAATGGTCTCGAAGCAATTCTCCTTGAACGGCAACACGTACGCCTTGGCTGGTGTGGCCAAAGGAGCCGGCATGATCTGTCCGAACATGGCAACTTTGTTGGGGTTCTTTGCCACAGACGCGCCCGTGTCACGTCTGGCCTTGCAGCTGATCTTGGCTTTTGCCGTGGACCGCTCCTTCAACTCCATTTCGGTGGACGGCGACATGTCCACCAACGACACCATAGTGGCCATAGCCAATGGCGCAGCAGGAGGACCTCTAATCGAAAACGAAGACACGCCAGCTTTTGCAGCCCTCCGTGGCGAAATCACCGCGTTTGCGCAGCAGTTGGCGCTGTTGGTGGTGCGTGACGGCGAGGGAGCCACGAAATTCATCACCATTCGCGTTGTCAACGCGAAGCTGTACGCCGACGCCAAGTGTGTGGCGCTGACTGTGGCCAATTCCTCGTTGTTCAAGACGGCCATGTTCGGAAACGACGCCAACTGGGGCCGTATTTTGTGTGCCATTGGTTATGCTCCGGTGTCTGGAAGTTCTGTTGACACAACTCGGACCAGCGTCTCTTTTGTGCCTTCCGAGGGCGAGCCGCTCCGCTTGTTGGTCAATGGCGAGCCGGAAACGGTGGATGAGAACCGGGCGTTGGAGATTTTGCAAAAAAGAGGATTTGGTGGTGGAAATCGATTTGGGCACAGGCGGAAACCAAGAGGCCACATTCTGGACGTGTGATTTGACCCATGAGTACGTGTCGATCAATGCGGACTACCGGTCGTAACTCTCGGGGATATAGAAGGAAATCAGATAAAAGATGATAACAGAATAGACTTTGAAACAAGTTGAACTAGATAGTGATATCACGTCAAACAGACGCATGCAAACATACAATCAAGAAACTGCCAGAAATTTTTGGCGTTACAATGGATACAGTCTATTTGGCTTGGCCTTATTTCCTTGCCAACAAGCGCTCCTATGTGTTAAACGAGTGAAAAGGATAACTTGAGAATCGAAGCGCTTCGGTCCAAACGATTTGTCCTGTTCTTGCAACAAAGCTAACAGATTTTTAATGCCACGGCATTGCGGATAGACCTTGTTATTAGACAATTGTATGTTTGTATGACCAGCTGCTTTCAATCATGAAATGTGCGGATTCGACTTGTAATTATTCTGAAAACTTATGCTTACTGACACTATTCTTAAGTAGAAAGATGTATATTCTGATCGAAGCTGTAAAGTACTAATATCAATTGGTCAATTAATCCACTGAAGAAGAAATTACTAGCCTAAACTAATGTATTTCCACCTGAATATTCCAACCAAAGACTGACCAAATGTATAACCAAATTATAACTTAGCAAATACTGTTAGAAACAAGCCAGATAATACCTTACCTGTTGGAAACAGCCAAATTATAACTTAGCAAATACTGTTAGAAACAATTGCGTACGCTAATCAACTCGGCGGTACGCAATAGTTGAAAATATTAATTATAGAGAACAGATAAGTGACATGTCTCTAGTGGAACATACCAACAGTCTGAAATTCACATCGAGGCCAGCCATCTCATAATGCAGTAACCTAAAAAGTGACCACACAAAGGGTTCCCAAGAAGCTCTTGGAAAGACAATAAATACCGAGAATTCTACCAAAAGGTCTAATGAAAGTGCTGGTCAATGCTCTACCATGTACTTACCAGCGAACAGCTAAAACGTCTGATTTGTCACCAAGTATTTCCCAAGTCTGATTTGTACTGTAATAGCTTCTAAGTCTTATAGCCATGTGATAGCTTACAGTCTGATTCATAACCACGTAATAGATTGTACTAAGCCTTTATAACCATGTAATAGCTTTTACTACGTCTTATTTATAGCCATGTAATAGCTTTTACTACGTCTTATTTATAGCCATGTAATAACTTGTAGTCTGATTCATAGCATGTAATATCTTGTGCCAAGTCTGCTTTTAACCATTTAATAGCTTGTACCAATTTGTACCATGTAATGCTTGTACTAAATCCTATTTATAGTCATATAATGGCTGTACTAAGTCTTATTTATAGCCATGTAATAGCTTTTAGCAAGTCTGCTTTTAACCATTTAATAGCTTGTATCAATTTGTACCATGTAATGCTTGTACTAAGTCTTATTCATAACATATTTTGTACCAAGTGTTATTGATAACCATCAAATCTGCTTTATAACAGTGATAGCTTGTACCAAGTCTGATTTGTACCAAATCTGTTTTATGGCCAAGTAATGCTTGTAGTCTGATTCAAAATACTTGCCTTACCACAATACTGCCCAAACCTAATCCCAAACACCACGCCAAGCTTGAACCAATCATAGTCAATTCAAACCAATGTTACATCCGCTTTCAGAATTTCAGCCAATCCACTAACACTGACCACTTTCCCAAGTCGACTCCATGTCAGGTTCTATGCACACCAACATCACCACCATGGCGCTTCTCCTGGTGGAACAGCTTCTGGCATATGCAGCGGGCCATGTCTACGCGCACGTGATTGCCATCCGCGTCAACACCCAGCAAGAATCCGACTTGCTTCTTGTGGACTACACCCGCAATTCTGCCCTCAACGAAAGCTCGAGGTTTCCCTTCGACACAGACCTCGAGATGGGGCTCCAGGTGAAAGCGCCCATCGAAATGGTCACGAGGCTCGCGCAGGACTACAGAAAGGTGTTTGGCGGCGACATGTTCGACCGAAACGCCGCCAGGCTTCGGGAGCTGAGCTGGATTGCCATGGCAGGCCTGTTTTGCTTGGTGCGGGCGCAGCTCAAGGTTCTGCGGCGGAAAACGCACTTGGGCGGCTTCACGCGGCTGTTGGCGCTTCTCTCGCTGGCGCACGTGGATTGCGGCGCTTTTGTCCGGCGCTTGGTCGAACACAACCCGCAGTTTCCGAGCGAGGCCATATATGAGAAGTGGTGGGCCCGGTTCCCGCCTGGGACGGCGCCGGCCAAGACTGCTGGAGTATCGCGCGAGCCGCCCAGCCAGCCTGATGACGGCGATCTGGACGGTGGGCATAAGTTCCAGAAACTCAGTTCGGCGCAGCGCATCAAGCTCGAGAAAAACGAACATCTTCGCCAGATGTTGCAGCCGGTGGAAACGCAGCTATTGACGCAGCCGAGCCAGTTCTCGCAGGAGAGCCAGTTTTTGCAGAGCCAGGAGAGAGCGATGAATCAGGTAGATCGGACGAGTCAGAGAGACCAGAACCAGAGAGACCAGAACCAAAGAGACCAGACGAACCACACCATCCAGACTCCTCAAGCGCATGGAGACACCAATGCAACTTCTCCCGGTTCTCCGTTTCTGCCCAGCGATCCTGAAAACTCCCAGTTCAGTCTAGCTGCGTTGAACCGCATTCTCTCGGACTCGCCCGACGAAACAGTCTACTCTACAAGGGCATTTGTGGTGGGGTCTCTTCCGCAAGACCTCACACTCGTGTGCACAAAAAACTACGTGGAGGTTGACGGCGACATTCAGCTTTCAGACCCTCTTGTGAGACCATTGGAGTTGTATCTAGCAGACTCCACCGAAAAAGTCTTGGGTCCAGCCAATTCGCTAGTGGTGCATATCCCAAAGGAGCAGGTTCTTCCTTTTTTTGGTTGCAAGTTCCCCGAGCAATTGTACACGCAGCTTGCGCTGTTCCAAGAACGGTTTCGCCAAAGAAGAAAGCGCTGGGTGGCTTTGGATCTCGAAGCCATATCTGTCGATGGAAGACCAACATGGACGCTACATAAGCTGCGCTTCGAGCAACTTTTGAAAGACAGTTGATTATTCGAACCTTGAAGTAATCCTGCTAGAGACATGAAGTTGGAACTGGAACGTATAATGTAATTCTCTCAGCTCTGGTCTGAGCTGCCATTTCCATGTCTCAGTGCGGTTTCTTTTCGAAATGAGATAGCTTCTAAGATGGAGTTCTCTTCCAACTTCTTAGGTCGTTTTGCCAGTCAAGATTCACCTAATGGAGATGACAAACTTCTTAATGGCAAAGCGTGTGTCAAGCCAATTGCGTCTTCGAGGGCCTTTCAGGACCATAAAAGAATCATGCTGGAAGGAAATATCCGCTCATTTTGGGGAAGCAGGTAATCTGTGGGTGGAGACTGTATCCGTTTTATAGACTTCTAACTACGTTAGTAATTGGTGCAGAAATATAGCAACTTCTTTCAAGAACTTGAGCCTGAAAAATGAATTTCTTTTTGTCTTCTTTCATAAAACACATTATACTGGAAAAAAGAGATCTATCTATTGATGCATCAACCAAGGATTATCTGAATCAACTAGTAATCAAGTTTGTGCTAAACAAATCTGCGCTTTACTTGAATCAGACGAAATGACAAAATTAACGTATGAACGATCAGTTGATAGATATTACACGTAGATTCAAAAGCCATCTTTTCTAGGTCTAAAATGCGTTCTAACCTCTAACCTAGGTGTCTTCTTTACTAAAGCACTGGTAGATGTGAATATACTTCGAAAAGGGAAGAAATCCTATCAATTGTACTATTAGCATTGAAAAGCTACGTTTATCCAACTCAGTTTTTTTCTTATAGTTTTTTTCTTATAGTTTTTGTCTTCTTTATTACTTACTTCAGAAGAACAACTCCGACACCTTCAACCATCACTCACAACGACGTGGCCAGACGCACCGACACCGCCGCAGAAGCTTCTCGACTGACCATGCGACTAACTGCCTCTCTGAACGTCCGCATGCTCCGGTCAATTCCCGACAAGTGGCGTGCCAACTCTGCCACGGGCCACGGAATCGCCCGATAGACGGGAAGAAACTTGCCGTAGAAGGGCATTTGGATCTCTCCCCGCTCGCCCAACTCAAGACAATGCACTACGTTTTGGGCCACAGCCGCTGGCTCAAGCTCCGGAGCCACCAAGGACCAAGGTGTGCGGACGCCACGGAACAAATCGGTCTTCATTTGGCCCGGGCAAACGAGCAACGTTTTGATTCCACGCAGATTGACCAGCGGCGGGCCGAGCTCGTATGTGAGCAGTTCGTGAAGGGCCACAAGCCCTGCTTTGGAGGCGCCGTACGCGGAAAGGCGGGCGGGCAGCATGTAGGCTAAGACGGAGCCGATGGTAACGATGTAGCCCCTGCTTTCCTTGAGCATGTCGGGAAGAAAGACCTTGATGGTGTAAAAGTTCAGAAGAAGATTGACCCGCACGGTTTTGTCTATGTCAGCCACCGACAAGTCCAAGACGGTCTGGCCGCCCGTGATGCCGGCGTTGTTGACAAGAACAGTGACAATGCCAATGTCGGCTTTGATCCGTTCGTGGCACGCAAGCACATTGTCCATCGACCCAATGTCGCAGCGGTAGTACGTGACGTTGCGGACAGGGTTCCGCGGCTCGGCCACGTCTAGAACAACAACACGGCTGCCTCTGGCGGCAAACTCCGTCACAAGATGGTGGCCAAGGCCCGAACAGCCGCCTGTCACGAGAACAATATCGCGTTTGGCGTCGTATGTGTGGCCTACAAGCCGATGGGAAAGCTTGCGGAGCTGGCGGTGGACCCTGTAGATGAGAGAAGAAGGGAGACTCATATGAGAATTGACAAGGAAAAAAGATTAAGATGCTTCGAATACGAAAGCTAAAAGGTGGTTATTGGAATTAGTTGTTGGTAGGGGTTGTTGGAATTAGTTGTTGTTGGTAATTGGTGGTTGGTTATTTATAGTAGTTCGTTGTGATTCAAGTATTTATGGCCTTGAAAACAACCTCTTTGTACTTGAATTAGGGGATGCTAAGAGAAACAAGAAGGAAGGAATAAAAGCAGAAAATGAGGTGCAAATGGATGGGTGCAAATAGCGCGCATGAGATTTCTTTTGCCTGAGTCTTGACCAATATCACGAAAACTTGGGCCTCTATTTATTAATTCTGTCTTTTGTTTTTCTGAACGAGCGCAATCGATCGGCAGTGAGAATTCAACCTGGCAAATCATTCGAGAAAGCTTCCAGCCCGGTCGATTAGAGCTAAACATCATTCGAAATGGCTATGGTGGCTATCATCAAAAGAACTGAAAATAAATCTTTCTGTCCGTCTGCACCCCTATGGTATCAAGACAAGGCCATGTCTTAGAGATTGAGACCTTTCAAATGAAATTGTTCAAGAAATACGATAAAAAAGATGTCTGCCACTAGTCATAATCGCAAAAACGATATAGGGGGGCTGAAGTTATAGTTGCATGTTGTTGGTGACATGTTGTTGTCTGTCTCTCTTTGTATCGCTAATTCTGTCAAGACCATGCAACAACTATAAAACTGATTTCATAAGAACGTGCCTGAAGAAGTGATTTAGGATATTTTTGAGTGTTTGAAGATCATACAATTGAAAAATAGAAACTGACTTTTGATATTTCACATACACGTTTGTATGCGTAGCCTTATCCTAAAATATTCGAGCTTACCAGTCCATCGCTCAAGAAAGCAAAAATACTACCATATGATGGCTACTACTACAGTCCTTAGAGTATGGCTTTCGTAGAAGGTTCTTTCTCTTGAATTTTCTTTTCTTTAAAATTTCTCTCGAATTGTGGCTCGCTTTCCACTAGAGCTTCATCACTTGACTTGATTTGGTTCTGCAGTATATGTGGACACAGCATATCCAAGAAAATTCACCACATCACACGAGAAAAAATAAGAATGCCACACATGCCACACATGTCCTTAACGTACATATGCGTTTGAGCATTCTGGTAAACTAAAAGTGTCTAGACGCTTGAGGATGAAAATTCGGGCCAGTTGATTAACCGTGTGATTGGTTTGAAGCGTTTCGGTTATTCGGTTCTGAAAGTTCGATCCTGTAGTTTGCATCATTTAGGCCGATTGGTTCGAATAAGGTGCATGAGAACTGTACATTTGTACATGCATATGCAACAGATGTTAATGATGAAAAAGATAAGAAGCAAGGTTTTAGGCCGAAAAGTCCGGCTGGTGGCTTCAAGCACAAATGTAACGAAGTGGTACCCTTGGATTAAAATTTCAAATGGTGGTTCAAGATGAACATACAGTAACAATCATACAATGCTTCGACTATGAATAGAGTGAAATTCAACATTTTTGGAAACTTTCCTACCATCTAATCTGCCTAGGTATTTTGTTCTTGTATACTTCAAGTATCTTCAGTATGCCAATACCCATCAGTCCCTCTAACATATTGTTAACATAATGTCTCGAATTTTGGGTCGCTGTCCCCTTTCATCACTTCCAGCATCCCAGAAATTAGGCTAAAAACGACTATGAAGGGTGTAGAATGCGTCCTCTAGGACTATAAGGAAAATTATTGGTGAAAGAAGCGCGAATTCTTTCAACATAGAAACACCCCGAAAAGACTAACCGTTTGCGCTACTCCTCAGGGAAACTAAATTTTCGGACCCTCATTATCTAATCCATCGTATTTTGATTCGATCTGCTTTAACAATTTTTGGATATATCCATACATATTCATCTTTGTGTGATAGGTTGCAAGTTTAAACTTGAGAAATGCACTGCGCGTAAAACGCATGCATGTTCGGACTTTTCGCATGCATGCACTATCCACAACATGCAAATGTATGCGTGGGGAACAAAATAATAATTATCTGATTCATCAGTAGATTATTGGTACGAGCAGCCTTCTGCAATATAGCCGAGGATGTGGTTTTCAAAAGCATTTACGCCAATTTGCTAAAATAAGATGAAATTTTGTGATTTGTTACAGCTGAACGAAGAAAGGTGATAATCACTTGTTTATTGGGATTCTAAATCCTCTAATTCATGAAGATAGCACTAAGAAGGGCAACAATTGTGGCCAACCATGGGACATAGTTTGTTCCGGCAACATTGATCAGGTCAATAGTAGGAGCCGCAGTACGTGATGAGGAAGCGCTTACTGCCTTGGTTTCTTGAGAAATCGTCATCTGACCAGCAGTAGTTTTTGTAGTTCCAGAACTGTGATTTCTAGTGACTGGACCCTTTTCGGTAGTCTTTGCGGTTTCAATGCCCTGGCTGCCCTTAGTGGCGGGACCATTTGCAGTTCTTGCAGTTTCAGTGTCCTGGTTGCCTTTAGTGACTGGACCTTTTTCAGTATTTCTTGTGGTTTCAGAACTGTGGTCTCCTTTAGTTACTGGACCCTTTCCAGTAGTTTTTGCAGTTTCAGTGCCCTGGTTTTCCTTAGTGACTGGACCATTTTCAGTGGTTTTTGCCGTTTCAATGCCCTGGTTGCCTGGGGTCTTTTTGGTAGTTTTTTCTTCAATGCCGTGGTCGCCTTTGGTCACTTGAGTCTTTCCTGCCGTTTTTGTTGTTTCAATGCCGTGATCACCCTCAGCTGTAGACTTGTCTTTCTTTGGTTGGCCAGGAGCTGCCGTGGTGTCGCATTCAGCAGTGATGGTTCTCGTGACGCTGCCTATAACCGAAGTATAAGTGGTGAGGGATCCAGATAAGGTTTTGCACTTGGTGCACACAGTGACGATTTTGGTGGCACCGTTGATGACTGTTTCTGTGACATCATCCACCACGACATTGGACTTGGACTGTGCGGAAGCAGACGGGGTCGAGACGGCTGTCGAATTCGAATGGTAAATTGCACTGGATGAGACAAGAGGCAAAGACGATGTTGGTACTAGTGAAGGAGCGGTTGTGTTCGAAGTGTAAGCAGCACTGGAGGAAACAATAGGCAAAGAAGATGCAGTAGAAGACCCAGAGCTGGAGGATCTCACAAAGAAAGAGCTCGTATCAGAAGGACTGCCATTAGAGGAGGCAGCCTCCGAAGTAGCTACTTCAGAAGAACGGGCAATAGCAGAAGAGCTTGCAATTTCAGAGCTTGCAATTTCAGAGCTTGCAACTTCAGAGCTTGCAATTTCAGACGAGCTTACAGCTTGAGAGCTGGATTCAGCAGAGCTTGCAATGTCCGAAGAAATAGATACTTCAGAAGAGCTGGGTCCTTCAGACAAGTCAGAAGAAACTGGAGCCTGCGACGAACTTGCAACTGCAGAGCTAAGAAGTTGAGACAGAACTGGAGCGTCTGAAGTCACTGGAGCATCTGAAGTCACCGGAGTATCGGAAGTAATTGGAGCTTCTGAAGTAACTGGAGCATCGGAAGTCGTTGGAGCCTCAGATGTGACTGGAGCTCCTGATGTAGCTGGGTCAGAGCTAGTTTCAGTAGTAGTAGCAACTTCAGCTGCAGCCGCAGCCAATGAACTGGAAGCAGCAGCATTGATAATCCAGTATGGTTCCCAAACACCTGCAGCAGAACATACTGCTACAGCCGCACTGGAGGCTGAAACAACATCCGAACCTTTGCAATTCTCAGCGAAACAATCGGCGACATCAGAAGCCCAGTTAGTCATGACGCAAAGACATCCAGTGTCCCAGTATGGACAAGGTGTGGAGGAAAGTAGAAAGAGAAACACATTTTTTGGCACAGGCAGGCAATCTGTCGTAGACTGGATCAGCGAAACCATTGATAGTGGCAGTCTTGGGGACAGAAGGGTATTGAGTGTACGGATTATCAACTTCGGAGGAAGTGGTAACTTCAGAGCTCACAATTGAAGGACTGACAGTTTCAGAAGAGCTGGTCCCAGATGAACTAGAGACTTCAGAACTAGAGACTTCAGAAGAAGTAGCTATTTCCGAAGAACTGGCAACTTCAGAACTGGCAACTTCAGATGAATCAGATGAGGCCTGGGATGAGCTTGCAGCTTCAGAACTAAGAACCTGAGACAGAGCCGCATCCGAAGTGATTGCAGGAGTAACTGGAGCATCGGAAGTCACTGGATCTTCTGGAAGTTACTGGAGCGTCTGACGTCGTTGGAGCCTCAGATGTAACTGGAGCTCCAGATGTAGCTGGGTCAGAGCTAGTTTCAGTAGTAGTAGCAACTTCAGCTGCAGCCGCAGCCAATGAACTGGAAGCAGCAGCATTGATAATCCAGTATGGTTCCCAAACACCTGCAGCAGAACATACTGCTACAGCCGCACTGGAGGCTGAAACGACATCTGCTCCCTTACAGTTTTCAGCAAAGCAATCTGCAACGTTGGAGGCCCAGTTAGTCATAACGCAAAGACACCCAGTGTCCCAGTATGGGCATGGTGTGGAAGAGGTGGAGAGAGAGACACACTTTTTGGCACAGGCAGGCAATCTGTCGTAGACTGGGTCGGCAAATCCATTGATAGTGGCAGTCTTAGGAACGGATGGATATTGAGTGTACGGATTATCAACTTCGGAAGAAGTGGTAATTTCCGAAGAGCTAGAAATTTCGGAGGAGCTAGAATTTTCCGAAGAGCTAGAAACTTCAGAAGAGCTGGGAATTTCAGAGCTGGAAACTTCAGACGAACTGGAAATTTCAGACGAGCTAGAATTTTCCGAAGAACTGGAAACTTCAAACGAACTGGTAACCTCAGAACTAGAAACAGACGACTCCAGGAATGAGCTTGCTTCTGAACTAGGATCCAGAGACAGAACCGCATCCGAAGTACTTGCAGATGTAACTGCAGCAGATGTACCTGTAGCATCGGAAGTCACTGCAGCATCAGATGTAATTGGGGCTTCCGAAGTTGTTGGAGCCTCAGATGTAGCTGGGGCTCCAGATGTAGCAGGGTCAGAACTACTTTCAGTGGTAGTAGCAACTTCAGCAGCAGCCGCAGCCAAAGAACTGGAAGCAGCACCATTAATCATAAAGTATGGCTCCCAGACACCAGCCGCAGAACACACGGCAACAGCCGCACTTGAAGCCTTTTCAACATCGGCTCCCTTACAGTTTTCAGCAAAGCAGCTGGCAACATTGGAAGCCCAGGGCGTCATCACACAGAGACATCCAGTATCCCAATATGGACAGGGTGTGGAAGAGGTGGAGAAAGAGACACATTGTTTTGCGCAGGCAGGCAATCTGTCGTAGACCGGGTCAGCAAAACCGTTGATGGTGGCAGTCTTGGCGACAGATGGATACTTTGTGTATGGATTGTCAGCTACTGAAGATGTGGTAATTTCAGAGCTCACAATTTCAGAGCTGGTAACTTGAGAGGAACTAGAGGCTTCAGAAGAGCTAGGAACCTCAGAGGAGCTAGAAACCTCAGAAGAACTGGCAATTTCAGAAGAGCTAATTTCAGAAGAACTAGAAATTTCAGAAGAACTAGAAATTTCAGAAGAACTAGAAATTTCAGAAGAACTAGAAATTTCAGAAGAGCTAGGAACCTCAGAAGAGCTAGAAACCTCAGAAGAGCTGGCAACTTCAGACGAACTAGAAACCTCAGAGGAACTAGAAACCTCAGAGGAACTAGATATTTCAGAAGAACTAGAAACCTCAGAGGAACTAGAAACCTCAGAGGAACTGGCAACTTCAGACGAAGCAGATGAAATTGGTGCCTGCGAGCTCGCAGCAACAGAGCTAAGAACCTGAGACAGAACTGGAGTATCAGATGTAACAGAAACTGGATCTTCCGAGGTAACTGGAGCCGCAGAAGTAGCTGGATCATCCGAAGTAACTGGAGCGTCTGACGTCGTTGGAGCTTCAGACGTAACTGGAGCTCCAGATGTAGCAGGGTCAGAACTAGTTTCAGTAGTAGTAGCAACTTCAGCTGCAGCCGCAGCCAATGAACTGGAAGCAGCAGCATTGATAATAAAGTATGGCTCCCAGACACCTGCGGCAGAACATACTGCAACTGCGGCACTGGAGGCCACTTCAACATCTGATCCCTTACAGTTTTCAGCAAAACAGTCGGCAACGTTAGATGCCCATGTGGTCATCACACAAAGACATCCAGTGTCCCAGTATGGACATGGTGTGGAGGAAGTAGAAAGAGAAACACATTGTTTTGCACAGGCAGGCAACCTGTCATAAACTGGGTCGGCAAAACCGTTTATGGTGGCAGTCTTGGGCACAGATGGGTACTGTGTGTATGGGTTGTCATCAGCCGTGGCAATCGAAGCGATGGTCAAAAAAATGGCCACTGGGAACAACGAGAACATAGCGAATGAGGAAGTTATGCGTTGCAACTACAATGCGGGCGTCCGCCCTATTTATAAGAGAAGAATCCATGTGGTAGTCCAGAAATTAGAACCTGACACCAAAAGAGAAATGTAGTAGCAGGTCGGTTGTTCGAGTGCAGGTTGCATGGGCCACCGACTCGGACATGTTCGTTTAAGACGCATAGCAGGTCCCCATGCATATGCTGCGTCTGCAAATATTATTCAGAGTACTCGAGTCACGTTCGGGACAAAAGTTGAAACGAGACAGCAGTTTAAATGAGATAAAAGTTTAAACGAGATAAAGTTCAAATAACAGTCAGTAGCAAAAATAATAAGTCTGCCCAATCATCAGTTGAAATGGAGCAGATACGATACCGAGGAGATTTCGGTAGTGCGACCTTGCAGATCTCCACATGCCGAAGAGGTTAAAATCTCAGAACAAATCTTTTCTGATCTTAGCAGTGACACTCGCTGAAAAAATGTGGTGAAAAAATCTGGCGAACCCGCTTTGCTTGGTACTTTGTAGCTTGGCCGAATAATCGTGACTTACTTGTCCAACTTAATCGTGTGGTTTGAATACTTTCAATCGTGTGGTTTGAATACTTTCGATCGTGTGGTTTGAATACTCAATGTAGATTCTGCATGGCACACGGCCGATACGTGGGACTTCATAAACTAGAATACAGCCGGTACTTATGTGGGATTTCGTAAACTAGAATTGGGTAAGTTTTAAATGTAGGACCGCTTCATCCGGAAAGTATGAACAAAGCTTGTCGTACAAGAAAATTACAATAAGATATTCAGGTGCGTTATTTGTGTGTTTCTTTTAAGCTAATACCGTCATTTGTATTCTTAGTTTTCGTGAGTATGAGATTTTCTGTTCACGGCTCATGTTAATCAAACTCACCTTTCCCAACGATTCATTTCATGCATGGAAGGTTATTAGGCAAACAAGCTAGAAATGTGTAGGTAAATCCGAAAAAAAAAAAAAAAAAAAAAAAAACCTAATTGCTGTTATCTGACGAGATCAAGGTTATGTTGAGGACATCTACACGAATGAATTTCCCTATTCTGGCCCCAAATTTGGGAGTACTGGATGCTGGTAGAGAAAAGTTCATGAGGGAGCTTACTTTTCCTCGTTCCCGAGTTAAGCCATACTGGTGCATCTTTGACATGAAGAATCATTTTAATTTGTCAAACAAAAGCACGCAGAGGGTTCAAGAAACTCCAAGAACCCAAAAAACTCAACACATTGGAGAGGAAACATTCGCTTTGTTTTAAGTACTTGGCCCCACAGTTTTGCAAAGTCTCTTTGTCGATATTGTCTACTGTTTCAATTGTTTTGCCCGTTATTTCAACCAATTTTGAGTTCTAGCTTGAAGATTCCTGTAGACTGAAATAAGCAGGTAGATCTGATCAAACAATAGCCAAACTTTTTCAGAACGCTCCCACCAATCATTTGCCAGGTCCAATGAGCTTATTGGAAAAAGCGGCCCTATTCTATCATTGTGACAGCAATTTAAGCACATTATTCAGAGTTCAAGGCTTCATAAATGTCAGTCATTCAGCTCGAGATCGCACAAATTGCTGCGGAAAGTCTCTGTATGGGATTGCACTGTTCTAATTTTAATATTTTCAAATAAAAAAGACTTGTGGAACGCTTCGATCGATAAAATCCATCAAGCTATTAAGGATTCATATTACTAATAGAACCACTAATATAAACTAATATAAAATGGCTCTGTGGCCGAGCGGTCTAAGGCGGCAGACTCAAGTTCTGTTATCGTAAGATGCGCGTGTTCGAATCACGCCGGAGTCATTATTTTTACTTCTGGTTCTTCCTGATTGCTTTCTATCTTTTTAGTACAAGGCGGAGAGAATGTGACGAAGACATCTTTTGGTCATACCTTCTATTTGCTTCAGATAAAAAAATCAAGCGCTTAACTTTACATTCAGACAGGAACTATACAGATAAGTGATTGTCTAAGTCCCAAAAGTTAGTAAGTTTTGAAATTTGAAAGTATTTAGCATTACCTGGCGATTTAGGCGAATTCGTCGCTTGATCGACTGGTTTTTATTTTTTCCATTGTTTGCTAAGGCGACTGCGAAGATAAGAAATTCACTTCAGATCTCCTCATGAGACACCATTTTTGTTCCACTTAACTCCTCTATATGTCCATCTCTTATTCACAATTTCTATCAGTTATTCACAATGTCTATCCTTGATTCATTCTACTTTGCAATTGGTTTCACTTTTGTTCCTCTGAAGTCGTTTCCTGTTTTTCTGAATTTGCTTCAGTCTGTTCCTGTCTACCCACATAGTGCGGGCTAACTTACCATCTAAACACAATGCCCGAGCCTCCGCAAATTCTCCGGATCAAAAGAAAAAGAGGCCAGGATCCGCTTCAGGCGTTGATTCTTGGTGCCGCCAGTAAACGGGTCAAGCTGTCGCTGGACCAGAAGTCGTACTATTTCCAGCTCAACAGAACCGACCAAGCCCATTCGGACGCTGATGTTTCAGGGTCTGTTCTTTTCGAGTCAGCCGCTTCAGGCTCAGGTCGCCACTTTGTGATTCCAAAGCGGCCCAACGACGTAGACACAGTCATTCCCCATGAGTTGGCCGACATGGTCGATACATTCCTCCATGTGGAAGACCAGCCCACACGAAGAAAAAGAAGGGGCAGACAGAAGACGGAATCTCCAGAGGAAGATCCAGGAGCTTCTGGGCCGCCTGCCGAAACTAAGGGCGCTGCTCCGGACCCAACATCCAATGTTTCGGAACTCTCTGAGTTTCTGAACGATTATGTTTTCGATGTCTACACACTTTCAGAGCCGTTAACAAGCCAGAACTTTCCCCAGTCTGAAATTGGATACATCAAGTTTTTCGACGACAAGGACTACAATCTAATGAACTCGGATGACAGTGCAGAGTCGGCGCACTCGGACGACGAAGATTCTAACGCAGAATCCTTCTACCAGAACGACTATCCCGAAGATGAAGATGCCGGGGCATTCAGCGAAACCTATGATGACGAAAGCGACAATGATGAGGACGAGGATAATATCGGCCCAGTCATTTTAGAGTCTGCGGAAGCTTTCGAAGGCAATGCGTACCTTCGTGGACAAGAGCAGGCAGAAGGCCAATTTGACGATCTTTACGACGAATTTTTTGGCGACAGCGAGCAGCCGGTGGATTTTCTAGCGGAAACGAACGACGACTACGAGCGCCAGAACTTCTTCAAAGACGAAGAGGACGACGAACTCGCTCAACACAGAGACAGAATATTTGGCAGGCTCCAGAAGATGATTGACGAGAAATAATGTATATATATCGGGAATAACATGACATTTGCACAGAAGATAGAGCACAAAACGTGAAAGGATGACAAATATCGCTAGTGAAATTGAAACTGAACGTTGTACCTAATCTCCAGTCCTAATTACAGAACAATTCTAAATCAGCAGAATTACTGCTGTTGTGTATTTACAGATGCTCTATTGTGCTGTGAGAGCAAGAAAGCCTCCTTTGGTTACCAATCATCTGTGAAACTTCTCTCTTCAAAAAGCACTTGCTCTCCAGAGAAAAGTAGTCGTTCTCAGAGCAAAGTAGTCGTTCTCAAGAGAAGAAGTACTTGCTCTCAAGCACAAGGTCTATGTCCAAGTCGCCCAACTCCGGTTTCTCTGTGATTTGTACGGGCACAAGGATGGGCGTATGCGTTCTGTTGGATATCTTTCCCCTCTCTCGTACTTCTCTCTTTGAATCATACACGATGGCATGCTTTCCACAATCATAAAGTAGCTCAGGCCGGTATCTCTCCACCAAGTTTTCCACTTCTGTGTTGGCAGAGAACTCTTCATTAAGGCATATATTCCAAGCTGAAGGTGAGTTTCTGCTAGGCCCGTATTGTTGGCGCAACTTGCTAAGCTCCACAATAAAGTCCTTCGCCTCGGTATTATCTACCCACACAACCTGAAAAGCGTTTCGATTGACATGTTTCAAGTCTTCTCGAAGATTGGCCACTATCTCAGACTTGTGCAAACGAACAAACTCTTGGCGGATGTGGGAATTGAGCTTTTCCACATCGCCTGGATGAGTCCAGAAAGAGTCATGGACAGCTACAAAAGATATTCCACTCTGTTTGCATGCTAAACAGGTCATGAGCAAATGCATTGCGTCAAGCAGATGGATGAAATTTGGAGCTATTCCGTTCAATTGCTTCGGAAAGTCAATGTGCGCAAGTTTGCCCTTTGTTTGCACGGAAAGCCTTTGCAAAACAGTGGTAATTTCCTTTGTGGTGTTTTTTCGGTAAGGCTGGATGACGGGAGCCCTGAAAGAGACGTCCACATCATAGGTCTGTATCTTTTTTTATCAAAAAAGTTGATTTTCCCCTCAGGAAGGGAGTGTTTCTCGTATGCTGAAATGCACCGGCGACAATTTTCTAGAAGCCAGTTCTGGATTTTTTTGGCGCCGGCAAACAAGTCGGAAATGGCATCGAGAACGTGTTTGGCGACGTACGTGGCCATTTTGGCTGTTTGGGGATTGTATTCTCCCACGGAACTACCTTCTTGGAAAACCTCATCTAGTTTTTCTCGAATTTGTCTGAAAGCTCCGTATAATGTTACTCCATAAACTGTTGTCATAACAGTCTGCTTCACAATTTTCCGGGAGAGAAGAGGGAGAACCTGGCGAGCAGTTTCGGCCGTTTCGTCCGATACTGATTCTAGATCTGAGACAACCCTTTCTCGAACACGGTTCAAGACTGTCACATAGACATCGTGCTTTTTCGTGTCTGGGATGAGATTGACAGAAACTGCGGCGTCTTTATCTGCTCCCAAGGCTGCGTAATGTTGAAGGCCGTTGCAAGTACCGTCCATGTGTATCGGAATCCGGGAAAGATATTCTTCTTTCTTTCCCTCGTATTCCCACACATTTTTCAACTCCATACACATTGCAAGACATTGCCATGGGCTGTCGCCTTTTCTCCACCAGCTTTGGGGTGACATCGGCGACTTTGCTGATTCTATGATAGCCTCTTTGTTGTTGGCCACAAACGCTTTCAGTTTCTCCATAGACAAGAAGTGGTCTGAGTGAAGATTCGCAAGTTGGTACTGGAGCCAGTCGTAACCTTTTGGGCCCAAAGGTTTAGCCTCCCAAAACATGAGGAGCGATCGAACCAAGTCCTCGCTGTGATGAGAAAGAAAAGAAACGCACGGGTATACCCTTCCTCTGAAATCGATGTTCTGTGGATAAAATATGCTATCGCCATTCTTCTCCAAAGACCTAGCCAAGGTGTTCACCAACTCGTAATAAACACGCAAACTGTGAGCTTCCTTTTTCTTTTTCAATCTTGCTTCTCGGGTCAGCCTGTGGCGGGCAAGGGCAGAGAGATAGTCTTTTTCAGCTTTGAAGTCACACCTCTGTGGTTTCTCCAACATTTCACACGAGTCGGGCGCCTTGATTCCAGGAATATGCATGAACCCGCCTTTGTCAGACATTGCATCATTGAAAACGCCCAACATAGACGGATTGATAGCCCACGACACCGATCCGAGAGCATTTAGGCTCTCGTATATCGAGTCCAATTGTCCTGTTCGATGTGCTTGAGCCATGTAGAACGAAGTAGACTCTTGATCGATAGATTTGACAAGAGGAACCAAGTCGTCGAAGAAGCCTCCATTTTCTGGCGAAACCCACTCTTTTGGTGGATGTAACATGGGCAACAAATATGAGCCAGACAGGAATAATTCAAGACATGTTTCGAATTGCTTAGGCAAAAAAGGGTGTACCTTCACCACACCTACTCTCTTATATCCCGGGGAATCAGTGTTTGCTTTCGTATAGTCTGTTGAGAAAACAGTCTCATGCTCTGCGTGGGGAATATCAGAAGGCAATTTGCACGCTTCGATCACAACTTTTATGATGGAGACAAAAAACTGGATGGCAGCCTCGTCATTCAAAAACATGGGGAGTCTTTGCAGGAGCGAAACCAACTTTTTGTCTCGCTTGAGCATTCGTTTAAAGGAGTATGCCATGCTTGAGGCTAGAGTATGTAGTTTCGCCTCGCCCGAAGGAAGGGTTTGAGCAAGAATGGACGAAAGAGCAAAAGAAGCAAAAGTTGCAGGCAGAACAACGGAGAGAAAAAAGGCAAACTCACTATGAGGCCTGTTTTTCTCCTTTTCAAGAGCTTCAGAGGTTTGGCTGTGCCAAGCTTGAATCCATTTGGAGCTGGCTGCACCAAAAATATGAAGGGATTTCATACTATGTAGGCTCTCATGTAAATCGCCACAGTACTCTTCCACTAGTAGCTGCTTTTGTTTGTTGAAAGCCAAATAGTCTTGCAAAAATGCTTTCTGTTCCTCTCTTGTCAATTTCTCATACACTGCGTACATTTTAGCGTGTGGGTCAGAAGAATACCGCAGAGCATCGAAGCGGGTCGATGCAATGAAACGACAGAGGCTCTGGTAGCTCATGTTTCCATCCTCGGTTTTATACTGGTCGATGCAGAGATCGATTTTCTTGTCTCCATTGGCGTCATTATAAGTCTTTGCAGTGTTTCGCCAGACAAGATTGCAGTGAGGCACCAACTCAGGGTGTTCTTGCGACACGAGGCGGCCGATTTCAGCCGGAACTAGGTTCATTTGTTCGGCCAATATTCGTGCTCTTGTAACTAGAGTCGCCCTGCTGTCATTCGTTTGCAAGTCGGACATGGCCCGAAGTATGAGGATCATTAGCAGAAGCCGTAGCCGTAGCACGGTTTCGGGCCGAGATTGGGCCACATGCCGTGGAATCTCTTCGATGGCCAAGATGACCGCCTCGATCTCTGCATTATTAAACTTTCTGGAGCGCTGGCAAAAGTGCGCCATCATCGTCACTAGACATGATAAGTAGACCTCGAGATTTCGAGCAAAAGACTCGACGTGGCGGTTGAACATGCATTTTTCCCGTAGGCGGGTGAGCGTTTGCGTCGCCTGGGCAGTGTCGACAAGAAAAACCGCCTCGAGGAAAAGATTGACCCGGACTCGGGTTTCTGAGTTTGTAAGTTTGTGCCGTTTGTATTCCGACGCGATCTCTGCGGCCACAGACACGGGACTTGTGTTTAAAACGTTCTGAGGACTATGCCTGTCAACAGGATAAGCCAAGGGCTTGGCGACTTTGGCCACTCCTGTTAGTTGGCGCCGGAACGTTTTGGCCCACATAGTTAGTTGGTGTCAGAATCGCATCTCGCCTGTATAGGCGATTTGTGGGGAATAGTGCAAAGATGTAATTTAGACGTCGGGGGATTTTGGAAGGGAAATTGAAAAGATATTAGTGGAGAGTGTCTCTTGATGTATGACACTGTGAAATTTAGCTTATTTCTGCCTTTTTCCGATTTTTGGTGGCCTTTCTTGTGAAGATAAATGTGATGGATGCGCACAATTACATGAAAAGTGCAATTCTATAACTCGAAGAGCTGAGAAAGCATAAACCTGAACCACCTAACTAAACAGTAAACGGAAAAAAGAAGCACCAGGATTGTAATTGTAATTCGGTTGGAGATAGCCCGTTGAAAGTGAAGGTATATGATTTTGCCATATCGATACTTTAAAAAGTGAAGCAGCTACGTTTTTTTACATTTACACAAGTCCACTGGTACAAACTTTCAATGCTTGGATCGAAACCGTATATTGTAGGAAAATGCACGTAAACCCGATAGTACATCCAGTTCTTTCATTGATGGTGATAAAAGCCAACCCCAGTCCTAAAACTTTGTACCCGTCGGTTGACTAGTTTGCCTTCACATGTCTATATTAGGAGTAATTGCAATAGAACATCATAATGTCCCAAGCTCTTTGGCACTATCGAAACTAGCTTCTTTACTCTGTCTTAAGTAACCCAATCTATTAGATTGGGTCTATTCACAATGCCCATGAATTCTGAAAACAAAGAAGCATTCCAAGAAGAAAAGACCGAAAATGGATATCCAGATTGTAGAAATACACCATGGAGCAGCTTTGGTGACCATTGTAAGACGTTAGGACTTCCATCATGCTCTGTGAGCTATCTTCATTGAGAGGAGTTTTTTGTCTGTCAACACTTCTCTAGTTGTTGATAGAAGTCTGTATGTTGAACGTCACCGCCGGAAGTTGCAGACATTCCGCTGTGATGTAGGCGGAAATGCCAAAGCTCAGAAGAATGCCGCGGATGATCCCACACGGAAACCAGAGGAACACATTGGCCTTGGCGTTTGTATCCAGTGTTCCAGCAGCACTCAGAAGACGAGCAACAAGGCGATGGTTATTGTCCACAAGCACAAAGGTGCCCCTGTGGTTTGTCCGAAGATTGTCCATCTGCTTGCCGTACAAGCAGCGCCAGACATCGCGGCACACGAACTTCATGATGTCCAAAATGTCATCCGCTTTGGTTTGCGTGGGCGCCTTGTACATGAGCACTTCCGTGAGGCGCAAGCCCAAGGAAAAGCCAATGGCGTCTATGCGCAAGGCCACATCGTCAGAGGCAAGGTTTTCTGCGGAAAAGACAGCAACAGAGCCGGGCAAGTCGTTGGGAACAGACGAAAGCGGCGTGGTGATGGTTGTGTTTTGTTCGGGTGCGGCAGAAGAGTCGGAAAGACGGCTCGAGACCCGGACAGATGTGGGGATCACTTCTTGGAGAAGAAGATCGAGACAGACGGCATTGACCTTGCTGGTGGAGTCGAGAAGGTCAGACATATTACCTGGTGATATCTAAGTTCGAGTGTTGACGGACTATGGCTTTTGTGTTGATGTTGAAGATTAGCAATGGGGTGTTTGGTTCGTGAGCTGTTTGGTGTATGAAGTGGACTTGACGTGTTGAATTAGTGAGCAGACTGAAAGAAAATGGAAGTATTGGAGCACTTTCAGAATAGACTTGCGGTGACGGATCTGATAGCCTCTGATTATCTATAAAGGTGCGCAGATACAGTCTTACAATGAGCGAAACGACCAACGACAGAAAGTGTGGGTCCAGGAACCAGGTGAAAATATAGATGAGAGTATCCAAAGCGAAGAACATCCTAGGCACAAAATAGTTTGTTTGGTCGTTGAGCGTTGGAAAATGCAAGTATGGATTTCACTAGGCTGGGAGATTGACTGAGTTGAAAAGTCGCCGGCGTTTTCATTCATTAAACGATGTTCATTGGATCATTGGATTTATTCGATCGTTGGATCGTTGGATTGTTGGATTCGTTGTATGTATGTACTTGTCCGTATGTACTCTGTATGTACTTGTCTGTATCTGAATTGTATGAGTATCAAGCTTCGCACTGGATGTTTTTGCGCCATGTTTTTTGCACCCAGCCAAAAACCGCCCAATTCGGGGCAGGCCAGAGTTCCACCGGACGGAAATGAATTGGCAAAGGTGAACAAACAGAAAGAAATACAAACGAATAATCAAGACGCTGGGTTTGGCCGAGAGAAGGCCCGTACGAGAGAAGAATTTGAGCTGAAGAAACTAGAGCTGGAGAAACTAGAGCTGGAACCGATTTACGCTAGCTTTGAGATGCAAGGAGGAAGAACTAAAGGTAAAGGTGGAAGGGGTGAAGAAAGTCATGGAAGTAAGTGTAAGGATACAAGTGACGAAAGCAGAAACACGATCAAGCAACACAATGACAGTTCTTACACAGAGAAACATCACTACGCCGAAAGCGAAATTAGCGACTTGGATCTTTCAGGCTTGGGTGGCGGCAGAGTGGTCTCCGCAGACAAGAGAGAAGCTGAAGAAAGCCAGGCCATAGGTGGTGAAGAAACCCAACTGCGCCGGTCTTACTTTGATCGGCAGAGCACCACAAACAAAGAGTGGAATGCGGAGGAAAACCCACAGGCGACCCTTGGGATACTCGAAATCTCAACAAGCAGCATTCCCAAAGCAAACACCGTAAGTATATTGGGAAAGATAGACTTTGGCGATACCCTTCCAGAGTCTAAAGTTTCTAAAAATACGCCCGTGCCTGGAGCCCATGGTTGCCACGGCGAGAACACATTGAAGGCAGAAGCAAAGGCGGAAACCAGCCACGGCGCCATTCCACTTCCAGCCAGCACCATTCCACTTCCAGCCAGCACCATTCCACTTCCAGCCAGCGCCACCACATCCAAGCCAGACACCATTTCCAGTCTTTCCAACTCCGCCAACTTCCCCGCCTCCGCCAACCTTTCTGCGCTCGCCAATTCTGCACGTTCAAACCCCACCGCCAACCCTCGTTCCACAGAGCTTGCCAACTCGGCCAATTTCCCCGCGTCCGCCAATCTCTCTGCGCTAGCCAATTTATCAGCAGGAACTTCAGGCAACTCCAACAGCGCTCAATGCTCCGGGTCTCCTGACTTGGCCCAGGCCGACTCGCAAGCAAAGTCACTGATGCCGTTGGATTCGCCAGATGCGGGCGATGCCAGCAATGCCAGCAATGCCATTGTGGGCGTCGAGGGCGCCCAAGCGGGCGCCTTGCGTCTTGTGCGCGAACTCGCGGCGTCCGAGCTAACTTTTGTGGCGGGCTTGCGTCTCTGGGCCAATCTTGTGCTCGACCCGCTTGCCGCGCGCTGCAGACACCTCGGAATCTCGTGCGCGCCGCTCCTCCAGCACAGGGCGACCGTGCTCCACATGGCCCGGATCCACCAGGCGTTTTGCTGCGAGCTCGAACATTCCACGCCGGCTCGGGCGGCGGCGGCGCTTGAAAAACTTCTCGGCGACCCCGTTTACTGCGCGTATCCGGGAACGGCGCATGCCGTGGCGTCGCTCATTGCGCGCCGAATCGCGCCGTTCGACACCGACTATGCGTCTTGCATCGGGCGCTTTTTGGAGCGGCACCAGCCGCCGCATCGCCACTTGGACTTGTCGCCGGGGCTGTTTCTCTCGCAGCCCATTCTGCGCGTGGCCCGCTACCGGCTTTTCCTTCTTGGTTTGGCGGCGCTCGAGCCGCAACTGCAATGTTTCTCGCGGGCGCTCGAGGCGTCGACGGGGCTTTTGGCGCGGGCCAATGCGGCCGCCGAGCGAGACGCTGCGCGCGCGCGCTTTCTTGTGCTCATGGACGAGCGCATCGACTTTGGGCGCACGGGCTTCTGCGCTGCCTTCTTTGGCGCGGTGCGGTGCGCGGCGGCGCCTGAAGTGGCGTGGGTGGAGGCGGGCGCCTTTGGGCCGCGCGCCGTGTTCCCGCGCCGAATGAGACTCTACATCCACGCACGGCACTTTTTGGTGACGCAGATAAAGGGCGGTGCCGAGCGCATCCGCCTCATCGTGCCCATCCGCAACTGCCAACTCTGCCCGCTGGCTCTGAAACAGGAAGGGCTCTGGACGGCAAGTCTGCGGGCGCTCAAGATCTTGTTTGCGCGGGGCGCGGCGCGCCACGAAGTTTTGTTCGCAGGCGCCTCGCACCACGAGCTGGCGGAAATCAGGCGCTGCTGCGGCCACTTTTCGCAGGAGCCCTTGTCGCCCGAGGCAGAGCCAGCCAACGACATTGTGATAGGGCCGCGGTTGGCCCAGGCGTACGGAGCGATATGTGTGGTTTTGGAGGCGGAAAGTTAGCAGCGGGACGGAATAAGACAGGCCGGAATGACTGGCCGCGGAAGTCTGGCCACGGAAGTCTGGCTGGCCCAACGTTTCAGAGATTCTGATGAGATTTTATATGTTTACGACTTCAAGGCCATAGTCACCAGAAGAACAGTCGAGAAAGGTGCATTTTGGATAGTTGTGTGGTATGACACCCATATTGACAGACGGGAACGATGAAAACGGCGAAACGGCTCCCGAGGCGTCGGAAATGCTTTCAAAGGCTCCGAAACAACTTCCGAAGGCATTTCCACTCTATGACCACAGCTCCGAAAGTTTATCCGAACTCGAGTCGCGCACAGATGGGCTTATCTTGCAGATTCAGTCACACAATCAGACTGACGTTTTTGAATTTCCAATCATTTTCATTATTTGATTCGTCTTTCCACATTTTCGTCTTCCCATATTTATTGTTTTTCCATCTTTTTTCCATCTTTTTTCCATCTTTTTTCCGTCTTTTCTTTCGTCTTCTCTATTCTGCCGCTTTCGCATATTGCCTTCCTCGCCGTTTTCTTTTTCACCGTTATCGTTCGCACTTCTTCCCTGCGTCCTTCTGCACCGCATTTCTTCAGTGCTTCTACTCCCGTCTCCACCATTTCCCGTTGTGCTCCGTCACGTGCTCATATCCCCTTGTTCTTCCCCGTTTCTTCTTTCCTTCACATGTGAAACGGTGGACCCCTCCAGATGGCCTGTTTGTGTGCAGTCCGCCGTATCTAAAACTGCCGTGGCGTTTTGTGCCCAGCTCGCTGCAGGCCCAAAAGGGTTAGGGCGGGCCCAAACCACCTCCGACGTAGGGGATCCCAAAGCGGCGCAAACCAGCCGCGAGGGCGCGGGCTGAGATTTACGCTACAAAGCCGCAGCACTGCGGCACATCCTGGCACGTGCCGGTGGCGCAGCGCGCGCCATGATTGGTCCGTGTCTGACTTCCGAGGGCGCGGGAGCGGTGCCCGCACGCCCCGCCATTTCCGGGAAGACGTTGGTCCCACAATGGAGCAAAAAAACAAAAAAAAAAAAACACACCTCGTCATTATTGCCATCCGGAGAAACTTCATTTGAGCACCAAAGCGTCTTACTTTGCGAACCTCTTTCGAAATCGCCTGAATCGAGTGACTCTCGCCACGCCCTTTTTTTTTGGATCCTGTTTTTTTTATCGTTTCGAGTGATTGTTGGCTCCAAGAGACAAAGAACGAGAACACAAAAAAAAGACTAGGAAAAGCATCCACATCACCAACATCAGCAGGGAGCCACGTTTTCCTACTTGCACTCACATCATTCGACTGTTTCCTTCCTTTTAGGTGCCACTTCCCTCCCAACATTGTACTTTTTTCTGCATTTTCCAATCATCCCCACCTTTTTGAACATCGATTAGCCGCCAGCTTTTGCAATTTGCCTTCCCTCCTCCACTATTGCACGCCATGAGTACAGAATCGAACGTGCAATACGCCACCAACGGCTTGTTGATGTCGCATTTGAACGCATCCGGCCCGTTGGGCGGCCCCAATATGCTTCAAGGCACATTTGTCAATCTGGCGCAAAACTCATCGCCAGCAGTGACGCCAGGCGCCATGGGCGCTCAACCGACGCTGTTCAAAATAACAAACTTGCCTCTTGACTTGACTCAGCGGGAGGCTCTGCTCATTTTCACGTTGGTATCGGACGACATTATAAATGTCGACTTAAAAGACTTTACCATCGCAGTGCACTTCAAAAATGCCGCCACCTGCTTGGCCACGGGCCGCTATCTCGACGGCAAGTGCATTTTCGGCCCAGCATTTGCCCCCGTCAAGGTGGAGTTTGTGGATTTCGATCCTTCAATGGGCTTGGCCCACGCATTCGACAGCAGCATGAGATTGTCCAACCAGGGCATTTCCCCTCCTTCCTCGCATCAAATTCTGCATCCTACTCTGCATCCTGTGGCGCCGCTGTCGCTGCTGAATGCGTCGCAACTGCTGTCTCAAGCTGCTGTTCCTCCGCCGGGCTTTGAAAGTTTCCAGAAGCGGAAGTCCGTGGGAAACCAACGCTCGCGCTTCCTCTTTAGCGATCCGTTCTCAGGCAACGCCACTCCAGCCAACACCGCGGCGCAGAATGTGCCTGGGTCTATTGACTTTTCCGATCTCAGTGGAAAATCGCTTCTTCTCATGGAGTCGCAAAATGACGCGCGAGAGTACGAGAGTTTGGTGCGTGATCCATGGGCCCAGCCGCAAATGGGCTTTGGCTCCAACCCTCAGACCCCAGGCCTTACGGCTCCTGTGGAATGGAGCACGCAAAAGAACCCAGAACGGAGAAGAACTAGTGCATTTTTCAACGGCGTCCAGGACGACGAGTCGCAGCAGCAAAACCAGCAAAACAAACAGCAGCAGCAACAGCAACAGCAGGCTCAACAACAGCAGGCTCAACAGCAGCAGGCTCAGCAACAGCAGGCTCAACAACAGCAAAACCTGTCGCAACAGCAAAACCAACAGCAAAGCCAACAGCAAAGCCAGCCGCAACAGAACCAGCCACAAACTAATCAGCCTCAGACAAACCAACAGCATCAGCGCCAGCCTCAGACTGTCGCCGCAATCCTATCGCAGGGACCTACGCAGTCGAATGGTTCGTTACCTCCATTGGCCATTCCGCCAACACCCAGCCGCAACGGTGCGTCTTCGGCAGGATCTGGCTCACAACCGACTTCTGCTACAACCCCAACGTCAGGAGCCCGTTCCTCCACAAAGGATGTGCCTGACTTATCGTTGTTAGCCCGTGTGCCACCTCCAGCCAACCCAGCGGACCAAAACCCGCCTTGCAACACGTTGTATGTCGGCAACTTGCCCCCAGATGCCACTGAGGCTGAGCTCCGTGCTTTGTTCTCGCCACAGAAAGGGTTCCGCCGCTTGTCTTTCCGCACAAAGAACCAATCGTCGAGCCTGGGTCTGGGTCTGTCGGGCCACAACCATGGACCAATGTGTTTTGTAGAGTTTGAGGATGTGGCACATGCAACGATTGCCTTGGCTGAGTTGTATGGCCGTGCTTTGCCTCGGCCGAACGGCAGCAATGGTAAGGGCGGTATCCGTCTTTCCTTCTCCAAAAACCCATTGGGCGTCCGTGGACCGGGAAACCCAAGACGGTCCTCTACGAACCAACAGCCCTCCAGCGGCAGCACGAGTGCAAACGGCAGCAGTTATGGCTACCAGAACTTTCATTGAAGCCAGAAGCAGTGTTTGAAGTCTGTTGAATGTGGGACATTTAATTAAGAAAACTTAATTGAGAAAGAACACCAAACATCATTAATGGCCGATGACTTACGTGCCTTGCGTGCCTTACATGTCATCTGGTGTGAAACGGTTAATTTTTACTTCGAATCTCTTCTATCTGCCAGACTTTCATTCATTGCCTATGGCCCACAGCCCTAATCACATGTTTCATTTTGTTCCTTGTCCAGTGTATTATTCCTCATGTCTGTATCCTATGCAAACGCACATCCTAATTTCTTTTTGCTTTTTGTCTCCATCGACTTGGTTCATATTTGGGTTTAATAGAATATGATATGGTGCTAGTGTAGTATTAGACCTGCATAGTAAAACAGGTATGTACCATTGTATGGCTGCAATTATTTCTCGTCTATAAATACAGTTACGATGCCCAATTTTTTGAGGTCTGTAATTATTGTTGTGGCTTCAAAAATATTGTTCAACATCTTGTTTAATTTTCATTACTCTGTTTCAACACATAATCAGCTGAGCAGTATGTACACCTCGACAAACGAAAAGCGGAAACTAGATTACTCTGAAGAAGAGTTGAAAAGACAAATAGCAAAAGCGATTTTGCTGTTCAAGTTCAAACCACCCTACTCAATCGTATAGATGAAAGCAGAATAAATGGAATGAGAAGGCAATGTAGCGTGGTTATACTAGAGCAGCAAGTAGACGTCAAAGAATAGTTTTGAATGGATCGGCATTGCAAACTCAACGTATTGGGTAACTCCCCGTATACTCAAATAGAACATCACATAAGTTCAGTTTCTTGAGATGACGATCGGGATTACCCATTTAGTCTTGAACATGTGTTACCTTCTTCCTGTCTTCGATGCGACACAGAGGTCAAAGAATCTGACCCGATACAAATTGACAATGAAGCCATTGAGGCAGGAACGAAATTGGACTCACCATGGGATGCCACACGCACATCCTCGTCGATTGTCTTTAGCATTGCAACACCTAAGTTACTTGGGAAGAAGTTTCAACAATTCTTTAGGGTCAGCGTACGCTTGTGATAGCCAGGCAGAACGCAAAAGCGACTCAGTTGTGTCTCTCTTCAGAGGAACCGGGTTCAACATACGAAACAGCTCAAGCCGTGCTTCATAGTGCAACTTCTTGAAGACCGAAAGCGCTGGATTGGAGGACAGACTAAAGTTGCGGTCATTGAGTTTGTTGGCCAAACTAACCAAATCCTTCTCGCTCTCGGGATAATGACGGATGTACTTGTCAATGACGATGTTTTTTTCGTCGGCCGTTGCGTTGGCATGTGGCCATGGCACAGACAAGAGAAAAAGCTGGAAGCATAATATCCCCAATGCCCACACGTCCACCATCTTGAAGTCCATGTGCGCAATGTCAGGCTCTTTGCCGCTATGGATATCATTCTCTACCTGGTACAACTCTGGAGATTTAAAAGACGGCGTACCACAATGGATATCGTTGAGCGGAAGCTGCTCGTCCATCTGGGTCAAGTCCAACGAGCAGCCAAAGTCGTTGAGTTTAAGAAAACCGTTTCCGTCAATGAGAAAGTTTTCTGGCTTTATGTCGCGGTGTGCAATATCGTGGCGGTGGAGAAAGTCCACGGCTTTCACAATCTGCTTGAAAACTGCATCTTTCAAGTTCGAAGGCATACTGATTTTCTTTGTTCTGAGCCGGCACAAATAATCCAACAAGTCGCCCACGGGACAAAACTGGATGATTAGAGAAAGCTCAGGCGAGTCTTTGGTGGTGGCAATAGCGTACACATCTACCACCGACTTGGATGCCGCACATTTCTTCAAGTTTGAGTACTCTCGCATCACCAGGCGATAGTACAAGGAGTCGGATTGAGACTTTTGCTTTTTCACCGTTTTTATAACCACAACCTTGGTATTCGCGGCGTCGGATCCCTTGTAAATGATGCCGTTGGCGCCGTCGAAGATGGGTTTGCTTGACAATCGGAGATAATCCACTCCAACAAGAGCAAAGTCCGCTGGTTCCGGAACAGCAGCATGTAAATCCGGCGGCAGCCAAGAAGGAGGAGAGGCCATCATTGGAAAGGGCAAAACGACTTGAAAATGTGCAAAAGATCAAGGATCGGAGATCAACCGCTGATCTAGGAGATAAGAAGGGATGATGTAAGAAACAGGTCTCTCAAGAACGCTGCCTGGGCACGCAAATGGAACTAGAGTGTGAAGGAATAACCGGGTCCAAGACAACAGGAGACCATATGTTGATAAAAGCGTGGGTGTTGCGGAGACAAAGGGTTTTTTCCGTTGCGCAGACGTTCGAGGGTCCAATAAAGTACGGTTGAGAATTGCGGGGAGGAGCAAAATGGAGGAAAGATGGGGCGCCAATAAAGCAACAATGGAGCAAAGATGAATGGGAAGAAACGGAAAAGCGAAATGTTTTGAATGATTCAAAAAAAGAAGAAAAGTTCTGACCTGGTTAAGAAATTTGAGTCATGGACACATGCTCGGTTCATTTCTGGAAATGAGACGAGAAATAATGAGACTAGAATTGATGAGGATCCTGAAATGAGCACATGAAAAGATGCAACAAAAGCCTAGACCTACACCAAAAACTGGCGAGCGGTTTTGGAGCTCGTATTATAAGACAATCATCGACTCGCTCACAAACTGGCAGATCTACTACGTGATTTTAGACTTAACCACATTTCTCAGCGAGACGCATCATTTTTCATCGCGCGTTGACAGCGAAAGTTCGCCGGCTTATCTCCGTCGCACGTTTTCTTTAAACCGGGTCAACAATCGGGAAGGAAAAAAGTAAAAATAAAAGCAAAGCTATCAACGCCTGAAGCACTCATAGAGATATCAATCATCATCCCAAAGAGGTTGATCTTCGGCACATTACTCAGCCTTTGTTCTGTGAGCGCACCACCATAGAAAACTAACACCCTGCACATAGGAACACAACGGTACCGTTCGCATCCGTTAGGTTCCATCAAGTCTAATTTGAGCTACGACAACGGCCTGGATCTGGCTTGGAAATTTCCAATGAACAAAGAAAAGTTGCAGAAAAACTTGGCCAACGTAGGAACCAACATCCAGTATGCGGGTTCCTCGTTAGGCTCTTCACTCAAGCACAAATTAACCGGCCACAAGGAACATGACGCTGAAAGCGAAATGATTGACCAATGTGACCACGATCTCAAGCAATTGATCAAAGGATTGCAGTATTTGAAGAAACAGGTTCTGCGGTTGGCTGCAAAGCACTGGCCCGACCTCTTCAAAATGTCGCTCAAAACGGCGAAGGTGCTAATAGTTCTTCTTGGCGAAAAGTCGTTGACCTTCAAGGGCATTGACGAGTTCTACGACCGCTTTGACGCCTTGCAGTCCAGCGCCGAGTCCTTCGTGGTGCACCCCAAGGAGAAGCAGTTCTTCGTGCCCAGCCTTCAGCAGGAACTATTCAATTACCTAGCCACCATGGCACAACTTCTGGAGAGGTTTGTCACTCTCGGCGAAACACACGCTAAGAAAGTGGGTGCCAAGGTGGATCCTATTGTAAGACATATCAAACATGTTCGCCACGCTATTGCGGCTCGAAACAAGCAAAGAGCTAAATGCGATAAGTTGCAATGGAAAACTGACAAGTTGGCGAAAAAAAGTCTGCTTTCAGACAAAGAACTGCGGGAGTTTGAGGAGCTTGAACGGCGCTTGGACTTTGAGACTGGCATTTATTCCAATATCCACTCGCGGCTCAAAACCGTGATTCCAGAATTTCTTGCATTGGCTGACGAGTTTGTTGAAAAGTTGACTGCATGGTTCATCTGTCACCAATACCAGCTCTACAAAGAAATGAATAGTGCCTTGGAGTACTACGCCACATTCTATGGGCTTTTGGCGAAAAGTGCTGATGAGGACGACCCCTCTGGTTTGTTGGCACAGTCGTACAACAAAATCATCGAGGATTGGGAATCTCAGGCTACTCCAGTACGGCTACAAACAGAGTCATTCTTATCTGTTATCTACAATAAGAATCCAGAGCTTTTAAATGAGGAAATCACTGATAAGGATAAGAGACTGACGATCAACAAAGCATGGACCCAAGTGAAGGAGAAAGCCACTACAAAACTGCACAAGGTGAAAGCGGCAGACCGTGGTACAGGTATATTCAATGAATATTCCGAGGCTGATCCATTGGTGTCATTCGCTAAGTATAATGATCCCCAACAAAACAAGTCTGAGACCTATCATCCAAGCCGCGTATTGACGCAAGAAGAATTGTATGCTACACCTTCGGAAACGCAGACTCCACCACCGCTTCCGCCACGGGACGAGAACCATCGTATCAATATGGCCCTGCCAATGTTATTCCTGACCCCACTCACTACGCTATCTAGTGTGGATCTTACATTGGATTCGTCCGATAGTCTCAGCTCGCTTGAACTGATGTCCTTGCATTCCGATTCAGACACGGAAAGCGACACTTTTTCGACTGAGCCCACAACAGAGGTGAAGACAGCAGCGGAAAGAGGAAGCGCCGTGTCAGAACGAATCATTGCGGAAATGTACAACGCAAAGAAAAACGACATCACACGAGCTCCAGAAACGCATCCTGATTGGCCTGTTTCTAAAGCCACGACGATTGATGAGAAAAGCTCTGTGTCGTACAAATTAATACAGTTGACAGCTTTCTTTGACAGAGCTATGCGGCTGGCCGAATCACAGACAGACAAACGATCTGTGGTGGCCACGAAGGACTACGAAGGTGTGAACCCAGGAGATCTTTCATTCAAACAGGGAGATAAGGTGGAGGTTGTTTTTGATTTGCAGTCTTTAGGAGTAGCATACAACCCTGAGGGAGCAAACTGGTTTGTGGGATCTGTGGGTCTGAGAGTGGGATTTGCACCCAACACGCATTTTCTCTGGGATTGAGTCGGCTCTTTTGGGTATGAATACGATGATGCCTCACTTCGTGCCATTTTATAGTAATGTCAGTTTGGTGTGTTGATGAACATTTCTTCCTAAAGTTACCTTGTTTACCATGCTGGGTTTAGGATTTGGCGGGTGGGGTTTTTCCCGATCTCCGTCTTTCAAACTTCGAATCTTTTGACACGGCCCGGTCCTTTCGAGAGCCAATTTTTATGATACTCTGCAATGGACACGTACCAAAGCTGAATCTGTTTCTCAATAGTCTTCATACTGGATTCAGCTTTCCTAAACAACTGAGTACATTCTTCTATTAGTTTGGGAGTCGTTAGTTTGGGTACAAAGATGGCGAGAAATTGACACCATATTTTTTCAGGACTAACAGACAAGGCAAGGAGGTGGAACAACAATGGCTTGTAGTCTCCTTGTGATGCTCGCATCGCTAACTTCGTACGGCGAATCTGAGTTGCCACAAGATAGGCGTTCTTGTCGCTATCCCGAATGCTAGGAATGAATTCATTTTCGATAAACTCACGAGTATAGAACATCAGCTCCGGAAAGAAAACCTTATTCTCAAGAAGATGTTTGATACACATATGAAAACATTGTTCCATACAGTTCAGTACCTGTCGTATTGACTCTTCCAGTCCAGAGAAAAATTTTTCGTATTCCTCCCTTGGGTGAGTAAAAAATTCCTCCCCAGAAGGGAATGTTCTCATGAACTTTTTCTTGAAGCAATAGTACCATTCTTGTAAGTGGTAATGCTTCTCTATTTCAAATGGGTTGAGATCTTCGATCACACAACGGCCCATAACATGTTCAATAAGTCGTGCAGTAAAAGCAGCTGAATACACACTCACAATTGAAGCTGATGGACCAGAGAGTTTCTTATAGGACTCCTTAAAGGACTCATCCAGAGACGACCTGGAGACAGGTGGCGTAGTAGCAGTAGATGCAGTGGACATTGGTAAGTGTTTGATTTAAAGATATATCGGGAGAGAAAGGCATCCATCTCAGAGAATATGATCTTATATATCCGTGAGAACTACAGTGAAACCTTCTTGACGCATTAAGGGGCGATATGTATCCCTGTAGTTTCAGATTCTGTAAGATAATGATGAAACTGTTGTGGAGTAATCGTGCATATTGCATGTAAGAGAAGATGGACATGGCCTGTACCAACGATCAATTTCATGCAGTTGATGAGTTGGAAATAGTAGTCGTGACAAAGACTCCAAGACCCCAAACTTGATTCTAGTAGAGACGTCGTTGGAATCAAATGAAATGATAATCTTTGCCTTGATCATCCACGCTTCACAATATTGGCGCATATATTTTTCTCACTTTTCCAATGTAAGATCTTCCACATACAGCTTTTGAAGTTGAAAACATTGCTGTCGGATCGAGCCGTTACCTAGTAGAGACCAAGGCAGATTTCAGAGAGTAGATTTCTTGCCTGACAAAAGCAGTAGAAAACAACATGTCTAATCCACATCGCATTCAAGAAGCGAGAACAACGATTCCAACACCTGTTCAGCATGTGCCCGGAGCCCGTTATGGAAGGTGTCGCTGGTGATGTACTGGCGCAAGTTGCGGTCGGCGAAAAGCGTCCGTTTCACGGCCATTGTCAAGTCGAAATCAACATACTGGTCATGGTAGTAAGTAGCAGAAACGATTGGAACGTCGTTCCAGGTGAGCGAGCGCAACACAGCCGGGTTGTACAATGGGGCCCAGTCCTTGCGCTCGTGCAAAAGAAGCGCCAACTCCTTGACCTTTCGAAGCTCCGTGTAATCGTCGAACATCAGACGGTACACCATTTCGCCTGTGAAGTATACCGGTTCCGAGGACCGGAGAAGCTCGTCAGAAACGACAAAACGAGTGTTTTCAGGCTCGTAGCGCATTCTGTCCGCCGCCCACCGCGATGCCGTCCCTTGCTCACAGTAAATGGCCTCCTGGAACAAAGCGTAGATGATATTTGTGTCAAAGGACATGTCGTTCTGGATTGCGTTCAAAGACGCATACGTTGGGGCGCCAGCGGTCTCTATCGCATACCAGAGCTCGGTAACAAGCACGTGGAGCCCGTCTGTTCCCTTGTGGGCGCCCATGCGGAGACCCAACAGTTGGAAACGCTCGACAGACAAGATTCCGCCGTTGGGCAAAACCACTCTGTTCTGGCGCAAGTACGCCACAATGGCCCGCACACGCGCCACATCCTGCGGGTACTTGTTGTAGTAGTGGGCGTTGCGCTCTGCTGTGCGTTTGTAGGTCTGGCGATAAACGTCGTCCGGGGTTTTCCCAATTGGCGGAACGCCGCCGGTCACGAGCACGTGGGACACCAGCGCTGCAAAAAGCGACAAGTAGGTGAAGCAGCAGAAGCCGCCGTAGCTCTGGCCGATAAGCGCCCACGGCTGCGAGCCGAAAAGCGCCCGTCTCACCTCTTCCATGTCCCGCACGATATTGTCTGCCCGAAAGTGCAAGAGGTATTGTTCTGCGTCCTGCGGCGACATGGACGCAAGAAAGTAGGCCTCGATGGGGCTGCTGAGCCCCGTTCCCCGCTGGTCGTAGAAAATAAGCGTGTAGCCCTTGTCGAGGAAGATTTTGGTGGAGGCGTCATTCGACGGAATGGGACACGAAAACCCGGGGCCGCCTTGTAAGTACGCGAGCGGGCGGACGTTGGGTGGGAGCACCACACTCTGTTTGTTGGAGTTGTTGTTGTTGGAGCCGTTGTTGTTGGTATTGTTGATGTTGGCATTGTCGCCGATCTTTGAGTGTTTTTGCACAATGTTGGCGACAATGGAAATGGATTTGCCGGGCGACGCGTAGTCGAGCGGAACATCGAGCTTGATTCTCTGCTGGAAAAGCCCGTCAGCAACAAAGGAGTCCACTAGCGTATAGGCCATTTTGGATATTCTGAGGTTCATGGAGAGGCGCGAATGGGGCGGCCGCGGTGTTTTATAGGGCGGCCGCGGAGTTTTATAGCGGCTTCGGCCCGTTCCAACTGAAAGCCGTTCGCAGTTAGGCGCCGCGCCAAATCAGGGCGCGGCTCTGTTTGTAGCCCAAACATAATGACAGATGAGAGGGAAGAGGAAGATCAGTGAATTGTGGATCAGATTATAGATCAGATTATAGATCAGATTATAGATCAGATTATTGATCAAATTATAGATCAGATTATTATTGATCAGACTATTGATCAGACTATTGATCAGATTATTGATCAGATTATTGATCAGATTATTGATCAGATTATTGATCAGATTATTGATCAGATTATTGATCAGATTATTGATCAGACTATTGATCGGACGAGTGTAGATGGATATCAGATGTATGAGGAATGTACAAGGGTTCAGGCAAAATCGGCTAGAATTAAGAACAAGCGAATACAAGAATTGAAGAAAAATAAGAGGTAGGCGCTCAGCCAGCCAGCTTCGCCGGCCCGATGTCGATAACTGCTCTTACAGGTCAAGAAAAGTAGTGTTGGCCTGGTATTTTGTTTTCGGTTCGAAGGCCGTTGCGACATAAGACGCTGGCGAAATCATGTACATTTTCATTTTGAGTCTCTGTCATTTTCTTCAATTAATCAATGAGCAGTAACCAGTTTAGAGCAATGATTACGCAATTGTCATGAGATTCTGCTTGGTTTACAAGTCGGCACGGGATCTTTACAAATGTATTTAAGATTGATAAACGTGGTTGGAACATAGCACAACTTAGTGTCATTTGAATTGTGGAAGATCCTAGCGCTGCAATGAAGTATATGGTTTATTCTCTAGCCAAAAATGTGCAGATACAGCACGATCCAGGTCCAAACGTTTTCATCTATTAAGCTGCCTCTAGATACCTTAAGCTACCTCTAGATACCTTAAGCTACCTCTGGATACCTTTAGCTGCCTCTAGATATTCCCTTAAGCTGGCTTAAGCTGGCTCTAGACCTTAAGCTACCTTTAGATACCTTAAGCTGGCTCTAGACCTTAAGCTGGCTATTACACGTAGAGCCTGGTCCGATCTAAGAATCATGCCCGGCCACATAGAGACAGCCTATAACTAGCACCATCAGCTTCCTCGACTAGGCCCACTCTGGTTTCGGTTCAGGCTTGCCCCGGTCTCTGCCTCTGCCCCGGCCACGGAAATTGCCTCTGCCGCGGCCACGGAAGTTTCCTCTTCCCCGTCTGACGGAGGCCTGGCCAAAAGTGTCCATGTTGAGCGAGCGCTCTTCATTCCACCGCATGCCGTTTCCTTCGTTCACCGACATGCTGTCGAAGAAGCCCTTCTCCTTGCTGTACACGGGCTTGTGCTCTGCATGTTCCTTTTCGAAGCGGGCGTTGGCCGACTCAAAGTCAAACGCCGTGTCGAACCCCGGCTGGGCGTTTTCGCTGGTCTGCGTCGCCGAAGCACGGTCGGCGGCCGTTGCTGAAGGCTGCGGGCGGGCAGCGCCGCCAGAAACTGCCGTAGGGCGTGCGCCAGAAACACCAGAAGCTGGTGCCGCCCCAGTCTGGGCCGGAGCCTGAGCCGAAGTCTGCGACGGAGCCTGGGCCGCAGCCGGGGCCGCCGAAGGTGTCGGGCCCGCACGCGAGCCGTGCGTAGGCTCTCTGTGCTCCTGTTCCCGGCTTTGCAGTCTTTCTTGCGGCGAAGCCTCGCCAGGATGGGCGCCAACTTGGTCCACGGGCACGTCAATCACCGACAAGTCCTTGACGTCGGAGCCACGGAACACCACGTGCTCATACACGTCGGCGCCGGGCAAAACCTCGGCCTGGGGCTGGCCCACTTGTGCCATTCTTCCCTCGGTGCCTAGCGACCGCACCTGCAGGAGGGCCAACGTGGCGTCTTCGGCATTGATGTTCTCCAAGACGCCAACGTAGCGAAGGCCCTTGTTGGAGATCAACGAGATGGTTTTTCCTATGTACTGGGACATGGCGGAAAATACAAGAAGGTGGAGTTTGAAACGTTGGTGGGTGGGGCCCGCACACCCGTACACCAGGCTTATTCGTCTGTTTGGGCCCTCCGATATTTGGCCCTTTTGTCTGTTTTGGGCATTTTTTGGAGGATAGGGCGGTAATTCCGGGCTGTATAGTGGTAGAAACGGGCCTGCAAATGGAAAAGAAGGTTGTGTGGCTCACAGAGAAGGTACAAAGAGGAGATGGAAGTTGTGCTGTGTGCAGGACACCGATTTACGTAGTCAGAGGAAAACGAACCGTTAGGGTAGTGGGAGAAGGATATTGATTTATTATTAATAGCTGTAGAGATGTTGTGGAAAAGCATGATTTCAATTTTTTTTGTTTTGCGTACGGACGTAAATTGCCAGAAAGACGCACATTTCCAGATATATTGAGAAGCGCAGGCCAAACCAAGTGCAATATAATGTATCGAAAAAAGGAAGAGAGGAGAAAAATGGGAGAAAAAGGGATTGGATGAACTATAAACGGAGATACAGCGTTGAATGAAATGCTCGATAGATATCCAGGAAAGAAGAATGTCCCGTGTGGATTATAGTAGGCAAGTAGCAGAATATGAGCCTGAAAACCACAGTAAAAGACATACGTTTAGTTTTCTATGCTTGCCTGGTAGTCTTCTATGCTTACGTGGTAGTCTTCAATGCTTACCTGTCTTTTATTATTTACCTGGTAGTCTTATGACTTACTTCTACGCTTCTATCACTGTGGATTCAGACCAACAAATCAGATCAAAGACCACTTCTTCCCACCAAGCCGCATGGCCAGGCTCATGAACCTAACAGAATATCCTAAGCCAACAGACAAAAGTGTAGGCTAAAAATGCGAGTCATCATGGTAATGAATCAGACCTATCTGGAAAGCGCATCTGAACGGTTTCACTCTCGCTTTTCTATTCCTTTCTTTTCAACTTTTTTTTATTCCTTTTATATACTTTTACTTTTTTCGTGGACCAACACATGGGTGATATACAATCATTATTCAGTCTAATCGTAGCTGGATACATCGTAGTAATCGAGCTGGTCTGGTATAGAGCATTATCACCACTTTTCCGCGCATCAACTTCCAACTACACCAACGATGGAAGCCAAAACAGACGAAACAACAGGGCCCATGGCTGGAGAAGAAACAGCACAGGAGCCGGTGCAAGAGCAGCCGCAACACACACCTACGCCATCGGAGGGCGAAAGCAACGAAAACTTCGAGCAACAAAGCGACAGTGAGCAGAAACAAAACGCCGAAGCGCAAGAACAGCTGGAGCCGGACTTTGAGCAGGACATTTATGCGATCCGAAGCCACAAGAACGGCGGCGAAGGCGTGACACGCAAAAAGGTGATTCGAAAAAGCGCCAGAGACGAAAGAGAGCGGGACATAACGCCTGCTGTCGAAAGTTACGGCGACAACTCTGGCGCCGAAGGGTACGAGGACCCGCTCACGCAGCGCAGAAGACAGTTGGAGGAGAAAATGGACCTTGCCGTCAAGTCCAAAACAAGCAGACGGAAAAAGGCCGACGAAGACGACTTGGAGCGCATGCAAGACGACCGCATCGACCACTTGAAGAACAAAATGATCGAGGCCGCCAACTTGGACGTGGAGAAAAACTCGCAGGGCCAGATCGCCACGGAAAAGTTGAAGATGTTGCGCGAGGTCATGGACACCATGACTAAGGCGGACTTGGCCATTCTGATTTTGGACAACAACTTGCTAGAGGCGGTGCGCTTGTGGCTCGAGCCCTTGCCAGACGCCTCCATGCCCGCCTACCAGATCCAGAAGGAGTTGTTGCAGTCGTTGGGCGCCTTGCCCATCAAAACAGACCACTTGGTGGCCAGTGGCATTGGCAAAGTGTTGGTTTTCTACCAGCGCAGCAAACGGACAGAGCCCAGCTTGAAGAAGATCGTCGACCGCTTGATTGGCGACTGGACGCGGCCCATCTTGAACAAGTCCGACTCCTACAAGGACAGGACCATCAAGTTCCACGACTACCACAAGGCACGTTTTTCGAACCAGTTGCGGTCGCTGCGCAAGAAGCAAACAGAAGCCAAATCGCTCTATGAACAGCAGGCCGAGCGCCGGAACAGAGCGGCCATTCCGGCGGCTCGAACAACAGCGTACAAGATTGCGCCTAAAGTCGATCCAAGTTTGTTGATGCGCCAACAACGTGGAGCAGGCGAGATGTTTACTCGGATCAACAGAAAAATGACCGGGGCCAAGAAGAAGTCGGTGAAAAAAGCCGGGCCTTCGATCGAGGGCAAGAGTTTGTCGATGTAAGATACACGAACTGCTTCGAAGAGTTATTATGAATCATCGCATATGTTGATTTTGTGTCTAATGAATGCAACTAGGCTCGATGAAGAGTGAATGTGGCTTTTCTGATTGTGCCATGAACCTGAATCGAACCTCACTGATTTCGACGCCGGTGTTCGTTTGAACTGAATGACGTTTATAGACTCCGTGAGTTGGCCAAATGCAAGTGCTAAAGAACCGAACGGTGAATGAGTGATTGTATTTCCTATAGTTGATACTTCGTAGTATTCCTCTGTTAATACTGTGATGTCGATAATACTACCATAGTAATTCGTTCTAGTAATACTGTGTACTTGTTCTAGTAATACTGTGTACTTGTTCTAGTAATACTGTGTACTTGTTCTAGTAATACTGTGTACTTGTTCTAGTAATACTGTGTACTTGTTCTAGTAATACTGTGTACTTGTTCTAGTAATACAGATAGTACTTGTTCTAGTAATTATGATGGTACTTGTTCTAGTAATACTGTGTACTTGTTCTAGTAATACAGATAGTACTTGTTCTAGTAATACAGGTAGTACTTGTTATAGTAACCGATGGTACTTGTTCTAATACTTATAGTACATCGTTAAAGCCGTTTGAGATGACAAATTCTCTGCTGCAACGGTTCTCTACAGTTTCATGGAATAGCACAACATTTGAGAATCTCGACTTCAGACTGTAGAAGTCTGTTTTACGTGGTTGCGTAGTCATGCAATGCTTAAACTCGCGACTGAATCTCCACTTCAATAGCTGAGACAGGATGGACATCATAAGGACTGACAAGGATTGATCCATCAGAGCTGATCGACAACAGAATTAATGATCCATATCAGAGCAGGATTGATCATCAGAGCAGGATTGATGATTTACGTATTTGCAGATTTATTCAGCTTGCCTGTCAAGACATCCGTTGAGCCTCAGCACCTTGACAGATCGTTCTACAGCACGTCAGTGTAATCGTAGTATTATGAATGGGAGTTTATACAGTGGACAGGACACAAAACCAACTTACGATCTTGGCTTTTCCTTCTTTTCCTTCCACAAAGCCAACAAGGAGACACCAGAAACCTTGACAACCTTGAATCTGACACCTGGAATATCACCCTTAGCCTTACCTCTTCTACCGAAACCAGCCAACAAGACTTCGTCGTTCTCGTCGACAAAGTTCAAACAACCATCGTTTGGCACGAAAGCAGTAACCTTCTTACCGTTCTTGATCAATTGCACTCTGACACACTTTCTGATAGCAGAGTTTGGTTGCTTGGACTCGATACCAATCTTTTCCAACACAATACCCTTGGCGTGCGAGGATCCACCAAATGGAGAAGACTTGAAGGCAGTACCCAACAATCTAGACTTGTAAGCTTGGTCGGCCCATCTGTTGTTTCTTCTGTGGACTCTCAACTTTCTGGCCGAGTTAAGACCTCTTGGTTTACCGTTACCCATGTTTGATTAGTATGAGGAGAATGAGACTGGAAAAAGTTTTGTGGGTTTTTTTTTCCAGGCTTTTTTTCCGCGGGTGCGCGAACCAGCGGATGGATGGGTCACGTGCACACCATCGCCCAGGGCAAAAGCAGCAGTATATGCGGGAGTGCAGGTAGGCTCTGGCGCGGGATTCTGTCACGTGAATAGGGCACGAGCCCTAGACACCAGAGGCCATTGTCTGGAGGAGTCACCATTTGGCCCCATTCTTGAAATACCGTCTGCATCTTTATGATGGATTAATAGTAGGAAATATACAGAATATGGTACATGATGACTTAATAGTAGTAGGAATATACAGAATATGCTATATGATGAATTAAAAGTAGTAGGAAATATACAGAATATGCTATATTACTACAGGATGAAGATTACTCGTATCAGTTATAGTGGGCACTTTAGTCCATCCAAGACCGTATTAGGAGCCACTACTTTAGTGGTATGAAGACATGTCAATTGTAATTGGGCTATCACTGGAATTTGTCTGATGTTGTATTCATTTCAAGATAGATTTTTTCTATACTCCACGAATATTCTGTTTGTTAGTTCACATACTGACGAAACATTCAAAAGAGACTAACTTATGCCGTTCATTTAACATTTATAGTCGAAGATGCTAGCAGAAACCATGACTTAAACAGGAAAGTAGCCCGTTACTTACGATTCTTTGTGAGAAATTTCATACTGGTTTTGTTGGCTCCTGCTATTCTTCAAGAGATCGACAATCCATTCAGGAATAAATCATTCATAGTGGAAAGGTCTCAGTAGTCCCAACTCACCATATCACCAAAAAAATTAGCAATTCTTTATCATCTATTCGATAGGCTACAGAAAGTTAGTAAACACGATAATGGAATAATGTATAGTCGCGGATGATACAGATACGATAACGGAATAATGTGTTGTGACAGGTTCAGCACAACAGAGAAAACAGAAACAGAATAAAAATGCTATGGTCAACATGACATCATCATTTGACGACTGGCACATTAAATCTAAACAAACATACCAGTCTTTCAATGATCGCCATCCATGTCTTCTACGTCACAGAGAATGATGGATTATGCAGCATAGATCAACGGTCACAACACTTTGATAAGGTGACTCAGATTGGATAGGTGTACCTAGAATTGACGTTCTTGAGGTTTCTAATTCCATGACTTTTCAAAAGTTTCGTGGGATACCCTCAGTAAAATATGCAATCCATTGGACATCAATCCAATCTTGCCCAACGGTGTTGAAAGTCCCATGCCCTATAAGTAGTTGACATGCAATGGTAACAAACATACGTAGTCAATCATGAGTTCGGCGTGACAAAACATATCGCTCTGATTCAACGCCAAAACCAACCTAGTCGGAGGATATCTATGCCTTCACCAAAGACCTCCGCCGCTTCTGAAGACTTTTAAGTGCAAGCAAAAACAACATGTCAAGCTGGTCCTTAAACATAAACAACAAGCCTTGGACAATGACGCCTTTGAGTAACTGCGGTCCAATGCCCTTGTATAAACCATGAAACTTTTCTGTCTTCCACAAATGTTCCAACGCATGCGTAAAACTATCAAACTTTATTTCATCACCCTCATCCACAGCTGCTTCAGCCTTTCCATCCTTTGGAGCTGGATGATGCTTTTTCTGAAGCATGGCCTTGGATACAATCAAGGGCTGGGTGGCAATAGTGGCTAAAGACTTAGCCAACATACCAATGCTAAAACTTTCTAAAGGTCCCAAATATTGCTTATCGTTGTACAATATTTGCCTCAAGCGTTCAAAAGAACCATATGTGATCGACGGATTAATGCACAAAACCAAAGACACGTTCAAGCCCTTCCAGAAGCCCTTTATACCATCATGTACATAAACTTCCTTGATCAATTGATACAATGACCGCCGGTGCTTGTCTGTCTGTTGCTGTGTCGTCACAACACCAATAGGCATGGTGAAAAGTTGAGAAATGGCCGCCGCCAAAGCTCCCAAGAACAATTCGGTAGCAGTCAGGTGCTTATGAGATGCATTCTTGCTTGTCAAACGAGCAAAGACACGCCGGACGATGGTGTACCAGTAAAAATAGGAAAAGTTCTGCGCTGTTGTGCCGACGATTGAAGAGAGCAAGCCGTGGTACCAGCCCAACACACCTTTTTTCTTGTAGATTTTGTGCAAAACATCAAGAGCACTCTTATATTTCAACTCGTTACCTCGCTGCAGCTGTTCCCACAAGTGTTCGCTGCTTGTGGATACACTCCGGCCCATAGCCATTGCCTGGGCGGAAGGATCACGCTTTTTCACTTGCGTTTGGATAATGGTTTTGCTCAAGTCTAGGGGATAGACAAGAGTGTTTGCAAAAGCAGACGCTAATGCACCACTAGCGGCTTTTTCAAGAGGTGTGAGATGAGGCATGCTGTGGTTTGGATGCAACTGATGATTTCACAATGGCTCGATCTTTAAGAAAAGGATATAGGAGTATACGGCCAAGGTGACCAGAAAGAACAATTTCGCAGTAGGAAGCTCCTTTTAAGCAAAAAAAAAACTAGTCACAAAGCTCCACAAGATGGTCCTTCCGGGTCAAACTTGGCCCGAGGATATATAGTTTACTCCACATGCTGAGGCAAGTCCGAGGAAGAACCCCACTCCTACACACAGGTTGAGACGCGCATGTTTATTTTCCGTCATTATTATCTATCGTTTTTTTTTTTTTTTTTTGGCGTCCGCGACCTCTATATATACTAAATATGGCTGCAAAAAAAATAATCTTACAGGGCATATAAAAAGCCTTGTTGTCGCTCCTAAAAATTCACGAGAATTTCAAATTTTCCTAGTAGAAAAAACAACTGCGTGGGGCCGTGCAGCGCTTTCTTTCGTAGTTTAAGTCCATTTGAAAATGTGCCGGTCCGTTCCGCAGCTTACCAAGAGATTCGTCAAGACGTTCAAAGTTTTAATTCTTCCTTCATGACCAGACAATTCAGCAGAAACTTTTCCGCTCGAAAGATCGATGCCTCGGATCACCCCGTCGTCTCCTAAGACCCACAAGCCTGTACCATCTGGTCTCCAGTCTAGAATGGCTTGGCTGTACTTGTCTTGAGGCGACAAGGTATTGAGGTTGGCAATGATTTGGTTTCGCTGAACAGTTTCTTGTGCAGCAATGCCGACTTGCTTCAATGTGACTATGACTGCTCGCATGAAAGGCTCATGCGAAGTACCAACAGCAACCAACGGCACGTTTTCACCGCTTTGGTGAATTCTTACACACATGGGCGTGAAACCAGCAGCGGAAAACTCCGCGTCATTGAGTGCAATACGACAATCGAGAGACAACTTCTGCTCCTCGCCCATGCAAAGAACATCCATCAATGTGATTTCACTCTTGCCCACGAGGACTGTGATTCTGTCTTTATAAACGCATGCATCCATACACGAACCCTGATTCGCCAACTTGAAGGGTTCGCCCACAGGGCATATATCGTCGTCTTCAATTTTGAAAACTTTGACCAAATAGTCCCAGCCCAAACTGACCAAATAGTCCTGCTCCCTCCAGCTGACAACTTTGACGTCGACCACAAGACGAGCATGGATCTGCCTTTCAGCTTCAATGTTCAATTCCAGCATTCCATGGGAAAATTTGCACAAAAAGGCTTTTCCCTGCATGCCGCATAATACCACAGCATTACTTGTCACTGCTATCTTGCGGATAACGACATCTCCTATGACGTTCTTGCGCCTGAACACTTCGGAGGAGGACTCAATGTCCACAACCACCAATTCTCTGGCAGACGTGGCTAATATGAGGTAATTCTTGTTGTCAAAGTGCATGATTGCACTGTCGATGACCAAATCGTCTATTTTGGCGATTTCATGCGACACATTGGGAAAAGGGACGGCCCACTCCTTGAACTGCTTCTCTTTTATAGATCGAAGCTCTTCATCAAGAATCTTATCGTGGGAATCCTGGACTTGTGGTTCAGTAGAAAGATATTTCAACCGATCTGTGATGATGTCCGTTAGCGATTCGTCATGAGGCAATTCAGTAGTTATTTGCTTGCCATGTTCTGCTTCAAACGTTTTGAGAGTCTCCAAGTACCCATTGTCTTTGAGGAAATGAGCCACGAAGCTATGGACAGACATGGTACGAAATGGGAGTCTACATGATGTTTTCTAGTTGTCGCAATATGTGTTTATGTGCCGTCTATGATACATGATTAAGAACCATCAAGGTTTGGAAGTGGTACACCAAAGGCTTTACAGTAGTCTGAGGTTTGGGTTATTTGTCCAGTATTGCAACGAAACGTCTTTTTGGGAATTATCTGGCGCACACTTCTGGAAGTTGGAAGGTACCTTAAGGTCAAGTTTTTCGATTCTCGGTATCTCGCGAGAGATACTCTCTTCAAGTTCATTGATAAGACCTTTGATGCGATCAAGATGTAAAAGATCATGTGGATTGATAGAAGACCATACGGAGAAATTTGTACTCACAAAATCTTCCACGACCTTGTTGACAGCGATGCTCCTGGCATCATGATATAAGCCAGAATCATGGTAGATAGAGTTTTCTGTCAACGGATCGATGTCTAAAACCTCTATAAATTTCCTTCTAGGCAAGCATTTGTCGAGAGCCAAGAAATGTGTTGTTTTTGCAATTTTTCGGCGCTTCACAGAATTGTTCATTGATTGTTGAGCACCCACGCTATCGTCCAAATCTAGAAGAATCTCAGAGGAGCCTGCAGATTTTGGATTTGCGCTACCTGGATTAGTATCTGACTTGGTTTCAGACAGGCGGTCTAAATTTTCATCCATGTCTATTTTAATTTCTGACAGATTTTCTTCAATATCTAGTGTGATTTCGTTAGAGGCTTCTTTTAACGTGGGCTGGACTTCTGACCCGGTAGATTTATCGCAGGATACTTCTTCGTCCATATCTAGCATGATCTCTCCAGACTTTTCAGGCGGGGTTTCACGAGAATGATCTCCGTCAACTTTTTTCTTCAAGTATGCCTCTTCGTCAACTCCAAATTCCTCGGCATGTTTCACATTTGCCACGAAGCGGGTGTGTAAATGCAGAGAGAACCAATAACGTGGCTTCAATCTGCCCAATGCATTTCTGGCAAGAGGTGAGCCTAGGCGTCCCGAATCCATGTCCTTACGGAAGAATGGTTTATGCCGAAGTAGTTGGGCACAGTTACCCCATTTCCAGATGTACTGTGGCCAATCGTGAGACACAACAATATCGCTAGTCAGGCTCAATAGAAGCTTGAGGTAGTTTTTGGGCACAACATGATAAACGGACTTGATTGTCTGGTCTGAATACGGGAGGGCATAAGTCGGAGCATTCTTCTTTGACATGGCACTGATGAACGAGTGGTAGTTCCATATTCCGCTTATACCGCTGATTCGAAGTCCCTTGAACCACACAACACCATAATGGCCCAAGTAGTAAATGTTAGGGGCCACCCAGCCTCCATACTGAAGCTCACGCAAGTACAGCAGGCACTCATGGTTCCCACCAATGAATACTGTTAAAACTGGAGCCTTTTTCTCCCCAGAGTAGTATCTGTGGAAATCCCCCATTTTCAAGTACTTTCTTGGAACGCTCATGGTTTCGAGATCAGCCGAGTTGCGGAGCGCCTCGAAATCTCCACAGATGATGAGCAACTCTGCCAGGGAGGGCACATTGGCATAGATTTCATCAAGGTCGCCGTGGCAGCATCCTTCCACTACTACCTTGACCATGTTCTACCTCGTAGGACATCCAAATGAGCCCCGCACTACTAGGACCACAGATGTTTGCCCCAATGAACAAGAATAGCAGAGTATCTTAGGGCGGTCGAAGACAATACAGAAAAACAATTACCACAACTGTGCGTCATGATTCGTATCTACTACAGACTAAATCTGCGGAATCCGATGTCGATCGGAGGAATACTTAAAACTTGAAAACGTGGTCTTTGGTGTAGCCCAATTCAGCCAATGCACCGGTGACCTCACCCTGGTCAGTTGGAGACTTCTTGTTACCCGAGATGGCATTGTACAAGCCTGGAGGACCGCACACATAGATCTTGGAGTCCTTGGATGGGCCTGGCAAGTGCTCCTTCAAAAACTCCTTGGAAATGTAGCCGGTGTGACCCTTCCAGCCCTCTGGGGCCTTGTCAAGGAAGTAGTGGATGGAGACTTGGTCCTTGTGCTTAGCAGCCACATCGTCCAATTCTTTCCTCAACAAAATATCGTCCTCGGTCAAGTTACCGTAAAACAACGAGACCTTGGTCTTGTCATTAGGGTTCTTTGTGATCTCGTGAATCAATTGGTACAATGGAGTAATACCAGAACCACCACCAATCAAGGTGATGTGCTTGAACTGGTTAGGTTCCCACTTCCACTTGACAATTGGACCCTTGAAGGAAACAGTGTCGTTAGGCTTCAAGTCGTGCATGTGCTTGGAAAACTTACCGTCTGGGTAAGTCTTGATGACAAACTCGAGAGTGCCCTTTTGGTCAACGTCGGACACGGGCGTGTAAGGTCTAATGACATTGTTTCCCTTTGGAGTCACGTACTTGGCCAAAAGAAGCGAAGCAGTGACCAATCCGGAAACATCTTCTGGGCTCTTCAACTCAAACACATAGTGCTTGGTGTTTGGGGAAATGTGCCACGAGTCCTTCAATTTCAAGTCGATCCACTCGTCGCTACCAGTGAAAGTCTTGCTGGGTTCGTTGAAAACACGGGATCCTGAAAAGTGGAAGGCCAATCCGGCAGCACCGAAAGCACCGATAACAGGCAAAATACGCTTGTATGACAAATTGGCAAGAGACATTGAATATATTTTGAGCTGTGGAGTTCTAGAGTTCGCGGATGTGCTCGCCTTTATATACTGGGAACCTCCTATATAGGTATCCTGCAGGCTACATCGGGGTTTATTGACAGTTTACAGAGGCAGACAGGGCTGCACCCACGGGAAAACGAGGCTGAACGCTCGCCTAGTTCCTTCTTTGCTTATTCTGGCTCGATTGGGGGCCAATGGAACACATGGGCGTGGATTGCTGCTGGAGAAGTCATGGGGAGGTACGGGTGTGACGACTATGGATGCTGCCTCCACACATTAACCAATCGCGCAAAGAGGTATGGTTGCTTGTCATGTGAGCGTAGCACCACTTTAAGAGTTTGAGCTTAGATTATAAAAGCTGGAGCTTTTCGAATTCAGTGTTGATCAGTATTTGCATTCAAAGTACCAGTTTCCCACGTTGAACTACTTTGGATCCTAGCTTACTTACTCCACTTACTGTGCACCCTCCTGCAACCTGCACTGTGTCTTTTAGTCAAGTTTTAGTTGATTGGCATTTACTAAATTGCTCAATTGAAGAACAGAATTGAGCGGCAAATTCGGCCAATTTCAGATAAGAACACCTGGATTGAGTATATATCCATTGCTGGAGCAACTCAATTGCTGATAAATCCTACAAACCATGTTGAGCGGAAAATCGCACAAAGAATTGCTACAATTGGCACGCGGGCTCGTGCCGCAGCTCAAGGCTTCGATGCACAAGGGCCAGGCCGGCAAGATCGGCGTTTTCGGTGGCTGCGAGGACTACACCGGGGCGCCGTTTTTTGCCGCTCATGCCGCAGCCATTGTGGGTGCTGATTTATCCCATGTGGTGTGCGAGCGGCTTGCTGCTCCCATCATCAAGGGCTACTCGCCAGACTTGATGGTGCACCCTTATCTCTATGCGCTGGACAATGTCGAGGTGGAACGGTTCGCACCACGCGAAGTGTGGAAGAACCTCGCACGGCAGCCCTTAGAAGAAGGTCTCGAGGTGGGGGCGGTCAAAAAGGTTGTGGAGGAACACATTTTGCCCAAGTTGGCGGGCTTGGTCGAGCGGCTTGATGTATTTGTCGTGGGTCCCGGATTTGGGCGTGATCCGTTGATGCTTGCGACATTGGCCCGGGTTGTGGAGGAAATCAAGGTCGCCGACAAGACGGTTGTGTTGGACGCCGATGCTCTATTCCTTGTTTCCAAGCGGCCGTCGCTTGTGTCGGGCTACAAGAAAGCAGTGCTCACGCCGAACGTGGTTGAGTTTGCACGGCTCTGTGAGGCGGTTGGCGTGGACAGCTCGAGCGATGGCGCTGCGTGTGCCCTCTCGCAGGCGTTGGGCGGCGTGATTGTGGTGCGCAAGGGCGGCGCCGAAGAGATTGTCCGTGGGGACAAACGCGTGGTCAACGATATGGACGGGTCGCCCCGGCGCGTGGGCGGGCAGGGCGACAGTTTGGCTGGTACCATGGCGACGATGCTTGTGTGGGCGGGTCACTATGACCGGGGCGATCTTTCTTTAGAGCCAGGAGTTCGTGGACAGCGCATGGGCGCGGACGAGCTGGCGCTCGTGGCATGTTTTGCTGCGAGTGCTGTGGTTCGTGTGGCTCTGGCCCGGGCGTTTGCCAAGCACGGACGTGCAATGCAGACATCCGACGTGCACGCATGTCTAGGCGAGGCGTGCCACGAGGTTTTGGGCGACGCATGGTGAAGTTCACAATGGGATGGCGGATTGGGTCTGGTGAAGCGGTGGAAGTCAAATCTATGAGGACGGCGGATGGTACTCAACTAGATGGGCTGGAGGATCTAGGGCTTTCACAACTAGACACATGCTGTCCCATTTTCGGCTGGGCTTATGATGAGTGTTTCTTCGTAGCTTCAGGATTTTGATATTCTCTGAGCCGTTGGGCCAAGACGATATCGATTCTCAACAGTTGCCTCCAGCCTAGAGACGGAATGAAGCCCCATTTCCAACGAGTGCTGGTGTTCATGAATGGAAGAAAACAAGATGTGGCCAAGACCATCCGACAAATATGAATGCACGATCTTAGGCCGAAGCAATGGTGCTGCTTGGAATAGGACATACGAAAGAGTCGTAGAGTATCTGACGAAACTTCAACGGCATTAGATGCTTAACTTGTCTTTACGTATCGTATCTTATTGTTCGAAAATCGTGTTAGCCAGTCCAATTGATGGCGATTGTTTAAGCCATCTACGATTTATTGAGGATTTAAGCTCTCGGAAATTAAGTTATCAGGATTAGGCATCGATTTGCGTAACTAAATAAGGTATCCAAGTCTAAGATGTTCGAATTCGAACCTTCACAGTCTATAATGTCACACCAATAGAATGATGTCGGTGTGCTTTGTGGTTATGTGGTTGGTCCTATCTGTACTGACTATCTGCTCTGTTTCCATTTTGCTTAATCATGTGTTCTTCTCTCATAGTGATCATATCGTTCTTCTCTCATGGTGATCAGGTCGTTACTCATGTCGTTACTCATGTCGTTACTCTCTCATGTCGTTACTCATGTCGTTACTCATGTCATTACTCATGTCGTTACTCATGTCGTTACTCATGTCGTTACTCATGTCGTTACTCTCTCATGTCGTTACTCATGTCGTTACTCATGTCATTACTCATGTCGTTACTCATGTCGTTACTCATGTCGCTCTGCTTTATTATGCGTTCTCCCTCTTCAATGTCGTCTTTCCGGCGTTAGTTCACATTTGCAGCCATCGGTCCCCGCATTTGCACCTCGGATCCAAAGGGCGCGCCTGCACACAGCCCACAAACCCGCGACATCCAATCCGCCATCCAATCCGCCATCCCAGGCGACATTCACCTCCTCCACATTGTCTCCTCTATCATAGCGTCATGGATAGTTGTGGGCCTTCGAGCGCTTTGACACAGCTCAATAAACATGCACAGCGCGACCAGACGCTTCAAAACGAGTTTGTGCGGCCTGCGCCGGGCCAGAACGCCAATGCGTTCCAGCGGCCAAGAGTGGATCATGCCCTTAACAGTGAGTTTGAGCGGTTCCAGCAGGACTCGTTCCAGCCTTTGAATATGGACATGCAGCAGTTACAGAGCCATCATCTTCAGAACCAGAACCTTCAGAACCAGCACCAGAATCATCAGCTTCAGAACCTTCGGAATCATCAGCTTCAGAATCATCAACCTCAGAGTCATCAGAATCTTCAGCTTCAGAACCAGCTCCAGAACCACCAGAGCCAGAACTTTCAGGGTCAGAACCAGCTTCAACAGCCCAATACGTTTGCGCAGCAGTTTCTCGCCCAGAACCAGAGCCAGAAGTCCGGCTGGGTCGACGACTTCCATGCGCTTTCGCTCCGCGACCGCCCGAGCTGGAACCGCCAGTTCATGCAGAAAACGCCGCTCACCTTCACCCACGCGCCCGCCTACACAAACAAAGACACCGACATGGAGGTCGAGGACCTTGGCGCGCAGTTTGACGAGGTGGAGCGCGAGTTGGCGCAGCTCGAGCAGAACGGGGCGCAAAGGGAGGAAGTGCAGAACGAGGCAGTTCAGGCGGACACAGTTCAGGCCGACGACGACAAGGAACGGTTTGCAGAGGCCGCGCGCCAGGTGCAGCGGCTGATGCTGGAGCAGGGCGGGCTCCGCCTGGACGAGACGAGCGAGAAGTTTGCGCAGCTGAATTTTCTCAAGCTCATGGCGCTGATTTCCGAGCGGCAGGTGGAGATCTCGCCCGACGGCGAAAGCTTGGTGCGGTCCAACCCGGAGCGGGCGCCGGAGCCCGACTACCACGTTCCGCCGCGCGACGCCGAAACGTTGCGCGCCCAAAACGTGCGCGGCGGCGCCGAAACCATGCGCGAGTCCGAGTCGAGCTCGGTGCGGGCCCACCTCCCGGACCCTTTGGCGCATGTGCGCGACGGCGCGTTGGCGCTGGACTTGACGCCGCTCCAGGCGGCGCGCATCATTAGCGGCGGCCAGGTGCGCCCGGCCGACTGGACCGAGGACGAGTCGTGGACGGCGGAGACGCCGCGACAACAGCAGACGCCGCGACCCCAGCGGGCGCCGCTCCTTGACCACGCGGCGCAGGAGGCGTACGACGATTACCGCAACGACGACGATTTCCACTAGAAGGAATGAAGATGAAGATGAAGATGAAGAAGAAGAAGAAGAAGAAGAAGAAGAAGAAGAAGAAGAAGAAGAAGAAGAAGAAGAAGAAGAAGAAGAAGAAGAAGAAGAAGAAGAAAAGAAGAAGATGGAAGGAGTGAAGATGGAAAAAGATGAAAGAAGTAAGTGAGAAGTAACAGGAGACGAGGGGAGGACGATGAGATCAGCCTCCCTCCTCTATATTTATACTAATATATTGCATCACCAGCGAGAAGGCTTATTCCTTCTGTAGTTACTACGATTCTGTCTCATGACTGTTCTATGCCTAGCCAGACTCAGTCTTTTCCAAAGAAAGACTGGTCAACTAAAGAAAGACAGGCCAACCATTCACCCAGTTTTGCACTCACTGTATCATTCTCAACGTTCAAATATTGAAAAACTTAAAAATCGGTGAGCGAAATGACAAGTCCATTAGCCAACTGCTTCGTTAATTAAAAAAAGAAGTCAAAATCCTCTTCGAATCGTGTCTCGGAACTTAAGTTTTAATTCAGAACGATCCATTGGCAGAGGTTTCTTAGCGTTGGAGTACAGCTTAGGCACTAAGTTTTCACAATTGACTTGTTCGACCGAACAATATGAAACAGATAGACATTTGGTCTTGCCGATGTGGTGGAATCAAGCTTACCGTTGATACAGCATAGAAACTTCCCAATAGTTGCTTGTGTTTAAGTGGTCAAATTATTTAATCTAATAATAATCCATGAAAAGATGGTCCTTTTGAACCAATCTGTCTGTTTGGTCAAATTTAGGTGCTTCAGTTTTCAATTTCTCAAATGTCGTTTCAATTGACAACTCAATGTCCTAGTTTTTCAGACATTATTCTAAATGGTCAAGACCTACTTTAATAAAGACAAGCAAAGAAAGTGTAGCATTGAGAAGCCAGACACCGGTCTCAATGATAAGATTACTGAGTCTCAAAGATAAAATTACTGAGTCTCAAAGATTAAATTACTGAATGTAGCCATTTGCTGAAGTTTTGGCATATGTACTTTCGGTTACTTTGCCCTTCTTTCCATTCTACAGTGGATCCGGTCATATTTGCTTCTGTGGATTTTTGGGCCAAGTATTTTTGGCAAGAATCGGAGCATTGTTCAAGCGCGAATCGATATTCGCCCATCGGCAAAGAATTAGCGCACATTGACGTTTCGTATTTCACTCGACGCATCTATACTGTATAATGGCCAAGGAATAATTCTGTGATTTGTATTACCCTCAATGCTGTTTCAGCAGATTCTGAAACGAGCCGTTCCCATCCGTATTATCACGCATAAGAATGTGAAAGAGGCTCAGTTGCCGACTGAACGACATGCTCGAATGGGGGGAGGGGGGGAGGCGACATTATGGATTAAGCTACGTGGATGGCCTTCGACATTGTTCAACTTCATCTACCATTGGAAGCCCTCGGAAGTGCTGTTGAAGGAGGTTTTTCCGAGGCGACATGGTCGTTACTGTATTTCTTTTTCGTTGGCCCATTTCTTTTTTCCTGTCGCAGCCACTGATTAGCCGACTGTATGCACACCGACATCACCCCCTAAGCGCTCTACTACGTCACCTGCGAGGATCCCATGCGCATATGCAGGCCATTACGACATTAAAAGGATTCAACCAAGAGGCCATGACGACACTGCGCGACATTGTTTTTGTTCGCCCACCCAAACCTGTTAACGCCGGAAATTTCCCCGCCAGCGGGGGCAATAAGACTTTTTGGGCCAGTTGCTTGCTCTGGATTGCGCAAGAGACATTGTCGCAGCAATGGCGAAGGATCTGGCAAAACCGCTGTTTTCCCGTATCTTTGTCTATCGCTGCGCCTATTGTTTGCCGGAACAATTGCATTGACAAAGAAATCCAACGCACCTAGGCGCAATAATCTAATGATGTAATGGCACATCGGACCCTTGGGCGAGACGTCGCCGGAGGTACTGCCTGCAGGACAGTGCCTGCACCTGCGCCAGATGTCGTACGCCTCTTTATCGCCATGTCGCCAGAGCTCATTACCATATATAAAGCCCATCTTCCCCCCAATTGCCAGCTCCAATCTATTATCAACCAACATGACTACTTCTTCTCCTTATAACATTCCTAAGCCATTCAGAATCGCCATTATCGGCTCCGGTAACTGGGGTACTGCCGTGGCCAAGCTTGTGGCCGAAAACTGTGCTGAAAAACCCGAAATCTTTGAAAAGCAAGTCAACATGTGGGTTTTCGAGGAAGACGTTGGCGGCAGAAAGTTGACGGATATCATCAACACCGACCACGAGAACGTCAGATACATGCCCGACGTGAAGTTGCCAGAAAACTTGGTGGCCAACCCAGACATCGAAAAGACTGTTGAAGGTGCCGATCTTTTGATCTTCAACATCCCCCACCAGTTCCTCCCCAGAATCTGCAAACAATTGATTGGCAAGGTGTCGCCAAAGGTCAGAGCCATCTCCTGCTTGAAGGGCTTGGAGGTGGACGCCGACGGATGCAAGTTGTTGTCGCAATCCATCACCGACACTTTGGGCATCTACTGTGGTGTCTTGTCCGGCGCCAACATTGCCAACGAGGTTGCCAGAGGCAACTGGTCGGAAACATCGATTGCCTACAACGTTCCAGCCGATTTCCGTGGCGAGGGCCAGGACATTGACGAGTTTATCTTGAAGGAGGCTTTCCACAGAACATACTTCCACGTGAGAGTGATCAAGGACGTGATTGGCGCCTCGATCGCCGGTGCGTTGAAGAACGTCGTTGCCTGCGCCGCTGGTTTCGTTGAAGGTGCCGGCTGGGGTGACAACGCCAAGGCCGCCATCATGAGAATCGGCCTCAAGGAAACCATCCACTTTGCCTCGTACTGGCAGAAGTTTGGCATCAAGGGCTTGTCTGCGCCAGAGTCCACCACCTTCACCGAAGAGTCTGCTGGTGTTGCTGACTTGATCACCACCTGTTCGGGCGGAAGAAACGTTCGTGTGGCCCGTTACATGATCGAGAACAAGGTTGACGCCTGGGAGGCCGAGGCCAAGTTGTTGAACGGCCAGTCGTCTCAAGGTATCATCACAGCCAAGGAGGTGCACGAGTTGTTGGAAAACTACAAGTTGCAAGACGAGTTTCCTTTGTTTGAGGCTACTTACAGAATCATCTATGAGAACGCCGACATCAACGAGTGGCCAGTGCTCTTGGAAACTAACTAAATGGGATGGGTATTTATAGAATAAAGGCAATACGGAAAAGCTGTAGATAAGCTGTATGACGGACAGATAAGGCAAGTGTGCCTAACCATGAAGAAGATAACGGTTATTCCGAAATCATCCACTGTCCACAATGCATTCGAGAACACTGGAGGAATTTTGACCATGAACGAATTGTATAAAAGGCTACATGCTATACAAAAATTGTGGATGTCTCATTCTGTTCTTAGAGATACAATGAGACCATACGAGATATTTTGAATCGAGAAACATGAACTTGTGCTTTGGGAAAATTCCAGCAAGAATGGTTGTTTCCATGCTGTCGCTGCTGCCTAGCTCGAAGAAGTGATGGAAATCATTATGCCTGATTACTATACAGATAAAAAGTTTCGATTGGACCAAGAAAAGCCCAAGTACGTAATTTGCCCATAAAGCTTGATGAACGGTAGCTTGTAGCTTTAATACTTCAGTACATTGGTAAGCATTGAAGCAAACCTTCAATTTCGATGTCCGATTGGAGACAAATGTAATCTTTTGAGATCTTTTGGAGATCTTTGGCGTACTTTTCGTTTTCTTTGGTGTTCTGTGGGTTGTGTAAACTTATTGACATGTGAATGGTGATTGTTCATACAGCTTAGAGTTATATGAGAGATGGGTCAGGATAAAGTTCGAGTCAGTATTGTTCGACTCTTATTCCAATGTCAGAACAGTACATTCTCAAACCGTATACTAGCATTGAATGCTCGTTGTTTAATGATTCTAATCAGTATTAGGTGTAAAATTTTTGATTTTTAATGCTCGGCTTGGCCAATGTCCTTGCAATCGATCAGATTTATCTTTTGGTTGAAGTAATGTTAACCGTTAATGTATGTTACGACCACTCTGATTTTTTACAGTATTCGAACCAACCAGATATTTCCCAATGCAGAAATCTAATTGTGCGAGCCAATGAAAGTAAAGTGACAAAAATGGCAAATATAGTGACAAATGGCAAATATAGTGACAAATGGCAAATATGACAAATGGCAGATAGAGAAAGTAGGCACAAAACAGAAACAGCTCCAAGACTCACAAGATCCTTGTATTGCAGTCGGCTGCTCCATTTTCGCGCCCAACTTGCTTGTCTTAAGAGACTATAACCATCAAGACGTTTATGAAACTCGTATAATCGGGTTTTTGGGATGTTACCCCGACTGTACAAAGTTGGGCAGCACCAACTTTCAGATGCTCCACAGTAGTGTGCGAACCGCCTCTCCTCACCTCCAACCAGTCCTCAAAGCTCGACCGAAGTCTCTCAGTCGCCATTCACTTCTCTTCATTCTACTTTCTCTTTCATTCTACTTTCATTCTACTTTCTCTTTCTGTGATCCACTGATCCATTGATCCATTCACTGATCATTCACTGATCCATTCATTCTTCATCTTCTTCATCTTCATCTTCTTCCCTTCTTCCCCCTCTTTTTCTTCATGGACCTTGGGCGGCTCGCACAGTTTCTGGGCGCCTCCGTGTGGCACCGCGTGCCTGTTTCGCGGCGCGCGGCGGTGTTGGTGCTTCTTTTCGTCGGGCGCGCGGGCGAGTGGCGCGTTGTTCTCACACGCCGCCTGGCGCGCCTCCGCTCGTTCCCCGGCCACATTCTGTTGCCCGGCGGCAAGGCCGACACGGGGCTCGAGCTGGCGTTTATGGTGGCGCGGCGCGAGGCGTGCGAGGAGATCGGCTTGGGCCGCGAGGAGGCGTTTGGCGCCCGCGTCGAGCCCGTGGCCGAGCTTCCGTGCTACTTGCTGCGGACTCTTCTGGCGGTGCGCCCGTGCGTGGCGGTGTTGCATGCGCCCGACGGCGCGGCCGACTTGGGGCTCCGCCTCAATCCGGGCGAGAGCCTGGCGATTTTTCTGTGTCCGCTTGCAGACTTTTTTCCAGGTGCGGGCGCGGCCGAGGCGATTCTGCGCCTGAACCAGCTGGTGAAATGGGGCGGCGTGCCGTGGCACTTGCGCCTGGTGACGTTTGCGCGCGAAAATGAGCGCGAGGCGCCGTGGTTGCGCGGCTTGGACGACGCGGACTCGGCGTCGGAGGAGGACGAGGCGGGCGAAAAACACGAGTGGGGTCCGCGCGGCGCCCGCCGCAACTCGGCCAACACGCCCATCTACGACGTGTGGGGGCTCACGGCGAACATTCTCCACGACATTCTGGCGGTGGTGCACGGGCAGGCGCCGGCGCCGTTTGGCCAGGAGGAGTTGATTTCGGCGCTCTGGCGCCACGGCCACATGCGCGACGAGCGCCTGGCGCTCGAGAAAAGCTTGATTGCCGACCTGGGCGCGTCGTTCGGCGCGCTTTTGCCTCGCGCGGAGATGGTGCGCTTGCGCGGCCTCTACGCCCTGAATATATGAAAGGCTTTGCTTGGAATTTCATCACAAGACTCTGGTAGACTAGCAAGGCTGGCTGGATTAACAGCAAGACTGGCTAGATTAACAGCAAGACTGGCTTCAGTCTAAATGTCTGTCCTGACTTGACGACTAATTTGATCGATTGTCGACGAATGGCGACAACTTGCATGCTGAAAGGGAAGGATTCGTGAAAAGTTCCGTGAGAAGATCAATGAAAAGTTCTGTGAGAAGATCCGTGGGAAGTTCAATGGAGATCAATGGAGATCATTGGTTTCCCTCGATGGAGGCAAAGCCATCACTTCAGCAATAAGGCCAACAAGAACGGAACCATGGTCTCATCGCCATTCAGAATCGATCGAGTCGGGATGTCCCAATGGCTCGCAGGCGTTAGTTTTTCCTTGATGATTTCGATACCCTCCATTTGGATGTCTAGCTATATTGCTGTACTAGAATGACTGAGCTAAATAACTTATTAAAATGACCGTATAATTTGTACTGCCAAGAACTAGAAGGAGAACTCGAAGTGGTAGGAGAACTCGAAGTGGTAGGAGAACTACTGGTAACGAAAACCTATCCCATCTATTATCGGCGTTGCTTATTTATGGTCAGTTAACACTGACTTCCACTTGTAATTCCACTCCAACCTTCCAAACTTTAATTCTGGTGCCAGATTGAAATGGTGGGAACCGATGGTCTATCAGTACAATACGACAAGATACCGCCATCTTCTAGTTTTTCAACTTGTCTCTACTTAATACGCAGATAAACACAAACACACGTATTAGAAAAGACGATGAAATGAATCGGTTCTTCGTCGAGAATCCATTGGGAAAGAAGCTACCAAAAACCAAGTACTTAAAATTAGGCTGGTCTCTTGTTTCCAACCAGATGCGACTTGTCTCCTAGAAAGGAGAAGTGAACTATATTTTAGCAGATAACTAGAGCTATAAAGGAGAACTAGACCTAATATTCAAAGAAGGTAATCAAACTTGAAAATACCGAACCACACGTTCGGGATTGACTGGAATTATATTTCAGGAACAAATACGCAGAAGTCGTAGAGAATGTCATGTAAATAGCAGAATAAATAACTAATGAAGACTAATATGAAGCAGAATAATAAGAGACAGTAAAAAGAACTGGATGTACTAAATGATGCCAGTGCTAGCTATTACGACTAATGACTAGAAGTGGATACTAAAGAAGTTCAAAGAACGGACTCAAGTAACATATAAGCTTGAAAAAAGACCTCACGAAGCGTATAGATCGAATTGGTTGATTTTACTTTGCCCATAAAATTTCAATTCGAGAATGGTAACAAATTATTCTGGAGTTGAAGCAGGTAAGTTTAACTCTCTCCGCTTCTGGGATGCTAAATCATGTGCAAGACTTCATCATTAAAATAAAGGTGAATCGATGACCACGTAAAAAATGTCCACAGCTAAGGCATAATATTCGATTACATAGTCAAAAACAGCCGAGTATTTTTGAAATAGGCATGCCATTACGATAGTGGATTGCCTTAGTTTCACCATCTTCGACCAAAAGATCAGCTTTAGTGCACTATAAAAGTAGAGTTACAAAACATCAGAACCATGGAGTGGAATCGTTATTGCCAAAGCACATACAACACAGCTAAACAGCTCGGATAGTCCCCGATATAAAATCTCAATTCGGATCCGTGTCAGATTCATTTGAATTTTACCGTCCAGACAGAGAGCATTCTGCTTACAGATTCGACAATGGTTCGAAATGTTGCCCAATTGGTTATGTGGTTGACAAAGCCAGGACAGAACAGATTTCTAAACCCAACACCATACTTGACGGCACTTAGCTCCATTCAACTCAATGCAATTCTAATTTTAACTTTCAAAATTTTCATTCATTTCATTTTATATACATTTACGTTTTCATTTTCATATATTTTCATCTATTTTCATCTATTTTCATCTATTTTCATCTATTTTCATCTATTTTCATCTATTTTCATCTATTTTCATCTATTTTCATCTTTTTCATCATTTTCATGGAACCTCATTTTCAGTCTTAATTCTAATTTCTACGGACATGCCAAATCACTTCGAGACTGTATATCGGCGCGCATTAGTCAACAATCTAACTTCCAGTCTTCTTTCGTGAGACCTTCCAACATCCGCAAGCATTCTTCATTATAGAACCCAATCCCTCTAGGCTAATGGAGAAGCAGTTTTCGCCCCAAGATCTTTTGGTGGAGGCGCTACTTGAAGCAGTGGCGCAGTACGAAGAAATCGCCAACTCGCCTTTCCGCGAAAACTTCATAGGCGGGTTCCAGAGTTTGAGCCGGGCGAATTTTTCGGGCGCGCGCCGTTTTGGCGCCGATTCGTTCGACATGCGCCCTCACCTGGCCTGCGCGACAGTCGAGTGTGGAACGGAGTTTTCTCTCGTGAGCGAGGTGCCAAGAAAGAAAGAGAGAAAAGAAAGGAAGAAAGAGAGCAAGGAAGATAAAAAGGAGGTTAAGAAGGAAGTCAAAGAGGAAGTCAAAGAGGAAGTGACCACTACAAAAGAGACCAGGGACACAAAAAAAAAAGACGCCGAAGCAAATGGTCTGAAGGACGATGGAGAGGCCGAACGTTTGGCTGAGTTTTTGGGCGAGGTGCGCGTTTCTGGCCGAGACTCGCGCCAACTTCGCAGCAGAGAAAAGGCTCGAACAGCACTGAGTTTGCCTTCTGAGGGTAAAAACTCAGAAGCTTTGGAGCGGGAAAAGGAAAAGCTGGAAGAGCTGAAAAATCTGGAAACGCTGGAAACGCTGGAAATGGAAAAGCTGGAAAAGCTGAAAAATATGAAAAACCTGAAAAATCTGGAAAAGCTCGAGACACTCTCGAAACCAGATCTGCCAGAGCAAGCAAAATCTCTGGAACCCAAAGATCCAATGGCCCAGTTCGGCGCTCTTGTGCCTCTACAGTTGGTTCAAGCCCAGCAATCTTTTCATAGCGCCTTGGAAAACTCGATCCACCTAGCCAATTTGCAGAAAAAAATAGTTTCTCTAGTTGCTGAGATCGAGAAGCTCTCGCTCTGACTTCAAGAAACACTCTGATATTCTTTCTACATTCATACATAATCCCTCTAATGCATTGTATATACCATTACTCGGCGTCGCTGAACAAGTCACTGTCATTTTCGTAGTCGCTAGGATTGATCTCAGGTGCATCACTGTCGGACTCGGACTCGGACTCGGCCTCAGCTACTCCATCGGCACTTTCACCGTTCTTACGTGCCAACTTACGTGCCTTCTTGGCCTCTTTCTTGGCCAATTTGGCCTCAACGTTGGCCTTTTGAATCGCTCTGCGCTCGGCCTTCTCCTTTTGACGAATTTGATGTCTCTTTTCCAACTCCTTCAATTCTTCACTCAGCTTCTTCACCTTCGAGTGGTAAATGACCTTCGTGCTGCCCAACATACTCTCCTCGATCTTCACCAACGACATGTTGATCCGAGGTCCAAGCTCGACCAACTTGATGGCTCTCTTTCTTGTTCCAGAAGAAGACATGGCCTCATGATGCTTGACGGACTTGGCCTGTTCGTTCTGCACTTCAACAACTGCGTCGTCCTCTACTTCAGAGTCCGAGGTTAATCCTCCAACAGAGTATGGATCCAACACCAAATCTGCAATGTCATCATGTGTGGTCATTACGGGCAATTTTTTCTTCAAATCGTGGTGTGAGTTGATGAGCTTCTTGATATTTCTGCTTTCCTCAACCAATTTCGTGTTGATAGCGTAATGTCTCAACTCAATCTCGCCGTTTTCCGTCCTCTGAATCAAAAGCACACGTTTGATAGAGCTCACCCTAGTCTCGTGAGGCTTGATAGGAGGAAAAAGATTCTGGAAAACAGTGACCATCAATTTCTCGTGGTTCTCCATCTCATTGATTTTCGTCGAAAATCCATTCATCACAAGCAAAGGCGGCTGATTGAATAAAGCCGAGCCTCTTCCAACAGATTTTGGATGCTTCAAGATCCGCTTCACATCTTTCATCAAAGAGTATGTGTTGATTTTGAACTGCAAGCTGGGACCTTTAGGCATTTTACCTATACGCAACGACACATTTCCGGTAGATTGCGATTGCTTGAACACGAATAGATCAGATACACCCAAAGGACCGGTCATCACAACGAAATCTTTCAACTTGTTTGTCTTACGTTCTCTCAAATTGATTGCCGTGTGGGGCTGCATGACGAAACGAAAATCTTTCACCAACTGTGCCAAAGATGTGTTTTTGAGCGACGCCCCAAGAGAAAGGACCATTGATTTGGGGATCTTGGCCACCTCCTCTGGATCGGGAACTTGGTGTGTTCTCTTTTTTGTTCTTCTTTTGGCCATGGCGTGGAAATAAATGGAATAGTTACCAGCGATAAAATGGCATCGCGGTGATGAGATGCGTGCAAAACATCAGTACACCACGGACATTTTGCCCCAAGATCCACAAGCCGATAGTCACAAATTTCTGCTAATCGGCGAGCGGCAAGATCAAAATCCATTTGGACAAGCATTCCAGGGCCGAACCAAGAGAAGCTGGCAACACCAAAATCAAAGTGGCCACGATTAAAAATCGTCTTGTCTGCAGTACCTCCACCCCAAAGTAAAGACTGAAAAGCATCGCATCGCATCCCAAACATCTTTATCCACCATGGCCAAAGCGCACGCCCCCAAAAAAGCCCGCATCCACTCGCATGCAACCGACACGCTTGCGCTAGCAGAGAAGATCAAGAAAAATGCTCTCAAGAAAAAACTCGCTTCGCACAAACCAGACCAGGCAGACCAGGCATCGATTGTACCTGAAGCTTCCGAAGTGAGTGTTTCTGACGGCAGCAAGCGCTTCGAATCTTTCACAGAACTCAAGTTGATTCCCGAGCTCTTGGAAGCTATTCAAAGTATGAAATTCACCAAGCCCACGCCTATCCAGGCCGAGGCCATTCCCCACGCCTTGGAAGGCAAAGATGTCATTGGACTTGCCGTGACCGGCTCGGGCAAGACCGCGGCGTTTGCCATCCCCATCTTGCAGTCGTTGTGGCACGACCAGCTTCCATACTATTGTCTCGTGTTGTCGCCCACTCGTGAGTTGGCGTACCAGATTAAGGACACATTCGATGCTCTCGGCTCCGGAATGGGTCTTCGGGCCTGCTGTATAGTCGGCGGTATGGACATGATGGACCAGGCCCGTGACTTGATGCGCAAGCCGCATGTTATCGTGGCCACGCCTGGACGTATTGTGGACCACTTGGAACACACCAAGGGCTTCAGCTTGAAGAACCTCAAGTACCTAGTCATGGACGAGGCTGACCGGTTGTTGGACCTTGACTTCGGGCCCGAGCTCGATAAGATCTTGCGTGTGATTCCCCGCGAGCGGAACACATACCTTTTTTCTGCCACTATGACCAACAAGATCGAAAAGTTGCAAAGAGCATCTTTGAACAACCCAGTGCGCATTGCTGTCTCCTCCAAGTACCAGACTGCCGACAACTTGGTGCAGTCGATGATGTTGGTCAGCGACGGCTACAAGAACACTTATTTGGTGCACTTGCTCAACGAATTTGTTGGAAAATCCATCATCATCTTCACACGTACATGTGCCCACTCGCAGCGAACGGCGCTTTTGGCTCGTATTTTGGGTTTCTCTGCTGTTCCATTGCACGGCCAGTTGTCCCAATCCCAACGTTTGGGGTCGTTGAACAAATTCAAATCGGGAAAGGCAAATATCTTGGTGGCCACAGACGTTGCCGCCAGAGGTTTGGATATTCCAGCAGTTGATGTCGTCATCAACTACGATATTCCTACCGACTCCAAGGCATACATTCATCGCGTGGGACGTACAGCTCGTGCAGGTAGATCCGGAAAGTCCATTTCCTTAGTTACGCAGTACGACTTGGAAATGTACTTGCGGATTGAGGCTGTGTTGCAGAAGAAACTTCCAAAGGACCCAGCTCCACCAAAGGACGTTTTGGATGCGTTGCACGTTCATGTAGACCGTGCCACTGCAGAAGCCATCAAACAGACCAAGGATTTCCACGAGAAGAAGGGCAAGAAGAAGAGCAGAGACGATGCAGATCGCGAGGAGAGATAAACAGCAGCATAAATTGCAAAAACATTGTATAAGAATGGAACATGGAGAGTTCCAATAACACCGGTTCATAATCAAACTAGTCATTATTTCCTTCTTCTATAGGCGTAGAGAAACAGAGGTACATACCCCACTAATTACTACCAAAGTATCCAATCGCCACCCCATACGCTCTGCCGAGCATTGAATAAATACATTAATCATTTGTGCAAGAAATGCACAGGGCACAGACCAGGCCCTTTCCGGTTGAACCAGTCCTTGATGCATTTGTAATGAAACACGCAAAGACATTCTAACCGCCCAACCTTGTCTCCGGGACAGATATCCTCCAAGCAAATCACACACTCGTGATCCTGGTCGTTGCCCGGTGACTCTCCGGGCTGTGTTGGTGGGACCTTATACACCAACATCCGATTTCGCAACGGTGATCCAGCAACCAGCCGTAGCTCCAGAGCAAAGTCACTTTCAACTAAACACTCCGAAACATGGCGTTCTTTAAACGCCTCACGTGCTTCATTGCTATCTTCCAAGTCATCCCGGCTAACCTGTTCCTCATAGAGTGCTTCCAAGTTCTTTGCACATATTGGACATAAGTTGTGGTCGCTGCTAGAGTCAGCGTCCACTAGCAAAGTGGATGCCAGATCCAGAGGACGAGTTGCAACTTGCACCACTCTTTTCGCTATCGCTGCCGCTCTGGTGGTTGGAGTGGGCGGTCCTCTTTCAGGTGTTCCTCGATCTTCAAGTGCCTGTCGAATCATCCGTGTTTCATCCGCACATTCATCACACATGCGATGATACTCTTCGACAATCGTGCGTCGCAGCGGCCCCAGAGGACGCACGATACGGGAGTTGGGGAAAAAGGCGATGAATTGGCTGGAGCATGAGCCACAGATAAGCTTTCCACATTTACGGCAGTGGTGACGTCTGTTGAAAAGGCCAAATTTTGACCCACATAAATTGCATTCAAGAGAGGAGCTGTCGGGCTGCCACGTGGGCTCGTCAGCCGCCAAGCTAGAGCTGGGATCAGACATAGGGATGAAGGATAAGAGTGATGCCACTGATAGCCGCAGAACGCGTGGGGGATCACGTGCTTCTGCTCGTGTGCGGCGCTGAAACCCCAAGTTACTTGGTGTAGGGGTGTGTTATTGCAACAACCCTGAAACAGCCTTTCTAGATAATCTCGTCGTCACTAATGGATTGGCTGCAATAGTATATTATCAAAGCTGGGCCAAAGAAGGTGAATGCATATATTGGAAAGAACAGGATATACCAGTTGGGACAGAATAAATCAGTGGGAACAGGATAAACCGATCAAAACGGAAATACCAATCGAAACAGAATATTTCAATGAATCAGTATAAACTTGTCGACAAGGGATATTTGTGAGAATTAAATTTATATTAGTCTGGAATACAGTAAAGTAATACGTAACAAGTAGGAATGGCAAAAAAGAATAACTAGAAACAAACGAACGAAAGAATAGTCAGAAAAGAAGAGACAAGAGAGAAATAAAATGAATTAGAAAAAACAAAAAAGCTTAGAGAAAAGAAGACTCATCAAGTGAATTTATAACCGTGTGGCTGCAAAACCAAAAAAAAAAGGTATATAAACGGTAATTTTCTGTGTTTTCTGCTCTTTCTACTTTTTCTTTTCGCAGTCGTTTTATTACTGTGACAATGTCGCATAATTATCTGCACGCTGCTCTCACGTGCACACAAACTCTCTCTCTACTTCTTGACATCACCAACTCTTCATGGCGGACAGACTCACCCAGCTCCAGGTTTGTTTGGACCAGCTTGTGGCGCAGTTCAATGCGACAGTCAATTATGTAAACACACATAGCGAGATGGCGCCGTTGGATCCTGATCCGCATTCGGTGATCAACTTGGCAGCCAACGCTCCACCTCCAGGAAAGAAAGACGACACCAGCGGAGCTAATTCTGCTCCTAGCAACGACGTGAAGACGGAAGCACCTTTTGAAAGCGTCTTGAATGAACTTTCAACTGATATCATCTTAAAATCGCGTCAAATAAGCATGATCATCGACTCTTTACCCGGCATTGGAACTTTACCGGAGACGCAGTTGAAAACTATTACAGAGCTAATCGAGGAGCTTGAAAAGACAGAGAAAGAGCGCCGGGAGAAGATAAAGGAGAAGGATGAGTTGCTCCGGTGGTGTGAGGAACTAATTTTCAACGTTTCCGGAGGAATCTATCGCACGAGATCGTGAAGGGAGCAAAAAGGAGACATCAGAACTACATGTTACAAACGTTGTGCATGAGATTCATATACTTAATGAGGTTATTGGCTGTACGCCATGCAATCAAAGTCCCAGGTCGGGAACCACTTTGCTTTCTGACATTCTTCGACAGTCCAGTTTAGACCGTATATCAATGGCTTGGTTTTCCCGAAGCACAATGCGGCACACGCCTCAATAGAAAGTAAAAGCACGAAGCCTCCCATGGGATGCATGCGCATCTGGTGTTCTACGAACTGTGCAATGGCCAAAACAAGGAAAAAGACGCTCACCAAATAGTGATGGGCAAACAACTGGCGTGACATGTGAAAATAGGGGAAGTAATTGATGAACCAACCACTGACAAACTCTAGCATAGTAATATAATTATTCGTCACGAATGCTGGTTCATTCACAAGCTTGAAGGGGTTTAAATGCACAAGTGCATAGAATGCAAAACGGATTCCAAATAGAAGCACAACCAAAATACCACCATAGTAGACAGTAAGGTTGCCCAAGAAGTAAATGTGGCTTCCTGTCTCATCAGACAACTGCTTGTCACCATGCCCGTTTGTGAAAAAGTTTATTCCTCGGGTGACAAATGGCCACTGTATAGGCTGCGATGAGTATTCATGTTTTGTTGTGAAACCTTTGTTGATTCTCCACATGGCTTGGTGGTATTCCAATAGTTTACTGAAAAACAGTTTCCGAGGGAGTTTCACACGAGGATATGTCTCTGTATCTTTGTCAATAACAGGATGATTGTTATACTCGATGTAAAACAACGTGTTGGCAATTGTTGGATCATTGACACACAATACCTGGCTCTGATGGAATGCCCACTCGGGCAATTTCGTGTCATGTCCCATCAAAATGCAACGGGTTCCTTTGTGGATCAATTGAAAGACCGATTCGGTAGCACGCAACTTCCGCAAAGGAAGCTCATTTTCCGAGTGAGGTTTCCTTCCAACGATCCTCACTTTCCACTCGTAGTTGACATCCTGAGTGGTGGTTCTGTTGCCGTCACAGCTGACTTCGTTGGAGTAATCGTGCTCGGAAATTGGAGGCCGGACGTCGTTGGCACGCAAGTATTTCTTGGTGCGTTTATGGTAAAGCTTCACTGTGTCGCCGTCTTTGATGGGCCGAAATCTGGAATCCAATTGGCCTTCCATGATAGTGCCGTGTCTTTCAATGATCCACTCACTATTCAAATCATCTTGAAAACCGTACATGGTCACTTGTTGTTCGTGGGATCCAGTTTTGTAGGGATATTCGTGAGAATGCAAGTATTGTTCCAATCTGTGATGTTTGATTGTCACTGTGCTTCCATAAGAGACATCCACAGCTGTGTTTCTAAGCTTGTCCGAGTCTTCAAACTCCGCTTTGAACTGGGGCAGAAGAATACCCGAGCCAGTGCCGTTTTTGGGCAATGACATGAAATGGAGCGAGAAAACACCACAGTAGATCGTGAATGGAATAAGCACGAGTCGGAACAATCTGTGGTAAATATGTCTGAAGAGCATTTTGTAGGTGACGTCTAAGTCGCCAGCATAGCACCAAAGCTGATACATGGACCAGCCGGCGACCCATGCAAAAGTAAAAAGACCAGTTAGTTTTGTTGATACAGTGAGTGCCAACCCTATTCCGGTGAGGAACAACCACTGCTTCCATTCCCTAGTGAAAGGAGATGACATCTCGAATTTCTTGAACGCAAACACTGTTAGCGCTGTGAAGGCAATCAAAGGGCTATCGAGCATTATGAGTCTGGACTGGGTGGCTATGGAGTTCTCGAGAAGGACTAGAGATGCGCCAAATAATGCTACCAAGCGACGACATGCTGATGCTCTCAAGATGCAATACGTGAGACCAACAGTCATAACACCGCAAGCTGCAGAAAATGACCTCATGGCAACATACGGCACGTTATCGTCGAAAACATCACCAATGTTTTCAAACTCGAACTTACCGTTCCACCCGAACAACAATGCGATCCAGTAATAGATGAGTTTGACCAATGGTGGATGGACATCGAGAAAGAATTCGCCTTCGAAATATTCTTTTGCAAAGCCTCCGAAATGGGTCTCGTCAAAAACTACCATAGGAGGCTCTGGAAGTTTATAAAAGCGTACCAAAAAGGCACAACTAATGATGACGAACAAGTAGAACCGATCTTCTGGTCCGAATTTTGTTTGGGCCTGCAAGCCAGGATTGACCTTGGATGAGAAAAAAGGTCTTAGTTTCCCGTCTTTGTACCCCAAAGGAAGCCCCTTAGACTTTTCTGCGGCAGGCATTGACGGCAGGTGTGGTGTAATTTTGATATTTTACCTCGAAACAACTACTGGGTCAGACACTTAGTGGTATCCAACTGCAGACATGGCATTGTGTGCAGTCCCAAACTTAATGCTTTTAATAACCAATGTAAAGACCACCTTTTCTCTCATCAAGCTCATCTGCTATGTAAGAAACTCCATCAGATTTCGGATCCCAGCCCAACTTTGCCGTGCAACGCATATTTTTCAATTTTGGAAGTCTACCATCGCTTAATGCCACGGCCAAATCAAGAGGGTCCATCTTGTCTGTAGTACCAAGCATACCACTGCTATCAAGGTAAAGTGTATGCAAAGGACGAGGGTAATGCAAATAGTGAAGATTTTCTTCGTCAAAAAACTCCGCAGACATATAATCTACTGTCACCTCTAGAACCAAAAGGTTTGGACAGTATGTGAATATGATATCTAGCGAGTTGCTTTGCAAACCGGGCATAGGGAATTGCACCTTGAGAGACTTTAAGTTGTGACCCATTTTAAATAAAAAATGCTGGAACCCAACATGCATCACTTTCGGACAGTGGGCGAATTCGATATGTTCTATAGTGGAAGGAAAGTCGGATTCTATCAAAAAATCGTCAGAGATACCTCCAGAAACTCTCAAAAACTGTAACTTTGGGGGCCAATGCACACTTCTGTAGTTGGAAATCTCTAGAGATGATCGAGGAAATGACAAATGCGTGAGGTTGTCAAGCAGCCGAATAGATTGGAAAAGTTCTTCGAGATTCAACGTTTCTGAAACAAGGCGGAGGTCAAGAACTTTTAAACTAAAACAACTTCTGAGTGCCATTAAAGGGCCGAGTCCAAAACTGGTTTGTGGTGCAGTGAAAGATTGCAATAACGGCCTTGATCTTTTGAGCAATTTTGCAACATAAGCATTCTTGCCAGATTGGTTTACAAACGAGAGGTCAAGGTCTCGGATATAGTTCCCAACAGTTTTGTTACTGGAAAGCGTGTCGACAAATTGTAGAAAGTTATTTCCCTTGAGTAAAGGACGCCTGTAGAAAAGCGGAAGAAGAGTAACATAAAAGAGCTTGCTTAGTCTTAGATGCTTGGGCTTCAATTTCCCCATATAGTAAAGTATCTCGAAGACTTCGACGATCACCTCTAGAGGCAAAGTTAATCCGGATGCTTTGTTACGGCTCTGGCGTTCCTCCTCTTGTAGCTGCAACAATTTAGCACGATATTCTTCGCTATCATTGTAAAGACACCAATGGAGGACATCAACCTTCTCAAACTGGGACCGTGGCCAGATTTTGCCCTTGATATGGCCATTTTTCGTTAGCACATACACTGAGGTGATGTTGGAATTGGTTTTCGTGCTGAAATCTTGCCAGTTGCCAAACAGGTCTTTGAAGGTATTTTCTGCTTCATGGCCTTCATCCTCACTCCCCCCATCCTCCGTAAAGTTGGATTTGTAGACATACTTTCGGTATGGGGGGCGATATTGCTTGGGTCTTTTCTTATTAGCTATTTTGAATAATGTTCGCCTCGAGCGCCCGGTGATATACTCTCTTTGCTGGGCACTAAATGTTAGGCGAGTTAGGAGTTTTATGTATTACAACAAAGGAGAGATAATCCAACAATAAAGCTGACAGGATATTGGGAGATGGTGGAACTTTAGATCTTGTGTGATCGATATCTCTGCATATCGTGACAGTGCGCATCGCCATAGATTACTAAGGTTGATGCTCATCTTTGATAAGCACTAACATAATCTTTGGAATCTGCACGATTGATGCGTTCAAGTAGCTTATTTGCAATGGTGGTAGATGCATTTTCTTTGAAAACCGGTATCTCATGAGTTGCTCGATATTCTTTGTATGACTTGTACTCGCTATCTTTCTTGTAATCTGCCACGATCAGAATTGGAGCGACCACAAAGATCTTGATCAATACACGAGGAACAAACGAGAACAAGCAAAAGATGACCCAGCTCACATTTAGTGGAATCAGAACAAAAACAACAAAAATCATCTTCGCAACAGACTTTGCGGGAGTGTAAACCGAGTGGTATACTGCTCCAATAAGGCCCTTGTTGATATCAAAAGACAAAAGCTGGGTCCATAATGCCCAGCATTTTTCGAAAAGCCTATCTTTCTTCTGAGTAGATTCCCTGTTTAGATTATGAATAGCCTCTATGGGTTTTGATTTGGTGGGGCTGGAAAATTGTGATATCTTGGTTTCGGTGTTCACTTGTGAATTTCCAATGACCCATTCGAGATGGCTCTTCTCCATATGGAATACTTTCATGCAAGTGAGTATTCTCGTGGAACTTCTTCTGCTTCTTTACATGGGGACGTCGGATGAAATTCTCGGAGAAACAGCCCTCTGAATTTTCTCGGAGCGAAAACCTTGTCTCATAGCGTGAGCTAAAGGCACCCGATCCATGTGGTGACACCGAGACAGGGACAGCGTCTTTCAAATTTGGAATTCTTGGTAAGTTGGGGACTACTGGCGAATTGGGGACTTTCGGCAAACCGGACGTATTTCGGGTTTTAGTTTGATCGCATTCTTCGGTTGCTAGCGGAGAAGCGTCGAAAGGAAAGGGAACCACAGGAACAGTCATTCCCTTGTTTGAATCTGCCTTTTCTTTAGGCGATACTTCATTTCCCAGTCTCGAATTGCCCAAAGTCGACTTGTCTGAGCCAAAGGCGTCGCATGCCAAATCTACTTTGAAGCACGAGTCTTTGTAAGCGTCTACCAGCGGCGGACTTTCAAACATATGTTGGGGTCCACAAAACAGTTCCACATAGTAGCTTAAGTTAGCATCTGTGACAACTCCGGGGGCTGTTCCTGTTGTGAGGGGGCTACCGCCCGATTTCTGCAAAATGACCGACGCCTGGATCAACAACTTCAGACCTTGCCAAAAGACAAACATGATAATGTTTGCATCTCGAACAGAGTGCTTGCCATTTCCAGAAGCCGTAACCGACCACCGCATCATAACGGGACTTGCCACGATGGCACAGAACCACAACAATAGCGCTAGTTTTTCGTATCGTTGGAGCTTCAAAGCCAAAAGCAAGTTTACAGCAAAAACTCGCCTGTTTAAAGCCACCTCGGGTATTTGCAGCCCGGCATTGGTGCCTAGGAAAACCAGATTGATGTAGTTGAGCAAGTGAAGCCGGGATTTTTCCAAATGGCGGATCCAAGCCAGTGGCCAGCTAGTAATAAAGATGACCATCCATGCCACTTGGGCCAAAACCGTTAGTTTCGAGAGTGTTATGGCCCAATCTCTTTGCTGGTTCGCTTCTACTGCCAGGGCAGCCACTATAGACGGCAGAAATACCAAAAGCCCTGCTAGAAAATCATTCACCGAGTAAAAGTTGTATACGCCCGAAGTTTTTGGCAAAATCAGATATCCATCCGAGTCCAAATCGGTGGCAAAATCTTTATGAGTATTTTGGGAGGCAAAAGCTTCTCCTTTTGTTTTGTTTTCAGAATTTAGACGTGTTTCCATGGCGTTTAATAGGATACTAAATGTAATTTGCAGCTATGGGGTATGGTGTTCCGTCACATGACCAATATCACGTGCAAAATACTATACGGATGCTAGTTGGAGAAGAAGTAAAGATGAATTATGTCTAAGATTTACTTTTGGCATTGTTGGGTTTTCAGTTTACGTCTGTTTCTATGATCTTTGTGGAAGTAATAAAATGCGAATGTGAGTTTGTTCAGTTTGATGGATATTAATTCATTCTTTCTAATTAATTGCAAGCATCTTTCTTGCTCTGGCAGGTTCTACTATTATAGACGGCTGTCAGATTACAAATTATCGACTATACGTAAAAAAATTCTATGTTGATTAGAGGTAATCAGAACAGCAAGGTAAATAAGCTGATTCTCTCTTCGCAGATTCAAGTTCTTTCCTACAATCAGGACTTTCTGAACAGTCAAGTATATCCAAAAGACTTTGAATAGTAAATTGCCTGCGGTACCATCTGTGTAAATTGGAAGACTTAGCACAGTGAACTGATGTAATTGTCCATTTAGTATAGGATTATTGCTATTTGAATTTGCTGGCTCTTAGAGTTGAAAATAAGAATTTTCTCGTTCAAATGAGTATGTCAGCTTGCATTATTTTGTTGTAGTACTATTTACTTCTGTAAGTGCAATTGCGCTCAATTAAATGGATTAATGCAATAATAAATCCAGAATGTGAGTTTTCGAGAAGTAATCTCCTAATATAAAATACAAATTAAGCACGTCAGAGTAGAATGGAATTACTCGTAGTTATGAGAACAGATAAGAAGAAATAAAAATAATAAGCAACTGGCCAGACCAGATGTAGCATGCCTAACCATATATTATTGATTGCGGTAAGAAAAACTTGACAATCATGGTAGTCAAGTTTGACTAGGCGAATCCAAGTGTCCACAGATTGAAATAACCACCACCATCTTTCGTCGTAGTATCATTTGAAACATCAATGGATACTGTATTTAATTCTTTGATATTTTATTTCAAGTCAGATATATTAATCCCCCTCTAAAATCTATATTATAAATGATAGAGTCAGCGGGCTTGTCAATAATCATCTGTTAATGGACATGTAACAATGCACTGATACGATAAACTATATCACCACCTTTGTGATAAAGTTTCAGAAAATATACGGGTCTAATATGTAACAGAATAATAGATATGTATCCACAGGTTGACATACAGAACGTACAGTTCTAGTGGAGTCGGTGTGGCACCGACATTATGCGACACGGCACCACGACATCCCATACTACATCTCTGTCTTACATTCCATGTCATTCCATAGTCTTCTTCCTCTTTGAATTTTTCGATTCCTTCTCTTGTTTTCTTTTCTTTTTTCCTTTTTCTTTCTCCAGTCGGAACTCCAGTGCAGGCGGTCGTGCGCGCACCGCTCGTGTGAGGAGGATAAAAATTTTCCACCGCACCCACAAAAATTTTCTCGTTCTTTTTCCCCAATAACCATGGTTTTAGTTCAAGATTTGTTGCACCCCAACCCAGCTTCCGAAGCTCAAAAGCATAAGTTGAAGACCTTGGTCCAATCGCCAAGATCCTTTTTCATGGATGTCAAGTGCCCTGGATGCTTGAACATCACCACCGTTTTTTCCCATGCCCAAACCGCCGTCACCTGTGACGGATGTTCTTCTGTCTTGTGTTCTCCAACAGGAGGCAAGGCCAAGTTGACCGAGGGCTGCTCTTTCAGAAGAAAGTGATTGCACTGAATTTCCAGTGCATTTAATGAAGGAAGGCAAAGCACAAGCGAAAAGTTGCCTGTGCTGGCCGGGATTTACAGGGAGAATCCCGGTCCTGCCACTCCCTAGAATGCATTTGTATTATAGATTACTCGGTTTTTCGCTGCGGCGGATTTGGTCATTGGTATATAGGAATACCACAGTTAGTTTAATGAGTGTAGACCAGTCCTTGGCTGGATGTATGGACAAGTTGAAAGACATTAATGCATTTTAATACGTTTCGAATACATGCGTATCCCATTTTTAGAATGTCGACTGAAGTGAAGGCTATTGAGGTTATGGTTAGACGAAAGACTCAAACTAGGTTTGCTATAAAGTTGCAAAATGTGTATGGTGGAAATTCAGCTCCATAATTTCTTATCCAAATTGTCTGCACCTTGGACAATATATATCTGATCCAATTAGTATCATGTGCTTTGTAAAGTGGACAATAATTGATGATTCACTACTGATTGACCATATCAACGAAATCATTCACTTCTTTGACATACGTTGATGGTATTGAGTTTTTGTCTTTTTCATTCTGATACTCTTCAGTTATTGTCATGATCACATCTGGAACCTCTATAATCAAAACTTGGCAATCTTCGCCTCCGTACTAATATCTCAATATTCAATCAAGTCACTATATCTTCTCATTTATTTACTTGTATTGCCTTTCGGCCCTATGTACATGTGTTTGATCAACGACCGTTGTAATCCTGAGGATCAACATCAAACTTAGCCCTCTTACCTTGGGTCTTATACTTCTTAGTCACCTCCAATTCCGTAGCAAGGCGATCCGCAAGCTCTTCAGGATTTTCTCCTTCCTCGAAAGCGTCTTCTGACAGACTGGTAATCTTTTTCCATTGTTTCTTTCTCTTCTCCTTGAGCACAAATTTGCGCTGTGTGTTAGCTAATCTGTTCAACTTTTCGAAATTGGCTTCCGAAAGTCGGTTCTTCACCACAGCACTTTTCTTCCCTAATGCCCAGAGGTCTCCCTGTCTGACTTTACGGGCATCATGATACGTTTGTTTGCCCAAACTCTTTGGAACCTGCCAAATTTCAATGTTCCCCGAAGGCGCACACACTTTGAGACGGACATTGTTTTTAATCTTCGCTGGGAACTCCAAGACTCGTGGCCAGTGAGGCGCTTGGTCACTATCTGTGTGGTGCTCTCTGTCATTCTCGATTTTCTCAATCGTCTTGCTATCGTTCGGAGACCGGTGCATGATGAGGTATGAAAAATTGCCCGATTCTGTATTATTTCCTCCTGGACGACCTGACCCTTCTAATGTCTTCAATGTCTTTTTGCTGAGTCTGTCAATTCCGAACCCATCTTCAGTACTCTTATCCCATTGCGTTGCAAGACGACGGCCTTTCTTGAGCTCCATAGTGTACTTGGGCCTTTCAACCACATGGTTGAAAGAGCAGAAGCTCAACCGGTGCTTATGGTTCGAAATCTTGTAGAATTTAGGATCTCCCAATTGGAGAGGGCATCTACCGTGGTGCGAGCATGGTGCAACCACACTTAAATGGTAATCAACTTTGTCGGTCACCGGTTCATCCCCCGCCGGCGTCTGTCCTGGTGTCAAAACCTCGAATTCTTCGCTGTCTTCGAATTCAAATTTAAGATCTTTCTCTGTAACTTCTCCGAACTTTTCTGTGAGTTCCGCTTCTAAGTTGTCTTCTGAGGCACTCAACGTCTCTTCCAATTTCTCAAGTTCCTCTTCCGCCTCCAATTCAGCCAAAAGCTGCTCTTCATACTTGATATGGTCTTCAGTAATGAGCTGGTCTTCTTTCCGGAGTTTTTGGGGTTTATATGTAGATCCTTTCACATAAGGACGTGGGATCTTTCCATTTTCTCCTTCATGTGATTCAGGGCGAAGCATAACTTGTCTGGCTCTTGCAATGATTTCAAAGCCTAATGCATTTCCCCTTTCGATCAAAACAAGGTGTCCGTTTGGCTTGAGCAATCTCAAAAGCATGTATATATTCGTATCCACATCTGAGGGAAAACTGTATTCTCGAGTAAGTAACGCCTGGTTCACGATGATCAACTCATATTGCTTGGTTGAAGGTAAAGAATCTCTTAATTTGGTACGTATTTGGATCTGAGATGAGTCAACTGGTCCGATGTAATCATCCTCGTTCGCTTCCGTCTCGTTGGAAACTGGCTCCTCGTGATCTCCTGATAGTTCAGATGAAATCGCCTCGCTTCCTTCCAGAACATCTGACACTTCATCTTCATCTGGAATTTCACATACTTGTCTTGAAAGAAGAATCTTGGCTCTTTTCTTCATTTCCTTGTTGCCTCTGCCAACAACATATACCTCTTTCGTACGGGGTTTGAATTCATCTCCCATAATATCATTAAGAGCAATCATACCAGTACCTGGTCCATATCCCACATCTAAAACGCTATCAGGATTGAAGGAATCACCAACGCGATTTTTCAACTCCAGAAGAACCCTTCTTGCGTGTGCGTAATTCTGAAGAAATAACGCCGCAATGTGAGCATCGGCTTCCAAACTCAGGTCTGGCGCTTTTTGGATCTGATCTTTTTCCAAACTTTGATACACTAGGGCGGCCCGTTCACGAAGCTTATCTGGCTGCACAACCAGTAGGATATTTTTGTTGATCACTTTAGCAATCTCATAAGGAAGCTTCGTCACTGAATGATCCACTCTGGCCTTGAGAGTTAACGGATCAAGTCTTGCTTCCTCGGATGTTTCGCCTCGGATGAAAGACCCGTCTTCGTTTCTGAACGGGGATGGCAGTGGATCAAAGAGAGGATTTTCAGAATGGAGTTCGACTTTCTTGACGTAGTTGGAGTCGTTCAAGTCACCACTCTTCCTCCATTGCTCGCTGCGAACTAACTGGCCAAATGTCTCGCTATGTCTTCTCCGCTCAAATGGGAGAGCCGATGGTGAAGATGATGCAGATTGGAAATCGAGATGAGATGGGTCGATGTTGCCCACCTCAAACGGCTGTGTGCCCTTGTCGGACTTTGCTCGACGAGCTAGCCTAGCTGTGGACTGTAAAAGGCGGTAACTTAGCACTTTTCTGCCCGGAACAAACATACTTGTGGCAAAAATCACTTCCAGCACAAACCTTGCTTAAGTTTGGTGGGTCACGTGCGGCATCGCTTATGGTTTTTCCAGCTCTTGACATTTTGTACTGTCGGAGCAGCTTCTCACACCCGTGCACCACCATACTCAGTGCGTTTGATATACCCCAGCAAATGAGAACCCACCATCTTTCACTGTTTATGTCTCGTCCAGTTTCTGCTGCAGTTGCGCTTGGGGCAGCTGCAACTTGCATATTCAAAACGCCCACCATCCACAATGATCTGAAACGAAGATTTTACGAGGACGAAGCGTCTGTTAACCCAGTGCCAGGAACCACTATTCCCAGCACAGAAACACAACAAGAAATCTTGGGTCCTCGCTCAGTAATCAACGGCGTGACAGTCAGATCCATTTCCTCTTTTGAGTCGGCGTTCCGCAGTTTGCGGGAGACTGTGACACGTGCTGTGACGGCCACGCAAGACTACTTGGACGAAGGAAAAGTGAAAATGTATCAAGCTGAACGAGACGTGACAGGCACCGTTAGTGCATTGCACGACAGAAGAGAAGACCTTCTACCAAACTCGATCTACATTGTGATTGCATCTCTTTCGGGAAACATCATGGCGCGTCAACGAGGTGTTTTGGCCAAGGTTTTCTTCCCAGTAGGTTTGGGTTTGGCATCGTTCAAGTACTTTTTGCCTCAGACCTTCAGCAACACTATGGGCTTCCTCTGGAAGGTGGAGCAGCGGTCCATGCCCGCACTTGCCACCACGCAAGTTGCTGCGTTGGAAAAGACCGAGCGTCTTGTCAACCAAGTAGAGCAAACTGCAGTGAGTGGCCAGGAGAAAGTTTCAGGCAGCATGGAATCTTTACGCAAGAAGATCATCACTGCCACGGGGTTGAATTTAGACGAGGAGGTGTCGAAGAAGTAGACAGTAAATATTCAAGAAGACAATGGAAAATGGAACAGTAGATTGCGAGATTTGGATTGAACATTGAAGATGGAAGACTGGGGATTGGAGATTGGGGATTGAAGATTGAGGATTGAAGATTGAGGATTGAAGATTGAGGATTGAAGATTGAGGATCGAAGGACTGACGACTGCTGACTCCTATTATGATCATATATGATCATATATGATCATATGGAACAACATTGAATTTGTAGATCAAGTAGTCATTCTTTTTGAGATTTCGTTAGGATCCCCATTACACGAATGAATACCAAAATGAGAGAAAAACATTAAGGTTGGCGCAAAAGAATAGATATTAACAGATGAACTCCATGATCATTTTCAAGTAAAGACTAAATTTCCTCTTAAAGGTGTTTCCCTAATGAAAAGTTTGAGTGAGAGTATAATAAGCGAAAAATAAGTAAGTAGAATCAATTAAACAACGATACGAATGAAAAAGGTAAAGAAATAATCCAATGGCAAAACGAAAAATCAATGAATAAACTCGCACCAGATGATTCCTTTTATACTCTTTAAAATGTCGCATCCTCAGCCATAGTTTGCAGCCATTTTTTTATCAACAAACCAACTCTTTTTTTTCTCGAAAGCTAGAAGAAAGTGAACAGAAAAGAGAGAAAAATCTTCTAACCTTCCTTCTTTTTTGTCATGCTGGAACCAAATATGGACGACAAGATGTCACAAAAATCATCTGTTTTCCATTCCGCTTATTCAACATTAAGTAGACCTACAACAGCGGCGGTGCTTAAAATGCTTCATAAAATCAGGCCGCTTTATTCAAGAAAAGAATCCAAAAGGTCGTCGGCTACTGATGTTCAGAAAGTGATTGAGCGACTCACGAAACTCCAGAAAAAGGCTTCGGCGTCGCATGCTATATTGATTGAGAGTTTGAACAGTTGGGCAAGCGACTTCAACAATGATGAAACGGCGCTTGTGATTCAGGAGTTTATTACTTTGCTAGATACTGTGGATATGGTTTTTGCCACGAGAACAGAAAACTACAGTAAGCTCAAGGTGCAGATGGGAGCTATAGCCATTCGAGAGACACGGCAGAATGATCTTATTTCGAAGCACGCCAAGTTGCAGAAGGCAAAGGAGGCAAACTCAATGAAACTTGGACCCAATGCCTCGAAAACCCTCTTGGTCATCGACGAAATAGAGGAGAACGAGTACAACTTGAAGTTAATTGAACAACAGTTGCTCCGTACGACTTCAGCCAACATGAGGGAAGCTTGTCGTGGTTTCATACTGTGGCTCTTAGAGTGTATTGACCAGCTTGGTAAGCAGGGAAACGCTTTCAATGCTTTGTTTTGCGCCACCGACCCCATTGTAACTGCTAGACGCATTGGTCTCTCGCTTTCGCCTAGCATTCTGAGACAACCGCCCAGTACTTTTGACACGCCAGAGGATAGCGGCGGAATCTCTCTCATTGACGAGAGAAGAGCGGCCCTCGAGACTGGAAGAACCTCAGTAGGGAAGAATTCCCAGAAGTCCTTCGAATCGGATAGGACATCTCGTCGCCACGATGACAGGTACGAATCGTTGCTTAACAGACATACCGAAAAAAGCCAACAAGAGGTCTCAAACGAATACGACATTCGGAAATTCCAAATGAACCACGAGGGCTGGAAGTAAGGATCAGTTATGTACAAAATCTATATGGATCCACATGCAATGGAATGGGGTTAGCGGCGCAAGCTCGCTTACAACTTGTCCTTGAAGATCTTCTTGGCAATCTCATAGGATGATATCATTATGGCGCACAGAGGAGCAATTTTCATCACTCGGGCTCCGAAACCGCCATACAAAGCCCGAAGGCCCTCCTTTTGGTAAATTTCAAAAAGGAACTTGAACATAGTTGGTTTCCTCTTGTCGACCAATTTCTTTTCTTCGGTCGCTATCTGAAGTCTAGTTTTGCCGACATCAAAGGGATTGGTGAAAAACGCCGCAATCACTCCTCCAAAAGAACCGGAGAGGAAACTCGTCGTAAACACTTTTAAATCATCTTGCTGCGCAGCATTCTCGTTGAAATCAACGCCCATGGCTCCTCCAATACGGTCTTTGAAAAGCTCATAGCACAGCCAATATATTCCCAGGAACGGTACATCTCGCCAGAGGGTGATCTTCAAGCCAGTGAACATCGAACCCACTCCACGGCTGCGAAACGAAGCAGCTGCATCCTTGAGCAAATGTGAGAAGATTCGGCTTCGCTGGTCACCACGTACTTCAGAAGGAATGGATTGGAGTCTTGTCTTCAAAAGCTCAACGGGAGCAACGGTTGTTGCTGCCATAGTTCGCGCGAACATGCCACAAATAAGAGGATTGAGTGGGTGCTCCACCAAAGGCGACCGGTCGCGGATATACTCATATCCTGTGAAGTATATGATGTTGGATGGGATTGCCATAAACAACGTCAAACTTAGACCACGCCAGAGAGTGGGTAGGCCCTCATTACGCGCAATACTTGACATGCCTTGGAATGTGGAGGTGATTCGTGGACACTTTTCTGCAGAGTTACAGTAGTGTTCGTTGATCCAGAAGATACCTGGGCCTTTGGGCTGGGACTTTGATCCTCCACTGCAACATTGGTAGTCCTGAGGAATGACCTCTTGTTGCTGGATGCGAATGCGAACCACATCGAAAGGCGTAACCACTAGAGATGTGATGAACGAGCCCAGGCACGCAGAGAGCATGCGCTGGAACGCAGAAATATCTTCCGGTGGTTTCTGCGAGGCATCGAGGTGAAGTTTTTCCTCGATGCCGGCGGCTAGCTCAGATGACATAGACATGGCAATGATGAGGTTGTGCTCAGCGTGGCCATCAGTACATGAATCCTGCAGGTGTACCACCGATCACGGGAATAGATTTTGCAATCGTTTTGTGCATCACTGACGTGTGCGTGATAAGTGCATTTATATGATCTATGGAATGCATTCTATGAATTCTATGGAGAGTAAAGCACGTGTAAAAAGGATGGGATTGAGATAATTCGGGAATCACGGTGGACTTTTTAATAAATGTCCTTTGCAACAGGTATTGGTGGGTCTGACAACCTAAGTTAGGCCCGAAAATATCTTTTCAGCGGCATTAGAATTGAACTATTCAGCTTCAAAATGAATGTGTTCATACGAAAAGCTGTACAACAACAAATTGTGGATCCCATCTCTTGATGAGATCATATCTTATAATGTCCGAAAATCACCACATGCGCAAGAGTGCTTAAAAAAGTATTATCAATATTTTAGCTTGCTTACAAAAGCAATAGGACCGAGTATGTGAACTGGATCCGAGATTTGTTCCTGTTCTTGGCCTGATAATTTTAGATCCTCCTCATACGCAGAAAAAGCTTCGACTAGTCGCTCAGGGTTACTTTTTTAGAGTCGTCCTTTCTTAACCTGGGTCTTAAGTCTCACTCGCTCATTATTTTCAAAAAATTCCATCACTGTTCGAGTTTTGCGCTTTTTTTATCAATTCCTTCGACTACTCAGTACTCTGACATTATATCTGTGCACTTGTACACGTTGATATGCCCGTCTTGGTTGAAGTTGGTTGTTACCATCATGCGATGTGGATGAAAGGTCACGTTAGCCAAGTAGTTCAGCGTACGATTAGTGAGATAGCCGTCGTGTGGGTTTTTCAAGGTGGCAATCATGTCGCCTGACGTTGTCCACATATTGACCCACTTGGACCCCGTACAAATAATTGGAGCATGTTCGTGAACATCAATGCACCGCAAGCCTTGCTCTGGTGTGGTGAATGTTGCCACTGGCTCGGTGTTTCTGATATCCCATAGATTGACATATCCGTCGGCTGAACCGCTGACAAGCTCACGGAACCCACCCCGCTGCATGTGAACGTTTCTAATCGAGCCCCTGCCAATGTCCTTAGCGCCACCTCGGCCATTCTGCCAAAGCTGAACCATGGACTCGCGGGCATCAAGTCGGCGGTCATAAACCCGTAAACTTCCATCGTCAAAGCCTGCGACAAAGACGTCTCCCGCCACCTGGTCTGATGTGATTGACGTGATGGAAGATGTAGACCTAGCCGGAATATCAAGCACACAAAGTTCACGTTGGGCGTCCCATACACGGAAAACCTTCACGTCACCACTGACCAAAAGCGAACCACGCGATTGCTGCCATTCACTGATGAGACCAGTACTTTTAGATGTAAGAAGAAGATCGGTCAATGCTCTCCAAGCTGTGACAAGCTCAACGGGTTTCTCATCACCTCCTTCATAGTGGAAGTTACGATAGATCTTTACCACTCCGTCGGATGAGCCCGTCATTACTAAAGGCAAGTCGTCTTCGTTCAAAAACTTCAAGTCAGTGATTTTCGTGCCAAAGGGGTTCCCGTTGGAAAACTTTGTCACAATATCGCGGGCTTCCCAGTCCCAGACTGAAACGTTGTCCTTATCATCTGTGGCCACCAATAACTTTTCAAACTGCATGAACTTGATGAGTTTTGGCTGTGTCTTGTTGTTCAACACCGTTGTGTCTCTATTCCAGTCGCCACGAATAGCCATTTTCTTCTGTGGTTGCGTCTCTTGAATAACCTGCTCGTTTCTGTTACGCCGCCATAAGCGTTTGACGTACTCTTCGGATCCTGGTTGCTCAATCTCTGTTTTCGACATTTGAGGCTCTTGAAAGTACTCGCAGCTGTACTCAAAAAATCCAGACTCTTCAGGAAGCTCAGGTTCTTTCATATCTGGGCGTGGTTCGTATCGAGGAGTCTTTGGCTTGTACTCCTGGCCATAATGGCTTGAGACAGGTCCAGGATTCAAGATTTTTGTGAAGTTGTTGATGTCTGTTTCCTCATTTAGGTTGAAGGACTTGAAAATACGAGAGATGCTCAAATTGCGCAACTTGGAAGAAATTGATGACGCATCGCTGTGATCGTTTGAGTCACCCTGTGAGTAAGAACGCGATCTGCCTGTACCACTGATTGTAAGAGTGTTTTGCCTGTTTAGAACTGACCCACTGGAAGCCTGTCGTTTTGGCCCATTGTGTAATGCCATGGGACGGTTGACGATTGGTTTTGACGACTTGAAGTTATCATTGATGTTGATGTAGGACTTGCTTAAAAGATAGTCTTGCATTTCCTTGACCAAGCCTGAAAGTTCGCTCTGGTTGAGCTTCACCATGACTGAATCTATCAATATCTCTGCTAATTGTTTTACTTCAAGATGTGGATCTTCAGATAAAATCAAAAGCGCTTTCCAGATGGAGCTAAAGATTGAACCGTATGCTGGAGACTTCTTTCGGAATTCTTGTAAGTTGTTTGGATTGTCAATCAATACAATTTCCTCCTCCAATTGATTGAATGCTACTACCAAGAAGAAGTTCGGGTAGATTTTGATGAAGCGACCAATGAAAAACACAATTTCGCGACGAACAATAGACGATCCATCGCCTAGCAAGCGTAAAATCACATTCGCAAGCTTCAAATCCTGCTGCTTCAACTCATCCTTGCGAAGATCAGCGCTGACACTAGGTGCGGACGAAAAATCGTCACGAGATCTCTTAGGCAGCTCGGTATCTTCAGGCTCAGACAAAAATGTTGTGAGAGCCACAATGATGGATGTACGAACTTCAGGAATAGGATCGGCTACCAAATCCAAGAGGCGATTCAAGTGGCCGTCTTTGTAAATTATCCATTTCCCGTCTGGGTACCTGAGCCAAAGCTGGGAGAGAAGCAAACAGCACCATTGACGCAACAATGGATTTTCACTTGTCGATATAAAACGAAGACAATTTGCCACGAGCTCGATGGAGAAGCAGAGACGCTGGCCATTCTTGAAGTCTTTGATGAAAAGTGTGAGAATAAATGCGCTCATAGCCTTATGGTCATCGTTGACCACGACGGAGCCCGGGTTCGAGGTATTGAGCCCACCTGGAGCTCCTGGGGCACCGATAGGGTTATGTGGAGTGGAATTCAAAATAAGGTAGAAATAGTTGTAACCCTTGTCCTTGCAGAGCTCTTGTTGTGTGCTGCGGTAATCAATAGCCATGATACGAGCCCAGATGAAAATAAGGACGGGTTTCAATTCCTGTGCCGGGCTTTGAAGCAACTTGAGCACGTACGGGAAGATTCCGATGGACAACGACAAGTATACAGCCCACGGGCCCATATCCAAAAACTTGGAAAGCAAGATCAACGCACGAAGGCGATGCACCTGGGACAACAACACTTGCAAGACAATCGGTAGCTGTTCTGGAGGCTCCTTGGTGGACGGACCGGCATATTTGAGCCAAAGATCAAACGCCGTGAGCTGCTGTTCGAAAAAGGTTGAATGCTGGTAATTCAAGCTGGGCTGGCCAGCTCCAGGCGCAGTGGCTACTGCTGCCAGGTTCAGATTCACGATTGCACTCTGATGCAGATTCAGAAGCGGTGGCTGGGTGAGATTCGGGCCTTGGTTCTGGCTCTGGTCTGGGTCTGTCAGAAGCTCCTTTTCGAGCAACTGCGCAAACACCTGGTCGATTGCAAGGTCCCACAGATCCCACATCGGATGGTTACGCACAGCGTCGGGCAAGGGAGGATCGCTCACTGGGGTGCAATTGAAGTGGGGCATAATCCGCTTAGCCAACAAAAAGTTACGGAAGAGCGCAGCCACCATCAAATCTTGCCGGAAGAGCCGTTTGAACACGGGCCGCGGCAACAGTGTCCACGCAATGGTGTCAGTAATGGCGGTGAATATCCAGTTCAACTCGCCAAGCGGCGTACGGCGGTCGGTGAGCTTGCCTGGCACAATGACGTTTCCGGCCGAGTTGCGTGGGAGCCGGGCGTAGTGGCTTTTCTCTAGCGGCAGCCGCATGATAAACCACTGGAGCGACATGTCGATTGGACAGGTGAGGCAGCAGGTGAACAAGTCTGCGGGCAAAGCTGGGCTCATGGGCAAGGTGTCGTTGCTTTTGCAGGCGGCGAGCTGAAGCAGATCTAGGTACGCAGACGTGGGCAGCGGGGCGCTCAAGTCGTGGTTGCCCTCGTTGTCATCGTCAATTCGCCGCTGCACAAACTTCTTGAAGCTGTGCACAATGTTTCCGGCGCCGCTGCAGTCCCACACGAACACCACCGGAGCGCCGAGCCACGTCTGCAAGTCATAGAGCAGGATTGGAATGTACTGGGTGTAGCCTCGGTTGAAGACCCAGATCTCGCCGCTGGCAGTGGGCCGCGGCACGCCATGACCATTATAATGGAACAAGATGCGCTCGTCCTTGGCGTTGCGGCGCAATGTGTTGCAGAACCGCTTGACATCTTCGACACACGGGTCCAAAGACTGCTTGTATCGCGTACGCAACAGGAGCGTCTCGTACTGCGCTTGCAAGCCCTTGGCAATGGCCTCGAGCGCCTTCTTGGTGTCTGAAAAGGCCAGCGGATCACACCACGCCTCGCGCTTTGCACACGGGTGCGTTTTCATCACGTCTGGAGGATCCACGCCAAGGTTCAAGCAGAGTACGAGAACAGCACTGATGGTTTTCTGCCGCTCCCGCATGACTTTCCAGTCGGCAATGGGCTGGAAATGCCGTGCGAGCGCCGGGAGTCGCTTCATGCTGGCGCTGAGCGGGCGGCCGTTGGCGATGTGACGCTTGTCATCGAAATAAATATAGAAGGTGTTGGCGAGCGTGCGGAGGAACCGGTCCAGGTTATGGTCCGTGTCAAAGCCGTGGCGCATGGTGCCGTTCAACGGCTGGAGTGGCCGCGGGCCAAAATACACCACCTGCGACGACATGTTATCGGCTTTTTGTTCAAGCTTGGTGGGATGCTAGATGCTAGATGCTAAATGCTGGGTCCAGATGGATTCTGGATGCTGGGCCTAGATGACGGGTCTAGATGCTAGGTCTAGATGCTTTTTTATGGCCAGATTGGATGCTGATAGCCAGATACACGAAATCGTCTTCCTCTTGGAGATACTTGCGGATTCAAAGGGGTGGAGTTGTCTGGCTGGATGTATCTTCAATGACTCACGTCCAATTGGCTGTATCGTTTGTGCGAGAATGTTTGAAAAAACGATCGCTTTCGTTGGCCCTAGGTGCGTTTTCTTTTTCCTTCGTATGGTTTCGCCGATGTTCCCGCTCTCTCTCTGGGGATTCGTTTGGGCACTTTTTGGTATCGCAGTCTCAGTTGACTTCGGACTTTCGCACTCGCACTCGCCTTGTCTTTCCTGTTGCAGTAAAGTTCATCACATTCGCTATTTTTGAACATGAAATTTCTCTATGTCTACCTGCTCTTCAACTTGCCATGAAAAGGTCGCTTTTTATTTGTTTTCCGCCTACACTCGATGTTTCCTTTGCCTTTATTGCTTTCATTCTGGAACGCCGTTCGGTGACGTGTATGCAGGCACAGTCAACTTCTGGAATCTGTCAACGGATTAGCAGTAAGCACCGGTTTAGAAGGCTTCAACTCCTCTATTCAGAACCAGCTGCATTTTTGAGCTACCAACTGCCCTGTCTCTTCTCCTGAGTACTGTCATATAAAACTCTGTGGCCCCACTTTCTTTGAAACAAGTTACGTGACTTCTCTTAGTTGTCGCGTTCAGAAATTAGATATCAAACTCCCCGAAACTCATCAAACGGAGGAGGAAATTCACCCTGTTCTATTCTGGTTTGCTGCAGCTTCAATTTTCCTATCTCCCCATACAGCATGTCCGACAGTGAAAGCAGCAGTTCATATGAATCAAGCTCAGAAGATGATCTCAGTCTTCTTGCGCGGCCCGTTTTCCTAAAAAAGTCTAAGAAAGACAGTGCTGCGTCTCCAGAAGCGGGATCCAAGTCGGCCATTTCTCGGGCGGAATTCCAGCAGCAGCTAGATGCCAAAGAGGCCAAAGTATCTGACTTTGGCAGCGTCTCAGATACTGACGATGTTGATCCAGACTCTGAGTATGCGCAATGGAAGTTGCGCGAGCTCCAGCGGCGTCAAAGAGACCGCCAGAAACTAGAGAGTATTGAGAAGGAGAAAGAAGACCAGCTTCGGCGAAAGAAAGGAACATTCAAGGATGCAGACCATACAAGTGATGGCGCCTCAAAGGAGAAAGAAGCCTCAAAGGAGAGCGAAGGGCATAAGAAATTGGGAATCTTCTATGGAGATGGAATTGACGAGAAACTATTAAAGAGAGATTATACGCTGGTTGAAGACAGTGGTGATCACAGCAGGCCCACGAAGTACATGAGACACAAGATGCGGCCATAGCATATATCTAGCAACAAAGCTCTAGATCGTCATGCATCACGAAAAATTGGCGTCAGGATGAATTAGCATTAATACGATATGTTGACCTTCGGCATTTTCTCCAAGGTAAACTCTTTCGATGCTCTCTATGAATTGAAAGAGATTTGTGGTTTAATTGCATTCCCCAGCTTTGTCACATGGTTGTCACTTGAGATTCCGCTAACTCGCTTCACCGTGATATGCGAGTTCTTTCAAACCAATCTTTATCAAATGTGTGCTCGTTGGGCAGATCAAATGAGATGGCAGAAAAGATAGCATTTGTTTTAGCTATAGGAATCTGGGCGACCATTGGGCTTACTTTCCGCCATTTCCTTTCGATACTGGTAACCTGCTTGTCTTCAAAAGGATTTCCCTATCAGAGAAGTAGAACTTCTACGTTTGGGACTGATTACAAAACCAGTGACCCATTTATGTATAGAATATAATGAGGAGAAACGCCAAACACAGACTTGACAAAGATGTTGAAGACACCCATTGTCACAACGTTTATCTATATAGACGAAGGCAGCTGTCAGCTCTAAGTATTTCTCAGTAGCATTTTTGGATACCTATGCCTGAAAGAATATCCCATCTGTCTGCTTTATCTTTCGTAGATCTGTGTATCATTCGCTGGTGTTCCCGTGTACCTTAATCAACATCTTTCCAATATTCTATCAGTGCTGAACCTACGTCCTACTCAGCTAGGTGAAAACTCTTCCATTACACTCTTACAATCCGTCTTACCATTCTTATATTATCCTATCCCAAACCTAACAGGTCGACGCTCCTTTCGTCCAAACCTAACACGTCGACGCTCCTTTCTGCCTAACACGTTGACGCTCCTTTCTGGTTAAGCACCGTGCCTTGCCAGCTATAGTACCGGCTCATGTTAACATGGTGCTTCTTCGACGTTGCAGTCTCGTACATCAGACAGCCATAGAGCGCCGCATACGGCGGCGTGTACAAGTGAAGCGACACGGCAAACTCGCTTGGTGACTCATTACTGATGCGATGCAATCCAATCTTGTCGGAAATGTACCCGACCTCGTCGCGGTGCAAAACCGAAACCTGTCTTGGTGTCATGGCGTCTCCTTCGTGGTCTGGAACGTCATACAACGACTCGGTGAGCTGGCCCTTCAACACCTTCATGCAGCAATGGGCGTTGGCGTGGTCGTGCACTGCGCTGCCCTTTCCGGGCGTCCACACGAGAATGAGAAGGTTGGCATTTCCGTTGATGTTCACAATGCCGTTCCGCGTGTATCCCTTGGTGGCATCCCGCAAGGCAAAACGGCCCCAGTCCTTTTCGTCCAGCGTATACTCCTCCATGATTTTCTTGACTTGAGCAACGTCCACGTCCTCGGACGCAAGCCCTGAGCTTCCCAAAAGAGAGCGCAAGCGGTCCACAAGATGCCCAAACGCATTATCCAAGACAAAGTCGTTGTTGGTTTCCTGTTCGAGACAGCCAAAAGTCTGGCACCCAGTTTGCGACACAGGCGACGAAGCGTTGAGGGCGATCATGTTGCGGAAGAATGTATAATGTGGCGAGTGTAAAGTTGTTTTGAAAAAGAAGAAGAGAATGTGGAATGAAGACAAGGAAGACTGGGCCACGGTGGTCTTATATAGTTGACCGGGCCATCCGCATTGCAGAGGTGTATGCAAAGATAGTCGGCTGTGGCGTGCACAAAGAGCGGGCGAAGCGTCACAAAACTGCCCGTTCGGGCCAATGTGCGCGTTTTGGGTCGCGCACGCCATTGTCGGCTCCGCTCTCACTGCGACTAATTGTATGAGGGCGGCGCCGCCACGGTCTGGACTCTGTGCAGTTGCGGCATTTTCGTGATGAAATTACCGTATTTGGCGATTTTGCGTCGGCTCCGCGAAGCCGCCCACCTCCCCTATTGGGATTCTCCTCAAACTGTGGTGCCCCCGCCGGCTATATGCATGCCCTACTGTCTTTGTTCCAATCAGTCATCTGCACTATATAGTTTCCGTCTGCCGCTTGTGCTGTTTTCTTGGAAGCTTCTTTTCCTGACTATTTTCCTTCTTGTGGCTCTCTGCTGTTCTGAGTCTTGTTTTTTCATCTCCGACTTCGAGTTTCATCTATTCTTATCGTCGCTTGCGCTTTCCGCATCTCGCATTATCGCATCTCATGAACAAGCTTTATCTCGACCCGTCTACATTGGGGTCGTCGGCCGATAAGGAGTTCAGCGAACCCAAAATGGCGTCTTGGCACCTGTATCTATGGCAGCGGCTCGACCAGACTTTTATTGCAGGTTTTACTCCTGTCTATTATGCATCGGTTATGGGTACTGGTATATCAAGCAACATCTTGTACAATTTCCCCTTTGAGAGCCGATGGCTCCAAATCTGCGGCATTATAATGGCTGTGGTTGCGCTTTGTCTCTTTTTGGTTTTGCTGGCGTTTTTCGCTCTAGCACTACTTCGAAATAAGAGCCTCTTTTCCAAGATCCACCGTGATGCCGCTTTGGCTCCGCCCATGGGCTGTTTTGTCATGGGCTACGTCACGTTGGTCAACATGTTGCATTCGCTCACCAAAGACCGCTGGATCATGGCTGTGTGGGTCCTCTGGTGGATTGCTGTGGCTGGTTCCTTTTACACCGCATTCTTGACGTTCTACTTGTGTGCTATAGCCAAGCACAGGAAAAACAGAAACCATACTGAACCTTCCAACATCAGCATGACTTTCCTTTTGCCCGTGGTGACATTGATGGTGACATCGTCCTCAGGCGGCATTGTCACGCCCGATTTGCCTCATTTGCAATTGAAGATCATCTCCATGGTTGTGTCTTTCATCATGTGGGCTATCGCCGTGGTGCTAGCATTTATTGTCGTGTCCGTCAACTTCTGGCGTCTTTTTGTGCACAAGATCCCTGCCTCGGGCCAGGTCTTCACCATGTTTCTCCCCATTGGCTTTTTGGGCCAAGGCTCTTACTCAATCATGCTTTTCGGCCGCAATTGCGTCACCATCATAATGGAGCATGCGGACTCTGTCCTGCTGTCTTCCTACACCAGCATATTGCACACAACTGCATCGGAGAATCATGTGGATCTATCGGGCCTTCCGTCTATCTTGGCAACGTCCTTGCTAACAGTATCCACGCTTGCAGCCATGACGCTCGTCTCCTTTGGTTACTTTTTCACCTTTGTGGCGTTTGCATCTTTCTTCTCCAAGATGGTGCCGTTTGCGTCCCGCCCCAACTTGCAACATGTGTACCAACCTTCTGGTACGAACTTTATCTCGCGGCAATTTGCAGGGTTTCTACGCTTCAACAAAGGGTTCTGGTCCATGACATTCCCTGTGGGCACAATGGTCTTGGCTAATGGCGAGATCCATTCGCTTTTCAATGGTATGGAAGCGTTCCGTTACATCAGTGTCATCTACGCTGTTGTAGTAATTATCGTCACATTGGGATGTCTTTGCGGCGTCTTATACAATATCGGCAAGGCAATCAAGTTTGCATTTTCTCCTTTGCGCCAGAAAGAGATGGTTTGAGCATAAATTATTTAAATTCGTCATGGATTGTATCACTAATAGCGCACTAATGGAATCACTGCGTGTCATAGCATACATTGTAGAATGAAGACAAAAGAAAGACAAAAACCTCTCACATTTTAACATTTGTTGCATTGTTATCTTCTTGATACCATAATCGATATCACCCTATTTTCAAGGTCTGACCCCCTTCTAGACTGTATGTCATCTAAGATCTCTATTTATAGCTACTCAAATGTAAGTGCAAATATTCATGTATATGATGGCTAAATCAAGCTGGATAGGATAATGCCAATCAGCCGTTTAGGAACGAAATACTCGAATCTTTCAAAAGTCACATTCCAACTTTTTTTCCATTTATTCTTCTGCTTTCTTTGAATTCGTTAATACCTAATTCGCGTCTGTAAGTAAAAAACACAAATGTTCGACTTAACAAAAAAGTAAAAATGGAAACAAAAAAACCCAAAAACGCCAGAAAAACAATAATCAAACGCCTAATCAAAACAGAAACACACCCTCTTTCGCTCCTGACACAGCCCCAGCAGTTCTTGTGTGGCTTGGCCTCTGGTAATGCTTGGGGTCACGTGAGCAGATCGCTGTCCTAATATCGAAGCCTTGTCTTGTGATTGCAGAAATCTGCCATGCCGCTTTCCATTCTAATACCAGACAATGTCGGGCCTCTAATAGAAGACTTTGAAAACGAAGATTTGGACTCGCTATATGTAAAACAGCGGACGTGGCCGTCCAGATCAATCCTATTCACCGAGGAAAATGTTGTTGGCTTTGTTATCCACACTGCAAAGACGCCCGAATCTTTGCCCGACACCGTGTATCTCTCGGCGCAGTCGTTGGGCGACTTGGACGAGAAGGACGAGACACAGCCCCGCGAAAAGGAAGAATCGTCTTCCTTCAATGCTGTTCTTCGCTATCCGATCACAGGTTCTTGCGATGTCCACGACGAACCGGAAAGCGTGTCCATTTGGAAGTTTGATCTCCCCGTTGGATACACCAGGGGCGGCAAAATAAAAATCACAGTCTCCACCGCCAATACGCATCTTCAGGCGGGACAGACGGCCGCCGAAAACGTCGAAAAAGGACATGTGGTGCCTGCTACAGACGTGGCCAAGCTGCTCTCAGACAATCTCTTTGAAGAACTCAACTTTCGAGTTGCGGGCGAAAAGCAGCCGAGATACGAGTTCTCTCACAAGTTGGCCGCATCATCTCCTGGCAACGAGGCTCCTCTCGAGAATACAAGCATAGTTCAAGACACGAACGAAACCGAGGCGGAAAGTACAAGCGTGGAGCTCACTACGTTTTTGCCGCTAGTTTTGAAGTTAAGGCTGACAAAGCCGAGCGGAAGGAACGATATTCTACTCACCACTTTGGGTATCGAGCCTTCCGCAGAAATGTTGGCCTACATTGAGAAAACGGGACACAGCGAAAAGTACTACTTCACTATCCTTGCGCTTGAGGCCACATTCAAGGGCGAGAAAATCCGCGAGCTCAGCACTTTTAGCTTCCCGACCCGTTGCTCTTTTCACGATATCCTCAACGTTTCTTATCGTCTTGTCAATACAGAGTACCTTGACGGACACGTGAACAACACAAATGAGTCTCAGCTTGCGTCGTCGAAACCTCTCCACTTGAAAATGAGCGCAAAGATCCAGAGCATAGACCACGAGAATGTGCTCTCTGATAGAAGCAGCGAAATACATACCATCTGGTCTCCCATTCTAGAATTTGGCCTCGTGGCGCCTCCAATCAGTGATACGTTGAAAAAAGGTGCCAGGGCCTCTCACTTTGTCACCCAGTCACAATTTCTTGCATCGCCGCTTGAGAAAAGCGGCCCACTGCTGCGCAAAGCACTTCTGTTCAATAACTTGGCCCAGCCCAAGCTTTTGCCCACGCCACAAGCTTCGTCGCCTCACTTGGGCCGGGGTGTTTCTGCCGCATCGTCCCCGTTGATTTCTTTGACGAAAAACGCCTCACTTTCGAAGAAAAGTCAAAAAAGCACGGTTTCTATCCCCGCCAACTCGCCATCCGCAGTGACAGTTAATGTTGCCACGTCCAATTCGTCTCTTTCAGGACTTAGGCTCACTTTCGAGGGCTCGCTCAGTGTTGAGCTTGGCAAGATTTCGACCTGGAAGATCCAGGCCATCAACCAAACAGCAAAAGCTTTGAATCTCTCCATTATAGTCAAAAACTCGAACCGGGCTCCGATAGAAAATAATGGCCTGAATATTTATGGTCTTGGCGTATCCACCCAGACACTTACATTAGAGCAAGATGCCAAGAGACCACAGATTCAAAACAGAGCACAGTTGTACTACCAGTACAGTCTGTCCAAGTTGAGCAGAGAAGGGGTTATCGTATTGAGCAATGATATTCGCCTTGGACCTCTAGACCCACATGGGGTGTTTGAGTCGGAGATCCTGTTGATTGGCATATCGAAAGGTGTATTCAATCTAGATGGGTTGAAAGTTATAGACTTGTCTACGCGGGACGGGATCGAGTTCGGCAAGTTGGTAGAGGTGTTTGTTGTATAGATAATAGAATTGCATGTTGAATAAACAAAAAATAATAGAGAGTTTAAAAAAAAGGGGCGAGCTGGGAATTGAACCCAGGGCCTCTCGCATGCTTGTGTCATCCCAGTGTACTGGAACGTCGCCCAAAGCGAGAATCATACCACTAGACCACACGCCCGTTGATGTTTGATAAAAGTTTATGTCAAATTATGAATCCTTAAATTTAGACGAAAAACGATTTAATAGAATTTTAGAATATAGGCTTTTCAGAACAGTGAAGTTATTTTGTACAATAGTCGCGAAAAATATCACTTCGCAATGGGGAATTGGAAAGTCGCATCATAAGTCGATGTAAGATAGACCAGAATTCGCAGTTGCCTGAGTGAAAACGAGATTCCAATCGCTTGCCTTTCTAAGTTTTTATTACCGTTTTATCTCACTTTATTAGCTTATTAGATTAGCTAGTTTACAATGGTCCGAAAAGGCAAGTACACACCAACTGCACTAAACTGATGTATCACATGATTTCTGGTTAATGGAAAGTTGAAGCTTTAAAATTATTAGGAATAATTCGACATACTCAACGATGTAATAAGATTATATGCTACTAAATCAAAACTTCAACTTCTGAAGTATTTTTTTTTTCTTTTTAATCTCAGTGTTGTTAGTGAATTAGAGCGAGTGGAGATAGTTAGAGCGAATGGAAAATCCTTCTACCTCTCTCTATCCCGGAAAGAAATATTACAGTGCTGAATCATTTAACAATCAGTGCTTAAACGTGAACGGTAGCAGGCCCAATACATCTATCAAAAAAATCCAAGTGAATGGACAAGAAAATCCATATCCCAATGCAGTTCAGCCTTAAGTTGTTGAGTTTTTAGATTTTTAGTCTGATGAAACTGATACAATTTACTTCAACTACTTTAGATTATTATATCTGCTTGAAAGAATAAAAGATGGGGACCCTATTGCGTCTCGTTTATGGCACGCAGGTATATTCGACTGAAAAATACCTTCAGTAAATAATGAGCTCGAAAAAGGCTCTCTAAAAGTAAATACACGGCAATATACTAAACGAATATTTTCAAAGTCATTGCGATCTGAGCATACAACTAGTCAAACAAGTTAGTCACTGTACGTCGCATAATGAAGCCCACATTCGCATCCATCCGAATGCGACACCAAAGAATAATCCCAGAATAATCCCAGAATAATCCCAGAATAATCCCAGAGAATAATCCCAAAGAATAATCTGGGCCTGGGATAGGGCATTTTTCAAATCCGATATCAGAAGCTCTCGATAAAATCACTTAAGACACCCTACAGTTTTCCGTTTTCGGTATATTCAGAACGGTGCCACTCATAGAACGGCACACGTACCTGCAGGAACGTAATATTAGCAGACGGAACACACGGCCGACTTCGGATGTATAGAACCACAGTAAACCACACGGGCGCATGGCACCTGTCAGAAATCTCGTATATCGCGCCTAACGGAGGAATAGCTAAGAAAAGATGCGTTGGTGGCGTTTGGACAATGACTAGACCACAGTCCATTGTGCAGGCACAACCGGCCAAGCACTTATAAGCCACCCATTTCTTCTATGCTGGGAGAATGCTAAATTACCAGCGGGTGTTCCTTTTTCTAGCAATCGCTGTGCTTCTGTTTTTTCTCACGCCCATGTCCCAACCAGATCTTCAAGCATTGGCTGCGGCCCAACCTTCTCCCAAATGGACCGCTACACCTCAAGAAATTTTGGATGCGGCTGAAAAGTTGAAGGCTGAAGAAATCGCCTTCAACGACCACATTGCGTCGATCGAAGATCCTACCGTGGAAAACGTTTTGATCCCAACCACGCGCCACGAAAACGAAAGATACTTTGACGAAAACCTGATCACTTTCTACCAGTATGTGTCTCCAGACAAAGACGTCAGAGACGCCTCGACCAAAGCGGAGCAGATTTTGGACGAGTGTCTGATTGAGCAGAGCTCTAGAGTCGACGTTTTCCGCGTCTACAAGAAATTGTGGGAAAAGGTCAAGGACTCGGCCGATTTGGACGCCGAAACCCGCAAGTTTTTGGAGAAAACCGTCAACTACTACAAAAGAAACGGGTTGGATTTGCCTGACGACAAGAGAGAACAGGTCAAGAAGCTCAAGATTGAATTGAGCAACTTGTCCACAACGTTTTCCAAAAACACCAACGAAGAAAATGGGTTCCTCAAGTTTACTGCTGAACAGTTGGAAGGTGTTCCAGAACTGGTGATGGAGCAGTTCGAAAAGGTTACCGAGGACGGCACTGATTTCTTCAAGGTCACTTTCAAGTACCCGGACATTCTCCCTGTGTTAAAGTATGCCAAGAACCAGGAGACAAGAAAGACCGCTTATGTTGAGAACCAAAACAAGGTCCCCGAGAACGCAGAGATCTTGGACAAGATCATCCGTCTCCGCTACCAGATTGCAAAGTTGATGGGCTACGAAACATACTCGGAGTTTGTGTTGGAGGACAGGATGGCCAAAAACCAAAAGAATGTCTTGCAGTTTTTGGGTGACTTGAAAGACAAGTTGCAACCTTTGGGCAAGAAAGAGCTTGCCAAGATGTTGGAGTTCAAGAATGCAGATCTCAAGGAAAGAGGCCTTCCGGAACAGGACACTTTCTACGCCTGGGACAACAGCTACTACAACAACTTGTTGTTGGAGAAAGAGTACCAGGTTGACCACCAAAAGATTTCTGAATACTTCCCTCTTGACCAGACCATCGAGAGAATGTTCGCCTTCTACGAAAAACTCTTCGACGTCAAGTTTGTCAAGATCGAAAAGCCTGACTCGGATTCTGTTTGGCACGAGGATGTTCGCAAGTTTGCTGTTTACCAAAACATCAAGTATGGCGAGCCCAAGCCCCAGTTCATGGGCTGGATAATGTTTGATCTCCATCCACGTGAAGGTAAATACACCCACGCTGCCCACTTTGGCTTGCAATCGGGATTTGTCAAGTCAGATGGCACAAGACAAGGAACTTACTCGGCTTTGGTTTGTAACTTCACCAAACCAACAAAGACAAAGCCATCTTTGTTGAAACACGACGAAGTGACAACTTTCTTCCATGAGTTGGGCCACGGCGTCCACTGTTTGTTGTCCCAAACCAAATACGCCCGTTTCCATGGAACTAGTGTTCCAAGAGACTTTGTCGAATGTCCATCGCAGATGTTGGAGTTCTGGACGTGGTCTGCCAACGAACTCAAGGCATTGACGTCTCACTTTGAAACTTCCGAGCCTATTCCTGACCAGTTGATCGACCAGTTGGTCAAGTCCAAGCATGTGAACACAGGTTTGTTCAACTTGAGACAGTTGCACTTTGCTCTTTTCGACATGAGTCTCCACACCATCGACACGCAAGAGAAAATCGATGCGCTTGACTTGACCAAACTGTGGAACGAGTTGAGAGAAGAGATTGCCTTGATCTCCAATGGAGGTATCGACAACACTGGATACTCTACTTTTGGCCACATCGCGGGAGGATATGAGTCGGGTTACTATGGCTACTTGTACTCTCAGGTTTTCGCCACGGACATTTACTATACTCATTTCAAGTCTGACCCTATGAATGTGGAAAGAGGTATCCGGTACAGAGACACCATTTTGAAGAATGGTGGATCGAAGGAGATCCTTGATATTTTGGAGGAGTTGTTGGGCAGAGCACCTAACTCTGATGCGTTTTTGCAAGAGATTTTGGGTTAGGTAACCAGCCTTGAAAAGAACACCTAAACGACAAAACAGGCAGTACATAGTTTGCAGTTATAATTAATCTACAATTCCTACTCGATTACTAACTTTGATGGATTCTAATCTATTCATTCCAGGTTAAACTCGCCAGTCCATACACGGTTGGATATTCAATCATAAGTCATGTATGGTACCAAAATGTATACGTAAGAACAATGCAATCTCCATTTAAATCTTACAAGTGTCGTTCATTCAGTAATTAAGCCTCCTCAGACTGGGTCTCGAAAGGAGTAAGTTTAGAAGTACCCTCAGCCCAAGAAACACCACCGTAAGTGATTTCCTTCACGGCACGCACAATATCTTCAACAGAACCTCTCACTTGCTTAGTGGAGTCTCTTTCTCTCAAGGTGACAGAACCGTCCTTGGCAGTGTCAAAGTCGATGGTGATACCGAAAGGCGTACCCAACTCATCGTTTCTGGCGTATCTCTTACCAATAGAGGCGGAAGAGTCGTCCACCTTGAATGGAATCTGCTCTTTTCTCAAGACGGCGGAGATTTTCTTGACAAGAGGCAACAAGTCGGCGTGCGAAGACAATGGAACGACCAAAACCTTGGTAGGAGCGACCAAAGGAGGTAAGGACAAAACGGATCTGTCCTTGTCTTCGGGTCTGGACCAGAACTGGTGCTCGAAGATAGAGTAGAGAATACGGCCGATACCGAAAGAAGGCTCAATGACATTAGGTGTGAACTCGCGGACGTGTTCCGTTCTCTTGACCTTGGCGATCTTCACAAGATCAGAGCCAATTTCCACATCACCTTCGATGCCCTTGACTTGCACAACGATTTTACCGTTGGCAGACAATTCCTGGGCCAAATCTTCCAATTCGCATTGGGTTCTCTCTTCCAAGTATTTGGTCACGGCACCAGCGTCCTTTCTAAACTTAGGGCCAAACTTCTTCTTGTCAATGTCAACCTCAAATTTCTCCACAGTCACTGGCTCAGGTAATGCTTGTCTAACAACCAATTTCTCGTTGGTACGAGCAGCATGGACACTCAAGTCGTAAGCAGATCTGTCGGCACATCCAACACACTCAATCCAACCGTAAGAGGTGTGCAATTCGGCATCCCAACAGTCAGAGGCATAGTGGGCCATTTCGTTGGACAAATGCTGTCTGAAACGCAAACGTTGTGGGTCCACACCGATCTTGAGCAAGAAGTGGTAGATACGTGCAATGAAGTAACCCAAAGTCTGGTTGTCGACCATGCCCGAAGACACAGCTTCGCCGATGGTTTTCTCCACCAACTCGTTAGAGCCAGCCTCTTGCACGGATTTAGGCAAGAAACGCAATTTGGTATTTTCCACCTCGGCAAATCTTGGGTGGTTCTTGTTTTCTGGGTCCACAAAGTGCTCGATTTCGGCCATCAAAAACTCACGGACACGCAACAAGCCCGCACGGGGCGAGATTTCGTTTCTGAAGGACTTTCCAATCGACGCAGAAGCAAAAGGCATCTTTTCGTTGTTGCACTCCAACAACTTGGAGAAGTTCAAAAATTGACCTTGCGCCGTTTCAGGACGCAAGTATCCCTTCAATTGGCCAGAAGGACCGATGGCGGTCTCGAACATCAAGTTGAATTCCACTGGAGGCTCCAATGGGCCGCCAGTAGCTGGGTTGGTGATGTTGTACTTGGTGATCAACTCGCCCAATTGTGGGCCGGAAAAGCCGTCGATCTGGTTCAAAACAGTCTCGTATTCCTTGACCACTTCGTCGTCCAACTTGATGTTCTTGATTTCCTTCACCTTCTTCTTTCTCTTCTTCTTGTCTTCGTCCTCCTCCTCGGTCACCGCCTGTCCTCTGGCAGCCTTGTCGCCCTTCAATCTCGCTTCCAATACTTCCTCAACCAAGTGGTCGGCACGGAAAATCTCTCCGGTCTTCAAGTCTCTGCACATCCAGTCGGCAAACTTGTCCACATGGCCAGAAGTCTTCAACACCTCGTGGGGAGTCAACATGGTACAGTCCACCTCCAACATGTCCTCTTCCAAAATGAAGTGCTTTCTCCACGTGTCAACAACATTGGCCTGGAAAGCACAGCCTGGTGGACCATAATCGTACAAGCCCGACACTCCGCCGTAGATTTCGAACGAGGGCGCAAAGAAAAATCTTCTCTTCAAAACCTGCTCCAAAGTTTCTCTGGAGAAGGGAACAGTTGTTCTGGTCGACATTTTTGCTGTGTGGATGACTCGAAGCGTCTTTTTCACAAACGAAGACAATATGGTGAAAAGCGGGAATGGCCTTGGCAGAGCGACTTTTTTTTCCACTATGACTCGCCAGGTCACGTGAGCCACTGGCCCTCTGGCCCAGAAACATGCCAACAACTTCTGCTAGTATTTATGGTATTTTGCGGTGGAGCTCATTATTTTGCTTTATTACGTCTCGTCGGTTTTCTCTGCTTGCTTTAATTTTTCTCTTATGTGTTTGGTCCCAGTCGCATTTGAGTTGTGGAAAAAATATAGGTGCACACGTAGTATACTATTAAAGGCAACTTGCAATGTGTTTGAAAGACGTTCTGGTTATTTTTGGAAATGAACCAGTTTGCATACCCAGATTTACTCGTATTCTGTTTGACTGTCTTTCGTATACATTACGCCACAGTCAATCTGCTTCTAAAACTTTAATGCGTACTCAATTATCTTAAGCTATAAATGTTTTTGTTGGATACTGAAGTTCTATACTACTAAGATTTGGCAGTTCGATCTAACAGATTTATTGCTACGTGTTGATGGACTAGCTCAAGGACGCACAATCACACTTTCTTAAAATTACGTCTTACGCTAAGATGTCTTGCAGATTCATCCAGAGAATCAGAGCATCTGCTTGTCACTCTGAGTAGTTTGAAATTTTCTACTTCTTAATTTGTAGTCTAGCACGTCCATCAGTACTACTTCATTGTCAGTCGTATGCCATGTTATATTGCAATACAAAACCCAACTTGCATAAATGCACGTAAACCAGCCACAAGACCTGCTTGTCTATTTCACCAAATCAGTCCTTTTTCGCCTTCACCGGCTCATAGACCATATCGTTCAGATGGTCTTTTCTAGCCTGGTACCAGTAGCTTGTCTGAGAAGCAGGATAGGTGGTGGAGTTTGTTCCGCTCATGGTGTACCAAGAAGTACACCCACCAAATCCGGAGCCGTATACGCCCTGGAGCAATTTTTCTTGTGTCGATTCGAACCAGTTGTAGTAGGCACTGCGCTTAACCGTCACGGTACTAGCTTCGCCCGTGAGAACAGGCTTGACTACCCGCGAGGCAAAAGCACAGCCGTTGTCAATGGCCGTGATGATCGACGAGTGGCCCGTGGCAGAGTTGGGGCCGCTGATGAAGAAAAAGTTGGGGCAGTCCCGCACCATGCATGTTCGGTAGGCACTGACACCTTCTTTTCTCCACAAGTCTTGAACATTCATGCCGCCACGGCCCACAATGGAAATGGCGTCGTAGAAGCTTTTCCTAATGTCGTAGCCCGTGCAAGCAACAATAATGTCTGCCTCCACTCGGGTGCCGTCCTTCAAAACAAGACTGTGCTCCTCCACATGGTCAATCTGCTTGTCCGTCAACTCCACCCTGGGGTTGTTGAGCGTGGGCACGTAGATGTAGTCAAACACAAGCCGCTTGCACCCAATCTTGTAGTCGGGAAGCAACATGCGGTGGTATTTTTCGGGCGCAAACTTGTGCACGTAGCGGCGGCACACGGCGGTGTTGGACCAGCGCATGAACCGGGACACCAAGCTGTTGCCTCGGTACAAAGGGTATCTGATTTCGGCAAGCGACGCAAGCCACAAGCGCACCAACACCATGCCGAGCCGGGTGAACGACGCCAACTTGTACAAGTAGAAGATGAAGGGCGGGATCGGCGGCATGATCCAGTGCTTGGACCGGAAAACCTGCGTCACCTTCTTCACCTCCAACTGGTTCACCAAAGCAGGCACAACTTGCGCCGCCGAACACCCGTTTCCTACAACCACAACCTGCTTGTCCTTGAAGTCGACGCTGTGGTCCCATACGGCAGAGTGCATGTACACACCTTTGTAGTTTTCAAGCCCTGGCGCCTGCAATTGTGCCGGCTGAACCAAGCCGCCTTGGCAGGCGAAAACAACTTTGCTGGTGTGTTCGTACCGCTGGCCCGTTTCAAGACTGGTGGCATAGATCTTCCAGTTTTCGTTCTCCTCGTCATAAACAACCTTGCTCGCCACAATGCCAAACTTGGCGTGGCGGTCCAAATCGTGCTTCTTCACCACTCCCAAAATGTACTCCTCCATCTCGTATTGAGGAGGCCGCAAAGCGCTCCAGTTGTCGTTGAGCTCGTCAAAGATCGAGTACCAAAACGCCGGAATGTCCGAAGCACATCCAGGATACGAGTTGGCCCACCATGTTCCGCCCCACTGCATGTGTTTCTCGAACACGACGAAATCGTCCAAATCAAACTTCTTTTTGCACATGAGAGCGGTGCACAAGCCGGCAAAACCGGCTCCAATGATGGAAACGGCAGACTCGCTGGTAATCACCGGCTTGTCATTGGATTTGGGAATATGGGCATCGGGCCCCAATACCCGCATGGCATCTTTATGCTTGATACGGTACTTGTCAGGGTCCGCATGCGACTCGCGTGTGATGTGAATTGTGGCCATTGGAAAAGCTGTCAGAAATTTGGTCAGAAGCAAAAGAAAGTTCTGTTTCAAGTGCCTACAACGGCCCAATATATACTGTTTGGCTTCGCCTCGGCATGTTTTGCATATGAATACCTGTCCATGTGAAGAGAATTGATTCTTCCATGCCTGAGGTGGTGAGGGCTGTATGCATGGGCTACAGACGCATGCATGAATTCTGGCGCGGAATTATGCACCCTACGGATTTTGCACCGGCGTAGAAAAGACACAAGGAACAGATTGGGGAAACCAATTGTGGGGTAAGCATGAGAAGGGCAAGCGAAAAAGTCAAGCTTAGAACCAGATCTTGGCCAAGCAAAGCAATGCGCCGGGATTTCAAGCGTCTTGGACCTATTGTTGAAGTTGACACCTCACCTTCTGCAGACTAGTTGCATTCTTTGTGGAATCGCAGACTGACAATACTTCTTTGTAGGTGTTTCACATGGTTATCGTCTAATAGTCGCATACAGTATCTTACACTTTATTTCGATGCAGTTCATGGAAAATTCCACCTCTGTGCTCGGAAGGTAACGAACAGACTCCGAATCTAGACAGATGGGCTTACCTAATTTCGTGGAGCGAGCAGAAGTTCTAACATATTTGTAAGAATATCAACGAATCGATCCTTGGAAAGCGTCTTCTGACTCCTGATCGAAGCCTTTCGGTGAGTTGTCTTTTATGGCCGCTTTTATGTCTCCTCGAGGAACATGGTGGCCAGTAACTAAGAAATTCCTAACAGATTCAATGTCGTGAGGAACAAAGTACTAGAATTGGATTTGGTCGTGATATTAATAAGCTTCCTCAGTACTTGTAGGCTTGCCAGCATGATTATCTTTCCAATTTGATCAGTCGTTCTTCTGTTATTTTCATGCATTATCGGGTAGGTCGAGTGCTCAAATCATTTCTATACACAAGCAATAATTTTTAATTACTCAGTAACATACGGATAGATCCGAAATATTCACTTGTGTCCTTTTTTTGAGCGCACTTTCAATCACCGTGAAATTGAGCGATTCATTTCCATAGAATACTGAAGAGGAGAGCTTCCATATTCTTGTAGTGCAACCAAAAAAAAAAGTAAAATAGTGTAGGTTCATGGAAAGCATATTGAAATCTAAGCTAGGGAAAGACCCTACAGAAAAAATTTAATACTGATGCAGTGAAAGAACTAGCAATACGAAAAACTGGTATTTTGGGGAACTAAAATACTGTATTCCCGGCACTGTTAATGTGGAGACATTTGTACCTCATAATGTTCGGAAAAGATAATGTTGACCCACTTGAAAGCAACCTCATCTAAGAGATAGTTAAGGCCGCTTTATCTTGCGAAATCAAGAGTCAATGGAATGATAGTTGGTGCGACTAATTATGCTAAAGAAAGCATGGTGATAAGAGTTTTGTAGTGATCGAAGGAAACTTGTCTAAAAATTCGAAACAAGCTCACTTGAGAATGTCAGGAACTTAGAAAATGGCCTGGACAGAGGCTTTGAAATAATACTTTATGATGGATTCCCTTTAATGTCAGCACATTGTTTAAGGTTTCATGAAGTCTTGAACATCGCCCCGTCCTCAATAAACATCTCCTCATCGTATCCATCGTCGTAGACATTTCCACTTTCAATAAAAAGTTTCAGAGCAACGACAATGGCCGTTCCAATACATGTGAAGCCAAACACCTTATCAAACCAAGTATCTATAAACTCGACTTCGCGTTGCATGCCAGTCGTGCTGGCAGATGTTGCAGTAGAAAGAGAGAGTATTCTCAGAAGCAGGTTTGCTGTTTCCGCAGGAAGATTTGATCGGATTAGAAGAGCGGTGGCAATAACGTAGATGGCCAAAAGTTCACTCACCAACAAATTCTTAAGCCACATTTTCACCGAACTTGAAACAGACGTTGTAGGGGCCGGAAGTAGTCCAACAACAGACTTAAACGTAACCAAAACGTTTTGCAACGAGCAAACGAAAAGAGAGCCGGAGAGAATGAAACTAACCTGGTTGATGAGTTGGGTTTCGGACATGGGCAAATAACCAACAGACTGGAGGATTTTTGCCACTGTGATAGCCAATGCATCTTTGGTATTTTTGTTGAGCAGCTCACTTGAATCTTTATCGTCGATAACGTTACGCATGGAATCGTGGATATTTTCTGAGTTCCACAAATAATGGTAGGGTAAACGAACCAACAAAACATTGAGTACTCGATAAACACAGTAGAAAGAGAATGCAATGTTGAAGACTTTCACTGTGTTACTCATGCTCCACCACGAGCCGTGTTGGGCATTTTTCAGTACAAGAAACTTATGGAGCGACTTGGAAACGTCATTGTAAATCAGCTCCTTGAGTTTTGCTAGCGTAGAGATCTCGGCCTGAAGTTCTTGGTCTTCTGGTTTCGATCCAAATTTCGAGAGAGACGCAAACGACAGAACCTTGTGGAACAACTGTTTTCCGCTTCCTCGAAGAGACCGGATACGGGATTCGGGCTCGTTGTATACTTTTCCGCTAGCGCTTGCAAGCAACGAGTTGAGTTCAGCTTCACGCTTGCGCATGAGCAGTTTTGTTGTGTTGTACTGCTGGATCAAGTTGCTGAGCTGGGTTTCTTGCGTATGGCCACCGGCGGACTTTCTTTTCAAAAGCGACTCGTCTCCCCAGAAGCTTCCGAATGGGGTCAGGATGCTACCAACACCAGATAGAATGGCAGTGATTGTGATTCCAGTGAGCACGATCTCGTTTGTTTTCCGCTCGATAAACGTCTTATCGCCCGATCCGCCTAAACTATCGGCCACCTCGCCCATCTTGTGGAGAATGACATACCACAAAACATACAACCCTAGAGTCGATGCAACACGCGTTGCCGATGCAGCCGAACCCGCCTTGAAAGTAGGAACCAAGTCCTGGTTCACGTATAGACTCACCACAAGCAAAGGCTGAACAACAGTGACGAGGAAAACCAACACACGGATGGCCAAGCGGAAAAACGCCAAGTCGGCCTCAAACAACCCTGTCAATTGCAACATGAGCACGCCAACAAGCTCGATGGAGAGCGCGGTGGTGACAGAAAAGAGCCCTGCCACAACCAAGTTTATGTTTTCCTGGTGTGTTTCGGCCATGGTTTTGCGCTTGAAAGTGGGCTCCGCGGTATTATCTCCGGCCAATTCATCATCCACATCAACGTGGGGCAAGCTGCACCCATATCTGCCGTTTATTTCCCTGTCTATGACCAGATTGACGTTGGCCTTTTTGATGCTGTGAGGGTTGGAGTAGTTGCGGATCAAGTCGTGATTGAATGCAAATTTGTAGGACCAGCCGCATAGTAGTACAAAACAACCGAGAAGAGGCACAAGCCCCAAAATATCCACTAGTCCCATATCTGCTGGGACAACATGAAAGTGCAACAAGAAGAAGTACTAACAAGTTACGGTACTGCAGGCAGTGCTGCCAGGTTTGTTGTGGTGTTACAGACGTTTAAGTTTAGTGCATTTCCAAAGTCAAAGAGTTTTCTTCGACTCTCTTCTGCTTGGGTTATTTCTTTGATTTCTGCTTATGCTTTTCTGCATGTGTTTATGTGCTTGTGGTTTGCCCTCTCTTATTCTGTCTTTTCGCTCTAAACTACGACAACACCGACAACAGAATCGGAAAGAGCTAAATGTAAAAACTAGAAAATCAAATTAAGCTTCTCCCAGCCCCTTCTCGGCCCCTTCTCCTTCTTCTTCCTCCTTTTCGACCCTCTTGATGTTGGTGCTTTGTAGTATGGGTGCGCACGTGATCTTCCCTCAAGAAAATTTTCGACTCCAAAGATAGCGACTTCTCTTGACATCTTTCAACTAACAGCGCCAAAATGCCGATCATGCGCTTGAGAGCAGAGAAAAAGATGAGGAAACACCTCCTCGAGCAGTTGAAAGCTCGTAAGGTGTTGGGCGCTCGTCTTGCCCAAGGATACAAGTCCGAGGAAGACCTTGCCCGGTTGAACTTGGCGCCGCAAGTTTTCATGTTCAAGAACTTGTTTTCGGGCCAGGTTTTGTACTCACAGGTGCCCGGGTTCCACCAGGACCAGATCGACGCGCAGTTTCTCAGACCGAACTGGGAGAACAGAAAACCCAGCAGAAGAAGCGATTTGTGGAGAATCATGTGTGTGGTGAACTTTGGCAGTTACGAGTATGCTGTGGCGGCCTACAACGGCTTGGTGCACTTGAGAGAAGCCAGAGATATCCATTTGAAGAAAGAAGCAAAAGCCATGAGAAAGAAGGACGACGAGGGAAACACATGGTACTCGGGCCAATACAGACCTACACATGCCCAGGAGGCCATTGCAGACTTGGCCCATGTCATTGACGAGTTTGAGTTGGAAAACACAAAGGCATTTTGGGAGTCCATGTGGAGAAAGGGCGAAGACGAGCACTGGAGAGCAGACTTGGTTGAGCACGATTCCTTGCCGGCCTTTTCGCCAAAGTTCCAGAGCGTGATGTTGGACGAAATGAGAGAAATGGCCTTGGCCGAGTTTGCCAAGTTGCGGGCGCAGGAGGAACTGGCCGAGCAAGAGGCCGCTGAGGTTGTAGCATAGATCATCTGTACATAGTAAATTGGATAGCGCAAAAGACCAGACTGGCACATGTCTCTGAAGAGTTGAAAATTCCAACTGGGCGATAAACAAACCAGTTCTCTACACTATCAAAAGTGAAGCTTATGTGTTTGTCAAGTATTACATGGGAATACGATGCTTCCACAATTTCCATTTATCAACTTTAGTGTGCGTCGATGTATTGCTCAGTACTAACATTTCAAAATGTCTTCAGCTTAGTTCTCAAACATTTAGGGGTGGTTAAATTAAGGCTATTGTTACGCATCATACAAGTCTAGTAGTGTTGACAAGCTCCGTCCAGTTCCAAAGTCTAAAGGTGGCCAAACCGTCCTGTGATTACTTAATCAGGTGGTTGAAGATTTCACATTAGCATCGCAATATTTGAACAAAAGTGAAAATCCCCATTTATAAGCCGTAGCAGTCAAGTTGTCTCAAAGGTTGGAGTAGTCAAGCCGTAAATGCTATAAGAACATTGAAAGACCGGATTATTCTTGACGTCAAAGGTCTGGTGACAAAGCATCCTATTTAGGCTTATAGTGCGGACGGAGGTAGCTACAGGAAATTACCAGAAACGAACATCGGCCCCGCTGTCGGACTTTTTTTCTTTCAGTTATGGTGACAGAAGAAAACTCAGAAATGGCCGTGGGTTCGACGATGGACCTCTACTACAACAGAGACATCGGCAACGGCATGGTCACGTCGAAATTCCGCATCAACTCGGCCGCCCGCCAAAAGACGAAACATCTGCTGGGCCACGACGAACTGGCGTCCCATAGTCTTTTCAACTGCTCTCGATGCTACAAACTCAAAAAACGCTGCTCCCGAGACAAGCCCATCTGTTCCTATTGCCTGAAAACGGGCGCAGACTGCGAGTATGTGGAGCGGGTGAAAAAGCGGCCGAGAAAAGAGCTTGGTGAAAAAGATGGCGAAGGTAAAGGCGGCCCCAACTCCATCTCCATTGCCTCTTTGGTGCATGCTGCGCAGAACCAGGATTCGAAACGCCAGGGCGATGAACAGTTCCATAATATAGATCTCCCCAGCACGGTGGATATACCGAGTCGAAATACGCCAGACGGTAATGCTCGAGCAGGTCTGAGACCTGTGAAGTCTCTCAACCGGAAACTCTTGAGCTCGGCGTTCCGAAACGGCTCAAAGCAGAACTTGCACGAAGAATACTTGGTGGTGAAGGCGATTCCAGACGAAAACTTGCCCTCTGCGTTCATGCACACGTTTTTCGCCAACTACGAGTGGAAATACCCGTTTCTTAATATGCCCGGCATGATGAAGAAATGCAGCGAGTTGTCGTTTGTGCTGGAAACGTTCGTCAACTTGGACGTTTACCTTGTTCTCTCAGTTGGCTGCATCATTTACGACGCTAACAACGACACCCGTCACTTTCTGGCGTACTTTAGCGATTCTCTAATCGAGTCCATTGTGGATATGATCAGCTACGATTTCAGCTCAAAGGAAGATTTGCCCACTGCACATTTGCTCATTCTCTTGGCTGTTTATGCTATAAACGTCAGCAATGTCCGCTTGGCATGGAACATAGTGGGGTTCCTCAACCGTCTCATCATTTATCTCACAGACTTCAGTGGAAGCAGCAAGTGTACGGATAAACGAAGTTTCTGGACCATTTACAATTTGGACAAAGAGCTTTCGCTCTTGCTCGGAAAGCCAAGCCAGTTCATTCCAACAAAACTAATTACGGTTTCCGACGATTTCTCGGATAGTTTAGTTGAGGGCGAAGCGGAACCGTTGGCTCGCCTCATGAAACAGAGTCTTGTAATGTACCAGTTACAAGACCGGATGCTTCACTTGCGCCTTGGTTTGGCCGAAGCCACCGAGGCTGCACTTTACTCGTTTTCGTCTGATCTTGAAAAATGGCGAGTAGAATTTCTGCTGATTGTTCACTCCGAATACGCCGATCTGCATCTTCTCCCCAATTTCATTGGCTTGATCAATCTTGACTACTATTTCTTGCTGATTGAGCTTGACCAAATTTCATCGACGGAATCGTCGCAGTTTACCCTTCAATTCTTGTCCAATTCCTTCAGTTTACTCCTTACCACCTCAGACAAAAAGGGCTCTGTTGGAACATCTCTCTATTCGTTATTTTGGTTTCAGAAGCTCTTCAAGGTTATTTCTTACAACTTAGAATGGCTCGTACGGACTTTCACTAAAAAGGATATCCTGCTGGTGAAATTAGCTGAATTCAACAGCAATATCCAACTTATGATCAATTTGCTCAAACTTTTGATAAACAGCAACTCTGTGCCCCAACATTATATTGGAAAGCTAAAAAACTACGTCTCATTTTTAAGCGGCTTAAGCATAAAGCTAATGGGATCCAATGGAGCTTCAGACGAGTTTTTTGGAAAGTTGGCTGACGAAGTCAAAGATATGATTACATCGCAATAGGGTATAGGTAATTAGGATAGCATAGACAACGGAGAAGCAGGAAACATATACAACAAGCTTGGCGAACATGCTTAGATCACAACAACTTTTGGCTGAGAATACCCATATTCATGATTCTTATCATGTCACAGAATACGAGGCAAACAAAGAAGTTTGGGAATATACAATTGTAGTTGATTTTATTCGAGCATTGCAATAAGGTTTCAGAGCAAAACTTTTGAAGTTAGCAAGCAAACTCGAACAAAATCAGCCGAAAGAACCATTCAAAAATGGCTACGGATTTTATAAGCTTACTTCTTTTTGCGATCGACTTACGAGTTCGGCTTTTCTGATCCATTCTTTTCATATGGTCAAACTGACGAAAGAATCTGTCACCGGACGAAGGTAACGGACCGAATTCAAAGAAGCATACGGAAGGTAGCGTTCATATGTCGCTTTCAAATCGCAACGAAACATCGATGTTTCTAGGAAGTTAGCTAGTTGTTCCGATAAATAAACTTCAGGACAATCTTCTAATAATCTTCACCAATAGTCTAACAATAACCTTCATCTTATATTCATAGTCATCTAGTCTTCATCTAATCTTCATAGTCATCTAGTCTTTATCTAATCTTCATAGCCATCTAGTCTTCATCTATTTTCCATAATCATCTCCATCTAAATCTTTCCTAATCATCAATAATTGTAAGCTTGCCCACTTGCTTTTCTAAATCATCCAATTCTACGCCATTCAGACTCCATTCACTTATCCTCTTCAAGAAGCTACGTGGTACCTGGTTATTTTCTGTCCCCATGTTTAAGAAACTTTCCGGCTAAAAGTCCGCGCTCGAATCCACTTGAACGCTTGCTTTGGCTCGGACCTGCATAAATCTGTGCCCATGCCATATCAGCCACAACGAAACCATAAATCCAACCGCACAACGTAACCATAAATTCAACCGCTCCAATCATTGAATAATCTCTAAAGAATCCTCGTCAGCCTGTTTTATTGTTTCCACTCGTTTGACTCTTCACATCCCTATCTTCATCCCAGGCTTCACCTTTTCGCACCAGCTTTTCGCACCACTGTTTCCACTACTTGGCTTCCTGCACTCCCGCGGTGGCAACTACAACTACTCTTCCAATGGCTAAAGATTGGGACAAGTACGTGCCGCCAGAAGAAGAAACAGACAATGTCGTTCCGCTCAGCGAGGGCGACATCCAAGTGCTCAAGACATATGGCGCTGCGCCTTACGCACGCCAGCTCAAGCTGATTGAGGCGGATCTCAAAGACATTGAGGACAGAATCAAAGAGAACATTGGCGTGACCGAGTCGGACACCGGGTTGTCGGCGCCGCATCTCTGGGACGTCATGGGCGACAAGCAGCGCATGTCGCAAGAGCAGCCGCTCCAGGTGGCTCGGTGTACGAAAATCATCGAGGCCACCAGTTCGGCGCAGCTGGGGTTGCTTGCCAACGCCGACAACAAGAGCAAGTACGTGATCAACATCAAGCAGATCGCCAAGTTTGTGGTTGGCTTGGGCGAGCGTGTGTCGCCCACCGATATCGAGGAGGGCATGCGTGTGGGTGTGGACAGACAAAAGTACGAGATCCAGCTTCCCTTGCCGCCTCGGATCGACCCGTCCGTGACGATGATGACCGTTGAGGAGAAGCCCGACGTCACTTACGGCGACATTGGCGGCTGCAAAGAGCAGATCGAGAAGTTGCGTGAGGTGGTGGAGCTCCCGCTTCTCGCGCCGGAGCGGTTTGTCAAGTTGGGTATTGACCCGCCCAAGGGCATTCTTTTGTACGGGCCTCCGGGCACAGGCAAAACGCTTTGCGCACGTGCCGTGGCCAACAGAACCGACGCGACGTTTATCCGTGTCATTGGCTCCGAGCTCGTCCAGAAGTATGTGGGAGAAGGTGCCCGTATGGTGCGCGAGTTGTTCGAAATGGCTCGCACGAAAAAGGCGTGCATCATTTTCTTTGACGAGGTGGACGCCATTGGCGGAGCCCGTTTTGACGACGGCGCCGGCGGCGACAACGAGGTGCAGCGCACCATGTTGGAGTTGATCACGCAGTTGGACGGATTCGACCCCCGTGGTAACATCAAGGTGATGTTCGCCACCAACAGACCCAACACTTTAGACCCGGCGTTGTTGCGTCCCGGCAGAATCGACCGGAAAGTCGAGTTCTCCTTGCCCGACTTGGAAGGCCGTGCCAACATCTTCCGTATCCACGCGAAAACCATGAGTTGTGAGAAGGACATCCGGTGGGAGTTGATCTCGCGCTTGTGCCCGAACGCCACTGGTGCAGAGTTGCGCTCTGTGTGTACGGAGGCAGGCATGTTTGCCATTCGTGCCAGAAGAAAGGTGGCTTCCGAGAAAGATTTCTTGCAGGCCGTGGATAAGGTGATCAAGGGTAACTTGAAGTTCAGCTCAACACTGCAGTACATGCAATACAACTAGCCGAGATATAGTACTAATTTACTCCTGTGTGATTATTGTGTAGTTGGCCATATGCCAGGCCGGAATTACAGATTGTAGAGCAGGTGTATTGTAGAGAAATCGGACTAATGTTGCCAGTTTGGTGTTTGGTGATTCTAGCATGGCTATATTGACCAGTTGGAAAATGAAATCTACGTGCTTATTATATTTTGACAACTACATTTGGAAAGAAATGAATCATAATAGACCTATAACATACTAAATCATACATGAGGGGACATTTGGGTGTTCTGGTTTCAACTTGGGTCTATTTCTGGCCATAGGGCTTCAATCGAACAATCTGTTCATTTTGTTCATCTGTTCATTCTGTTCATTCTGTTCATTCTGTTCATTCTGTTCATTCCGTTCATTCTGTTCATTCTTAGGCAATTTGACCATTGATTCGTCTTAACGGCTTCCCTACAGCGGTAAATCATTATTCTATAATACAGTTTATATGCTTGGTTCACACAAAGATCGAGTGGTGTTTCGATCTTCTTTTCATCTTCTCTTCTCCTGTCGTTTCGATGGTCATAAACAACTTCTTTAACTATTAGTCCCACCAAGAGACACAGCCCATTCCGTCGGTCTGGCACGATGCTATCAACGCATATGGCGGAGCCTTGTTCGTTTGTTCTTCAAGCCCTAAAGCCTCGGAACTTGTCTTTGGCTTGACATTGACAAACACCTCTTCCTCGACCCGGAAGCGGATCTTCTCGTTCACATCAATGTACAACTTTGTTTCCTCGTCCATCTGCCACACCCACGCCTTCTCTGCGGGCGAGAACGTGCAGCTTTCGAAGATGTAGTCTTTGGGAATGAAAATATCGTCGAAAAACCCCATGCGAACCTTGATTCCCTCTGCCGAGCAGTCGGCAACCCAGCCAGTCAAGATTTCGCCAACAAAAGGCTTCCATACGATGATCCGGAACCGCACTTCCACATACGCTCCGCCGTCGCCCGGTTTGAGAAGCCCGTCTTTGATGTCACTAATGTCCCACACAGAAACGGCCAAGCCCAAGTTTGAAATCACCTTGTTCGAGTATTTCTTGTGGAGCTCGTCTTTTAGAACATGATGAACAGGGATGTTGAACGACAGAGGCGGGACTCGGATCAAGTCAGATAACTCGGAAAGAATGAACATGTGTTGGAGTGCGATGAGATTTCCTTCATAATGAGAACGAGACAGGTTGTACCAGACATTGAGATAGTGGGAATGCCGTGACAAGAATCATCTCGCCTGGATTCTCCAATGTTCGAACGGCAGACTTTTGCTACGGCTTACAAGTATTTTAGATTAAAACAGCATGCGTTAGTGTATTATCTTGTCGCAATGCGCATCTACTGAACTCATCCTGATATATAACCTATGCTCATATAGTCATAACTCATCCTGATACAAATCATTCCAACATAAACCCATCCTGATACAAATCAGCATAGACTCATCCAAATATTGGCCTGTCTAATTCGTCTGCTTGCTAATTAAGTTACGTCCATCGTTCGATATTTTCCTTTTGGCTATATCTGTTGTTCGATTCATCACCTCACAATTATCAATGTCCACCAAACCAGACATTGTCAAGAAAAAGAAAATCTACACAGCCAAGTCGTCTGACCGCCGCCTTGCCGCTGGAAAACGGCCCGAATCTTTTCTACATGGCAGCGCTCTGAGTGTGGCTCGAGCACCTGCCGTGAAATGGAATCCAAAGCATTTTCGACTTTTCGTGGGCAACTTGGGTCCTGAAGCGACCGAGGATGTTCTTTTGGCTGCGTTTTCCAAATATAGCAGTCTTAGCAAAGCCAGTGTGCCTCTAGATAAGAAAACGGGCAAGAACAAGGGCTTTGGTTTCGTTTCGTTTGCAACTTCCGAGGACTACCTAAAAGCATTCAAGGAGATGAACGGGAAATATGTTGGGCAACGGCCGGTTCAGTTGAAAAGGGCGGAATCAAAGCCACGATAGCTGAGATCCAGACAAAAGCATTTACTTTAATCAATGAGCCAAAGGCGGACAGAATTTAATGCGTTGACCTTCCAACGCTGAAGTGTCATGTTGGTTGTTGGGATGCTTGAAAATGTGCCAATGGAGCTGACGTGTAATATGTGGGGCCATAGATATTCAACCTCGACACAGATTATTTTCAATTCGGTCGATACTCAGAGAAATATCTGGTACATTCTAATATAATGTATCTCTCAAAGAAGAGTTTAAACGATAACTACTTTCAAGGGTAAATCAATTTAATGTTAATTCCACATTAAAGGACAGAAGCTACTAACGATCTATTTGGTACGAAAATTGTGCCAGAAGATGAAGAGTATATTTATTGTACTGTAGATCGAGTTTCGTAGAACGAGTTTCGTAGATCGAGTTTCTTTTTGTCTTTTTTTTATAAAGCTACCAACTCCATAAAACCCGTCAGATATTCTACTACTTCGTTGATAATGACTAGTCGCACCAGAACATGAACCATCAAGCATTGAATTTCTTCGCATTCATAGGATTCAAGGAATTAAGCAACACTACAAATAACTATTTCATTTTTTTCTGTCAGTGTCTCTCTGATATTCATCTGTTTTTTCATCTGTTTTTGCTTCAACACAAATACTGCCTAATTGTTTTTTTTTTTCTTTGTTTTTTCATTTCCTTACGTTTTCTATTTTCCAGGTTCTTGTAAGAAGTACACCTTCACATTCGCGCTGTTTTCATCTCCAACCACCACTATGATTCTTGCCCGACTAGCGCTAGGAAAACCGGTGCGTGCCCAAGTTTTCTCGGCCCGGATGCCGTCTTTCTGGCTCGGAGCCCGCTTCAACTCCAACTTGCCTCAAAACGTTGATCCGAAAAAGAACTTGCCTTCGCAAGGTGAGTGGAAACATTTGAAACAGCATATCCCTGGAGAAGCTGCCCACACAAACACAATGAAGGATCGGGTGCCGAAGTTCCCGTTGGCCAAGGAAAATGTTCCTACGCTCTTGCCTCGGCCGGGCGTGCCGCGGGTGGGCCCAAACTTGTCGTTTCGCCAGGTGATTCAGATTTTGAAGAACAAAAAGAAGCCCGAGCTTATCTACGAGGCCGAGCCGCATCGGCTCTACTTCTTGGCTTGTTTCTGCTGTGCCATAGTCTTTGCCGTGTACGGGCTTGTTTTGTTGGAGTTTGCCTGGTACCAGGCCAATAAGGACTATGAAGAGAATGAGGAAGAGTTGGCGGAGCCCCTCAAGAAAAGACAGTTTGCCAAGTCTTTGCTCACATACTCGTCTTTGGGAGCGATTGCTTTGTTTATGGCCTACCAGATCGGAACCTTCCCCACCCGTCTTATCCGCAGAATGTGGTATCTTCCAGGTCCAGTAGAACACATTCAGTTCACGTCCTACTCGTTGATTCCTGGAAGACCCACGCCGGTGATTACTGTTCCTTTGCATGACTTGGCCAGAAAACACAAGGCCCGTGTTTGGACAGGAAAGGGTTTCTACGGCACTGCTGACAAGTCGCTTTTCTTCTTCGTGTTGAAAGAAGTCAGCAAGAAACGCACGTGGATCGTCGACAGAAAAGGATTTTTCTGGTCTGACGGCCGTGTGTTTGACTTGTTGTTTGGAAAAGAAACGATCGCCGAGGCTGAGGCCGGTATTCCGTACGATGAGCAGATTGGCATTGTCAACCGAGAGGTGAGGAAAAAGAAGAAGGAGCTTCGGGCAAAACATGGTGTGTTTTACCAATGGAAGCTCGGGGCACAAGAGGCCCAAAAAGACTTGAAGTCTGCTACCAACTACGTGAAGTCTTTGAAGTCTTCAAATCCAAAAGGTTTGCCCAAGGATAAGTGATGTATATAGTAAATCTGGCGAATGTGTATTTTCATGAAAACAACATTTGGCCTATGAAGAAAATCATTGACATACAGTGATGTAAGCGTTGACATTCTTATCCATGTAGACACGGCTTTTAATCACACTTTTTCTGTTGTCGCCAAGATTAATTTTAACCTTTTAATTGAACATGGACAAGAAAATAATTTCTAGAAATTGTCTTAATCAGCTATTGCGTGTCAATGGGGCTTAGAGGCATAGAAACTTTGGAAAACTATAACTGAAGAAATAACGATAAGGTGAAGACAAAAAAAATTGATTTCGCCCAGGATCGAACTGGGGACGTTCTGCGTGTTAAGCAGATGCCATAACCAACTAGACCACGAAACCAATCTATAATGATTTTTCATACAGTACAATATCATGTTGAGAACCAGCTACAGTGCTGTATATGCACACTATCTAGATTCTCTTTCTAAATTGCTAGTTCTGGAAGATTGAACTTCAGACACACACTGTGGCTCATTGTTCTTCAGCAGTGCCGTATGAACGGCACTGGTAAAACGCCGTTAGCCCTTCCAGAAGGTCTTGGCAGTGGTATTGTTCAAACTTTGGTTGCTTCTCAAATGCCGTTGACTATTCTTTGTTTAAAAGAACAATGGCCTTTGTTAAACTAAAATGACTTCTTGGCTACTACTACATCGCCGTACCCTCTCCATTACTATCATGAGAATGCCGTGAGCATTTCTCAGCTATCATAGAAGCTGTTACGGCAATGCCATAGCAAATGCCACAACTATACAATGAACAAGTCATTGTCTAGCCCTCAACAAAACCCTGAGCCACATTGGACAATGGTCTCTTAATAACAGACTCAAGTATATAAGATCATCATTTTTCTTCTAGGATGGATTCTTCTCTAAGGATCATCCCATCCCTAAATATCAATCCTAACTATACGTTACTTATCTAAATGTCAACCCCAATCGTCAACACTGAAGGTACTCGCTCCAGCTCGTCCTCTAGTGACTCTTTTGGTTCTGTTATCGATTCAACAGCTAGAAATATGAGAGTGCATAGAGCAGACGCTATTGCGCTTTCTACTTCACATATCACCTACATATCAGGTGTTTTTGTGAATGAGTAGGAAACCCTGGGATAAGTCCAAGTTGAAAGGGAATAATCTAAGCATGTGTGTCTATTCAGTCTCGCCAAATTTTCTCCTTGATATGTTGCTAGGAAAAAATTTTACTACATGAAAAAGTTGAATAATGTTCTATTATATGTATCTCCATATGTCTATATATTAGTGCAAATTTGAGAGACTGGTCGATCTACGCTCCATATACAAAGGCTCATGAATTAAAGAAAACGTGTCTCAAGACTTTGACTGTTTCTATGTTTCGATATGACTTTTGCCCTTAAAAAAATGCACATGGTGACCTCATGCAATGATTCTTGTGGACGAAATAAATAGTTTTTGATAGCTCTTTGGCTAGCTTGTTGATCTCACTGTGCTGCAGCAGCAGTATGTTGTCATTAGTATGTACGTATCCTCGTTATGTTATTAGAGTCTGGCTGCCCTATTTCTTTTTCTCCACTTGTTTCGACAACTCCTCCATTTCGCGGAGTAAATCTCGAATGTAAACAGAAGCCAACTCTACTGTGGTTGCTTTTGACGGAATCAGCACCAGGCCGTGGTACGCGGGAGGGATTAACTTGGAGAGCTCGTGAACCGCCTGGTTCATCCGATTGCGCCGGCCTTGCTCAGCCAATTTATGTGTAGCCTTCTTGGTTGCGGGCTTCTCGCGCCGCGTACCGTCCGCCATAAGCACCGGTGAAGTTTCTGCCAGCGAGGACTCGCCACGCGAACCGGCGTCCAGTTTCCGAGGCCCAAGCGCAGGCGAAGGGCTGGGTGATGACGCACTCTGCAGTTCTGCCAATCTGTTCATAGTGAAACCCATGAGTGTAGGGGCGTCTTCACCAACCAGCTGCTGCCTTGGTACATTGCGTGGCGGCAACATTGAGTCGCCGTCGCCCTGTGCCGTTGAGCTGTCTGGCGCACTTCCGGGCGCACTCTGGCCTGGCTCAGGCAATTGTTCAAACTGCGGAACTTTGCGCAAAGACGGCGAACGCCGTGGTTTGGGCGGGAGGATTGGTGTCAGGTGTGGAGTACGTCTCTTGGTGCCTGCCGGCTCGTCGTGGCCGAAGGTGGCCAGCAGCAGGCGCCGGCGGTCGGCAGCATCAAGCGCCGGCAGAGTCAAGGGTTCAAAGGCCGCAGGGGCCACAAATTGGGGCCGAGCAGCGCCCACCTGCAGATCGCCCGGCGTCATAGCTGGCAGCTGCAAAGGCGTATTTTGTGCATGCTTGTCGCGGCGTCGCTGTGTGTGGTACAAGTGTTCCTTGTTGTACAGCTTCTCGTTTTGGCCCGGCAAAATGGGCGACTGGAAAGACGGCGCACGCGGTCCGAGCGCAGGAGTGTTTTGCGGGAAGTTCAGGGGCGGGAACGCCTTGGACGTCGGAGCCAAGTCGTCCACGACAAATTCCATGGCGTCCAAGTTGAAGTCGGCATCGAGCGTGCCAGTGCCGAGGGTCGAGATATGGCCGCCCAAATGCGTGCCGTTTCCCGAAATGTTCTCCTGGGAGACCAAGTTGTGGTCGAGCTGGTCGAGCAAAAACGGGTCGGCGAAAGCTGGGCTGGGCTTCGGGGGCAGCCGCACGCGAGGGGAGTATGATGACCAGTCGTCCATTGATGACATGGAGGAAGCGTTCAAATGGGCTTTGCTCGTGTTTCAGGCTTTGTTGTAAGCTTTTCTTTTTTTCCTTATTCCAGACGTGTCGCTCGGCTATTAATGGGAACTTCTGGGGCTCTGGGGCTGTAGGAGACTCGTTGCGAGGGCAAGCGGGCGAAATGAACTGAATTGAATTGAATCTCAAAGCTGGCCGCCGGAAATGACGCGAAATAAATCAGGCGCCAACTAGCTGGAGGAAGAAGTGAAGGGGAAGCGGAAGTGAAAAGTTACCACAAGTGTAAGAAACCAATCGGGCGACTGATCTCACGATCGAAAGTGTTACCGATGCCCACGTGGGCGCCAAACGCGCGTGCAGATAGTCTCAGGGCCCCAAGGCCAGGTGCAGGCTGCACGGATATGACTAGGGCCTATTTCCGGGCCCCAGCGCTGACGTGAAGAGAAGCAGGAGTCCATTTGCCATTCGGGAAAAGATTCGGGCGTCTGTGGCTTTTTCTTTTTTATTTTTTTGTGAGCGAATCTTGGCCCAGACCGCTGTTGTGGGCACTGTTCTTAGTGGCGCACATGCACCAGGAGCATAGCCGCACGTCAATTTCAGGCCCACGCAATTTGTTGTGCGGCTCACCAGTCGGCCGAAAATGAAAAGTGCCGTCAGGCCGGGCTGGCAGTGGGAAATCCGGGAGGCCAGAAGTGTTTCGGCTGCTGTTATGGGCCAGTAGTTGAGTTAGTAGGCGTGGGTAGGCACAGGTCGAGTGGATGCGGGATGGTCTGGTGGCCAGGGTAGCAGTAGAGACTTCGATGGAAATTCGATGTGGTGCGGTCGCGGTCGGCCCACGGCGATTTGACGTTTGACTCGGTTGCCTTGTCCGCGCTATACAGTAGAGTTTCAGTCGGTCAGAGTTTCAGTCGGTCAGAATAGATGTCAGAATAGTTGTCAGAATAGTTTTCAGAATAGTCAGTCAGAATCTCAACGTCGTTACTCGTTTATCTGCTGGTGCTTGGAGTCTCTGAGGTAGATTGTCAGTCTCAGCGGCCCGAAGGCGCCACGGTTCGCAGGATCCAGGATTCGGCGGTCCGCAGCACTCAACGGTTATAAGCCCAACGGTTATAAGCCCAACGGTTATAAGCCAACGGTTATAAGCCCAACGGTTGTCGTAAATCAACGTTATCGGTAAACTTCAACGTTCGCCGAAACGTTAAATTGCTGACCCGTTCATCGTCCAAACTTCAACACTGGTACGCCGAACGGTTCTATTATGCATCTACCAGCGAGTTGCGCCCGGTGTGACGCTAATATTAAATGTCATCTCTTGAATGCATTCAACTCTTGTATTCAATGACCTCTTGCATCCACGTCTGAATCGCTCATTAGCGTGGCTGCTCCTTAAAAAATTGTACGGTACGTAAATACAACTTCAGTTCCGGCCACAAATGTATGAGGGTCTGCCTCTAGGCAACAAATTGTCGCATGCCAATGGTCACTTTCATCAATTCGCCATGCATGAAACAGAATATCATGTACTGTTTTCTTCGCCATGGACTATAGCATGCAACAGATTGTCATTTACTCTTTTCTTTTCCTGTTTACAATGTTTTGGTTCTTATCGGCTTCCTCTCGTCGCATCAACAAGTGCCGCGTCTTCTGGCGATGCGCACAACTAACCATCTGCACACTCAAACACTATCATCATGGAAAAGAAGGCCCAATCCAAGCTGGCAGCAGCGGTTCTAGCGGCCGCGAGCCGACCCCGCAAAAAGAAGCCATATATCTACAAGAAGGAAAAAAGCGAGTCGCTCATCACGGTGTCGCTTGCAAAAGGTGCCCGAAGCAAGAATGTGCCTGATTTCGATCGGTTGGACCGCTTGCTAGGGCTGACTGCTTCCGAGTCAGACAAAAGGGATGAGTCCTCTGAGAGCCAGACAGAAGCGCACGACGGTCGAGCCACGTTGTCGTCCACTATAGAAAAAGGCGTATCGGAAGCGGATGGTGCCCAAAACAGTGGAAACACCCGAAACAGTGGAAACACCCGAAACGGTGGAAACAGTGCCCGAAACGGTGGAAACAGCACCCAAAACAGTGGTGTCATTGAAAAAGGTCAAGCCAATGGCGCCGCAGCTGTGTCCCCAAAGCCCACTGAACCGCCGCAACCGGGCACATCGCTCGCCCAACTTTTATCGGGCGACTTCGCGCTGCGACCTTCGCCTGCTGTGCAAGAAAAGTACCGTGGCGCGCACTTCCCGCTACCCCGCAGTAAAAAGACCCTCAAGGCGCGCGTCGAACACCACCTCGACCTAGTGCCTCGCATTCTCGCGGGCGATGAAGAGCTCTCATTTTATTACACACTTGCCCTTGACCAGCGGCGCCGACTGCGACACGCCCAAATGACGCTGGCCGAGCGGTGGGATATAGGCTGGGACAAGTTTGTAGGCGGTTTTTATGGGTTGAAGCGCCAGCTGTTTATCGCTACGCTCGTGCATTCGCGCTTCGCTGCAGATTTGGCCCGCTCCACTAACAAAACCATCTTGTACTGGTCGCCCGACATGTTCTGCACCTATGTCTTGGCCAACGAGATCATCTTACGCCTCGTGATGGAAGACATGGCACTACTGAAGGAAGATGCAGAGGCATTGATGCGGCGCACCGGCGATTACGGTTGCCATGTTGCGGATCACGAAGACCTAGTGGACGACTTGGATTTTGGCGAGATGGCTTTTATGCCAGAGCAAGAAGAAAGCCCGCAGACGAATTCTTAGATGGGGCGCGAATGCAGTGACGGCGACTTCAGATGTATATGCGCGCCTTAACGCACTTCTCCCAAAGCGAGCAAGAGTCATAAGTTATTCAGAGGTCTGTCCAAGGGCCACACTAGCTTTCACAAATAGAAGAAGGAATAGGAAAAATTAGGAAAGCAGATATTTCTCCCCGTATATGCGACCGTTTGTTGTCTCTGTGACTTATTGACCCAACTCAATCTCCATCTTCTTCTGTTTCTTATCTTTCTACCAATTTGCACCGCGCCGCACCACTCTTTGATTCGCGACAAATTTTTCGCTCCACCGCCCTCGTCCAGTCAAACCCCGCATCCATCACGTTGCGTTCGTTTCTCCGCTCACAGGCGTATTCGCCGGCTCTTACTCAATCCATACGCCCTTCTGTCAGACCTTCCTTTCCCCTTGCTCAATTCAACTGTACCCGCAACAGTGGTCTCTTTCATCCCAGATCCTTTTCCGCACAACTCCGTCGAATGTCTGATAAGGTGCACATCTCTGGCCTTCAAGGTACAGCCATCGTTGGCCATGACCACTGGCAGAAGCCTGTTCCGCAACCCATAGTTATCGATGTGACGTTTAGTACTGACTTTGCCCAGGCTCTGGACGCAGATGATCTTCACTTTTCGTTGAACTACGCAGTCATCTCAAACAAGATAGCACGCTATCTCACCAGCACACATCAGCGTAATTTCCACTCGCTCGGCGGCCTTGGACAGGCTCTTATGAGCGAACTAGCAGATGAGCGTGCCGCGTGCTCAGCCGTGAATCTTAAGGTTGCCGCTCCAAAGTTGGACATACGTTCTGTTGTAAGCTACTCCTCAAGCATAATAGAGTCAGAGGCCAACACAGATGCTAAAGAAAACTCGAGCAGCTTCCCTGTTGAGGGGGTTTATCGTATTGAAGGCTTGCGTGCATTGGCATTGATCGGTGTCTTTACTTTCGAACGCGAGGCCAAACAGTACGTCGTTGTGGATGTGGACATGGGTGTCAAAGGGCACTTGGATGTATCTCGCATTTCGGAAGGATTGCATCTGTTCCTCGAGAGAACCAATTTCAAGACTGTCGAAGCGCTTATCAAGGCATGTGCGCAGTGGGTTCTACTGTTTGCTCCAGAAACCAACTGGGCTGCAGTCCGTGTGGCCAAACCCAATGCCATCGTATACACCGACAGCGTTGGCGTCTCTGGAAAATACACGCGGGCGGACTTTGCGGACATGCTGAAGACTGGCCTTGAATCACCCGAGTCTCCGTATGGAGCAAAATCTGCCGCGGATGCGATTAGCACCACGCCGTTCGATCTTCCGGTAACTTCTCCCACATCGTTTTCGGGACAGCATACGGTGTATGTTGCCTTTGGTTCCAACGAGGGCAGTCCTACTGCCAACATCGCACGTGCGTTGCAACTTATTAATGATCATCCCCAGATGCATGTGGACGCTGTGCTGGCGCTATATGTCTCCAAGCCCATGTACGTCACGGCCCAGTCAGATTTCTATAACGGCGTTGCCAGAGTGGTGGTTCGCGACATGGCACCGCACGATGTGCTCTCAGCGCTCAAGCATATCGAGTACAACGAGCTTTCTCGGGTCAAGGTTGTTGACAACGGTCCACGCACCATCGACTTGGACATTGTGCTCTACGGCAAGGCGTGTGTCAACACACAAGACTTGATTGTGCCGCACCGTGCCATGCTCCTGCGCACGTTTGTGCTTGCGCCGCTCTGCGAGCTTCTCCCGCCCGATTTTGTGCATCCTGTCACTGCGGAGCCGGTGCATGATCACTGGGCCAAGTTGCGTGCCACGCCTGCTGATTCGGCCTTACAAGAATCGCCGGTGCTCGAGCAAGTAGTGCCGGGATCTGGAGAGCGCAGTCTCCGCCTTGGGCCGCAACGGGCAACGCACATCATGGCCATTTTCAACGCCACGCCGGACTCGTTCAGCGACGGCGGCATGCACTGCGACTTGACGGAAGCCGAGATCCAGGCGGTGGCACGTGGAATGGTGGAACAAGGCGCCACGATCATCGATGTGGGCGGGTGCTCCACGCGGCCCGGCAGCACGCAGCCTTCAGCCGACGAAGAAACACGCCGTGTGGTTCGTGTGGTGCGGTCGATTCGCGCCGCGCGCGACTTGGACTCGGTCCTTTTGTCCATTGACACATACCGTGCCGGTGTGGCACAGGCTGCGCTTGCGGAAGGTGCCGATATCATCAACGATGTTCTGATGGGCACACACGACGCGGCCATTTTCGACGTGGTGGCGCTGTCAGGCTGCGGCTACGTTCTCTCGCACTCTCGTGGAACGCCCGCCACCATGGCGAAGCTCACAGACTATTCATATTCGGGGGACGACAATTTGGTCGAGTACTGGATCGGCGCGCAAGAGGCATTGCCCGAGACAGACCGCGCGGTGGTGCAAGGTGTGTGCCGCGAACTAGCGCGGCAGGTTTGTGCGGCCGAAGCGCGGGGCGTGCGCAAATGGCAGATGATTCTTGACCCGGGCGTGGGCTTTGCCAAAAACACCCAACAGAACCTTTCGCTTTTGCGCCACGCGCTGCGTCTCAAGCAGTACGCCCAGCTCGATACCAATGCAAACCGGTACACGTCTTTCCAAGGCATGCCTGTTCTTTTGGGCACAAGCCGCAAGAAGTTCTTGGGCGAGATCACGGGCACTTCGCGCGCCGACGAACGTGTCGTGGCCTCGGCCGCTGCTGTCGTGGCCAGCGTGCAACAGGGCGCAGACGTTGTTCGCGTGCACGACGTGCGGGCGGCGCGCGAGGCAGCGCAGACGGCGGACGCCATTTTCCGCGGCGTGCACTAGGGCGCCTTGCCCAGTGGCGCCATGGCCTTGTTTTTGCAGCCTGTCCGCCCTTTTGCAGGTTATCCTGGCGTCTAATCTAAGTTCTAGTGTCATCTGGGTTTAATCTGGAACTAATCTGCGTTTATCTGGAACTTAAGCTGCGTTTAATCTGGAACTTAGTCTGTGTTTAATCTGCGTTTATCTGGAACTTCTGGTTTATTCTATCCTCCTAAATTTAATTCATGTGGACTAGTAGTCTCATCAGTACTGTAGAAGTGACGGGCCGAAAACTTATAAGCCAGCAAGCAGAAATCTGCAAGCACAGAAGAATGAGGTAGATAAGTGTCAATAATGCGAGAGTAGCGGTTTGGCCCTTTATGTCGCGAAGTAAACCAGACAGAATCAAGAAATAGACCACATGAGACAGAAATGTGGCATTTAACGAATCCCGCCATAATCGAATGGTCTGCTGTTGATAATGAATAACCTCGATAAGAGTTCCAAGGTTTATTCTATCTGATGAATGGACGTCGAAGTGACCTCTTTACTCGTGTGGAAGGTAGCTCTCTATTTTAATTAGCATGGGTGTGAAAAGAGCCATCGGAACATATTCATCAGAGGAAAAGTACATACAGATGCATTTGTCTGGTAATTTGTTGGGACAGCTTCTGGCTGATTCTAGGGCTCACGTCTTTTCAATGTGTCGATTGGAATATTGAACAAAAAGCTACTTACTACTTTCCTGAGTCAGCATATTCACATATCTAGACACGAAAACACGTTCTTCAACAGAGAATATGTGCTTGCATTTATCTGTATGTGCTTAAGTTCTTCTAAATACGTAACCGTGATCTTTGACTTGTATGTACTTAGTTTCGATGCATAATTCTTACTTCTTGATACAATGAGTTTTAATTCTTTCAATACGGTAATTCTTATTTTTCGATATATTAATTCTTGATGCTTTCGAAACATAATTTTTAGTCTTTTCGATACTTAATTCTATTTGCTTTCAATTCATAATTGTTACTTCTGATGCAATGATTCTTAAGTCTTTCGAAAGGTAATTTATTCAATACCATAATCTATTCTTTTGATGCAACATTCTCAATTCTTCGATACATAATTCCTACTTCTTGATACAATGATTCTTACGTCTTTCGATACAGTAATTTATTCTTTCGATACAATAATTTATTCTCCAGATGCAACAATTCTTAAATCTTCGATACATAACTCTTACTTCTACAAAGATTCTTACTTCTACAACTATTCTAATCCTTAAAGAATTCTCCCGTTATTGAACATTTGGCTCGCAGCCAGCCCATGGACTTCCTCATTCTCGCAGGCTTCTCATTTTCCAGCCAAAGATTTAGCCTTGTTCCATCTGAGACAAAAAAAGAAACTATATACTTTGACGTAACTTTTACATCAACATCTTGACTTCTAGGCCGTAGCGTTTCGAAGCTTCAAGATTTATAAGCTGACCGCCAGAACGAGAAAAATCATTCGGAATTCTGACATTCGCCTGGTCTATCTCTACAGCCCGATCCATTAAGGACTCGATGGCTTCATGTACATGTTCTATTTTTGATTCGCGTCCTTCGCATTTCGCTCAAATCGTCGGTAAAACAGGCAAACAAAGATGAAAAACGAATAACGCTTGTCTCTCTCCCAACTGCAACCAAACCGTTCCTTATCACGACCCACCGCCTCACAAATTACGTAACATTAAGCCCCCAGACCCGACATGGCACATTTTTCGGTGCGCGCACGCCGCGCCCGGTGCCCGATGCTCATAAACGCCACGCAAAAAATTTTTCTCAACCACTACTAAAATGTTCCCAAGATCGTGTTACAAATGTGGTGAGTCCGGCCACATCGCCGACAACTGCCAGCAGCAAGAGAGATTGTGCTACAACTGTCGCCAGGCCGGCCACGAGTCTTCTGCGTGCCCTGAGCCAAAGACCGCCGAGTCCAAGCAATGCTACTTGTGCGGAGACATTGGCCACATCAGAGGCGACTGCCCAAACAGCGCCCAAGGCTCCAAGTGCTACAACTGCTCTGAGTTCGGCCACATCTCGAGAGAGTGCCCTAAGAACGAGGGTGCTGCTCCAGCTGCGCCTGCTCACAAGAAGCTGGGCAAGTTCACCAAGAGCCCCACCTGTTACAAGTGCGGCGGTCCTAACCACTTTGCCAAGGACTGCCAAGCGGGTTCTGTCAAGTGCTACTCTTGCGGCAAGAGCGGCCACATCTCCAAGGAGTGCACGCTTGCTTCCGACAAGGTGACCAAGTCCTGTTACAACTGCGGCCAGACCGGCCACATTGCCAAGGACTGTGTGCCTGTTGCGTGATTTCGTGTTGTTTGTTTTCGTTGAGGAGGATGGGAGTATGGGCTCCGCCAAAATGTGTACGTAACGCTAGTAATGACCACGACTCTTCAGTACCATAGTAGAGTAGAGAATCCTTGCTGATGGAAGAGAATCTTTGCTGATCGGCCTGACTGATGCCCATCGGTGGCTTTAGTATTAATATTCATTTGGAGTCTTTATTCTAGATCGTGTCTCGCTTATTGTTCCTCTATTCTGTATGTGCATGGATTTTGAAGTAAACCTTTCTTTATGATAAATATGGAACACAGGTGTCTTCACTTTTGTCGCTGAAAACCTTGGTCTGTTGCATTATTAGTGAAGAAAAGCACATTTGCATCTTGGTAAAATCATTTCCTCATCCACATCGTCGAGGCCGGCTTTAATAAGCAGCTCAAGTAGAAACAACTAGCAACACTTCAGCCGGCCCAGATGCATTAGTATCTCTTTCCACTCATAGCCAGCACTTTTCTCAACTGTTTAGCAAAACTGCTAATTTGTGAACGGCTTCTCTAAAAGTCGTCCATGCAACTTTACATGTCAAACAGGGTCTTGCTTTTTCGTACAGATTGGGAAAAGTCCACCACGACTCGATTTCCATCTATGATACACCCAGCGCTGGTCCCAAGATACGCTTTTTCTGCCATTTGTTTTTCAGCAAACTCAACAAATGCATAAAGGGTCTTTTTCCCCTGGAAAATGCTCACTTTGCACAGGCCAAACCGACCAAAAAAGGTTTCCAAAGCTCCTTCGCTGGTTACCGGGTTTAGCCTGGCCACAAAGAGTGTTGAAGGCGAAGGTTGCGCCTTATAATCCGAAAGTCCACCCACTAACTCCAATGCCATAGACTCAAACGTAGTTTGGCCCCCCTCACGCGAGTTGAAGTACTCTAACTGTGCCTTTGTGGGCCGAAGCTCTTTTTTCGCCTCTTCTATCTTATTAGGATCATCAAATGGATCATGGAGAATATGTGTATGGAGAAGCTGGACATGTTCCCCATTGTTAAGAGTTTCCAAGACAGAGAAGCCTTCAGCCACTGTGGCAAATGCGTCCTTTTTGGTGGCTGACCCTAGCGAAATGCTGAAAACGGAACCAACCTTATCGTCTTCGCTCACAAACTTGACGGTCCCAATCGCCTCTGTTTCAGGTCCAGCGTTTTTTTCCGTTTCTATGCTCACAACATCGCCTGTAAAGCTTTTGGAGAAAGATGTTGTGTCCACAAAGGCACCAATGGCTTGACCTTTGCTCGAGTCCTGAGGAAAATGTGGGTTACCGCATTTAACACTCTTATCTGGCGCTAGATCGAAAAATGGGGAGAAAAAGTAGTAGTTGATCTTGCAGAGCTTTAGGAAGTTATACGACTGGAGAGGAAATTTGTCATACTCAAGGTCAAAGACGATATTCCCTTTCGTCGTTTCGAGAAGAACACTCATATATGTATTCTTGGCTTCAGTACCCTATTAGTTATGGTAACTACTCCAGTGTATTGGGGTAGGTACAGGATTGCACAAACCAGTAGCGAAAAAAAGAAATGCGATTTCTGTGGATCGAACACAGGACCTTCAGATCTTCAGTCTGACGCTCTCCCAACTGAGCTAAAACCGCCTTTTGTGAAGGAATGGTTTTCCCTCTCTCGACACTCTGCATTTTCCGAGAAGCTGGGGTAAGAAAAATAATGACTCCGGCGTGATTCGAACACGCGCATCTTACGATAACAGAACTTGAGTCTGCCGCCTTAGACCGCTCGGCCACAGAGCCACTTTATATGTGTTTGTTTTGCTGGTGTTTTAGTAGAGTTTAAATAATGTAAACTATTATCTCAAGATTTATCTTACTGTATTTATTGTCTGTTTGGGGTATTTTCGTGTACCTAGCGCCTTGTTATATAGGTGGATGTCCTTTGTTACTTTCAAATTCGTTTGACAAGTAGGGCACTGTTTTATCTAAATTAGCATGCTTTCGAGCTGGAATGATATGGTGCTCTTATAGATTCGTGTATCCAGCAGGCGGAAAGCCTTCCTTTCTTGGAATGACATAGACTATGTTTGAAAGTTTCATGCCCCGCCTTTCAGTCGTGGTGAGGCATAAGCATCAAATCATTACTCGAGAATGGATTTAACAGATACACAAGAAAGCTAGAACAGTTGAAATGCAACGGCTAATTTCAGGACATGTGATATCAATCAATTAGAGTGACGATCTACTTTGAATGGATTGCTAAGAAAGAATGTAAGTAGCTTTTGTTCTGTATGATTAGTATGAAATTCATACAAGACTAGAATTCAGAATTATGACCGTACTGGTAAATCGAAACAATGTATTTTGATGGAAAACAGAGTGACAGAAAATCACCCGTAATACTTTCCAATTCGGCAATTGTGCCGAAAAGAATTTGTGCCCTAATGACTCTTTCAATAATCTCCGTATAAATGCGCACTGATACCATTACATATATCTCAATTGGAATTCACTTTTTTCCTGGACATGTTTGGCCACCGATTCAAAGAAAAACACTTTACTCATTTCGACCCAAAGCTCGTCCCGGTTAACCATGGTGCTTACGGTGCTGCACCGACATGTGTTGTCGACAAGTATTTTTCGGAGTTGCGTCGTGATTTTTCAAACACCGATAGATACTTGAACAAGGAACAGAGACAGGTATACGAGCATTCACGAGATGAAATGGCGAAAGTGCTAAAGTGTGATCCAAAGAACTTGGCGCTTATTGCCAATGCTACCACTGGTGTGAACATAGTCTTGAGATCGTTCCCATTCTCCAAAGGAGATAAGATCGCCATGCCGTCGACAACATTCTCTTCGTGTGCGTCTACAGTGAAGTTCTTGAAGGAATACCAGGGCGTTGAATTTGTCATTGTAGACTTGGAGTTGCCAATGGCAGATGTCGATGTTTTATCTGCATTTCGGCATGTTTTTGAAACCCACGAAATAAGGCTAGCCCTTTTCGATGCTGTGGTGTCTTTTCCGGCCGCAAAGATGCCCTATGTGGAATTGGCTCAGTTGTGTAGGGATTTTGATGTTGTATCTGTCGTCGATGGCGCACATTCGGCTGGGCTAGTACCGGTGGATTTCTCTGTTTTCAAACCGGACTTCTACACCTCCAATCTCCACAAGTGGTTCTATGTACCGCGGCCTTCTGGAGTGTTGTATGTTGATCCAAAGTATCACAACACGGTCCAGCCTATGCCCATTGGCCATACGTATTACCTGCCCAAAGAACAACCTGGCGAAGATTTGCTACTAGAGAAATTTTCGTACGTCTCTTCCAGCGTTTTTGGTGGAGTGGCCAGTGTTCCTGCAGCAATAGAGTTCAGAAAGAACGTCTGTGGTGGAGAAGCAGCTATTTCTGAATACTGCTTCACCTTGGCCAGAAAAGTTGGAGATCTCGTGGTGAAAAAATGGCCTGGTTCGTATGTGATGGAAAACAAAGACAGCACGCAATCAACTGCAATGATTAACATTGTATTCCCGATCCACAACTACGTTTCCAACTTCGATTTCTCTCTGGGGCCGGCCTTTTCGGATTACCTCAAAATTGCGCTTCTTGATCAATACAACACTTTGGCTCCAATTCAAGTCTACAAGAACAAAGTGATTGTACGGTTTTCGTGTCAGGTGTACAATGAGCTTTCGGACTACGAATATGCATGTGAAGCTATTCATAAAACAGTGCAGTCTTTCTTTGAGAAGCACTAAATGACAATTATTCTTCAACTAACAACCCCCAAGAAGTATTCGTTGTTTTTTTATCCTATTTCAACAAAAGCGAATAACTTTTACTCATATTCTACGGCAAATAGTCTATGAACAATCAATTCGACCTAAGTCCACCATCTGTCCACCGACCCAAGCTTGAAACTTTGCATCATGGAATCTTCACACAAAGCCCACAGATTTTATTCACAAGGTAACAAGTAAATGTGGCCTGCAAGCTCAAACTTGACATTGCTTTAGTGGCCTGTTTCCAGCCACATAACTTGTTTCCATGCAGAAACTAATATGCCTAAACTTTCAGCACTCGAGATCACCTGGCCTAACAGAAACCTTCCAGTTTTGTCCAGAATGTTGTACTCACCCTCAACTTCAAAGATAATCTTCATTCTTCCAATGACCCACCCTTTCGCTGTCTGTAGAAGGACAAGAAATCCTTTGGCGTGTTTAAGGTAAGAATGCCATCCAACAAAGAATAACCTGCCAATACTCAAAAGTTTATTGATGTAAAACAGTAGTCCCTCTGCTCATATATATACCAGCATTTCAACGAGTATAAAATGGCTCTGTGGCCGAGCGGTCTAAGGCGGCAGACTCAAGTTCTGTTATCGTAAGATGCGCGTGTTCGAATCACGCCGGAGTCATTATTTTTTGTTTATACTTCATTTTTTTACGAGAATTGAAGTAACCATTAATTCTATATTGCATTTCTAAAATATTTAAACTGAGCAGTAGCCACCATCAACTCTGATGTCGGTTCCTGTGGTGAAAGTGGACAAGTCACTGGCCAAATATAAATAAGCACCAGCCAATTCTGTTGGCAACGCTTCTCTACCCATTGGAGTCAAGCCCCACCATTTTGCTCTTTGACTGGTTGGCACAAAGTCCGACAATGGTGTGTCTGTGTAACCTGGCGAAACGGTATTAACACGAGCAAAGCCAGCAAATTCGACAGCCAAAGATTTGGACATGTGCAACACGGCAGCCTTGGATGCGTTGTAACACGTTTGATAGTTTGGGACGTTAACAATGTGACCACTCATGGAGGCAGTCATGATGAGAGAGCCATGGCCGTTTTTCTTGAAAATCTGGCCCACCACTTTGGCACAGTTGAAGACACCATGGACATTGACGTCAAAGACACGTTTCCACAGGTCGACTGTACTTTCCTCGTTCAAGATCGACCCGGTGGTCCAGGCAATACCGGCATTGGCAATGAAGGTGTCGATCGTTCCAAAGTCCTCTTCGATTTCCTTGATGACGTGCTCGACCTGTTCGTAATCGGTCACATCGACAGGATACGACTTCACCTTAACGCCGTAGGTTTCGGACAAGCTCTTGTCGAGATCTGGGCTGTACTTGAAGTCCATGATGGCCACGTTGCTTCCAGCTTGAGCAAAAGCCTCAGCGATAGCACCTCCGATGGCGCCTGCTGCACCTGTAATTACAGCCACTTTCCCCTTCATGAGAAATCTTTCGACGACAGAAGAGTCCAACTTGGGAGCAGCGGTTGGCACCAGCACCTCATCCTTGTCAGGTCTGATGATGGAGTTGTAAACGCGGTCTGGGAGAGTCATGAGAAAGAATGAGAAGAAAAGATGTGTTGAAGAGAAATGTGAGAGGGAAAAAAGAAGAGGAAAAGAGCGGCGAACCAAGGCATATTTATATGTTCCAATGAACGTTTGCACCCACAGATCTGGGGTATGCGAAGCCCCGAAAATAGTTCCGATGAGGATGGTTGTGAGCGCGCGGGGAATTATCCGGCCGGACAGAAAAAGAAAAGAGACACTGAATATACCGTCCTAGTGCAAAATGACATAAAGGCATGCGCCAAATGACATAGCAAAGAAACGCGAGAATGTTCACGAAGTCAGAAAATGAAAACTTGATGAGATTGATGGGTCATTATTTCATTGACGATTGATCATTATTGATCATGGATTATTGATCATGATGATTGATGATTGAAGATGAGATTGAGGAATTACAATTGCAGAAGTCAAGACAGCATCAGTATCAGCAATGTTTGTAGTATTGGCAAGAGACGTCTTTCTGTAGTCTGAATACTCATCTGACCATTTCTTATCGAGCCTTCTCTAATGTTCGACAAGGCACAGCTGCATCGATATGTTCTGGTATGCCGCGGCTAGCTGAATTATTGTCAATGCATTGTAACTAACCTGCACTTTGTTGGCCATCGGAGCAGATTGGTCATCTTTGGCTTCGGAGTTACAGAAGGCTTTGGTCCAAGATGAGCCATGCTAAGTTATTGCTCAGTCTGTTCTGGAAATGAAAGTGCGACTGCGCAATCCAGCAAATGTACCTATCACTTGCGAAATTGATGGACTTTACATCATTCGAAGCAGGTGGGAATCATACTTGGAAGACATGAGTGGAAAATTGCTCCACCTGGCGCAAAAGAACAAGTAACGTCAAGACATAAAATAACGATGGGAATATGGAAATGTCGAGGTGAAAGATACGACATGAAAAGTAATTGAATCAGATAAGACCTGGCCTGTTCAGATAAAAGAACGTGGAATTTTCTAATTGGAGAGCACACTCTAGTCCAGTACGGTTTCAAAAGGTATCCACTATAGTCATTAGAACTGCGTTCACTGTTTCAGTCTCGTGGAATCAAAAGTATTAACCAAATATTGAAGCCAAAGAGATTTGAAAGTCGTATCGAACGTTGAGAACGCTAACCGATTCACAATCACAATAACGTTTTCGCATCAACGTGCTTTCTCTGTTAAAAGATGCCCTTCCGGCGTCGATGACAGAATATTATTCAGCCAAGGACTTATATCCCAATAAGATGGTTCATGCTGCTGTGGACCACGTACTGGACCGCAACTTGGTGAACTAAACGAATGTGTAGCACTGTTTCGTTCCCATGACAGAACCATGTCGAGTGCCGTATTAACCATCTGTTAGTCCTAATACCCTGTTGAGGGAAAGAGTATGGGCGCTGTATCGGTGGGTTTTGCACCAGTGGGATCGTAAACGTAACACCTATGTTGTATTGAAAATCGCTTTTCAGTGGAGCTTACGTTACTACTGTCCGTACCTGTCGGAACACAAGAAGCTTCGAAGATCACCCAATTTTGGACACAAGGATGCAACAAGCATACAATATTTAAGCACGGCAGAATGAAGATACAAGGGAAAACGACCATATTACTGGCCCAGCGAATAGGTTCTGTGACCTTTCTCACTCCACTCCATTGCCACTACTTTACTGCTACTATTGCATTACTACTTCACTGCCATTACCTCACTGCCACGATCTGCTGCAATATGTATCAACCCGATCACATGCCCTCTTCCAAATTCATTCTCTTTTTTTTTCTTTCTGCCTAGCTTTGCTTTTCCCACCCTGAAATCTTGCTTCGTAAATTGTGCGTATGCGCACAGATATATGTAAGAGCCCCGCTGCTACCCGGAAATCCCATTGGACTCCCATTGGTTCCATTGAGCCTGTGATTTGTCTTCCATTGACTTTGTTCTTTCTTTTTTCCATCTGTCCCTTGCTTTGCCCCTACTTTTTGGTTTGTTCCGATCTTTGTTTCACTGTCTTTCTTCTTTGCCCCGGATTCCACATTGGCTCCTGTATATAGAGTGGGGTAGAGCTTCTTCCACTTCTAGACACTTGCGCCACAACACAGAAAACCTCAGGCTAAAAGTTCTTGATAACATTTCCGAACGGCACCATATGGTCTGCGCTTATTGAAAAAGTCTGGTTTTGCCGTTTTCCCCGAAAAGAACACTACTGGGCGCCGGGTAAAACGTGTTCCATGCAGCAAACCTGGGTGTATGCAGTGCTATCAGAAGGCCCGGCGCCCCATATATAAAGACACAATAGGGGCGGCCTTCATTCTCAGAAAGCTTTTTTTCAAACTTTTTTTTCAGCCTCGACACCATGGCAGACCTTTTGGACTCGCTTACCGCAGAGGAAAAGCGATTGTATGAAAACAAGCAGAGAACAAAGTACCACAAGCGGTGGGGGTCGTACTTGAGCGAAAGACAATGGGCCACCGTCAGAGAAGACTACTCGGCTTCAGGCTCGGCCTGGGACGATTTTTCGTTTGACCACTCGAGATCGCGTACCTACAGATGGGGTGAAGACGGATTGGCCGGCTGCTGTGACACCCACCAGCTCGTGTGTATGTCAATGGCGCTTTGGAACGAGAAGGACGAGATTTTGAAGGAGAAATTGTTTGGCGTCACCAACTCCCAGGGCAACCACGGCGAGGACGTCAAGGAGCTCTACTACTATCTAGATAACACCCCGACGCACTCGTACATGAAGTACTTGTACAAGTACCCACACGCCCGTTTCCCATACGAGAAGTTGGTGGAGGAGAATGGGAAAAGATCAAGAGAAGAGCCTGAGTACGAAATCACCGACACGGGCATTTTCGAGGACGGCCGCTACTTCGATGTGGTGCACGAGGTTGCCAAACTGGACGACGACCCGGAAGAGTTGTTGTTCCGTATCACTGCCTACAACAGAGGCCCCGAGCCAGCGTCTTTGCACATTTTGCCCCACATTGTCTTCAGAAACACCTGGGCCTGGGGAACCGAAGAGGCTGCAAAAGGGAAACCGCACATGCGGGCGCTTGACGACTACACGGTGGAGGTGGACCACCCCAAATTTGGCAAGCGCCATTTGGTGTACGCTCCAGCTCCTGGTGTCGCAGACAACGCGCCCGATGTGGAGCCCCGCTTGATTTTCACCGACAACGAGACAAACGCCGAGCGTTTGTACGGGCAAAAGAATTCCACGCCGTATGTGAAGGATGCATTCCACGACTATGTGGTGGACGGGAAACAGGACGCTGTCAACCCGAAGAGAGAAGGCACGAAAGCTGCTGCACAATTCATCTTTGAGGATGTTCCGCCAGGCGACTACGTCACGATCCGGTGCAAGTTCTCTCGCTCAGGTGGCGAGATTGACGAGTTCCGCTTTGACGAAGTGATTGGAAGACGCCAGGACGAAGCAGATGCCTTTTACTGGAAGGTCACACCGTTACCACTCACGGACGAGTTGCGCCAGGTGCAGCGCCAGGCCTTCTCCGGTTTGCTTTGGACAAAACAGTTTTACCACTTTGTGCATAACTACTGGCTGAGCGGCGATCCCAACACTCCACCTCCGCCCGAGAACAGAGCCAACGGCCGTAACAAGGACTGGAAACACTTGTACATTGATGACGTTTTGTCCCTCCCCGACAAGTGGGAGTATCCATTTTTTGCGGCTTGGGACACGGCGTTCCACTGTATTCCTTTGGCGATGATTGACCCGGAGTTTGCAAAGAACCAGTTGGTGCTTTTGACACGTGAATGGTACATGCACCCGAATGGGCAGCTTCCAGCGTACGAGTGGAACTTTAGTGATGTCAATCCGCCAGTCCATGCGTGGTCGTGCTACCGTGTGTTCAAGATTGAACGGAAAATGTACGGAACAGAAGACTTGGATTTTTTGGAGGGCTGTTTCCAGAAGTTGTTGCTCAACTTCACGTGGTGGGTCAACCGGAAGGATTCTGAGGGCAACAACTTGTTTGAAGGAGGCTTTTTGGGTCTAGACAACATTGGTGTGTTCAACCGTTCGGAACCTTTACCTACAGGTGGAACATTGCAGCAGTCGGACTCCACAGGCTGGATGGCCTTTTACTGTTTGCAAATGTTGAACATAGCTTTGGAGTTGGCGAAAACCCGCCCTGTTTACGAGAACATTGCGTCGAAATTCTTTGAGCACTTTATTCTTATTGCTGATGCCATGTCGTACCGTGGTGCCAAGAAAGGAGAGTTGCAGCCCACAGAACAATCTTTGTGGAATGACGAGGACAAGTTCTACTATGACGCTATCCACTTTGGCGATCATACTCAATCGCTTCCTGTTCGGTCCTTGGTCGGTTTGATTCCTTTGTATGCTTCGTTAACATTGGAACCTGAATTATTAAACAAGTTCCCATCTTTCAAGAAACGTTTGGACTGGTTTATAGAAAACCGCCGGTCTATTGCAGAGCGGAACATTGCGTCCATGTCCCATAGAGGTGTGGGCGAACGTTTATTGTTGTCGTTGGTCAATAAGGACCGGCTTGTGAGCATCTTGGAGCGCATGTTAGATGAAGATGAGTTTTTGTCAGACTACGGAATTCGCTCTTTGTCCAAATACCATGAAAAGCATCCGTTTGAGTTGGATGTGGCGGGCCAGAAGTACGAGGTTAAGTACTTACCGGGAGAATCTGATCTGGGAATGTTTGGAGGCAATTCCAACTGGAGAGGCCCTATTTGGTTCCCCGTCAACTTTCTCTTGGTTGAATCCTTGCAGCGGTTCTATTTGTACTATGGACCTGAGTTGAAAGTGGAATGTCCCAAGGGCTCAGGTGAGTACATGAACTTGGCGCAAGTAGCGCAAGAGATTCAACATCGCTTGATCCACTTGTTTATACCAGATCCTGAGGGAAACAGAGCGTGCAATGGTGGAGTCGAATTAGTAGACAAAGACCCCTACTTCAAGGATTACGTGCCGTTCTACGAGTACTTTGACGGCGACACCGGTCGCGGTTTGGGCGCCTCCCACCAGTGCGGGTGGACTGCCGTTGTGGCCAAATGGATCCACGATAATGGTGTGACTTGCAGAGTTCCGAAAACACCAGGAACCCCTGGAAGAACTCCTGAACCACCTAGCACCTCAGAGGAGGAGAAGCCTCCATTGCAGCGCAGAAGCTCGCTTCACCTGTTCGACCGGGCAACTCCAACGGCAGATGAAGATGAAGAAGATCTTGTTATGAAGTACGCTCCAAAGTCTGGGCCTTTCCCCGGCCGTTTGATGCGTAGACGGAGTGGTAAGTCTTTGTTAAATTTGACCATCAACTCTTTGGACTTGGGCGAAGACTTGCAGGATGAACAGAGTGTTCCATCGCTCAGTGAGGGCATGAAGAATGTCACTGACAAGTTTGGGGACGAGTTGTCGCCATCGCTTTCGCGCAGCTCTGCCGAATCCAGACCGTACGACGACAATCTTGTGGGACAGATCAGAGCAGCGTTCCACAAGTACAAGTCACGCACAGACGAAGAAGAAGGCGAAGAGTTTGAAACGAGACACTAGTGGTGTTGATAGATTGGCTTTAATGGTTTACTAAGTAAATCGGAATAAGTAAATTTGGTCGTTTGTGGGTTATACTGCCATGGCTTGGCGAGAACCATCTGGTAATTCCGGTAACGTAAATTGTCAGGTAAATATACCCAAGCTTCTGGTAAACTTCCAGTGTGTGTTTCAGATGCTACCAAATCCCAACATAATGAAAATTAGGCTTACGGAATTTCGGCCAGGTCGCAGTATCTAGAGTAGTCGCATATCAGTGGATCCGGGACATTGATTGTGCATTCTCTGCCTAAAAGCGCTCTAATTGAAGATAATCCAGTCATTTTTCAAAAGTGCTACATGTACGAGCCGAAGAAGAAAATAATAAAAAAAAGTCGATTCGAGAAGGAAAAGTGTAGATAAACTCATTTTCCACCTCAACACTGCTCTTAGAGATGTCAAGTGCGACGACTTTCAATAATTTCCCACCAATTCACTCATTTTCGTAATAAACTACCACACAAACCACCACAAGTCCTAATGTAATTTTTATCCTTGCCCAGAGTATACAGACCGTAAATTGAAAAAAATCCTTGCCGTCAACCATATTCCCCAGCAACCTGCACATGTCTTGTCACACATTCTCAGCACCATATCCCTTATCTACAACTTAACATGTCTGAGCTTTTCGCCGTCTACGAGTCTGATTTCCAATTGGCGATCCAAGAGGCTCGGTCCAACATCTCGGCTGCATCTGCTGCCCCAGCAGACCAGCGTCAGGCCGCCTTACAGAACATTGAGCGCTCTACAGACGAAGCGCTCGAGATTCTTGAACAAATGAACATTGAAGTGCAAAGTTTGCCTTCCAATCAGAGATCCTCGCACAACGCCAAGTTGCGCCAGTACCGGAGCGAGGTTGACCAGAGCAAGCGCCAGTTGCGCGAGTTGCTTGATGCGGAAGACAGGAATCAGCTTTTTGGCCAGAGATACACCGACGAAGACGATGGTGCACACGACTCGCAGAGGAAACAGTTGTTGAGCAATGCTGCATCTTTGGACAGAACGTCGGAGCGTCTTCGCGACAGCCAGAGAGTGGCGCTTGAAACAGAGAACATCGGAGGCAACATCTTGAATGACTTGCGGGCACAACGAGAACAGATTGTCAATTCGAGGAACACCTTGCTGAACGCAGACACGTATGTGGACAAGTCGATCCAGACGCTCAAGTCGATGTCAAGACGTATCACGGCCAACAAGTTTATCAGCTACGCCATCATCGCCGTGTTGATTCTTCTAATATTGTTGGTTCTCGCAAGCAAGTTCTGGTGAGGTGGAGGGAAAATTGGAAGCTTAGCGCTTGCGCAAAGCAAGCTTTATGTTTTGTCGTGGAAAACGAAAAGAAGTCTTGCTAAGCAGTTTCTTTTCTTGTCGGATATATTGTTGTAGTAGATTTGGAGAGGTGTTTGAATAAAGAGAATATTGTTTGTTAGTGACATTGTACCAATTTATTTGTTAAGCCTGGTAACACGTTGTGCAGTTTATAATCAATATTAGAGCGAGTTCAAGTAGCGACGATTTGCATTATCCGACCTCAATTGTTAGACAGAAATTTAAAGGCCCGTAGATACAACTTTTGCAAAAGGGTTTAGCTCTTTCATGGCTGCGGTAACTGGCCTCGAAAGTTGCTCTGATGTTGGCTCCAATTGATCTGGAGCGGAGAATTAAATCAGTAGGAACTTTTACATTGAAGAGGCAATCTGGTAGTGCCAAAACAAGCATCACCTAATATAGTGAAGTATGGCAGGATAGCACTAAGAACTATTAATATCCTACTGGAGTCTTTTCAAATCAGACTTTACGCCCTTCTTGTATCTTTCTGGTATAGTGAGAATGCGTTAAAGCCGTACATGGCAGCGCGATCGGAGTCAAATCGGATAGCATCCGAGTACATACAAAATAGACCGTAGATTCTGGACTCTAGCAATATCGAGAGCAAAGGATCTTCGGATAGTTTTCGGTCCATACGATATTTTGTGTGTTCAATAATTGTTATCTTCATCTCTTTTCTTTGCATCGAGTGGCGATTTGACAGAGAAACTGCGAAATGTCTCACCTTCGGTTTAAAGAAAAGAAACCGGACACCAATAAAATACAAAACAAGATCCCACCACTAAAAAAGTACATTAAATATTCTTTCCCAAGATTTGGCTCCATAAATCCATGAATTTCGGGTTATCCAGGCCCGAGCCCGCCGAAAACTCCGAAAACGCCGATTACCGTTTCTACATCTAGATCCTGCTTACTATTCGGTGCGATGTGAGCCTTTCAAAAAAAAGTGCCCCGCAAGAACTCCGAAGTAGGCCCCAATGTTCAGAAACATTTTGCCCCGGACCGTGAATGTCGCCCGCATCACAGCGGCTAGACAGACGCCACGTTTTTTTTCTGTTTCGTTGGCCCGCAGCCATGGCCATGTTCACACGCCGAAACCGGGCGAAGAATTGAAAATTACCTTCATCACCAAAGACGGTGCACAAAAAACATTCGACGTTTGTGAGGGCGACAACATCTTGGACATTGCCCAGGCACATAATATGGACATGGAAGGCGCCTGTGGCGGGTCCTGTGCTTGTTCCACATGCCATATCATTGTGGACCCAGAGTACTACGACTCCATTCCAGAACCGGACGACGACGAGAACGACATGTTGGACTTGGCCTTTGGCTTGACAGAGACGTCGCGCTTGGGCTGCCAGGTGAAAATGACAAAGGAACTAGATGGCATTCGTGTCGCTTTGCCTGCAATGACCAGAAACTTGCAATCGCGAGACTTCAGCTAGCATCTTGTACATACACAGACTATGAGAAGATTGGACTTCGGCACCGTCCTCAATACAGATAGGCAGGAAGTTACAGGCTGCTATCTGGTCGAGAGCTGCGAGCATCCGATATCTAACCTTCACAATAGTTGGAACACAGCTAGTATTTGAAAATTGTAGTCCAAAGGAGCGCAAAAGAAATAGTACACTTGAATTTACCACTTTGCAGCAACCCTAGTGGTTGGGAGGATTATAATATGGATAAGAAACAATCTTGTCGTCTTTACTTATGCGTTTGAAGTGATGCACCTATGGGTCTGAGACCAATGTCATAAGTACTAAATAATTCATATTAAGAACATATAAGTGAGTATCAAGCGATTGTAAAAAGCACGTATCCTTGGTCTCGTTGAACGAACTTTTAGCTTAAATAACTGGCTCCGTAAATGGTCGCGTACGTCGACTAGGCTCCATTAGTCAAAAATTTCAGTAAGCATTAACTTCTATTTTATTTTTGGTGGTGGTACTAGTTTCTTCAAGATAAGAGGATTCATTCTAGTCCAGGATGTATGAGAGCCTATCATTAGTCAAGTCAGAAAGAGAATATCAGAGTACATTGAAATTGGCTCATGGGAATATGCGAATCGCGTTCGAAAACCTCACAGAAGAGACTTGCACTAAGATACATTTACTCTTATTCACAAAGTTCTTCCGCATCCATAGTTTTTTTTTTTTTCTTTTTTTTTTTTCACTTTGAATAGAAATATTTCTGCTGAAGCAGCTCTTTTTTTCTCCTTCGGTTTTTTCCATATTACCGTTTTCTTGTCTTGTCTTCATCTAATCTGTCGCACATATTCTAATCTGTGCACTCTGTTTACCAAACATCGTTCCATCGCCGTTTCAAATGTCGTTTCTGCCCAATGCATCCAAGCGAAGGCGAGTTCTCAGCGATATAGTCAACTCAACATTGCCTATGGTGGATTCCAGTCGCCGAAAATCTCTTGGATTCGACTTGGCCCGCATCGAACATAATATTCCTCCCTCAAGCATCCCAGAACCGCCATCCGACAGCACAAAAGTTATTAAAGAGAAGGCCATACAAAATAGAGCGGGCTCTGCGATTCCAACAATGTCAAGGGCTCACTCCTACAGCAAGTATCTCCAAGTAAGCAAGAGTCTAAGCGAGAAATGCAAAGTCAATTCTGCTGGCTTTGAAGCGCCATTCGACGACAAACCAGATAGCGAATCTTTTGAGAAACTAGAGGAGCTCACTTCGTTGCACAAGAAACTATCTCGTGAAGTAGCTGAGGCCAATAGGACGCTAGAAACATTAAAGAAGGAGAGTAAAGAATTGGAGCGCACTCATAAGCGCTTGAGGCGCCAGACACTGGAGAAAGAAACACAAATCAGGCTCTTAGCAGCTCAGTTTGAAGCCAAGGAGCAAAAGGTCCAGGAAAATGTGGCACACGAGGCGCAAATGACAGACCTCAGGCTCAGGGAACATGAGAACAAGCTTCTTAACGACTACAACGAGGCCAAATTCAAGCTCGAGACTGAAATCGCAGAAAACACAGAGTACAATGATCCAGAGACTACTAAGGCTATTGAGGAGCTAGAGGCACAAAAATCACAACTCGAGAAAGAACTTGAAGAAGCTATCTCGCGAAAGGAAGAAGCTATCAACCTGGAAATGGCTCTGATGGAAGCGGAAGTCGGTGAAACGTTGAAACAGAAAACTATCGAAGTGGATAAAGCTTCTGCCCAGTTTCAGGAGAAACAAAGTGCATTGGAGCAACTTTTGAATCAATGTGACGCGTTATCTAAGGATGTTCAACAAAAGCAAGACGAAAAAACAGAGCTCGAAAACCAGGTGGAGGAAATGGAACAACAAATAAACGGTTTTGATGTGCTCAAACTGCTGTTGAAGCAGGAGTTGGCCTTGCTAAATGATGATATGCTTGCTGTCCAGGGCGAGGATCTGGATTGGCATAAAAAGGTTGAGGAGGAGCAACAAAAATTCCTCGAAGTTAAAAGAAAACACGATATGTACTCCAACACAAGGCGATATCTCGAGCACACCATCATGAACCATGAATCAACTCTACGCCGCTTTGTGAGGATCGAAAATAGCATCGCTCTGGTGAGAGGAAGCGAGGTACACTTGGGAAATGACGGTTATAGATTTGAAAAAGCAGGTTTTTTGCAAATCGACCCCGATTATCCCTTGGAGTGGAAGCTTCTTGTTGAGGAGGCATTGTTACATTCCAACGTGTCCTTGTTGTTCTGTGGATCAGATAAAAAACCAAGCATGCACAATGTCCAAACTGTATTCAGATTTCTTAAGCAGGCGGAGCAGGCGCAAAACGACTGGTCCTTCAAGATTTCTCTCCAGAGTATCGGATTCAGCAAAAATGAAATCTTTGACATGCTCAATTCGTCTACTGATACGTCGATTGAGTACGCCAAAGGCACCCTTTCTGTTATCAGTCAACGAATGCTAGTACAGAATATGAAGGATATAAGTTTGGCAGCGAAAAACATCGACAGCTACGAAACGGCTATTTACCATCTCTTCACCGTCGATGGCGAAAACATTCACACACATTCCAAGAGTGTAAAGTATCTAAGCATCATGAATCTCACCCAGCTTCCGACAAGCGATCAGATTCAGGTTTTGCTGGAGACAACCTCTGAACCGGGCCAGTTGGCGCGTCATTTGATGACAGAAACTAAGTGTCTTTGCGCTTGTGACATTTCACACGGTGATGCCAACGAGGTAAAACCGTTTTTGCAGACTATCGAGGCACTAAAGTGAAAGAATAATTCTAATGTACATTATTAATAGTTGCTAGTATTACATGCTGGAAATTAGATCATGCAACATCCACTTCAATTCATCGGTCGTTCCAATGTGGGAAGTGTCGTTTTGCTTTTGCTCCAGTTGGCTGTTTTGTGTATCTCTCTTTTTCTCGTGCTCTTTGGTATCAACACTGCCATTGTCTAGTTTGGACTCCAAAGCTTCTCTGTTCTTTGTTCCGTCATTAATGCGCTCACTCATTGAGCCATTGACCAATTGATCGTACTGAAGCGACGCTGGTTTTGGAGGCAAAGTGTAACCCAAGTTCTTTTCGGAGGCCATGTCATCATTTTCTAACATTACATTAGCGAGCCTGAGCCGTGGTCCACCTGGTTCAACCAAATAAGGGAATAGTTCGAGCGTGTTGAACATGTCTTCGGCATTGAGAACCACGTTCCGTTTCTGGATATTGTCCACGTCGTTATGCTTTCTCTTGCGCAGATTGGACCCGCCAAACATACTGTTCGAAAAATCGCCCGAGGCTTTCCCGTTCGACTTGTAGCCCGACCCGTCGCCGTTTAACTCACTAGGAAGAAACATGCTCGACGCATACTTGCTTTCTCTGTACCGTACAACGTCCATAGCACTTTCAATGATGTTTTTCAAATGCGCTTCAAGTCCTAGCGAAATCACTTCGAGCACCTGGCTGCTCACGCCGCCCGTGAGGCCGTGCTCTCTCATTGTCATGAGTACTCTTCTAGTAAGGTTGTCCATGTCTGGCAATTCGTAAGAAGTGGTGGAAAGCGGGGTGTTGATGCCGTTAACCACGTCTTGCTGCCACTGAACCAAGTTGTTGACCTGCAACTGCTGCTGCTCCTTATCTTGGATCATGGGGATCTTAGGAAGCAAAGACTGCCTAGTCAAGGTGATGGATGCACTAAGTTTGTTGCGCTTCCCGCTTTCTCGCGTGATGCTTCGGATTCTGCGCCGCTCTTTCAAAGGCAAACCCAAGATGTTCTGCTTCAACTTTTCGTACTGCGTCAGCCTAACGTTTTTCGACTTTGCGTTTTTCTTGCTCCAAAACAGCGCCAACTCACTGGAAAACTCCATTGGACTGTCTTGCAACGAGTTGGCAAAGTTCAATAGTAGAAGCTTGTTGTGGTACTTGACCAAGCCATTTTTCAAAAGTGGCGATATGATGTTCACGAGCTCGGGCCGGGATAGTTTCCCCGTGAGAAACAGCGTCAACGACTCGTGGTACTTGTCCCAGTTGTTTCCTAGTTTCTGTTGGAACTCGCTGATTAGTGATTCGAGTTGAACTCGTTTGTTCACTTTGATAGGCTGGACTCCTCCTGTGGAGGACGATGATACCATTGTTGTAGACATGATGGCAATTTTACAAAACGGTAAATGCTAAGTGATCTGGTGCCGTACAGACCTAAAAAGTAAAAAAAAATGCACCTGAGTCAGTGAGACAGCACTGGAAAAGGAGCAAAATAGTTGGAGCGCAGAGCAATTGAAATAAAGCGGCTGGTTGCAATGCTGAGGCCAAGAATATGCTCGATATTCAAAGCTTATTAGATTGATCAAAGTCAGATGGAACTTAGTCTGGGTGTTTTGGCACGTTTTTCGCTTGAGCGCACCCGCTACCACATGCAGGACAGAAGTTGCTGGTGTAGGTGATCAAGACATTGTAGTGAGAAGAAGATACATATATAAGAATGTAGCTGAAATTGCTGAAACGAAATGGTACTGAAATGTATTCCAAAGGAGATGATCTTTGAACCTATTTTCACTTCGCTGAGTCAATGCTACACTTTTCTCCACCTTGGTATTAGTTTGGTTGGCTAGGCACGTCTAATCTGAATTTTCCAGCATTTGATTGTTTGGATGGAAAAAACTAGAATTTTCAGACTTCCCATTCTTTATGTAGAGCATCAGTTCAGATTGGCGCATTCGATAACGTTCGGGTAACGTAACAAAGATGACGCCACTAGACCGATAAAAAGTTGACACGTACCCTCTGATATGTGTTCAATCTTCAGTAAGGTATTCGAACTAGCTCCAAGAAAATAGTAAAATGTAAAGAAATAGTCATGATACGCCTACAGTCCAGTTATCTATGCCGATTTATTCTCCTTCTATTATTCTTCTATTATTCTTCTATGCATTAGTACGACCTAGTCGCTTTCTTCAATTTTCTTGTGCTCTCCGTGTTCGACAAATATGAACACCACAGCCACTAGCACAGCTAGCCCGGCAATACCCACCCCCAAGTAAACTGCCGAACGGTAGCTCGACAATACATCGTTGTTCCTCTTGTGAACCTCTATCTCCACCGTGCTAGCAACAGCAAGAAAAAAAGACACCGAGTAGTTCACCACGGTGTTGACCAAGGATCCAGCCATTCCCTGATGCTCTTCCGGAAGGAAATCCGAAAGAATTAACGACGCTGCAGGAAAAGAGCAGTCCATACCCCAGGGAAGCAAGAACATTTGCGCAAACGACAAATGCCAGAAACTTTGGTGGACGGGGAGAAACTCAAGAAACAAACATCCCCCTAGGAAGCCACACATGGACGCAAATATAATGTAAGGTGCCGTTCGCTTCGACATGAAGTGGCCCACAATAAGAGCGGCAACCACACCAAGGATTAGCAACGGCATGTATGTTAAAGCCGTCTCAACAGGCGTGTAGTGACGGAATCCCATCATGAAACTCCAGTAGTAATATTGCCAGACACCAAACAGACCCCATCCAAGCGACATGCAAGCAAGAACCAAACCGATACGTAAATTAAAAACCGAACGAGGCAAGAGGGGCACCGAGGCGAAAAGTAGCTCGTAAGAGAAGAACAGCGCCAAGAGCACAACGCTGAGCACCAATAGAACTATAATGTATGGTGTCAGCCATCCAACAACGGGGCCGTGGTTCCAGACAAAATTAAGAATCACCAACCCTGCCACACCCAATAGAGCGCCCCATGTATCAAAGCGTGCAAAAGCCTCCTTTAGCGTATAGTTGTGGTGTCTGAAAGGGCCCGGGATGGCGTAGATGGAAAGAGAGCCCAAAATTGCACAGGCAATGGCGAGACAGTAAAATGCCCAGTCCCAGCGCGCGAGCTGGGCCAACATTCCAGACATTAAGCATGAAAGAGACGCTCCAACGGGGGCAGCAGAAGCGAAAAAGGCAAAGGCAAAGTTCTTCCGCTTGCCATTGGGATATGTTGTTCCGAGAATGCCCACACCGCACGGAATGATCAACGCGAAACCTATGCCTTGAAATGCTCTGCAGATGATAAATAAGATGCTGGACTCAGAAAAGTACGACAAGCCCGTAACCAAGGACCATAGAGCAGCCCAAAACCAGCCAAAGACAAAGATTTTTCGGAGACCAAACAAGTCGCCTAGTCGGCCCGACACCAAGATAAACGAGCCGAGCGTTAATGCGTATGAGCCCATGTACCAAACCTTCTGCGAGTTCAGGCCGGACCCTTTTTCCTCAAAGTACTCTTGAATGATGTTCATTGTACTGAGAGACATAGAAATCGAGCCCTGGGACAAAAACTGGCCCAAGCACACAGTCCCTAGAAGCACGAGCTCCTGCAAGGGAGATTTTAGTATTTTTGGGCGAGAATCCATGGGAAAGCGAAAACCAGAATAGGCATCAACAGTGTGGGGAAAGCGTGCTTTATAAGTGTTAATGTGGAAAAGTGAAGCATCGCACCCGTACCTCTGCGGCCCGATAAACGGCACGGTTTTAGTGCGGCTGCGGTAAAGGAATCCGGCAAATAACACGATTGTTGGGAGAAATTAACGGTCACATTTAGGTCAGGATGCTGATAAGCAAGTTTTGGATCGCATCGGAATTCAAGGTCGGAAGGCACACGAAAGATAGAAGGAAATTTTTTTAGTGCAAAGTTTCTGAGTCCAGGGCCTCTTTTAGTCATTTTTGACAAACGCACTTGTATTGACAGAATGCGACAGAATATGCAAGGCTTCGTATTCAATGAAGCAGGTTATCGATATTCATAAACACGTGTAAGCGAATATAGATTGTGCCAATGTGCTTCACAAAGCTATAAGAATTTCAAACCTCTAGATCACAAGACTAATATGTCAGATTGAAGTAACCAGACCAAGGTAACGGATCAAATAACCAGGCTTCAAGATAAAAGCCTTCACGTCGAGGCCTCATAACATTAAAAGTGCATTCGATCCCGACCCTCACGACATGTCTTCAAAAGCATCCGTTAAACTTCACATCTTGTTTCAAAACTCGTACCTGACATTTCATGAGCGATTATGAAAACACAGTAAGACTGCGCAAGTACGAGTCGGACTGGGAAACAAAGTGGGCGTTTTGGATTTTCGACTCGCCAAACTCAACAGGACTGAGCGCATTGAACGCAACGGTGTTGACAAAAATGTCACTGTAAAGATGCCACAACTGGTCCTGCAAACAGTCCACAGACAAGTCGGACACTAGAGCAAACTTGAAGTTGGTGAGCGACTCAAGGAAATGCACCCTGTAGTAACCTGTGCTGAAGGACCGAAGCAAATTGGGGACGGTGTCTGGCGCTAGCTTTTGCGCCATGTTTTTGAGCGAGTACACCATGCCGAAAAGAAGCTTTGCTACATCGGATTCGTTGTTTGTGTTGAGCGAGCCAGAGTCGCCCCGCAGAGAAAACTCGCGTGAGTAGATACAACTGCAATGGCGGTCAAAGATGTAGAAGGCGTATATGGTCATGTTTAAGTATGAGAACGAGATCAGCGTCAGTCTAAGGCTGATGAAAACATCCTGCAGGAACTCCGCCACGACCACCAGAAGAAAACGTTTATCTCTGGGGGTAATGAATTTGGTTTTAAATTTCTGTGGACGAAGTAGAGACGATCGTACTTTTGGGCCCTATGGGGCTAAGACTCACTTGCATTGTAAATGAGGAGATGCATCTTCGATACGACGAATAAGTCAGAGGTACAAGCTTTGATGATGCTCAAATCAAGAGAGTAGAGACGAGAATATGAAGAGCTTCAATTACTATGGTGAGGTAAGCGGACGAAGCTGACGGAAAACAGTGCAGACCTATAAAAGTTGTTGCGCGATGAAGAAGTTCTAGCATGTCAAGATATTCTTGATCGCACATAAATGATGTTTTATGAATGATGTATTAAATGATGTTTTATGGATGATGTTTTATGAATGATGTTTTAAATGATGTCTTACATGATGATGAGTGAGAGAGAATATGTTTGTATGCTCAGAAGTATGAGCAATACATGCGGAATGGTGTAGAGTAAAAGCAATTGCTCATTTTGAATGCGAGATAATACACTAGCGATGTACTAGTAAATTGTCAACCTGAAATATTTGGCCTTATATTTTTTATTGACACTCGGCGTCGAACATGAGAATATGGACGAGAACGGGAGATTACGGAAAGGAGTCTTTGGAGAGAATGGATGAAAGAGACATTAGATTTTGGAGAGAATGGATGAAAGAGACATTAGAGTGGCTGGACACTAATTCATAATATGCTAAAATAAAAGTTGGGCGCCAATAAAGACATGGCATGTGTCAATGTGTCAACGCGAGAAGACAATAGAGTACGGCCAAAGCATTGTCTCCCCAAGCGGGGATAATAAGCACTATGTACAATTCGCAAACCTAAGCCGTGGAAACGCAAGTGGGGAGAAGTCACAAAGAAGAAATGTCGAAAGTGGCTACGGATTGAGTAATGAAAATGAGGAAGGCGCAAAGAGGCAATGAAGATGGGCCGTCTGGTTTGATCCGTTAACTGAAAATGACCTTCGGGAACAATACAGCTCACTTCGTCCTGATCGAAAGAATACGTGGGCTACGATTCAATCGGTATATGGTCATACTTGCAATGATGGACAGATTGCCCAGTGACGTTTTCTGATGGAGATACCTCAATATCATAGACAATACACCTTAACAAAACAATACGCTCTATCAAACACAATACGCTCTATCAAACACAATACACCTTAACAACACAATACACGTTATCAAACACAATACACGTTATCAAACACAATACACCTTAACAACACAATACACGTTATCAAACACAATACACCTTAACAACACAATACACCTATATCACACCTCATCCTCCTAAGCAATTACATCCCCAGCCCAAAGAGTCAAGGCCAATAAAGTACAGAATGCGCGAAAAGTCAAGCAATGCGCTCAGATGAGCTGACAGTGCGGCAATATCTGCGATAAAAAAGTTAGAAAACTACGAGTCAGGTTCACCACGGAGAGTCAGAAGAGTCAAACAGCGATCTAGAGATAACCCAAAACCGACAGAAACCGACTCAGCAACCGGCTCAGCAACTGACTCAGCAACTGACTCAGCAACATGAGACAGCAGAAATGAGTAATAAAACGTGCGCGTGAGTCAAGATGGAGTCAGTCCGTGTCGGATCAACTGACCCGCAGTCGCACCATGGCCGCTGGCCCAGAAAACCACACCAACCGCCACACTAGACGAAGGAGACAAAAGGGCAAAAGGGAAACAGCTTCGACACAATGCAGACGCAAATACAGACACAGTAACTACACAGTAAATTCACAGTAAATTCATAGTAAATACACAGTAATACAGACGGTAAAACACAGACAATAGAATGCAGACAGACTGACGAAACGCGCAACAGGCCAAAAAAAACTTACTAGTAAACAAGAAGCGAACATTGAAATTAGACCATTGAAATAAATTAGCAAATAATATCAATAAAACGTAATAAACACACCATAACAACCACAACCGTAATAACCACAACCGTAACAACCACGTAACAACCACAACAACGACAACGACGGAACAACAACCCACCACCACCACCTAACCTAAACCCAAACCTTAACCTACCTTAACCACCTTAGCATCTCCACACTGCCTAAACCCGTGCCCCCGAGCCACCATGTCTCCGCACCACCACAGTGCGATTAGCACCACGCACGTGCCCGGTCGGCATCGGGCCAAACGCAAAACGGCAGGCCCAACGTGCCCAGAAAGGACAGAGGTGACAGCCGCTTGCCGCCACCGAGCCACATGCCGCAGAAGAAGGTGTGGTGGTTATGCCAAATGGCTGTGTCCTGCACAGAGGACACACACACTTTTCGTTGCAGGTGATTGCTCATAGTGCGCGACAGAGTCATAACTCCACATAAAAGCCGGACTTCGGCACCTTGTTTCGCCTCGTCTCCCAACACCTCCAAGTCTTTCCAATTTCTTCCAGCGTCGGATTTCTTTCGCCAACAGCCCAAGCGATCCACCAATCCGAGCTACATACTAAGCCAAGCTATACACCAATCCAAGCTACACAACCGGTTACTCAAACCAGCACGTGCTAAACACCTCAGCCAGTTTAGTCCCTCACGTTAAATCGCTCAAGACACCAGCTGCGTCTAAATCGCTCAAGTCGCTCCATTTAAGACGTTTTCGAGCCCTCAATCTCCATCGCATCCATCCAGCATGTTTTCCATCAGCGAACCCCGTGATTTTGTCGATGTTCTTGACTTGGACATTGAGTCCGAGTGGAACCCCCACTACGAGTCGTCGCCTTCGTCTCCAATGTCCGAGCCCGAGTCGCCAAAGAGCTTGCTCTACGAATGCGCTTTTTGCATGATGTCTCATTCCCCCTCTCAGCCATGCAACGTGGACGAACACGAGTATTCCTGGAATCTTCCGCAGCTGGCGGAATACCAGTACCTGGCTCCAGTTTATGTTGAGGAAAAGCCTCTGCACGCGTCGATCATCCAGTCGAACTACAGGAAATGGCTTGTTTCGGTCACTCCGCGTTAGGGCGGCCTTCGGGCGCCCTGCTGGCAGGGTTTTGGGGTTAGAGTATAGGTTAGGTTAGTTAATATATTTAAGGTTAAGGGAAGTAGAGTGAACGGAAAAGTTTTCAACTCTGTGATTTGTAGTGTAAGCTGAAGGTTTGATGAAATAGATAATCCAATGAACATAATCGATAAGAATTCTACAGTGTTACGAAATAGATCATGTAGCAGTGATATTACAGAGATTGTAACAGTGAATATGAATTCAAGTGAATATGAATTCAAGTGAATATGTACTTGTTAATACAACTGGTATGACCTCTTATAGTGTGGCTATCGGGTCGAAGATCCGAATGCAAAGATGGATCAAATCATTTTTTTAATTATTTATAATTTACTATAAATACAAATAAAATAATGGAATCAATTTGACGTTGCTGGTAGTCAATATCCTAAAGTTTTGAGCCCTAATTTGACTACAGCGGCAATGGCCATGCTTGGCTTTATGGTCTTCCCTCTCTATCTCCGGTTTTCCAAGGTTGAAGGCATATGCTACATTGAGAACCAGTGCCATTTCTGAAGAACATAAGTCAACTTGCTGAACATAGAGTACACCATATACTTGAAGTCTTCTTTTGTACCGAGTGCCTTGTACTGGCTACTCAGGCACTTTAGCATGCGTGTTGGTTTGAGACTTCCTCTATCCATTCCTTGTCACTCAGTAAATGCCTTTTTAAGTAGTTTTCCTCTTTAAGTACCACTTTATGTAATGACATTGCCAGGCACGACAATCCTTCACTCTCCTTTCCCAGTTCTTCCGAACTCCATTCTACATTAACACCAGCGAATATCTGTGAGTCTCTTCACTATGGAATGTATATATCTGCACCTGTTTAATCCTTCTTCTCCAAGTCAATGAACTTGCCGCCGTTGGCAAATCTTGGGTGTCTTGGGTCGTTGATAAACTCATCAGTGTCTTGCATGGCTCCAGCAGCCTTCCAGATCAAGGTGTAGGAGATGGCAGCTGCATGTTAGTAATTGTTCATAAAAATGTAGAGGAGAGCAGAGCAGCATTTGATTCTGACATTTTGTTCAGAGCAGAATTAGACGCTGCCACCTCAGTGTTCAATCTGCTCATGTCCATTGGGCTGTCTTGGACTGTCCATTGAACTGTCCATTGGACTCTTCTCCGGTCAGGCTAAAGCACAAAAAAACATACCTCCAGCGGCAAATGGCCAGTAGTATTTCAAGACAGGAGTAGCAAACTTAACGGTCATGGTGGTCTAGTTTGGGAAAAAGGTGGAGGTGTATTTTTTCGTTCGCTCTCACTTCGGATTCGCGCTGGGCCAGCCAATGAGAATAGCTAATGGTTGTTCAATGCTTTGCGCAACAAACAGAGCTGTATACACAACTGTGTTTGGAGCTGGTAGACCAGAGACTAACCCAGAGGATTCCTTAAATGAATCCTCCAGTGAGGATCTAGAGTCAGATGGTTTCATAGCATCAGCAGGAGCAGTAGATGGAGTAAACATTGATAAGTGACGTTTGATTGACATAGACATATATGTATCGGGAGATGGAGAGATGATCCTTAGAGAAGGGAATCCATCTTAGAGAGAATAGATGATCTTATATATCCGTGAGAACTACAAGGTGAAACCTTCTTAAAACAGAGAGGGGTACGATGTGTAGCCCTATAGTTTCAGAATCTGTAAGATAACGATGAAACTGTTCTGGAGTAATTCTGACGTGCATATTGCATGTAAGAGATTCTCAACACTCCCCTTGAAGGTGAACTTCCGTAGTTCATCACAAAAGATCAATTGGGCTTAGACCAGATGCACATCTTTGACGTAGGTTCGAGAAAAGAGGATCTGTTATCGCCTTTGTAAACATGTCTGCGCAGTTCAATTTTGTAGGAACGTATTGAAGCAGCAAGACAGTGCATTGAAGTTGTTGTTTAACAAAATCAACTTTAATTCTTATGTGTTTAGTTCCTTCTAATAATGCATCCAGCTGCACAGTTTTAATGGCTGGCTGGTTGTCACAGAAGAGACTTGCGTTGCAATTTATATTCATGTCTTTTAAAAGGTTTAATAACCAGACACTTTCTTGTGTTGTGTAACATAAGGCAACAAGTTCGGAATTTGCTGTAGAGAGAGCCACAAGTGTTTGTAGCTTTGATCTCCAACTAACTGGGGATCCACCATATAGAACAACTGAACCTGTGGTTGAACGACTTTTATGTATCTGCTTCAGAGGCTAGGTTAGCATCTGAGTAACTAAAGAGCTTTTTTGGTCCATATGATGTATAAGCGTAAGCCAAATGTTGGGGTGCCTTTTAGGTATCTGAGAACACGTTTGGCAGCATCCATGTGTTTCACTTTAGGTGATGCAAAGTAGCGTGATAATTTCAGAACGATGTAATTTATGTCGTATCGAACTGTGTTTGCAGCATAGAGTAATTTTCCAACAATGGATCTATATTCATTTTCATCACATGGTAGATCTGTGCTGTCAGGTAAGTCGTCAAGGTTAGTTTTATTCGCAGGTGTTTTGACTGGATTACAATCAGTCATGTTGTATTCTGCAAGGAGATTTCGAATATAATCTTTCATGCAGACTTGAATTCCAGTGGATGATATCTCCAAGTTCATACCAATGAATTTCGTAGCAACACCAAGGTCTTTCATTTGATAGACTTGACCTAAGTGAATTTTGAGTTGATTTATCTTTGCAAGGTTTGTACCAGCGATTAACATATCATCAACATAAAGTGCGACTAAAGTTTGATCTTTATTATCAAACTTATAGTATATGCATGGTTCATGGATAGTTTTCTTAAAGCCAAGTGACACAAGAGTTTTGTTTATAGTCTGATTCCAGACTAAGGGAGCTTGTTTCAATCCATAGATTGACTTGTTCAACTTGAGAACATATTCAGTGGTCTTATCTTCACTATTCTTGGAAACAGCTTTGTAACCGGGAGGTTGTCTCATGTATAAATCTTCCTTGAGGTCACCGTTTAAGAACGCGGTTTTAACATCCATTTGATGTACATGCATTTTGAGTCTACCAGCAATGGCTAGGAGTAGACGTAGACTAGTATGCTTAATCACAGGAGAGAAGGTTTCTTCGTAGTCAATTCCTTCTTTCTGTGTATAGCCTTTGGCAACTAGTCTGGCCTTGTAGAGGCCTTTGTCCTTGATATTGAAAACCCATCGACAGCCTATGGGCTTTACGTTTGGTGGTAAAGGGACAAGAGTAAATGTGCCATTTTCGTGATGTGCTTGCATTTCCAGGTTGCAAGCTTCTAACCAATTCTGTTTGTCTGCAGCTCTCATGGCTTCAGAATAGGAGTTAGGAATAGGTCTCAGGTTATTGAGATGGTTTTCAGCATACACAGTCGCAGCATGTAAGACTGAAGTAGTACTAGGAATTTCTTCCTTGTGACCAGGTGTATCCACCATGTCAGTCCTTAGAACCATTAGGACTTCATCATGAGAACGCTTTTTCGACTTTTTAGATTTGTTAGACTGGGCAACTGACACTTGTTGCAGTCGGGCTGGAAATTTAAGGAGGTGATCATGTTGTCTACCCCCCTTGGTGGATGACAGCAATTTGGGAAAAAGGGAGCGAGTATAGCTCCGGGTCCGGTAGTGAGGTGGAGATGACGAGGAAGGCGGCGGCGGAGAAGCAGGAGGCGCCGTAACCGGATTAGTGGCAGAAGAGGTCAGCAACTGCGCTAAGGTAGCGGACGGGGTAAGCGACAGCGTCTTAGCAACCTTTCGAGAAGGCATAGGAGAGGACTCAGTGATCAGCAGAGTCGTGGAGTCCGCCGGGACCACGGGCGGAGGAGAAGCAGACTTTTCAGTGGTTCGAGGCTGCGTGGAAAAGAGATTCGCGAGATCTTGCTTTTCACGAAAGAGGTCTTCAGGAGAGAGACGTTTAAAGGGCGCCGGCAACTTAATGCTTGGGAGGAGAGCCGTAGGAAGGCGGTTGTGATTAATCAGAAGAGACCTAATGCGCGCATCATGCTTGATAAAGTATAGGTCTTCGGGAAGAAAGGTAGCTTGGTCAGAGTCGAAGACCGTCATGAGGTCATAACTGAAGAAGCGATGGCCTGTGCGTTGAACAGCAGGTCCTAAATAGACACATTCAAGAGAATTAGGAGCTAATTTGTTGGCACGGATTTCAAGCGGAAACGTAACCTGTGCAGTGCACCCAAAAGGATAAAAGGTGGGGCAGGGAATCAGCAGGTTGTTAAACCAACAGTGAGTAGGTGTCTTATGTTGTAAGTTGGAGCGTGGTGTCCAGTTGAGAATGAATGCAGAGTACCGAATAACCTCAGGCCAGAAAGCAAGAGGAATATTGCCATGTGCGATTTGAGCACGAGCTTTGTCTTCAAGAGTACGGTTCATACGCTCCGCAATGCCATTCTGAGAAGAACAATGGGCATGAGTGAAATGAGGAGTGATACCGTGCTCATCAAGAAAGACAAGAAGATTATCATTGATGAATTCAGTGCCATTATCCGAGCGAAACTGTTTGGGATAGTGAGTGGCGCGAAGAGCGTTGTAGCTCCGAAGGATAAAGGTTTGAATGTGAGTCGAGGCTTCACTCTTCCGAGCTAACGGAATAGCCGTAACATAACGGGAGAAGCGATCAACAATGGTAAGGAAGTACCGTGTATTGTCGTAGGCCGGATGAGAATCAAAGGGGCCACAGATGTCGACATGGATTACCTCAAAAGGTTGGGTAATGGGTGTAACGCCACGGGATTCCTTGGGAAAGTGATTAGTGGTTTTGGCTCCAAGACAACCACGACATTGGGTGAGGGGAACATGAACCACAGATTTGGGTATTGAAAGTAATCTTTTGAAAGCCGCAAATTGGTTGGCACCGGGATGGCCCAACTTAATATGCCACAGTTGAGAGAGGGCATCGGCCTTGACCGTGAGGGTGTCTGAAGTGTCAGAGGGGTCGGTCTCTTGTTCAGCATCATTCGATATTACTGACTCAGTGTCAGGAGAGGAATCGCTGCAGGGATCCTCAGAGACAGTATCAAGTCGATTAATTAAAAATAGACTGAGGGGTGGGGTGTGTGAGGCGACGTGGCTGTGAGTCGCCGCAGCATCACAAGGTAAAACTCGAACATTAAGCACAAGGTGTCGAGTTGTATAGGGGCTCACCACTTTAAGTGTGTGAACGTTAATAAGGTCGCCATTGCAATCAATAGCAATGCAACCGTCCGCCTGACGGAATCGATCAAAGGAGATGATATTGGGTAACTCAGGGATGTAGTGCACATCAGGAAGGACCAACTGGTGGCCATCCGAGAGTTCAATTTTCATGTCTCCAATGGTGTTAACAATATGGGTCACACCATGAGAAATTTCACGAGTCGTCGATCTCACATGACTCAAGAGAGTCTTGTCGTTGGTAATATGAATATCGGAGGCCGAGTCTAGGATGAATGTACAGGTGGGATAAACAGAAATATCTTCATTGTAGGACACAAGATAGAGAGACCCATCATTAGCTTTGCCAGCATTCAGACCAGAAGACTTGTTCGTCTTGGAAGACGACTCCGAATAAGGTTTAGAAAACTTCTTCCGAAAGTTTCCTCGTTTACCATTGTGAGAGTGGGGTTGGGCGGGTGGGGCTTTTTCCAATCTCCGATTATCAAACTTCGATTCTTTCAGCACGGTCTTATCTTTGGAGAGCCAATGGGGATGGGAATCTACAATGGACGCGAACCAAAAATGAATCTGTTGATCAATCTCCTGTGTGGCGGATGCAGCTTCAGAGAACGACTTAGCATAGTCGGTGAATTGCTTGGGAGTCGAGACTTTGGACGTAAAGACCCTCATAAAAGTCCGCCTTATTTCTTCAGGACTAGCAGACAAGGCAAGGAGATGGAACAACAAAGGTTGATAGTCTCCGTGCGATGCTCGCAACTCTAACTGTTCACGGCGCATCTCATTTGCCAAAAGATAGGCGTTCGTGTCGCTATCCTTAATGCTAGGAATGAATTCATTTTCAAGAAACTCTCGAGTGAGAATCCTCGGCACCGTAAAGAAGGCCTTATTCTGAAGAAGGTGATGGATACACTTATGAAAGCACAGGTCCATACAGTTCACTGCCTGCCGAATTGACTCTTCCAGTCCAGAGAAAATTTTTGCGTATTCCGCACGAGAGAGAGTACAGAATTCTTCACCAGACGTGAACGTCGTCTGAAACTTTCGTTTGAAGCAATAGTACCATTCTTGGAAGTGGTATTTCTTCTTTATTTCAAATGGGTTGAGATCTTCGATCACACAGCGGCTCATAACCTGTTCAATGCTTTGCGCAACAAACAGAGCTGTATACACAACTGTGTTTGGAGCTGGTAGACCAGAGACTAACCCAGAGGATTCCTTAAATGAATCCTCCAGTGAGGATCTAGAGTCAGATGGTTTCATAGCATCAGCAGGAGCAGTAGATGGAGTAAACATTGATAAGTGACGTTTGATTGACATAGACATATATGTATCGGGAGATGGAGAGATGATCCTTAGAGAAGGGAATCCATCTTAGAGAGAATAGATGATCTTATATATCCGTGAGAACTACAAGGTGAAACCTTCTTAAAACAGAGAGGGGTACGATGTGTAGCCCTATAGTTTCAGAATCTGTAAGATAACGATGAAACTGTTCTGGAGTAATTCTGACGTGCATATTGCATGTAAGAGATTCTCAACAATGGTGTATACTGTATATTGCCGTTTAGTAGAGCTGGGTCCACCACTTTGCAACTGGGAATCTTCGGAGTTTATTGTCATAACAGGATATCTGGTGTGGCTGGGCAGCTTCTGAGTAAAGTGGAAACTTTGCAAAGTTTTTTTTCAAGCTTGTTTGGGCAAGTAGGGCCATTTCGCAGTCGCGATGTAATAAAGCTTACTAGTACTATATGCTGTGAACGACACTAACTCTTATGTTAAGTGTATTTCGTGCTGGTTATTTTTTTCTATGTGCTTAATTGTACTTGGCATATAAATTTACTGGTTATCTTTTTCTAGTGTTTGACTATACTTGGTGTATAAATTTACTGGTGATCAGAATTGCATATCTCAGCCAATACCCATCAAAGTGCGGTTAGTTGGCCAAATGACTAGTAAATCCAGTTCCTTATGCTACTGAAGTGCTCCTAAGAGAGAAATCTCCAACGCTTACTTTAGCTCTGTAATACTTGCATCACCATTGAAACATGTCACAGTGACGTATCCAGGTGGCTCTGAAACCTTATGTCGGCAAGCCACAGTATTGGAAAGCCTCTAGTCGAGCACATCTGAAACTCCAATTCCCTTTCATGTGCAGCTTTATGTTTAGATCCAGCATATGGTTGCTTTATGTTTAGAACCAGCATATGGTTGACCGACCCTTGTTAGCATGTTCCAACTATTTCTGGCCATCAAATATTACGAACCAAACACTATTGCTTGTTCAGTTATCGAGATGCCACACTGTCATGCTAAAGTCAGCAACCATGACTTATTGGTATATGTGGCTCCTTGGAGCAATGTAAAATTAGCCATAACTCACCATGGATTACACCTATTCTGTCCTCACCAGAATATTCAACTAGCCTCAACTCTAGAAATCACTCCAGAGATGTGGTAGATTCGAATTTCTGGGGTGCCCTTCTTGAACCAACAGTCCATCTCCAACAGATGTGGGTCCGACGCCACACATTGCGTTCTCCACACAAAGCGGCGATCAAGCTCTTTTTCCCACACCTCTAGCGTCTCAAGGTTTCGAACCGTGGCCGCAACGAAAACGGCTGTGGTTCCTCCCACAAGAAAGTCTCCTATAGTGTCGCAAAGCTGTGGAACAATCAGCTTGTCATACGTCACATCAGCTGCGACCACAATATCGGCCTGAGGCGCTTCCTGGATGAACGAAGAAGATTGTCTATTTGTGGTGCCCCATAGAAGTTGCTGGGCAAAGGCACAAGGTTCCGAGCCACAGAGATTTCCGCTCTGCATTTCGTCTGCTTGCCCTTCTGCTCCATCATCTTTGTCTCCGCGATGAAGTTGGACCCCATTAAGGGCAAATGTCGGTTGAAGGTTTTCCACTAGCGCAGTGTCTCCATCTGTCACGATGATGTGTGAAAATTGGTGCACATCCTTTTGTTGGAGAAGTGCCAACGACACTAGGCCCGTGCCTGCTCCCAACTCCACTATGCGGCGTCCCTTCAAGTCCAAAGGTCCTAGAGCACCCGGAGTATTGAGCATGTTCAGTAGATAGAGCGCAGCTTCCCATGTTCGGAGACCCGTGGTGCCGTGGCCAGAAATGACTTTTGGGTTTTCTCGGATGGCAACTGTGGCCTTCGACCCCACGCCGTAACGGAGCACATCTGTAGCAGTGGCAGAAGGTTCGGTTGCACCTAGTATGGAGCTGTCACACACTAGTTCGTAGAGTTCCTCGGCAACGTCTGTTTGTGACTCGAGAAGACGGATGTACCGCGACAAGAAGACCTTGACATAGAATGGGTTGGTTTTGGCAATTTCAACAAGTAGCTGGTGGATCTGCCGCTGGGAGTCTTCGTCTAGAAGCGAAGAAATGTCGTAGCAGAGAAAATCGTTCACACGCTGTTGCAAGCATGCAAGCACGGCGGAGACAGAAAGGCGGCGCATGTAAATGGTCAATTTCGGTTTCGCTTTTTTGAAAGTCTGCCGAAATGTGGAGTCGCGATGAGAATGAGTGTATAGGTATAGACGTGAAATATAGAATAGATTGACAATATCATGAGGAGAACAAATGTTTTGCACGAAAGTGACGAAATATGTATAAATAGATTGAAGATTAATACATCTATAAGTCAATAGGAGAAGTTCATAGCACGACAAATTCCAATGATTACTTCTACAGATAAGAAGAACTTATTATCGATGCGGCTTCAGTTTAAGCAATGAACAGGCTGATCGTTCATTGATTACTTCGGCAGCGCAGTATTTGACTCAATCGATTTGAAATTACATGCTTTGGCCACGAATGAGTCCAATGCTAAGTCTTGCTCTTGATGTATCTAACTCTACCAAATCTCATGGCCGGCCGAGCAACAGATTCAACTGGCCATTTACTTCTTTTTGGCGTCTTGTATCGTTCCGTATTCGTACTTTCCTCTTCGAATAATGGATCCAACTGCAAGTTTATTCATGACGTCGTGACAAATAATACAATACCGACAAATACATCCATAGGTTGGGAACAATCCTCATCACATTCTATTTCTGTCATTTACTAATAAATATACTCACGCCACGGTTCCAAAAACACGCAACCGCTTCACACCACCGTCGGGAATAATGGTCAAAAGAACGTGTGTGTACACCTCCTCCAGCGCCACCTCGAAAGTGTGTTCATGGTCTGGGCCTGTTTTGGAGTCGCCCACAATCTCCCTCCACTCGGACGAGTCTGCAGCTGGCGGCTCGCCTTGGCCGTTCCAGCCCTTGACGTTGACTTTCTGTGGGAAGTTGCCCCGGAAATGCGCCGTGTCCACAACCACATGGTGCACTTTTGTAGGAGCACCTAAACGCACAACCACCCAGTCCACGTGGCCGGGCGTTCTTGACCGTGTGGTTTCCCACCCGTCGGACATGTCGTGGCCCCGTCCGGGCAAAAGAAGATTGTCGGCGCTGCCAAAGTGCTGGTCGCTCACCCGTACAGCCACGCCTCCATTGTAAGCGGACGCCATGTCCAACACAACAGACTTGTCCTTGGGAAGAACAGCCTCGGCAATGCCGTACAACCGGAAACGGGCAATGCCGCCGTCTGGGTACATGCGCAACCGGAAATGCGTGTAGCTAGTTTCTGTCGCCGCTGGCCGAACGAAAAAGTGTCTTTGGGAAGGTCCGCAGGGCGACTTGGCAATGACAGGCTCCCAAGGCGCATGGCCCAATTCGCTGTCGCTGGCCACACGAACGCCCTCCACTGAGATATGTGGAGCATGGTTACCATTGAAGAATGCCGTGTCGACTTCACAGGCCACGATGCGGGCCAGCGCCACGCCAGCGCGGAAAATCACCCAGTCGGCCTCCTCGACATTGTGGCGACGCGTTTCCCATCCGTCGTACCAAGCGCCGGCGTGGGTGAAACGGCTGGCGTCTCTGATGGGCGCCTTGGGCTTGATAAGATTGGCGGCGGCTGCAAACCACTCGTCGGAGAACAGAACAACGCAGCCGCCGATCTTCTCACCAATGACGTCTGTGTACTTCATCACGATCTGCTGGCGAAACTCCTCTTCGGAGAGAACCTTAATGTCTGACATTGTCTGGGGTAGCTGTGTGAACTTATGTAGTAGTGTTAGTGGAAATGGTGCAAGACTTTTGTATATGTCTTTTTTTGATTATGGCAAGGCTCTTTTTGTTCTTCGAGCTCAAAATTATCAACCTATGGCGGCAAATTAGAAGGCTCTTGTACTGTGGTGACTTATATAGGCGTCTCGGAGAATCCCGAGATAAGCGCGATCTGACTCCACACCTGTCATATGCGGACCTTCTCATTATCATTGGCCAATACACCCTCCTGATTTTTCCACACTCGCCTATAATCTGATCTCTTTGAGCAATTGCATCTATTATATTTCCCTATCGATGCACCAGCAAAACATTTTGGGCCAAATTTTTAAAGCACAAGAGCCTATATCGTGGATCTCTCTATGGTACATATCCGTTTATGAGAGGTGCAAGTGTCGGCTTCACAAATTGCTAGTCTGCCTCTTCGTTTCTGGAATTTATCTCTCTATCGATATCACTGCAACTCTAGGTTCTTCTGCAATTTATGTTCCTGGGTTTACGTAATTATGTGAATCAAGCTACATTCCGCATACAGCTAATCTATCATTGCGTGTCACGTGCATTCATCATCACCAACACCACTAAAACTTGTTGGTGATTCATTGCAGCTGTCTTACTGTGGCAATTGGAATGTCTACCCATTTGCTTTAGTGACTAAGCGCAAGATTGCCAGAGCAGGCCAGTCACGCAGAAACGTCCGGCAATGTAGAATGGGCCCAACTTTCGCGATGCAATCGAACCACTAATGCGGCCAACACATCCGTCTCCTCGTAGACAGCTTTCACGAGTATTTTCCACCGTGATTCCTCTTGTCAAATGCTCCGTCAAAAATTATCGCTCCATCTTCCATTGGACCACAGACGGTTTGGGTGTGTGTCCTGCAGGCAAGGGTGGGCAGACTTTCCGCATCGAGACTGTTGATAAACAAACACCAACCGTTTGTGTTCTTCTCACCCAGTTCATTTTCGAGCATACCCACTTGGTCTATTGCGTGGATTTTGGCGTGCTGTCACCGTTTTCTTTTCTGCCGCTGCGTTCCACTTTTCTTTTGTTCCCCTACCGTTCTGTGGCGCCCGAACAATCACCTATTCCCAACTATCACCATTCGCTTAATCCCTAGACTCACTCAACCCAGAGTCTTTTCTTCCAACTACCTTTGCCGCTTTCTTCCGGCTTTTCTTCCCTCCGTGCGCTAGTGAAACCCGCAGCTGCTTGCATAAACAATAACCCTCCCCCAGTTCCGCCTTTTCTCTATTCACAATGAACACCAGCGATGACTGTTCGCTAGTGACCCATTCTCTTCAGCGGCTCCCCAGTCCCACCAGGTCTCCGCTCAGGTCGTCGCCAATGCGCAATTTATCGCCTACGAGGCCGAAAACAAACCCAGGCACGCCCCGAAACAGCACTAGCCCTTTTCGAAGCAGCGAAAGTCCACAAAGACAGTACACGGACTTGATGGCGAAACTCACGTCCATCTCAGCAGACTACGCGCATCTCGAGGCGGAATTGGCGAAAAAGAGCCAGCTACTCAAGGACCTCTCGCAGAAATTGTCCGCCTCAGACCAAATGGTGCGTGTTTTACAAAACGAAAGCGCCAAAACCCACGAACTTCATCAAAGAGAAATAGCATCCTACAAAGAACAGATGGACGACATGCGGCGCCGCAACAACCTCTTGGCTCGCAAACTAGAGCAAGAACTGCATCGTTCTCAATCAGCATATGAAGAATTAGAAGACAAATACACCAAGCTCATCAAGAGCTACAAAGCACTACAGAGCAACATGGAACTCGAACTGAATTCCAGAGCGCTACTAATCGACCAGATTGAATATCTTACCAAGGAGCGGGACTTTTTGTTGGAAAACTCGACATCGGCGAATGTCTCTGCTAGCGATGAGAGTGTCGTCCAATACGGCTACATGAGCCAAAACCCGGACACTTCGGGCTCGGACTCGGATGGAAGTGTTCATGGCACCCATCTTTTAAGCGCATTTGTGGACGAATATGGAAACAGCCCGGTCGAAGCATCTTCTCCATTGAAAGACGTCTATGATTCTGAAAACTCAATGGAAGTCGCTGAAGGTTTCCATTTTCCTCCTACTGAGCAATTGAAACCATCCTCGCATTCGAAACCCATAACGTCGCCCCCTCTGCCAGACCCAGACGTGAAAAGCTCCAAAAGACAGTCTCTTCCTGCTCATTTCAATTCCAATTCTCCCAAACACGAGGAAGAGTTTGTTTTATCGCCTTTGAAACTCACAAGTAATGTCAACTTGTCATATTTTGAGAAAGATGACTCGTTACCTACTCCACAACCATCGTCTACGACCAAAAAACGCTATTCTTCTTCGAAACCACATCATAACAGATACAACTCACACGACTTCGTTCCCATCATGGTGGAGTTTGAACAACCTGATGCTCAGTTGAGAAGTGCCTCTTCTCCTGAGAAGGATGTTTTGAGTAAACTTACATCTGTCCAAGAACATGAACATGCGGACGATCGGGACCAGGCATTCATGAGGTTAAATGGCTTTGATGACAATTATTCCAAACGAGATTCTCTTATTACCAGCTCATCCAAAAGATCCAGTTTGATCACTGACTTTAATACCCTGGGAAATGACATTACTAAGCAAGAAATCATGACTCTTAAGTTTGAGCTTCAGTCCTTAAAATTGCACAATGAAAAGCTCTTATCATACATCGGATTCGAGCTCCAGAAACAGAAAAAGAACATTAAGAAACTTTCAAGCAAACAGAACCTTCAAGGATCCAATATCGAGTACTCGGACGCAAAATTAATTGAGAAACTGCGTAATATGTTGATCCACAAGAAGAGGATTCTCCGTTCTGTTTCCATCAATCCCATATTGTCCACCAAATATAACCTGGGTGGAGCCGGTACAATTTTTCTGCTGGGTACCGGGCTCGGCATTTTCAACGCCAATACACCAGGTGCTGATGATGATGACGAATTTGATTTCAAGAGCGAATTTATCAACTCGCTCAAAGCGGACGACTGTGATGACTACGGCTTTTTGACACACGAAAGCAAATACAACCTGCGGGTGTTATCCAGAAAGAACCGGGACTACCTCAATGAAGGAGAGGGTACCCGTGTCCCCAAGAAGTACAAATCGCAAACATTCCGACCCTCGATGGACGGTGAGTTTGAGATGGATTTTGCAGATATCGATGAGATTCTGATAGACGACATTGAAGAAGAGGCTGAAGGCTACGTACAAGAGGACGAGCAGGAATTATGGGAAACGGCAAGCAGCCAGAGCAGCTCGTCGTCGGAAATTGATTACAAAAAACTCAACACATTCAACCAAATGCGGTACCTCATTCTTGGGAAAGAGCACTTCCGGAAAACAACAAGAAGGGACGAGTCGTTGGTGGACGAAAACCTAAAGTACAAGTTTCTTACGATTGTTGTCGGGATTGTCATTATAGGTTTCCGGCTCACGGCGCAGCCGCCGCATCATTTAACGCATAACTAAACGTGGATGGAAATATAAAAATAGCAGACCCGACCCTAGTATACGCCAATATGCAAAAGCCAGATGCCCTGCATGTGGTGTCAAACGTAGCCTTTGTTCTGTTTTAGTCTCGCGTAACTTACGCCCATATCATGCCGTCTCGACACATGGCACAGATACGAAAGGGCAAGATGCTTTTAGGTGGCTTGTGTGAGATTGCCAAACGAGAATTGCACAAACGAGAATTGCCCCAAACGAGAATTGCACCAAATGGATTTTTACTTTTCAAGTTTGTCTTGAAATCGTTTGCCTGCCCTAGTGAAACGGACCCGTTACCATGTCACGTTTTCTTGAAACGGATCTGATATCGAGAGATACGAGGCGCACATGGAACAGCAATGCCAGCAAGGTCAACAAACGCGGCCAGAAAAGATGGGACAATTTCCCGTTTGCGGCTGCTCCTGCTGTTGTTCTTTTTTTTTTTCGCACTCCCCTAATCCAAAGCAGATGATGGTATGCGTTTGCAGACGTGAACGATGGAACTGTATCGCATGCGATCGTAAGCGTGCATGCGCCATGCGGCAGAGAACAAAGAAGGGCGGCGATGGATTTGCGCGATCATGCGCACGAGCCTAAGTGCGAAGGCGAGAAAAGGCGAGGGCCACACAAGACGACCAGCAAAGAGGCGAAAAGCTCGATTTGTGGGCGGGCGGCGTCGATGACAGACTTTTAATATCATGTCGTGTTGGATCTTGCTGGTCCCTGAACGGAGGTGGGCGAATTTTATGGCCTAAGCGCAAGGTGCTAAAACAGTACAACCGGGCCGGCATGTAACTAGAGGTGGTCCCACTTGTGCGCGGTGGATGATTTGCACCAATGACTAGTATATAACAAATCCAAGAGCCGCCCCGAGCTTGTTGGTTTGGTGGCGTTTGTTGCTAGTTTCTACTTGTGTCTAATTCCTTAATTCTAATTCCTTCATTCTAATCTACTCCATGGCTCTCCGCAACTACCTTTACGCCAAGCATCTGGACCCATTCCAGCGAGCTCTCATAAACAAAGACCCGGCCTCGGCCCCGGAGTCGGCTCCGCAGTTCAAGAAAAGAGCGCCGAAGCACAAACACATCAGCTTGGCCGACAATGTGCGCGACAGCGAGTGTTCTTCAGACAGAAAAATCGTGCTTGAGGATGGTTCGACAAAATGTGCAAACTGCGCAGACTGTCCGAAAAAGACAATGCCCATGCAAGATGGGAACCCCAAAGTGAAAGTCCAGGTGGACGGCTCTGTGTCGGAGATGAAAGACAAGGAGGTCGATTACACACTGGCTTTTTAGGTGGCGGGGCTCCACTTGGGCATTAGGAAAGGTTAGGACGACGGGTCGTCCGAGGATATATCGAGCTGCGTAATGCACACTGGTTTGATCAATTGTAGTATGTTTAGAAACCTAGCTGTTGTGTAGCCCAATTGTCCTAACGTTGGCGTATATCCAACAGCGCTAGATTGTCGGTTTTTCCGATTGGAGATTGTCGTGAGCCACTTTATGTCGAGCCACAATTAACTTCCATCTGCCAATCTTCAACGCATTGATGACATAGAGGCTATTTCCAACAGCATATCTCCTACTCTCCATACTCTTCAACCGTAGCACTCTTGCAACTGTAGCATACTTTTCCTTTCTGGCTCTTCTATTGCCGTTGTTTACCCCAGCCATAGGCCGCCTTGTCTCTTTCTTACGACAACATAACCTTGTTTTGCTCCCAAATCTTGCGCAGCGCAGACTTGTCGCCCCATTCGCCCGAGTAGCTCCGCTTGCTGAAAATGTCCTCCAAATGCTCTCCCTGGTATTGTGGTGGCCGAAGCTCTTCTCGCTGAGACATACTCGAGTCCATTGTTTCTCCCATGGCTCCACGCGCCGTGTCACGGACAGCCTCGCGTCCAAGAGCAATAAGACGCCCGTCCACAGGCCTCTCGGGTTCTTTGGAGCGCAAATCTATGAGCCGCTCGCTCAAAAACGCCAGCTTGAATTCATGGTATGTCTTCACTGACTGTGGGTAGTCATACTGGTGCTCGTGGAAAAAGCGATCGGCCACGGAAAAGATGAACTTTTCGATTTCGGCGGCTGCTGGGCCCGCTTCCGGTTTCGAGTATGGCCCAGGGAAGTTGAGCGGGTTCTGCGGCTGGAAAGGCGCCGGCTGTTTCTCGGGTTTTGCCGCCAATATCTTTTCATTCGAAACACACGTCGCATCGTCCTTGGGTCCCTTTGTCTTCGTTAGCCCGTGTCTCTTCTTGAACTGATTCAACCAACCGTGGCTGAACCCAATCAACCGCTTTGGGTTATCCACACCAAATTGATGGGCGTAAACTTGCCAGAACTCGCGAAGCACAGGCTCCGTCACAGGCTCTCCACGCTCCATTCGCTGCTGCACAAGTAGATCCATCGCCCGGTTAATCTTGTCGTACTTGTACTTGACTTTGCGCCGGGAGTTTTTCTGGAATTCAGACAGCAGTTCCCGGTACCGGGCGCGGTACTCGTCTTCATGTTTCACCCACTCGTTGAAAGCCAGTGTGGAGATGGCCACTTCGTTTTTGAACTTGTCCACTGTTTCCAGCTGTGGTCTCTGGGACTGATGGTAGTAGTCGAGAATTTTGATTTTCTGTTCGAGCGTGGCCCGGGGAGGGCCCTCTTTTTTCGGTTGCGTCATTGGTTTGGTTGTATGTTCGGCTGCAAGATCGTGATGCTGTGTTTTGTTGCTTTTGGTTGTGTTTCGCTTTCGCTACTGTGATAGTTGGGTGTGCAGAGATGTTTATCTGATGATTGCAAATGGGGATGAGGAGTGTATACGGGCCAACCACTTCGAACCATTACATGTGATGAAGGGGAGTATGCTAATGAATGATGATAGAAAGTATGGTGGTGTAAACTATGGTGACGAAAATGGTGATGAAGTATGGTGATGAAGTATGGTGATGAAGTATGGTGAGTGTGATAATGAAAGTATGATAATGAAAGTATGGTCATACTGGTGCGGATAAAGTTCGACTTGGTGTTTGTTTCGTGTGGCCATCTTTGGCACTCATATAGGAGAGAAAGTAACAGCATAATTGCTAATCAGGCTGTATGTATTCAAGTTTGACTTTGCCGGCTGCTTATTCATGATAATTTAATTTCAAAGTGTATCTGCTGGGCTTCTTAGTAAGGCTTCTTAGTATGCGCATCGGTTGCCGGTCAGCTTTCGGCAGGTCAAGCCGATAACCGTCAACTTCTTGACAGTCAAGCAAATAATATAGCCTAGGTGTCCTTGTCATTAAGCATGTTTGGGCATCTGTCTCCCCAATGATCGAATGTCATATAAGCATCGATCTTCTTCTGTGTTCTTTTACTCTCGGTTCTACATCATCTCGTGGATCATCGATTCTCAGAAATCTACTTAGTGAGAGCCTGCTCCTCTGCTGACTCTCTCCAAAACGGTCTCGTAAGCAACCTCGGAGAAGTCAGTACCTTGAATGTCGGCAGCAACACCGTTCAACGATCTTCTCAATGCGTCCTTCGAAGAGGCGTACACCATCTTGGATCTGATTGGAGCAGTGTCAGGAGACCAGGTGAAGAAAACAATCTTGGATCTCTTTCCTTCGCCTCCGCCAATGTCGTACTCAAAGTCGTAGATGGCATACTTGCACTCGTTTTCTGGCAACTTCTCCAAGAAAGCGTCGTAGTCTTCATTGCTGGAGGTTTCCTCCACGATGATTTCGGTTTTCTTGTCGTTCAAAGCGAAAATGATGAACTTGAACTTCTTGCCCAACTTCAAATCGTTGAAAGCGGCCAATGATTCGTCGGCAACAGCAACACTGAAACAGTTAGTATAAAGAGAGGTCGAAAAGTTTTTGCAAAGCCCAATTGCGCAAAGTAAGCAACGGTCTTTTGGTGTCAAACGTACCCTGATCTAGACTATAGCTGGTTAGTATGGAGTCTTCCGATAAAACCCGAAATTCACAATGCTTCTGCCGTGTAAAGCAAAGCATTGTCCTTTCAATGGCACTTTTGCGCCTGTGGCGGCACACATACCATAATTGATGATTGTTTGTTGAATGGAAATGAAGATAACTTCGAGAAAGTAAAGTTACCCAGTGGTATTTTGGGAATGTTCATGAACACGACGCCTCATTATGCAGGCCGCGCCCTCTCATGTCAGGTCATATAGGGACGGGTCTCTTTGTTTGGGTTCCAGTAGCGATTTGTTTGAACTGTCGCCGTACCCACATCAAATTCTTTTGGTTGAGCTGTTGTTTTCTTTTTGTCGCTCCATAGACCTTTGCTAAGGGGATTTCTTGGTGGAGCCATTTGGTGGCTGTGTACTGCATGTGTGCAGGGAGATAGTCCTGCAGTTATTATTAGGACAGCTACCAGGATAAGTAGAGACTTGCTGAAAGACTTCATTACCGAAAGGCAGATTAGGGAAGAGGTAGATAACGATAATCATCATCAAAAGTTTAGGAAAAGGTTGATTCCGAGATAAAAAAAATAACTGGTTTAAAGAACAAACGTAGCATGCCAATTCCAGATATCTCATTCTCGTGCCTCATAATTGTATTCATAATTTTGGTACTAGTCTTCTTGAAACAATCTGCGGTATCTGTTGCTCTTGTATTCATTTGTGTGGTTTGTCGCCGATTTGCGTTCAAGTAGGGTCACGAAACCATCTATTTCCAATTGAGTTGTGCTCAACGTCAGCTTGCTGATATCACATGAAGAGATCCAGTGCATAAAATGTCACAAGAGTTCCTCCTATATCTGTCATTAATGCTGCAGCACGAAAATAAAGCAAACAAAGATACGCCCATAATATTAGCCTTTTTATTTTCTTCCTTCAATTAGGATGTGGTGGCCGAGTGGTTAAGGCGTGAGGTGCAGGTTTATCAGCACCTCCTCATGAGCTCTGCTCTCGCAGGTTCGAATCCTGTCCACGTCGTAATTTTTTTGTTTTTACTTTGTCTGGCCTATTTTTTTCTCCTCTTCCCTGTGCCGTTTCGCTTCCCGCTGTATCCCCATATTTTGCTGCCCACACGAAGAAAATACACCAGGTGTTGTGCGCAATCTGCAGTCTCGACACTTCACATAGAACCAGGTTAAGAAAAGAAAAAATAGCATCCGTCACCAAACATGGCGATCGATCTCTATGAAATTCTCGAGGTGGAATCCTCGGCGTCTACGAGTGAAATCAAAAAGGCATACAGAAAGCTCGCGCTTCGCTACCATCCGGACAAGGTTTCCGAAGACGAGCGAGAAGAGGCAGAGCTCAAGTTCAAAGAAATCAGCCACGCATACGAGATCTTGATCGATGACGACAAGCGGCTGGACTACGACTTGTACGGAACCACCGATGGCGCCGCGACAGGAATGGGCGGGTTCGACAGTAACCCGTTCAACGGCTATGGGTCCCAGGAATACGGAGGCGACGACTTTTACAATTTTTTCAGCCACATGAACGACAATGGACCTCGGCAGCAAAGACCAGCGCCAGGCCGTACAGATGATGCTCACATGGACGTGGATGTGACGCTTGAAGACTTGTATGTGGGCAAGGTGGTGAAAATCACCTCTACTCGAAACATCTTGTGCTCTACGTGCCAAGGCACAGGCGCCCGGAAAAAGGCGGCAGCCAAAGTATGTGGTGCCTGCGAAGGTCAGGGATACACGACAAAAATCAAGCGGGTCGGTCCGGGTCTAGCCTCGCAGTTCCATGTGGACTGTGAAACATGCAAGGGCACAGGAAAGGTGTTGCGGACAAAAGACAGGTGCAAGCTGTGCCAGGGCGAAAAGTTGCAAGAGGAAACGAAAATCTTGGAGTTTGAGATTGCTCCGGGCTCGCGATCGGGCGACTCCATTGTCTTGAAGGGTGAAGCGGACCAAAGCCCAGGAAAGCAGACAGGCGACGTCGTTTTGACGGTGCATTGCAAAGAGCATGAAAGGTTTGTTCGCAAGGACGACGACTTGTTTGTCAAGCACAAGATCCCGTTGGTGGAGGCACTCTGTGGTTTTTCAAAAGTGATCACTACCCATTTGGATGGAAGAGCTATACATTTAAGCACGCCACGGGGAAAAGTGCTTCGTCCAGGCGATTATCTCAAGATTAAAGGAGAAGGAATGCCCGTTAAATCACGCAGCAGCTGGTTCAGCACGGGCCCGAAAAAGGGCGATATGTATGTGGAGGTGGAGATCGAATTCCCCGAAGACAACTGGTTTTTGGAGAAAAACGACGTGATGAAGCTTTCAAACTTGCTCCCCTCGGATCTCAAAGACAAGGCTGGCGCACGCAAACAAAAAGTGCCCAGCGATGCCTTGCCCGGCGCCAATATCCAATATGTGGCTGACTTCACCATAGCCCGCAAAGAAGCCCTTCCAGACTACGAATGTGACAAACCACAGGAGTCGGAGCACCATCACGAAAGTGTACCCGAGTGCACTACACAGTAATAATCCGCCTTCCGTATATATGTAAAATGATAGATGTAAATAGGTAAATGCTAGCTAAAAGTCGAGCATATCGTTCAACTCTTCGGTGCTCAAGCCCACAGGGCCCTGTGCCTCGAGATCTTTCTGGAGTGCAAGGTTATCCATGTCATCGTCGTCGCTTTCGTTTTCCGAATCGGACCATTCCTTGAACGCCGTCACAGGTCTGGCACCTGTGCGGAGAAACTCAAGATCTTCTTCTCTCAACTTGGGGACATCGAAAGGCACGTACTCGGGAACAGGCACATCTTGTTGAGAAACCGTGTCAATGCCTTCTTCAGCGAGCTGGTCTAAAAGCTGCTCGTGTTCTGCTTCGTGCGCCAGCTGGCCCTTGTTTCTCTTTTTAGGATCTCCGCTACGGCCAGCCATTGGCACATGTTTAGCATGCAATTGCGCAGTATTCTCCGAAAGCGTCTCGCGGAGAGACGTTCCAAGTGGAGGTAATGGGGTATAAGTGGATTTTTTGAGGTCATCGGTTGCGAAACGAGGAACAAGCTCCTTTTCTCTGGATGCCTCGTCTGGGGGAAGCTTGCTACCTCTGCTTCTCTCACTCTTGGTGTTTGCTATGCTGCTTCGAGGGGTGAAGCCCAAAGAAGAGTTGGATTTCTGCAAAAGGGGCTGTCTGGGCAAGGAAGGACCCTGTTGCCTTAGTCTGGTCGCTTGCAAAGGCTGCTGGCCCGATTGAAGAGAGGATTTGGATCTCTGTAAAGTAGGGATCACGGTGTTCAGATCTTTACCGCCCAAAGGAATTCTTGTTCTCTTGTCTGCCTGAGTAGAGATTGGGGCCGCCTGTCTTTTGGAGTTTGTTCGGACATTTTCATCGTTTGGCCTCTGCTTGCTTTTAATATTCTTAAAGTTGTTCTCCTGGTCTAGGATTGCCGATAAGTGGTTGGTGGACATGAAGAAGAAGAATAGTAGGAAAGTATTTGTTTATCTTACGCACAAATACGTATACATTTATGTGCCGGACGATAGGAAGAATGACCAAAAGCTGAAGATCATTTGCTTTGGGTCGCTACATGGTTTTGCTCTTTAAATTTTTTCCTTCACACTTGGATTGCTTTGTTGTTTGCTATTTACATTAAATTTCTTCTTCTCTGTATGTGTTGGCACATGTAACACGCCACTGATTATTGTCGCACTGGCTCAGATTCTATAAAGCTTGGACTGGAACACAAAGAAATACAATTTTGGGTTGTCGTTATGTTGGTATTATGCTATGGTCTTTTTATTATCTCTATAGTCCTCGTATTGGTATTTTGATTAGAAACTGATTTTTACTCTTGTCTATTTCTCATTTTTTGCGCGAGTCTGTCCTATATTGCAAATGTTTTCTCATTATAATAAGCGAACACAATCTTGAGTCAAAGGGTAAGTTCTATAAAGTAGCACAGAATAATTCATACCGCCATCCAATCAGGCTTCACAGATGAGGCGGCAATACCTAACTGTAATAAGTACCAATGTTCTGAAGCTGCGGCATTGCATGTGCAATATGATAAGACCCCCAATATTTGATCAGCGGAGCCCAAAAGCAAATCACATCAGCCGAAAGCATGTAGCCTACAGGCTCAAAAGCTTCCAAACCACAAAATTCCCTAGCTGTACGGCTATTTGAAAAGTAGTGCATGATAGCCATATTAAGGCCAAGCAGAACATGCTGTGATGCCCCTGCATGTTAGCACGACAACCCACCCAAAATGCTTTACTCCTAGCGTTACCTTCGTCATGCGGAAACAGCCAAAACTTTTTCACCATCCCCATTCGCCCCCGCTTTCCATTGTGGACCTATCTCCTCTTGACAATGCATCGCCTCTGAGTCAGCTGCAGCCTGCACCGAACAAACGGCGAGACGCATCTTCCTGCAGTGTGTGCAGAAGCTATGGCATTTTGCAATCGATGAGTGGCATTTCTGGCTTGGCTAACTATGACCCACCATCATACTACTTTCTTTCATGCTGGAAAAAGACAACGAGTCCAGCGAGTTCAAAGAGATCCATGAACTTCGGCCGGCCGGGAACCATGCCAACAAGCCTTTCGGCCGCCACTGGTCTGCTTTGCGGGACTCTTTCCGTGAAGGCTCTGACCGTCGAGGCAAGCAGTTGCGCATGTCGCATATGGCGGTTATAGCGCTCAGCAGTGGCTTGGGAACGGGTCTTTTGGTCGGCTCAGCGTCCAAATTAAGAATGGGCGGTCCTCTCTCTGTGTTGATTGCATACGCAGTCGTGGGTATCATGTGTATTTGCACCATGTGTTCTGTTGGCGAGTTGGCCGTGGCATATACGGAGCTGGAGGCGGGCTTCACCGAGTGGTACCGCAGGTTCATCGACGACTCCGTGGCCTTTGCCTTGGGCTGGAACTACTATCTTCTGTGGGTGACGGCCATTTCTCTAGAGTTGGTCACCGCAGCCATGACCATCAAGTTCTGGAACACCAGCATCAACTCGGATGTGTTTGTTGCCATTTTCTTTGTTGCCATCTGCGCCATCAACGCATTCGGCGTGCGGGGCTACGGCGATGCCGAGTTTGTCATGAACTCCATTAAACTCGCCATGCTCACCGGGTTTTTCATCATGGGCTTATGTGTCGACTTGGGTGCATCGTCCCTGGGCTACATTGGCGGGAAGTACTGGCGCGATCCAGGTGCCTTCACCTCTTTCAAGGGCTTGGTCAAGGCCTTTGCCACTGCATCTTTCTCCATGGGCGGAACAGAGTTCTTGGCCTTGTCTGTTTCCGAGTTGAGACGTCCACGGGCCGCCTTGGTCATGGCCATCCGTCTTGTGTTTTTGCGTGTGGTGTTCTTCTACGTGGGCACCTTGCTCATTGTCAGTTTGCTTGTCCCATACGACTCGCCCAGACTCATGGGCTCGGGACAGCTGGCCACAAGTGCTTCGCCGTATGTCTTGGCCGCAGACATCCATGGTGTGAAGGTTGTGCCACACATTGTCAATGCCGTCATTTTAAATTCGGTGCTTTCTGTGGCTACCGCTGCAATGTACTCGCTGTCTCGCTTGTTGCGTTCTTTGGCCCAGCAGGGTCTTGCTCCAAAATGGCTTGACTATGTGGATCGCCATGGCAGGCCCTTACGAGCATGGGTCATATCGATCTTGGCCGCTGCGTTTGCGTTTATCGCCTCCTACGGCCACCAGGATGTGGTTTTCAACTGGCTTTTGTCCATTGCTGCCCTCTCGGTCGTTTTTGTATGGCCCTCTCTCTGCATCTGCCACTTGCGTTGGAGAGCGACACTCCGCCACCACAATGTGCCTTTGAGCTCGCTTGGGTTTGTTTCCTACACGGGCATATGGGGCTCGTGGTACTCCATCATCGTGAACATCTTGATTCTTGCAGGGCAGTTCTGGGTGGCACTTTTCCCAGCAGGAAAAGCCGATGTGTCAAACTTCTTCCAGAACTACGCCTGTGTTCCATTTACTCTCGTTTGCTACGTGGGCCATAAAACATACACCCGCCTGTGGAAGAAGTTCTATCTTCGTGTGGAAGAGATTGATATTTTCACAGGACAAACCGTTTATGATAAGGAACTATTGGCGTTGGAGAAGCAGGAGAAAGAAAAAGGTCGGCGTGAATCTTCTTGGTGGAAGAGGCCGGCCCTCTGGCTTTTTGACCAATAAATGAGATCCGACGTTATGACTTTACGAAACTCGTATCACGAAACTTCCAACAACTCATCAAAGCACAGATTGTGACTATCCAATAGTATCGAGTGTACATAGAGAACAGATATTTATAACGATAGCCTCTTGTAGGTTGTAGTTTTGTCAGTGCATGCAAACTATGGTCTTTGTTACTCAATTGTAAGAATCTCGACATCGATGCTATAATTGTTGGCAGGAAATAAAACTACCTTCTTTGAAGACATAACGTACAGTTCCTTATTATTGATGCTACTCAATATGTTCAATACATAGCAAATGTAATTTCCGTTATAAGAAGGTGCTCAGATATCGTATAGTACTCAATTTAAACTTTCAGTACAATCGATCATGAATTGCCCAATACATGTATAACTCTAAATAAACTGGAGCCCAGTGGAAAAGATACTTCAACCGAAATGGCAAGTACTCAATAGCGTAATTACAATCATGTAACGATAAATATAGCATTTCAAGGATTCGGTAAGATCGTTTGATAGTTGTCGATTACGGGACATTACTATTTCAAAACAGCAGAGATATAGCAAAAGCTGTAGTCCACTCGTCAAATATTAGAGAGGGAAAAGTGAATACTTAATAGCCATCTTTTGGTAGATGAACATCTTTGGTAGATGAACATTAAAGTCAAGCACTCATAAAGGAACGCTCTGGCCTACCCATTGAAGAAAGAATAGCTTTACCACTGCGGGGTCAAGGTTCGAACGATAAGAAAGATCCATAACAAGGAATAATCCCTATCTGGTGCATATGTTCTCAAACATCCTTCGAAGTAGATTTTAGGTAGAATATGAATACATATGAAGGTATACGCCTTACCAAAGCCTGTGAGAACACAGAGAAGACAGTAATATTTTGTAGAGGAAATCCTTCATATTCATTCGAGTTAGACAAGCACATATAGCCCCAGTTGTCTGACTTATTTTTGTCATGCTCACACTTGCAGTCATTCTTGACAGAAACTGTCATTTCGTCTACAACAAGTCAGTTGATCAAGTCAGTTGGGTCAAGTCAGTTAGGTCAAGCCATTAGGTCAAGTCAGTTAGGTCATGATATCCGTTTATAGCAAATACAGCTTCATTTAACAAATTCCCTAGGTAGTCTGCTATTAGGCTTGTGTTTATCGACAATAATAAGCGCACGGCAGACATCAATACTCTGCGCGATTGTAACTTCAGAAGGAAACCCAAAAACCCGCAAAGCCACTTATCATCATACTAGGCCAGAGAGACCAGAAACACACCAGCCGTGGACTCGAACTTTCCTCGAATATATATCCTCTTTCCCCATAGTCGGGTCCATCTCTTAATCAGTAGCGCGCACACATCTGCAGCAGTCACTACTACACCCATTCTACAGAAAACAAGCCACAACAACACATGCCCATCTACCTTCTCAGTATCCTGGTTCTGGGCTACGGCTCAGCGGCATCCAGCTGGATATACTTGGCCAACTGGATCTTATTGCTTGTGCTCAGCGTTGGCTTTGTCTTTTACTTTCCTCGCCTCGTGGGGTTCGTGTTAACACACCTTCTACGACTTTGGGTGTGGCGCAAGCACAAGGTCCGAATATCCATTGGGTCGTTCCGTGTGTCGCCGCTTGGCGGACGTATTGCTGCCCGCAATGTCGTTATCATCACCCAAGATAATACCATCTCCATCATCCGCATGCATCTCACATGGCGCTACTGGTTGGTGCGCCTTCCGAGACTCCCTGCTTATCTCTTTGCTCAAGAAGACTCGCCGGACGAAAGCAGCGGCATGTCTCCGGAGCAGAACAAACGCTTGTCGACCAGTCTTCAGCTCTATGTGGATGGCCTCGAGGTTTTCGTCTACAACAGAACCCAGGCCTACACAAACATTGTCGAGGCGTTGGCGCGTACAGACGCCAAGGACGAGTTCTCGTCGCTGTCTTCTGCCACCTTGGCGGACACAGAGGCGCACCTGTCGCTCGATTTCTGGTTGAGCGTGCTCCCCGTGCAAATGCAAATCAAAAAGGGTGCAGTCATCTTGGGCAATGCCACAACTCCGTCGATTATGTGTGCGTCGTTCCATTCGGCCACGGCGCTTCTAGACGTGTGTCAACCTCCATGTCCCCAAGACCTTTTCCGCACATCTGTCGACGTGACAATGGAAAAATTCCAGGTGGTGTTGAAACCCAACGTGACTTACGACCCAACGCGGTACTCGCTGGCCGAACCGCAGGCGCCCGTGACCAAGGCAGAACGCAAACACCGTGTCCGCCGGTTTCTCGCCCGCCTCATTCCACATCGCTCTCACAAGAAAGACACCAATTCGTTTGAGTGGCACGGCTTGCGCCGCTATGTTGATGCCATAGAGGACGAGCGCGTGGTGGAAATCACTGACATTGAGGAGTATGCCAAATATAGCATGATCCTAGACTCTGCTCTGACCCGTGTGGTTTACTTTTTTGACACTCCCGGATTGCACGGTGACGGACCGAAAGAACCTCCACCACAGTTTGGTGTAGATGTTTACTTGTCGCTCGCTACTATCCACTACGGTTCATGGGCAGACAGACAGCGGGGTCCAATCCAAACCATGCTCTTCCCGTCCCTTTCACGTGATAGCGAGGCTACAGTTGTATGCGAAGACCCTGGACGGCCAAGAACATATGCGGGGTTCCGACTTCAAGTTTTTGTTCAGGACGAGCTTGTTTTTCGCTTGCCCACAAGAGAATTCAGTAAGGATAAAAGTGATTTAGCCGCACAGGGTCCCAAGAGGCAGAAAATCACCCGCCCGTTCGGCTGGCTTGAGTTCAAGCTTGCTCTGGAGTCGAAAATCTCTTCTTTCACATCGTATATTGCCAGTGAGAAAGGCTGGCCAAACACGTTGTCCATTTTCATGTCAAAACCTGAAGTGCGGTCTTCAGTCAATCACGACGTTCTTTTCATGGCCGACGAACACACTCTAGACTGTGATATTGGATTTCCCTTGCAGTGGAACGGCAAATGCGTGTGGACCTTCAACAACAAAACGAAGAACGGCTTGTTCTTTTTCCTCCGCGAGCATGCTTTCCTAATCAACGATGTTGTATCAGACTTTGCATCGGGCGAACCCGCGCCATACGAATACTTTCGGCCTTTTGAGTATCGCTTGAACTGGAGTGTAGAAGACTATAAGTTGTACTTCAACGTGAACGACCACAACATCATCAATGATCCGTTGGACTTTGATACAAATAAGTATCTTCGTTTTAGCGGTTCATTGTTGAACATTTCTTTCATAATACCAATGTTGGGCCAGTTTTCTAAGAGCTCCAAAATCGACTTCAAAATTAACACCACGTCACTCGAACTTGACTTGGAAGTACCTTCATGGCACACTGTTAGCGCATTTATGCATGGCCGAAAAAAGATGGGGAGCACTGAGGCATTTGAGATCTCAGGTTACTACAATTACTATAATTCTATTGAGGTTCACCAGAATAACTTTGCGGTTATCAATGCAATTGGAGATAATGTCACGCTCGTATTCTTTGGATATCTCATTCGCTACTTATTCACGTTCAGAGAAAACTACTTTGGGGACTTCAAGCACTTCAAGACATTTGAAGAATACTCAAGCACTTTGCATCATGGAAATAACCCAGACAGATCAGATGATGATTCTTCCGCGGATACAGAATTCGAGACTACTCCGGATTACTGGAAAATGCTCAAAACAGAGAACGATCTCAATGTTTTGTTCACTTTTCTGGTGCGGGGAGGCCTCATCATATTGCCCTGCAATATCTACGACCACCAACGTCATATCGGTCTTGAATTCAGTAGTTTGGATGTGGATATCCACTTGACGAATTATTATATGGACCTTCAGGCAGATTTTAGCACGGCCCAAGGTTTTGGGTGCAAGTCGGAAGAATCTCAGAAAGTTGATATTTGGAACACGGCTGTTTACAGAGAATCGGTACTGAAACAAAAGCCTGACATCACAATCGATGGTTTTAGTGTCCATACCCATAGAATGTTTGGTCTTGCACCAGAAACGCTTACCTATCATTGCAAATGGGATTTCTCTAGCGGAGCAATAAAAATAGATAGCGATCCGCTCTTCCTAGTTGGATTGAAGTCTGTGTTTCAAAATTTTGTATTCGGTTACAAAGACCTTGAGAACACTTTGATTTACACCACGCCTACGGTTTACGATCTCGCTAATTATTCGTTCCGCTGCCCTGAAGTTTCTCTCAAGATCTTCACTGGAATTGAGAATACGTATTTACATGTGTCCTTGATTGATATTTTAGTCGGATTCAATGACATCGCAAACTACAGATACTCAGACAAAATTGTCTTGAGTCTTCCGGAGATTGAAGTCAAAGTGGTGAATGAAGATGATGAAACTATGCACCAAGCTTACTTAAAGACCTCTCTCACGTTTACAAACTTTTGCCAAAAGGCAAAAATGTTGGAACACAGGATTTTCCAGCAAAGATATGTTAGGCGAAGTGATGCCCCTACCCACCGTGTTCCGTTCCTATTATTTGAAGAAAATAGGGACGACATCTACGTGGATGCATATGGGTGTCTTTTTCCAACTATATCCTTGCCTACGGCGTCCAGTCCTCTCACGAGAGAATGGGCACACTTGCAAAGTGATGGCTATTCTGCATCAGAAGCTGCAAGTGATACTGATAGCTCTGCTATTCTGGACGCTCTGGACTATTTAAATCCTACGGTTAATTATTATGAAGATGACTTTGTTCCGCAGACCCCGATAAGACCAGGCTACAAAACGGACGCACTTATATTTGAGCTCGGGGCGGTCAATGCTTTTTTCACTCCTGAAGGCGCACAGTCTATGACATCGTTTGCCAGTAAATTGCAATTTCTCGACCTTGATACACTAATTGATATGATCCAGATTGAAGCCATCAATCACTTGAAGAAACTAATCATTCCCCTCTCCACAATTGACAACATTCGTTTTGTTTGTCCAAGTATTGATTTGAAAATTGCAGAAAAGCCGATTTTGGATATCACATCGGTCCTATGTTCTTCTCCTAGCGTTCCAGCTGTGACGATTTCTGTGATAGAGCCATCAATCGCTTTTTCATCGGTTGCAACCAAAACTAGACGAAATATTGACCTTGTTGAAGAAAAGTCGTCCTCATTAGCATTCCATGTCCAAGAAGTTTACTTGTCTGTACACGATCCCAATTACTTCACGTCCGTTTTTTCCATTCATATCAATGACTTTGAAGGATGGAGTGCAACAGATCAACCTTCAGGAGCAATATCTCATTATGGAATAGGAGAGGTGCTATGTGCGATGGAGACAGTGCAAGCCCAATGGACTGTATCGTTTGTAACCTCGCTTACAAGCGCTTTCAAGGATTGCCTTCGGGAATTTGCCAAAGTGAAAGAAACATCCGTAGTATGGAGACGGGAGTTGATTCATGCTTTGACCACATGTGCCAGAGACAAGAACATGCAACATGATCCCGCTGTGATTACTAAGCCTGCAACAATCTTAAGATCTTGTGACGATCATGTCAGGTTCTATGACAGCTGGAAGCTTGTTACCAAACTTCGGAGCATTTTGTCTGAATTGCCAACGTATGAGGAAGAGAAGTTGCGCTTCATGAACAGGGAATGGAAATGCGTACCAGATGCGTTGAAGGAGGTGATGGAATATTTTGGAAACTGGCGCTCTTGGGAAGGAAGCATAGCTCAGAGAACCAATTATTTTCGCCATATATTTGGCGAAGAGTTGAAGAGTGAAAAAAAGTCGCTTTTGTTTCTCAAGTTAACACTGGGTGGCTTCAATATAAACCAATCAGGTACAACTGTGGATTATTTGGCTCTTCATGGTGTTCGTGTCGTTTTGAATTCAGATAATCTGGGGTCAGATGTCTTTTGGGATGACATCAACGGTGTTGAATATAAAGAGGAAAATTCTTTCCTTGTCAACGTCGACGCTTGTGATGGTCTTTTTTCTTCACTAACATTTGATACGGTCTCAAACGTCATCAAGTCCCTCAATTGCGAACAATCAACCAATGCATGTCAAACAAAAGAAACCATTCCTGAAGAAATGGTACCTTGGATACATCTGTTGGTGAATTTTAAACTCTTTCATATACGGATTGATTTGCCCGCCACCTTTATTGAACTTTATTCCTACGACAACATCTCCAATTATGAGTCGTATGCTCACGCAGGTTTCAATATGAGCAACCAGTTCAGAGAATTTACAGTGTCATTTGGAAAGGAAGAACAAGATTACATCAATATATCGCTTGAACAACTTCGTGTTACCCTCATTGAGAGCAAGGACAGTGGTGCCTGTAAGGCTGTTAATGGAAGTCTCAAACATTTCGAGTTCAAATTTTCTGACCAAGATGGGAAACTTGACTCCACCATTTCTTCCTTTTTTCAGGAAGACATGCCGAAGATCAAGAATTTGATACCCGAGAAACAGGACGAGGGTCCCAATTCTGACAAAAATCTCACGAAAAGAAGCACCCAGAATAATTTTATTGTGAACTTCTTAGTTGAGAAAGTTGACTGGTACTTAGAATTTTTTTGGGTCCTCTTCGCTTCCCATTACGCGTTGGCTCGAGGCAAATACAGCTTGAGCCATCTGCAAGGTGCACTAGCTTTCGACTATTTTCACAAGAGTACGTCTTGTGATGCAGTTTTACTGGAAATGACAATTTCTACACACAGAACAGACAAACATGCGTTTGAAGTCTACCGCAAAACAATTGGATTCTCTTTGGATGATTAAGAGTAGCATAGATTTGGGGTATCTTAAAGTGACAATTCCTCTGATAATCCCAGTGACAGATAAAGTTTTGAAGCAGCTACCCGCTATATTTGAGCGTGCGAAAATGCTTCAATCATCGGTTCCTTCAATTTGATTCTGGGATCAAACAGGAGAAAAAGGTCACAGGAAAGTCACGAAACAAATTTGACTTTGCATTAGACATCAATGTCAGTCAAAAATACTGTGGCCTCTCCATTCTCAAAGAGCATTGTCGTTACACTATTGAGTACGAGGGTTTACGATCAAAGATTTCCAATCTTCTTGATGCAGACGATCAAGGATGCTATATTGTACCGTTTTGGGGCGATTTCAGCTTACGGGAAACACGTATGATTGTCTTAGATGCACTGTTTCCTGTCGGATTATCAACTTTACTAGACGTGAACCTTTCTTTCAAGATACTTAACGATGTACAGTCCACCACTGAACGATCTTCAAGGTCCCTTCAGATTGAATCTCAACATTTTAGGGTGTGCTTGAGTCCCCCTGTCGTTTTCAAAATTTCAGAGCTAATAGATGGCCTTTCCCGAGTAATCAAGATGCATGAGGGTCTGTTGAGCAAAATTAGACCAAGACGCGACGAAAAGGAAGGTAGTAAGGAAGCTGTTATTTTGTCATCAAAAACACGGAAAATGCACTTTTCATCCGTTCATGTTTTGTCCTACAACTTCTGTATTGGATGGCTTTTTGGTACACCCCACAAAGATTACCCAGGTTTTATTCTCGGCACAGAACGATTTTTTGCGGTTTTAAAGGCAGATTTGGGAAAGTTATCTTTGATGGAGGGATACTTGTCAGTTGCCAATGGAACTACAGCTTCAAGTTTCTACAGCACGCTGTCGGAATTTAATAACCTTAATCGCGCCTTCATGCCTAAGATGCAATTAAATTACATTGTGACAGATAGTGAGAGTTTATGGTTCAGTCTCAAAGGTGACATTTTGGATGTTAGGTTTATGTCCAATTCCATCATTGTCATAGAGCGTGCGATTGAATCTGTTGCAACAGTACAAAAATACTATGATGATAGGTCAAGGACGCAACGGAGAAGAAGAGAGCTCATGACAGAACTCAAGGCTGAGAACAAGAAAAAAGAAAATAGCAGGTGCTCACGTGCATTTAAGAAGATTCAAGTCACTTCCAAGTTTGCAGGCGCCAAGGTATTTGTTTATCGTTTGCAAGAAGAAGATGATGTCACTGGATCTCCCCCATCTTTATCGTTACATTCACCTGCAGTTCTGATAGCAGTCTTTTACAAATACACCAAGAAACTGAAGAGGAGTCATACAGTTAAGATCGAGATTTTGATGTCTCAATCCGATAACACGTTATACTCTTCATGTGTGCCTATTTTGATGGATGTTATTGATGCATCAAAGCTGATGTTCCGCACATCCAAGCCCAACAGCGATACTGAGAACCCAAAGGTTTCAAATGATCAAAACTCAACTGAACCAACTGGTGGAGGACTGAACGAGAGCATTGCGAAAATGCTCAACGATATTAATTTCCAGTTTGGCTTCATTGTGGAAAAACAGAGGTTTTCCTTGAGTTGTGAGCCAACTGCAAAAGTGGCAGCGGTTGTGGTCTTTGATGGGGCATCGATTGTTGCATGCACAGGAATTGAAACTGTTAGCTCTATCTATGTCATTGCGCAGGTAGATCCCATTGCAGCTTCCTTACAACACATTTATTCAGACGAAAGAAGTGGATTTGTGGAGATCAATAATATTATGTTCTCCAACGTTATAAAGCTCCATCCGTCCATCGAAATTGTCTCATCCACCTCGATAACGGACATCGACGGATATATCAAGATGAAGCAATACCAGGATCTTGATTTATTCAAGGACATATGGTATCCTAAGAAGTACCATACACGGACACCTAGCGTTACAAACGAGGTGGACTTGGCGGGGGCTAAAAGCACGTACACAAAATTCAAAGAAGTTTCATCCACGTATGCCATTCCGTTTTGGCTTACGATGCTCATTTCTAATTTTTCGTTAGAGGTTGATTTTGGTGCAGCATTGGGTACTGTAACTTTAGACGTTGACCGCGCTTGGGCGATCTCAAGAAAATCATCTGACTGGCTTTATGAGCTTAAACTCGGTTTGCAAACTTTGGAAGTGGGTTCTCAAGGTCGTTTGGGTGGCTATGTCAAAGTAGAGCGTCTTTTTGTCACATCATCAGTGGAATGGAAGCTCAAAAAGATTCCGCTACTAGAAATTCCATTAGTGCATTTGGCAGGAGGGGTAGAGTCTCTCCAATTGAAGGCAGCATTTGATAATCACCATTTTGCATTCTTTAGCTTAGAGGGATTCAGATTGGATGCCTTCAATCGAAAAAATGGTATTAATATTTCGAAAGATCATCTTTTTGTGCTCATCAAGTACGACAGTGCTGACGTTATGTTAACCTCGCTTGCTGCCTCCGAATTCTACGACATTTACAATACAGTGTCCAGAATGATGGAAGAAAACAAAACGTCGTACACGGAGATTTTGAAGGATTCCAACAAAGATCATCTCATGGAAAACGAATCGCGTAATCGTATTCTTGAGGTGGTGAAGAAGCTTGAGACCAAAATAGAAGTCAGCACTGGTTTCACAAGGTTCCAAGTTTATCCGCAGTCGTTTGACGACACACGGACCCTTGTAATCGATGTTGATAAGTCCAAAGCCAGTTTCTTACAGAACGAGTACATTTCCGGAGTGGCTAATGAGATCGAAATCCGACTTAGTAACGTCAACGCATCTTTGGCGACCACACTGGGAATAGCAAGCGAGTCCATCCCCCAATTCAAAGTACAAGAATTCATTGAGAATGCTCGCAAGGCCTCTGGAGGCAACATCTTGGCGTTTCCAAAGTTCATGATATCGATGAGGACATACCAAAAGTATAACAGCAACATAGTGGAGTACCTTTTCCAGTCTTCTTTCGGAGGCACAGTGGATATCCGGTGGAACTTAGGGTCTGTGAATCTCGTGAGGGAAATGTACGCTGTTCACAAAAAAGCCTTGCTTTCTCGGACAGATTATACTCACGAGAGAGCAGGAAGCTTACAAGAAGAAACCAGCATAGTCAAGAAGCTCCCAGAGCAGCCAAACGAATTGCCCTCAAAAGAAGATCTCAGAAAAGACATTGAGAAGAGTTTTGAGCGTGTTTCGAAGGATAGCAAGTATGTCTATGTTCCATTGGCACCACCGATTATTGAAACCCCACGGTTGAAAGAATTGGGAAATGCCACACCGCCGCTAGAGTGGTTTGGATTGCACCGCAACAAATTCCCCGACGCTACACACGAGTATGCTATTGTTTCGATGCAGAAACTCATCCAACAGATCGAAGAGCAGTACTCCAAGGCACTCAGCACGACATAAAAAATGCATTGGAGATATATATATGTACAGAAGCTTAGACAGGGTCTAAGATGAGAGGCCGCTGACAGAGAGAAGCAGCAGAATGGATGAGCAAACCAACATCCTCGACAGTTTAATGAGTCAAGTACCATCTGCCCTTGGCCCTTCTTCTGGCCAAAACCTTTCTACCGTTTTTCGACTTCAACCGCGCCAAAAAGCCAAACGTTCTCTTCCTTTTCAACGTGGAAGGCTGGTAGGTATTACCTCGAGACTTGAATCTTCTTTGTATGAGTTGCGAGAAAAGCAGGAAAGCAGAAACCGGCTGACTTTGTTCTGGGTGAGCGAGAGAAGTGGTAAAGGTGGAGGGAGCGGAAAAAGCGCCCACAGAACGGGCCATGGGAGGATTGCTCAAAAGAGAAAAAGCACGAGCCTGGCCCATCACGGCCAACGACAGACGCTGGAAAGATTTGGCGAACGAAAACATGGGGCCACAGACGTTTTAGTTTTAGCTTAGATGAAAAAAAACGAGCTAGATCTTAGCGACTGAGGGACAGCACGTACGCGTGCGCGCGGCCAGCCAGCGTAAATTTCCGCACTAAGTTGGGTGCGAAGAGATTAACTTTTTTTCTGGAGTTACCAAAGTCCAGATACACCCAGACTTTTTGGCCATGTCGGCGTACCGCCCCAAGAGACAGATGCAAAGCGCTGTCAATGCGCCTGTTGTTATGCACGTGAAAGGAGTAAAGGCTATCGAAAAGGCGCGGGCCGAGGCTTTGTTGACCAAGTTTATTTCCACTTCAGAAGCCATCTCATCGGCGATAGTGGGATCCGAAGATCCCATTTTGTTTACAAACACGGGAATGGCGAGCGGTGAAGGAAGCAATCCCGTTTTGGGCCAGTTGAAACGTGTGCAAAGAGACTTACGTGGATTACCACCGCTTCTGTCTGAGCTCGACACTAAGAAGGAGGAGCCCGTGAGAAAGAAGATAAAGTTTGACGACGAAGGAAATGAGGAAGGGGATGCGAAAGAGGAAGCACAAGATGAAGAAATGGAAGAAGAGGAAGAGGAGGAGGAGAAGGAGGATGAGGAAGAGGAAGAGGAACAGAAGGAAGAGGCAGACGAGGACGAAGAGGATGAAATCAAAGAGCAGGAAGAGGATGAAGAGAAAGAACAGACGGATGACGAGGAAGAACAAGAACAGAAAGTGACTGAAAAGAAGGACAAGAAACACAAGAAAGATAAGAGGGACAAGAAGGAGAAGAAAGACAAGAAAGACAAGAAGGACAAGAAGGAGAAGAAACACAAAAAGGATAAGAAGGACTAACTGCATACCGCATCATCTGTATACTAGCATAGCAATGGAGCTACTTAAGCATCAATTACATCGTAGAGTCTACTTCACAGAATTACGTACTGCATACCAACACATGATTCCGGTGTGCACATATCTATAAGTAAACATAAGATACGCTTCTCTTTTCTGGGCCATGACCAGAGAAGACCAAAACGACGACATTTCTCATGGGAATCCCGAGAACTCGAATATGGAAGACACATTTATCAACAACAGTGATTATGAGCTTTCCGCAGACAATGCTCAATCTGCCAATGCGCTGGATCTGATTTCTGATGAATTCCACGACACGATGGACCATAATGGTGCCTTATTCCCACAAAGAAAAATGGAGGCCACAAACGCGTCTTTGACCCGTGTTCTGACGCCAGATTTGCAGCCAGACGGTAGCGCAGACACAAAGACACCTCAACCAGACGTTCTGCCACGCGTGTCAGAAAACCACAACAGCCAGGCTCTGGACGACATGGACTCGATGGCAAACTCGACAATGGTGGACGTGCAAGGGTCTCCGCAGCGGTCGCGGGTGAAGCGGCAGTTGAACGGGAACTCGGCCACGAAGACAGTTTTGAATCCTTCCCTCTCTCCTCGGAGCGACCAACCGCTCAACTTTTCACAGCAGCTGTCGCAGATCAACATTCTGTCTCCTTCCAAGAGAAGAGAGCGAGTGAACGAGATTCGTGGACTGGAACTGGCTCTGCCAGAGCCTCGGCTAGTTATCAACAGATTGGTTCTTACCAACTTCAAGTCGTACGCAGGCGTGCAAGAGATTGGGCCCTTCAACGCATCATTTTCCGCCGTGGTGGGGCCCAACGGTAGTGGGAAATCCAATGTGATCGACTCCATGTTGTTTGTCTTTGGCTTCCGCGCACTGAAGATGCGTCAGGGGAAACTCTCTGAACTTATACACAACTCTGAGGGCGGCCAGAAGCTAGATTATTGTCAAGTGGACATTCATTTCATGCATGTGGTTGATAACCCATCCGTACCTAATGCTGCAACAAAGATAGAAGGCTCAGACATTGTAATAAGCAGGCGGGCGACGAACACTAATGTCTCGCAGTACTTCGTCAATGGCAAGGCCAGCACATATACGGATGTGACCAACTACCTCCGTGGACAGGGTATTGATTTGGATCACAAACGATTTTTGATTTTGCAAGGTGAAGTCGAGTCCATTGCCCAAATGAAAGCAAAGGCCGAAAAGGAGAACGATGATGGCCTACTTGAATACTTAGAAGACATCATCGGTACAAGCAAATACAAACCTATGATCGATGAAAGTTTGGTGAAGGTGGAAGAGTTAAACCAAGCGTGCATGGAGAAGGAAAATCGCTTTGAGTTAGTGGAAAACGATACTTCTATGTTGGAGGAAAAGAAAACAGAGGCACTTCGGTTTTTGGAAATGGAAAAACGTCTCATTAACAAGAAGTCAATAAAGTACCAGTTGAAAATTAATCTGGTGCTGAAATCTTTGCACGAAGATGAGCGCCTAGCTACCGAGATTTCACAAAAGTTGGAAAGTGAAGTCGAAAAGAACAAGGAACTCAGCAATCAAGTAAATAAAACTCAAGAAGAAAAAGCCGCTTTGCAGAAAATTATATCTGGTATCGATGCTGAAATCATCTCTTTGAGTAAGAATGAGAAAAACTTGAAAGGTCAATCGGTGTCGCTTGAGGAGAAACTTAAAAACTTGATGAACAAAGCGAAAAAGATCGAAAAGGCAAAGCAGAACTCGGAATCTAATCTTTCATCTTCGACAATGAAACTTGAAAACCTTAAATCTGCCGAAGACCGGTTTAAGAAAGAGATGAGTGCACTAGAACTGTCACTTGAGGTAGAAAAGCAAAAACTTGGAGAGCTTCGAATGAAACTTACCGAAAAAACATCGCATTTTTCCAAGGAAATCGAGGAGATTCAAACAAAACTCGAGCCTTTTAATGATAGACTCAAAGAAAAAGATAGTGCCATAGAGCTTATACGGTCAGAGATCGAGATGTTGGAGAACCAGAAACGCAGTACAGAACTCAAATTGCGTGAATCATCACAACGGCTTCTGGATATCAAAAGAGAAGGTAAAGAGAAAGAAACGGAACTTGAGGCCTTAGAAACCAAGCTTAGTCACATAGAAGAACAAATTGTTTTGGGAGAAGAGCAATGCAGAAATTCAAAAAAGCAATTGGAGGCGAAAAGAGTGCGTTTAGCTTCAGCAAGACTGAAAACACAAGATGCTATCAGCTCTGTTGCAAGTGTTCAGAATAAGAACAAAGTTCTCACGAGCTTAATGAGATTAGCCAAGTCGGGTAGAATCGAGGGATTTTATGGGCGTCTCGGTGACCTCGGTCAGATTGATGACAAGTATGATATTGCTATATCAACAGTCTGCCCTGCACTAGATTCGATGGTCGTTGAAACAGTTGAGACTGCGCAGGCTTGTATTGATTACTTGAGAAAAAACAAGCTTGGATATGCCAATTTCATCTGTTTAAACAAGCTACGTCAATTTGACATGAGCCAAATCAAGACGCCCGGAAATCCAATGACAGTGAAGAGACTTTTCGATTTAATTGTTCCTGTGGATCCAAAATTTTTGCCTGCCTTCTACAGTAAACTATTCAACACATTAGTGGCAAGCAATCTTCATGAGGCGAAAACTGTTGCATATGGACCAAAGCGATTCAAAGTGGTTACCTTAGATGGGAAAATTGTTGACACATCAGGAACAATGTCTGGTGGTGGCAACCACTTTGCGAGAGGGGCCATGAAATTGCTGTCTAACGCTGTCATTCAAGAAAATCAGTTTTCAGAAGATGATATTGCGCAAATGCGGGAAGAGCTAAAGGGTATGGAGCTGAATGTTGAAAAGCTTAATCTTGAATGTCAGGAGATGGAAGCGAATCTTCGGCAGCTAAAGGACTTGAAGCCGGAAACCGAATTTGCAATCCAAAGAATTAAGCTTGATATTCAGCTGCTTGTCTCTGAAAAAAAGGAGGTTTCCGCTGTTTGCAAGCAACTTCTTGCCGAAAGAGAGAATGAAAGCGAGGAAAGTGAAGTGAATAAGAACATCAGAAGTAAAAACGAGGATCTCAAGGTTATCTCAAAGGAGAGAGAAGAACTCAAACTGCAAATGCTTGATTCTGAGACTAGAATTGCCTTCTTGGAAGAAAAAATTATGGAAGCTGGTGGTGTCGAGTTGAAATTGCAGAACTCTAAAGTAGATTCCATCAAACAGCAGATTGAAATCATCGTGGAGAAAACTTCTGGAGATCTCATGGCAATCAAGAAACTAGAAAGCGACATCAAAAGATTCACCAAGATTATTCACGATAGCCAGCAGGAGCGGTTGGAAAACGAGAAGGAAACAGAAGTGGTTCAAGAAGAATTGACCAAGAAGAAACGCCTGTTGATTGAAATTACAGTACAGTCCGAGAGACTCGAGGCACAGAAGAGCGAAGAAGAAGGGAAACTTGAAGAGCTCAATGATCATCTAGAGGAAATGATTGCCAAAATTAACGAATTTAAATCGGATGAGATTGAGCTACGGAATCAGCTTGAAAAAATTACCAGTGTGCTCAAGAGAAACAGACAGACTATTGCTGAAGCACAAGAAGCGTTGCAAAATTTAGTTGTACGTGATTGCACACCTTATATCGACTGGATGGCTGAAGAAGAGAGATCAAAGTACGCTGGAACTGATATCGACAGACTTACCGAAGAGGAACTTTCTTCCGTGGATATGAATGCTGTGGAAGATGAAATTGAAGAGCTCGACAATTATATGAAAGAAGTGAAAGTTGACATTGAAGTTCTCAAAGAGTATGGGCGCAAGAAGCAGGAGTTGGAGATGCGGCGTAACGAGCTAAATGAGTCTGTCGAACAAAGAGATCAACTCAAACAGCATTGCGAAGAGCTCAAGCGGAAACGGTTAGATGAATTCATGGAAGGATTCAACACCATTTCTCTCTCATTGAAGGAAATGTATCAAATGATTACCATGGGAGGAAATGCCGAGCTCGAGTTGGTGGACAGTCTTGATCCTTTTTCAGAAGGTATTTTGTTTAGTGTTATGCCGCCTAAAAAGTCTTGGAAAAACATCTCGAATCTTTCGGGAGGAGAGAAGACCTTGAGTTCCTTGGCGTTGGTGTTTGCTCTTCATAAATACAAACCAACTCCGTTGTATGTGATGGACGAGATTGATGCGGCGTTGGATTTTCGGAATGTTTCTATTGTGGCGAACTATATCAAAGAGCGAACTAAGAATGCCCAGTTTATTGTCATTTCATTGCGTAACAATATGTTCGAGTTGGCCCAGCAGCTAGTTGGAATTTACAAGGTGAACAACCGCACGAAAAGCATTTCGCTCCAAAACAGGGAATTGATCGGAGCAAAGTAATTACTAATATATTTTAAATTTCAAGGTTGAAACCGCAAAGCTAATCGTAATTATGACACTATTTCTGTTTTTATATCGTGGCACGGGAAGACTTGATAGAATTAAATTCATTACACTATTGATTTGGCAGAACTGTAATAGATAAGAATCCTCTAACAGCCTTCGGCTAACAATTTTCAGACTGTGGACTAGAACTTGACACTGTAAGATTTAACATCTGGGGTTTGCAAGCAGAAGCTGGCATGTCCTAAAAAACCCTACATCATTTCGAAATACCGACTGAATAATACAATCGAGAATGTAATAAATAATTAGACAATCTGAAAAAACTCTCTTGACTCAAGAGATTGCTCGTGGGTCAACTTTCTCAATCAATTTAGAACTGTCAGACCACCACCAAAACTCGTCAAACGTGAGGTTCAGAAGAAACAACAATTGGCCTCTATAATACAGTCGATAGACTGAGCCACATAAATACACCAGTCTGGGGGGAAAAGAATCTGCAGAGCTCTCCTTCGACAATCCTGCAGTGTCCTTGTATATGCCACTGTGATAATCTTGCCCCCATCGCTCACATCTTCTCCTCCCTTTCTTCCCTCGTTGCCTTTCTCTTTTCCCTCTCGTCTTTCCAGGGAATCTCTTCGCGCACGCCAAAATCCACGTCGCCGCGGCGCTTCAAATCAAACCTCTGGTCAAACCATTCCACCATATCAACCCAGCAAGAGATGTCACCAAACTCACGCAAATAGCGGCGCAGAACCAACTGCTCCATCATCTGGGCCAAGTGATGCTGGGCCACGCGGAAAGGCAAGCCGTAGGAGGCGGCCAAATCGAAAAAGTGTTCGACGGCGCCCCAAGGTGGGCGCGCGCGCCCCGAGAAAAGCGCCGGGTTGGCCAAAATGCCTCGCACCGCCATGACGCCGTCGCACCCGGTTTCGCGCGCCATGCGCCGCGCGTCCTCGAGCGAAAAACAGTCGCCGTTGGCCACCACAGGAACAGACGCCGCCTTCTTCACCTCGGCAATGGCGGCCCAGTTGGCCGGCTGCGACAGCCTCGTCGTGCGCGTGCGGCCGTGCACGGTGATCCAGTCCACACCCGCCTCCTCCACCAACTTGACCCACCGAAGTGTTTCTTGGAGATCGGGATGGATGCGGATTTTCGTCTCGACAAGCACGCGCGCACCGTACTTTTCTTTCACGGCGCGCACCATCAGCGCCACGTTTTCCGGCTGCGACATGAGGGCGGCGCCGATCCCCTCGCGAACCTGGTCGCGGATCGGACACCCGCAGTTGAGCCCGATCGCGTCCACATGCTCGTGGATGAGATCGACAAATCGCACAAGGTCCTGTGCGTTGGAGGCGCCCACTTGCACCACAAGCGGCGAGTCGCGCGAGTTGGTGGAAAAATCGGTGGCGCGCGCCGTGCCGTTGCGCACAAACTCTCGGGCGAGAATCATAGGGCTGTAGACCAAGTCTGTGTTGTAAAGGCGCACAAGCTCGCGGAAAGGGAGCTTGGAGTAGCGGACCATGGGGCCGGCAATGTACGCGGGGCGGCCTTCAGCGCGGCACGCGGCGAAAATGTCCAAGGGAGAGTGTCTGGGGCGTGAGCTTGGCGCATGCGCGGCCGAGTCTGTACGGGCGGTTTGGGCGGGCGCCTCACACTTTGCTGCGTTCATGGCTGTAAAACTTTGTGTAGCAAAAGTCTATTGTGAACCACAAAGACGATGGTTCTAAAGGACCGAGAAACGAAACTTAAAAATAAATATTGTCTGCTGGCTCAGTTTGTGAACAGACAGTTGGGAGATCGTTTGTAGATCGGTAGATTAGTAGATCGGATTAGTAGATCTGTAGGCTAATAGATCAGTGGATTAGTAGATCTGTAGTTTGGTAGATTAGTAGATCTGTAGTTTGGTAGATTAGTAGATCTGTAGTTTGGTAGATTAGTAGATCAGTGACCAGTTAGTAGATCAGATCAGATCAGTTGGCAGATAGGATATGTCCTCTTAGATAGCGATCGTGTGGACAAACTAGATTAGCGATCGTAAATATGATAAGCGAGTTGGAGTTGGTTGTATCAGATATGGCGTCCCAGTTATGGTGCTTCAAAGTTCGACTGATAAGCGAGAAAACGTCCAATCCGGTCTTTTCTTTTATCTTTATTTGCCGCCGCTCCGATTTCTTCCTATCTACAGTTCAGTGATGAGGATATTCCGCAGAGGTACGGGTTTCTACTCGCTTCTCTTTTAATGTTTCGTTCATTTATCTTCCTACACCTTCTCCGTCCCGTCATTCATGCTATAGTACACGCTATATTACACGCCACGTTCGTGGCCTTACTCCTCCTCCGACGATTCCGACAGCAAGTCGTCCTCTGACGACTCCTGCGCAGGAATAGCATTGAGGTCAAATCCGCCCGCAGGCAGACCCCGCTCGGCATCGTCAAAGAGCTGAAGCTGCGACCGCAACTGCTCCAATTGGTCAATGTTGCCCGACGAGTACTGCGACTTCTTCGTCTTCTTCATTGCGTGCGAGGCAGCCTTCTTGCCAAACAAAAAGTTGTAGAGCTTCAAAACAGTCCGGTCTTCCAACTGGTCCATGTCCAACTCCACCTCTTCCTCATCGCTAATGACAACATCATCTTTGATGATTTTGATCAATGCTTGAAGCTTCTTGTCATTTAATGTAGGCACAATCTCACTCACCTGCTTCTTCATCTCATATGTCACCACTGGCTGACTCTCGACACCAGCCTCCGCAACTGAGCTAGACCGTGCCTTCTTGGCCTTCTTAGACTTCCTCTTCTTCCGCTTGGCGTCGCGTTGCTCGCGCAATTTTTCCAAGTGTTGTTTTTTCAACTCGTCAAGTTCCTTCTTCATACGCACCAACTGGTTCTCCAAGAACTGGATTGCCGGAATGTTGGACAACATCGCCTCGTTGATTTCTGGTTCATCGTCATCATCATAATCGCTTGAGTCTTCATTCTCGCTATGTGTTGGGGTGGCTGCAGGAACAGGCTTGTTAGCCCATTTCTTGTCAAACACCTGCTCGAGTCGCTGACCCATTGAATGCACATCATTACCCTCTGGATTGAAAAGGTAACAGTTCTTAAACACTAAACGCACGTCCTTCTCAAACTCATCACCATTTTCATACTGATTGTTTGCAAGTTTCGTTTGAATAGATCCAAGATCCATAGGCTCCTTGACAATGTCAAAATAATTTGGAATGTTGAGTGCGACCGGGTCAACTGGTTGCAAGAAGGGAAAGTTGATTGAATAAAACTTCTTTGACATCAACTCCTTGATCACCTGGTTGCAGAAGCGCAACTCAACCGCATACTTCTTTTTGCGTGGTCTTACATCGTATGGTAATTCCTTAGATCTCGGAGGATGAATAGTTCTTTTGGGTCTGTGTGCGGCCACCGATTCCTTCTTATCATCGCCAACCACGTTTCTTCTCCTTACATTGGCGTTTGCCACAGAAGCAGCTCCGTTGCCAACCATAACCTTTGGTGGGATATTAAGCATATGCTTTTCAAACTGCGCTTGAATGTTCTTAGCCATGCGAGAAATGCCAGAGTTCTCTCCATTGAAACGGAGACAATTGCTCACCATGAGATTAAAATCATCAACAACCTGCAGTGGGTCCTCGTACGCATTGAGATTAAGTTTTCTTTCGATTGTAGAAAGGTCCATTGGTCGCTTGATATAGTTGTAATACAAGGGAACATTCAACTTTACGACATCAACGGGATGCAAAAAGGGCCCAGCGTCTCTTAACCTCTTGATGGCCTTGATGGTGTTGAGCACAAACTTGGCCTGGTGCTTAGGCATTGGCGTCTCAGGAAGATTATTCATGTCTGGCTCAGTAGGAGGCTTTGGCGCGGGAGTGAGATCCGAGTCTGCGCCATTGGCAGGTGGAACAGCACCATCTTCCACAGGCTCTTCAGTCTTTTGCTTCTTGGCCTCGCCATCCTCCACATCTTCATCTTCTAGCTTGTGCTTTTCAGGAGAAGGGGATGGGTTTGGAGGCGAGAGAGGCTTCTCTGGAGCTTCAGACGCGCTGGTCTCCGGCTGTGGAGAGCGGAGCATTTCGCTTTTCTCAAAAGACTCTGCCGAGGGCGTTTGGACAGGGGTGTTTGTTTCTGGAACGGGCTGAGCCGGGGCCTCAGACATGACTGTGCGATTCTTCGAGCTAAGCTGGATGCGAAAGAAAATGTACGCACAGGGTCACGTGCAGATAACACCTATAGCCAAACAGGAGTGTTCTCAAGGAAACAAAAGAAAAGACCCTCGAAAAAAAAACAAAAAACACCTGTACACCGTATACTAGTTCAGCCAATCAGTAGAAGTTCACGTGGACTGAGGGCGTGCAGATAGCGGGCGCGGGTGTCAAGAGAAAGGAGAAAATGCAAAAAAAAATGCGATTTTTTTCCCCAGTGATACCGGAAATCCCAGTTTATTTATATATTTCGCGCTTTTTGCTGGCGCGACTCCCTCAACGGACAGTTACATCGTCGAAAGTCGGTCGGCGCACATCCTCTACTGCATACACGCACAACATCCCTGGTCATTGGCAAGCGCTTTGCCACCAGAGTCATGCAAAGGTTTCTCTTTGGCAACTACCTTGGCTGCTAAATCTTGTGTTTGCCCCCAGCAGAAACTAATAGTTTCTTCTTTCTGGTGCCACGCCTGTTTCGCCGTGGCGCCAGTTTTAATGCGCTATTGAATGACAATTAAATGTAGCAACATTACTGGCTGTGAAAATGGTGGCGGCACGTCCGGAAGAAAAAAAAAACAACAATTTTTCCCACGCTTCATACCCGAAATAATCAGTTCTGATTGCAAAGCTTGAAAGACAAATAGCAATACTACTAGCTGTGAGTTTTGTCAACAAAAAATCAATTCATTTGGGCATTTTCTTGAAGAATATAGGGGTTGGGAACAAAAAGGGAGGCAAGTTTTTTTTTGCGGTCCTCTGCGTATAGAAGGGCGGGTAACCTGTATTTGCATACGACGGCTATTTCTGAATTTTTTTTTTAATTTTTTTTTTCTCAAACTGACCTTTTTGGCCAATTATTCTTTCGCGTCTCCAAATTTACCAAAAGAACAATTGCGCGAATGAAACGAAAAAATACAGATGTACGGGTGCTAATACTCTTATGGTACAGTATACATATATAATACAGGCGGACTCATCTGAAATGAGTCTTAGAGGTGGATGGTGAGTAAGTCGTTGGAAGCAAAACCCTTGTTGCAAGTAGGACATCTTCTGAGCCGAGCGGCAAGCCGGTCTTGGACGCAGGCCTCACAAAAGACATGTCCACATGCGGTGATGACAGTATTCTTCCAGTTTTTGGAACACACGGAGCATTTCGTGATAGAGCGGAGGGCTTCCAATTGTTTCTGGTCTTCCTGGAGAATCAGCGAAGTGTTGTTCAGCCTATACTTTTGCAACAAGCTTTCTGTAGATTTGAGACGGGCCTCCAACTTGCTCTCGTTAAGACGTTTGGACTTGAGCTCGTCGAGGAGTTCATTCTTTTCCCGGCGCACAGTTTCCAAGTCACTTTTGAGTGCTGCTTTTTCCTTGCTGGCGGTTTCCCTGCCTTTGGTCATTTGTTTGAGTGCCTCTTGTAACTTGACGTTCTCATGAAGAGCATTTTCTTTAATCACTCGGTAATCATTAATGCTTTTCGTCAAGACATCAATCTTGCCCACGTAGGTTTTCTCCAAGTCATTGAACTTTGCCACCAATTCCTGTGACTTGGCCGTCTGCGTCTTCAAGATTTTATTTTCAGCCACCAAGGAATCTTTCAAGCGCATGCTGGCAAAGTACTTTTGGTCTGCCTTGTTCTTTTCTATCGTCAATTTTTTAACCAAACTTTCGTGATCGACCAAGTCCTTCAATTTTTCTAATGCCACAGCACGAGTATCCTGGAAAGCTTGCTCCACTTCCTTCACTTCTTCACCTAAGATTTGTAGTCTCTTCACAAGTTCGCCTTTCTCCAACTTCTCTAAGGCAGCATCTTGTTGCATGTTGCGCTCATCTTGCCGCGTCTTTTCAAGTTCGCCAAGGCGTCGACTCAACATTTGATTCAATTTATTGAGTTCCTCATTTGTTTTCTTGTTTTCCATTTCCAGCTTTAAAATGGCTTGTTTACCCAAAAGCTCATCCCTAGCAGCACGAATGCGAACTAAGTCATTCTCGCTCTTGCTGAGGCTTTCCTTCAATCGAGTGTTTTCCTCTTCAAGCTCTTTGTTTACCAACGCTATTAAATTTCCTTCTCTGCTTTCAAGTTCCCGAATGCGCTGAACCAAGTCGTCTTTCAACCGTTCCGACTGGGCAAGATTCTCCGCCAAAAACTTATTCTGGCTCACAACAGACGCGTAACGCTCATTCTTGTTCAAATCATCTTCACTAAGAGATGCTAGGCGCAGCTCAAGATCAGAGCCTGACTTTTCTGTTTCGGCCAACTTCTGCGTGATTTCATCGAGTTGTGATTGCAACGAAGAGAATGCAGCCTTCATTTCTGCGTGCTCCACAGTCAATTTCTCGAACGCTTCCTTTTCTGCTGTTGTTTGTGCCTCGGCCTTCTTTGTCTCCTCTTGAGCCGATCCGTTGGCTTGCGACCCGTTCCCGCGGGGCTCAGGCTCATTGCTGGTAATGCGGCTGTTTTCCAAAATCCGTTTCAAAGTGGCAGACTCTCGCCTGTCTTTCTCCTTCTGCAAATTCTGGATGTGGGCCCGAAGGGTGTCGACTTCCTGTTGCGCAGCTTCTTGAAGTTTTATTGCTGCATCCCGATCAGCCGCAAGCTTCACCGCGTCTAGAACACGCTCCATGCCCTCATCAGATGCGGATGCAAGTGGCTGCAACAACTTTGCAAGGAGCTGGCGTCTTTCATCCAAAACAGCGTCAATTTCAGCCGAATCTGCAGCCAAATCAAGTGGAGGTGGCGACTCGTGCTTCGAAATGGCAACAACCTGGCGGTACCACGACTCCAAAAGCAGATGCACAGCTATAAACGCCTGGAACCGCCTTTCGTGTTTGGACACCTCAGCCGCCAACTCGGCAGCCTGTAACTTGTAGAAACGCATCTGGCGCCAGATGGCTTCCTTCTTGAAATACACCACATCTTGCTGGGTCAAAGGCCCGTCTTCGCTAAGCAGGTCGAGCGGCTTCTTTTCAGGAACCAGCCGCTTTGCTTGGGTTTCCCCTTCTGTATCTTCCAAAGAACGTTTTCTGTCTTCCATATTACAGCAAAAGGCACAGAAAACAGCGATGGATGTGTGTCTCGCAAAGAAAACTGGCGGAAGAAAACTGATGGGAGAAAGTGTTTTCTGGCTGGTGATATTTTTCGGCCTTGGGTGCGTTTAGAGCGCGGCACGACCATATCCAAGAGGAGAACCAATGGTCATAATTGAAAGCTGAAAGCTAGGAAAGCCGTTTTTATGATAGACAGTAGATTAATTTGACTCTGCTCGAGTAAGGACGATCCATAGTTTTCTAACAGGAGCTCTAGTGTGAGAGAATCGTGTGGTGAAGAAGGAAAAGTGCAGTACAGGACAGTATGAAGTACCCAAACAAGGAAGTATGGAAACGGAAAAGGAATGAAAAGGAATGAAAAGGATTGGAGAAAGAATGGAAGGAATTGGAAAATGGAATGGAAAAAAGAATAGAAGAATGGAGGATCAGTATTGCTAGGCCTGAAGATCTTCACATGGCTAGGGAGGTACGGGTTCATAGACCCCATGGATTACCATCAAGACAAGGGACAAAAGGGTTTTGTGGGTCTGTCGTATGGCTTGTCAAGTGGGAAAGATGCATTATTTGCCATGCCCAAATCTGCCCGAGTTATCGCTATTCGAAAAGAAGAACATGTCGGAAGCAGCACCTTTCACTATTTAGTCGCGGTTCCAATGCCTTACGCAGTTTGTTAAGGTCATTATTGTAGGATCATTGTGACAAAATGGAGAATAAAAGCTAACCTGGTATCATTAAAAGTGGCAGGCGGCAATGAAGATCGAATAGTACGGCACGATTCATGGCCCAAATTAGTCGCACTAATTGCCTCCGCACACATGAAGTACTGGAAAGGTAATAGGACCGGAAAAGTGAAGAAAACGAAGAAGTTGAAAACTGTACAGAACAAAACATGGCCCTTGGAATCCAGAAGCAACGGTATTCAGTAGAAAATTGAAATCTAAATCGTTGGGAGTTGTTTTGAGTCATTTTTGAGAAATACTCCACAATGCGAATTGGTTTACACTACCAGTTGTATTCAGAATCTAACACATTGCAATTTTCTGCCTTATATTGATTTCCTTAGGGAAACAAAGTCTAAATTAAGGCAACCAAGAGATAGCCAATGAAGTAAAAAAATGCAGTTTTTGAACCATTGCTCCTCTGGAATAGAAAGGGCGCAATTAGTAGAAACAGAAGTTAATCGATTAAAAGAGAAGACCCGGTTATTTTATTTCTATAACCGTTCTGGTTAGTCCCACGATTAGAATTCAACTTCAAACTGTGAATACAGATGTGAGAGAAACTAGAGCATACATTTTAGCTTCAACATTTATAATACTACACCAGCTTCTATTTAATTGGAATTGCAATTAGAGCAACTACTGCGAAGTCAAACAATGCTTTATCCACAAAGTTACAATCCACGTTCGGCTATTTCTATTCTTTACTCGTTTTAACCATTGCAATCACCTTCTGACTTATATTCTGCTACATTTCTGCACTTTCCTACACTTCTGCACTTTGTCCAACCTTTCTGCATTTTCTCCACGATTCCTCACATTTCTCTAAATGGTGCTGAACTTTTCAATTATCAGCAACAAAACTGATCCAACCTTTCAAACCCTTACATAGAACATATTCAAAATATGTGATCTCCAGTTGCGTTGTCTTTTCCATTCTCAGTATCATAATCTCGCATACCTTCACACTATAATCGCACAATTGACCTTTTGTCATTTATACTCCACTTCATGAATCCCGTTGCCCTCCTTTTTTTTTCTCTTCTCTGGGCCCGGGTCTTCGCCGTGAAAGAGTACCTTTTCAAAAACTGCGCTCAATCCGGTTTCTGCCACCGCAATCGCCATTTGGCGACCCAGAATTTCGAAAGTCCATACTTCGTTGATCCAGCATCCATTGTCCACGAAAATGGCTCTGTGGCAGGAACAATATACAAAAAATTGCCTCTGAATGACGTGGTGGCCTTACCCTTTGATATTTCCTTGCTTGTGGGTGATAGCGTACGCTTTCAGATTGACGAAAACAGACAGCCTACCGGGCCGGCGCTGAAGTTGAATCCAAGGCGATTCCGAGCCGCTGAGACTGCGTTTGACGGCCCTGAAAACGAGAAACAACAAGTGCTTTCCAAAGATCAAGTCAGTGTGCTGGATAACGGCATTGTGCTTGTTTATGGCCCAGACAATGAGTTCTCCGCCCGTCTTGACTTTGCACCTTTGAAGTTGGCTGTTTCTCGCCACGGGAAGGTCCAGGCAGTTTTTAATGCCCGAAAATTGCTCAATATCGAACACTGGCGGCCGCAGAAGGAAAACTCGGCCCACTTGTGGCCCTACGAGTCCGAATTTGACATGTTTTCCGACTCCTTTGGCGACCTGCGCGACGACACCAAACCGTTTGGCCCAGAATCGGTCGCTGCAGACGTCAGGCTTATCGGCTTTGACCATGTGTTTGGGCTTCCGGAACATGCTGACCTGTTCAGCTTGAAAGACACTACGGATTCAGAATGGCCGTACCGGCTCTACAATGTGGACATTTTCGAGTACGAAACAGAGTCCCGCATGCCCATGTATGGCTCGATTCCTTTATTGGTTGGTGTCAAGCCCGATGCCGCCGCAGGCATATTTTGGGTGAATGCCGCAGACACTTTTGTGGACATCAAAAAGGGACACTCCAACACTGACAAAGATGCGGAAAAAAGCAAGGGCCACCATTCTTTGGTCGACACACACTGGATGTCTGAAACTGGAACTGTGGACATCGTCATCATCTTGGCAGCGACACCAGAAGAAATCAACGCCAAGTATGGCCAGTTGACCGGCCACGTTTCGCTTCCGCAGGAGTTTGCTTTGGGCTACCACCAATGCCGCTGGAACTACAACGACGAGAAAGATGTCTTGGATGTCCATGCGCAGATGGATGCCCATGGCGTCCCTTACGACACTATCTGGCTTGACATCGAGTATGCCGACAAGAAAAAGTACTTTACGTGGGACAAAGAAGCATTCCCCGACCCGGAGGGGATGGCGGCCGAGTTGGCCCGAACGGGGAGAAACTTGGTGGTGATTGTGGACCCACATTTGAAAACAGGCTATAGTGTGAGTGAAGGCGTAGAGAAGCTTGGTATTTCGATTAAGGACCGGGCCAACTCCACTTTCAAGGGCCACTGCTGGCCTGGCGAGTCTGTGTGGATCGATGCAATGAACCCGAACGCCCAAGCATACTGGGATGAGCTTTTCCTGCCCGGCAGCGTTCTTCTTGGAGCAACATCGAACGTTCATCTCTGGAATGATATGAACGAGCCGTCTGTCTTCAGCGGACCAGAAACCTCCATGCCCAAGGACACACTTCACTGGGGAGATTTTGAGCACAGAGCTGTACACAATGCTTGGGGCCAGCGGTTCCACGAACTTACTTTCGAGTCGCTTGAGAAACGCACACAATACAGCAAGCGGCCGTTTATTCTCACACGTTCGTACTTTGCGGGATCCCAGCGCTCGGCTGCAATGTGGACAGGCGACAACATGGCCCGCTGGGAGTATCTTCGGGCGTCGTTGCCCATGGTGCTTACTTCCAACGCCGTGGGAATGCCTTTCGCCGGAGCAGACGTGGGAGGATTCTTTGGCGACCCGTCGAACCAATTGCTCGTGCGGTGGTACCAGACTGGGCTCTTCTATCCGTTTTTCCGGGCTCACGCTCACATCGACTCCAGAAGAAGAGAGCCATGGATTCCAGGCGAACCGTTCACGTCGCACATCCGAGATGCGGTACGTTTGCGCTACCGCTTGTTGCCTACGCTCTATACGCTTTTCCACGACGCCAGTGTAACAGGAAGTCCCGTGTGGAGACCTATGGTTTGGGAACATCCAGACTCCGATTGCTATGATGTCGAGGATCAGTTTTATCTTGGGCAATCGGGCCTTCTTGTGAAACCGGTGACTGAGGAAAACGCCAACAGCGTCGACATTTTCTTCCCTGCTAATGAACGTTATTACGACTTCACCAGTGGACATGTGGCTGATGTGCCACCTGTCGCTTTATCTGAAGCAGGAAAGCTTTCGCGCACAGTGTCGCTCGAAGACATACCGATGTATGTGAAGGGTGGTTCTGTGTTTGCCTTGCGTGATCGGTACCGGCGCTCGTCCAAGCTCATGAAGGCTGATCCGTTCCACTTGGTTGTGGGCTTGGATGCAAACGGTGTGGCTTCGGGGAAGTTGTATCTCGACGACGGAGAGTCGTACGATTATAAGAACGGTCAGTACACTGAAACCAAGTATGAGATGGTGGCAGGTCAGTTGAAGAGCCAGGTGAATGGCGATCCAAACTATGCTCTACTGCTGAGTCTTCGTATTGAGAAGATAACCATCTTGGGCGCTCAGGATATCAGCAGTATCGAGGCGAAACAAGACGGCCGTCTGTGGTCTGTGGAATTTGTTCAGCACAAACATTATGTGGAGATATTGAACCCACGAGTCGGAGCTGCAGCAAATTGGACCATCAATGTGGTGCATATGCCAAGACATGAGAAAGACGAACTCTAGAAAAAGAATTAGAGTCCGGAAGACAGTGGTCAGATCGGAGTATCCAGGTTGGTCATGCGTTCCATTAGAGCCAATTAAGTGGTCACTCCAGGGTTCATGTTTCAGCTTTTCACAGCAGCCTAGAACTTGAGGAGTGCTTCCACAATTCTGAATCGTCCATCTTCTGATAAATTGCCTGTCTCAGGTGTGTAAATACAGACTATATCAGAGCCAGCAGGAAATAGGCTCGATATTCAACCTATGCCTATAGGTGGAGACACCGTACCTAGTATTTCTTTTTGCAGACGCAGCTTGAAAACAGGGCCAGTACGGCTTCGACGAGAGCAATTAAGCGGAATGATCCAATGAACAGCCCCCAGTAACTACGTCTAGCCTCCTGCTAAATGCTTTAGACTGATTGGACGGCACATGGAACAGTTTGTCCATCAGTGGAAGTCCCTTCCCAACAATGAGCCATACGGCAATGTGAACGAGATAGGGAAATAGCGGCCCGATGCAAGGTAGAGTTGGCCTCGACGCATTGTTTTATTTCCTTCAAAGCATGTATAAGCGCTGGTGTGAGATGCGTAACGGCGAAATAATAAAGTTGCCCATGCGTCAAACGAGAGCAAGAAAAAGAAAGAAAAGAAGGGGACCGGCGGAAGAGCAAGCAGGAAACAATGACACATGTCGAATAACGATTGACTAGCCGGGAAACTAAGCTATTGAAAGAAGGGAGAGAAGAAAATTTACGCATGATTCTGCGACGTTGCAAGACAAATCCATGACTTTGCTCGATACGGACACCTGATTTACGCCGAGATGAATACGATGCAGCGCACCTCAGACTAAATGGCAGATGCTTACGTCATTGCTAGCACAAACAATGGCAGTTTGACCATGAACAATACAAATAGGTGCAGTTTGGAGTTCGGGCGCATTTTAGAGCTGTGGCATGCGGTGGAGACTTTTCTCCGAGGGGATTGGCGCGGCGCAGAACAAAGACCGCGCGGGCTAGGCATGGGATTATGCTCGTGCGCCGGCGAGTTTGGGCGACGGTGCCTTTTATGGGGCGGACCGGCGGCCCCAATGTGGGGCAGACGGCGCGGGGTTTCGGCGCATAGGCCGCTTCGCCCCAAAATAGCGCGCGGACACACCAAGGTGCGGCGCTGCCTGGGCTAACTCTGGCCGCAGGCATGCCAATATAGTTAAGCTTTCGCTAGTGATTGCACAAGACATGCTTCGGTGCCTGTCGTTGTGCATGGTGCATTGTCAATTCTGCACTGGAATTGTCAGAGGATGTCAGCGTCTGAAAATATAAGGTCAGCGACTGAAAATTGGAGTCAGCGTCTGAGAATTGGATGTTAGTGTCAGTCATTCGGTGATCGGTAGATGATTGGTCGGATGGTGGTGTTGGTGGCGGTTGTCGGCCAATCTTCGATGTCTTACTGTCTTCGATGTCTTCGATGTCTTCAGTCTTCAGTCTTCACTGATGTCTTCAGTCTTCACTCATGTCTTCTCGCGAACTTCTGCTGCCCGCTCAGTTTCTCCATCGTCCGTCGTTATCGCTATCAGCGCCCAGTCCAGCAGGAACGTAATACACCAGCCATTGTCATATTGTGTAGTCTATTTCGCAGTCTCAGCCTCTCCATTCTACTCGGCCCGAGCGGCTGCATTCTTCCCGGCCGCCTGTCATGCTCCACCAGTCTCACCATTCTCCATTCTCCGTTCGCTCTGCCTCCTTGCTCTCCCGTCGTCGCCTGCACTTTTTCCCTCCAGCGGCCTCCTCTCCTACATTCCCGTGGCCATTCCCCCCGAACTCGCCGTTTCTACACCTGCTCTCCCATTCCCGGCCTAAACGCCACCGCCCGAGATCGCACACGAGCCCGCGCCGCAAAGCCTGCCGCCCATTGTTCTTGTTTCGTATATGGCGCTTGCCAGCGTGGACAGGGTCAATCTTCTCCTGCAGCAGAGTGCGGCTTCGGTGCAGCACCTTTATAGGTTGTCGTTCTGGCTCACTTAGACATCACCGTTCCCATCACACCCAAACAGCACAAACACAAAAAGACACCCACGCCGGCGCCAGAATAGTTTGAGAACGCACCAACACAAACCCGGCCCACACACTGCAACATCCGCCCCTCTAGCCGGACCCCGAAACGTCACCCTGTGCCGATTAGCTCTGGATTCTTCTCCATCTAGTGCGCTTCTTCTCTTTCGGCGGCAACACCTCCATCCACGGTCTGCTGCGGCCCGCCCGAGTACACAACCACACCTTAGCCCAGCATGGCGACGCGCAAAGACGACACTGGCGGTCTGAACGACTTTGTCAAGAAACTCTTCACCATGCTTTCCGAAGACCGCTACTACGACGTTGTGCGGTGGACGGCCGGCGGCAACAGCTTTGTGGTGCTCAACACCAACGAGTTCACCAAGGAGATCCTCCCGCGGCACTTCAAGCACAGCAACTTTGCCAGCTTCGTGCGCCAGCTCAACAAGTACGACTTCCACAAGGTCAAGATCTCCACCGAGGAAAAACGCAGCTACCAGTACGGCGACGACGCCTGGGAGTTCCAGCACCCGGACTTCCGCAAGGACGACCGCGACGCCTTGGACAACATCCGCCGCAAGGCCCCGCTCAAGAAGGATGCCGCCTACGAGGCCAACCCGCACTACGACGCCCAGCTTCTGCTGCTCCGCACAGAGCTTCTGAACGTCCAGGCCGACCTCCGTACGCTCAGCGACAAGTACCGTGCGTTAGTCGAACTGATGGTGGCCGTCAACTCCTACAACGAGCGCCAGTACCGCTCCATCGGCGTCTTGGTGCATTGTCTCAACCAGGCGGGCATCAAGATCCCGCCGCTCGACTTGCCCAGCCCCAACTTGCTTGGGCTCGTGCTGCCGCCGCGCGCGGTGGACAAGCCCGTGAAACTGGAGCCCGAGCTCGAAAAGACCGCAAGCTTGCACACGCTGCCCAAGGCGCCGCAAGGCTCGGCCCAGCCCCACAGCGGGGGTGCGCCGCCTCTGCAATCGTCGTCTGTGCCTCCCCACAGCGGGGCTGTCCAGCCTCAGGCGGGCCCCGCCGGTCCCCACAGCGGGGTGCAGCCTCATGGCGGCGCCCAGACGTCAACTCCGTCGGCGCCCGTGCTGTTTGAGCCCGTAGACGGCAGCACGCCCAAGTTCCATGTGTTGCTAGTGGAGGACGACAATGTGTGCATCCAGCTCTGCCGCAAGTTTTTGATGAAATACGGGTGCCAGGTGACGGTGGTGACAGACGGACTAAATGCCATTTCCACGGTCGAGCATACAAAGTACGACTTGGTGTTGATGGACATTGTCATGCCCAACTTAGACGGCGCCACTGCCACCAGCATCATCCGCCTGTTTGACACCAAGACCCCGATCATCGCCATGACCGGAAACATCCAGGATAACGACTTGGTGACATATTTGCAGAACGGCATGCTGGACATCTTGGCCAAACCCTTCACAAAGGACGACTTGTACCTGATTCTCAGCAAGCATCTTTTGGCATCGCCGAAAAACTTTGAGCAGCCCGGTGAGTTCCAGCTTCCGTTGGAAGAAGGCATGTCCCAGCCCATGGAAATGCCCATGCAGCCGCTTCTGCCCATAAACCAGCCCATAGCCCAGCCCATGGGCCAGCTGATTGCTCGTCCTATCATGGAGCTAGAACAGCCTACAAAAAAACAACGAATGCAGTGATCATAATCTTGGAGTCAAGCTCTTTGTGACTAGAAGTTTTTGACTACTCGTATTCAGCTCTTGATAGTACGAGCATTCCAGAATGTGTCAAGGATCCTTTGGTTTGTCGCATAAGGCACTCTACATTGTGGAAATAATCGGAACGACTTCTTTCAGTGTTGCTGTCAGCTCAGCTTTCATTTTTTTAAGAGTATACTGCTTAGATGGTCTATGGTATTTCCTTGATTAAAGGGTCCACCCAGAATCCTCTGTTTCTTGTCAGACTCACATGAGTCTAGAAGAACATGAATGCCGCTTATGCTATTGCCATGTTGTACCTCCTGTTGAGGTGTGAAATTTGCAACGGTGATGGTTTTACTTATTCCTCCTCTTGTCTGCCAGCGTCAAACCTGCCAGCTTTCATTTTATTCTAGACACGGCCAATTGGTCAGTGGTGTATCCTGTCAGATGGCTTGTTCGCACATGTCGTTTCAAGCAAGGCCGCAGTTCTAGCTCTATGTGGTTTGGCTACCTGCGGCTCATTAAAACAGTAGCCATCTTTCTTATCCGGATTGTGGATTTTGTTTCCTCTGACTTCCATCCATCTCAACCAGCTATTATACTCTCAGTTTTCCTTTTTTGAACCTATCGCCTCAAAAGATTTGCTACTTTGTGGCATGGAGAGTAACACTTGGTTGTACTTTTCGGATCTTCAAATTAGAGACGGTGATACCTCCTTCCGAACCACTTGTACAGCGTCCCAATGCGGGGGTAGTCTCGTCTCTAGCGCGTGTTTTCATTCTCTATCCATAGCTATATACTAATCCTATTTTACTATGTCTTTCCCACGATGATATTTAATGCCAAATCGCTGAAGGAGTCTTTCCAGGCCTCCGATGCAGAGCATTCAAGTCGCTTCACAACAACCAGCTCAAAATATGCCAGGTCCACATCATATTCTAATACGGGCTCCACGTACACATTCTTGCGCTTCCGTCTCCGACCAGCAACGCGAAACCCGTCCGCTGATGACCCATGATCATGATCTGTTGTTTTCTCTTTATGCAATTTTTCGTCTTCTGATGTACCTGATTTGCCCGCTTCTTTCCCATCCTGATCACTAAGAACTGTCTTCTTTTCATCCTTCACTGCCACATGCACTAATGTTGCCAATGTAGGGTACTCTGCGAGGAAGCGAGCCTTTCCCAAAGTGCCCATTGTCACGGTCACGTCATTTCCCAAGATCCATCGGGGTTGAATGGTAGCAATAAATTTATCAGTCACGCTGCGCGGCGCATGTGGCATGTAGTATAACGTAGCACTGGCATCGTCGTCTTTTGAAACGTCTGCAATGCGGTAGCCAAGAACCGATTCCAAGAGATGAGCATCATTCTCGTCGAACACCGGGTCATACACCAGCACCTGTGCTGTGGCGAATTTCTTAACCAAGAGTTTCAAGAAGGCAAGTTGATATAGCGCCTGGAACTCCTTTGTGGGCGAGCCAAGGGCCAAACAGTGGATGTGATTGAAACCAACATCTTCTAGAACAGCTAAAGACCGCGAAAAGAAGTCTGAGTTGGCGAGAATGGCCTCCCGCTGACTCAATCGTAGCTGCACGGCGTCAAGAAGCTGTGTGTCCATGATATTGCTGATCACGTGCCGGTCTCTGCCTTTTGTTCCTTCCCGCTTCAAACCTTCTTCGACAAGTCTGTGCTTGACAGAAGTATGGGTCCCATCGCCAAAGACATGCACGTGATTGTGTGCACGTGCAACTAGGTTCTAGCCTTTCGTCCTCAAGGAATCAAGTCTAGGCCTGCTCATTGTTTGCACGTGACTTCCAATCACGTTGTGTTTGAAGTTCTACTTAGCCGCCTCTTCAATCGAAAGCTCAAACATCTGTGGTATGTGGAGAAGTGGAATATTTTTGACCTTTTTAGATGCTTCTGGACCTTTGCAATTACTCACAAAGCTCAATGGTTGATTCTAGGCAATTGAAGGAAACATTCTTTCCTTAGAAATATATCGCCCAAACCTATCCATATTCAATAAGCGATCCCACACAATTGTCATTATTTTGCTGTGGTCTGAATGTTTTGGTCTAATGCATTGAATGTCTTGATCTAATGCATTGAATGACTTTACCTAAATCCCTTTTCTCCTTTTGTTGTCTTTACGTTTAAGTATGCCTTCTACCCGCTGTATTTCAGATGATTTTGCAACCTGGTCTGCACCCGTGCCTCCCCACTAATCAACAGGCAGATATTTTTCTTGGTGGAGTGTTTTGTCACGTGCCAGTCATCACCCTGCACCAACCCCATAAAAATTTGGTCGTTCTCAAAAGCCTGTTCTCTGAGCTGTTCAGGTCTGCCGCCCCAAAATAGAAAAGCCCACGTTGTTTCCCACATCGTCTCCCCGCTCTCCGTCGCTATCTTCTCCCACCATGCGCAAGTGTAAAGTTTTTGTCGGCTCCTCCCATCCTGAGTTGGGCAAGCTTGTCTGCGACCGTTTGGGAATCGACCCGGCGCCATGTACTTTGAAGAAGTTCTCCAACGGTGAAACTTCGGTTCAGATCGGTGTCTCCGTACGTGATGAGGACGTTTACATCATCCAGTCTGGCTCTCCTGACATCAACGACCACATTATGGAGTTGTTGATTTTGATATCGGCATGCCGCGGTGGCTCGGCGTCAAAGATCACGGCGGTGATTCCTCAGTTTCCCTACTCGAAGCAGAGCAAAATGAAGAAGCACCGTGGTGCCATCACTGCGCGTATGTTGGCCAACTTGTTGATTATGGCAGGTGCCGACCACGTGGTGCTGATGGACTTGCACGCCTCCCAAATGCAAGGCTTTTTCACCAAGCCTGTCGACAACTTGTACGGTGCCCCTACCTTGGCCCGCTGGATCCGTCACAACATCCCCGATTGGGAAAACGCTGTCGTCGTCTCGAAAAACCCCGGTGGTACCAAGCGTGTCACTGCTTTGGCGGATGCATTGAAGATCAACTTTGCTATGATCCACACCGACCGTCGTAGAACCCACGACAACTTCCAGAAAACAACTCATTTGGCCGCTGATGCAGCTGCCTCTAACATTGTGGGTGAAGTCCAGACAGCACGTGTTGTTCAGGGCCACGTTGTAGACGACGACTACCCACTTGCTCCAGCTTCCAGCAACGGGGGCCCTGTCGAGGACCGCAACGTCTTGGGTGGTACCTACGACGCTGCCAACTCGGATGATGAAGACGAACCCACTTCGATTGCCCAAGAAAAGTTGATTACATTGGTGGGAGATGTGCACGATAAGGTGGCTATCATTTTAGACGATATGATTGACAAACCCAACTCTTTTATTGCTGCCGCAGAACATTTGCGTTTGAACTGTGGTGCCAAGGCTGTCTATGTTGTTGGCACACACGGTGTGTTCAGCCATACTTGCTTAGAAGAGTTGAATGCATCCAAATGCATCGACAAGATTGTGGTGACCAACACGTATCCGATTGGCGAGAAGCGCGTTGCCGCTAACAACAAGTTGGTTGTTATTGACGTCTCGCCAATCTTCGCTGAGTGTATCCGTAGGGATCACTTTGGTGAATCTATTTCCGTCTTGTTCGACTCCCTTGCGGCTATTGAATAAGTGCCGGCAACCTATATTATTTTAATGCACATCCGTTTTTCGAGTGTGATCCATTAACAATGCATAGAATGAATAAAGCTCACTGAGATTTTGTAGAAAACAAAATCACCCTGGGTACACATTCTCTCCTAGCTTCTTTATATACTTGTATTTATTTTCTATTTACGTCATCCAGCAGTTCAGCTAGAATGTAGTCTTTTCAATAGTACCAAGTTTCAGCCACGAAATCATTATGGTAATAGAACAGAAACGTTTCATAAGTATAAGATAGTTGAACGCTTTATTATTTTGAGAAGCGATGCATATATTCAAACAATAATGAGGCAGATGGTAGGTCCGACATCCAGGCTTCAGCCATCGTTGGTTGATTTCATAAATTCTGAAGAAGCACTATGTTTCCTGTTTAATCTTCCTCTTTAGACCTGAACCACTGAAACATATTAGTAATATCATGCAAATGGCAGAAAATCAGATACAGAAATAATGGTTACAACTTGCTGATTCACATGATGTGAATTCTTCCAGACAGACAAGGTCCTATAAACCGGTCTATCAGACTATGAAATTATTCAACTTCCAGCTGAACATGGGTTCATTGAACAGGAGTTGAACGAACTACTTGCCAAAGAAAACTCACTATAACTTAATAAAAATAAAAGATACATTTCAATCGAAATGCCATGTTACATTGAATCCATTGGTGGTCATCTTGTGAGCCACATTTACTGGACAATCATTACAGGTGAGTCTCGCATCAGCCGAATATTAAAGCTAGACTAAAAGCTAGCACTCTCATTGGAAGACGGTTTCACCGATATAGAAACTCAATGCAAACTATCAGACCAATTCTCTGGCAGACAATTCATCCCACGTTGGTACTGTACAATTGTTTCCCCACTGATTTCGCTTGTTTCTAGAAGCCGACTTTCCCCAACCTTTTTCAGAATTTTCTTTTCTCTTAGACTAATTTGTAATTTTATTCTCTCAAAATAATTTCTTCTTCCTCATCTGTGACCTGTACTTTTTTTTCTTCTTCTTCTTTTCTTCTGCCAATTCTGCCCTCGCTAATTCTTGTCCTGTTTCTTGCTATCTTTCGCACAATCCACTATCACTATCTTCTTTTCCCATGGACCCAAAGCAGCCCGACACGGCGGAGAAAAAAGCCATGGCGTCGATTGCGCCCATGCTTGAAAGCTTCACGCCCAAAACCAGCGCCGAGGAAAACGGCATGCCCATGATCACGCGGCGCCAGTCCGAGGAGGAAAACAGAACCAGTCTGAGCTCGCTGTGGGACGCTTTCCCCCGCCTCAACAAGACAGCATCCAACTCGTCTGTGGGCAATGGCACCGGCAGCATCACTGGCGGCAACACGGCTGCAAACGCCACTGGAAACGGCGCCCCTGCTCCGTTGACGAAAATCGGCAAAATCGGTGTCTGTGCCATGGACGCCAAGGCCATGTCCAAGCCATGCCGGCGCATCTTGAACCGCTTGATCGAGAACGGCGAGTTTGAAACGGTCATTTTCGGCGACAAGGTCATTTTGGACGAGAGTATCGAAAACTGGCCCACGTGCGATTTTTTGATCAGTTTCTTCTCCACGGGCTTCCCGCTCGATAAGGCCATTGCCTACGCCAAGTACCGCCAGCCGTACATGATCAACGACTTGGTGTTGCAAAAAACCTTGTGGGACCGCCGCCTTGTCTTGTGCATCTTGAATCATGCCAACGTCCCCACTCCTGAACGCTTGGAGATCTCGCGTGACGGCGGGCCCCGCATCTCGCAAGAGCTCAAGGACAAGTTGGTCGAGGTCGGCTTGCCGCAGGATGCTGTTGACCGCTTGTGCAACCAGAAGGAGCCCACGTGGTACATGGAAGACGAAGACACCTTGTGTGTGGACGGGAAGAAAATGACCAAGCCGTTTGTCGAGAAGCCTGTGGATGGCGAGGACCATAATGTGTACATCTACTACCCTGCCGCCACCGGAGGCGGAGGACGCCGTCTTTTCCGGAAAATCGGCAATAAGTCCTCGGAGTTTGACCCAACATTGAGCTCTCCACGTACTGAGGGCTCGTTCATCTACGAAAAGTTCATGGACACTGACAACTTCGAGGATGTCAAGGCGTACACAGTAGGCCCAGACTTTTGCCATGCAGAAACACGGAAATCGCCTGTGGTGGATGGAATTGTGCGGCGCAATACACACGGCAAGGAAATCCGCTTTGTCACCGAGCTTACGCCAGCGGAGAAAACCATGGCCCGCAACATCAGCCGCATTTTCCGCCAGGCCATTTGTGGCTTTGACCTATTGCGCGTCAATGGACAGTCCTTTGTCATTGACGTGAATGGCTTTTCGTTCGTTAAGGACAATAACGAGTACTATGATTCGTGCGCCGCCATCTTGCGGCGGCTCTTCATCGAGGCAAAGAAACGCCGTGACGTGCTCAAAACCCGGATTCCACCTTCTCTTATCAACCAGTCGCAGTTTGAGCAGAAAGAACAGAAGTGGGTCTTCAAAGGCATGGTTTCGGTGATCCGCCACGCAGACCGTACACCCAAACAAAAGTTCAAGTACCTGTTCCGGCTGCCGTTGTTCATTTCTCTTTTGAAGGGCCATAAGGAGGAGGTGATTATCCGGGCAGTGCCGGATTTGCGTGTAGTGTTACAGACCGTGAAAGTGGCTGAGGAGAAGCAGCTCGAGGACCTCAAGAAGTTGCGCCAATTGCGCGAAGCGTTGGAGAAGAAAATCGATTTCCCAGGTACCAAAATCCAGTTGAAGCCATCCTTGAATGCTGCAGACCCGGAAATTGTCGACAAGGTTCAGTTTATTTTGAAGTGGGGTGGTGAACCAACGCATTCGGCAAAGCACCAGGCTTCCGATGTTGGTGAACAGCTTCGCCAGAATATCAAGTTGTTAAACAAGGAAGCATTGAATGATGTGAAAGTTTATACTCTGTCAGAGCGGCGAGTCATTGCCAGTGCCCACTTGGCCACGTGCTCCATGTTGGGCTTGGAAGACTTGCCTGACGATTTCTTGATCATCCGCAAAGATTTATTGGACGATCTGAATGCCGCCAAAGATCTCATGGACAAGGTCAAGAAGAAGTTGAAGCCGTTGTTGCGTCAAGGAGCAGAAGCACCACGCCAGTTCACTTGGCCACCTCGTATGCCGCAGCCATTTGTGGTGATCAAGCGTGTTTGTGAGTTGATGAACTACCATCGTGAGATTATGCACCACAACTTTGAGAAACACGACGTGTCTAAGTTCCAAGAAACGTGGTGCTGTGGTGAAGACCCGCAATTGTTCCGCGAACGTTGGGACAAGTTATTCCTGGAGTTTACGACGGTGGAGAAAACCCATCCTTCTAAGATCTCCGAATTGTACGACACCATGAAGTACGATGCGCTTCACAATAGACATTTCTTGCAAAATGTGTTTGCCTACGATCCAAACGACAATGAGTTGATGCAACGCTTAGCCAAAGTCTGCGGTGACACTATCAATTCTCTGGGCTTGGTTTCTGAGTATCCAATCAACATTTTAGCGATGAACAACTTTAAGCTTCCAAGCGACCCAACGTCAAGCGGAAACTCGGCGTCCAATTCTACCGCTAATCTACTGAACATTGCAAACTCTACCGCGTCTGCTGGGTCTTTGGGTTGGGTTTTGAAAGGTGCCACGGCGTCCGTGCTGGAATCTTCTGCTAATAACGAGTCCAACACTAAGGGCAAACCGCTGTTGAAGGCGCCCGACAATCCATTTGACCACCCAACGTTCGCTCGTCTCCGTGAGTTGTATCGTCTTTCTAAAGTGTTGTTTGACTTCATCTGTCCACAAGAGTATGGTATCAAGGACGAGGAGAAGTTGGACATTGGCTTGTTGACTTCGCTTCCTTTGGCAAAACAAATTTTGTCGGACATCCAGGATATGAAAAAGCATGACAAGGCTGCAGTGGTGAACTACTTCACTAAGGAGTCGCATATCTACACTTTGTTGAACATCATCTATGGATCGCAGCTCCCAATGAAGATTGCACGTAACGCATTGCCCGAGTTGGACTACTTGTCACAAATTGTGTTTGAGATTTACGAGTCCGGTGATCCAAATAGTCCTTCTGGCCAGAAACACTCCATCCGGTTATCTTTATCACCTGGATGCCACACCCAGGATCCATTGGACGTGAGCCTTGATGACGACCACTACATTGGATGTATTCCTCGCATCAGTTTGACCAGACATTTGGATATGGACTTGGTCAGTCAGAAGTTGAAGTCGCGGTTCCCTCGTGTGTCTTTGCCAAAGAAGTTCACACCGGTCAACATTTCGAGTCCTCTCACAACAGCATTGTAGCGGACTGTCTAGGGTATGTTGTATCAATTTAACAATTCATGTACGAGATAGAAGGACAAATATATGTCTTCAGTAAGCAAAGTCGTTGAGTATCTTGTCATCTTATACTATTTGTAACTTCTTTATACGGAGTCATCAACGAAAGCATTTCAGATACATTTTTTTGGCATTCTACATGTGCAATCAAATAAATCTCAATATATTAAGATAGTCAAATCGATACTATCACTAAATACATGCACAAGCCAACCGAGGACAAAAAGGCAGTACCACGTGCCTTATGCCCCTAGGAGACCTGCTATTAGATGGAGTACTGAGTAATAAATGGTTGAGGATTCAAACCAGGAATCACAGATGCGAAGATAAACAGGAGATACACGGGAAAACCAAGCTTAAGCCTTCTCGAACGATTCCCAGTTGTCGATGATAGACTTGATCTTGTCAGACTTGGTTAACTCGTAAACCTCTTGGAAATATTCCTTTGTAATTTGGAATGGCTTGGCGGTCAAGTTAGGAATATACTTGCCAATCAAATCCTGAGGCTTGACAGAAGACTTTGGAATCTTCTTGCACAAAAATCTTTGGAATGGCTTAACACCAGACATCAAGTACGACGAGTGGAATGGCACGGAAATTCCCTTCAATGGAATAACAGCGAAACCTCTCTGTAAGTCGATTGGTTGTGGCTTGGCCAAGGATTGCGCAGAAACCTCGGAAATGATTTCCTTCAAGTGGTCTCTGACCTCGTCCAAGGACAATTGTTGCTGCAACTTGACAATATCAATCTTGTTCATCTTGATGACGTTCAAGACGTTGGTCAAAGTGTCCAATGCTCTCAAGTCACCAGCAGTAACGTATTGAGTGTTCTCAACGTTGTAGTTGACAATCTCCAACAACCAACCAGTCTTGGCGGAAACCTCATCAACAACAAATCTCAACGCAGCGTCGTTGAAAGTTGGGTTGACTCTGGTTGGGTTAACGGCACACATACCGTAGTTTGATCTGCCCAATTCGTCTCTTGGCACAGCAACTTGCATGGTCATACCTCTGTAGAAAACAACATCCACCAAAGATTCAATTGGCATAACATTAGCCAAAGAAGACAATGCGGAGTATTCACCCAAAGAGTGACCAGCGAACATAACATCAGAAGGAACCAAGCCCTTAGATTTGATGTCTTCGTAAGAAGCCTTCTCCATCAAGGTCAAGGCTGGTTGAGTGAACTGAGTAGCAGACAACAAACCTGTTGGAGACATGAAAGTGTACGAGGTGGTGGTGTGGTCAATGTCCTTGAAGATCTTCTCAGACTTGATTTCACCGTCTTCGCCAATGGTCTCGAACATCATAGAGATATAGTTCTCTCTGATCTTTCTACCCTTGGCACCGCCAAAGTGGATGGTCAACTCGTTAGGGTTGTTCTTGACAATGTCAAGAATGGAGAAACCGTAGTTGTTGACAAAGTGACGGTCGGCCTTGTCCCAAACTTCTCTGGCAACTTCAGAAGAGTTGTACAAGTCCATACCCATGCCTTGCTCTTGAGAACCTTGACCAGTGAAGACATAGGTGGTCACTGGTTGTTCAATTTCGGCTTCACCAACCAAAACAGGAGCATCGGTTTCGATGTTCTTGGTCTCGACCTTGATGATCTTACGACCGTTGATCATACCAATGTGCTCCAAAGTGGTTTGCAATTGGTCGTTTGGCAAAACCATGCCAACAAAGTTGGCCTTGAAAGCTCTCACTCTCAGAGCGATACTGTTGGCGGCCCACTCTTCAACCAAGGCTCTGATAGAACCAGAAGAGTACATACCATGGGTGATGGTACCAGGCAATCTAGCGTAAGCAGCGAAAACTCTGGAAACGTGGATAGGGTTGTAGTCACCCGAAACCTTGGCGTAAGGCTCGTTGGTAGAAGGAGCCTTGGAGGTCAATTCTTCACCAGAAGAAATTGGGATGGCGTTCTCGAACTTAACGGCTTGCTCAATGGTGTTACCGTGTCTAGCCAAGTAATCGGTGACTGGGTTACCATACGACACATCAGCCTCGTACTCAACAACACCAACTCTGATAACTTCCTTGGTAGGTAATTCCAAGTAAACGTCACCAGTGGTGTTAATCTCTGAGTACACTTGAGCAGACTTGAAGTAGTAGGTAGAGTTACATCTGAAGGTCAAAACCTTGCCCAACAAGTCAATGTTCTCTTCCAAGTGGAACCATTCCTTGGATCTCAAGATGGCAACATCCTTGGCAGACTTCAAGGCAACCTGGACTGGGTCTTCGCTCACCTTTTGGAAGGTGTTCTCGAAGTCAACGTACTCACCTCTGTACAAGAATTGCGAGGTGACTTCCATCACTGGCTTGGAGTCTCTGTAAATGGTGCCAACAACCTCGACCATCTTACCAGAAGGCTGGTTCAAGACAGCGTTAATGACAGCGTTGGTGGTGACAACATCGTCCTTCTTCAAAGGAGCAGCACCTGGGACCATTCTGTATCCGTTGGACAAGTGCACCAACTTCAACAAGTCTCCATCAACAGTCTTTGGGAAAATGGCCATCATGATGGCCTTCCAACCAACAACAATGGCAAAGTCCATAGGAGCCAAAGTCTGCTTGCCTGGTCTTGGGACAAAGGCTTCACAAGTGTTACCAATGGCGTGGGTGAACTCGGAAATGTCCTTACCGGTGACAGTAACTTCATCACCTGGAATCACTTCGTTGACATTGATGTCAAAGTCCACAGGAACAGAGTGGCCGAACCACAACTTCCAGTAGAACTCCTTGATTCTGTTGTTTCTGCCCTCCATGACTTCGACAATAGGAGCAAAACCATCTTCTGGCTTGTAAGTGTACAAGAAAGGCAAGGCAACAGCCTTTCCGTCAGCGGTTCTGTGTTCAATCAAAGACAATTCAATAAGCGAGTCCTTGTTCAATTTAATCTCAACAACTTGCTTCATGTCGCCTTGAACAGCTTCGTAAACGGAAAGCTTGGTCTTCTTAGCATCATCGTAGTTTTCGACAGTCACAGTGATGTTGGCAGCAGGGCTCAACACGTCATGAACAGAGTTGCTGGTGAAGTTCTTGTCCTGAACAATTCTGTCGGTGGAGATCAAAGCCTGCAACCAGTTCAACTTAGGTCCAGCCAACAAATCGAGCCATTCCTGCTTGTCTGGAACAATGGAGCCAATCTTGTAAGTGACGGTGGAACCAGACTCTTCGACAACAACACCTGAAACCTTTTTCAAGGCAACAGGGGACTTACCACCGAAGTACTCAACAACAGGAATCTTGGAGGCGTCACCGTTGTACTCGTCCTTGATCAACTTGGCGATGTGGCCCTCGTGGATGTTGTCCATGATCTCCTTGATTGGCTCATTCACCTTGTTGGTAAATTGGGCAGCAACAGGACCATGAAGAATACAAGTTCTTTGAACATCCTCGTCAACAACGGTCTCCAAGTTCTCGGATTGCCACAAAGAGTCCTTCTTGAAGAAGAATTCAAATCTCTCATCCAAAACAGGAACGAAAGGAGCTGGCTTTTGGAAAGGTCTGGCGCAGCAGAGCAAGAAAAAGTCACAGTCCTCTTCGGAGATCAATTGCTCCTTAGCGGCAGGGAAAGACTCGAAGAACTTGTCGGTGAACTCTTGAGGAGAAGAGGTCAATTGTGCGTAGTTCTGGACCAAGGATTCTTGGCCAGCCTTAGTGGTGAATCTCTCCTCAACTCTTCTCAAAAAGTCACCAAAGAAGTTACGCAAGGAAATGTCGGACCAACGGGCGTGCTTCTTCACGTACATCAACTCAATCATACGGTTGGCAACTTCTTGGTAGGTCATGTCCTCCAAGTCGCACACACCGCTGGCGTTACGGGCAAACCAAGGCTTTTGGAAGTCCTTGTCCAACTTACCAATGATGTAGTCCTTCTTCTTGGCCAAGGCCTCGAGCATCTTGTTCTTTGGCAAGTTGAAAATGGTGTCGTCCAATTCCTTCCACAACATAACACCACGGGTAGCAATCTTGTGGATTGGCTCACCCATTTCCGATCTGACGGTAATGATACCACCAGTAGGCTTCTTGTATGTGCTTTCCCATTGCTCGTCAGAGACACCAGTACATTGAGTGATGAGTTGCTTGGCCTCCAAAGAAGTGTGAGCTTCCTTGGCAGTCATGACACGGGAACCAAACAAAACACCATCGAATGGCATAGGTGGGTACTTGAACTTGGCGGACCAGGATCCGGTCAAGTATGGGTAAGTGTCTTCGTCAGAACCGAAACCGGAACCAGCCACCAACACAATGTTGGAGCACTTTCTGATCTTGGCGTACATCTGCAAGATTGGCTGGTGGAAGTCCTCGAACGAGTGGTGACCACCACCTCTTCCACCAGTCCATTGCAAGACAATAGGGAAAGTTGGGTGGGCCTTGGCGATAGTGATGACCGCATTAATCGACTCGATGGAGCCAGGCTTCAAGCCCAAGTGGGTCAAGCCCAAAGTCTCAATGTACTCGGTGGCGACCTCCAAAGATGGCACACCGGCACCGATGGCCAAAGACTGGATAGGGAAGCCCTTGTCACGCAACTCCTTAATCAAAGGAATACCCCACTGCAACATTCTTGGGTTGACGTAAATCAAGTTGATGCCAATACCGCAACCAGGCTTGATTTGTTCCGACACTTCCTTCAATGCCTGCTCCATGCCGGCGGCGTGGAAGTAACCACCTCCAGCCAACTCGATGTGGTAGCCAGCGTTGATGGCGGCGCTGACAATCTCGGTGTTGACGGTGGTTGGAGTCATACCAGGGATCATCAAAGGTGCACGGCCGAGCAAACGGGAGAACTTAGTGTCCACGTAAACCTTACCGGCCGAGTTCTTGGCCAACTTAGGCTTGTACTCGTTCAACCAGTTTGGCGCCCATTTGATGGAGCCAGCAGTACGGTTGAAGAGCTCTTGCTTGAAGCCATAGTCGTCGTCCACAGCATTGTCAAGAGCACCAGCGATAATCACACGTGCACCAGTACCCTCCTTGTTACGGTGGGTCAACACACCAACACCGGAAACACCACCTGGACCAAAGTCCAACAAGTGGGTGGCCTCAAAGGCGGTGGCTTGTTCCCAGTGGACTGGAAGCTGGGTGATGCATTGCACAACACGGTCAGTGACGTCGCCAGCAGACTCTTGGAAGTTTTCGCCCGAGTAGGTATCAAAAACAGGAATGCGGAGATCCTTGGCCGAGAAGGCCAATTTTTCAGCCTCAATGTCGGCCAAAATCATGTCTGTAGCAGGCTCCAACAAGTGCGAGTGGAACGGAGCAAAGATAGGCAAGAACCGGTTGGAGAACTTCAACTTACGCTCTGAGTGAGGGATACGGGCCTGGTCCAAACCAGAAGGAGCCTTGTTGTTTCTAAGGGTCACGTTAAGACCGTAAAGCGACTCTGGAGGACCGGAAACAACCAAGTTGCGGCCACCGTTGACCAAAGAAATGGCCACACGTTTGTCTGCTGGCAAGTGCTCGTTGGTGGTAGCAATAAACTTCTCCACCTGTTCACGAGACAAGTCACGCACAGACAACATGGGCAGCGGACGGCCTTCGCCGTTCTCCAAAGAGTCTTGCAACATGGTTGGAGGCAATGTGGTACGTGGGTAAGCCATCAAACAACGAGAACCAATGAAGAACAACAAGGTGACGGCTTTCAAGGCATTCTCGTAGAAGGAGTCCCAAGAGTCGGAGCTGGCAATAGCCACGGCGGTGACAAGACCTTGCGAGTGGCCTGTGGCGCCCACAAGATGGTCTCTGAACTCACCTGGGGAAACGCCCAATGTCTTACAGGTAACCACGTAGTGGGCCAATTGGATGACGCAAATCAAGGGGCACGACACGGGCACAGACAACAAGTAGTCCTGGTCTGGGGTCTGGTCGGGGCTCAGCAACCAGTTGAGGATGTCAAAGCCCTGGGTGTAGATTTTGTCGACGTTTTCGGTGGTCTTGACCAAGCCAGACAAACGGGAAGCCACTTGGGCAAGCAAGTCGGTGATTAAGCCGTGGTACATGTGGTTCAACTCGCGCAACTCTTCAAAGTAGTCATCAGTGTTGCCCTGGCCGCCAAAGATGGCAAACAGCTTGGCCAACTTGGCACCGGAAGCTTTCAACAATTCCGACGAACGCTTAGGAATCTCTGCGTTGGCTCTGATCACCGCGTCAAAGTAGTTCTTGATAACGCCCTTGACCTTCAAAGATGTAGTTGGGTACGTCTCGTCCGCAAGCAATTGGGCCGCAAAAGTGTGGATGTCCGACTCTGGGAAAAAGCCCGACTCAAACTCTTGCAAAACCAACGCCAAGATCTCGCTGAACTCGCCAGGCGAGTCTGGGTCGACCAAAGATGCTGTAAAACCAACAAACTTGGCGTACAATTCGGCAGGAGATGCTGGCTCGTCATCCGAGGCAAATCCTTCGGTCGCAACAGGCAATGTTTTGGCAAACAGTTCCTTCAACTGGGAATATTTGAAGAAAAGATTGGTAGGCACCAATGTGGTGAACTCTATCGAGCCATGGGAAAGCGAAAAGGGGCGATGTGTGGTTGTCATGATGATATTATATGTGGAGGAGTTGTAGATCTTTTCTCTTTGAAACTGGAAAGGCTTGAGACTTTTGGGTTCAGAAACAATTGTGGTACGGGCAGCTCTGAAAAGTCGTCAAACGAACACGTCTATAAGTTGGATCTAACTAAAGAAAAAGCTCAAGGAGAAAAAAAAAAAAAAGTTCGAGAAAAATTCAACTTGAACTAAGCCATTCGCCTCGCGAAAACTATCTCTACTTAAACGTCCCCATACTTTTTTGGGCCATTAAAGGTTGAGAGTCTCAACAGCTTGTATGCAGGGCGCTTTGTTTGTTGGGATGTCGTGCATAAATTTCTGTTGGCGGCCAGGTTGCTACAAACGATGATGGGGAAATGTCGCTTTAGTACAGTCTGTACCACTAACTATTATCACTCTATTTGGCCACACATACCGTCATCTTCTCTTATGTCTCTGTTCTGTTGGGCCTCGGGCCCATAAATTTTACTACTGGTTCTTTTTGGGAGAGGCGCGCGAAGGGAAGATGTCCTGTACATAAAGAAAGTTACGCTAGTTGAGTTCGAATCCATACTGTTGGCTGGACTACGTACAGGACAGAGCGACAATGTCCCGTAAGAAACCGACCCGTACCTCCAGAAAATATCTCCCACGATGCGCCTCTAGATATTGCGACAATTAGGTGATGGTATGGGCGCGTGGCTGAGTATGGGCCAACTTTCTCAACGGAAAAAAAAAATGTCGTAACACAAAAAGAAAGGCGACATTGGCCACCAGTAACTGCATGTTTTTTTTTTCCGCTGCATACTTCCCGACATTTTTGAAATTTACGACAATTCGACATTGTGAAATTGGACATTACACACCTCTAAGCCCCCTAACCGAATAATTTTTATTGGTGCACGGGTGTACAGGCCCATCTCTGCAAATGAGTAGTACGAACTTTGTTCTGCATATAAAGCTCTGCCTCCTGATGCGTCTACACTGACTAGCACTCGTATTATGTATTAGCGATATACTTATTGCTTGGAGACGTACTCAACCAAGTCAACAACTCTGGTGGAGTAACCGTACTCGTTGTCGTACCAGGCAATCAACTTGACGAACTTAGGAGACAACAAGATACCGGCCTTGCTGTCGAAGATGGAAGAGTAGTGGGAGGTAAGGAAGTCAGAAGAGACAACAGCGTCCTCAGTGTAACCCAAGACACCCTTCAACTTACCCTCAGAAGCCTTCTTGACGGCAGCGCAGATCTCCTCGTAGGTGGTCTCAGTCTTCAACTTGACAGTCAAGTCAACGACGGAAACATCGACAGTTGGCTACTCTCATGGCCATACCGGTCAACTTTACCGTTCAATTCTGGGATAACCTTACCAACGGCCTTAGCAGCACCGGTGGAAGATGGAATGATGTTACCGGAAGCAGTTCTACCTCCTCTCCAGTCCTTGTGGGATGGACCGTCAACGGTCTTTTGGGTGGCGGTGATAGAGTGGACAGTGGTCATCAAACCTTCCTCAATACCGAAGGTGTCGTTGATAACCTTGGCCAATGGAGCCAAACAGTTGGTGGTACAGGAAGCGTTGGAAACAATGCTTTGACCAGCGTACTTGTCTTCGTTGACACCAACGACGAACATTGGAGCGTCAGCGGAAGGAGCGGTGATGACAACCTTCTTGGCACCAGCGTCAATGTGCTTTTGGGCACCCTCGAGCTTGGTGAAAACACCAGTGGAGTCAATAACCAACTCAACACCCTCCTTGCCCCATGGAATTTGGGCTCGGGTCTCTCTCTTGGTGGACGGTGATCTTCTTGCCGTCGATGACCAAAGCACCGTCTTGAGAAGTAACCTCACCCTTGTATTGACCGTGGGTGGAGTCGTACTTGAACATGTAAGCAGCGTAGTCAGCAGCAATGAATGGGTCATTGATGGAAACGACCTTGATGTCTGGTCTGGTGAGAGCAATTCTCAAAACAAGACGACCGATTCTTCCGAAACCGTTAATACCGACAGTGACCATTTTTGATTGATTAAGTTGTTGTTGCTTTTGTACTTGACAGAAAGTCTGAAGAAAAAAAGAATATCGACCTTAGATGTGCCTCTTATATAAGTTGCCAAAGTCGATCATACCACGCACACATATGGTGACGATGCGGCGCCCGGTTATGAGCGTGTATATACGCTAAGTGGGATGTTCTCTCGGTGTTTAGGTGCGGACTCCAAGAGCGGCCAATCCGGAGTGACATTCGTGGTTATTGGCTGACTCCACCACCACATGATGCGGCAACAATCCGATCACTTCTTGACATCAGTCTATTCTTTAGAAAGATTTCATATTGTATTGCCAGTGGCAAGAATAATATCATTTGTCAGCCTCTAGTCGCACCATCGTCTGCACAATGACAATAGCGCGCTTAAAAAGTCAGACACTACGGAAATGGAAAGAAGCAAGAAGAAACAACAAGGTGGTGTTTTCTGCCCCAGTAGCAAATAACGAAACAGACCAAAGTATGACAAACGGCAGAATATATATACCCGTATACGAAAAGGCTGCAAAAGATTGTTGCAAAAAAGAACACATGAAAGCTGTACGTCGCAGTGTCTTTGTGGCATTTTTGGTGACTGCGGACATTCGGAGATCTTGAGCGCGACATGTTGGCGCATGGATCAATGGCTACTGCTGCTGCATGTAAGCTTTGTAGGCCCATACATACGTAACGTGCTGCAGGGTCTACCTGATGAATGTCTCGTTGTCTCTATAGGGTAACCTATTTGGTTTTGCCACAGTGGTCACAGTTCAAATGGTACAGAATTTAAAACATTGATGAGTAAGATTTTTGACCAACAATCCGCAATCACACGATTCTATGGATGTGAAACGTCTGATGCTGCGCTGTTTTTATTAGTAATTACTTTTCAATGACTTTTCAATGACTTCTTTCAGTAACGCTAGTTCCTTTTATTTTTCCTTGCACTTCAAACACCGGACTTGCGTCTCTCAAACAACTTCAGTAGTTAAATCCAGGTGATCACTCACTAAACCGTGATTTTGCTTAGTAAGTTTGATGATGTGTTCATCTTCTTAAGGGCATGAATGCCTCATATTCTCTTAAATTGAAGATATAATTGGCTACTTGCTACAGAAAGTATCGCAGGTAAATTTTTTTAATCAATGAAATATTCACCCAATGTAAAGCTAACTATGACGAAATTCAAACCAAGTTCAATTCAATACTTGATATGTACTTGTGACCGTTTGTTTGTGTATAAACTGTAGGGCCAATATCGTGTTCTTCTAAAATTTGCTTGCAAACAAGGCACAGGAGTGGCAAAATGCAACTAATAATTTCCAAATCTTAGTGTAATTGTCATTTAACACACTCTTTGCTCTTCGCACATAAGCTCTTTACAAAATTTAACGCCAAGCATAGAATGTGTCCTCTGGTTTTGTATCAATATTCAGAATATTTAGATCTTCAAGCATGTCAATCTCTTCTCTCTGGGCCACCTTCGTAAGAGTCCACAATTCTGGAACTCTTTCCTCACCCAATTTACTACTTTTTACCAGCTTCGAGTATGTATCTTTATGAGGCATCCATATAAACCATCTCAGCACATTTATAGACCGGCCGCATGTCTCGAATTCTCGCTATCTGTACTGACTTCTCTTCTCCTTCGCTGTTCGATTGTTTCGCCGTTCATCAGGCGTCACATACCGTTCCTCCTATCTTGTACTCCACTCTACTCGGCTCTACACTCATTTTTCAGCAGAATCTATTTGCGTATCTACCCACTCTTTCCTGGAGGCAATGCTTTCGTCGCCTGGGAAAAATCTCTCACAATGATCTCACACCGGGTCTCCCGACACAAGTCCCGTTTCGCCTGTGGCGGAACACGATGCAACAATTCGAGCCCAGCGCTGCGCTCCACGGCTTCGACTGGAACTTGGAACTGCGTAAGAGGAGTGGAATCGTCGATGGCCGCGTTGGGCAATACAAAAGCGCCCACGGCCAAGTTGTCGCTGCCCTCTCTTTCGCCCACTATGAGCTTGAAGAAGTGCGTGGGTACAGCCACGTTTGGCGGAGATCCGACCACTTCATAGCTCACACGGAACTTGTCGTCGCTGTCTTGCTTTGGAAGGTAGAGAGGCCCCGTCAAAACACGCACGCTGTCGTACCGCGAGGTAAGACGACGCACAAAGTCTTCTAGGTGTGCCCAGTAGTTTCGGTTGAAGCCATCGCCCACTTGCGGCGACATGTTGGTGAGAAAAAACGTCTCGTCCATGGCGTGCTGAGAAAACTTGGCGTCCGCAGCCGGCGCCAAATGGCCCCGGTCGTATCCACTGCGGAAGTAGTCGCGCAAGCGTGCGCGGAACTTGAGGGGAATGCTCTCGTCTTCTTTGAAGATGCTTTTTTTCCGGTCAACGCCTTGGCCCCGGCGAAGCGATTCTTGCGTGAGATGCTCCAAAACCCAGTACGGGTTACGGGTGGCTCTGTTGTAGCATGCAATGAACTCGTCGTGTTGTTGAAGATCGTGCACGGGACCCGGGAATCCGTACTTGTAAAAACCTTCGGGCTTGACCGGAGAACCTGGAAAAGCAGGCACGTCTGCCGGCTGCGATGCAGGCAAGTTCGATGACGGGGTGGGTTTGTCTGTTTTCGTGGGTGCGGACGAACGGCCCCAGAAATACGAGGCAATGCCAACGGCAGAAACGCCGGCGCCTTGGAAAAGTTTGCTCATGGTGGAGTAGACATTATGGTGATGATGCATGTCGCGCATAAAAGCCATCGCGCACTATGCCGTCCGGTACGTGGGAGCCCGCTTTGCAGGAGAAGAGTACGGGGTTATATAGTGTCTTTGCATCGGTGTTTCGTAAGTGAGACAGGAAAAACCATTTGTTTTACCATTGTGGCTAGACTGGGAATCTGGTGAAACCGGGTGTGCATATGTGTCCATCGCGCGAGGTCTGGCGAAGCCTAGTTGTACTTTGATACCATCCTTCAACATAGTTTTCTACCACGGCAATATGTGTGACTAAGACCTTCATCTCCAGTAGTAGACTGTAAAGATTTGCGACTGCTAGCACGTTTTGACTTACAACGGTACATCTGGCACTCGTCAGTGAACATCATATCTCGAAATTAGCCGTAGTTTTGATAGACTCTAGTAAATCATAGCAAGAAACATGAAAAGCGATCGACTACACTTATCTTCTGTATTCCTTGTGTCTCACCCTGCAGCGCAATGTAACCAGCCGTAGTGTCTTGTCCAGTGTCTATCATCATTGTAAAGCTTTCGAGAATCGAGATTTGACAATTACCGTCTTCGCAAATGCAAACACAGAAATTTATCACCTTGTTTATGCACCGATTTCGTCTGCAGTGATCTTATTCGGCTGCCACAATTACTTGCCTGTCTACTGTCTCTACATACTCTGTGCTGTGCATGGTCGCTTCCATGCATCTACATCAACAGGCGCGCGCTTCCCCACATATACATAGGCTCGACTTCTTTCATGCCGCCCGAGTACATCGAGCTCGACTCATATCCAGCTGAATCCTCGGCTTCTTTGCCTGACCTTTCCAATGAGCAGATTGCCGCGGCCCTTCCGCGCTTGGGTGTGCTGGACTTTGAGCTTCCGGTGGATGTCGGTTCTTTGCCTCGTCAAGCGCTTTTCATGCTAGATAAAATCGCCTCTCTTGACGTGAAGACGGCCGTCGAAATACTCCGAGACGCTTTGGTGGAGCACAAAGGCGACGTCAATTTCCCCACTTCAGACTACTTGTTGATTGAGCGACTACTTGGTCTGATTCCAGCCACATTCGGCGAGACTCCATCCGAAAGCGAGAATTCAACAATCGGCGCCAAACAATCTAGAGAGCCAGACGGATATCCAGAGGAAGCACCTCTGTGGGAAGATCCCGAGGAAAAGGGAATTGACTGGGCTCTTCTGGTGAAAGTTGAAGCTGCACTAATAGCGTTTCATTCTCCTTATCCAGAGGTTCGGGCCGTTGTCGATCCGTATGATGACCACGACCTTCCGGTAGAAACCCTCCGAGTATATGTCATCTCCATCTTTTGGACCATAGTTGGTGCTACTGTGAACAACTTCTTCGTCCACCGTCTTCCGAGCATAAACTTGTCTTCTGGCACCGTGCAACTTCTTCTATTACCGAGCGGCAAGTTGTGGGAAAAGAGTTTTCGCCAGGGCCGCAGGATTTCTCTTTTCGGCCGCTCCATTGATGTCAATCCGGGAAAGTGGAACCACAAAGAGATGATGCTTAGCTCCATCATCTATTCTTGTTCTGCTGGAACGCCTTACGCCATTTACAACATTTTTGTCATGAAGCTAGATCGTTTCTACGGCCTTAAATGGGTCACCTGGACATACCAGGTCCTCTTTGCCCTCTCAACACAGCTCCTTGGTTTTGCGTTCGCTTTCATGATGTTGAAAGTTTGCGTGTATCCGAAAAAATCTGTGTGGCCCACTTTACTTCCCACCATTGCCCTCAACAAGGCTCTTATGGATGAAGATCCTCCTACGTCTGTTAATGGCTGGCGCATTTCCCGTTACTCCTTTTTCTTTGTTGTTTTTGTGCTGAGTTTCGTGTATAATGCTATTCCCGCTTATTTCTTCACTGCTCTTTCCACGTTCAACTGGCCCACTTGGTTCGCCCCAAATCTGGTCCATTTGAATAATGTTACGGGATCAAATGCGGGATTAGGTTTGAACCCTATACCTTCTTTCGACTGGAGTATTTTAAACATGTTTGGATGTCTCATGATGCCATTCTACACCTATGTCAATCAGTACGTTGGGATGCTTGGGGCGTTCATCACCATTCTTCTTGTCTACTATACAAATAACAAGTGGACAGCCTATTTTCCCATCAACTCTAACCGCTTGTTCAACAACAGAGGAGAGGTGTACAACGTCAAACAGATTCTCAATGAGAAAAGTGCTTTCGACCACGAAAAGTACGAGAAATATGGACCTCCTTATTTCAGTGCTGCAAACTTGGTGATTTACGGCGCCTATTTCTGTATGTATCCATTTGCCATTTTATATCATGCCGCAACAGAATGGGATTCGATGTCTCAAAGTTTTGTGAATATTTGGCATACTTTCAAAGAAAGCTTGAAAGCCCACAACTCATTGGGAGTGGGCCGCTTTGAGAAAGACCCACATTGCAGAATGATGTCCAGATACGAAGAAGTGCCAGCAATCTGGTTTATGACCATCCTTTTGGTCAGTGTGACATTTGCTGTGGCTTGTGTGTGGTTTTATCCAGTGGAAACCCCGATTTGGGGTATTTTCTTCACTATCGGAATTAATTTTATCTTTCTTGTTCCCATCACAGCCATGGCCTCTGTTACTGGCTTCACGTTCGGTCTCAATGTTTTGGTGGAGTTGATTGTTGGCTATGCTATTCCAAATTCGGGTCTTGCTCTCATCACTTTGAAAGCTTACGGATATAACATTGACAGTCAGGCGAGCAACTACATCACCGACCAAAAGCTAGCCCACTATACCAAAATACCACCGCGTGCCATTTTCCGAGGCCAAGTTCTCTCCACATTTACAAGTGTGTTGGTCGCTCTTGGTATAGCCAATTGGCAGATTGATCATATTCCAGATATCTGCGATATTGCCCAGAAAAACAAGCTTCGGTGTCCTGGAGCCAACACATTCTTCTTCTCCAGTATACAATACGGCGAGATTGGGCCCCACAAAGTCTTTTCTGGCTTGTATCCTGTTCTCAAATGGTGTTTCCTTTTGGGAACAGTCTTGGTCATTCCATGCGCATTATTCAAGAAGCATGGACCTGCCAAGTGGGCAAAATACTTTCACCCCACCATCATTCTTGGAGGATTCTTGTCTTATGCTCCTTATAACTTGCTGTACTACACGGGTGGACTTTACTTGTCGTACATTTTCATGTATCATATCAAGAGGCACTACATTCTTTGGTGGGAGAAATACAACTACATTTTGACCAGCGCTCTTTCAGCTGGTGTTGCATTCAGTGCATTAGCACTCTACTTTACCGTCCAGTATAACGGACATGACTTGGATTGGTGGGGTAATCGACTCAGCACGCTTGGAATAGAAGGTTCAAAAACGCATCCGTCGTGGCTACATGCCACAGATGCTCCGGGAGGATATGTGGGACTTCGAGAGGGAAATTTCCCATAATTTCAGAACTTATAATATGGTTTGTGGCAAACTGGGCTTAATGTTATGGCCTATCAGTTTGACTATTCAGGGTATCTTTGGTATGGCTTAAATGGACCCTAATATTTATAGATAATTACATGCTTTATGCTAGAAGCTGTGTATCGCTCGCCTTCTTCCCAGACTGGCCTTATTTTTATAGGTTTCTTAGCATTTCTCGTGTCTGCTTTAGATACGAGCTATTAGAGCAAAGTAAAATGCCATGACGACAATGCCCATGAGAGCAGTTGTTGCAGGACTGATTCGGGCTATAGGATATTTGTCTTGTTGGAGCAAGTATTGGGCGAAATGAAAACGGGCAAAACCTGTTAGAAGCACAACGATCCCCATCACGATACATGCCACTGCAATGGACTTCCCATCTAAGCTATGCCGCAGGTGCGGGGCCGCAACAACTACGGTAACATTGGCAAGTTTGACATGGGATTCCTTTTCGAGGAAAAGACTCAGCTGAAGCAAAGCAATGCCTACAGAAACGAAGACCAAAGAAGTGCGAAGACTTGCGAGAAAAGTTCTTTCGTTTGCAAGCTGGAGTTAGCGAAATTCGACAGGTGATTGATGAATCAACTTACGTTATCACGAGCCACGGTTTTTGTACTGCGAAGCGGAAGCGAAAAGACCGAGAAATGCAGCATTGATTAATTCAAAAGGGTCTCTCTAATTGGGTCATTTGAAAAATCGGAGATGACGTTTGTGTTCTGCTCCGATAATGAGATTTGACGGTTTAGACTGACAATTGGTGGAGACAACCATTCCGATCCTGTGTGCAGAACGCTAATAAAATGTATACGCAACGAGGCTTACAGCATGCATGTGCAAATTCAAGCGCATGGCATACAATATGCATCGAAAGTAGCCAATAGTTAAAGGAGATCCTGCAGAAACGACAAGGACACTTCCGTTTAGGGCCCGCCACAACATTAATGTGGATGGGACAGGGGAAAATGCAGGGGCCGCATTATCAGATCAATATTGCTTCTATCCCAAAATCTGACGTTTGGGCCAAAAAACGCATTTTCTCTCTGCAAAATTGAACGCAACATCTACATCGCAATGAAAGACATAAATACCATTGAAAAGAATATACCTAAGAAGAAAGGACAAAGGATAAGTTTTGGTTTTAACATTGGGCAAACAAACCCGGGTGTGCATGCACAATAGTCATTATGCAACTTTAGCCTTCAGCAGCTCAAGATGAGAACCATGCCGAAATACTAGCAATCAAAACCAGAATAACACTTGGAGAAAGCTTCAGCGAGCCACTGGAAGAAGGAATAGATGGATACTTCTCGGTGATGTTGGCACAGGCAATACGAGAAGTGTTGGCAAAGTGAACAACGACAGACAAACCTCCAAAGTAGGCAGGGCTGCTTGGGTTCAAAGAAAGGTATGGGTCAATGTAAGAAGTGTTGAGCGAAGTACCCTCAATCTTGCCGTGTTTTCCAGAAAGATCACCAGCCTCCTTCAAGTCAGGGGCGCTAGCCGTCTCGCTTCCATTGAATGGATTGAAGTGGGACAGCGTACCAGTACAGTTTCCGTCCGAAGGAACAGGTTTCTTGTGGATGTGGTAGAGGAAAGGTCCGCCAGAAGTAGGCAAGTCGGAAAGATCAACAGACACCAAAACCAGACCGTTGTTGGAGGTGAAGGCCACGGAACCAGACACCTTAGAGTCGAACGTAGCAATTAATTCAGTGTTGGTGGGAGAGTCGGTGAATTGAGGTGCGGGCTCGGCCGAAGCGAGCGACAAGAGCGAAAGGGCAAGCAATTTCGAGAGAGAAACCATAGTAGCAGTAGATGGGAAGTGATTTATTTTGCAGTCGGAGCCAAAGCTGTATTTATAGGCACACAGGGCTAGGCAAGTCGTGTCGGTGCGAGACAGCCATACAATTATTGTCTGCATTAGCCGGCATCCCGACCAATATAATGCTGAAACATGGGGACGGAAACTGGGTAAGGCAAAAGATGTCGGAGTAGGCGCATCTCGCTCCGGCGCAGACGTGGAGATGTTCCATGTACCTGCTTTTATACCCAGCCGTTTCTTGTCAGATCTGGTAATATTTGCTCTTGGGCCCACTGTTGAAAGCTGTTTCCGCATGCATGTGGCGTATGCGGTTTTCGCATTGAGAATATCGTATGCAGCATGTAGTTCTGCAGGTTACGCGCTATGCATGCGAGCCTCCACAAACCGGTGGATACAATGTCCCACGGCTACTATTCCCGCAGGAATGCCTCGGAGTGATTGGAAAGTGGGATTGCGAGAATCGGAGTTAATTTGGAAGCCAATAGGGGCAATTTCCGAATCCACTTAAACCGCTTGCCCCTTTGTGTATTTGAAGGGGAACTTAGGCTCGTAAACACGCAGCTCGACACACGGCCACATCTAGCATATTTAACGTGTTGCGTTGATTATGTTGATTTTCAAGTATTAGTGTCTTTCACCATTTTTTGACTTGGAGGGCCAACTAAAGAATAGTAAAAAAAAGCTGAGGATTGGAACCATAATACTTGGCCCCTTCCAATTATTGCTCCGGGCTATCGTTTTCGAGTACGTAGGTGTGCAGTAAGCAAGCCAATCAGACATTGTCTGATGTGGGTTGAAGATACGTAAGCTGGATGGACATTAATCCGATAAGCTGGGAAGTCATGATAAGCTACTGCATATATGGGCCGTTGGCAAGTAGATTGGACATGATGAAATGGAAAATTCTATGAGATTGCGACTCATACATAGAGCACGGTGGATAAACATCGTCCAGACATATACAATGTCAGAACATCAAATCACATGCGACATTGTGCTAATCTGTCGGAAATATTTTACTCTCTCCGAACGAAAATTCAGTAATGGGCATATTAGTCCAAAAGGAAGCGGGCTGCTGAATAGGCAGAATGGAGTAGTATTAATTAAAGCATTGGCGCACACTATTGCTCAAAAAGTACGAGCTTTCTAGATCAAGGGAAGCCAGTAGGCCAGTACAAAACGATTTCCAACCAATGCAAGCCATCTCAATCATAAAAGTTGCATCTATGTTGGCATGTCTGACCACCTTTATGAGATTGTACTTCCAGTTTCTTCATGTCAAATCTCTATTCACATTCCTGGAGCAAGCATACTGGTCTTCTGTCGGCCCTGCATGTTGTATATGTCCACGTCTATCTTTCCTAAATGCGCAATCACCAGCTCCTGCACAGCCACACGTTAAAGTCATCTTTAACTCCACATTCTACTCCAGAATTCTTAGACGAGAACATTTCGCTTTGACTTAAAGAAACTCGAGAAAATAAGTTGGACGTGAACTCAAGTTTCCGAACGACATCAAGCACGTCTAAAAGAAGCTAACTAACGAAAGTCATTATCTTCGTCTATACAGCTGCTCAAAAGTGTCATAGAAGCGTCTGGTTGTCTGTGAACTCAATAGTGGAAGAAGAGAAAATACCAAAGGAAAAGCATATATCAAAAGAAAACAGTATAATCCAATCAAAGTTTCAACAACACAAGCACCCTATAAAGAACCATGCGTGTCCCCGTTCTTGGCCGTCTCTCTGTCTTTGAGTGGCCCCTCCTTTTAATCTCGCTCTTTCTCTCGTGGCTAGAGTACATTTCCAACATCATAACGCAATTCTTGCCGTCGCCAGTGATTGGGGTCATAACCCGTACGCTCCAATTAACATATAACTTGACAGGGTCTGTGCGGATTGTGCAGCGGGCGGGGAAAGACGTGGCGGTTTCAGAAAAAGACAGTCCTGCTGATGATGAGCGCATGCGGCTTGTCACGGGTCTCTTGAATAGCCCAGACATCCAGACCATGTGTCAGCTTTTCGGATATGACGTTGAGAGCCGTCTTGTGCGCACAAGAGATGACTACTTGCTCACTTTACATCGGATCCAAGGTCCTCCACGTGTTCCTAATGGGAAAGTTGTATATTTGCACCACGGTCTTCTCATGTGCCTGGAAATCTGGGTGACAATGCTTGACAAGGACAGCAACTTGCCATTTGTGTTGTACGATTTGGGCTACGACGTGTGGTTGGGCAATAACCGTGGAAACAAGTACTCCCATAAACACATCTACCGCAAAAGCTCATCCGAAGCTTTCTGGGACTTTTCGCTCGACGAGTTTGCGCTTTTCGATATCCCCGACAGCATCAACTACATCTTACAAGATACAGGCAGCTCGAGCTTGATATACATTGGCTTTTCCCAAGGCACAGCGCAGGCGTTTGCTAGTGTGGCCGTAAACCCGGATCTTAACTCGAAAATCGAACGCATCATTGCCATTTCGCCTGCGACAACGCCAAAGGGTCTCCACTCGAAATTCCTCGACATTTTCTTGAAATCCAGCCCCAACATGTTGTTTTTGCTCTTCTCGCGCCGTGTGTTGATGCCTTCAGTTCTGTTCTGGCAGAAGGTCATGTATCCGCCGTTTTTCGACACGTCGATCGATATTTCCAACTGGATGCTTTTCAAATGGCGCCTGCTCAACATTGATCGCTTGCAGAAGATCTGCTCATATGCCCATTTGTACTCGTCGACCTCGGTGAAAACTGTGGTTCATTGGTTCCAAATCATGCTGAGTGGGAACTTCCATATGTATCACAACGACATGTCCGGACTCTCTGTATGGTTACCTGTCCAATACCCATTGAAGAACATTTCTATTCCTATCCATCTTATTTATGGGACGATCGATTCTCTTGTGGATATTGATGTGATGGAATCCCAGCTCCCGAAAAAGTTCACTTCGAGTCATGCGGTGCTTGATCACGAGCATTTGGATAATATATGGGGCCGTGACGTGAGTTCTGTGGTGTTTCCGTTGGTTTTGGCCGCTTTGGAACCCGAAACTGTGATTCCCTCGCCTGTGGGTAAACCTGAATAAATACTTGTTACATATAGAATTTGAATTCTCTGCATCCACAATATTCAAGCGACTGTACGTATTCATGGAAACCTATCTGGTAATAGCTCTCTATAGAAAGCTCGATTGTCATTGATCCATGTTTTTCAAAGCATCGAGACAGATATAAATTAAAGAAGTTAGGAAGTGGGACGTATACAAACTCGAAAAAGATCGATGATCTGATCAGTAACATTATCGAAAGAATCCTTTTTCTTCTAAGAATATTAGCTAAGAGTCTATAACCTTCATCATGAAAGCTCCCTTTATGTTTATATCGTTTACGCCATCTCACTAGAAAAGTATCTGTAGCTTTATATGGATAGTTAAGGCTCTCCGAAGTGAAGTTATATGTTCCGTATTTGACTTTGTGAGGCTTTAACTGAGTTCACCAAAATGGAATAACTCTGGCACCAAATAAGTTTCAAGATGGCGATTACTAGCCGTTTAATTTTTTTTTGGAATCATACTGATCGCATGGAATCATAGTGTAGTACCTATTAATCTGTTTTATGTCTGCCCCAGTTGGGCGCAAGTAGGTTCATTTTTCAGAGAAGAGGGTAACCCCATACTATCTTACTATCTTAAATGTAGTACATTTGCACGTTATCCACCTCTGACTCTTTGAATGGTATGATTCAAAAAGTACTTTTATACCATATCCAAAAATGGCTAGCCATTTCTACTTATTTCGCAATTTTGTCACCTGCTCATCAAAAGAAAAAAATTCGTTCGATTGAAAAAAATACAATATGATTCAATACGGGGCACGGACTCAGGACAACTAAAAAGAAAACTTTGACCACCCTATTAACAGGAGAATTATTATGGAAAGCACCTTTTCATCGACTCTTCACTCCTTCCGACTGAAGGTTGCAAAAACGTCGTGCACGTACCGATGTGTGGCTTTGAAAGCAACGGAAAAAAACCACAAGAATAAATCTCCAGTCTTTGTCACTTTCCACGATATCTGAAGTTTCTGCCGATAAAAGAGCCCCCCTCTCTAATTTGCATCTCTCGAATATCGAATGGCTCTGATCGTCCTGCACACAGATCCGCAGACGGCGACATTCAATTTGCACCTTCTCTTCACACTTCAAAGTGACCGTTTTCTTATCAAGAACCCACGATACATCTTGGTCGCTTTTTTTTCCGGCCATTTCGTTTTCTCCAAAAGTGCCCTGGAAAATTTGAAGTTCAGGCGCAGTCCTTCTATTTAAAGTGCGCCAGTCATTATGGCCGCTACTGTTCACCTTGTATGTTCATGAATCCAAGATTCCTTTTTTTTTTTTTCTGCTAGAGGAAACGAATACTAACGTCCAGGATGATTCTGACTCCGCAAAGAGCTTCAACCCTACAAGTATGTTACTCCCTATCTCGTATATACTCTTTCACGGTATATTCATTGTCTGCATTGCATACTAACTTTTCTAGCATTGATCGAAGGACTCGAAAAACAAGTTCCCCGAATAATGTCTGCTGCTGCATCGGATCCCGAATACGACCCGATAATAGAGGACTTGAAGAAAATTGTGCCGCTGAACGCGCCGTCAAGCCTAGGTTTCGAAGCAGACATGGAAATCCCAAGCATAAAAGATTACTCTCTACGGCTTGCAAGCACACTAGAGCTTCTTCTAGAGGAGACGTCGGATGACTCTCGAATGCAGTACGAGGTGGAAGTGAAAGACATGACTGTTCAGGTGCCGGTCCTGCTGGCAGAACAGAGCACCCGAAAGTATCCCGACGACTATCTCTCGCGCATCTTGATCGACTGCTACCAACCACTAATGAAGCTCTCCACGCTGTATTTTAATCTTGCTTTCTCTTCGCACATCACAAAGTTTCTTGTCAATGTCGTCTACAGCTTGGAGTGCTGGGAAATCTACCATCTTTTGCAAATGATCCCGAGCTTCTCGTACTTTTTGAAACTTGTGGACATTGGTGTCACAGAAACGCCCTTGGGCAACATTGTGTCGCCGCCTCAGAATCTTATGCGTTTTAATTTGCGCCAGGGCTTCCAGTACCCGTTCCCATACCCAGCTTATCATTTCTCCTACCACACCATCGACCCCCACGTATCAGCGAGAAAATATGCCCGTGTCCAAATTAAACCATACATAGATCTCCGGTTGAAAAAGACGAAGCCACAGGTAGCAAAGCCGCTTCGAAAAAACCCCCAGCCATATCGAAGCTCGACTGATGGAGATGAATCGTCGGAATCTCGTGTTACGGTGTCTCCTGTAAAGCAGGCTAGCCACACGAGTGAGGCGGATTTTGCAAGACATCACAAGGTTTATATATTTATGCGTTCTTCCCCCAAGCAGATCGAGGAGGAGTCGCTCAATCTTGGGAAGGATGAAGAAGATGACGACGAAGAGTACGACAGCGAGTCGGCACTAGCTCAGGACAAAGAGGATTTGGAAAAAATGGATCCTCACACCAGAGCTGAAGGAAAGTACGTGTTTGTACCTTCGTCATACGAGGAAAGGTTGCAGAATGACCAAAGGACAAAAGCAAGATTGGCTACGGTGCACCAGTGTCGACTTCTAGATCCAGGAACAAATCGACCATGCCTAAAGATATTCTACGGGAGAAACGAGCTCCGGCGCCACAAAGAGTTTGTTCATGCTACGAACAGGAAGCTATACCGGTGTGTCTTTTGCGAGAAAGAAGGTAACAATGACCGGTTCTATCCGCGGCACGATTCCTTGGCCCGCCACATCAGAAGGCAGCATGGCATCACAGGACGAGAAAACAAGACGGCCGTGTCTTTAGCAAAACAACACGCCGAAATCAGGGAAAAAAGCCCCATTCAAAGTGTACCTCCCAACGCATACTTTACTCTTCCCTCCCAGGGCCCTGTACCTGTGGCATCATCATCATATGGAAACCAAACGAATACCGTCGGCTATAAGCTACCTCCACTTTCCGATCCGAAAACCGTGCGCAGTATTCCTTATCAGACGATTCCTCCTCCGCTTCAGTTTGCAAATCTTCCGCCTTACCTACCACCGCCCTCGACATTGTTGCAAGACGAAGAGTCTACAAAGTCTTTCGGCCGGGGAATGCCTCCGGGATACCAGAAGTTCCGTTTCCCAAATAACTATTACCCTCCGGCAAATCTGCAATATGGTCCGGTCTACGGTGCCACAAATGTATTTTCTAATGACCTGAGAAATTTTCCCGGTAGTATGCCGCCCAGGGGACCCATTTTACCTGAAGGTTCTAGCATAAACAGAAATCTGCTTCTGCAAGGACAGATTCCGCCTACGAATCCATCTGACGAGAGAAAATGATCCTCGAAGAAATCAAACTCATAGCCAAAGAAACGGAATTTATGAAGTGAGAAATGTCGAATCAAGAGTCACTGCTAACGTTTAATCAGGGTACAGGAAGTTAGTTAGAAAGAGGCACAAACCATTCTCATCTACGAGTCTTGCATTGGTATGAACTCAAAACGTCTAGAAACTTGTTGTACAGTGTTTTCGGCTACCATCAGGATTTGGGTGACGTTAATGACGTGAGGTGGTGGTGCACATTGTACAACCCTGCACAGTATCATATCCAGGAATGGTTGCAAAATGGTCGTGTCTGAACAATGTCTCGCTCAGGCTGATCCCTTGCCGTATATCCCTTCCCCATGCATTAGAACGACATCAGCACTATATAAGGGAGCACCAGACTCCGTCAAATAATTAAATTCATCACACTTATTTTAATTCTATCACAGCATTTGTATTTCTTATACTATGGCTTTTTTTTTTTTGCCGACCTCGCTTCAGTCGTGTACACCCCAACTGCGCTTATTCGAGTTTTGCAGTCGGCCTCAACACGCTAAGCCCCAGGTGTCAGACTTCTTACAAGACAATCACTTTCGGATATTCGGATATCCTCTTCCTCAGGATCTGTCAAAGACCCCTTCTTCATTTCTTGCAAACTTCTTTTGAAAGTGGGTGTGCCGCCTTATCCCCGAAAGGGCCTCGATCGGACAATACACACTCATGAGCCAAGTTTCCCTGAGCCCCTCTCGTCCTCCAAGTTTCGACTTGCATTCCCAGTATCCATCCGAAAGGCTTTTGGCAACGCCTTCCACCCGTGCACACTCCCAAGATACGTATCCTAGTGTGGAATATGGAAACGGTCAAGTGACTGGCGTTGAAAGAGGCCACAATCCTCTTAAACATGCGCCGATTCTAGCGAGCCAAGCACAAGCCGGCGGAATGCTTCAACTGTTTGCTGCCGAGGAGTCACAAAAGTCGAAGTTTCTAGAAACTCAGATGGTGGACATTTTAATCAGTGCTGCACCGAGCAATAGTGTGGAATATTCAGAGCACTTATCCAAAATTGCAGACCTTTTGGTGAAAAACGTTCTTTCCGAAGATCAGAAGAAAGTGCTCGAGGAAAAATTGCAATCTCTCGCGGACATGTTACCTCGCTTTGTCGAGCTCGAAAACCCAGCCGCCTCGAAATTATACTTGGTGGTCGAAAAATGTTTTGATAATTTCATCCAAATCTCTACGAATTCAGACAATATGGAACTTGCGACATTGACGATCCGGTTTTTAACCTCCGTGATCATGAACTTGAACTACTGGGAATTATACAACTTACTTCAGTGGAAGCCTGTCATTTACCAATTTTTAACACTCATAAACTACGACATAAACGAGTGCTATGCGGATTTTATCAAAAATTACGGAAAATATGCATACAGACAAGAGAGTATTTCTGAGTCGGCTTTGCTTAGAGCGGCTGAAACAAAGGAAAAGGACAAACAACAACCTTCGCATCTGAAATCTTCCCTTTCTCCGACTCCAGAAATTGATAGCTCGCAGGAGAAGACGCCAAAATATTATGCAAACAAGGAAATTAGCGACGATCACGACAGGTTTGTTTGGGAGCAAATGACTGTGGAAAAGGAGAAACCTATTCCACGAGAGCGAAGGAAAATGAGAGTGGACTCAAAATTAGCAGCCCACCGCATTATTAAAAGAGCAGAAAGTGACCTTGCAGCTAACAACCGCTCTTCAAACTACGATCCGGATGTCATCCATGAATGTCAGCTTCCTTCGTCCGATGAGCCTAGTAAACTATGCTTGCGGCGCTTTTCAAGAAAATACGAATTGATCAGACACCAAGAAACAGTGCACTCAAAAAAGAAGAAGCTCTTCAAGTGCTTTGTATGTGTGAAACAGGACCCAGCAAATGGGCCGCGGATTTTTACGCGGCATGATACTTTAGCCAAACACATTCGAGTCAACCACCGGATTTCTGGCAAGGAAGCAAAAGCAGAAGTGGCGTATTCTAAGAAACACGCTGAGATTGTGGAAGAAGGCGATATTACAGTCCATGTAGGGCGCAGGAAGACCAAAGTGGACTTTGAGCTCAGAGCACATATGGAGAAAAAATCGGGCCGGCAGGCACCAGACGGTAGCATCATCTTTGATGATGGTGATTCTCCGCAATCAATGGAATCGGGCGACGATATGGATGACAATGAGTAACCGCTTGATGCTGTACCACTCATTTACGAATACTGCAACACTAATTTCTGCATGCTAAAGCTAGAAAATAGCTGGCTTAAAACTAGTACGGATGGACATTAAGCATAACAACCAAAAAGCAACACATCATGTCTTGCTACTGACCTCTAGTATCGACATACATTCAATAATATACATTACAACTTTTCTGCGCGGCGCTCGTACTCTTGTTGCTCAAGAATGGCCTTCTTCACCTCCTCATCCTCCAAATCATCGAAAATCTCTTTGGGCACACTGGCCAAGCCCGTTACCTTCCGACGAATATCCGGATTGTAGTACTTGATGGAGCATTCGATCGTTTCATCGTCGTGTGCTGGCGCAATCTTGTCGAGCCGGGATCTGGTTGGCTGACTGGCCAAGGGATAAAAGTTGAATCCACTGTACGTGTCCTTGACACCGCGTAGCCAAACCTGGTTTCTTTGCTCCGTCAATGTTTTGTTGAACTCCAATGTTTGGAGCGAAACCTGATACATCCACGTTGGGTCAGTCTGATAATTGATCAACGCGGATCCTGTGACTTGTGCTTGGTATGGGTTATGATCGCCAGTACCATAACTGGAGCCTCCCATGGTCGAAGCAGCTTCCTCTGGGTCCGCGTATTCGCCAGAAACATCTCCTCTGTCAATGGCCTTTTGCTCCCAGAAATCATCCACCACTTTTTTACCCCCAACAATCATGCGGGCACCAAACTCACGGAAAATAGATCTTGCAGTAACCAAATTGACGGAACGGCCCTTGTAAGAAGTTGGAATCAAGTGCCTTTGAATCAAATCCATTTTCTCTTCATGCGTACACACTTTCTTGAACAACGATAGATGGGTTTTGAACAACAAGTATGAGTCTCTAAATCCCACCAAACGCGCTGGTTCGGTGGAAACCATGTATTGACGATCTCCCTTGCCCAAAAGAGTAAAAGTCTTGATGCGGAATTTTCTGTCGCCTTTCAAAAAGCCATTTTCATCGATTTTCTCCAACCCTTTGGGATCCTCGTCTTCAATCACCACCTCGTCGTTCTTGATTTTGATCTCGTTTCCCTTTTCGTCAAAAAACACGTCTTCTGGCCGCGGAATCTTGGGCTTTCTTCCTCTCTTTTTACCCTTTCTTTTGATTGGCGCTTTCTCCTCTTCTGTCTTCCCTTCCTCTTTGATTTCCGTATCGTCTTCGTTCGGATCTTCGTTATCTTCGTTGTGATCGTCGTTTTCATTCAAATCCTCTTCTGGCTCCTCTGTAGCAGCCTTTCTTTTTCTACCGCGCCTTGGTTTGGCTGGCACATCATCTTCGTCGTCTTCTTCTTCCATCTCTTCGTCTTCATCGTCCTCTTCTTTTATGTTCGTTTCATCAAAGTCTTCTTCCCCTTCATGGTACTCGTCGTCTTCGCCTTCGGGATCCAAATCCATTCCCGCCAAGTTTTTGCGCTGGGCCCTAGAATGGCGTGGCGATCTTATTTGGTCCGATTCGTCTTCCAGGTCTGTCTTTGGCATGTCTGGCTAAAGTAGTGAAAGGTTGAGTGTTTGTTACTGTTGATGTGCGAGTTCACGCACGTGACCTATACCTCGATACTTGTGTTTGATATTAATGCTCTTCATAAATTGCGTTTTATTTTTTTTCAAGAGTTTTGCTCCTTCACAGATGGCTTGGCAGATGCTGCTATGAGAGTAGAACCTTGAGTCCATGAATATTCGTGTGGTGTAATCTTTTATAGGCTGCGCGCAGTCTATACGAATATCTTTCACCAACTGAACAATACATTGAGCAATCCAAAGGCACCTAGTATCCTTTACTTTATAAGGATTATGGTTGTTTCGGTACTACTTTATCTTCAAAAATGCTTTTTCAAAAAAGTCATCTGGCCTTGGTAAGTATATTCTTCTGCATTCGTCTCATCTGTCAACTCAATCGTCTTTATAGCGTGTTTAAGTGAGAAATGGTTGTGACTAAATTACATACCGAAGGCAATGCTTGGTGAAAAAGAAATGAAGAGCTGCTCAATGGTTCTGCCATTACTTTCGTGTAAGGGAAAAATTAAAGCTGCAGGTTAAGTAAAAAGAAAATAGTCTACTATCCGCTACTTCCTACGCCAACGCTAGATCTCATATATACAAGTACACATTTAATGCCTGGAATCATGCGTCATCCTTCTTCTCTTCAGGAGGCTGCTCATTCTTGAAAGCGTCGTTGCCATCAAGATATTTGTCAAATGCATCGTTTGTCTCTGGGAACGGTCTCTTGCCCAACAAACGTATCATGTCCTCTCTAGTAATAAACTCCTTCTTCAACAATTCTTGGGCAACAAGCTCCACCTCTTGTGATTTCTCCGACAACAATTGCTTGCACCTATCGTAACATTCTTTGACGATTCTTTCGACTTCCTCGTCAATGATCTTATTGGTCTGGTCACTGAATGGCTTAGTCAAGTTGTCTTGGCTTTGAGTGTCAGCGTAGTTCACCATTCCAACTCTTTTGGACATGCCGAAGCGCAACACCATCGATTGGGCAATGTTGGTGACTTTTTTGAAATCATCGTGTGCTCCACTAGTGACAGAAGCAAAGTTGAGCTCTTCGGACACTCTGCCACCCAAAGTCATGATCATCCGGTCGTAGAGTTGCAACACAGTAAAAAGATACTGGTCTGGTGGCAAATATTGCGCATATCCCAAAGCGCCTTGGCCTCTTGGAATGATCGACACCTTAAGCAAAGGATGCGCGTAACGCAAGAACCAGCCACAGACGGCGTGGCCAGCCTCGTGGTATGCGACAATCTTCTTTTCTTCTGGGTCCAAAAGTTTCGATTTCTTCTCAACACCTCCAATGACTCTTTCGATGGCCAATTCAAAGTGTCTTAAAGTAACAGCTTTTGCATTATACCGCGCAGCAATTAACGCTGATTCATTGCACACATTGGCAATGTCGGCTCCAGAAAATCCGGGAGTCAAGGCAGCCAAACGACCAGATAAGTCTTTGTCGATGTTTTCTGCTAACTTGATTTTCTTCAAGTGAACCTCGAAAATCTCCTTACGACCTTGCAATTCAGGATTGTCAATAGCAATGTGCCTGTCAAATCTTCCTGGTCTCATTAAGGCCTTATCCAAAATGTCCGCTCTGTTTGTACCTGCTAAGACGACAACGTGGTCTGTGCTATCAAAACCATCCATTTCAACCAACAACTGGTTCAAAGTAGTTTCACGCTCATCGTTGGCTCCGCTTGCATTTCCCTTGGATCTCTGCTTACCAATGGCATCAATCTCGTCCACAAACACAATGGATGGAGCGTTTTCTCTGGCAGTTTTGAACAAGTCACGCACACGCGAGGCACCCACACCAACAAACATTTCAACGAACTCAGAACCAGAGACAGAATAGAAGGGAACTCCAGCTTCTCCTGCGGTGGCTTTGGCCAACAAAGTTTTACCAGTACCGGGAGGACCAGACAAAATAGCACCACGGGGAATCTTAGCACCCAACTTCTCATACTTGGCAGGTTGTTGCAAGAATTTGACGAACTCCATCACCTCTTGTTTCGCTTCGCTCATACCTGCAACGTCTTTAAACTTGACCTTGACGTCAGTCTCTTGATTGAATTTTTTTGCTGTCAGTTTACCAAATCCTAATGGTCCACCCATACCGCCCATACTGGCCTTTTTCGTCATGTAATAGATGGCTCCGAGGAACAACAAGGTTGGAAGGAAATTCACCAACATCTTGGTGGTACTGCCCTCAGAAACATAAACCACAGGAAGTCTGAGTTCATCCGGAATCTTGTACTCCTCTTGGACTTCCCTCAAATTTCTCTCAAACAGCTCAATGCTTCCAATGCTGAAATAATATTCGCCACCATGAGAATACTGAGCCTTTCCATTATCATTTAACTCGAGGAGGGCAGTGCGGTGGTTGATGACAATGAGTCGTGCCACGAGATTCTTGCGCAAGAAATCAGAAGAGAATTCCTGGAAAGAAATCTCGTGGTTCCCGTTCTGCGAAGTCAGGTAGAAGAGCACCAATGTTAAACCACCCATCAACCCGAGAAGAAACAAACGAGCATTTTGTCCGGTGATGTCAATGTCGAAGTACTTGTAATCCTGGTTCTTTTTCTCCAGAGATTTCTTTTCCACCCGTGGTTTGTCCAGACTTCTATTGTTACTGCCTGCGCTCTTAGTACTTTGCTGCTCCGCATTTACACCTTTGGCTTTGAGCATCTCCCGCACGCGGTTCAATTCCTCAGAGTAGACTTTGAACTGGTGATATTCTTCGCCACAAAGAGGGTTGGAGTTAACTTCGCCTTCCTTGGCAAAAGGTACGGCCCAAAAGACACCGAAAACGTCAAACCACGTACGGATTAATTCAGGTTCCAAGCTAGAAGTTTTCGCAGCGAGTGATTCCATTTCGGCGCTCTCCATGTCGATGTGGTTTTTCGCGTACAACTTGAATATGGTTTGAACCTCCTCGTTGTCGAAACGAACGTCCGCGGCATGGTCAATGGAGTTCAGAAGGCGGTAAAAGACGTCGAAAGCCTGCTCAATTTCCGTCTTTTGGAGCGGCGCAAGCGAAGGATGTTCCTTTTGGAACTCGTCCGTAATCCGCTGAAGCACCAATTCTGGGTTCTGAAGCTTCAGCTGAGCGTAAGCGTCACACTCCTGGACAAAGCTCGCCAACAAAAACAGCAAAACCTCCTGATAACGACGGACAGCCGCCATATTGGTAGCGTCTGCCACATGAAGAATAGCAGGGTCACTTTCAGTGAGATAGTTCTGGAGCTCAATCACACGGGCCTCCTGTGCGTCGACTTGTGGGCGCAAGCGCCATTTGTCTAGAAATCCGGCCTTGTCGAAACGGCCACGGAGCTCATGCAACTTTTTCAATTCTTGGGCAAGCTTGTTCTCATGGTCCTTCTGGTCTAGGCGGCGTGGCGAAGTGGTGAAAAAACGAGCCGAGAGCGACGGGCGAGCCGGGAATGCTCGCGGGGTCCAGCGGCGAGACACGGCCGCGGGTGGCCTGCTTGCTCGGATGGTTCTCATTTTTGTAGATGTGAATAGTGATTTGCCTTTGGAGCTAATTGCCTTTGGAGAAGCGCGGGCACAGGGAGGCACGGGTCTGAGAGCAGGATACTTCACCAAGATGGCGAAAGGAGAGGATAAAGAGGAGGAGAAGAGAAAATCGAAACAAGGCAGAAGTGGCGGACAGAAGAAGAAAGAAATTGATGGTTTAGTGTGGTGATGTTGGAGGTACTCCAAATCCAACTTCCTAGTCACGTGACCGAACACACCAGAGTAGAAGATAATAGCATTGGTGTCGAAACTAATGCTTTGGCTTAAAACTTCAATAATTGATCTCTTGACTTCCAGTAATGGCAAAATAGCCTAAAATTACTTTTCGGAAGCAAGACATCAAAAAGGAGTTTTCGAAGCTGACATTTTTGCAGTGAGCAGGTGATCTACTCTATATCTTTTTTCTTACGATCGTGTTCTTTCATCATTCCATCCATTAGGCTCCTTGCAATTTTTGTTTGGTTGCTTGTCTACAAGATTTTTTGGTATCCAGTGCCCTCATTAATGTGCGAGACTTCAGTGGGCCAGCCTAGAAAAACGAGAACCTTTGGTTAGATGTAGTCATCAACTGGAATATGTATGTACGATCAGAGACAAAAAAGGCTCCAGAAACACCCCTTATTACCCAGCCTTGATTACCTAGCCTTGATTACATTCAATTCTATTCTGTAATCACAATGCGGGGATCTATTAGTGCCCAAGCTGTCTGTCAAACCAAAATTACGAGGTCGCATTTTGGACATCTACAGGTCGGTCATCTGGCCTGTCTACGGAACGCTAATCTACAGTACGCCTATTCTCTGGTCCCCCAGTCCTTGAAGCTGTTATTGATTTTCAATCTCTACATTCTGATCCAAACTTCTCGGGCCCAGTTCGGTTCCTCTGCTAAGCTCATGTGCCAAATTTGTGTCTGACTTTAAGGGTCTAGTGCAATGGGGCGCACATTTCGGCCGGCGCGCCAGATCCGCCTCATCCGAAGGGCCAAAATGCTTCAACGGCTTGGGCCGAGAGCCGCACCGAAATTCCCGTTGACACATGCACTCGTTCGATCCGTTTCACTTGTCTAATCACCATCACTTTTGACTTGGGCTTGGTCATATTTATCGACAAGAACTTACTAACGCCGCTGCATATTGGCCGATTGCTTGACAAAATCGGCTTCTTTCCATCGCTAAATACAACCGCTTGGCTTTCTACTCCGCTTGAAGCTGCATCCATCAACTTTACCGCTCGGCTTTGACATATCGCTTCTCTCATCCGGCAACACTTAAATTTTGCCTGATTTGACTCAATTGGCTCAGCCGGACTAAGTTTCATCTCGTTTGAATAGTTTCCTCGTCTCACTTCACCAATTGCCCCATCCCCGATCAACCTCATGGCGCTGGATAGTCCTGTGGCGTATTCTCCCCACGCTGAACACAATGTCTCTCGACGCTATACTCGAGAAGATGCAGACTCGCTCGTGGGAGGAGACTCGCTCGAAAACTTGGTTCTTGAGACAAAACCAGCGGACGCCCACAAAAAAGTCTTTTCCTTTTCGCTACCCTTAGGCGGACTCTCTGGTCTTCAGCTCAAATTTCCATTCTCGAGCAAACTTTCAGATCCAGAAGTGGAGCAGCTACGGCTCCGGCTAGAAAGACACGACACACTTAGCACGCTCGATGAAGATCGTCTCTTTGCTGCCAAAGCTACAGACGATGTCCGTTTCCGTGCTGTCAAGCATCTGCTTAAGGAAAATTTCACTGACATCCTACCGGACTTTATCAAGAAGGATAAGTCATATGAGGCGATTTTTGCGGAGCTTTCAGGGCCTGTGGCAATTCTAGGCGGATACAGAGGCTCAATCTTGCGTGATGCCCGTAATGGCAAACGGGTTTGGATCCCGCTCAAGGCAGGGCTCAATTTGCGCCGCATCAACTTGCTTCTCGGACCATCGAGAGAAGATGAGCTTCACGCAACAGATTACATTTACCCCGATGGCATGTTGAAAAACGTAGGTCCGTTTGACATTTCTAAAAAGCTCATGAAAAAGTTGGCCCACAACCCCAATGTGACCGTTAGAGACTTCGGTTATGATTGGCGACTCAGCCTTGATCTTCTGGCAGACAAGTTGATTGAGTTTCTAGAAGGTTTGCGCAGAGAAACAGGCCGTCCCACCATTGTCATTGCTCACTCAATGGGCGGTTTGGTGGCGCATGGTGCTCTTCAGAAAAGACCCGAACTTTTCCGTGGCTTAGTTTACGTTGGCTCACCCAGCGAATGTTTGAATATCTTGGGACCACTCCGTTATGGTGATCTGATTATGCTATCGGACCGTATCCTCACGTTCGAGACAAACTTTATGATGCGTTCGCTGTTTGCATTTTTGCCATTGCACGGGCGTGTTTTTGCCAACATAGAATCAGGCGAGTTCTTTGACTTGGACTACTTTGATCCAGATACATGGGTCGAGTACAATCTCAACCCGCTAGTGCTGAAAACAAGAAAATTAGCTGAAGAAGCGAAGGGCCCTAATGAAGAAACAGTGGTGCAGATACCGAAAGAGAATGTAGAAGAAGGCGGTCCTCTTACAACTATAGGGTCTCGCATCAAGATTCTCCAGCCCAGCATAGCACGCCGGCACAAACCCACGCTTCTTACTAATCTGCAGATGCAAAAACGCCACAAATCGGGCCGTTCCAGCCCCCTGCCAGGAAGTCCAAGTCTGGATGGATTCCAAGACTTTAAGTTCCACTTGACTTTCGCCGAGGCCTACGACTACCTCTGTGACACTCTTCGGCGCACGAAAGAATACGTACTTGGACTCGAGTACAAGCCAGAATTGGAAGATAAATATCCGCCTTTGGCTGTGGTTTACGGCAACACGATTCCGTCTGTTCGGGGTTCCAATGTGCGCAGTCCGCAGGACATCAAGGACGGGAATTATTATGAATTTTTTTACGGACCAGGGGACGGAGTTGTACACGAGCGGTGGCTAATGCCAGAAAAGAAGGGTTTCAAGCATTATGATCCTAAGACAGGAAAGGGCCATATTGTGGGTAAGTTTGCATCTGATTGTGGACATGTGAGTCTCATGACGGACTTTAAGGTGATTGCCGAGGCGTTGAGCGCAATAGTAGAGGCCGAGAAGAACTGGAAAAAGAATACTGAGAGTGACGAGAAAACAGCCAGCAGCGAAGAGAGTAAATAGACTTGAAGGGATAAGAAGAAGGTGATTATATAATGCGACGTATGACTTCAGCGAAGAAAATTGTAGTTGATAGGATAGGTCAGTGCGTAAGTAAAAATGATATGGAACACACCTTGTACTAAAGTATTGCCAGGAGCCCAAAATACTACGTGTGGTTTTTTCAGAGCTGTAAGTTTGTTCTGGACAGTTCAACATGATTTTTGGCAGAAGCGTACATTGAGTATTTGAGCGGACTGAAAAAGAATAATGCCCAGATTAGCATCAACATGGAGAGAGCCCAACGTATGTCCAAGAATTGTAGACAATTTAATTTGATGAAAGTGATTATTAGACGATTCATAAGAGCGATTATCATGAAGGTGAGTTGAGAAAGTAATCATATTAATGGTGGTAATACTAATGATGCAGATTGTATCGATGACGCCCGAAGACGGCCGATGACGCTGATCCAATATTCATCAATGATGAAGATTATTGATCACGCTGTTGAGTAATGACGATGCTGGTTATCAATGCATAGAGCTGATTTAACAAAGCTCACTCCAGTTCTTCCACCTCTTCGTACTGCACTGTGATCCAGAGCGAGCAGCTCAGACAGGGCGCCGCAAGCTGAAGCCCGCCTGCGCCGTCGGGCGTTCCTGCCTCCAAGTCCGCCTCGGTAAGGGCAATCGCCGCCTGAGCAGAGCACCGCGGGCAATCGCGCGCCCAAATGCCATCGGTCTCCACAAACGTTTCGAGCGTATACAGATCGAGCCCCGAGCCCAAAAACGGGCGCAGATGCGAGCCCAACTTCTTGTCATACTGCGCACGACACTGGGGGTCGCTAAGCGCCTCGTAGGCTTCTTTAAGGCGCAGAACTGAGATGCGGGCCACGGCGCCGCCGGTTTTGTCGGGGTGCGACGTGAGAAGAAGGCTGCGGTAGGCGGCGCGGATGTCTTCGGGCGACGCCGAGGGCGAGACGCCAAGCACAGCGTAATGCGAAGACATTGCCTCTGAACTCTCTTAAAGGTGAGCAGTGGGCGAGTCTAGTAGGATTGCAAAGTGTCCGAAAACTGTTCGGAGGTGTCCAGATGTCCAAGATGGGTTCTCCAAGCACCAGTTGTAAAGCAGTTGTCTGGCCAGTTCTAAGCAGTTCTAACCAGTCTAAGCAGTTCTAACCAGTTGTCAAAGCCGTTGTCTAACAGTTGTCGAATGGTCAAGTATCAAGTCCAGTCAGACAGAGTCAGCCAGTCCAGATTCGTTCCAGTAAATGCGTCGCGATCCAGTCGAATGTTGTCCCGAATTCCGCAGCGCTGGACTTAACTTGCCGATCCGCTTAAAAGCTCGTCTAGATTCTGTCTTATCGACTTGAAGCTAGTGGTACTTTCATGGCGATGTGCGTGCGCGCGCAAAACCACCGATGCGATCGCACCAAAATTTCTCGATGACCTAAAAACTTCCCTACTCATGTCGAAAAAAGAGTTCAAAACGACCGAGTTGCGCGTGGCCGCGTGCGCCCCTCAGCCCGTGGCCGTCGTGGGATCCTTCTTCAACGGCATGCGTGTGCTGCCCGACACCAACTTTGAGCTCTTTCAAAACAAGCAGAATGGCTCTTTTCTCGTCCATGGCGAAAACAGCACCTTGGAGTATAATGGTGTGGATGCAGACGACGCATGTGACTACGCCGTGGCGCTTTATGACCCAGCGCACAAGTCCGTCGAGCTTTTCCCGGCGCCCATGGTGCACGGACGAGTGACATCTCTTGACGCCAGAGTCCACAAGGGCCCCAAGATCAAGCTGCGGGGCGCCCGTGCTGCGGTCCAGAGAACCGCTTTGGGCGAAGCTTTCGGTACGAAAAAGGCCAAGGCGGCCATCGCCAGTCTGGAGCGCAATCGGATCGACGCAGACAAATTGCAAGACATGGAGTTGGACATTGTCGACAACGTCAAGGAGCTCACGCTGGACTTGCCCTCGCGCGAGCAGTTGCAAGACGTCAGCGTGCTGGTGCGCCCTACGCCTCCGGCAAACGTGGATGCTACAAGTGTCGAGGACATTTACGCCCTCCACTCGATAATACCCAAGAAGGAGTGGGCCAGCATCCGGGTCCAGGCCATCTTCGACGAGGAGAGCGCGGAAAAGCGCATGGAAATGATGCCCTTTGGCCTGTCGGCGTTCGTGGCGAAAAACTTGCCCAAGTATGTTTCGCTCCACAACACGGAAAAGGTGCAGATGTTGTACTACGCGGCTTTGTTGTTTGGAATCTACCACCACCGCCGTGTCCGCGACAAGACGTCGCTCATGGAGCGCTTGGAAAACAAGCCATCCGAGCTCTTGGTCGACGGCGTGTTGGGCCGTTTTGCTGTGGCCAGAACCACTGCCGTGGGAAAATCCAAAGACCGCTCTTTTGTCATTGATCCCTTCCACGAGGACAAATTGCTATGCTACTTGCTTGCGCTTCTTTTCCACATTGAAGGTTTCACGTTGGAGGTGCTTCCGTTGGCAAACGAGTTGAACATGAAACCCACACGACTCGTCGGTTTGTTCCGTGCTTTGGGCGCCACCATCAAGCCCGTGGGCGTTGGAATGGCCGAGGCCATTGGCTTGTCCAAGAAGGAGGCTTCTACTTACAAGGTTGCGGTGTTGCGTGTGCCTTTCAAGTTGCCTGAAATGGTGAGAAAGGGCGCCAGACGCTAGGAATTGCATAGGCTGGTTTCGGCCGGAAACTCATTGGACGTTTCGTAGACTTGACATAGGAGCATGAAAATACAAGAGACATAAGAAAGAATATGAGGGCTAGAGTGGTCTGCTCTGCTCATCGATAATTCTGTGGTGCATTTTTAGGAAAACGGAAAACGGGCATCATAGTGTAATGGCCCGGACGTGATACATGTAGAATACATGTACATATCATCACAGAGAAAAACACACTGCTTTTCATAAGTAGCATATTGTTTGTACCGGTTGGAGTGTATGGTGATACCTTTACTTCCCATACAGGCGACATCAACCTCATCACATTGACAAGTCCAATGACAACAGAATCGGAGAAACTCAGTGACTCGCTTGCGCAATTGGCCCAATGCGAGCAGAAGATCGGCGAAGCCGAAAAGGATGTGGAGATTTATCGCATCAAGAAAACCCAGTCGATCTACTCGGAAAGAAGAAACATCACTAAGCAAATCCCACAGTTCTGGTATATTGTGCTTGCCCAAAACGATGATTTTGCTGACTACGTACGGGCCGAGGACTTGAAATATTTGGATTTCATCGAGGACATCTATGTTCATTTCGGTATTGCCGATTCGGCTTCCGTTAAGCATTACAGAGACTTTTCCATCACCGTCTCTTTCAAAGACGACACCGGCACTGTTCCCACGCAAACCGTGACCAAAAAGTTTTTTGTTTCGGAAGATAATGGTGAAGAATCCATCTCCTCTGAGGCTGTTGCAGTGGAATGGCCGCAGGAGCTCAAAGACATTTGTCCAGCAGAGATCCGCTCCAAGAAAGACGGCGACTACACTCCAGAACAGAAGAAAAAGTATCGCCAAGGCATGAAATCGTTCTTTGCATGGTTTGAATGGACCGGAACTAAGCCGTCCAAGGAGTTTCGGAGCGGCGAAGATTTGACAAGGTTGATACTCGATGACTTATTTCCTAACGCAGTGCGTTATTATGCCGAGGCTTTGAAAAACGACCAAGAAAGCGAAGAAGATAGTCTGGAGGGAGAAGAGTTGGATGTGAGTGACACAGAGCCAGCGCAAAAGAAACACAAAAGCGAATAAGAGTGGCTACAGATAAAAAATCGACTCAGTAAAGTGTCAATTTTGATCTCCTCAACAGACTACAGCTGCTTAGAAACGAAGAAATCAACTCTACCTGACACCAATTTCTGGCGAATGTCGGCCACCAACGCATATTCGTTCCACATCATTTTCTGAGTCTTTTGAAAAGAATCGACGGCACAATTGCAATCGCTACACAAGTTAGCCTTGAACACATAGATTGTCACTCTTGACGACTTGTTTGTATACGCATCTAAGCTAGTGGCCCAAAACAGTAAATTTCCAAATTTAGAACAACAATTCCATTTCTACATCCGCCGTAAACTCATCTCTGAATGTACCATAACTACTTAAAACAGCCTGTCGTCTTGAGTGGATGTATGGGTCTTTTCCATCGTACGAGCAAAATACGCTAATACTCAAATACTGGAGAGCAGGTGATGCGCGCCTGCACATAAACTCATTTATGTGTGGGCTATTGCACACGACAGGAGCTTTGGATCCACTTCTAACTCCACTAATACGTATAATGCACTCAAATAAGATTATATATACACTTTTGGCACCCCTCAGACCACATTGTACCGGAAAACAGACGGGCTCCAACAGCTGAGGTTGCCTGGTGTACGGGTGTTCTCATACCGCGCTTTAGCCCGCTCGTACCAGTTTTACTTCCCCAGACCAATGTTTCTTTGCACAAGGCGACTTGCCACTTCGGCCAAGCCCATTTTGCAAGATATTGTTGTTGTGGGCGGCGGTCCTGCAGGGCTTTCCATAGTGGCGGCGCTCAAAAACTCGCCTCGCACCAAGCATCTTACTTGCACTTTGGTGGAGGCTCTGAGTTTAGCGCCAGCCCGTTCTTTTGCAGAACAAGCGCCGCCAGAGCTCACAAACAGAGTGGTTTCGCTTACGCCACATTCAGTGGACTTCATGCGTACGCGCACATGTGCATGGCCGCTCGTACACGAGGACAGAGTTCGTTTCTACGACAACATGGTGGCATATGATTCGCAGGACAGCGATGCTCGCATTCACTTTGACGCCAGCAATGTTTTTGACGCCAGCGGTGCGCCGGGCGAAATTGCAGCCATGGCAGAAGTGGCAAATATCCAGGCTTCGTTGCTTGCGCAGGTGGAGAAGACAGATGCGACGGTGCTCGACAACAGCAAAGTGGTGGCCATTGAGAACGAGGCAGAAAAGGTGCAAGCAACTGATGAGGCTGCAAAAACAGAAGAGACCGCGAAAGCAGAGGCAGCTTCGGCTGAAGCTGCAGACTGGCCCGTGGTCACGCTTAGCGGAGGACAGCAGCTAAGAGCTCGCCTTTTGGTGGGTGCAGACGGCCAACGGTCGCCTGTGCGGCAGTACGCGGGCATTGAGGCTCGTGGCTGGGCATATGACCGCTTCGGAGTGGTGGGTACGCTCCGGCTTCAGTACGAGGATTTCCGGTCGATTGCATGGCAACGGTTTTTGACAACGGGACCTCTTGCGATTTTGCCCATGCCAGGAGACAGTGCCACGTTCGTGTGGCTGTCGACACCTGAGCTTGCCGATGTGCTTCTCAAAACCGACGATTCTCTTTTCCCCCAGCTCATCAATGCGGCAATGGTTTTGGACGAGACAGACTTGCAGTACATCTATGGCATGTTGCAGGCTAATCCAGCCGACCCTAATGTCGCAGAAGAGATTGAGTGGCGCATGAGTAAGTTTCTGCCTGACGAGCTTGACGACAAGTTTCCCGTTCCTGTCGCCGAAGTACTTGCTGGAAGCCGTGCACGGTTCCCCTTGAGGTTTCTGCAAGCAGACACATACGCAGCACCCCGCGTGGCTTTGGTGGGAGACGCAGCGCATACAGTTCATCCGTTGGCAGGACAGGGACTCAACATGGGCCAGACAGACGTGGAGGCATTGGTGGCAGCCATTGAGCAAGGCGTGGCCCGCGGGATGGACATTGGCCTGATGCTCGTGCTTGAGCAGTACGTTGCACGGGCATGGCCTTCCAACCACATGTTGATGGGTGTGTGCGATAAGTTGCACAAGCTTTTCTCAACGGACTTTGGCCCAATTGTGGCGCTCCGTGGCATTGGGTTGAAGTCGCTCAATCTGCTTGATGGCGTCAAAGACTTGATGATCCGTGCCATCAGTGGACGGGCATAATATGTACGCGGCAGTGCTGTGATATGATATGTACGACTATGAATATGAACGATGGAAACGCTTAGGATTTTGTAGGTCTAAATGCGATTACACTATTGCTCGTGCTACTGGCCAGAAGATCACTGCGTTATCTCCATCACCAGAGTCGAGAAGATACTGCAAGAGCTAATATCGCATTTCTGTGGATGTTGTAGTGGGCAATTACAGAAATGCGCCATTGGATCACTGTGGATCCCAGTGAAAGTGACAAAGCTGATCAATATACAGCTGTAACGTCTTTTACTTCTTTCCTTTTTGGACAGCTGATGTATTCGGTTTCCGAATCATCAAATGATTAACTTTTCCTTTTTTCTTCATATAGTCAATGCTCTACTAGTATACTCAAAACCACACTCAACCGGTATCCGGGCCGCACTAAATATCCACGCACATTGCTTACTTGATTTCATTCTTGCTCCCAACTTCTCTAGGCTCTAATCGAATTTTGCCGCATCACCTACTCGGCACATCATCATGTTTCGGCGTATGCTTTGGGTGACGCCCGTCGCACTTGCTTACCCTCTTTACCCTCATCTTCAAAGCTACACCAAAAACTTCACAGACAGCACAAAGGAAGATGGAAAACCAGGGGCATCCCACAACTCTACAGAGAACTCGGCGCTCGACTCGCCTGATGAGAAACTTATCACAGACAAGTTCAAGCAGTTGCGTGACAAGTACTCGGCACCAAAGTATCCGATTGTGCTCTGCCACGGGCTTTCTGGCTTTGACTCATTGACGTTGTTCGAGCCGCCGCGAGCGCTCTGGACGCCTGATTTCACCGAGGCTAGAGACGACTTGTTTGCTGCGGCGCAAGAAAGCGAAGGCTCCATCATGGTAAACTACTGGAACGGAATCGAGAAGGCGCTAACGGCCGCCGGTGCTCGCGTTCTCACGGCGAAAGTGCCGCCGTTTGGGGCCATTGCCGACCGGGCAAAAGCTTTGGATACTCTTCTCGAAGCCAAGTGCGCTCAGTTCAAAGACCGCCGCCCTGGCGAGAGACTCAAGGTGAATTTGGTGGGCCATTCTATGGGCGGACTCGACGCACGGTACCTTATCTCGAAACTCCAGACAAGCAAGTCCTCGTACGAAGTAGTCAGCCTTACAACTGTTGGAACTCCGCACCATGGGTCCGAATGTGCGGATTTTGTGGTGGAAGTAGTGGGCCAAGACTTGAAACTTGATGCCGCATGTCCTCAGGCGATCCGTGAGCTCACCACCTCGCATCTTCAACAATTTAACAAGGAGGTGCCCAATGACCCACGGGTGGCGTACTTTTCTTATGGGGCTCTGATGGATCCTCAGGGCCTCAAGCTTTTTTTGCCCACGTACGAAATCATCAAGAGACGTATTCTTGCCCGGGGCGAGACGCATTATGAAAACGATGGCATGGTTTCTGTGCAGCTGGCAATGTGGGGAGAGTACATGGGGACTCTACAGAACGTCGACCACATGGACTTGATTAACTGGACGAACCAAGTGAAGGCTGCGTTGGACAAGGTTTTTCTTAACGAGCAACCAGCTTTCAATGCGGTGGCTTTGTATTTGGACATAGCAGAAACCCTCAGCTTACGTGGCTTTTGATGAGACATTTGAAGAAACCCGACTTAAAACCTTAACCCAAAATTCATTTCTTTGCTTGTTCGAACGAGCTGCAACTGACCAACTACAGGAATGTTGATATTGCTAGAAGCCGATTTTTTATTGAAATTTTATGAGAAAGGTGCAATGCACCCGTTTGTACATATAATTCTTACCATTGCAACAAAGGAAAATGTTGAATAAATATTCGTTGACCTGTGATTGTCATTATGAATAAAGAGAAGCTAGAATTTGAAGTCATTTCATCAGATTTGCCTTGAGACTTTACTTTTGCAAGATCTAGGTATCCTAGATTGTCACTGAGTATATTATCATATATGCATACTATAGAAGGCGAGATGGCCGCCCCAACCTCTCTAAGACGACAGCCCTACCTCTCTAAGACGACAGCCCCTCTCTAAGACGACATGGTCACCACTTTTGTGTAGGAAAACTCGTCGATGCCCCACATGCCATTGAAGCGACCGTAGCCGCTACTTTTCACGCCGCCGTGCGGAAGCAGCGCCTCATCGTGAACAGTGGAGCCGTTGATGTGCACGCTGCCGAAATCAAGCCGGCGTGCCATGGCGAGCGCCTCCATGACATTGCTGCTCCACACCGACGCCTTGAGCCCATACGACAAGGCGTTGATGCGAGAAAGCACGTCCTCGGCGTCCGAAAAGCGGAAGATGGAAAGCACCGGGCCAAAAGTTTCGCGCGTGGCGAGCGCCGACTGGGGCGGAACGTCGGCGAGCACGAGCGGGAATCTTTTTGCGTCGCCCCAAACGACCCGCGCGCCGCCCGAAAGCGCTTCGTCCACCATGCGGCGGACCTTGTCTGCATTGTGGAAAGGAATGGCGGCGTCGGGCAGCAGAGCCAATTTCTGCGCATGGAAAGCCACGCGGGCCAAAAAATCGTCGTACACCGCCTCGTGCACATATACATTGTCCAAGCACATGCAAATCTGGCCCTGGTGCATCCAGGCGGAGAGCACCGCCAGAAACGCCGCGCGGTCAATGTGCGCGTCCTGGCACACGACGCTGACGTTTTTCCCGCCAAGCTCGAGCAACACGGGCGTGAGACTTTGCGCGGCGGCCGCCGCCACTTGCGCGCCCACTTCGGTCGAGCCTGTGAAGTTGACCTTGCGGATCTCCGGCCGAGCAATCAACGCCTCGGTGGCACTGCGCTGGTTCTCGGGCAGAACATGCACAAGCTGCACCGCTTCCTTGTCGACGCCGGCGGCCAAAAGATCCTGCGCGTAGAAATACGCTAGCAGCGGCGCCTTTTCAGTGCCCTTGGCCACCACCAGGCATCCGGCAGCGAGCGGCGCGGCCAAGGCGCGCGCCCAAAGCACAGTGGGCGCATTCCATGGGGCAAGCGAAAGAACAGGCCCGACAGGGGTGCGGAGCGCAAGCGCCAACGGCGCCACATGCAGCTGGGCCACGCATCCTTCGGCGCGCACGAGCGCCAGCGCCAGCTCCAGAAAGCTGTTGGCGGCGGCGCGGGCGCAAACGTCGGCGAACCCGCGCGGCGCGCCCAACTCCATGTGGCGCTCGACGTAGAAGTCGTGCTTGGCGCCGATGGTCAGGGCGGCCGCGCGCAAAACATCCGCGCGCTCCAGCGCAGGCCGCGCCGACCACTTTTGGAAGCCCACAAACGCATTGCGTGCCACTTGGTCAAGCGAAACGGAAGACGGGAGCGGCAGATAATGGTGAAGGAGTTTCCCGCCCGACGAGAGAACGGGGATCCGCACCGAGGAAACCACCGGCGCACCGTTGACGAGCGAGGGAATGACAGAAAGCATGAAGGCAGGTTAGGTAGACACAGCTGAAACAGATAGAAGCAGCTGGAACAGATAGAAGCAGCTGGAACAGATAGAAGCAGCTAAACAATTTAGAGAGTCGATGAGGCTAATCAATTAGATATCGGTTCAGATGATTGAGATATCGATGCAGAGTCGATGCAGTCGATGCGGCAGATAATGGACTGGAGTCAATGGAGTGGACTGAATCAGATAACCGAGCAACTGCGAAGGAACGACGACAGTTACAAATGGCAATGGTTGCTGGACGAAGCAGGACAGAATGGAGGAAAACAGGTGCACACGGGCCCAAGAAGCTCTGATTGAGTCGCACTGCGACTTATGAGTGCGGCTTTTTCCACTGGCTTTTCTTCGACCTGTCGAAAGTGAGTCGACCATGCCACTGTCGAAAGAAAGTGAGTCGACCATGCCAGAGTTCAGGCTCCCATATCAACAACCATAGAAAAAAGGAACAAAAACGACACATACTGTTTTGTAGCCATGGCACTGTACTACGTTTACCTGAAAATCAGACTCCGATGCATCGACTAGCCAAGTGAACAGACATCTGAACGGACAAGCACCTACATGAACAAGATGTTCTGGCAAGCCTACAGAAAGGTAACATAATTTTCGTTCAATGATGTATTAGCGATACATACATATAGTTTCTATACATACATAGCATTCCTCAACGGAATCAACAAAAAATTAGACTTGCTTAGTAACCGAAAGCAGCCAATTGCTTAGCAGCGTCGGTCTCGGCGGTGGAGGCCTTGGCAGCGGCGAGCTTCTTGGCAACAGCAGCCTTCTTGGCGTAGTATTCAGCAGATCTCAACTTTCTCTTTTCTTCCAACTTGTCGACAATAGACTCGTACTTCCAACCAACGGCAGCAGACAACTTACCGACGGTGGTGTACTTTCTGCCTTGCTTCAATCTCAAGACTCTCAAAGCTTGTGGAACAACAACTCTCTTCTTCTTGTCGTATGGAGGTGGCACACCTTCGAAAACCTTCAATCTTTCCAAAGCAGCCTTACCTCTGGCGGTCTTGTGAGGAATCATACCTCTGATGGCCTTGTACAAAACTCTGGATGGGGCTCTGAAGTGGAAAGGACCCTTGGTTCTGTTGTATCTGGTGGCCTTTCTCAAGTAGTCGTGGAACTTCAACTTGTTTCTGAAGAACTCACCAGAAATGTTCAAAGCCTCGCATCTGACGACGACAATCTTTTGACCGTTCAACAATTGCTTGGCGATGATGGAGGCCAAACGACCCAACAAGTGGCCCTTACCGTCGATGACAACAACTGGCTGGAAATCAGACATAATGTGGTTACTTTGAAAAGAGGATTCCGTAACTCTTGAAAATTTTTGTGAGGAAAAAACGTGAGACCGTCGCAGTCCGGTGCTGCAGACAGTTTCAGGGCAAACATGCAGGACGATGTTTCTCAATGCCATCGGGGCACGCGCACGTGTGTGGTGAGGGCAAAAGCCCTAGATATCACAGGCCAGCTACGCCACACCAAAGAGAACTAAAGAGGCAAGGGCACATCATACAGAGGTAAAAATGTAATCGGCACATCTCACAAAGGGCAAAGGGCACGTAGGATATACGGGAAAGAGAATGTGTAAACGGGAAAAAAGTTTGACATGCATTTGAGTGCTAATAAGAGAAACCTTTTGTTAGAACGTCATGGGTATGCCAGGATTACTTAGTGGTTTGAAATGAACATTTTCTCTACTGATTGAATTTCTGACTAGGGTCTGTCTACTACGGCAGATTTTTGCATAGGTTGATCGCACTATAAGCCAAATCCTTGAACAAACCTTCGAGTATATAGTTTTGCGTAGCTGACAACACTAGGGCAGTTAGTCTTCATTGTTCATTCGGATATATCATACAGAATATCAAAACTTGTACAGCTCTATAGCTTCAAGTAGAGCATGGAATGACATCCATGCACGAAATAAGTAACCACTACAACCCATGACGTATATGTGAATCATATCGAATTTGCATTTATTATTTTTTGAAATAGCCACCGTCTGGCTTGTACGAAATAAAATGGCACGAGCTGTGTCGTCCTATCTACACCACAAGCTCGCCTGCCTTGACCATATAGTTGAGAACAGCAAGAATGGCCTTCAACGACGATTCGCTCACATCGGAATCGACACCACATCCCCATCTTGTGGTCTTGACGCCCTCGGAGTCCAAGTAGGAAATCTCGATATAGGTGGCGGCTTTATCTTGTGTGCCAGAACCCAAACTGTGTTCGCTGTAATTCACCACTTGCAACATGGTGCCAAACTTTGAAGCAATAGCATCAACAAAGGCAGAAATAGGACCATTGCCCTTTCCAGATATCGTGATTTTTTCTCCATTGACAAGCAAGTCTGCGGTGATCTCACGGTTAGCATTCTCACCCTTTGCCTTGGTGGTTGTGTAGTCTCCAAGGACAAAAGTGGATGTTCCAAGGTACATGTAGTGCTTCTGGAAAAGAGCATTGATCTCATCCGTTTTCAACTCGCGGCCCAACTTGTCTGCCTCGTTTTGCACAATGGAAGAAAACTCCACTTGCAAAGGTCTGGGCAAGTCCAAGCCCAAAGAACGCAAAATGACCCATGCTGCACCACCTTTTCCGGACTGAGAGTTCACCCGAATCACCGCCTCGTAGTTTCTGCCAATGTCTTTTGGATCCAATGGCAAGTAAGGGATCTTCCACATGTGGTCACCAGCAGCATATCTTTTCTCGGCCTTTTGGAATCCCTTCTTAATGGCATCTTGGTGAGAACCGGAGAAGGCACACACAACAAGAGAGCCACCATATGGTGCTCTAGGATGAACGGATATCTTGTTACAACGTTCAGATATTTCAATCAACTCCTCCATTTCCGAGAAGTCCAACTCAGGCGAAATTCCGTCGGTGTACATGTTTAAAGCTACCGTGACCAAATCCACATTTCCTGTTCTCTCTCCGTTGCCGAAAAGACACCCTTCCACTCTGTCTGCGCCCGCAAGCAAGCCCAATTCAGCAGCGGCGGCTCCACAGCCTCTGTCGTTGTGAGGGTGAACAGAAACACAAACCTTCTCACGCTCGGAAATCTCATTGCAGAAGTACTCAATTTGGTCAGCGTAAACGTTAGGAGACGCCACTTCCACAGTAGCAGGTAAGTTGAAAATGATTGGGTTTTCCACGGTAGGTTCCCACGCAGCCTTGACTGCCTCACAGATCTGCACAGCGAATTCTGTAGGGGTGTCACTGAAACATTCAGGCGAGAACTCAAGGGTCCACTCTGTCTTCTGCTGCGCAGGGTCGTCTTTGGTTAAGGATCTCACCAACTTCGTGGTCTCAATAGCTTTGGCCACCGCCTCTTCTTGGCTCATGTTGAACACCACATCACGGAAGACATCCGATGTTGCCAAGTAGATGTGGATGATGGCCTTTTTGGCGCCTGTGACAGACTCAACGGTTCTTCTGACCAAGTGTTCTCTGGACTGTGTCAAGACCTGGATAGCCACGTCATCTGGAGCGTTCTCCACGGCATATCTCGTAAAGTCAAAGTCTGTTTGCGAGGCCGAGGGGAAAGAAACCTCAATTTCCTTGAATCCAATCTCGATCAATTTGTGGAAGTACTCCTTCTTTTCTGCGATCGACATGGGGTCAGGCAAGGACTGGTTTCCATCCCTCAAGTCTGTCGAGAGCCACCGAGGAGCCTTTGTGATTCTTTTGTTGGGCCACGTTCTGTTAGGAAGCTGGACACCTTTGAACTGGGCGTATTTCGTCGAAGGGTCTCTCAACATGTTCTTGTACGGCTTGATGTTGAAAGCCACCTTCTGGAGCAACACATTTGTTTTTCTAAACATGGCCGAAGAAGAAACTGTTCGTTTTAGAGTTTTTTTTTTTCGTGGTTACTGATTGCGCTGTATGTGGCCCCGAATTTTTCACAATAGGCGCGAAACCGCTCCGGTGGGGCGCGCTTATGGCATAATCTCCGGTAGATTATATGATCTTCGATAAATCGGGCCAGTGGTGAAATCTGGCCCACATCAGCTGGAAAGGGAATTTGCCAATCCCAAACATTTCTGCGGTTTATAAGTTTAAGTACCAGCTTTTTCGAAGCTTTTCCAGCTCAAAGTAGAAATTACTCGTAGTGGGATGATGTCTTCTCTCACGTGCCTCTACCTGTGGGAAGAGTCATTTTACTCAGCTGTATTAAGCACATGATAAACATGCGTGATAGATACAGTACTTGCAAGAAAGTTGACCTGATGCAAAAAGATTAGAAATTGACTACCCTGAAGATTAACCAATAAGCAAAGAAAAGAGCATCATGCTGAGGCATTGACATATTTTTGTATTTTTTTCTTTTTTTTTTTTTTTCTCGGCTTTGGTAGAAAAACACCCTAGTTTGTAGGAGTCTGCTAGTTTGATAGTCTATATCATTAGTATCTTCAGACTGAATGCTTTAAACCATTGTGAACAGTTCTGTAATATGTCCATACTCGATCTTATTAGGTCACGATGAGTAGTCTTCAACCTCGTAATATAATCGAAAATAATAAATGTTCAGGATTTCGACTTCTTCTAAGTGAAAAACGAGTATCGAGAAACAGGTGGTCAGAATATAAGTTGGCACTTGACAAAACTAATTTTCAAACAGTTATTCACGGCAAAAGTCATTATGTTAGACTACTGAGCATTCAAATGATAAAATCCCAAAGCCCATACATACCACAGCCTTATATACTCCTACATATTGTTAAACTAGACCGGCAACATTATCAGTTGCGAATTATCAGTTGCGAATTATCAGTTGCAAATTATCAGTTGCAAAATTATCAGTCGAAATATTATCGGTTGCAATATTATTAGTATTTATCGATTTATACTCTACCTCAATCGATTTGTAGAAAAAATATTTTCCCGTAGCCTTCACCATACCTCTTCCCCTCATTTTACACTCTTGTGCACTTAACGCACCCGTACACCCACTGTCACCAGAGCCCGGCAATGAAAATTCCAATTGGACCGACGCTTCTCGATAATCATGAAAATGGAGAAGGAAATCTGAAGACAACTAACCGGAAACCAAGATAAATTCAGGTCAAAGTCAAGATTATCAGGCCTGTCCTGTTTGCTCTCGCGATGGCCCCCATACATTGCCCTGTGCAGCACCTCATCAGTGAAAAACTCATTTTTCTAGCGGAAAAAGAATTTATCTCATCTCCTTTCTTTACTCAATTACAATGGCCAAGTCTTCCACAAAGTCTGCTAAAGCTGTCAAGGCCTCTAAGGTCACCAAGAAGGAAGTTTCTTCTTCCGACTCTTCTTCCAGCTCGTCCGAGTCCTCTTCCGACTCTTCGTCTGACTCTTCTTCTGACTCTGAGGACTCCTCGTCTTCCTCTTCTGAGTCCGAGGATTCTTCTTCCTCCTCATCTTCTGAGTCTGAGTCCGAGGACGAAGAAGAGAAGGTTGAAAAGGTCGAAAAGGTTGAAGAGAAGAAGGAATCTTCTTCCTCGTCTTCCTCTTCTTCCTCTTCCTCTTCTTCTTCTTCTTCTTCTTCTTCTTCTGAATCCGACTCCGACTCCGACTCTTCTTCGTCTTCATCTTCGTCTTCTTCCGACTCCGACTCCGACTCCGACTCTGACTCTGAGTCCGAAGACGAAAAGGAGACCGAGAAGTCTTCCAAGAGAAAGGTCGAGTCTGAGGAATCTTCCTCTACAGAAGACGAGCCATCTTCCAAGAAGCAAAAGACCGAAGAAACCCCAGAAGCCTCTGAGGAGCCAGCTACATTGTTCGTCGGTAGATTGTCGTGGAACGTCGACGACGAGTGGTTGAAGAGAGAGTTTGAAGAAGCTGGCGGTGTCATTTCCGCCAGAGTCATGATCGAAAGATCCACCGGCAAATCTAGAGGTTACGGTTACGTCGACTTCTCTAGCAAAGCCGCTGCTGAGAAGGCTTTGAACGAGCTCCAAGGTAAGGAGATTGACGGTAGACCAGTCAACTTGGACATGTCCACCGGCAAGCCAAAGACCCCAGCTTCTAACGACAGAGCCAAGAAGTTCGGCGATGTTCCTTCTGCTCCTTCCGACACCTTGTTCATCGGTAACTTGTCTTTCAACACCGAAAGAAACAAGTTGTTTGAGATTTTCGGTGAATACGGTACCGTTGTGTCTTGCAGACTTCCAACCCACCCAGACACCCAGCAACCAAAGGGTTTCGGTTACGTGCAATTCTCCAGCGTTGAGGAGGCTCAAAACGCCTTGAACTCTTTGAACGGTGAGTACTTGGATGGCCGTCCTTGCAGATTGGACTTTTCTACTCCAAGAGACAACAACGCTAGACCAGCTGGCGGCCGTGGCGGAGCTCGCGGTGGCGCCCGTGGTGGTTTCGGCGGCCGTGGTGGCCGTGGCGGTTTCGGCGGTCGTGAGAGATCTTCCACTCCTACGCCTAGAACTGGTCCTAACGCTGCTTCTTTCCAGGGCACCAAGAAGACTTTCGATTAGGTAGCATAAGCATTTCTACTGTTGTATATTATTATTAGTTGATGCATGAATTTTGGGATATCTTGTATGGAATGTACAGGCTCGGATAGGCATGGTGTAGATACGAGAGAAGGTAAATGAGACATTGCCAAGCAACTGGGGTACAGCGAAAAGCGATAAGATTGGAAGATGAATATGCGAACAAAACGCCGCTCCAAAGAGCGGCTTTGGGCCAAATTATGAAAATAGAAGTAGCCAAAATAGAACAAGATTCTCAACATGCATGCCACCAATTTTGTCAGAGCAGGGCAGAGTACAACAGATAAGAGCGAACAGCAATACCAAACCGCCGAGTCCGTTACGCACCAAGGTGCAAAAACAACAAGAAATGGCGAAAAAGCCACTCAACGGTTGGGTGCCGTTTCATCTGAAGCGTTCGTAAATTGATGTCTGCGTCTGTCACCGCCGATCGATGCAGGCCTTCTTGCAGACAATGCGAACGCCTTATGGCGTCTTGACGCATAACCGGAGCAACGTCCATTCCATCTCACTGGCATATGTGGCATACGACGCAAAAGCACTAAAAAAAAAAAAAGAGAAAAAGAAGGGTTTGGAAACAGCTTTCCGTGAACATACAGCTGGAAGACATTATCCTCGCTGCCAACTACAAAATGGGTGACACTAGAAGTCCGGTTCGAGCTGCCGCGGCGCCTTTCCTGCGCGCGCACCCGCAGCAATCTCCGCCCCTCATGAACATCTGGCCCGCCCCGACTGAGGCAGCGACTTGAGGCGGAAGAAGCGTGAGGAAAAAGCAAAGCAAGTAGAAAAATAGGCAATTGAAAAAAGGGAAAGGAAAAAACAAAAGGAAAACAAGCAGAAGGCAGAGCCACATTCACGGAAAAACATCGACTGCGGGCCCACCGGCCGTCTGTTTCAGTAATGACATTACGAGATGGTACAAGCACAGTAGTGCATGGCCGCTCGCATTTTCGTCGCCTAAAATCGGCGGGCAGCGAAACAAAGCGCGGCACGTGACCCCGTTCGCACCGTGGAAGTGTCCCTAACATCAAAAGTATTCCACGTCAAGTTCCAGCGTTAGGCGTGTGGGCAAAGAAACAATAAGCACGATAGCACCGCCAAGCTCAGCCGTCGGCCCTTTTCTCGTGTTTTTCTCCTCTGCTCACCATGAAGCGGGCAGTTGCGAAATTCATGCCCGGCAAGCTGACCAAGCCCCGGGCCGAATCTCCCTCGACGTTTAAAATTGACCACAACTCAGTCGAGGATTTCTACATTCTGCTCGACAACCCGCACAAGTCGTGGCTTCCTGGCGAAGAAATCAGCGGCCAGATTGTTCTAATAAGCAGGAAAAACTTGGCCAACATTGCCATTGTGTTTTCCCTCTGTGGCTATGTCAAGATACATGCTCTGCCTCATTCCAAGCTTCGGCCAGTGAAGCATACGCTCTTCAGCCATACCATCAAAATCTACGGCCCGGATGCCGACCACCCGCAAGCAGAAAACGCAAACGAGTTTGTGAATGGGCTTTACAAAGGAGAGCACCGCTTCCCATTCATCGTCAAGCTCCCGAACAAGCGTGTGTTCACGTCGATAGATTTTGGCAAAGGCGCCATCGTCTACGTGCTCAAGACTCATTTAAGATCGGCAACAGATCTGAGCGGCGACACGCTGCTGCCCGGTTCCACTGCAAGCCCCGGCTCGACGGACATTTTCTCCATGACAAAATCTTTGTCGAAACTCAGCACTCCTTCATTCACGTCAGAGAAGTTCGTAAATCTCATTAACCCAATTGACGTGTCTGAGCTACCGCCGCAGAAACCGAAAAGACTAATCATTAAAGACCCCAGAAGAAAGGGCAAGCCGCTGCGCGTGCTGTCCTCAAACGCTACGTTGAATACGTTTTCCACTCTTTCATCCAACGATTCAGATAGCATATCCACTGCCCTTACAAGCCCGAACCCGATAACGCCGAACCTGATGAACACCCATGGGCCCAATGGCCTGTCGCCCAAAACGATCGAACCCCACCAGCAAAAGAACATTCGGGTTTCGATGGAAATCTCCCAAAGAGGCTTCCTAAGAGGAGAGCTTATCCCCATCAAGCTATCCATTAAGCATTTGCGGAAGATTCAAGACTCAAAAGGAATCATTGTCACGCTAGTACGTGTCTGTCGTCTTGATTATGGCCCAGATGGGTTCTACGAGTCATTCAGAAAAGACTTGCAGCAACTGGTGATCCCGCTTTTCGTAGATCCTAACACATTTTCTCTGGAGATCAATACGAGCTTACGTGTTCCGCCTGATGCTTTCCCCACCATTTCTGGGTGCCCCATAGTGTCGTTCCAATACTTTATCGAAGTTATGCTCAATCTTTCTGGAAAGTCTTTGAGCTTGGAAGGCCCTAGTGAGCATCCGAAATCTTCTGTGGTGCCCCTCGAAGAACCCCTGATGTCACCTGGTAATAGCGGGAGCTACTCATTCCACCCATATGCCATTGCGCAGAATAGGTCTGATTTTATCAACACCGACAAGTTCAAACGTCTGAAGAAGTTTCTCCAGATTACATCAGAAGTCATCATAGGCACACATAGGCTGGATAAAGCCATGCTGGCAACATCGCCAGACGCTTCGGCATCTATTGTCAATTCGAGACGGTCGCTGGATTCGACTAATTCACCGGGCCAGTTTCAAACTTCTTCTCAGCCTCGGAGTCCATCACAACTTCCACCGATCCCTGAGTCTTTTCAAGTGGACAACTTTGCTGTGCCATCGTATATTGAAACGACAAACCCTGCGATCGAAGCACATAATGGTACTTCTGAAACCCAAAGTGCTCCAATGTATGAAGATGTACCCGCGGTTCCCATGCCCCAAACACAAGAAAACTTGTCGGAAAAAGAGCGTGTGCGGCAACATGAAGCCAGCCTTATGCCATCAGAGCCTCAGTTTGGCGATTCAGAAGGCGAACTGGAGACAGTTAGTCCTTTGGACCCAGATAGCCATATTCTCGATAGCTTGGTCGACGAGCCCAGTTTCGGTCACATGTCTCAATCATACAGTTCACCTCTTGGCCAAGAAACCTCATTGCTGCTACGACCTAATGAATCCGCGCATGACTTATATCAAGCACCTCTTTCGCTGGCGCCTGATCTCCATGAAGGAATAGGCCTGGAAGGGGCGAAGGACTATGTTCCCAACTATGATAATGCCGCTAACGACCAATTGATCAGTAGCACTGCTCCAGAGGGAAGCAGGTCGCAAGAAAACTGATTTGATGTCTTATTTCTCGTGTAAATATATACATACACCTTAAACATTATTAGTTACCATAGAGTTACTTGCATCATGATACTACAGCTTTCGCTGTATTTCATCATGTCGATTTCGGTATTATTAATTTTCGTCAATCAACGGGGCTATCATGCATTATTCTTGGCGAAATACAACTCCTTCTTCAACGAGTTCACATTTTCAATCAACTGGTCTCGTTCTTGTTTCATAATGTAAAGATCGGCCTCCAAATCCTTAACCTTCATCTGGTAATGAGCACTTTGTAAATCATCTTCTGTGTCATTGACTTCGTGTAGAGATGTAGTCGAGTCCGATTGCATACGCTTGATGCTGCTCTCTCCTGGTAATGATGATACCCGTCTAGAAGCCTTTTTGAATAGTTTCAACTCGTTGTTCTCTCTGGCTAACTTTTCAATCAAAACCTTTTGGTTTCTCAATTCGTCTTGATTGACATTAAGAGCCTTGCTTGTGTTATTCACAGATTGGATGGCATCTCTATAATTAGCTTCAAGAGCTTGCAACGCGGCCATCTTCGCTTCCAACTCATTCCTTAGTTCGCTCATCTCAGACGCAGAAGCCTGCTGTTGTTGTTGAGATGTTCTTAAAAGATCATCAACCTGCTTCTGTAATTCTGCTACCACAGTGTCGTTCTCCAGGTTGATACCACGTTCTTTTGTATCTGGTGCATGTGCCGATTGCCATAACAGAACCAATTTTTCAAGGTGAGATGATAGTTGGCCCGCGGTCTTCTTCTGCGGAGTTGGTTCTGTAGCATTTGGATCCACATCACGAGAAGTTTCAGTTTCGTCATCGGTGAATTCCACATCGGCATGAACGCTCTTGTATGTGTTGAATTGCAACTCCAAATTCTCGTACTTATGTTTCCATTCTGCAATTTGCTCGTGCAATACCAGCTCCAGCTTCACTTGTGCTGTTAAGTCAGCAATACGTTCTTCTTGACTCTTGATAACTTTCTGCAAAGAAGACAACTGCGTCATCTGGTTGTCCATGAATGGTTCGAAGCGAGTAAACTTTTCTTTTAGTTGCGTGTTCTCGTTCTGCAAGTAGACAAGCTTGTTCGCCATGTCCAAATTCTGTAGCCTATACTTCAAAGCATCGGTGAATCCTTTCTTTGGTACTCCGGCAGCTTCATCTTCAACCGAAAGATCATCCGGTGGAATGGAGCTTCTAAGCTCTCCAATGATCAGATTTTTTTCTGCCAACTCCTGAGAAAGATCTTCTACCTTACTCTTGTCAAACAGAGCAGCTTCTAGCTTCTCCTTTAGAAGCTTGTTTTCCTCTTCCAACAGGTGAATCTTGTCGGTGGCTTCATGAATTTGCGCTTCGGTGTACTTTTTCAAATCACTAATTTCAGTATTAAGTTCAGAAATTACTTGCTTAACCTTGGAATCCACCTCAGGTGTAGATCCTGATGAAGCTTTCCGTGGGCTGGAGTTTAATCCTGCGTCGAATCCATTTCCCTTGTGAGACAGAGCCAGGTTTGGCACAATAGTGGATGGAGACTTGAGATTTGGCTCAGGAAGAGCCGACAGTTCTCTAACGTGAACAATAGTCGGTTCATCGTGATCTTCATCGTCGGTTTCCTGGGCCAGTGGTTCTTGTTCCCTATTGCGGATTCGCAAAGCTTGTTCTTCTTCTTCTTCTTCAGTATCAGGGAAATCATTAGTCAAATGCGCAAACTCATGCGACAAAACTGGGGTGGCGTTATCTGACCTGATTTCTTCTGGAAGCTTTTGTCCAAGCGATACTAGTTTTCCCTGAGCAAATGGGCTTCTACCATCATCAGGAGTATCCATTACTGCAATCTCGGCGTCTGTGTTTGTATCATTTTCGCTGATAGCAGACGAAGGCAAATGCACTTCAACAAAATTGTCGCCCAGAGACCCAGCTGTGGGAGTAACCTTGTGCTCTGAAACCTGCTTGGTGTGCACGTCTATGAAATCAGAAACAGTTCTGTTCCTCTCTGTCGAGTCAGAAACGCTTCTGGGCGGCTCAACAGTAGGTGCAATACGTTCTAGAGAGGCATTAGGTGTGCGGAAATCATCAATACCAGCGCTCATGCTCTTTCTGTGGCGTGTGAAGGCATCATCCGAGACCACGGGCGATGGAGGCCTTTTGCTAAGAACAGCAGCAGCACCTCCAGCAGATGCGGCAAGTTTCTTGGGAACACCACCACGTAGAAGATGGTCAGCCAAGTATAAGTCCATGACAAAAATCATGGTTCCGGTTTCTGTGCCGTCGTATTCCTCGTGAGTCTCGAAATTTGCCGAATCTTCGCTAATGTAGTCATTTTTGTCACCGCCCATGATCACCAATTTGTGCAAGTTTGGCAAGTACGATATGGAATGGCCACACCTAGGACCAGGTCCGTTGACGCCGAATCTATTGTCCAACTTCATCCACTGGAACGTGCGAAGATCCAAGCAATGCAACGTGTCATAAATGGTACCTGAAAAGTCATTTCCACCATAGACGTACAAGTACTCATTGACAAGAACGGCTGAATGTTCATTGACAGGCAATGGTACATCTCCAGTAGTGGGCACCTGCAGCCACTTATTGAGTAATGTGTCATAGCACCACAAGTCATTTGACACTTTCTCGTGGTTGTACACTCCACCAAAAATGTAGATCTTGTGCTTGTAAACTGACATGGTGTGATTTGTCAAAGGAGGAGGTTTGAAATTGTTAAGCGGTTCTGCAAGCTCCCAGCGGGCATGAGGCAGCTTGAACGAGGTCAATTCGAAATAATACAAGTCGCTGAATACTTCGCTTTCCAACTGGCCACCGAACAAGTATAATCTGGAGCTGGAGGTGCTCAACGACACAACACCAATCAGATGGCCGTATCTGCCACGGGGCTTGTTCAAAATGTGCGATGGGACCGTGTATTTGCAGTTATTGATGTTGAACATGTAGAGGTTGTCGTCTGGATACCCGTTGTAGTCAGTGTCCACTGTGTCGCCGCCGTAGATGATGTAGGCATTTCCACACAACACAGACGAGTGACCTACACGGGCTGGTGGGTGGTTGTTGTTGACCACTTCGATCATTTCGCTGGTAAAGTGAGTGATGGTATTGTCCGAGGCCGTGTGAGGCGTGATCTTCCATGTGTCGCCAAAGACAGACCCTTCTTTCAATCCCCCCATGATATAGAGCACATTCTTGTCCGACGAAAGCGCCAGAGCGGCATGTCTATACCGCGGGAAAGGCGAGTTGAAAAGCTTGTATCTGGTCCAAGGCGTGCTGGCGTTCTTATCGACAAGGAACTGGTGATCTGGAGACTGTTTCATCACCGAAGACTGCTGTTTTTCGGCTACAAGGTGTTTTTCAGGGCTAGTCATGGCCGAGCTGGGACCTGGAGCTGCGCCGGTCATAATTTTGTCGGGCGGAGGCGATTCTGTTGCGCGAGACAGAAAGGATGGGCGGTTAGCGTAGGAATGGCGAGGATTAGAACGAAACTCTGCAGGCGACGACATTGTTGAAGTGTCCGGCTCAGATTCAGATTTTTTCTTTTTTCCGAAATGGAAGCGAGCCATGTGGGCAAAATCAGACTAGAGCAGACGAGGAGGCTAGGGATGCAACCAGTTAAATGTGCTTTCCGGAAAAGTTGCAGGAGGGGAAGCTCTTCCTCGAATGGTGATTTATCACTGACACAGATGTGCTGTGCGTGGGCCTGTGTGCAGGACGCGGGGCTGACTCTTTGTTCGAAGTCTGCGACATGAGAGCATGACGTAAATGGGCTTTTTGGCAGAACGGTACACGGAAGTGTCCTTCTTTCAGAATGTTTGGTCTTGTTTTCCGGGGCTCTGTGGTGTATTTGCTTTTGTTCTTCTGAGCAGAATCAGCACGATCAAGCAACAGTTTCTGGTTTGTAACGTTGTCTTTGCCGCAATAGGTATTACCACTTGTAGAAAGATGCGCAGTCTAACATCAAAAGAGGCATTTTTTCAGCCCTCCCATGCACATCTGCTTGAGTGGTCCAAATAGGAATTAAGTACGAAAGTGTGGCTGCTTCGATGGTTTTCCTACCAAAGAGATGAGGCGCTGTCTGTCGGCAGGCTTCTTTTTTTTTTGTTCTTTGTTCGCTGTATTTTTCGCTGTATTCTTCTCCGTAAATCGCTTCGGCTAACACTTTCCAACATTAGTGCGATATGTCCATAGCGCGACAAAATCACTTCACGATCATGACCATAATAAATAGTTGGACCTCATTGAAAGAACCAAAAATAAACCCACAACAATTATACATAGACCCACAACGGACCACCCTTAAGAACAAACTACTTAAGAACAAACTAGTAGTGTTGGCTATGTCGGCTGCAAACTTCGGCTTCGCACGACCCGGAACACTCACTGTTTCTACACCACTGATCTATATCCTTCTACTTTAGAACCATGGGTTTTGTGTACGACCCAGAAGAGCAATTGGCGCAGATTTTTCCCAATGCCAACTCTCTATCGAACATAAGCTCGGTCATAGACCATCTTCATCGGCACAGAAAACTTTCAAGCGCCAAGATTGCGTCCGAGATCACCAATTACAAACAACCAATCCACGTTCTGTCGGACATTGTTGAACTCACACAGAAGATCGCCCAGATCCGGAGAAAGTCTATGGAAACCCAGAAAGATGTGTTGGCGATGACAGCGAGCATAAAGCGGTTGGACACTATCAAGAAGAATCTCACCTTATCGATGAAAGTACTTGAACGATTGCAAATGCTTGCGAGCTCCTTCAATAGTCTCATGGAGGTGGCACAATCTCGAGACTACGAGAAAATTGCCACTTATCTTGGTGCGGTGAAGGAACTCATGCTGTTTTTCAAAGCATACAAGTCCATAGACGAAATCAGCGCTTTGACGCAGCAACTTGGGAAAACTCAGAATAAGTTAGTTGAAGACGTGTTTATTGATTTCGAAGAGTCCTTCACCAACAATATTCCGAATGACAAGCTTGTCTATGGATGCGAAATTCTCGAACTAGCCGACCGCAAGAATAAAGATAGACTACTAACGTGGTTCTACAACATGCAACTTAAAGAGATCCAATCCATCTTCAATACATCCGATGAGGCAGGCGACTTAGAGAACTTGAGCCGGAAGTATATTTTCTTCAACAACATTTTGAAGAATATTCGCTCCAACCATATGCATGTGTTTCCCGAACTGTGGAAAGTTGACTGGGAGCTCACAAAATTGTTCTGTAAAATGACAAAGCAAGATTTATCGACTCAGCTTCAGCAATCGACCGTAAAACCGGGTGTCCTTCTTGAGGCCCTCACTAAGACACTTGAGTTCGAAAAAAGCTTAAATGAAGTCTACAATACAACAGAATTTTCTAATATGATCCTGGGCCTGTTTGAACCGTACTTGAAGACGTGGGTAGACGAGCAGGACTCGGTTCTTAAATCCAAATTCATGGAATTCCACTCTTCACCAAAGATCCCCAATGAGCTTATGGGCCCAGAAACAGCTAAAGACCTCTTGTTAGTTCTCAAAGTCAACAATGTACCGAATTTTGCAGATTCATCGGTCGAACTTTTTAAAATTTTCCTGAAAATCTTGCTCCAAATCATCAAGTTGTCAAATGGCGAAATTTTGATCGAGTTATCCAGATTGTTCTCAAAGTATCTCCTGGAGTATCATTTCAAGATACTTGCGCCTATAGTGCAACAAGCTGAAGGGAACCCAAAAGGGATAGAGCCTATAAAGTATTTGACTATGGTGTTAAACACAGCAGATTACATCAATAATAACATCAACGATTTGGAGGACAAATTTAAAAAATTGATTGATCCGACGTTCAAAGAGAGAATTAATTTTGACTCATCAAAGAACTTGTATTTTGAATTAATCGGCAAGACAGTCAAGGCGTTAACATTTAAAATCTCCATTGACTTGCAATTCCCATGGAGACAGTTTGAAAACAATAACTGGCAAACTATGGATGGCGTTAGCGACACATCCACATACATGGAGGATTTCGTTCTGATATTGCAAGAAGACTGTCGAATCATATTGCCCTTGATCATCAGAGACAGCTACGTGAGAAACTTTTGCGATAGACTAGTTGAACTAGTTGTCAATGCATTCATCAATAAGCTAAATTCCATTCGACCTCTCACGCTTGTTAATGTGGAGCAGATTCTTTTGGATGTCACTGTACTCAAGAGATTTTTCAAAACTCTTCCTCTCAACGCTGATATTAACTTTGACAAGGATAAAGTGCAAGAGGGTGCAGAGAAGTCGATTCCTAAGAACTATACTAGGTTTATGAATTCCCAATTCTTAAAGTTAGAAACATTATTGAAATTGCTAATGACACCGTCTGTTCCCATTGACTCAGCCACGGAAAGCTACATAAACTTGATTGGAGACAAATCTGAGGACAACTTTCTGAAATTTTTGAGCTTAAAAAACATAGAACCGTCTCGTCAACAAAAGTACATGGAAACATTCAAGCTCCAAATCACATTGCATCCTGACCTTGTTGAAAGTTCACCGATTTTGAGTGTCTTAGAAACCGAAGATCAAGTACACGAGAATACGCATCCTTCCTCTCAGGCACCGCCTTCACAGATTGATTATAAAGAAGTTTTAGGCAGCAAGTCACCCGAGCCTCAGTTCGCTGACTTTTTGAAAACCAATTCTGCCAAAATCCAAAACATCAAAATAAATAACCCATTGAGGGATTTCTCCATTAATGGAGAGGGCCATGTCAACAAGCTTAATGAAAACTTCAAAAACTTTGGCAAGTTTTTCCGAACCGATTAAAATAAATTGATTCCACTGGTTATCAGAATATCCTGCATACATGGATGTCTAATGTGATCTCGGAAAACCTGAGAACAGTGATAGACGTCACGCCAATACCGAAAATGACTAAGCTAGTGAAGATATGTGGCCTACGAACCACGGAAGCGGCAGAAAAAGCTATAGATTCCGGTGCGGATTTATTGGGGGTGATCATGGTGCCTAACAGAAAGAGGTCTGTGACTCACTCAGTTGCATCTGATATTTCACAACTCGCTCGTGAAGCCAGAGAAAAGTCAGAGCGTGCATTGAAAACTCCGACAGAAATAGTGGCATATGTCCAAAAGCAACAACTTGCGAGCCATGATCTGTACTTCAGGCTTTATCACCAACTACTTGTTGAAAACGGTCCATTCTTAGTTGGTGTATTCAGAAACCAGAATATCGACGAAGTGTTTTCCCTTGCAGAAAAATGTGCTTTGGATTGTATCCAGCTACATGGGAGTGAAGACATCAGTCCGTATTTGGAACGTAACAAGGATGGAAAGTATTTGATTATCAAAAGATACGTGATTCCAGATCATGTGGCGGAAATGAACGACTTCTTTACAACCGTGTGTGATCGTGCCAGCGAAGGATTTGCTTTCCCACTTTTAGATTCGGAAGCTGGAGGCGAGGGTAAGACCATTGATTGGAGCTTGATCAACGACTTGGAGGGCAAATTCGTACTTGCGGGCGGACTATCGCCGGACAATCTCAAAGACACAGTTCCGTACTCGAAGAATGTGTTTGGTTTTGATGTCAGCGGGGGTGTCGAAGATGAAAACGGTGACAAGGACTTGCCCAAAATTGAGCAATTTGTGCTCGAGGGCAAACGTATGTGATAATCTTTCTTTTGCATTTCATTTACATAGAATATAATTCAGCGATATTCGATAATACGGGATATCATTACTATATTATACAAGGCCTAATCCTCCGAATCCCAGTTTCCTGGTCTTCTTTGCTGTGGAACTTGAGGTCCTCCAGCTCTCTTGGCCATGATGATTTGGTCAATGGACAAGATTGTAGTTGCAGCATCTGTGGCGAAGTCAATGGCCGATTGTTTAGTCGACAAGAGATCAAAGATACCGGCTTCTGTGGTATCCACTAAGCCATCTTCAGAGCTGTTTTCAACATCCACACCTTTAGCCAAGCCCGAGTTATCCTCCGCAGAGTGAGCAGCATACAACTGACTCAATACTTCGGTGGAATCCAAACCAGACGTTTCCGCCAAGACTCTAGGAACAACCTCAAAAGCTTTGGCGTAGTGTTTTATGGCAAGCTGCATCAAACCAGGGGTCTTTTCACCATGTTGCGTAATCAACTTAGCCAACTCAATTTCAACGGCACCGGCGCCGGGCAAAAGTCTGTTGTCCTTAACCAAACCCTTGATCGCGTTCACACCATCATCAATTGCCCTCTCGATATCATCCAAATTGTTTTGGGTAGCACCTCTGATAATGATCGTTGATGTTCTAGATGTAGATTCCTCACTTTGTCTGAAGACAGTGACTCTGTCCCCACCAATCTCCTTTGTTTCGATCAAATCGATGCTGCCCATTTCTTCAGGCATTGGAGCTCCCAATCTGGGCAATGGCGTGGCGCCACATACTTGACAAATGCGGCGAACGTCAAACTTGGAAGGAACTTTCAAGATCAAAATATTGTACTTATTGAAGTAATGAAGAGCCAACTCACCGATGCTAGAGCCGGCAACAACGACACGCACGCCAGAGTCAGCAATTTCCTTACACATAGTGTCCAACTGCTGTTCTTCACCTTGCGAGAAGTTCAACATTTCTTGGGCATTATGAAGCAAGACCGTTCCTTTAGTTTCCGTGGTGGAAATGTCAATTGGACATGTGAAAACAACAACCTTAGACTTCTCGGTAACGTGCTTGACATGTCCTTCTGGCTCACGTGGGAAAACCATACCCTTGACCACTTCGGAGTTGGATAAAGAAGAGCCCATAATCTTGACAACTCTCACATTGTCAATGTTGAAGGCCTGTGGTCTCTTTGGGTTGATGATCAACTTGACTGCATCAACCACAAGGGAAGAAATGGCGTCTTCTAAGCCGTACTGTTTTGCTGCAATGACCGGCTTGATTGCTTTCAAAAGCTCAGCCGAATCGACAATGTTTTCCACCGATCCCACAACGAGTTTCTCCAAAGTCTCCTGCAAGAACTTGTTGGCCATTTTGAATCCTTGCACAATCTCGGGAACGCTCAAACCGAGGTTGAGCAACTTCTCAGAGATATTTAGCATTTCGCCCGCCAAAATGAGCACCAAGTTGGTGTTATCACCCATTTCAAACTCCTGCTGCTTCGATGCCATAATCAAAATCTTCACTGCCGGATGCACAATGTCCAACTCATTCAAAATAGTTGCTGCATCATTGGTGATGAAAGTCCTATCGTGTTTATTGACAAGAATCTTGTTTCTGCCGCTAGGTCCCATGGATGTGAGCACAATGCTGCTGATTTCTCTGACAGCCTCGATGTTTCTGAACATAGCACCATCTGAGGCAGAGTACAGCGAGTAGCCTTGCTTGAAAAGCCCTGCATTAGGGGCCGAAGGCAATTTCAACGACATTGGTGATGGTTTAGAAAAATTTGAACGTTGGTGGCATTTTGTGCTAGCACCGCGGGCGGAAGGTCACGTGCACAGCCAACCACAAGGATTTATGGAAGTACAAACAAATATATGCAGAGAAGTGCTCCAATGGAATAAGAAAAGAGTAAAGCGTTGGATGATTTTGGCACTAGGTTATTTACTTATGTTTCACAATTTGTGTTTCTGTGTGGTCGCTTGCGCAGCGTTTTAAGGTACGATTAAAACACCTTTCTCACTAATTTCTTCATTACAGAAGACGAAAAAAGATTAGGAAGGATCCGTAGAGAATGTCACTATTTCCCAGACATTCACGGAATACAGAATGCTTGGATGCTCTGTTCAGGAAGCTGAGCCAGATATTCTGGGGAAATGTCGTAAGGAAGAAGCGATATAAGTACTCAAGAAAAGCGCAGGCTACATCAAGAACGCAGAAGAAAAGAGAAAAAAATACGGCTAGGCTCAATTTGCACGCGATAAAAGTCGTCACATACAAGCCACCATCAGATCGCCTTTCAGCATACCAGTCCGGTGCAGCAATACATATATTAGATAAGACATGAATTGGGTTAATCAAAGTAACGCACAAACTGCATCTCTATTGGTATTATGCAATAGTAGTACATGTACAGTATCGAAGGTGGATGAAGAAAGACGGAACGAGCCCACATTTGGGTGGTCAGTAGGCCAAAGTGGCCGAAGGAATTGAATTCTGAAAGTCTCCTAAATGAAACAGGAACGATTGCAAATTTCCGGATATCAAAACCAAGGTGTTCCAAAGGCCTTGTCGCAGAAAGTGCCAGCGGTGTATCTGAGGGAAATAGAGATATGTGACCCCGCATACATCATCAGCGAAGCCATGCGGCCGCTAAGTAGCTGGAGAAGACTGCATGCCCGAACAACTTCCATGTAAATAATCCAGGGCGTTCAAGTCGCCCGCTGATGTCTGCTTTACTCCAAGTCCCCTAGTGAGATGTCATCAATCAGTTTGCCCACAAACTTAGCGAGCGGCGCCAAGCTGTCTGCCGGCGACAGCTCAAAGTGACGTTCGAGCGCAGCATTATATCGAGCCAAAAGCCGCTCGTACTTGTCGAGACGAGCTTGCTGTTCGGTGATTTTTTTCTCAAATTTGGTGACGTTTTCATAAAGCTGTTGCTGGGCCTGTTTCTTGCGCTGACGGCACTTTGACGCTGCTACACGATTGCGCTCCAACAACCGTTCCTTCTTCCACGCCGCCGTGCCTGGGATAGGCCCATTGTTGGGGTTGAAAATCACTTCGTTGTTGTAGATGAGCAGATGGTTTGGCGGCGGGACACCAGCAACATTGTCCGCAGCATCTCTTTCTAGCGTCGATACCCCAGGCGCAAACGGAACAACAGGTTCACGCACAACAGGTTCGCGATCCACAGGTTCTCGCACAGCACTCGCTCTGGTTTGCTGGACATATGGCGGCGCCACCACAGACACGGGGTCGCCCATTTCAAGATGCATCAATCTTTCAGACGGTGGGTCTGACAGGCGCGGCGTGAGCTGTTGCAGACGGGGTTGCGGCTGGGGTTGTAGCTGGTGCTGCGGCTGCGGCTGGTGCTGCGACGGCTCCAGAAGCGGTTGATTGGCCGCCGGAGGAGGAGGAGGAACCTGTTGGTACGATACGAAGTCCTGCATGTCGTCCAACAGGTCTTCGTCCATGAAGAAGGCTTCGTGGTTGACAATCTGGCCGATTTGACCGTTCGAAATGGAGATGCGCCGACGTCTCTGGGAGTTGTCTCCCGAGTAAGGGAGAAACATGGTCGAGTCGAGGATGGGCGGATTGGTGATGGGATACGAGTTCATGTCGAAAGGGTTGTGGAAGGCCAAGCCTTTGTAGGGTTGAGGTCTTTGGGGCGCGAGCTGATGTTTCTGGTTGTCAGGAAGCGGACGGGTGGGGAGCTGTGGAACGTCCAAAGCGAGAAAGTCCTGCTGGGATTCCTTCTTGATGGTGGGGTGGTGGTCAAACGCCGAGAGCAGAAATGGTTGAGCCTCGGGCTTTGGTTGCATCATTTGGAGGAGGTAAAGAGCCCGGGAGATCGAAACGGGCAGAAAAGTCTGTCTTGAGAGCCGCAGTGACGAGCGGGAGGCAGAGGTACAGAATAGGAGAAGTGCTAGACAAGCACGAAAGTAGAGCCAGGGAAGGGCAGCTGCTGATACGGAAGTAAGCGAAGAGAAAGCTTGAGCCAAACAAAAGAGCAGGCGGCGCTAACTTGAAGGCGACGGAACAGGAACAGAAGGCACAAGGACTACCCTTTCAGACAAGAAAAAAAAAAAGGTCGAGAAGTGGTAACTGTGCACGAGGGTTCTGACTGGGCGAGTATGCAGCACCGCGGATCCAAATGGGGCGGCAGAAACGGGAAGCCGGGGCGTCTGCAGTAAAACGGCCGACGCGCCGACCCCAACTGCGGGCGACGGCCAAAAGATACCATGAATTGGCGCGCGCCCAAGGCCCAAGGGTCCTGTTTAGTCAGCATGGGTCTGCATGAAATGTGGCGGTGGAATTGTGGACACGGTGATGTGAGATTTATTTTGTTTTCCCTTTTCCCGATATTTTCTTTGCCACTTTCCCATTCGGGCTGGAGCCGACTCTGGCCGGTGTGGCTTTGGCGACTAGGGATGAAACTTGATCCTTGGTGTCGTGCATCTCTTGGTCTATCTGTAACTCCGAACGCACAAACTGCATGCGGCGCGCTCCCTCTCGAAAAGATAGTCTTGCGGACTTGACGAGCCATCATGGCGAGATTTTCTTGTATCTCTGGCTGCGCCGAGGTTTGGGCAAAAACACTCGAGCGTTTTCTCTTTTGACTACAGCGGTGCCCCGATCCATCATTTTTCCTTTCTCTGCTGCGGATGTTCTCCGGAACTTCTGCGAAGAATATTTTTTTTCCATTATCTGCACCTCACGGCTTATTCCTCTTTGTTGGCCTTGCTCGCATACACCGGAATCCCATCTACTGCAGACAGAAGGCCATTTCGTCCTTTTTGGTGCCGCTGCATGAGATGAACTGGCATGTACCAGCCTCAACAATGGGCCCATTTCCCATCCGCCACGCCAGATCCTCAATGTGCCTTCTCTTCGCAGTTGGAAAATACCACAAGAGTTATTGTTAGATAATTTCGAGAGAAAGAGTTACCAAAGCTTCCGGAAGCACAACGTAGCCCAAGTCATGCTCTAACTAGAGCAATAATGTATGCTATTAACGCTAATTCGGGTATGTTAATTGGGCTCACTCATTAATTGGTCAGTAATTGGTCATTAATTGAGCACATTTATTAATTTAGGCAAATAAACTAGGGAGTACTTCTATTCATCAACACATCGATATTGCTTCATTCTAAAGTTTCATACTTTCATGGTGGACTATACATTCAGCATCGCCTTACCCAAGGTATTTCCTGCACACACAATAGATAACCCATTTACACCAGTCCCCGGTCCCGTGACCACATATGGACTACGCCAGTCTTCTTTCGCTTTTGGAAACAAACAACTTCAATGTGGGGGGCTTTGACAAAATGATACAGCCGCCGCTGCTGCGGTCGCTCGATTTCCATTTCGACGTGGTTCTCGAGAACCAGCGGGGCCTAAAGATTCTCGGTATCCCGCTCTTCAGCCGCCAATCGCTAATGCCGTGCATAGATCCGCCGCCTTATCAGCATTTGGACGGTCTGCCTGTTTTGCTAGCATACGACTCGATCGATAACTATGCCTTGCCCGATTTCGGCTGGAGCTGGCTGTGGGACACGTGGCATGTGCTTATGCTAAACGATGTGGATGAGCTGGGCTGGGCCTATCTGTTGCTTTTCCTGCGGTCGCTAAAGTGGCACGGCAAGTACTATTTTGGAGACTTTGTTCGGCGCCGTATGTGGATCCGCATGCGCCAGAGAGACCATGTGGAGCTGGATCTCGAAACAGAGCACCTGCTGTATGTGGATGCTACCGGTGAAGAAGAGAGAGGAAAAAATCCTCACGCACAGCCAAGCGAGCCTGCTGGTACAACTGTTGGTGCAATTGTCATCGAGTAGATTAGTTCGGCCACGTCACGTTGAGGGCCTTATGAGCCGTTCGTGATTACTTCGGTTTCTAACTCTGGGATGAAGAATTACCACAGTTATGTATTGCGCTGTCGGCCATTAAAGTGGGCAGAGTCTAGACCCCAGCCTAGAACGGTGAAGCGAAGAGAACTGGACTTGAATCCAGACTGTATTGGAAAGAGCATCTAAAGGCAGAACAGAAGTAGAAATAACTAGACCAGGCTCTTCGAACCAGACTTCCAACAGGCTATCAAATCAGGCTTTTGAGCCAGATACTTAGAGGCTATAATCAGATTCTTAGAGGCTATAATCAGATTCTTGGGGCTATAATCAGATTCTTACAGGTTACTGAATCGGACTTCAAACAGGCTGTAATTCAGCCTATCTAGCTCGAGCTCCTTCGCCCTGCTCACTCAAAGCAGTCTAATCTATTTCTAGAACAGCCTTGTGGAATCTCATTTCCAGGCTATCTATACGGAAATTCAGGAAACCTGGGGCAGGCACCTTCCGATGGAATTTCTATCGCCTTTCGTATGATTTGGCATTGCGATACGACACAATTACAGAGAAGGATCCACCATGAAGCGTCCTGATTATTGCTAGCAAACGCTTTCCAATAGTCAAAGGTTTGTATGGTCATACAAGAGCGACATGGCGACATGGTGTGCGACACCTAGTCCTTGCGACACCTCCCACTTGTATTGTTTTCATAATAATTACAACCATCTTTACTCATGTCAGAAGATCTCGGACTTGCTCTAGTTGTAGCGCGGCACGCCGTGGCGACCTCCAAACGGTTGCAAAGTTGGTACTTTTTTTCCTCTTTTTTTCCCGTTTCGCTTCCATACTAAGCCTAGCTTCGGTGTCATCTATCGCCAATGCCTGTCTCCCCAAACGGAGCAGACACCAGCCTTCAAGATCGTTTGTTTGCCACAAGTACACAATTGGCGAGCGCCGAAGAACGCGCCACAGCAGAACGTCTGCTGATTTCGATCCTAATGATCTAGCTGCTTTCGTATCCGTCATCAAAAACGACTGCAAATTGTACCCGTCAGAATCGGTGGCTACTACAATTATAGGCTGCAAAAGTGTTCTTCAAGAGGCCGACTACACATATTCAGCTTACCGATGCTCGTCTTTTGTGGCCCATCTTTTGGGGTGCTTGCCCTATGTATATGGCTATCAAAATGATCCACTACCAGCAGCCCATGATGTGAAAGCAGCTCTAGTGGATTTTCTCTACACCATGTTCACCAAGATTTCGCCAACATCGCTACCCTTGACGGAGCAACTAGTGGCCATTTTAGCACAAACTGTCTTCTGTTTCCGTTTCGGGCCTGATGCTGACAGCAAGCCTGACTTTACCCTTTTTGCTTCGCTCACAGGAATTTGTACAACCAAAAAACTCATCCACAGCCACGCCTTCATGGACCTGTTCTGCGTGTGTCCAGTTCCTGTGGTAGAAGCTATGCTTGATGTGCTTTATCACTACTGTACCACTTATGACTCGAATTGTGTGACTGAGACCAGTACTAAAGTATTGGCATGTTTGGTGGTCTTTGATGATGAGCACGCCACAAATCATTTTTGGCTCCAAAACTGGACCAATGCATGAGTTGAGCATATTACTTAGAGCTGAAGTGTGTCAGAGCTCATGCAATTCCAATTTAGCGAATAGATTTGATGGCATTTCGACTGAAAATATAACTGAGACCGCTAGCGGTGGTGGTCAATCCAACAACAATACCAAAAACGTCGAAAAAGTTACTCAACTGATCACTGCCTCCAACAAGATACTCTATGCCTGGAAGGAAAACCAAACCGCCAATGTAGAACATCTGCAATGCAGTGTTCACTTTGCCCAAGAGATTAGGGTGCACGGTATGCGTAGTGATGGACATGTCAAGAAACCGCTTCATAGTTTTCGGAGGGGGCAAGGCCGTATAGCGGAAGTAGAAGGCCATGAAACTGAGCATGACATCACGTCCTATAATGACGGCCCCAATGTACCAAGGCATGATGTTTTGCATTGAAAGTGCAACGGTACTCACTGTCATGAGGAACTTATCAGCAGCTGGGTCCAAGATCGATCCGAGCACGGATTTCATATTGCAGCGCCGGGCGATCTGACCATCTACGAAATCTGTGACGCACGAATACACAAAAACAGAAATGGCAGCGGTCGAATGGCCTGTGGCAATGAAGTATCCTATAAACGGAGTGGCAGCAATTCGTGTCATGGTAAGAATGTTGGGGATTGTGTAAAGCTCATTGCGGATGTCTGGCTTGACTGGTATCTCCTTCTTTTCTACGGGAAGTGCCGGTTTCCCCAGAATGTTCACCAGCAGTTTTTCACTGCGATTGAGTTGCTGCCATCGACTTGGCGATACACTCAACAGGCGAGCCAAAGAGAAATGCAATGGTCGTTTCAAAGAACGGCCTATTGGCACATGTGAGCGTAGGCTCCAGGTAAACAGTGAGGGAAATGTTCTTAGCATATTATGTGGAATGAAAAAGGCCAAAGTGAAAAATTACCAATTTTGGTGCGCACCCGAGCTACTACCCCATACGTTTACTTTGAAGACGCGGGTTATCAACATGACCTTTCTTTTCGATGAACTTTTCTTACAAAACCTAGCCGTTATTTCTTCATCCTTTTAACGGTGTACTGCTGTGCAAACCATTGATTATCAATGACAGAAAATCATGTTTACTAGCACTAGCAAGTGAGTCGTTCTTTCGATATTTTCGCATACGCTTGTATAATTATTTTGGTATAAGTATGGTTCATCAAGCTGTAAATATGAGTAATTGCTCATTAGAATTGTCATATGCTGTTTATTATGCGTAAAGTTTAGCGATACAGAGCTTGTGCTATGTAATGGATCTCATTATAACCCATAATTTACCCGCATGTATCTATCACCTACTTTGGCAAACCCTTCTCATTGACCAAGGACTGTGTCGTTTCCTGAGGACCACTTCCGATTTTCGTCAAGATGATTCTGCTGACACCCTTGTATGCGTCGGTGTCGAACTCAATCGTGGAATCCTCAAACCCATTGACCTTGTCAGCAATTTTCTCCCAACCAGGGACTTGGTGGAAATATTTGTGGATCAAACCCAACACCTTGGTCACGTTTTCCTCTTCATAGTAAATGACAGCATTTGGACCAGCGTCAAAAGTGTAAGCAGCAATAATCTTTCCCTCTTGCTCGTTCAATTTGTGGATCAACTTGATGATTTTCTTTGAGGTATCGTTCAAGTAAAAAATCGGAGGATACGAGTCCAAGCACACAGCGTGGAATGAGTTGGAGTCCTTCATGGTCAACTCACCAAAAGTCTGGAAATCACGCTCGGCAATTGACTTTTTCATTTGTTCAAACCGCTTGGGCACAACTTCTTTGATACGCCACTGGAACAAATCGGAAGTGGCAACGGTAGATTGCATTCCTGTAGTAGAGGGCGTATCCTTCTTGTCATCAGACACAACCAAAATGGCTGCTTTCATAGTTGGCCAATGTTCCAATGGAGCGACTTCGACAGCCTTGGAATCCTCGCCGTTTTCCAAGTCGCCCATTTCCCACGCGACGTAGCCGCCGAACAAAGATCTACAAGCCGATCCCGAACCCTTACGAGCGATTTTGGAAATCTCCGACATCAGCTGAGGAAGCTTGTACAATTTGGCAATAGCCACCACCAAAGCAGCAAAGCCGGCGGCTGACGAAGCCAAGCCAGCAGCGGTGGGGAAGTTGTTTTCCGAAACAATGTGTAAGCCCCATTCAGACAACTTGGGCAACGAGGAGTCTTGTTCTTCCAACTCTTTTCTCAATCTTCTCAAATCCTTCAAACATGCAATGGTTCTCTCGCCCTTGATGCCTTCTTCAACTCCATTGAGCCACAAGTTGTCTTTGGAGAATTCTTCACTGGTAGCAACAGAGGTCAAGGTTCTCAAGTCTTCCTGCGCCAACGTCACCGAAATGGACGAGTTGGTTGGCAAGTTGAGCGTTTTGTCTCTTTTGCCCCAATACTTGAGCGTCTGGAAGAAAGTTAGCGCTTGCGAAACTAAAAACTGCCGGAGCAGAAAATGATGTACATACAGCAATGTTGACTGGAGCCGTCGTGGAGGCTGTGAAAACTGTCATGTTTAGAGAGGTGGTGGAGAAAAATTCCTACCGTCGTATTTAGTCGTAGCCGCGCAGTCGCGACAAGAACGTGCATTTTATTGAAATCAGTGGATTTTCCAACCATCTTGGACTCGAAGAAGATTCGAAAATACAAATCGCTAGTGTTTATGAAGCTGAAATAAATAAGTTGAGTTCAAAAAAAAAAAAAAAAAAAAGAAAAAAAAAGAAAAAGACTGCTTCCTTGTTCGTATGTGGTTCAACTCTAACTGTGAGGTGCTTTGCAATAAATGAACCTCAACCATGTCCTCGCTCATCACCCCCACTACACATTATAATACTAAATTGACATATCTTATACTTATACAGCTAATTAGCGAAAGTGTTCTTCGTACTTGTGTTGTCCCCGAATGTTTTTCACTTTCTTCTCCATCTCCACAATCTGGCCTTGCAGTCACCGCTACCGGTAGCAAAGATACCTTCTGTTCCCAGAGAGTTGAAAGAAACAGCCACCGAGATGACTGAGTTGCGGTGACCCTGCAACATCAACAATGGGTTACCCGACGCCTGGTCCCAGAAAATCACTCCACGGTCTTTAGAACCAGACAAAATGTACTGGCTGTCTGGCGTAGAGCACACACTCAAGACAAAGTCCTTGTGCCCAACGTAGGTAACCTCACAGCTCGATTTCTTCGTTATTTGCGCGTTTGCGCCTGCGCCTGCTTGCGCCGAGTCTGCTTTTCCTTCCAAATTCCACAACTTGACTGTTCTGTCCAACGAACCCGATGCAATCTGGTTACCGTCAGCAGAGAATGCAACAGAGTACACCGAGTCCTGGTGGCCATTGCCTGACTCATTGCTCGAGTCCAATCTCTCAACAAGGAATCCAGTCGAGGAATCCCACACACGTACTGTCTTGTCCAAAGAACCTGCAGCAATCAATTTTCCGTTTGGAGACACAGCAACAGTGGTAACACCGTCTTCGATAGACAACGTCAAAGAGCATTGAGCTGAACGCAAATCCCAGATTCTGACAGTGCGGTCCCCAGAACCAGAAACCAAGCGGTCTCCATCAGGGAAAAAGTCCAATGAGTAAATGTCCTGCTCGTGACCACGCAAAATCTTGATAATTCTTTTCGTGGCCAAGTCCCAGATACGAATCAACTTGTCCTCTGCACCTGTAGCCAACAACTTTCCGTCAGGAGAGAAGCACACAGAACGGATGTACAAGTCACCGTTTGCGTTAGTCGAAGCGTTGTTGGAGGATCCGTTTGTACCGTTTTCGCCGTTTTCGTTGTCGCCCTCGCCATCTCCCGAAGCATTACTGGCCGAATTGTCATCAATCAACTTGGCAATTAAAGCACCAGTCTTGACATCGAAAACTTGGGTGGTCTTGTTGCACCCGGTAGCAATGTACTCGCCGTTTCTGGAGAACTTGACACAGCAAACAACAGAAGAGTGGTCCAAAGATTGCATCAACTCAACATCCAAGTCACGCTTGAATGCTGGATTGTACAAGACATAAAATTCTGGGCTCTGCTTCTTGAAGTCTGGGTTAGCCTTCATCACGTCCAAATCTGCGAGGAAAGGAGGAATTTCCTTCACGTGCATGTTTTTCTCTTGGGGGTTGACGATGTACTGCGACTTGTCAATAACAGTCAATGCCGACGAAAACTCTGGAGCTGGAGCTTCTCTAGCCGCTTCAGCAGAAGGTTCCAACTTGGCAATACTAGGAGAAGCTTTAACAGACTCCGGTTTAATGTTGGCCTTGAGCGCTGGACCTGGTTGAACGAGCTGCGGCTGTCCCTGTTGAGGAGATTGATGTTGTTGCTGTTGCTGTTGTTGCTGCTGTTGCTGCTGCTGTTGTTGCTGTTGTGGATAAGGGTAAGGGTACTGAGCATCCGTAGGTTGTTTGTGTTGAATTTGCCTGTCTCTATTTTCCAATTCTGTTTTCAAGCGCAAAATCTCCTCCTCGTAAGCCTCCTTGATTTTCCTGTGGGCCATTTCCAACTCGTACACGGTCTGGCGAATTTGCTGCATCTCTGCGGTCTGCTGGCTGCATTTGGAGTCGTAGTCCTCCTTGATTTTCGAAAAGTTGGACGCCTCGTTAAGGGCAAAGTCAAATTCCTGCTTCACTGCATCCAACAACTCATTCAAACGCTGCTGGTGTCTCTGCTGCTGCTGGTGTTGCAGATTCTGGTTCTGCTGCAGCTGGGCGGAGCTGGCGTAGACAGACATTGGAGCGGAGTATTTTTTTGCTTTTTCGTGGGCGGATAGTTGGCTTTTTGTGGTGGCTTATTTTCTGTTCCTGCAAACTACAACTCTGCGATTGTAGCGGGTGGACGAAAGATGAGGTTTCACCGAAAGAATGTGCACACACAAGCGGGTTTATTGTGGGAGCTATTTATTTAACTCTGAAAATGCCTTCGAGTACAAAGTAGGTTGAGGGAAAAAACAGACAAAGTTGAACATTGAATCCAGCCAGCCTGTATGCAGGCATCCGCGCTTTCTGGAGGATGCCATACGGTGTTTACTAGTCCTACTAGCTTCCCAAGATTATAGAAGGGCAGAAAATGTAATACACAATGAAGAGTAAAACAATCTGAACATGCAAAGTGAAGACAGCGCCGCAACATTTTTTTTTCATATATATCATTGCCGTTTCGATCAAGTTGCTCTGTGTCCTTTGTTGTCCAACGTCTTTTTCCGCTCTCTTTTCTTTTATTTTTTCTCTCCATCAGCCTACTCTTCTTCCTTGGCTATTTAGACAGAGTAATCAACGGACTGCAGATACGCAAATATATCCGTTGACAGAGCCCTTAAATTGGGCGTTCATATCTTTTATCCCAGCTTCCAATGGGTACGAGAAAGATATCAGAGTTTCAATAACTTTGCTGTCTAATGTTTTTGCCGCCCTTTCCGTCCATTCATGTTGGAACAATACAACAACGGGAGGTGCGGCTGTTCCAAATTGGGAAACATGGGGTGAACATCCAGCACGCACCCCATGCCCCCTGTATCGGTCCTTGAAAACGCCCGATTATTGCTGAGGAAATGAGCGTCGAAAGCCGACGTAGATCACGTGATATCATATATACAGGACATTTCCACGCCGCCAGTTAGGGTCTAGTTGTTCCGTTGGCAGGGATTCTGGCTGGGTCTGTGCTGGGCTATGCTATGCTGTCAAAATTGCGTAACGTAGCGACATGGGTTTATTGGTGTGCGCATTCGGTAGTGCGGTTTCACACTATACTTTTAACACAAGTGGTGCACTGGTGTCCTCCCTCTCCTACGACTAGAACATGGTATATCTTGGGAACTCACCTTTTAGGGGCAAAAAGGAACAGGCGGCATATGACAAGACGTTTGCCGGTCGGTACCAGAAGCTTTTGCGCAAAAACCACTTCCTTTATTTTGGACTTCCCTTCATGCTCAGCATAGTGGCAGGATCGCTTTATCTTCAGAAGTTCACGGCGTTGAAATGGGAGAGATTCGATGAAAAATACCGCCAGTTGAACGAGGAGGAGATGCTAGGTATGATTGAGAAGAAGCGCAATTTCGACAAGAGAGACGATTTCTACAGATTGCAAGGCTTGTTGAAAGACCATAGCACGGATGTGAGCGACGATTACGAAATCGTCCGCGTGGAGAGGAAAAAAGAAGATGAACCCGTGTGGTGGAGATCAGGATAAATTTCCTCCGTATTTTCCATATGCTTTTTTTTTTCTTCCTTGCTTCTTTTCCCCGGCTTTGCTTTCTTCCTTCGCTAAGTATCGCGACCGTACTTCTCCGCGAAAAATTCATCTCATCGTCTCATTGCAAAATGGTTTCCTTTTCGTGTGAAGTGTGCAACGACACTGTGATTAAGAAGAAGTTGGATCAGCATAAACAAAGATGCCACGGAGCATACTTTACGTGCATTGACTGTTCCACAACATTCAGCGGCAACGACTACAAAAGTCACACCCAATGTATTTCCGAGGCTGAGAAGTATGAAAAGGCCTTGTACAAGGGAAAGAAGGGAAAGCAAGCCAAACAAGAGGTAGCTAAGCCACAACAAAAGGAGGAACAGAAGGAGCCAAAGAAGGAGACGGAGGCTAAGGAGGAGAAGAAGGAGAAAAAGCAGAAGGATAAGAAGAAGGACAAGATCGACTTGTCAAAATACGGTACTGGCTCTTTGTACAAAATTGTGAAGAGCATCGCCAAAGACTCGAAAAAGGACAAGAAAGAGGTGTTGCAAAACTTAAAGGTGAAGGAAGAGAACGGACAGCTCGTTCTCACATTGTAAATAGCATAGGCTGTTTTTATAAAGCATACACAACTATACCGAGCTCGCCACAAACCAACTTTAGTGAAAGAGATTATTTTCTAGTTATCAACACCGCCTGGACCCATCTGATGTAGTAAATGCAAGAATGTCAGTATTAAAAAAAAAAAAAGAAAAAAAAAAGCGAAGGAAGGAAATGCTCAACTTTGTTTCGATTTATTTCTTCGTGGCCTTGTTCAAGGCTTTGCTCATTTTGGCATAAAACTGCAGAAGAGTATTGTAGGGGAATATAAGACTATCTTTCAAGTACTCCGGCAAATGTGGTGCCAACACACGAGCATGACTGTTCATAATTTCTTCTTCTTCAGAAGCAGGCAGTTCGTCCATTTTCTGGAAGAAAGTAGGCACGTAAGTCACTTCTGCCGTATTTTCGAACTTACGTTTAATCACAAGGCGATATGTCACACTGATAGCGTCATTGTCGCTGTCACTATTGGTTGACAGCTGTTTAACGTCAAAATAGAACTTCACTCTGTCCTCTTCATATGAGATGATTCGAACTCCTGTGAGCAACTCAAGCATGTCGAGCGTAACGCCAATGGTTTTGAGTTCGTTTGCCAAGTCTTCCTGGTGTACCATGGCGGATGCGTTTCGTCGGCGAATTGGCAGTTCATACAATTCGGGCATACGGCCTCTCTGAGGCGTCGAACTGACAACTGAAGAAGACAGTCCTGTGGTGCTGGTGTCCTCTAATCGCCGGAGCAGTGCCAGAAGCGAATCAATGCTCTTTTGTTTGTTTTCGAGTTCATGGCGCAACTGGGAGATCAAACGCGAGTCGTTCTCCATCTGGAGACGGGCGGTGCGCTTGTAGCTCTCAAATATCTGCTGTTGCGATCCAACCAACAGGTTAACAAAGTGAACAACCTTCGCCAGTGTGTCTGCAGCTAAAATGTCTGCTTCTGTGATTTGATGTGATTTGTCGAAGGTGGATGTTTCCTGGACTCCATTTGGTTTGGCTACTTCAGTTTCGGCAGCTAGCGAAGTCGTTTCTATGATTTGATCAGGCTCCTTCTTCTTACGGCCACGTTTAGCCGGCTCTTTCGGTGGCTGAGTTTCTTTTTTAGCAGGTGCTTTCTTGGTTTTCTTAATTCGGGTCGGCAGAGCCGCCGAAAGCGCAAGCGAATTGGATTTGGACCGGGGCGACTTTCGAACGGCGTCTTGCTCTGAAACATCTTTGGAACGCGTTCCTTTTGCTGTTTTGGCCATAGTAGAGATGTTTGTTGTTTGTAGAACGCGATGTGCGATGAAAATGTGGAGGATATAAACAGGACAGGCAGAAAATAATACATACTTGACGAAGGACAGAACCATTCATTCGGATTGAAAACAAGATTTCCAATCATTTATAGGAGCTTTTCAAGTATCTTTCCCACCGCATGCTTTTAAAGTTTTGGTAAAATAGCCATGTTTTCATTTGAGATGGATTCCATACAAAGTAATCAATTGTATGTTGCTTGTTCTCTCTAACCTTCTGGATCAAGGTTAGATGGATGATAGGCCATGTGAGCGGCTCATATATTGTAACTCTACTCGAATATGCCCGCTTTGCAGAACCATTCCTCTGATTACTCACTCAAACATGTTCTAGTTGTAAAAAGGTGAAAGTACAAACCCACTGTGGAGCTGTATCTCTATTATCTGCTAGAGCAATTAAAATAGGCTTAAAAGAAAATGAAAGACTTATTCTTTATCTAATAAGTTCAGGTTAAGTGGCAGTGCTTTTAATACTTACGGATTAGGTCGGCTGGTTCATCCTAATACGAAAAGCATCTAATTACCCCATTCACACATTCGATACATATGGGATATATAGAGTCCAGCATTGATAGAAGCAGTGATGTTAAGAAATGGCACTTCTCTGCGCAGAAGTAGTTGGCTCTGATGATGAAGAAAAAGTTGCAGATTTCCTTACAATTGCATGAAATGGCTACGATAAATCACATCATTGATAATCAATTCTTTACTGTAATTTGAGATTGCGTCATGTAAAACTGCCTCACAAGTGCCGGCGCAAGCCATTGTAGGTGAATTAATCGAAGGAATACGCATACTCTAAAAAATTGCCCGAAACATGAAACAGAAGCCAAAGGTAGAATGAAAAATAGCGTAGAGCTCATAAGCAAATTTATTTCTTACAAAAATGTAACTGCTTCAATTCCAGTCTATTGTAGCCAACCGTATGCTTTCCCATCTTCGTCATGCCCTGCCTTCCATGTAAAAGCGCGCACATTCGATCGCTCTTCCATTTCCCCACCATGTCTTTTTCTCCTGACATCTTCAACAAAAAGTTGGACCTGCTTCAAGAAACGCAGGAATCCATCGTCTCCATCTCACAATGGGTGCTTTTCCACCACCGCCATGCCCAAGAATTGTGTCGCTTGTGGAGTGACTACACATTGACGAGAACGCTGAAGCTGAACAAAAGGCTTTCACTTTTGTATCTCTGTAACGACGTGGTACAAGAGGCCCGCCACAAAAGAAAGCCCGAGTTTTCTGCCGAGTTTGCCAAAATACTTCCGAAAGCCCTCCATACCATTTACCCTTCGCTAGACTCGGCCATCAAGCCAAAAGTTGAACGTCTAGTAGGCGTTTGGGAACAGAGGAACATCTTCTCACAAAAGGACATCAAGGCAATGAGAGAAGCCTTGGAGCTGGCTAAAGGAGGCAAACTGCAGATCCAAAATACCGACACTGACAAGGCGCCTTCGACTTCAGGACCTCAAGTGGCCACTGATTTGGTCCACTTAAACAACTTGTACCATCATATGGCTCAGTTACAGGAAACGTGCCAGGCCAATTTGACCCAAGTGGGAATTCAGTCGAAAGCGTACTTGCCCAACGATTTATCTGTGCTGGATAACCTTCCCCTGCCCAAGGTATACATTTCCAAGTTGAATGTGCTAGAGAAATTGTGCAACATGACGACAAAGAACTTGGAAGACATCAAGAATACACGCAAGGAAATTGTGTCTGTGTTAGGCAATTTACAAAAGCTTGCCGCTGAGGGCGAAAATACAGATGACCTGAAGGTATCTATAATTGGGCGCAAGTTAGACAAGTTGTACACCACTCGCCAAGAGTTAAAGGAAATCCTTGGTGAAGAGGAGCCAACGACTCAAAGTAATGAAGAAAACGAAACGCCTTCTCCATCCTTTGAGCCTACGAGTGATTCAGCAACAGATCTAGTTCCAACGTATGAGAATTCGAGTGACGACGACGACGACGACAACGACAATGACACAAGTATGCCAGTAGGCACTGTTCCAAGTGCTCTGAGAAAACGCAAGTTATCAGATTCGTCCGTCTCATCCACAACTTCGAAAAAGTCGGTGGCATTTTCAGAGGATATTCAAGTGAAAGAGTATGACAGAGAAGAGCAGACAGAAGTGATCAAAATCGTGAAAAGCGATACTGAATCTGAAGACGATTATGTGCCAGATATTGAGGAGCCAGAGCCTTCTGATTTGAAAGAGTATGAGTCAAAACATAAAGATGATTTGGAACTTATGCATGAGAAAAAGACCAACGACGAACAAGGAGAAGACCAAAAGGCAGGGCTTCTCAGTTTATTGTCGAAGCTTAGCTGAGATGATTTACAAACAAAACAAAAAATTACTTTCGATCCTTTTATTCCCGATATGAATGCTAATGACTAGTTTAGAAGACGATAGACGTCACTAACCGTTTTGTTCAGATAGTGACAGTAGTTGTTTGTGTCTTCGTTGGATTCCGGCGCAGCTGGAAGCTTTGCGGGCACTGAAAACCGGCGCACCAGATCAAAGGCGCTATCTGGACTTATTGAACTTGTTGCAGAGTCCAAGCTGCTTTTTCTAGAGGTGGCCGGCGATGATTTTGCCCTTTTATGGGAGTCTGGGTTTGAACAGTCGCTTCCCTTTCTCTTGCGAGTAATATAGATACATAGCTCATCACAAGAGATGCAATTCAAACACTCGGGTAGATCGCGTGTACACTTTTTCTTGAACTTTCTGCAGCGAAGACAGCTGGACCGGGCCTTCCTCTCATCTTGAGCATCTAGTTCGATGTTAGAGAGATCATGGTTGTATATATTAGTGTTCTGCTGAAGCGCTTGAGGAGACAAGATCTTCTTTTTGAACACAACGATCGAATCCTTGAGATGACGCGTAGTCGTATAAACCTCTGAATTTTTGAGATGCACTTGAAAGTGGCTTGTATAGGCTTCTAGTTCGGGATACTCGTGCAAAGTTGTGGAAAAGTGGCTTTCATCACTCATTTGGTTGATTTTAGGGCACGCCATAATAATTATTGCCTCATGCTATAGGGGAAAACGAAAAGCTAATATGAAAGAAAAGAACCAGAAGTAAAAGATGCCAGTAGGAAGTGCTAGCAAAGAAGCACAAGAAAGAATTTCTGTGCGTCAGGCACACCTAATTCCAAATGCGTTATTAGCGTAATTGGCAATATATTATCGGTGCGCGCGTCGGAGTCAGACGGAGTCGCACATGAGTCAGAAGCTGAGTCGCGCATCTGATTCATGCCCGTCTGAAGAAGTTTTTTGTGGATCGTAATGTTGCAAGTAACGGCGACCTTAGTGCTGAAGAGCCCGAGAGAAGCGGTTTGATGCTGATGGCATGGGGTTGGTTCTCCTTGGGAAAAAGCCGCGCATATAATTCATGTCCTCGGGTAAGTTTCTCAACCAGCGGGAGTTCTCTCTTGAGATCAGACGCGAGATTTTTGAGAAGCAGGGTCGGTCTAGCGTATTCCAGCATAGTATGCCGATCTGTTCCCGATTTCTCTGCCCACTGTTGTCCCTTTACCTCTTGTTTTCTTTGCAGCTGATCTCTCTCATTGATAGACAAGTTTGCGAGGGCCGCAGTCAATTCGGTGTTTTGTGCAGGGGACTCCGCATGTGGAAGATCTGTTGATAAGGTCAAGAACTGCGGCTTCTCGTGCAGGAACCAACGTCTCACCAGAGACGGAAGTTCATCGTGCCCCAGCGCCGAGCCCACATACAACAATGTTCGGGCCCGCGTGAGCGCCACAAAAAGCAAGTGGCGACTGGCATAGTCGGCCAGAAAAGATTCCGGCGCGAGAATTTTTTCCCACGAGGTGCGTGCACCCAGCGCAAGAACAAACACCACTGGAAACTCGAGGCCCTTGGCTGAGTGGATTGTGGAAACACGCACCAGGTTCGTATTCGGAGGCGGCACTTCGTTGTCATAGGTCTGGAGAAAGTAGTCAATGAACGGCATTGTTTGAGCCTCGGCGCTGCCACTGTACATATCAAACGAATGGTGCACTGAATTGTTGAAGGATGTGAGAAGATCGGCTCCAGAAGTAGTAGAGCCGCCGCCCACTTTGGGGCGAGTGCTTCCAGATTCTGCGGCGAAAACGTAGTCATGAATGCCTGCGAGCCGCGCCATGCGCGCCAAACATTGCACCAATTGGAGCGGCGTGTATGCAAGCGGGTCCTGGGAATGGAGCGCGCGGACTGTTTCGCGTTCTATTTGGACTTGGTTCAAGAAGGCAGCGATGTTCTCCAACAGATCTGGGCAAGTGCGATAGATGCGCGCGAGCAGACCCGATGTGTTGCCCTTTTCCATATCCACAAGCTCCGCATGCAAAAAGATTTCCAACGCATCTGGCTGGTCGCCGTACGGTTGCTCAAAGCTCTTTGTAAGTGTGCGGGCGGCGCGCGCGCGCGCGCCTCTGTGCGGGTCTAAAAGAGCCATCACATTTAATAAGCTGAGGCCGGCGTCGGACCCGCCACAGATTACGCTCAACACATCGCGGTACACGTGCATGTTAGAGTCGACCCATGCGTTCCCTGGGGCGACTTTTACGGCGGGAATTCCAAGCGCAGTGAGTGCTGCGGTGGCGCGCGTCGCTTCGGCGTTGGTGCGGGCCAAAATGGCCATGTCGCGCGGCTGAAGAAGCGCCAGGCAACAGAGCAAGCGCACAATTTCTTTGCAAACATGGTCGAGCTCGTTGCGCGCAGGCAAAAGCACAGGGCGCGGGCCTGATTCTCGGTTCGAAAGGAGGGCCAATGCCGGCTTGTCAAGATGGGACAGGCCAGGCGAGCGTCCACTGTTGGTGGCGGCCGTGTTCGGCGTAGCTGCCACAGTTTGCACGTCAGCCTCAACTTTAACGTGTACTATTTTGTTCGCTGGAAATTTCTCACTCGCCTCCATACTTTGGACCTCAGTTTCCTTCTGGCTACTTTCTTGCGCCGAGGGCACAATGGCGCTCGCCTTATCTTCTGCAGCATTGCCAAAATCTATGAGAGCGGCCACATCCAAAATCTGCTGCGTGCATCGAAACAGCTCACACAAAGGCTTATCCGCCACAGGACGAGGCACATGCTGAACCAACTTCTCCATGTTATCGCGCTGCGCGCCCAAAAAATCGTAGATGCATTGGCGCGGGTCGCCCGCCACGGTCAAATGCTTGAACACGTCGTCCTGCCCCTCTGTAGGATACTTCACGACCGCCGCTATTATCCGCATAAGCAAAGGGTGGATGTCTTGGAATTCGTCCACAAATACCTTGGTGCATGTGAGAAGGCGAGGGAAAGGCATCTTCCCTTCAAGAAGGCGCGCGCACTCGAGCAAAAGATCGTCGTAGCGCAAGACACCCTGCGCTTCGAGGTACAGCAAAAGCGCCTCCACATAAGCGGCCGAGATCTTGTGGCGCTCCGCCGCCTCGGCCACAGAAAATTCGCCGCGCGCCACGCCCGCAAGTATTCGCTCCAACTGGCCCGCACTCACCTTGCCTTCCACGCGGTGCAGGCCGAGCTGCGCCAGGCGCGCCAGAAACGTCCGCACAAAGTTGCGCCAGCATCGATTATCAAACACCCGGCGGCGCGCGCCTGCAGCAACTCCTCCATCCTGCTCGAGAACCATGGCGCTGAATGAATGGAAGGTCGAGATCGATACACGTTGCGCCTCGTCCTTTCCGATGATGGCTGTAAGAGCCTTTTTCACCGCCTCCACCGACCGGTTGGCCATACATAGCACCAAGATTTCTGCTGGGTCGGTGCCGTTCTGGACCATGTGAGCGATTCGCGCCGTGAGAGTAAATGTCTTTCCCGACCCGGGCGCGGCCACGATGCGAACAACTTCATCTGCGCGGGCAGGATACGTGATGGCGTCGTACTGGCTATCCGAGACGCGGATACTGACTTGGTCAGGCTCTTCCGAGGCAGAGTCGAAAATGTCGTCGGTGGCACGCGCCGCCTCGAGAAGGGCATTGTATTCTGCCGCCTTGAACATCGGGCTCATCAAGATGGGCGAAGTGGCGCAAGAAGGACAACTGGGGTAAGTAGGGCAGGTCTCGTAGCGTTGATAGCAGCGTAGTGACTCGGGAGTGAATTCAATACCCAGGGTAACTTATCCAAGCTCAAGTCCAGATTCCAATGTGTCAATGACTGAACCAATGAATGTGATTTGATTTTGATGTATCTTCTATGTGATCGCAGCGGCTGTACCAATCCCGACTATTTCTGATGTCTATGTCTGTGCATGAACAGACAATCTGTTTCTTTCTAGGCGCTTGAGGTAAATGGCGGTTCCAACCTTTTGGAGCAGTAACTATTAAACGCGCGCATTGCATCTAAACAGTTCAGTGATGATACAATTACTTCCATCATGGGACGTGTCAATGCTATCTGATGTCGAAACTTATGCAATTGTCGAGAATATTAGTGCTTTCCTTAAAGGTAAATGGTCGGGGAAATGATCTGCACGATTTTAAAATAATTGGCACCAATATCTTTGGACTTGGTGTCTATCAGGCTAGTATCCCGATAGACATTGGAATGCCCTCAAACTATCTGTAATATCTATAAAGACAGTAGTTTGTATTGATCAGTAGTTGTATTGATCAGTAGTTGTATTGATGAGGAAACTCTTCAAACGTATCACACATCCATTCTCAGACAGCCTGTTACTCAAAACAATGTAGGTTGTAACAACTCTCATTAAAACTCTGGCTTTGGCTGATTTGCCGCTTTACCGCTTTCCAATTAGGGTCTGGCCAAACACCGTAGTGTCTTAGCATGCTCAAATGGTAACGGTACAATTCTTGAGCATGTGTGCATTGGGAAACTCTGTGAGTGATATCTCCCTACTTGAATCAAAGAAGAAAGCAAAAATAAAAATAAAATGAAAATAAAAAAAAAAGCAAAAAGATAAACTAGATAGAAAATACAAACTGACACCAAGTGAAGAAACGAAATCTTGTAATTGTGTATAATAGTCATTGGTGTTGTACCCCGTATGGATGCTTCTTTCATACAAAAACTAATGTGAATGAATGCACGCAACAAATCAGTTATTTTAGTCTCAAACCTACCAATATTCTCTCCGGTTCCGATCAGTTCTTGTATATCCTTTACGATATTCTCCAGTCTGTGGGTGTCACAATAAGTTGATTCCTTCTCCGCACTCCCACTGTTGGTATCGCGAACATCTATCCACACATACCTAGCTCTAGCTCTTTTAACAAACCCCATAACATTCTTCTGATTGCTGTTTGCACGTCGCCAAACATGAGCATTCTGTATCTACAGTCCATACTCCCCCTTCCTCCGACAATAGAAGCACCAAAGGATGACTTGTCGAGTACCGGCACCAAAGAGTCTTCGGACAACGCATTCGAATCGCTTCCGGAAGGTACTTTCGAGACGCTTTCGGACCAACAATTGGGAGTTGCCATGGCCCGGTTTGACCGGTTCCGTGACTCCATTTCGCCATTACGTGCTAAATTGGATCCGATAGACGCATTTCTCAACAGCTTTCACTCCGAAATCAAGCAATTATCCCATACTTTGCGTTCTCTTGAACAAACTTCTACCCGATTATCTTCTGGAGCAGATTCTCTGCGTGACGTCGTTGACAAGCTCAACTCGGTGATCTTGGATATGATGATCTCGCCGCAATTGGCTGAGTCCATAATGAACGATCCTATTGATGAACTGTGGCTAGAAAATATCCGTTTCATTGCCGATAAACAGCAACTCATTGATAAAATAAACCAAGATTCTCTCCCCAGCCACGCTGCCTATAAGAATCTGAAACCTTTCCAGCAATTGCAAGATGGTATATTATTGCTTGAAGCCAAGGCAATAGAACGTATAAGGGACCACCTTATTCACGAAATCCGCTTGATGAGAGGACTGATCAAAACATCCTCACAAGTAGTTCAAGAGAAATTGCTACAGGTTAAAGAAATATATTCTTTCCTCGAAGACCGCCATCCTCAGCTTGCTAAACAACTCCAGTTGGCCTATATCTACACCATGAAATGGTACTACACCACTCGTTTTGCCAAGTACTTGCATTCTTTACAGAAACTTCGTCTCAAAGTCATTGACTCTCTGTTTGTTTTGGGCGCTTCCAACGACCATACGGAAGCGAAACTGGGTCTCTTTGGTTTCGTCGACGCTTCACTCCGCGACTCGCAATCTCTTTCTCCAAGTCTGGCCTCGGGCAAAATTTCCTTGGCAGAGTATTTCCTGTCATACATTAAGCGAATGGAAATTCTTGCTGAAAGCAACAAGTCAGAATCCAGAAGATCCATTCCCTCTCAAATTGCGGAAACTACTCCGTTTGCATACTGGATGGAGTTTGCCTTCAACCAGTGGTCCAACGCATTGTTGGATAATATCATTGTCGAATACTTATTTGTTGTCGATTTCTTTTACAGAGGGAACGAGAAATTTCACCCAATGGTCGAATTAGACCCTAAATTAGAAGACCATAATCTGAAGAAAAAGGACTGGTCGCACTTTATGTTTGAAGACGTTTACAAAATGGGACAGTCGTTTGTTTCGTGGTTGATTACTAGCCTGCAAGCTTCCTTGAGCCTGCGTTTGACCGCCGCACCTTCAATAGCATCCACTTATGCTAATGGCACTTCGAGTCAATCCAGCTCGTGCGACATTTATGCCATATTAATCATGATTCGTTTGATTCAAACTCATTCGTTTGCTCTTCATAATGAGTTCAGGGTCCCTGTAATGGAAGAATACCATAATATGATGCTATTAATGTTGTGGCCACATTTCACTCGAATCATTGACATAAACTGCGAAGCCATGAAGAAAAACATATTAGGTTCCAGCACATACTCATACCGTCTGTTGCAGACCAGTCAAGCTCCCATAAATGCAACTCAGCAATTTTCGCAGTTAATGGTGGGGTTGCTCAAGTTGGCTTTCATTCATGAATCGCAAGGCGAGAATCTTGCTCAATATCAGGGTGAGCCTGTGTGCTCTTCAATCATTCGACTTCGAAATGACTTCGAAAGCGCTTTAACTAAAACAGGAAGCCATGTATTTGGCTCAGGCAAGAACAAAGCTGTTCAAAAGGAAATTTTCTTGTTCAACAACTACTTTCTTGTGGTGACAATTTTGCGCAATGAGTTTGACATGAATACATGCAATCAGTTTATCAAAGAGCAGATTGAGCATTTTGAACTTCTCTGTGATGCCTACAAGCCAAAACGATAAAACCTTAATGACGAGATGAGCCATTTTTTAGTGTTGGGGGAAGAAAAATGCTTCTGGTGTATTATATTTATGGAAGATCTGCAAGCTTAGCGAAAAGCCCACACAATTGTAAGTACGACAGCACACCCTCCAATACACGCATGTGCACGAATCCGATTTCCTTAATCATGTCTAGACGTTTCAGTTCGTTCACGTGCGGCAATGTTTTCGCCACCTTAAAGGACAGAGTGACGATGTCTATAGCAGAATATCCCTTGTTCCATAAAGTGTCGAGTAGGTCGATCGCAGTATCAATGTCCTTGTGCAATGCTGCAGCGTCCAAGATTTTCTTGATGACAAGCGGATGCGGCTGGTCAACAATCTTGAAGACGTTCGTATCATTGACAAAACCGAAACCAGCAACGGTACTCTGTAAATTATTGATAGCCTGCCGCATGTCACCTTCTGCAGTGAATATGAGAGCTTTGATACCTTCAGAATTTGCTTTGACATCCTCGGCCTTGATGATTTCAAGGAGTCTCAGCAAAACCTGGTCGTCTGCTAATTTGTTGTATCTTAGAATTGCACATCTGGACTGTAGCGGTTCGATGATTTTGGACGACTGGTTGCACGCAAAGGCAAATCTGGTTGTGTTGGAGTAAAGCTCCATAGTTCTTCTTAAGGCTTGCTGTGCTCCGGGGGTCATGGAGTCGGCCTCATCCAAAATAATAATCTTGTGTCTTCCTGGCGGCAACAGGATTTTCGTTTGAGCAAACTGTTTGATTTTGTTTCTCACAACATCAATTCCTCTGTCATCCGAGGCGTTGAGCTCCAAAGTTGCCTGATTGTAAAGGTCTGGCCCAAGCAATTCGTATGCCAAACAATGGATGGACGTGGTCTTTCCAATACCTGGAAGCCCCGAAATAATCATGTGGGGCATATTTCCATCTTGTACGATAAGCTTGAGTCGCTCGATTGTTTCTTCGTTGCCCAACAATATCATCGAGCTTATGCGGTCTGTATTTTTCGACCCACGGAAGCTCGAGCGAAAGGGCAAAGTTTTTGGTCATGGAGTGTAATGAGACAAGAAATCTTTTTGCGCGGACGCGTTAGTAGTAGGTGCGAATACTCACATACATAACTGAAAGATCTACTTTGACACGCTATCTATTCATTACTCACGGGGATATTAGGCTGTGATGAAGAAGAAATACTTACATTTTAAGTTTCGGGAGCCTAAACTAGGTTGTAAATGGTGGCCAAAAGACTCGTAATTTTTCTCTCAGCATAATACCTGACAGTTCTTTAATTCCCTGACGCATGGAAACATTATACGGCCCTGTCCGCTGTTTCTGTTCTTCCCATTCAGCTACTTATTGTGACCTCCTATACTTACTATTCCCGTTGCCGTTTGGTTCCTCGTGCCTTTTCTTCGTTTTTCTTTTCTTCTCTCTTCTTCTGCTCCTCCTGTGCCTCTTTGCCTTTCTTCTGTTTCGCCCTGGATTTCCCAACGGGCGCTGCAGTTTTCAAGAATTTGATTGCTGGTCTTTCGTAAAGATTGCCAAGACTTGGGTGTTCGTCAAATAAGCTCAGAAGCCATGGCACCTCCACATTTCCAACGCGAGAGTTGATCAAGTTAAACATATCCTTTCCTTCTGTCCAATCGTCTGTCAAGGACAAAAACCCCACATTGTCCGTGTTTAATGCTTTCAGTAATTTAGCCATGGACCCACGAGGTAACTCCACAAGTTTTACACGATTCTCGTTAGACTGTGAAGCACAAAAAGTTAATAGAGGGAAACTGTTCGTGAGCAAAGGTGTGGATATGTCATTCTTTGTAACAAAAACATACTTCACATAGCTCTTGGAACCAGCAATACTTGATCTTTTCTGCTTCTTTATTCCAGTGAAGAGCTTAGCTCTGTTCGGAGCCGCCTGGTCTTCAAGCTTCTTGACTGTGGCGTTGAAACCGACAGTCAACTTGTCACAAATATCCGGTTTTTCTGCCATTTGGTGGGCGCCCAGCTTTTTAAGCGCAATGTACTTTCCATAGCTTGAGAGAAGCTGAACAAGAAATTCGGTGATGGTTTTTGATGTTTCTAGATCTATAGAAGGCCACTCGTAACCCTTAGTGTACGGGTTATCTAGAATCGGTTTGAAAACCTCTCTCCGCTTAACCTCTATATCTTTTAAAGATCCTGCTCCGGGCTTAGGTTTAGACATGGAAATACCAGATTAATATGATGGGGTTTGGGAAACTCATCATGGCCTGCACATACGGTGTACACTGCTGATATTCAGATCTTTACATTTGTTCCTGTAAACGTTTCATTATAATTTTTAGGGGTTTTAAATAAAGATACAATTAGTGTACTAACTGGAAAGCACATTGTTTTGACCCATCTATTTCTTCTCGTCTTCCTTCTTGTCACCGTACAGTGGAGACCGTGGCGAATAGGAAGGCGAACCCGGAGAGTATTGAGGAGAAGTAGGCGAGTATTGAGGGGACGTTGGCGAATAACTTGGCGAAGTTGGTGAGTAACTTGGAGAAGTTGGTGAATAACTTGGAGAAGTTGGTGAGTAACTTGGCGAAGTTGGCGAGTAACTTGGAGAAGTTGGTGAGTAACTTGGAGAAGTTGGCGAGTAACTTGGCGAAGTTGGAGAATAACTTGGCGAAGTTGGAGAATAACTTGGCGAAGTTGGCGAGTAACTTGGCGAAGTTGGCGAGTAACTTGGAGAAGTTGGTGAGTAACTTGGAGAAGTTGGCGAGTAACTTGGCGAAGTTGGTGAGTAACTTGGCGAAGTTGGTGAGTAACTAGGAGAAGTTGGCGAGTAACTTGGCGAAGTTGGTGAGTAACTTGGTGAAGTTGGTGAATAACTTGGCGAAGTAGGTGAGTAACTTGGTGAAGTTGGTGAATAACTTGGCGAAGTAGGTGAGTAACTAGGCGAAGTTGGAGAGTAACTTGGCGAAGTTGGAGAATAACTTGGCGAAGTTGGCGAGTACGTTGGAGAAGTTCCACCATATCCAGGAGACGTAGCACCACCAAATGCTGGCGATGCACCACCATAGGAGAATGGAGAAGTTGGGGATGTCATTGATGGCTGGCCACCATACGAAGTAAGGGAACCGGATGCATCAGAAACATTAGCAGTGAAGAATAGGCGAAAACCCAGCACCTTCTTCAAAAAAAATCTTATCATCCTCCATTTCGTACTCTCTGTAAGGTCTAACACAACCATCTTCAGCATATGTTACCATTTTGAGTTTGCTGCACCAACAACCAACATTTGGACCCACCAGCTGTAACATCTTGTCATCAACCCATAACATCAAATGCACCAGTACCTAAAGGAGGCATTTGACCCAAAGATGACGTTTTCAGAAATACCACGACAATCATCCCAACTCGGGCAGCTGCACCAGCATCCAAAAGAATCTCGACCGTTTCTTCGAAAAGAACATCTCATTAAAGCACCAGTTTCTGCTCTGTTGATACCGTGACGTGTTCTTGCCATCAAGTGGCCACGAGAAGTCATAACATCGACTAACAACGCCATATGACGGTAGTTCACATAAGAACCATCGAAAGCAATGACATTAAGAATCTCCTTGTACAAGGCGGAACGTGTAGCCTCGATACCCAACACAGACAAAATTTCAATGAAATTGTTAGAGTAGGTACGAGAAGAATCCACACCAGGTACGGCAATGACTTCAGCTAAGTTCACACCATCAGTTTCTAAAACCCACTCCTGTTTCTGCGAAAATTCACCGCTTTCATCAGGAGTGCTCATCTTGTGTTGCATCATGAAAACTCTCGTGATACCTGGAATACCACGTAATGAGATAGACTCGAGCATATGTGCTTCCACGCGCTTCAAGATTTGATCTTCCTCGTGGTCACCCTCTTCTTCCAATTTTGGATCGCGGATAACACGACAACGGATAATCAATTTATCAGCAGTATCATCAGACCAAATAACGAACAAATCTTCACCGAAGTTTTGAGAAATCTTCTCTGCAACTTGGGCCATTGTCAACTGCTTGTCCAACATTTTAGCTCTGTCCAATTCAAGACGAAGCAACCATGGAGATTGATTGTCAATTGTTTCTTCAACCTTTTCATCCGGAATAGCAAAGTAAGCTTCGACAGTATCGTAATCCTCTTCAATAACTGTGCTTCTTGGATCTGGATCGTAGAAAATTTCAGTAGCAGAAGTGACATTCTTCAACGTCGTGTGCTCGATCGCAGACTGCACAACCTTGGCTTTCTCAATATCTGATGCGATCTCGGGATCTAAGTACACAGTAAGTGCCGGTGTTTTGATGTTCTTTGCCACGTTAAGAATTTCCTTAAGACGAGGAACACCCAATGTAACATTCTTGGACGACACACCGGCATAATGGAATGTATTCAACGTCATCTGTGTAGCCGGTTCACCGATAGATTGTGCGGCAATAACACCAACCATTTCACCTGGGTGAACAATCGACTTCTGGAATTGAGTCTCAATTTCACCACAAACCCATTCAAAAGAGATTCTGCTCAATTTAAACTCCTCTATAATTCTGCGTGCTGCTAATCTTGAACGAACAAGACATTGGAACAACAATGTTGCATCTTCCTGTGCTTCCTTCGCGAGACGAGACTTACCACGGATCACAAGAAGCTTGCTGCAGAGAGCTTTAACGCCTTCGACAATCTCATCAAGCTTCAAATCAGAGGCTCTTTGACGACCACTATGGAAAATCTGCTGAGCATTCTGTATAATACGACGCAAGTTGACAGGTAAAGGCCAGTTGAAGTCACCGTTTGGAAAACATACCTCTCTCAAGTACTTACGATCCTTAAGCAACTGTTCGTATTCTGAATCCAAAACCTTCTGCAACTTCACATCACCCTTAATCTCCTTTCCTGAATCAAGTAAAGATTCGGAAATGGACTTACTTGGATCTAGCAAGTCAATACGGTAACGCTTCTCGAACTTAGCATCTGAACCTGGAATGGTATCCACTGATTGCTTTTCGACAGCAGTACCATCAATACCGTCTTCACCATAGACAAATTGAATGATATCACCCAAGGAGTTTCTAGTTGTACCATCATAATGGACCATAATATCCTCTAAAGCCTTGACCAAACGACGTTGAATGTAACCAGTCTCTGCAGTCTTGACAGCAGTATCAATAAGACCCTCTCTACCAGCCATGGCGTGGAAGAAAAACTCTTGAGGGGTCAAGCCTCTCAAATACGAGTTTTCCACGAAACCCTTAGACTCAGGAGAGTAGTCATCTTTAGTGAAATGTGGCAAAGTACGGTCTGCGAAACCAAATGGAATACGTTTACCTTCGACAATTTGCTGACCCACACACGCCGACATTTGGGAGATATTAATAAACGAACCCTTGGAACCAGATGTGACCATCTGCTTCACATTGTTTAAGTCCTTCAAGTTCATTTCTGCCGAACGACCAGCTGTATCACGAGCCTGGTTCAAAACACGAGAAACATTGTGCTCAAACGATTCTCTCAATGTCATACCAGGCTCTGGTTCTAATCTATTCTGCTGTGCGTCCATAATAATTTCTTGCACTTTTTGTTTAGCCTCTTGAATCGTTGTGGTAACATCCCTCATGGTATCTTTATCGGCAATAGTATCACCTATACCAATGGAGAAACCATTATGCAAAAGCCAGTAGTTCACAACCTTCTGTATGGAACTGAATAATTGTGCACATACTTGTGAACCCTTTTCTCTCATGACGGTATGAATCAAACCTCCACCAGTGGCACCGACTGTTTTCTTATCGACGACACCAAAGATAATTTCACCATCAACAATCAAGATACCTTTATCCTTAGGACTGAGCATATCATTGCCATCGTCAAATCTTTGTAAGTGAATACCTTTTGGAATAGCCATCGACAAGATTTGTTTCCCGGACCACAAAGGCTTGGGTTTGATAATTGCAGGAGGTGGTATAACACCGTCCCAGTTTGGAATCCAATACAACATGTTCATCACCTGCTCGTACTCAATGAAAATATCACGTAACGTCATTTTACGAATACCACACAAGGTATCTTGCACAATACCCATAACAGGCTTATTGGATTGTGGAGAAACGATCTGCAATGGAACAGCACAAATTTGGGACAATTCAGCTCTTGTCTCCTGCGATTGTGGAACATGCAAGTTCATTTCATCACCATCGAAATCTGCATTGTATGGCGATGTGACAGACAAGTTCAATCTAAATGTGGAGTACGGCATAACTTTGACTCTATGAGCCATCATAGACATCTTGTGCAAGGAGGGCTGACGGTTGAATAACACTGGATCATCATCCATTAAGTGACGTTCCACTTTCCAGCCGTATTGCAAAGCAATATCACCAGCTCGTTTGTTGTATCTCAAATCAATACGGTCTCCTGTATCACGAATGACATATTTGGCACCTGGGTGTTCGTTTGGACCATTGCGGACGTATTCAGTTAAGCGGTGGATATTGTATGGAGTGACGATTTCGGGATAAGTCAAGGTTCTTGCAATCGACAATGGAACACCAACCTGATCAAGATCAAGATTAGGGTCACCGGAAATGACAGTACGAGCAGAAAAATCCACACGCTTACCCATCAAGTTGCCTCTCAATCTACCTTCCTTACCCTTCAATCTGGCTCTAATGGATTTGATAGGACGACCCGTCTTTTGAAGGGCCTGTGGTTGACCAGCAATATCGTTATCCATGTAAGTCGCCACGTGGAACTGCAACAATGCTTCGAATTCACTGATGACATGCTGAGGTGAACCATCCATTTCAAGACGCTGGACATTGATGTTGGCCTTGATGATATCAGCCAACTTAAATGTCAAGTCATCTTCGCCTCTTGCCGTATCGTTGAAAGCAATGGAAGGTCTCACTGGTGGGGGAGGAACGGGCAAAACTGTAATTAACATCCACTCTGGTCTTGCATAGTCTTCGTTGAAACCCAATCTATGGCAGTCTTCAGAGCTGATGTGTTTGAAAACACTCAAAATTTCCGACGGAGTCAACAAACGACGCTCTGGTTGTTCGCTTTCGTCGAAACTTTTGTTTTGTTTCCAAGTACCCCACAATTTCAAACCGTCTCTACGAACAGTGGGCTGGGTATGACCACATCCTCCCCTTCCAGAGGTAACTTCACCTTCTTCGTTGATGATATCAGCCTCGCAAACCATTTTTGTTTTGCAGACGTTCCACACAGCGTTGAATCTCTTTTTTGGATCTCTGATCTTAATGGCCTGGGCCATTAGTGGGTTAGTATCATCCACCAAAAGCTTACCACAATGCATACACACACATTCGCAAACTTTCTTAATTTTGGCAATAAAACCAATGTGGAATACAGGCTTTGCCAACTCGATGTGACCAAAATGTCCGGGACATTCGGCCATATCTTCACCACAGGTCTGACACTTGAAATTACGATCAATAGAACCTAATCTAGGATCATTCAAGCCTCCGTCTCTTGGCCTTTTTGTCGCTTGATCCATTGTTTCCGGGTATTCAATCTTGGCGACCGAAATGGCCCGCACTTCCTCTGGAGATAATAATCCAAATTGAACCTGAAGGCATGTTAATAGATGTTCATGAACAGCGCCGTATAGGCGAGAAAACTATTGATACTTACTTCTTTGACCGAGCGAAGGGGGGCGCTGGAGTATGGGAACTGACGACTCATTATTGCTTTATGGGGCGCTTAGAGCTGAAAATATTCTGGAGATTTTTTTCTTTTTTTGGAATTTGAAAAGTCGGCAAGACTAAGTAAAACCAGCTTCAGTGCAGCACACGAGATCGTATGGGTTTCACCGGCGTTTGAATGAAACTTTGGTTGGAAAACGGAATGTCCACTTGTGGCGCTTCGGATTCGGGATGAAAAAGTTGCTAGGACGAGAACAAACAGAGAAATGGTCACAACCGGGAGCAGGAAAAGTGACGAAATACCTCGGGAGATTTAGATGCAAACCTCTGATGGATGGACAATCGGCAGAGCGATATATGAGGTGGTGACGAGGTGTAAAGACCGAAGTAGAGTTCAAAGCTTTTGTTGTGAGACGAAAAATTCGTTGGTGGTGGCGAGCGCGCGTGCTGAAAACTACGCCTTTGGTGCCGCACCCGCCTGGTGATGCGCGTACACCTCAGTCCAGCTACGAACACCGATGACAAGACTACCAACTTGGGAAAAAGAAATATAGTTGATTCAAAAGATGTGACGTTGGGCTCAGCGCACCATTCCCATATTTCGGGTGCGATTTAGTGTTTGTGTGTTTGCGTTTGCTGTTTCGTTTTTTCCTCGTCGTGGAAACATTTGTTCGCGGAATTGAGTTATCTGCTGGTCGTGGACACGATTAGAGACAAGCGCAAACCGAACAAATGAGACCTATTCAGATTGGACAACCCAAGCGGAATCCAACCAGTTGTGTCACGTAATGTTGATATCTCGTATTGGAAAGTCGTTTTGGAATTCTGCAGCCCAGCTGACTAATCACAATCCAAAACTACATCCCACCTTCCCGTATTGACCAATGCATGCATTCAACAACAGTTTTTGAGCAGGGTTTACATGATGGGATTTTTCCGAAATTCCGGGTGTCCTTACAAATTAGGTAACGGTCCCACGCCGAAATGTGGGGCGTGTTTAGTGAAAATTCCCTTGATGCAAGACTCGCAATAACCTTCGCAACGACTTCTTGCATCTTGTGGGGAAACTTTGCGAGTTATCCATTCCCAGACCCTATATAAACGGCACTTTGTTGCTGTTCAGAAGTGAAATTCACTATCCAAACACCCTTCAACTAGCTTGAACCTAAAAAAAAAAAATATGACTGTTACTTACACCTGGTGGAAGGACGCTACTGTCTACCAAGTCTGGCCTGCCTCTTACAAAGACTCCAACGGCGATGGTGTCGGAGACATTCCCGGAATTCTTTCTACTTTGGACTACATCAAGTCTCTTGGAATTGATGTTATCTGGCTCTCGCCAATGTACGATTCTCCTCAGGATGACATGGGCTACGACATCAGCGACTACGAGAATGTCTACCCAAAGTATGGAACTCTCGAGGACATGGACAAGTTGATTTCTGAGGTTCACTCTCGTGGCATGAAATTGATTTTGGACTTGGTCATTAACCACACCTCTTCCGAACACAAGTGGTTTAAGGAATCTAGATCTTCCAAATCCAACCCAAAGAGAGACTGGTACATCTGGAAACCACCAAAGTACGATGCAGAGGGAAACAGACATCCACCCAACAATTGGGGCTCGTACTTCTCTGGTAGTGCCTGGAAATATGACGAGGCCACCGATGAGTACTATTTGCATCTTTTCGCTGAGAGCCAGCCTGATCTCAACTGGGAGAACGAAGAGACTAGAAATGCAATCTACGACTCGGCATTGTCCTTTCTGGTTCAAGAAGGGTATTGATGGATTCAGAATCGACACTGCTGGGCATGTACTTCAAAGTTCAATCTTTCTCAGACGCTCCTATTGTGTTCTCTGACTCGGAGTTTCAACCATGCAAAAAGTACCATCAATTCTGGGCCTAGAATTCATGAGTTCCATAAGGAAATGTTCAGTAAGTGACATTCCAAGTACGATGTCATGACTGTGGGAGAAGTGGGTCATTCTACGCGTGAAGATGCTTGAAGTACGTGAGTGCCAGAAAGAAATGACATGATGTTTTTGTTCGATGTGTGAAGTGGGCCTCTGACCCGTCGGATAGGATCCGTACAAAGGCTATACCTTGGTCGACTTGAAGAAGGCTGTGGAAAATATGTGCAAGTTCACTGAAGGCACTGATGCTTGGTCCACTGTTTTCACCGAAAATCACGATCAACCTAGATCTATTACCAGATTTGGTGATGACAGTCCCAAGTTCAGATTCAAGAGCGGAAAGATGTTGGCTTCTTTGCAAGCAACTTTGACCGGAACTTTGTTCATTTACCAAGGCCAAGAATTTGGAATGACCAACGTGCCTAAAGACTGGCCAATTGAAGAATATTTGGACATCAATACTATCAACTACTGGAAAACATTCAAGGAGACTCACGGTGGTATGACTGCAGAGCAGCTTTTGAAAAATATCAACTTGTTGGCTAGAGACAACGCTAGAACTCCAGTACAATGGGACGACTCTGAAAACGCAGGCTTCACCACTGGAAAGCCATGGATGAGAGTCAACGACAACTACAAAGAAGTCAACGCTGCTTCTCAGGTGAACGATCCAAACTCTTTGTTCAACTTTTGGAAGAGGGCTTTGGAGGTCAGAAAACAATACAAGAACCTTTTCATTTACGGAAAGTTGACCATTCTTGACTATGAGAACAAGAAGGTCTTTTCCTATACCAAGGAGTTCAATAACACCAAAGCATACATTGTGTTGAATTTCTCTGCAGACACAATCAAGTTTGAGGCATTGGTCAAGGGTGATTTGGAACTTGTCCTTAGCAATGTCGCCGAAATTGATGATGGCAACTTGTCTCCTTACGAGAGTAGAGTCTATGTTGTCAACTAAGTTTAATGTTTATAGGTTCATTTTCTCACGCTATTGATATATTTACGAATTAAAAATATGAATGATGTTCATTATGGAATTAAAAGCGTAATGACTATTAACGCAGTAATAATTGAAGTAAAACAGAAGCGTGTTCTGACCCCACAAATCCATCATCAAGTTCTGCAACAACATCATCCAAGTAGAAGCCCACCAAGACAACACCATAGATTAATATCAAAATGACTCCCTTGAAATAGTTGGATTTGCCTTCAGCGTATATATACGTGAATAGGTAAATGGAAATTAATGTGGCAATGATATCCCATCGAGGGAAAATTAACGAGAAGATTTTGTCAACGCTCTCAAAGTTCTTGAAGATAGAATAAATCACCAAACTTGGAATTTGGATCAAAACAACCTGCAACGCGTATGCGCTACCAATTTCCATTGAAAGTGCAACATTACCACTAACAGCAAATGAAATGGCATTGACAAACTCTGTAGTGTTGGGAACCAATGCAAAAACCGTTAAACCCAAAAACTTAGGGTTGATCGGGAAATGAGAAAGAACGGCATCAACGTTATCCACCAAAATCTCAGCGATAATTGCATAAAGAATAGTAGCTCCCAAAAGAATGACCGTCGATTTTTTCTGGGACCAGTTCGGTGCGTCATGTCCACCGCCCTCTTCAGCAGCTTCCACATCTTCCTTAGGTGGTTGCGTGGAAAGTAAAATATGTGACGGTTGTCTGGTTGCTGTGGGAACCCTGGTTCTGCTTGTTTCTCCAGTTCTCAAACTGGGTCTTGTGGAAGAAACGCTAGGTGATTGCTGAACTCCACTTGGAGGCTGTTGACTGTCCGTAACTGCAGGCTTAACTTTAGAGTTGTTTAGGTCTAGGCTGATTAGACTAGGCGAGGTCAAATCTCCTCCATACAACTTACTCTGCATAGCTTGCTGTTCATGGGAATTTGTGGCCCAGATCAAAGAAGCATGAGTCCTCAAGGTGAAAAACAAGCCACACACATAAGCGGCAAAAAGAGCAAGTGCCACAAGAATGGAAAATGGGCGAAGAACGGAATAGTAAAGGTGATCCGTGCTTACGGGAGGTTGGATGAATCTGCATTTGGACCAGTCTCTTTTATCTGAATTTCCCTTTTTGCATCGAATCTCGTATGAGCCATACATTTGATGAAATAATGAGGGCGCAAACATAGTCACCATGGCAAATAGAAGCATAGTAGATGAGACTCCAGCAGAACGAGGATTGTACCTTTGTGTTTTTCTCTTCAAAGCACCTCCGCACATGGAAAGGCCTGGTAATAATAACACACCACCCAAGATGGATCCAATCATTGATCCCTCAACAAGCTTGGCTTTCTTTTGATTCAAAGCAACACAGTATAAGAAGATTTCAACAATGGTCGAGAAAAAAGCGTTGATGACTGCGCCCACGCCCATGGAGGATTGGGCAGAAATAGAAGCAACAGCCTGGCCGATGAAATATGCCAATGGAATAATAGAAAACAAACAGCTGCAAAAAATAAAAGACGCATCAGTAAACCATTTTTCCCAACCCAAGCTCTCTTTGAAGACAAAATAATCAAAAATGACAAAGAAAACAACGACTAACAAGTTGATGAAGAAGATGTTTGTTCCGTCAATCGTGTACTTATAGTAATGCAAACCACAGCATCTATATGTGCAAAGGATGATTGATTGGTGTTTGTATGCCCGCTTCCGTTGCGGGTCTGCAATTTTTTCGTAGTACGTTTTTTCCTTTTCAAAATGCAACGCCAATGGTCTTCTTCTCAAGTGATCACACATGATACTAGTAAGATTGGTGATGGGAATAGTGAACACAAAAAGCCAACATAATCCCGCAATAATGTAGAGAATCGGTTGCAAAACGCCGTAAAAGAACACGTAGAACAAAAACCGGCCCGAAGACCAGCTGCCTCTTCCAAACAAACGCAATTTAATGTCGGTTGGCTCTTCGTTATCGGCGTCATCATCAACTGCATTTTCTGCCCTCTGGTCATCGCCTAAAGACGAGTATGCATCACGCAACGGTCTTCCTTTATGGTCTTTCAATAATGGCCTCGACTCAGAGTTAGTCATGCGTCGTGGAGGAGCAAAGAATAATCTTCCTTCCTCTTGAGACCTCCACTGGTGAAATTCTGAAATTGTTCTGCCGTCAAGTTCATCTTCCTCAAGATAATTCTCATCCTTATTGAGAAGAACAAACTTCCCAAAAGGAAATAGCCAGTACTCTCCCAACTTGATGAGTAATTTGGCGTAAGGCCTCAGTTGTTTGTGCCACGCAAAGCCAGTCAATACAAAAAGAAGCAATGAGCCTAGCAAGCAAATGATGTACAAGAACAAGCCAACAGTGCAACTCCAGAGAAAGTTGGAAACGTGGACGCCCCAATAAATGTGGCCATTCGGTCTTCTTGGATCGAAATCATGTATATCCTCTTCTGCTCTTGTGGCAACGGACCGGTTCTTCTTGTAAATGGATGGCTTCCAGATTTTAATACCGAAAGGATGGGTCGAATTGATAGCAATCTGCCGGTCTCTGAGGTTCAAAGATTCAATCGTCTCGGAGGAGGAGGTGGAGTGCTGGGAACCGGCGTCTTCCATCCCTTCTGCTTCTTCTTCGTCACCCAATTGAAGCGGCTCTTCTCCTTCCTCTGCCTCCCAAGGCTGGTGTTCCTCACGGATCTCAATTGGAGGCACTTGTTCCAATAAGTTACTCGTGTGTCTTCCATCTGGGTTTTCTTCTCCCGGTGATGCATGGTTCAATTGCTCTAGCAGGTTCTTTTTCTGTTGGTAAAAATGGCGAAGGGCGTCGTGATACCCTTCAAGGTATCTCTTCTCTGGCTTAGTAAGTTCGTCAGGAGAATCCGAAAAGTCGGCAACCACTTTGTCTGCGACATCATCATCAACCGAGAAGATGAGCTTTGGGGTTCCAACATTCAGCAAGCGCTTAGTGAGGGGTCTGGCTTTAATTTTTTTTGTTTTCGATGTCCTTGGGTTGGAAGCGGGGGATGCATGTCCACTAGCAATCAGAAGCGATCGATCGGCCTGCTCCGAATCGCCCGTTGATATGATTTTGGGCGATTTAACTTCTCCATTTGTCGGCATTAGTTTGAATACCTGGAACTTTCAGGGGAAATACACAATCACTAAAGAAACGTTTCAGGATTTGGAATGGCTGAAGTGAAAGCCTATGCAAAGGGTAGGGATGAATGAAAAAGTGCTGAACACTGGGAAAAAGGATAGGAAAGTCCAAATACGAAAGTTTTTTTCGTCCAATCTCCGGTAAACAGCGGTTGTCCCGTGCTAAATAAAGTGATAAAATTACCTTAAATAATGCACCGCGGCTTGTTCATTTGTTTATTAGTGAGCAGGCCCAACTGCTGGAATGATGGCAAACTACACCACTCAATTCTAAATAAGACGAATTGTAAGAAGCAAAACAATTGGTCTGTAAACAATACGTTTAAAAAAGAGTTGTAAAAGAAATAATATTTCGTGGTTCATAGAGTTCGTCACAAAGATACTGTAAAGTGTTCCTTGAAATAATGTTATTCATCGATGAAGGTTCCAATGAATCTACAGAATCCATAAGGCGCAAAATTGTAAAAAGTAGAGCTTGTTCAGCTGCCCAAACGATGTCCCTTACCTTTGAAAGTTGGGCCCGTACGCAGATAATATCCTGTAGTTTTCGCCTTGCTTGCATTGTTTGAAGGTTGTTTCACGGCATTAGACAAGCTGAAAGCGGTCTTCCTGACTGTTCCGGTTTCTGGATACCTTAACAATTTATAAACCCATTGAGGCGCCTTCCAGTATCCTAGGTCGAAAATAGCAGGAGGAAATTCGTTCTGGACGATTTGCACATTGGCGCCGACCCTGTTTCCTTCGAGCGCAGCGGGGTTGTACTTTCCATAGCACCCTGGCACGAGGTTGTAGAAGGGCAACGTGTCAGACTGGAAACATAGGTATAGGTAGCCGATGAGAAAGCCCTGCAATGTTTGGATCAATGCCGGTTTGCCCGAAAGACATGAAACGGCCAACTTGAAGAATGGCAAGTAGTAACATCTCACAGGAACCAAGCCCAAGAAATTGATGATGCCGCCCTTATTATCACGCAGGTAAACAAAAGTAATGCAGTCTAAAAGAACGTCGTGCCACATGAAACTTTCAAGGCCCATATAAAAGCCGGAATACGCCACGGCAAAGCTTGTCACCACTATTAGTGTCCCACAAACCCAAACAAACCATAAGTAGTCGGCAAAATTGCTCTTGAACTTGCCTCGTTCCAATGTGCTCGAGTAACTATAGAAAAAGTAAATGTTCATGATAACCGCAGGGCCCTGTCTCATAAAGAGCCCTTGTGGAACAAAGAACATGGCAAATATAACAGGAACCGTTTGTATTAGCCTGACAGTTATCCACTGGAGCCACGATTCATGGCTATATCCTTCTATAAGCGTATGCAACAAGTACCATTGTGCGTCAAAGAGATCTAAAGAAAAGCCAAAGGACAACGCAAGAGATACTATGGTAAAAAATCTTGTCACAGGTGGAATGTTTTGCACATGATCACTGAGAGTGGACATGGTGGCTGTTCTAAAGAAGAAGTGGTTTTGTCGCTAACGTGTAACTCCAAGTTATGGCAAACCTATATACCGGGTTGGTGCGGCGACACTTCTGCGCAGAAAGTTCCATGACAACCGGCATGTTTTTGGTGTTCTTTTCGATCGATATTCTATTCAAATAGACGAATTTCATTTGGATTGCTTTAAGGTGTTGTCTGTATCTATTTTTCTCTTGTTAGCCACCAAAGAATTCTCTTGCCTCAACTATGAACTACTTCAAACAATTCGATTCAGTCTGTCTAGGTGTAAAGAATATTAAAGTAGCCGTAAGAAGAAACTAGTAGGATCAATCGCTTCAAACCTCCCTTTACGTCGGCCGTATTAAACAATCTTTTTGGTTGTAGAATAAAGGCTGGTCCACCAACGGTGACACCCGTACCTCTCCTGCCCTGGTATTCCATTATCGAAGGGCAGCGAAAGACATTATCGCCAGCAAAATGAAGTTGGTTCGTTTTCTCATGACCTTGCCTTCGGCAACAAATCAGCCTGTTACAGTGGAGTTGAAGAACGGAAACTCTGTTAATGGCCAGATTCTCTCATGTTCCCCCCTGATGAATTTATCCATGAAAAACATCAAGCTCATACAACCTCATCAGGATCCGCAGCTAATGCAATTCATGAACATCAGAGGTAACCAAATAAGACAGATTTTACTACCGGATGATCTAAACATCGAGAGTTTGTTATCTCGGAGTACAGTCAAGATGAAGGGTTCTGGTGCCGGGCCTGGAAAAGTGGTGTCTGAGCGCAAGAAGCCCTTTAAGAGAGCAAAGCGTGCTTTTTAACGAATTTTACTTGTTTGCCGGCACTTGTTGTCATTAAAATGTGGCTGACTCATGATAGTCCTACAGCCGACGCGGAATGTTCACTTCTTTTGGTGTTTTCTTGAAAGGCTAGCCTGTATTCATACTAGCGATGGGCAGGCAGGCGCATACAGCCGTCCACGAATTTGTACTCTAGTCGTAAATCTCCCAGATCTTTATATTCCATATATACAAGGTGAATGCACGCGATCTCAGAACCAAGTTCTTTGTTTCTTTTGCTTTTTCTTGAGCTGTGCTTTGTAGGTTGGTCTGGCGGCAATGATGGTCTCGTCCATCTTGGCCAAGGCTTCTTCTCTGTTCTTGAGTTTTTCGGGCAATTCTCTCTCCCATTTCTGTTTCTTTTGGTTCAACACACCTCTCATCCAGTTCTTCTGGTAGTACTTGTCTTCGTAGAACTTTCTGTGTGGGATGGGAGGCAAAAGATCCTGGATGCCAAACTTACGGGCCATTTTGAATAAGTCCGCCGATCTTCTCAAAGAGTACTTAGCGCCGTGCCATCTTCCGCTGTCGGTGTTTTTGTTAGGCAAGAATGGGTTCATGTGCGGATCGTTGACGGTGGATGGTTTTTCGGCATATTTAGCGAAAGGTCTTGGTGGGTATTTGATGAAAAAGTTGTGTAGTTTCTGAGGAAGCTTGGCAAAAGCTTCTTTGGCAGACAATGACATTAGTGGGGAAGGTAAATGTGAAGATCGTAACTATGTTGGTGAGGAAAATTTTCGCACCGTGCCGGACCAGGTTCACCACACTAGATAGTGAGAAGAAACCGGAGGCAGATGTTGAAAAAAGTAGAGAAACAATAGCCTGGAGAAAATAGTTAGACGAAGGGCATGGGAAACAGCATATTACAATATTTGAGATCTAGAAGTGATGACGAAACTGAGACTGGCTACAAAACGCACTAAAATGACATGATATTTATGTATGGAATAATTTTCATCTGGACCATTGCCGCTTACCGCTTGCAGTTACTTGATACCTGCATCCTTGGCGATCAGCTTACTTAGCAATGTGTTGCAAAGCCTCCAAAACTTCCAACTCAATGTTGGCCTCGGCAACAACAACCTCGTCGGAGGAAGAAGCTCTCTTTTGGGCGTCGGCAATCAAAGACTTGATCTCTTGAGCATCGAATTGCTCTGGCTTGAAGGCCTCAATGGCAGAAATGGTCAACTTGTTGCCTGGTTGCACAGTAGCAATACCACCAGAAACAAAGTACTGTTCGGTTTCGCCACCCTTGGAGATGATCTCCAACAAGCCTGGTCTCAACTGCTCGACAATTGGAATGTGGTTGGCCAAAATACCCAAGTCACCGTTGACAGAAGGCAAGTTCACCTGTTGCACCTCGGACTCCGAGTACAAGGTTTGGTGAGGAAGAGCCAAGGACAACTTCAAGGCGTCGGAGCCAGAAGCTTCTGTGGCGTATGTTCTTCTGACCACGTTGGTGGATTGTCTGGCGACCTGGCGCAAGGTTTGTCTGAACATTGTGGTGTTTGTTAAGCTGAGGACAATCTTTTCACCAATGTCTTTTCGATACTAACCCGAGCGTGGATTGGGGTGCGCGCACGACCAGCCCAGTGCGTGCTCCCATTGGCCAATTGAGAGGGTCTGTTGTAAAGGTCACATTTGTCACTACAGAATTTCAGAAATCACATTGTCTTGGTTCTATGTTTCGAATTTTCGCTGTGTTATAGTTCTCCTGCTTTGCTGCATTCTTATGGCATTTGGGCGTCGCATTGGTGCAACCGGCGAACTAGACCCAAAGCGCGCTATAGTAAGAGGCTATGCTCGAATAACTTGACAATACACACAAGACAGCTGGCCATAAAGAAATAGTATAGCATTGTACCTGCAGTGTTGTGGTAGCCGCCTAACAGCGGGGAAAAGTACATTATCCGCATCGTACTAGCGTCGAAACCCAGCCATTTCGTGCATTGTAGAAACCGTTGAAGCAATTTGTCCTTGTGTACTGGGGCTTTAAACTAGTCCCCGCCAAATTGATTTAAGAATGTGTCAACATCAAACTCCTCGTCTCCGCCAAGAGAAGGGTCGAAATCCTGGCCCAACAAGTCCATATTCAAGTCGTCAAGAAGCGACTCGTTGTTTCCTATAACATTGTTCATGTTCATGTCCATATCGTCGTCGTTTGGCTTCTTGTCCGGTTTATTCTTGTTGCCCTCTTTGTAGCTGATCGAAGATAATATATCAGAAGGATTAGGAATCCCCAAATCCTCCGTGTTCATATCAAAGTCAAAGCCTTGGCTCCCAAGAGCCCCCATAGCATCCTGTCCATTTGCTCTGTTCTGGTTGAGTTGCCTCTTTTCACGTTCTTTCTCTTCACGCTCTTTGGCTTCTCTTTCCAATCTCTCTTTTTCTTCTCTCCGAGACTTTTCTAGCGCAAGTCGTTCTTCCTCCTTGCTCGCATCGAGTTTTCTTTTCCTTTCTTCCTCTTCCTTTCGTTTGCGATCGGCTTCTTCCCTTCGCTGCCTCTCGATTTCTTCTTGGTGTTTCATCTCCTCCTGTTTCTGTCTGCTGTCCACCATCTGCTCGATACACCAACGTGCGTCATTGAATTTGCTCACTGTATCATCCAATATTTGATCAAACTGAGCAATACTTTGTGCCAACTGGTTTGTCACCTGTGAAGGTATTAGTTGGTTATTGGGACCTGTGACTATATTGCTCTGTTTTTTGTTGTTATTTATGATTTCGAAGATATATCCTGATGATCGGAGAACATCGTTTAGTGTACTGGTAAGCTTTGCTTCCAAGTTCATGCCGTCTATTGTAATCTCGAAAGATGAATTTCGATATCGCCAAGTTCAATATGCCGGCGTATGATGTTTGGTGCAAGTGAATAACAATGAGTTCCAGTGTGAATTGAATATAATGAAAAAGATGTGATACTCTTTCGATAAGCCAGTGTATGTTACTGTAAATTTCTTGCTCTATGTTGTTTCACTTGTTGGTGCTTCTGCCCCGCATATGCTCATTGCATTTATACTTTCTTGCGCATTTTGAGCATTCCAACATAAACTCTATAGCCAGTTCTATATTAACAAAACCAATACAGCATGTTGAGAAGAATAAAAGGTTCTACGAGACTACACTAACTTGAAGATTATGATGTAGCCACTAACACTTCATTTAAGGTCCCGTCTTTTATAGGCTGAGTACTCACAACATATGAGGGAAACGAAGGGGGCAAATGGAAAGGGTGAAAAAATACAAAGCGAGAAAAAAAAAGAAAAAAGAAGAGCAGGCTATTTCGGTACCACAACTTCAAAGTCATTAATTCTATTACACCCTCGAAGATAGAACAACGTTAGTCTTAGGTGGATATATTGACATAACCAGCCAGATCACGTGCATGGAAACGCGACACAACATAGTTTCTACGCGTTCTCATCGTTTGTCTTATCAGGAATACTTCCTTGTTTATGTCCTCTCTGCTACTTTCAAGACAGGGCCCCCTTGCCCATGTCTGGCTAGCATCCAATTATGACAAGAAACTATCCAAACATCAGCTCTTAAACACAAACATTGTTACATCCTCGAAAATCCTATCCAGCAAGCAGCTTCAGTCGCTGAATATTTCTGGTGGAACGGAAAACACCATTACGTTGAGACTTTCTGGCCAATTACTTTTGGGTATTGTCAGGATTTACTCAAGGAAAACAAAATATCTTCTTGACGATATCAATGAGACATTGTACAAGTTGAAGAACTCCTTTAAATATGCCAGTGGAGCTACTTTAGGGTCCGGACCCGTCAGCACAGTCAACTTGCCACCACAACAAACAACATTATCGAACTTTTCCCGAACATTGCTCGAGGACCAGGTCACAGATCTTGATCTCTTCTACCAGGAGGATTTAAGATTAGATGAACCGGAACAAATGATCACCGCCGATACTTTTTCATCTGAAGTTAATTCCTTCAACAGACCAGAAGGTGCTCCCGAGTACGATCAGTCAGTAGAGATAGCTAGAGGTGCGGAAGATATGGATTTGGACTTTGACCTTGATTTGGATCACTCGATCGAACATGGAAGAGACGCACAGATGCCAATGTCTGAAGGAGATACTTCTGTGGTTGATTTACCTGGTAAGGATAGCTCTGTTTTGGAAGGAATGGAGAGTGCCTTAGATTTCGATTTGGATTTGCCTTTAGAAACAATTGAGGAACGACAAGAAACAGCAGAAGCATCAGAAACTGCACCTGTTCGAACAGAATTAACCACCAGAAGAAGATTGGTGGGAGTTATGGAGGACGGTGTAATAAAAACCACCAAAAGAAGATTGGTAGTGGATGAGGAAGATGAATTGGAGCGAGGATTACCAAACAACGTCCTCAAAAGCATCCAGCATTTGCAAGCACACGGAGGATTTACCGGGGAAATGATAGAGCTCAAGTTATCAGAGCTGGAGAAGATGAGTTTAATCTACGAACTTGCGGAAACGTCAAGCATCAAAAAGAGAAAGATCTGGAATCTGGACGAGCTTCTCAGGCAGACATGTGATGCGTTGGCTGATGCTGAACACGAAGGTCATTCTCCCAACATGGACTTTTCGTTTGATAATAACATGGACTTCGACTTATCCTTGCCTGGTCTTGAATCGAGTGGCGAGCCTCAGTCGGAGGATGACAATGACATCGAAAATGACGATCAAAATGGCATCGAAAATGTCAAAGGAACTATCCAAGTTGCAGAACATTTAAGAAACACTTTTTATGAAAATCCAACGGTGACTCTTGATGAACTTATGCGCAAGGACATACAAAACCCAGACAATACTCCTTTAGGTGCAATTAAGAAGACGGAAACAGGGTTCAAAATTAGCAAGAGAAGAGAAGCGACTAAATGTTTCTTTGAATTATTGGTTTTAGCATCACAAGATTGTGTCTCACTTGAACAAGACGAAACCACTTCTGTTACCCATTTAGGAAGCGACTTGACTATTAGGCCCAGAGACAAATTAATATCGACTTTTGTATAATAAAATGCTGTATTATTAAATGCGTGTATGTATCGCTGTGTATTTATCTTTTGAGGAGCGTCTCCAAGGTCTCATCTGCTTCATTCGTCTTCAAGATTTCGGACTCAGACTGAAGTCTCATGTCCTCGACTTCCCAAATCTTCACATCTCCATCATCAAATGCAACAAAAAAACGTTTTCCTTCATGGTCAAATTTGGCAGAAATTGACTGCACTGACTTCTTGGTGACGCTAATTGAATAGACTGGCGACATAGCTTTTAGCCGGAAGTCCCAAAAGTCAATACAAACACCAACTTCAGGCGGATTCACGTATCCAATTGTGATTATCTGTTGTGAGTGGGAAGGGCGCGGATAAATGCCCGTGATGATCATACTAGTAGGAATAGTTAGAATTGGGCTAGGCGATTTGAGGTCCCATAATCTCAAGCTCCAGTCGTAGTGCGACGAGACTAAAAATGAGGATGTAGACGAAATATAAAGTTCAGCGATATCAGATATACTGTGAATATGAGTATTTTGACCTGGCACATCATCGGGACAGTCGAAGACACTTTCAATATACCGCTTTTTTTGGTTGTTGGATAGTCTGTATAAAGATCCGTTCTTTGAACCGACAACCAATTGATTGAGAAATCGATATTCAGGGACATGTACCATGCGATCCTTAGAGGAGAAAATATGCGCATTATGAACCATAATTGCGTTACTAACTGAGATGTTATCTTTGAGTCGATCAGTACCAGTAGATATTCTAATGGAATCTAACTTGGGAAAGGCAAGAAAATTGGGCGACCACGAATTAATAATGCCATCACTGGATACTGAAACAATGCTAGAACTTTCGTGATTATTGAGGTCCAATTGCAAAAGAGAAACAATCGGGCTCGTGTGATGAATGTACAATTTGTTTTGCTTTTCCACAATCGATGCCAACGTGGTAGTTTGCAAGATAGGAAGCACAGCAACTTTGGACGGTTCAACTTTTGACAAGTCCCAAATCACAATGCGCCCATTCGCCAAACCACCAATAACACGGTATGGATTAGACTTATCAAATTGAACTGTAGTAATCTCGAATGTGCACTGAAGAAAAAATTCAGGAACCGGGGGTTGTGTAGTCATGTTGAAGACAATTGCTAAACCTAATGAGGTGAAAACGTTCTTCTTAGCTGCATCTTTAGATTTGTAGTTATTCGCTCCATATGCCACTAATAAAAGTTCCGGAAATTTCGGACAGACATCAATAGAAGATATAGGTCTTTCAAAAAAGCCAGAAACACCAGGAATTTCATTAAAGGGTGCTACATCTTGCATCTTAACATCATCCAGAGTATCTCCACCCAAACGAAGCTTAGAAAAACGAAAGGTAGACCCAATATTTTGTAGCTCTGCCTCTAAGGCATCCTTGATGATTTCTGCTTCATCTCTGACCTCATGATTAGAAATTTCATTCTTTAGGAGATCTTCGGCCGAATCACCAAGTTCTTTAGTTTCGGCATGCTCATTTTCGTTCAGATTTTTACCAGCTTTGTTATCGTCTTGATTTTCTTCTTCAGAGTCTAGGTCCTCAAAATGCGTTTGGACCGCCTTATCGAACTTGTGAACATGTCCATTGCTTTCCACTTGTACCGGTTCTGTGCGTATTCGTTCACTGGAATGATCTGAAACTTGGGGAATGAGATCAACCTGAACCGCAAAATCGATCTTGGTTGAGATCTCTGGAACCACAGGAGGCAGAAGCCGATCCACATTTAGCAGGCTTATCTCTTCCCTTCGTTTTCGAAGTTCAAGTAGTCGTTGCCTCTTCTTTTCTAGTATTTCTTTCCTATCCATGGATGTTTGCAAGTAGAAAGTGTTTGCACCTCAAAAAGATAAACATCGAAACTGCAGATGGAACTTGGGCCCATGCTCTGTTAGTGGCAGGTTTAAAATCAAGATTTTACAAAAAAAAAAAAAACGAACAAACAATAAAGGAACATAAAGACGCTTGTATTACCCTTCTGATTAATTTTCCATTTGAAACCTAATTTTTTTTTTGGCAATCTTAAAATAATTGTACACCCAGTTTTACGCTTCTTGGCCCAAGTGAAACTGGTCTTGCGCGCCTTTGTTTGAAACAGAAAAAGCTCGTTCTTAACGAAGCAAAAATCTACCAAGAAGCCCGTGACTGATGGATATCGATGATATCTTACATGAGTTTGAGACTGGAGCTCGCTCATCCAAAACAGAAACCACACAGCCTTTATACAATCAGTTGGTTACTGTTATGCTCAACGAGAGAATGGCTCCAGATCTTTTGCCATATAAGCATGAATTGATGAAAACGGTGTTGACTGAACTTCTGAACCAGCAGCAATTTCTTTTGGACTCTTATGAGTACGGAGACTCCAACGCTGATTCCGGGGTAGTAAGTGGCGACTTCAAACTCCAACTCATGATTATCGAGACTGATATTGAACGGCTTAGTTATGTGGTGAGACTATACATCAGGACCAGGCTAGCCAAGATCGACAGCTTTCTCATCTACTATATCAACGAAACAGAGGATGATACAGGTACTGCCACTTCCTTACTATCTCCGGAAGAACGAGATTACATGCATAAGCATTTTCAGATATTGACCAAGCTCTACAATAACAGTTTTCTCAAAAAATTCCCCACCTTTTTAACTTTATTAGACGACAACGCCGGTGGCCAGCAAATGGTAGACGCCCCGGACACAGAACAGCCCGTCTTCATTCGTGTACTTAGCAAAGAGCCAATCGTGATTAGTTTGGGAAATGAGGGCGAGCTCGAGCTAGTAGAAAACGGAATTTATGTTGTTCGCTATCGCCTCATTAAAGAATTTTTGGAGCTTGGTGACGTCGTCTTGATATGATCGTCACACTTAATCCATCACATACTCACATCCACCGGGGCACCCTGTGCTCTGCTCATCAAGAAACCATTCCTGTAAACATCCAAAGTGTCCTCTATGACCACAATTCAAGCTTACCACGACTGTGAGTCCTCGGCATGGTTCACCACAATAGATACAGTTCAGCTGCCGGCGTGAGCAGCTGTCACAATACCAGTATCCGAAATTTTCGCTGTTTGGGCCAAATTTTGCTTTGGAAGTTTCGTTGACTAGGAGCTTTTCGCACCAACAACAATAATATCTCATATCAACGTCCTTGCTGGCATAAACGGCGAGTTTATAATTCAAACTCGAAGGTGCTTCCTTCACTACATTCACAGCAGTAGTAAATAGACATTTTCCACGGAGCGTATCAACGTAAAGAGCTAAGCACTCCAAACAAGCGTTGTCGGATAATATACGGTTGGAAAATATCTTCTTGAACAAGTCATGGAAAAGAAGAATGAGGGTGCAGCACATTACCAAGTCACCTTGATCTCTTGCATAAATAACGGCTTTTTCCAAAAGGTTGATCAAGCTCCAAGGTTTCTCATTTGCTTCAGATGATTCGAGCTCCTCATAAGAAAACTTTTTCTTTCTCATTGCTTTGGTGAGCTCCGAAGTCTTAGGTTCTGCGCTACTGATGCTGAATTCTTCTACCTTCTCCAATAATTGCGGAGCAGGTTGCACTTGCAGAGAATAGAAACCAGACCTATTGGTTACAAAAGAAGAACGGCCAGAGGTTAAAGAGCTCCTATGCGACAGGAAAGAGGGATGGGACCGTGGATTTGAATGAAATGAAGTGCCGGTGATGCCTGATCTAGAGTCCGGCCCACCCATATACCCCGAAGAAGCAAGTGATCCACTAACGCTAGCCGGCATATTCTCATCATCGAGGTCATGTGAGCTCAGGGGAATAGACCATGAATGACCTGTCTGGGAACGGCTGGGCGACAATTTTGCGATATGCTTAAGAGGTGATTCACTGGAAGCAAATATTTCAGGTGACATGCTAGCCAGCATAGCATTGTTGCTGTAACGCCTGGGTGCTTTAATATCTATAGCCTTCAGCTTCTGCGACGACATTGTCGATAAAGATACTTTTGTCGAAAGATTGTTTCTCGGTTCGTATGCGTGGATCTCATCGCTCAAATTGTTGTCTTTAGGCGTCTCGCCATCAGATGTCTGCAAGAGCAGTTTGTTTCTGAACAGAGTGGGCGCTGATCTGTCGAGAGCAGATCGATCAAGAGATTTGTCTCCTGGCTTGTCTAATGCTGATGAGTCGGCATTGTTCGCCTTCGAATCCAGATCTTTCCGCCTAGTTGAAAGAGGGTTAAGCTCTTTAGGAGATTCAAGTCCTTGCTCAATCTCCTTTTCCCGCTTACCATGCTTTATGTCCTTCCCTTCCTTCCCTTCTCTTTCCTTGGAACCGAAAAGAGCCTTATTCATAGATGTAGCGCTGTCGCTGCGGTGCGGGCCACCATAATTTGTTGTCAGGGTGGAGTTTGAGTTGAAAGAGCCAACAAAGTTGCCCAAGTACGAAGAGACGGATTTGGTGTCTATGTCCTTCTCAGAATGTTGACTACCGGAGGCATTTTGCGGATCTGTATGCTGGTCTTCAAATTGGCCATCGAACCTCGGGTCGTCGAACTGGTGTTCCTCAAATTCTTGCTCCAACAGCACGCCAAGCATGCGCCAGATTTCGCAGTCCCGGTACCGGCTCACGCTGGCAGCTACCCGTGCGTTCATCTGACATACATCCAATAGGGAAAAGCCATCGGGGACGGAGATGTGGTACTCTGCAGCAAGGATATCAAACACAGTATCATCTGCGAGAGGGATGGGGACCGAAAGTGCTGCCACGTACGGCGAAGGTGCATGAGGAAGCGATTTGGAATGGGCTGCGCCCAGCGACTGCGAACCTTGGGTGGACTGCGAAGGATTGCGCGGGAGGCTCGGGCGCACAGGCGGGGGAAGGTCCAAGCCGCGCCCAGAAAGATCCATTGCGCGGGCCGACGAGTCGCGCACAGACGAATCCATGCCTCGCTGGTGCAACACGGGCGACTGTGACTTGAGCAGTGCCACGGTGAACTGTGTGCTCTGGCGTACTATAGGCGGGCGTTCCTTTGGCGGTGTGCTGCGCAGATGCAGAAGATCGTCCCTGGTGTCGTCGAAAGACGTATCGCGCGAGTCTGCGACCGGGTCGCCGAGCTCAAAGTCATTCTTGTGCTGGCTGACAATGCTCACGTTGGCGTAGCCAGGGCGCCAGGCGGTAGCTACTGCAGGCATGTTGTCCAACGGGCGCGTGATGTCCACATCGTTGACGTCCAAGTCATGTGCGACTAGCACATTGGCCTTCGAGATGGAGAAAAGGCGGCGGTCGGTGCGCAGCGCCACCCACACAAAGTTCTGCACCGGTTTCCGCATTGGCGACGCCACCACCGCCTTGGGGATATACCGCCGCCGCAAGTTATACACCGAGATTGTCGCGTCATCATTTAAATACAGACACGCAAAGTCGTAATTGTAGAGACACAGTGGATCGGGCGCGTCGGGCAAGTCAAGCGTGGGCTCGACCGGGTCCTGCGCGGCCACCGTGCACCACCGCACTTTCATCACCGGGCCGTAGGTGTTGACAATCAGGAGCGGCGCAACAGAGTGCAGACCCGCCTCGCCGTAGTGCCACACGCAGATTTTGCGGTCGCGCCCGCCCGTGAGCACGTATTCGGCGTCGGGATGGATGTGCAACGAGAGCGCCGGGCCCGAGTGGAAGGTCCATTTACGCTCCGGGAGAAGCGCGCCCGCACCAGCGCCCGCACCAACGCCCGCACCAACGCCCGCAGTGGCGCGCAAGTCAAACTTGCACAAGGCGCCCGAGTCGTGGACAGACAAGACGGTGGTTTTCCCGCGCACGCGGCAGTGCGCCGAAGCCTGGCACGACCGCACTGGGTCCGAATGGTGCGACGCCGCGAGCTGCATCACCGGTCGCGGCGAAAACGTGCGGAGATCCCACACCTTGACTGTTCCGTCTTGCGACCCGGACACTAGCACACTGTCATCGACAAAGTCCAACGAATTCACCACCCGCTTGTGGTCCTGGAGCTTGTAGGCCAACCTGTTTTTCCCGCCCAGGGTTACTTGGTACACCTGGACTGTGCCATTCGCTAGGCCGCATGCCACAAGATCTGAGGTGCACTTGAGCGTGTTCACAGAAAAGAGTTTCTGCGGCGTCCGCGCCAGGTCGACAATGCTGGAGTCCGCCACAACAGCGGTATTGTCTGCGTTGAGGGCCAACATGCGCAAGCAGTTTTTTCCGCCTAGAATGACCACGGGCGGCTGGCCCGGTCGCTGGAGCTGCGACAAGCAAGTGAGCTCTCGTTCGCATGGATACTCAAGGCGGCGGGGCCGCTCGCGGGGCCGCGTATCGCCATAGATGTTGAAGGCGTACCGTGCGAGACTGGATACCATGGGTCTGCGGTGGTGGCTCGGTTATTGTGCGTTGGTACGATGTGTTCGTGGCTATGGGTGGATTATGGCGGTACTGGCTATGATATGTTGCTGGTGTCGTTGCAATTGTCACAATGGCCGTAGTGTTTGTGGTTAGACACCTGTAGATTGCAGTGTAGTGTTGCAAGGAAGCTGGTTTGTTATTGGTGAATGGGCCCAGGAGTCCTAGAATGCCTTGTGAATGATAACTGTAGGTGCATAATTCGCACTAATTTCCTCAGACGGTCGCACTGCGACAACGACTTGAAGATGCTGGATCTGGGGTACGATTACAAATCAGGAACTGTCGATAATTATACAATGATTACAAAGTCGATAGCGACCTATTGGGCCTACTTGTCACAAGACGAAGTTTATATGGGTAGCAGAAACTATTGGCCTAGGAGGAATTTGTTCGCTCATACACAACAGTTAAATATTGCTCACTCTGGTGTCACCCCATGGAATGGATTGGTGGATTTCATCTACCCTAAACCTGGAATGGAGACTTTACAAACTAAGTATATTACGAAAAGACTGATCATATTTAGGCATCAGTAAAATCGAGAGAAATTGGTTTCGTGGTCTAGTTGGTTATGGCATCTGCTTAACACGCAGAACGTCCCCAGTTCGATCCTGGGCGAAATCATTTTCATTTTTTTTGTTCATTTAAACCAACGCTTACCGACTGTGGCCTCCAAGTATGCTGAATCACTGGTGTCTGATCATGTAGCCGGCTTCTGCGTCTTCAAGAGCAAGATCAGTCATGAGGAGAAGATCGCCGTTATATGACAACATCACTGCAGTACAACTAGCCGCATACGAATATAAAGCGGTTATCCACTGGTTAGGGGAACTTTCGTCGTACAACTTTACACATACTTTCTTTCATTTGTCTTCGATCTAGTCATCTATTGGGCGCGCAACAATGACAATGTTTCCGCATTTAGAACTGTCTAAGTCTCCAATGTTCAAGGTACCGTATACGTCGGTACCAACAATTTTATCATACTCAAATTTGTTTGTGAACCAATGCTCCAACGGTGCCGACTCTCCTTACCCCAATCAATGCTACTTTCCCCGATATCAGAGGCATATTTCCTCTAGTCCCAGTGCGCCCATAGCCCATATTTCAGTGCGCTCGCCCGAACAAAAGGCACCCGCCCAAAACCCTCGCCCTCTCAACAAGGTCACTATGCAATCCCGCACAGACATTCAATCCCGCACAGAACTATGTTCAACTGGACCTACTTGGCGAAAATGTTCGCCGTCCTCGGCACGTCGCTAGGCGGCTTGGCCCTTGCCGGTCTCTATACTTTCCAACGCACTTTGATCTACCCGTCATCGATGAACGATGGCCGCGGCTACTGTGCTACCCCAGACGAGCTAGATATGCCGTATGAAGATCTCCATCTCACAACTGAAGACGGCGAGACCCTCCATTGCTATGCCCTCAAGCACGACAGGAACTCGCCCACTTACACGAACAAAACGGTCTTGATGCTTCTGCCCAACGCCGGCAACATTGGCCATGCGCTTCCGATCGTGGCCATATTCTTCCGCACCTTTGGCTACAACGTTTTCATCTACCTGTACCGGGGCTACGGCCGGTCGACGGGGACTCCGCTGGAATCGGGGTTGAAGAAAGACGCTCGCCGTGTGATGGCTCACCTCACTGAAGAAGACGCTCAGTTCCGTGACAGTCTGTTGGTATTGTATGGACGGCTGTTGGGCGGTGCGGTGGCTGTGTTCATAGCTGCCACCTTCCCGGATGCGGTCCAGGCGATTGTGTTGGAGAACACGTTCTTGCTGATTCCCAAAACCGTGCCCCACATTTTCCCGGCGCTCCGCTATTTTACAATGTTTGTTCACCAGCGGTGGGAATCGGAACGCCTCGTGCCTCAGATCCCTGCCGATGTGCCTGCGCTTCTCATGAGCGCTCGTCAGGATGAGATAGTGCCGCCCGAGCACATGGATCGAATCTTCGAGCTTTTGCCGTCGCAAGACAAGACAATGTTTCGCTACGAAGGTGCTAGCCATAACGATACCATTGCACAACCGCTGTACTGGGAAAGAGTGCACGCTTTTATCCGCGATAAAGTGAACCCTGTGGGGCTTTGAGTGCCGTGTGCGTTCTGTATTTTCTCCCGATCCAGAGAGATTTAGATCGTGGTGGTATCCGACGAAGTTCCTTTCTTTAAAACACGTCCGATAACAATAGTGACTGTATATTCTAACACATTATGGCATATATTATAGCCACTCAGTCCTAGAGATCAAGGAATCATCTCCTCAAATAATTATAAGTGGGTCCATTCTGCAGAATGTCTCCTAGATATAAATTGGACTTTCCTCAGACTTAAATGGTACTATTAGGATAACATTTGGTATAGGAGCTGAAGTTGTGAGTGAAGAATTGGATTGACAAACGAAGTTTGATACGTTAACAATACTTTTTTGGATATGAATGTAGCCCTCAAGAAGATTGGAATACCCAAACTTGAAAATGCAAGCTTATCAACCAAGATAGTTGGACAAATTGCTGTATCTTGCGCTATCGGACATATGTACTCATAAGTGGCACATGGAACATAATGCCACTTCATCAAGTGAGAAATGTAATCTGGCAAAAAAGAATGAGTATCGGAATCATGGATTGTTTATATCAAGAGGTATTCAGCTCAAGAAATTAAAACACGAAATATTTAAATCACGAAGCTTATTGATGAAGTTTCATTACCCAAAAATCTGACCAAATCACAACCAATTGGCGGTAGATTTCGTGAATGGTGGTCTGAAAGAATCTTCAACGGTAAATTCACATAGCAAGCCGACATGTTAACGTATACTAGTCGAACTACGAAACCTCAATACGTCCTCGGGTTTGAGACCCTACCTTTTCCTCCGGAGACGATCTACACACATACTCGTGAACGTTATAGTTAGATATACAATACACGCTTAGACGGTGATCTGCGCGTTACCCTTGGCGTTGAAAGTGTCGTGCGACATGAACTCAACCTTTTGGTCGTCGCCCAACTTCAACACCTTCTTGAATCTCTCGCCAATGGTCACCAACTTGGACTCATCGCAGTCCTTGGTCCAAATACCCACTCTGATGTTGGCTCTTCTGATGTTCAACACTATGCCATTGACTTCGTTTTCGTCATCCTCGATGGTCTCGCCAATCACGGCCAACAAGCCTCTCAACCACAAATCGTTGATCACCTGAGCAACATCTCTCTTGTTGTTGAAGGAGTATTGCCATCTTCCTCCCTTGGCGTTTTGCTCATCTTCCCACTCTGGCTTAATGCCCTCTTTAAACAAGTGGTAGTCTGATTTCATAGGCAACTGGTTGGCCACAGGAATAGAGTTGTAGATGCCCCAGAACTCTTCGACAGAAGAAAATGTGATCACTGGCTTCAACAAATCCAGCCATGTTTCGGACTTGTTGGTTTGGGGTTTGGTGTACCACAAGGTCCATTTGCTGTTCAATGGGTGCTTGGCGGTGAATTCTTCCTTGCTGCTCAAGACGGTTTTCTCCGAGTCCAAGGACAACTCTTCGGTCTTTTTGGTCAAATCTTCCGACATCTGTGGGTGTTAGTAATAGGATCGAGGCATATGGGACAGCAATTCTGCATGAGAGGTGACATACTGTAGCTTGTGAAGTGGTGTTGGGATTAGATTTTTTAGCGTCACAAAAGACGATGTTGGAAAAAAGTTCTCGTGCGCGTAAACCGGGGCACGCGCGCACAGCTTAAGAGGCATGACCCGCGCGTAAAATCTGGCACACGCCATCTGGTTCTAGTCTTGCTATGGACCAACGGGCTAGTTTTATTCAAGCACATGTGTATTTGTTGTATAAACCAAGAGAAACAAACCGGCACAGCCGCAACCGGACCGCAAAAGAAAAAAACTGCAAATGCACAACAAATGCAAACGAAGCGGGTTGAGCCGAAACGGAACGTTCACAAAACCTAGTTCTTCAACCAAAGAACTTAGACCGGCCCATTTAAAGCAACGATCCCAAAATCAAAAAGAGCCCACCCATGGCACCAGAGTACACACCCTTTCTGCCACCTTCGTTTTTAATGGTTGTTTGTGAGTATGTCCGGATGTTACCCACGTCTCCAGAGTGAGAACCCAAGCCAATCGTGCCGGCTGGGGCGCTTCCGGTAGCGTCGGAATAGACTTGCATGAAGCTTTGCGAGTACACCGTTTGAATAGTGGCCAAAGCACCGTTAGTGGTGATGGTGACCCAAATTGTGGTGTCGGATTGGGAAGACAGCGTTGTGGTGGTTGTTTGCGACGAAGATGTGGTGTCATCATCTCTTTTAGCAGCGTCGGCAGCAAGCGCAACGCATAGAAGCGAAAGGAAGTACAACCAGACCGAATAGAACTTCATGGCTGTGGGATAAAAAGCGTGTTTTCGGATCTCAAAAGTTTCTGGTTGTGAAGCACGGTCACGTGTGTGTTTGGGGATCGTAACCGTGGGCCATGCAGGGAAGGGGCGTAGTTAGGTACGATGCAGTCCTCGACAGCCAGACACCAAAGAGAAGAGACGGCAAGTGGTGGGAAGCGGAAAAAAAGAATGTGAATAGACTGTGTTTTGGCGTTCTTTGAAGACGGTGTTTGCATGTGGAAATGCGGCAGCTTTGCTGTGGATTCGCACGGCTCTGGATGGCCTTTGCCGTTATCTGTCGCGCTATATCTGGCTCGCACTATCTAGATAAACTTTTAGCTCTGCTTAACGCTCCTTTCTTGTCTTTACTTCTTTCTAGACTTTCTAGACTTTTTAGCGTGCTTTAGCGTATCTTTGTGCTTTAGTCATACCCATCGCATTTCATTAAGTTGCTCTGGGCCTGCTTCCGTATCTATCACCGTTGACCCAGTCAAATACATACTACTGCCTAGACGGTCCCTTCCCACGATTCTCCACTTGCTTTTCCAGCTTCCTCTTTCTGGCCGCGTGACTGTGCTGGCAACTATAGCTCTTCTCCATTGGATCGCACGTCTCGCCCATACTACTTATTGAACCGCATCCTACTCACATTCGAGGCTGGCATCTATTCCAAGTTCCTACGTCGTGCATACTCTGACGTCTTATCAAAGTCATGAGTCTGCCCCTTGATATTGGTACTCGCCGAGCGTCTATCGCCAAGCTAACTCTGCCCTCGCCGCGCGGCCTGTTTGGCTCCAACGCCCGCTTTTTGCGCACCATGTCTCCGCACGAGGATGTTCCTTCTGCCATCAGCAGCTCGCCCGATACAGACAGCGCGGACTTCTCCGCTGGTTTGCACGATCCCAAACTCATTGAGCTGGTGTCACGCCACCTCAAGAGCCACGACAAGACGTTGGACTCTGAAGGAGCAGACATTACGCGCGAGTTGTATCTTTTGGGCGATGCGCCGCGCCCGACTGTCATGCGCTCGCGCTCCTGGTCGCTGTGTGATTCGGCCGCGCGCCGTGGGTCTCTGGCCAGCGCGCTCAATGTTCCGGGCGGGTTCCGCCGCCACTACGTTTTGGCGCACAAGCGCGCGCCCAACTTGCTCACCAAGAACTTTGTCGAGTTCTTAAGCATCTACGGCCACTTTGCCGGCGAGTCCTTGGAAGATGACGTGGACGTGGCATGCCACTTTCTGCCTGTTCCGCCGAAAGATGCTGATGAAAGTACAGCGCTTGTAAAATCGGCAAATCCTTCCGGCACCGCTTCTGATACCAAAGCATACTTTTTGTTGTTGAAGGCTTTTGTAGGTACAGGGGTGTTGTTCTTACCTCGTGCATTTGCCAGTGGGGGCCTCGCCTTCTCGATAGTGACCCTCTTGATCTTCGGGTTGCTTTCGTTCTGGTGCTATTTGATTCTTGTCCAGGCTAAAACAGCCTCGGGCGTATCGACTTTTGCCGATATGGGCTTGCACTGTTATGGAGCGTGGCTACAGCGGCTCATTTTGCTGTCAATTGTGCTCTCGCAGGTAGGGTTTGTTGCTGCGTACATCGTTTTTACTGCCGAGAATCTCCGTGCTTTCGTTGCAAACGTTTCCGGCGTCCAAGGCGACATTTTTTGGTTCATTTTGCTCCAAGCTGCTGTGTTGGCGCCACTCAGCTTGATCCGTGACATTACTCGCTTATCTTTACTGGCACTTTTTGGCAAATGGATTCATTTTCGTCGGGTTGCTCACTATCTTATACTATACTTTCCGTGAACTAGCAGGAAATAACTTTGTTCCAGGCGAAGGCGTTTATTATCTTTTCAACTCCTCGGAATTTTCGTTGTTCATTGGTGTGGCAATCTTTGCCTTTGAAGGAATCGGCCTAATCATCCCAATCCATGACTCCATGATATATCCTCAAAATTTCCCGAAAGTCTTGTTCAAGGTGATTGCCACCATCTCATTAATTTTTATCTTCATTGGCGCCTTGGGCTACTTGACATTCGGAGACAGTATCGATACAGTAATCTTATTGAATCTTCCTCAAAAGGCACCACCTGTGATCATGATCCAACTATTATACGCGATGGCCATTTTGCTTTCGACTCCGATCCAAATATTTCCTGCCGTGCGTTTGATTGAGCTGAAAATATTTGTTCCATTGAACTCGGGCAGACATTCATTGGCCGTCAAGTGGCAGAAAAACTTGCTTCGTTTTGTCTTTGTCTTCCTCACAGCCACGATTGCATTGTATGGCGGCCAAAACCTCGACAAATTCGTCTCCTTTGTCGGTTGCTTTGCATGTATTCCACTAGTTTACATGTACCCTCCTATGCTTCACTTGAAGACATGTTGTGACTATACCAACGACTCTTCGCATAAAAGATCCACGTTCTGGTTAGCGATGCTTGATTACGCTTTACTCGTCGTCGGTTCGGTCGTTTTAGTTTACACTACGTACGACATACTTGCACATTGAGACATTGATTTCTGGACATGCATCAATGTATTTATAGACAATTATTTCATAACTATTTGCTCCCAAGTATACTTTCACCACGACCAGATGGATCTACATTCAATAACGACAACTATGACCTCGAATATTCGCTTATATCAGTTCACCTAGGCTCTATAGACAGTTATTCAATCTTCATCGCTCAATGCGCTAACGACCCATTTCCTGGCGTCATGGATCTGCGCTTGCAAATCTGATTTCGCTTGCGACGTGTATTTGGTCACGTCAGACGCCATAACATCTAAAGATGCAAGCATATCATTCTGTTGCTTTGCTGCCTCAGGGAAGTTTTCGTACTCCCAGGACAAAAATCTGCTCTTGATGTTTTCATATGTTTGAGGCATGTTGTGCTTGAATGTGAATCCGCCAACTGCTGCAGTGGACAAGAAGCGAACAGGAAAAGACCTTCTGCTCACGAAAACGGACACCACCAAAACTGGGAACAACACATCCATGAGCCGTGGAACAACAGGCTCAACAACAACATCGTTCACTTTCAGCTTGACGATGGCCCACTCGTTGGCCAATGCGGACTTCTGGGTCCCGATTTCGGCACTAGCGATGGAAAGCTTCTCGTGGGCCAACAATCTGAGCTTGTTGAAATGCTTCTCCAAATACGGAGTACTTCTCACGCCCATTCCGTCCACCAAAGCTATATTACCATGCACAGACTCTTTTTCCTTCAATTCCAGAGAAATCTCTGTGTTATAGCCAGGGGTGGTTGTTATTAGCTCTTCATCTTCATAAAAGAATCTTTTAGATGGCATGGTTAGGGAATATGCTAGCTTCTGTCGATACAAGATGGAAGTCGCACACTCAGTTTCATTGGCCTACAGTACTCTATGTAGAACCGCACCCAGACTAGTATAGCGAAAAATACACCACGGCCAATCCGGGAGTAAAATACATTTTATTACTAGCAAAGTTGCCCTCACACTATACTTGCCACCTCATCAGCACATGTTACCTAAGATTTTCTGAAAAGCCCTCTCTTTTTTTTCTTTTCTGTCGTTGCAGGAGCAATGCTTCCCAAAGGCTTTGGTGCGATTTCGGCCTGGGGAACTTCGATGGTTATATCCTGATTGGCACTGCCATTTGCAGATTTACCAATCTCTTCATTAGATCCCGAAGGTCCTGGCTTTGTTCCCTCTTGTGGTGGCCGGAGATGGCTCGGGATACCCGAAGAGGAACTTGGCACTTGTGTATTAGACTTTCTTTGTTGCGGCAATGGTGGCGACGGCATCTGACCAGGCAAAGTAGATCTGTGTTTGGATTTTGCCGCATTTTGGGACGACGTTGGCATAGGCATTCCTCCGCGTCCACCGTAATCAATATTCAAGGCTTGATCGGGGAACGCCGAACGCCTATTTTGTTTCTTCGGATAATTGTTGAATTGCCCCGAGCCATGTCCCACGATAGGACCATTAGACACCTGTTGCTGAGCAAATTGCGGTTGTTGAAATTGCGCATTGGGGTGGCCCAGCGTAGGATACGAGCTCATGCGCTGGCGCTGGGCAGGAGGAACTTGAACTGGCGAAGGTGGATACTTCTGGGGATTCCGCAATGCAGCAGGCATGGAGCCCTGCACCATGCCGTTCGCTGGCAAGCCATGTGGAGGCCGCTGGTCGTATCCTTCATAATATCCGTGGTTGGCGCTTGCACTTGTAAGAGAATGTGAAGGACGATAGTTCCCAGGCCCATTATACATCGGGCCGTTGGGATTCGGTCCGCCATATGGTCCGTTGAAGGAACCATTGTAAGATCCGTTGTAGGAAGTATTGGAACCATTGTACGCTACGTTCAACGGAGGTCCATTCTGGTAACCGTCGCCCATAGGAGGCCCACCATTCTGAAAGTACAGTTCTTCGCGCTGCATAGGAGGTTGAGATTGGATGCTCTTCTGCTCGAGCTCACGTTCACGCTCAAGAAGCGCCTGTTCACGGCGTTGAAGTTCCATTTCCTTGTTTTGAACTTGGGGCATTTGCTCTGGTGGTGCCAGAACTTGTGGCTTGCTTGGATGCTCACCATTAAGTTCTGCACCGTAGACAGCAACATGGGCAAAGTCTGACAAATCTGGTGTCGTTGGGTTTCCATTTTTGTTTTCTTGCTGCTTAACAGTGACCACTTGACTTTTGATTGGCGCCACTTCCCTCTGCTGATTATAGTCCGCGGGAATAACCGGCTGTTCATTTGCGCTTAAAGTTTGTTTGTTCTCAGAGAGCTTAGCCAACTCGGCTTGTTTAGCACTGCAGCGGTTTTGAATTTCTGCTAATTGCTGTTGGTGCTGAATTTCAGTGTCTGAAAACATTTTCATCTTGTGCTCATGATTACGCGTTTGCATGTCAATTTCTTGTAAGAGGGATGAAAGCGCATGTTTCTTTTGGGATAATGATGACTCAAGCTGTTGAAGCTGGGTTTGCCGCTCATGTATACTTGCATCATATTTTTCCTTTTCCAACCTGAGATGAGATAATTCGTCTGCGACATTGTCGATTTCCCGTCTGGCCTTTTCTTGTCCAGGTATGTTCCGCACAAAAAAAAGCGACGAGTTGTTGGTGTTGACTTTCAAGTACTGACACATGACAGAATACAAGTTTTCCAAATACGGCGTCCGCACACCATGGTCATCACCCAAAAGAATTGGCTGCAACAATAATAAGTCAATATCAATTTCCTGCCTATGGTAGAATTTGTAGAATAACAGGTTAGCATTCAGATAAGGAACAGACAGTTCCGGAGCGGAGGCGGGATAGATAGCCAGCCAATTCAGAACCAAATTAGCTTCGTTCTCAAAGCCTTTAACGAGTTTGCACTTCATTTTTTTAATGATTTTGAAAATCTCATTAACCAAGCCAGAGATCAATGGCTTTGCCAAAATCTGGGCGTGCAATTTCTCCGGCGAAGGTTCCTCAAAAAGAATCGACAATGGGTTCAAAACAATACGCGGCAACGCAAGTTTCCACTGGTAAGTCATGAACTCTTGGGCATTGTTGGATTTTAGCAAGCTGATGTGGCCATTGGAGTCTTCTTGTACCATTTGCAACAACTTGTAGAGTCTAGTGAACAGCAGGACAAAGTTGCCGGATTTGGAATCGTCGGATGAACACGTTCCCAAGTATATTCTGTGGTCCGAATTTGCAATGTGGTGGATAAATGTGCTGGATCCGGGCACCCTCTTGATGTTTGATTCGTTCATAATGGAACAGATGGGCATGTCCTTGAATTTGGGGAAACTCAACAGCACAAAGGGCTCGAGGTTAACGCAGCCGGTGGATTCCACTATGATGAGCGTTTCGTCACGTACATGCGGCACTAGCAGCGAGCAGACGTCTTGGAAGCTCTGTAGAGTGGAGACACTGACTATGACAAAGTCATATTTCGCAGACGACTCGAGGTGGTCCACGGATGGAACCAACTTGTCCGGAACGAACTCCGAAGCGGAGAACAGCAGCGAGTCCCATATGAGGGGCTGCGACGGATCAAGAGACGGATCGACCATGGTCACCGAACATGAGCGAGTGTTTTGGAGGCGCCAAGCATAGAAGGCCAAATTTGGGTTTTGCCCAACTGCACCGTTAGTATATCGACAAGGAGCCAAAGGGGCTGGGACCGCATAACCAGACACATGTATAAATATGCCAGGGCCCATTGATTATACATACAAGTTAACAACTGCAAGGACATGGGAAAGCCAGTTTAGAAAGAAACAGGCAGGGGCGATATAAAAAAAAAGCAAAAGCTCTCAGAGCACAGCGAGAGATGGCCACGAGTATGAATGAGCAAGTGTTTTCGCCTCGAAAGCAGACGCGTGTGAAGAAGAAAGTAGAACTTTTGCCCCGCTAGGGTTATGTGTGCGCCTTGTCTGGGTTTTCCGGCATTGCAGGCTGAGCTTTCAAGCCGCGCAATACGCACACCGCAACGCCAAAGAATTGCGTTCTGGCCTGTATTCTGTGATAGGAATGTCTAATGGCGTGTTGGTTGTGGTGTTGGAATGAGACCGCAGCGGTACTGCTACAAGGACTCTGACGGGTACAGGATGGCCGAACGACGTTGATGTAGCTTATTGCAAGGTGCTCAAGCTTAGACCTTTGCTAGTGGACCCTACTGTATCTGGTGCGCTAGTTTGTGCGTTTGGTGTTTATTGCGTTTTGCCATTCGGCGGTCGGTATTTGCCGCCCGGTCTTCTGCCGTGTCTCTACCTCTTTGGGACGTACGTCTCATCTTGATCCGAATGCGTCCACACTCGAATTTCCGACATCTGCTCCTGTCGTCTCTTGCGTTCATTTCTGGGTGAAACGGCACGGGCCAAAGATGATGAACCTGCACATTCGGCCAGGCGCTCGCGGCTCTTCGCGCCGAACTTTTTTTCGCCCATAATCTCTTCTTCTCTACAAGCCATTCTGGATTCGTCGTTGTGCCCCTATATGGACACGACTTGATGAGCCCAGGCGTTTGTGTCTGGCCGCCTTTGTGCGTCTGGATTCCAGCGGATGTGGTTTGTAGATTGAAAAACGAGGGTGTATCTCCGGTTGATGAGCACAGCTTTGACTCTTTCGGTCATAATCCCTTGCACATATTATTCTGTATTCTTTTGACGTATGGTCCACCTGATGGAGTGCTCTTTGCCATGTAGACGTTAGGCTTTTCGAGATTGCGCCATTGCCCAGCCATGCTTTTCGGTTTATTGTTTTTGTTCGTCGTTCTTTTTTTTAGCCTTTGATTTTCCGTTCCATCTGTAGTCTCATCTGCCGCACTATCATGAGAGGACGCCTTATTCTCATTGAAGGTTTGGATAGGTCTGGCAAATCGACTCAGGCAGAAAATCTTGCCTCGGCCCTCGACGCACAGCTTTACAAGTTTCCTGATCGTCTGACGCCCGTTGGAAAACTCATCAACGAGTACCTAGTCAACTCCAGCTTTGACCTTTCGGACGAGGCAGCTCATCTTCTATTCAGTGCCAACAGATGGGAAGTGGCCCATGAGATGGAGGCGACCCTTCTAAGGGGCCAAAACATCGTGTTGGACCGCTACATTTATTCGGGCATTGCCTATTCGCTAGCGAAGTCCAGCTTGAACGACTACGAGTGGCTCTACTCTCCAGACAAAGGGTTGCCCAAACCTGACTTGACCCTTTTCTTGACCATTGACTTGGAGGAGTTGAGCAGACGCAAAGGCTGGGGCGACGAGCGCTACGAAAAGCTGGCTTTTCAGGCAAAGGTAAAGCAATGCTTTATGCAAATTTTGGACCCAGAGAAAGACTCCTCGGTTGAAATCGTCAATGTGGACAACCTCCTGATTGAGCAGGTAAAGGCAAAACTCATGGAAATTATCAAGGAGAGAAAAGTCGACCAAACCACAGAAAAGCCTCTCGCAAAGTTTAAATAATCCAACCCATACGACGGAGAAAGATCATCAAAGGATTCAATGACCTCGTCGAGAACAAAGATACTATCACTAGTTTCTTTGGTGGAATAAATCCAATGTACATTAACTTTGAAGCTCTACAAAGGGATGATGCACAGTTTATACGTTTATGTAGCTAGTTTATGTAGCTAGTTCGTCGAGCTGGGTCAACCGGCTCACCACCTTTTGTTTCAGAATTTCCAGAAGTTCTCCTCCCAAGTATATTTCGTCAAGAATCTGGTACAATTTGTAGAAATTGAACACCAAATCAAGCTCACACACATTGTCAAAGTACGTGTCCAAAATCTCGACAAAAAAATGAACAGACTCCAAATAACTAAGCTCGTTATCGTCATAATCGACCAGCATGATGAAAAACAACCCCGCATACCGCCTATAAACCAACTTGTTGCCCCTAAACTCAACAAAGTTGGATTGGTATTTCAGATCCCGCAGAGACACTAGCCGATGGACATCCTCCACAATTTCTTTCTTGTCTGAGTCCATAAAGGTATTATCAAACCATTTGGCGAGACGGATTTTCCCCTGTCGGTTAAGTATTAGGAAGTAGTGTATTGACATGGAAAAGATGAAGAGCTGGTGTTCCACTGTTTGAGTTATGGTAGTGCAGATTGGGTTCTTAGGGTATTTTAGCTTAAGGCCGGCGGAGTATTCTATCATTTGATAGTTAGCAACAAGGAGCCCAGATAACATTTAATCAACCTTAGGTTACGTTATATCAACTCCCGCCGTTTTCCGTTCTTGATTGATATCGGCTACTTGATTCATTTTTAAGTTCATTCAATACCACTTATTACTTGTCTAGTCCCCATTCATTCGCACCCTAACTATGGAAGAACCAGACACGAGCAGGCAATTTGAAATCAAAGAAGGAATTGCATTCCTAATTGATCTTTCCGAGCTGCTTTTCGTCCCAGTCAACGAACTAGACCATAGAAGCCAGCTTTTGGAGATCCTCCAATGCATAAATGATCTAATGTCTGACATGGTGATCACCTTCCCTAGCAACGGTATTGGAATATACTTTTATAATGCTAGAGAAACAGGTAAAAAGTTTCCCAAGAACTCTGGTATCACCAAAGCATTCTCATTGAATGACTTAAACAGCTCCAACATCAAACTTCTCACCAATATTGTTCGGGACGAACTAGATGGATTCAAGCCTCTCCAAGACAGATATCCTGTCGCTGAAAAGCAATTAGACAATCTCCATACTGTTTTGGAAACACTACTCAAGGAGTTTCAAGCAAAACCACAGTACAACCGGAAACGGTTGTTTTGGCTTACAAACTCCGATAAGCCATACATCAACCCGAATTTGAAAGATGGCCTTAGAACAGTGATGAGTGACTTTGAGGCAAACAGAATCTTGGTCTCCCCTGTGTTCTTGGAGACATATCCAAGAGACGGTGACCAGAAATTTGATCTCCTGTTGTATGAGAACATTTTCCTTAACACCAACTTTTTGGCTCGTGCGCAGAAGAACCAGGAAGAAGGCTCTCCATTGCTAAACACTACGGTGTCTTCTCAAATACGGCTGTCGATTTTGCGGCTTAAAGAAGTGCGCCGGATTCAGTTCTCATGCGATTTAGTTCTCAGTGATGGACCTGGTATTGGGGGAAAATTTGGATGCTCCGTTAAGGGATATACATTATTCAATCACGAATCCATTCGGCAATTTCGTCAAGTTTATACTGGAGGCGAAGGCTTGAAGCTTGTTCATCACGACACGAGTTATTTGCGAAGCGACACCAAAGAGAGTTTGGATTTAGACAAGGAGAGCCAGCCTACGCAGACATTGAAGGGCATATCTGTCAAGTTTGCCAACGATAAGGAAGGTGTGGCAGAAAACGAGAAGCTTTTACTTTTCAAGCAAGATGTAGTGGAGTACATGCGAGGATATTCTTTTGATCACACTCCTGGAGAGCAGTCAGAAGACGAACAGGATGGCAATGATAACGATGATGACGATAATAATGAAGATGACGATGAATCGGATAGGAAGCCAGTGCCGTTTTCCAACCCACCATATCTCAAACTTCTATGTTTTAGGGATATCAGTAAATTCCAGCATTTGTTCAACATTAAGCCTCCTGTTTTCATTACTGCAGACTCCAGCGATGGAATGAACTCTACGAGCAAAGAAGGTGGGTATACCAACTCATTCAATACTTTTCGTCTGTTGTACCAACTGTGCCTTAGATTGCAGCGCTATGCGGTTTTGTTTGGATGTGTCAAGAGAAACTCTTCACCAAGTCTCTATGCTTTGTATCCAACAAATACCGAGGGCAGTTCCACGGAGATTAAGGATAAGCAGTTTCCTGACGGTTTTCTTCTCATCACTTTGCCCTGGCTCAGTGAAATCCGCAGCTTACCTGACTATATGCTAACAGAACACCATCGGTATTTTCTTCCCGAAACGGAATCTGTCGTGCCACCCGAACTAGCATCTCTTTGTCTGAAGTTGATGGGATTATGCAAAGTGGATGATTCTTACGATCCGAGTGTCCACCCAAATCCGGTACTCAACTACTTTTACAAGACCATAAAACAGGAAGCATTGCAAATTGACATCAAAGACGAAGATACTTCATTAGAGCAGAATGATTGGACAGTGAGCAGGCTACTTAGTATTCGCAACCTGCTTCAAGAGAATGTTGACACAAGGCAAATTCTTCAGTTCATCAATGTCTACTTGAACAAAATCGGAAATGCGGAGGTGGCCAAGAGAACCAATGAAGATAACAACAGCGGTGCGCTGAAACGAGCAAAAGCAGCCCCTCTAACTGAAGCTGCCATTGTCGCCTTGTGGCAAACAAACTCGTGGAGTAAAGTGACGGTCGCTCAACTAAAAGAGTTCATGGGAAAATATCCCGAGATACCGCTGGCTACACGCAAAGCTGACATGGTGGCCAATATTACGAGCTTTCTCGAGTCTAGACAATAGGCGGACGGTCTCTTCGAGCATAAAGAAGAGAGCTAGGCCGCTAGAAACGGCCATATCGGTGGCCGGCCGAACGAAGCTGACACATCAGTGGCCAGGCTAACGAAACTAGGTAATCTCGAACGTATTCTCCACCATTCCAGGCAAGCCTGCTTACGTCGTCGGGTTAGGACGCGGTAATGTAACTGTGTTTATGTGGCCGGAAAATGCCATTGTTCATGCAAGCACTACAAACGCCTTCTTCATTATTATTCACATTATTGCCGTTGATTATTATTGGGGCTATTTTTGATTGGGTGTTCTCTGCCACTACTACATGCGTGGAATCATTCCTACAAGCATTGACCACCGAGCACAAGCAACGGTGATGCAGTGGAAGCAAACTTGCGGTGGCTTAGATCCGCGAGTCTTTGCTGGTTTCCTGTGGAAAATACTAGACAAGACTATAGCGATACATCCGCCGCGCATGGTTTGCTTAGTATGAGGTCAGCCTGCATGCTTCGCTCGGACCGATTGTCTATAGCTCCGTTCCCCACACAATTTCACCCAGTGCTTGGCAAAGCGAGAAAATGGGGCGTATGGTGAGGAGTCCAAACCGAAATAATGCCATGGGCGATAGCCGTACAAACAGCGGAGCCGTCCCAATAAGGGAAGAATTTCGACGCGTGCGCCGAAACATGTACAATATGTTTTTGTTTGTGCGGGGGCCCGCGCATTCCATGCGACAATTCTATCTCCCATGCAAAGCCTAAGAGCCAAGAACGAAGCGGAGATTTCGGTGCGAGCCAAGTTTCGGAACTGAAACACCCGTCTGAGGAGCTTGAGAAGCGAGATAAAACAGAATATTCAAAGGTGGTTTGGCGGCAGCAGCAGATCTTGTTTTCTTTTGACCCGAACCGCAGACATGACCAACTGACGTTGATGTCTGCGTCATCCCACCGGCTTATCAGGGCAAGTTCATTTTTAGCGGAGAAACCCTTGTGACGTTGCTACCTGCAGGTGCGCATTTGGATGATCATAGAAATTTGCCTGCGAGATTGTTGTGCGTGTTACGTGATGACATATAAACTGCCCCACATCTCTGACCATGTCCCGCTTTCATTTTTCCAGGTCTAGAGATTTCTTTCTTCTGTACACTTTGAACAGCCATTCTTTAATCCCTTCTTTTCGCGTTATTTATTTAAATGTCAGAGCCTCCTCCATATGATCAGACTCCAGCATACTCGGCGTCGCTCGAGTTTTACGGCTTTGCCTTTGTCAAGACCGAGCTAGATACGCCTTGGAATAACCATTCGGGCAGTTTGCGTCCAGTTGTGGTCGAGCTCAATTCCAACCAGCTCAAGCTCTACGACTTGGCGGTGGACAAATCGGTGATATCGGCCCTCCGAGCTCTTTTCCTTCATCAGAACTACCAGGAAAAGGAGGAGCCCAGATCCTCGTGCGACGATAGCAACTACACCTTTGATGGAGACGCTTATGGTGACGACAACTATGGCGAGCTTCGCCAGGGGGTGTTTTCGAAGATTCGTACGCGCTACACCAACAAAAAAGTCCGCAAAAAGCTTCGGGCGCCACTCCCTCCAGCTTTGTTGGACAATTCGTTGTTGCTCGAGCCCACGTCGAGTAGCGACGTTTACGCACGCTTTGCCTCAAGGTACCGTGGCCTGCTTCTCCGCAGCTTCACGTTGCTGAACCTTGTTGTTGGCGAAGCCCCTTCTTGCAACCTGCAACACTACAAGGAAGACTCGAGTACCAGCAACACTTTTGCATTGCTCAAGTACCGGAATGTGTTGAGACTTCGAGTCGAGTACTCGCAGCTTCTCCTTCACTTCTGGTCCTTTTATGGAATGGTGCATTGGTACCGTAACTTATGTATTGGAAGAGACTTGGCGTCTCTGCTTGATACCCGCAGTGTGGGCGTCCTCAAATCTATTCCACGCAGCTATTCGCCTCAAAACAATGCATTCTTTGAGTCTTCAGGAACGTTCTCAGATTGGAAGCGGCGGGACTCTTTCGCATCTGAAACGTCACTTTCGACATTCCTGGGCTCCGACTCGGGCTCCGATGCAAGCGAAAGCCTTTACTCGGAACAGCGCGAGCCGCTGAAGCTGCATGTCGTTGTGTACGGGCAAAAAATTGTGTGTTATGAGGATTTGTACTCGCCTCTTGAGAAACAGTACATTTCCAATTGCATGGCTGTGCTCAATTCTTTCGATAAATGGGTGGGAAGAAAACTCACCATCTCGAATTACGAGTACATGCTTCCCAAAAATGACGCCTACAACGTCAACGAAGGTAATCAAATCTACATTTCGCTGCAGACCTTCAATAGCTTGGCTCGAAACTACAGCAAAATTGCCAAATCAAAACCTTGCACTGTGTCGCCGTGCATGGATTTTTTCGTCGAGTCTACTGGATTAGTCAGCGTCGGTGTATAGTAATGTGTCACGAATTTGAATTGTACGATACTAATGTAGCATAAGCGACAGACAATGGGCATTTGTTGCGGTTATGAATGCTCTGGTGGAACCGTATTTTCCAGTGTCGCAATATTCGAGCTTTTTTTAGTGGGCGAACAAGGCAGTATAGCCATAATCTATGCACAAAATGATGGGAAGCACTGAATCATTTAAGAGTCTATGGTCGTACAGCAAATATTAATTTCCAGGTATAATAGGTGGCCAGACAGTAAAACTTGCCCGACCCTTAAATAAAACGTAGAGTGTTCGGGAAAATTCTGCATGATCTAGTGAAAGTGGTGATGAACATGTAAAACATGCGATTAACGGTTTCTGCAGTAGACATTTCAACGAAGTGATCCCAATCTAATGGCATGGCCTAAGTTTCTTGAATGGGGGTTCTCACAATATTAGTGAAGTTAATTGCTTCATCTTAACTGTGAATCTAACTTCAGCCTTGTATGCGTAATGCTATTTTGTGTATTTTCCAATGGACAAGAAAAACGTGCTTCAATTTAATACTTGAGTGAAGTTGACCTTAGTCATGGTTCAGATCAACAAAGCGAAACATTCGGAGAACTCTTCGACTTTGATATCAATTATATTTCACGGAACGTAAGCTTTGTAAACTTTCTGTACCTGCAAGCATAATATCTCTTTTGTGTCTTTTGAGACAGAATGTGCTGTTGTATAAAAGTTCATTGATAATTTACCAAATTGATCATAGTGTACTATAAAACACCAACACAAACCTTTTTTGCCAGGGAAGATATCACGTTTCAGCCTACATCCGCCCCAACCAATGGCATGCCCATTATTTGTGATGATCTCTTTTTGCTTTTGCAGGAATGTGTTTCTGTACTTTCTTGTCTCTACCACTATTGAACAATAAACTAACTACTCGACCTTTTCCGTTGAGCAGTTTACATGACCTTCCGTCGGTAATTCAAGTACCCTTGCTGCATGCTAAGGATAACCTTGAGGAAATCAGACTCTCTTCAGGCTCAAGATTATCATAAAAAAGAAAAGATTAACCATTAGCTTTTGATTGTATATGGTAGTATGCCGAAGTAAAAACTCCCATGATTATCAGGGTTTACTCATGTGCAAACTTACAATTAAATCAAGTAGATAAGGAACAAACTGTATAATGAATTGATCAAACTTGCTCAGATTTCTCTTTCGTAGATCATAGGGATATCAGGCCGAGTTATTATAGCCATTAGTTTACAAATGGGACCTAATAATGAGTGATGAGATTTGATTTGCAAGAACTTGAGCTATTCGATAGAAAGTATGATTATAGGGTTTGTGTGTGAAAAATGAGTGGAATGTAAGGACCAAACATGGATACGTAAGCCTTAGCTTAGTGGAATTTGAAAGTAATCGAACATATAGTCTATATTCGTTAGTCCTACTTTAAACAAAAATGAAAACGTACCTGCAACTTCATATGTATTTGAACTCTTACCTCCACAAGCAAACAAATCGACGTACAAACGTAGTTGCCAAAAAAAAAAAAAAAAAGTAAAACAACCAACTTATAAGTTAATAAAGTATCTTGCTACTAAATTCCAAGTGAATTAAGCATCCGAAAAATTATTGTTGATGCAACATACGGAATAGAAAGAGATCATATGTATGAGCCATTCTATAGCATTCTCTTTTTCTATTGATAATACTCACGACCTCAAATGTTCTTCTACTTTTCCATAATATACGCTATAGAAAAGCGTTGACTTCAAAGAAGGTACTATCATAGACCATATAAACATTATCTACGATAACAATGTGCGTATTTGTGTATGCCATTTATACCCATTTTGAGAACGAATCGGATAGCAAACTCATCCCAATACAAAATCCTGCTTCTTAAAGTAGTATGGATAGGGCATTGGCCAATACATAGTTATATATCACATTGAACACTATGGATTGAACCCTATGGATTGAACGCTATGGATTGAACGCTATGGATTGAACGGTTATGAATTGAAGATGGTTATTATTCGATCCTGCCAATGTCCTCGGAACTACCATTTGCTTTGATTCTACCCTACTTTCCGGTAAAAAATTCATTTGTAACATCTATTTGAGTCTAGCAGTATCTAACCCCAATGGGTAACTAGTTGATCAACAAAGCACCGTTAATTTTCTTGTCCCAATATAATACATTCCTTTTACACACCTACATGACCATGGAGTCGTTGTTCATGTCCGAATCCTCGTTCTCCACCATGCCAAAATAATTTTCCTGCTCTTGTCCAAACAGAGGCTGTTCCACAGCTTGTCCAGAGATATTTTTCGAATCATGGTTTCTGTATCCGTCGACCACGTATTGCTCCACCTCACTCGATGGGCTGAATCTCATTTGTTCCCCGAGCGCCGGAGATGATCGGGCTGAGTTAGTTGCGTTCAAAGACATGGGCGTAGAAGGCAACTCGTAAAACTGATTATCGCTGTTGGAAGGCGACATGGCGAAGGAGTAATTGCTGAAGGTCACGTCTTCGAAACGAGTAACCAGCTCGCCTGTCTCTGGATCGATATATTGGCGCAAAGAACCCCATGGGGTAATCTTCACTGTTCCGCCGTCGGGATGATTGTAAAGAGGCCATTCGTTCGACAGACTAATCAATTCGCGCTCGCGCTCTCCAACCTGTGCTTTGGACTTTTTGCACTCGGAGTCGTAAGCGTCTCTTTTTCTTTTGCTAACGCTGAACATGGAATTGATGCGATAGTGGGGATGTAGGGCAGTAACGCCAAAGAGAGAAGGAAACAGAAATAAAGCGAAATGGAATAACAATAAAAAAAAAAAAGAGCGAAAGTAGAAGGAAAGAAGCCTGTCGCAAGTGGTTTTTTTTTTTTTTTTTTGCTTAGCGCTGGTTCTATCGTTTTCAGCAAGACTGCACATCCATATTGGAAAAGCCTATCAGTAGTTTCTTTTTTGTTGTTCGCAGGACGACGCGCAAGACTCACACGCGCAAGAAAAAGAAAGAAAAAAAAAGAAAAGCAACTGATTCTGCCCAGGATCGAACTGGGGACTTTCTGCGTGTAAAGCAGATGCCATAACCAACTAGACCACAGAACCGTCTTCTCTGTCGTGTTGGCGTGGAACCACACCTAGTTCAGTTTCCTTACCTTAGGGTCATGCAGACATTGTTCTAAGAGAATGACATGGCCATGCCGGTAATTGTCACGTGAAGCTCTGTACGAGGAACAGTTTAGGTGCTGTCTAATGCATAAATCACAATTGGTCTTATGGTTGTGCCGTTCAGTGTCTCATTGCCAAGATAAACGTGGGGGAAGATTCTGCGGTAGAAGTATTCTTGGCAAGGGACCAAGGATTACCCTTCTGGCCATGGCTCGGTGCAGTATCTTCTAGCCAGGGTAGGAGAAAAACATGCCATAGGAGAGCAAATTCCTGCAGTGTCCAAAATAACCGAATTCGCGCGCAGAAGAGTCTAGACAAGGCTGAGACAGAATCTTGCAGCTTGCATAGACCCGCCTGATGTTCATTCTTTTTTTTTTCCTTCGGGGGTGGGTATCGGCAGAAGATCCGAGCCTCACACAAAAAAAAGGCTCACCGCGTTTAAATGAAGAAAAATAAAAAACCACCACCAAACGAGCCCAATTAGTGGCATCCTATTGTAGAAATTACACCACGCACGGCCCTTGTGTCACCAGAAGCAAGAGAAAAATATACACCAGCGTAGGAGGAAAATATTGGCAAGAAAAAAAAAAAAAAAAAAAAGAAAAAAATTGGAAAGAAAAAGGAGAAGGACAAGGTTGCCAATGAACACCCTAACCCTTCGGTGCTTATCGACCCACACTCATAAACGAGAGTGATGTCAGCACGCTATTGTTGAAGGAGTAAGGACAAGCCCCGTCCGGCATAGATGCTATTGGCGTCATGTGTGGAGAGCACTGGCTTTTTTTGCTTAACGAGCCCACTTGGCTGTTGTGTCGTTTGCAATCGGTTCAAGTTGCTGGTGACTAAAGCCTCAATCTTGTAGAGACGGAAGCGGTCCGAGGATCGCGGGCGAGGAAAGTATCCGCGGAGGGCCTTAGATGCAAACCGCCGTTTTGGCACGGCTAAGTCAGGGTGCAGTTTGAGACAATATTCTGCGCGGGAAGTCCGTGGCAAACTAAGCGTGTGGTTCTGGGACATATTTTCCGGCACTTGCAAGGCTAAACAGCTGCGGCTAGATAACGCCACGGCTTGACTCGCCACAAAATATCCACGCCAGATAATACCACCGAACCCCAGACAAACAGGTGGTGGCGAGGCTCATATGTGCATTGCGCGAACGGAGCTTATGCGGAGACGGAGAAAACAAGCGACAGGGCCACTGCCCAGACATGGCCTGGTTTACAATGCTCGGCTCCGGGGCGCCATTTGGCGAGAATCTCGGTGTGGACGGGGCCACAACGAACGCCGCTGTCTGCTCTAGCGCATTCTTCTATGCCTGGTGGCCTGTTATCGCGAGCTAGATGGTGCGTGATTTCTCGCGGAAAACTGAGCGGGCCGGATGCACTATTTCCGGCGGAGATATTTTTCTCTGAGACATCCATGGGCAGCCTGCAGACACGCGCTCCCTTGCGCCGCGCTCCGAACCGTGCATTAGTGATGTGACACCGGCCCAATAATGCTGGAACCGGACACTCGTAAAACAAATGCATATATAACTGTGCATTTAGCCGTGCCCTCGTTCCCTATAATTTCCCACTTGCGCTTGCCCAGACCGTTTGTTTGCACCTGTCTCTGACCGATACCTCCCTTTGACACCGCCAGCAACGCCACTCTTGTTCGTGTCTCCTTAGTCCCGAGTTTCCTTTGCCCTGCATCTGGCCCCACACTCTGTGCATAGGTGCGTTATACACTGTTGAGCTTATTGGTGCTAAAGTGTCACCCCAGGAAAACTGAATAGGCTGCTGCCGCTTGTCTCTTTTTTTAAAAGTTGCGTCCCTGCCAAGTGTCGATCCACCTCCTCCTGTTTTTCCCCAGCTCTTTTCGTTGCAAGCCTTTCGACCGTAAAGCCGCTTCCCACCGCAACCGACTTAGCCCGCACTGCATCGGCCTCGTCATCACTTAACCGATCCTATTACAAATCACGCCGTTGAGAATATTTACTCATCCAAACGCTTGCACACTTTCTCCACCATGACCTCTTCGCCCGACGACTACCATCACCATAGCAAAAAGAAGCGTGTGGGCAAAGCATGCGACCTGTGCCGCATCAAAAAGACAAAGTGTGACGGGAAAAAACCCTGTTCCCGGTGCATCGCCGACAACAAGCTCTGTGCCTTCACCAACAAAACAAAACACAAGGAGAAAAGCCACCCCAATGGCTACATTGACTTGTTGGAAACCAGACTTGACCTTGTCACCAAATCTTTCGAGCGCATTGTGCTGTTGGCAGAACCTCACTTGCCCTTCTTGCACGAGTTGATGGCGCGGGCCCGCGCCGAGCACGCTCTCATTTCTTCGCCGGACTCAGAGGCCCTGGAGCAGCGCGACGAGCACTATGTGCCTATCAATGAAGTGGTGTCCTATCTTATTTCTGACATGGGTCTTTTGGATAAAGAGCCTTTGGAGTGGGAACAAGGCGCCCGCATTGCTGCAAAACTTTCGCCTCTGAATGTTGTCGAGGCCCTGCGTGAATTTACCAAGCACAAGCTCGATGTGGCCAACGGGCGGGCGCACTCGCCCAAACCCAATTACGTGAGTCCGCCGCTCTCCATGCCGCGCCACAGCAGAAGCAGCTCGACCGACTCGATCGAGTCGCCCGCGCTTCTACAGGCCAACTCTATCACCGAGCAACTCAACCTAGACGATATTTCCTTGGGTGGCTTTTCCACTACGCAGTCGGAAATGTTGCCCGCTCAGCTGCTTGAGTCGTTCAGTTTGGATGGGTTCCCGAAAAGAGCAAACTCGCTTTTCATCAACAATAATGAAATCGCCAGCCTGCTGCTGCTGGTGTCATCTTTGGCCAACCGCCTCGAATCCCATGACTTGGAAGAATCTCTGCGGTGCAGAAGACTGTCCTCTCTTAAGGGCCCCCTTTCGCCCTCGCATCAGAAGTTGAAGCTCAATGGCCATATCCATAAGCCAGGATTGACCCATGTGCACCATGCTGTCCAGAACAATTTCATTTCAAACAATGGCAACGAGTTCCACCTCCCTAAGGCGTTCTCGTCGGCTCCATCTACTCAGTCGCTTCCGGACATTGTTTCCACAGCCCTGTCGAAGAATCTGGTATTCAGCCAGGCGATGATGGATGACGATTTGGGTTTTGAGGACTTGCCGTCGCATTATGACACGGCAGACTTCAAACCAAGTACGCTTACCGACCGGGAGGACTTATTTGGAAACAATCCATTCTTGTCCAGTTTCCAGTAAGCAGGACTTGTGGAATCGAGCCCGTTGTGGGCATTGGGTATTGGCTGGGTATTTATAGACTGCGTTTACGAGACTAATCTCATGTTTTCTTATCATGTACTCCGCTTGGTTCTTTTCATGCTTGTTTTTTCTGTCTGTTTTCTCTGGCTGTTTGTGCCTTTGTTTCTGTTAGATTTTTCTGCACCTAATATTCGAAGGTTAATAAGAGATAGACAATCTTACTCTATGGCTGGCACTTTGTCATAGAACTTCCTCTGCAATTCTTTCATGTCAGAAGTAAGAAATCTTTACTACATAGATGCAAAGCTTTTGAGTCTCGCAGGTTGATGGCATTGATTGCGCTATTGGCTATAGGTAATTTGATCAAATTTACAATAGCGGTATTGTGTTTCACTCTGTTTTCAATTCTCCATCTCTCCGGTTTGCACTTTATTACTTTAGGTTAGTTTATTTTTTAGCTTTAATATTTTTTCATTTGTATTTGTCTATTTTCTTGTACTTATTATTTCTTGACCTCAATTGCTGTCTTCTACTTTCTAGTAGCCTTGACTAGGACAGGGATCATACCACCGGTACCAATAGCAAAAGGGCGGTGGCCCAACGCCATCAATTGTGTCCTAATCGAGCCGGAGTGCGAAGTTATACTGATAAACTGGTCAGTTTGTTTGTCGGTGGTGTCGAAAATGTACTGCAAAGCTCTGTTTTGTCTAAGAGCCTGCTCCCAAACTTTCTCTCTGTAGTCGTCTTTGAAGTAGATATCCTCCTCTTCAAATCCGGGTTCAATTATAAATCCCTTCTCTGTGTACTTCTCGGCAATCACAGACCGTGGAGACCTCTTATCACACAAATGTACACCAATGGTTTCACGGAAATCTTCCATAATGTATGGTTTTGACTTTTTCAAGTCCACGTGCCCGTCCCATGTTCCAATAAGGGTGTCAATAGAGCGGCGGAATGGTGAGGAATACCATTTTGTTGGGAACCGCAAACCATCGGCCAACTCCACTTTCAATTGGTGGTGGTTATCCTTAGCCTGAGACAAACCCAATTCGGTAAGTTCGGGATCCGGCGCCCACACAATCTCCCCATCGCCACATCTCTTCAGCCAGTACTCGTTCCATTTCTTTTCCCCATACTTCAAGTTTGCGAGGTTGTGGTAACCCTGACCATGGCGGCCCAAAAGAAACAACTTGTAAACCTCGTTTTCACTGCTGTTAGCGTTGAGTGAGTCAAGTTCCTCAAAGATCTGCTGCCAAGGTTTGAGCTTACCAAAGTGCTCGTCAAAATAGTTAAAACGAGTCTCATCGGTCTCCTCCAACAGCTGCTTGAAGTAGTTGGGGACAACTTCAAAAAGCCATTTTTGTTCGGTTTTGTCCAATGCCTTGAGAAATGATTCGCGGTCACCCGTTTGAATCTGCGAGTTTAAAACGTCTATATTGTCTGGTTTAGTAGACATGTCTAAGAAAGAAACTGTGGTGCAAGTAGAAATGAATTGAACCCACGGTGCCGCGTTATCCTCCTTCGGATGCAGTTCTGCGACCTTTTGCGCATGGTCTTCTGACGTGATTCACTTCGGTGATTCGGTTTGCTTCCCATCGGCTTTGCTGCTTTGCTATTCTATCCGGCTTTCTTTTTTAAATTGCTCTTCCAAATGTAATCGTGATGAAAAAAAGTAATTCAACAAAAAGAATATTCATGAAAAAATTCCAGACATGAGTTATTGCTACATTGGAGAGCAAAACCAGAGTGCATTGGTGAAACGCCAATAATGTGAACCAAAATCTAAAAGTACACTTTTTACTAAATACGGCTCAAGTACTCAAGAGCACTTACGAAACCTTCATGTTATAAAGTAGCTTGTGGATTTCCTAACTCTCTCTTTCTACTGGATTGACAAAATGAGAATCCCCGATGCTTCTATAATCTGCCGAACACAAAAATAGTACACGGAAAAGTATTGTAGATAAAAGCATACGACGGTCAAAGATTGCTGAGAAAGAATACGTATTATCTTTTCCTCTGTTTAGGTACCACACAATATCATTGTAGATTTATATTGGACATAGTGGTTAGCTCCTTGATGTAGGGTCGTGTGACAACCACTACCCGACGATTACCTTTAAGCGGTCTACAAGTACACATTTATCCAAGAACCATCACAATAGTGGCACTTGCAGACAAATAAACTCTAAAACATCTTTCCCCTATTTTCTTGAACCCCTGTTCTTGTCCGGAAAAACATTGCCTGCAGCTTTATCGCTATGGAAACTATGAATGACGATTTTTACCCGTTAGCATTGCTAATGGACGAGTTGAAACACGACGATGTATCAAACAGAGTTGAGGCAATGAAAAAGCTTAGCGACATTGCTATCGCTTTGGGTCCAGAAAGAACATTGAATGAATTGCTCCCCTTTTTGGCTGATGTAGCTCAGGACGACGAAGAGGAGGTTTTTGCTACCATGGCAGAAAAATTGGGCGACTTCGTTCCATTGATCGGCGGCCATCAAAACTGTGAACCATTGATCCAAATTTTGGCAGTCTTAGCTGCTATGGAGGAACCCATTGTAAGAGATAATGCTGTGGAATCGTTGAATAAGGTGTCGTTGGAATTGACAAACGAAGAATTGTCTAGCATTTTTTTGGATTTGATTCGTTCCTTGAGTCAAGGCGACTGGTTTTCGAAAAAGGTTGCTCTGTGTGGCTTGTACAAGTCTGTCATCGTCCGCGTTGACTCTGCTACCAGAAGGGACTTGTTGATTCTTTACTACAATTTGATCGCCGATGATTCTCCCATGGTGAGAAGAAGTGCCGCTAGACACTTGCCACTTTTGATTGATAAAATGACACAGTTTTCCCAGCAAAACCCTGATTCTGCCAACAAAGTTGATGACAATGATTTGGAAATAATCTCGAAAATGTTCCATCATTTGATCAACGAGGCTCAAGACAGCGTGAAACTATTGAGTATTGATGTCTTAGTGTCCATTTTAGAATATTTCCGCCTGGTCAATGACATTTCTCATAACGCAGACTGCTTGGTCAGTGCATTGAAGTTGATTAAAGACGAAAGCTGGAGAGTTAGATACGCTGCGGCTGACAAGTTTAGTAACATCGCAGTGAACTTCAAGGAACCAGAAGCTGACTTGTTCAGGCTTATTGATCCTTTCGTCAGCTTGATGAAGGATAATGAGGGTGAGGTCAGGAAGGCCATCGCTAAACAATTGCCTGGCTTCTGTGAGTTGGTCACCGACGTTAAGTTGATTGATAGCAAAATTATTCCAGTGGTCAACGAATTAAGTCAAGATCCACAAGAGAATGTGAGGGCTTCATTAGCCTCCACTGTCGCTGGTTTGTCTCCTATTTTGCCAAAGGAATGTACCGTTGAAAAATTGTTACCAATTTTCCTTAACATGTTGAAGGATGAGTTCCCAGATGTTCGTTTGAATATCATTTCTAATTTGTCTGTTGTAAACGAGACTATTGGAATCAACTCATTGTCCACAAACTTGCTTCCGGCCATTACAGAATTAGCCCAAGATGGTAAATGGAGAATTCGTTTGGCAATCATCAAATACATTCCTAAATTGGCTAGCCAGCTAGGTGAGCCATTCTTCAACAATGAATTGTTGTCATTATGCATGTCATGGTTATGGGATCCAGTTTTTGCCGTTCGTGAAGCGGCTGTGAACAACTTGAAAGAATTGACAGAGATATTCGGATCTGAATGGGCTGAGGCTCAAATTGTGTCTCGCCTATTAAACATCAAAGATGAAAGAATTGGTGAAGAAGATGCTGGAGAACCGGATCAGGTCGACTTCTCCAATTTCATTATTAGAATCACTTGTCTCTTTGCTGTTACAGAGTTGGCGCCCGCCTTGAACCAAAATGTTATTACAACTAAAATCTTGCCGTTCATTTCACAGTTGATTGCTGATCCAGTGCCAAATATCAGATTTAACGTTGCGAAGTCATATTTGGTAATCGTTGAGGCATTACTCACACATCCAAGCGCTGAAATCATCAAGTTAATCGAAGAGAAAGTATTGGCGGACTTGAACATTTTGCTGAATGATGAAGATGTCGACGTCAGATACTATGCTAACAAAAGCATCGACAGCATCACTGACCTTCTCAAGAAATGATCTGCACACTTAACGACGAATACTCACGACTTGCGGTCTGGCAGGCTCGCTGGTTTCATAGCCTTAAACCATTGACCCCTTAGCAACAATTTATTTTCGCTACTACTTTTATTAGTATTATACGCGCTTCCCAATTAACTTATGGGCGTAAGAATGTCATATTAGACAAATTAAATACAAGATAAATATGGTACCATTTAATGTGCTTCTTTGGCTTTTTGAAGCTTCTCGAAATCAAAATCGAATGAAGACCCACATCCACATGAAGTAGATGTGTATGGAGAGTCAACAACTTTGAAAGAAGACCCAATAAGTTCTTTGGTGTAGTCCACTTTCGAATCTTGCAAGATCTCGAGCGAAGACTCATCGAAGATAACTTTTGCTTTGTCGTTGTCTGATCTTTGGAAAACAACCAAGTCCTTGTTCTTTGAAAGCTCATCCTTGACGTTTGTGAGGTCCATATTGTACTGGAATCCGTGGCATCCGCCACTTTCCACTTTGATCTTCAAGGCCGAGTCAGGATTTTGGTCACTCTCTGCTATCTCAGTCAACTTTTTCATGGCGCGGTCAGTAATTGCTATCTTAAGGTCTGTGTGGCCAGAAACGATTTTTGTGAGTTGGAAGTACCTGCTGTCATCGGATTTCTCTGGGCCTGTTTCAGTATCGGCTGGTGGAGGTACATCTTTCGGTAGAGCAAAGGAGGAAGGTTTCAAAGATTTTGGGGTTGACGTTGCTGTTTGAGAGTACGCCCGAAGTATGGGGTACTGTACGATGCGTGAACATGTCACCCTTAAAAGAGGTCTTGAATATATTCTTACTCCTCTGGGAATCATGGTGTAAGATGAAGTAGTAGGAGTGTGATTATTAATTTGTGAGCGTGCACATAAAAATGCACTTATATAGGTGTGAGTGTCTACATGTATGTAATCAAGAATTTTTAATTGGCTTAAAAATGTATGTTAGCTTCTCTTGTGCAACAGAAAGTAATTATATATAGTTTTCGTTACCCACTCTCCAGGAGGGCAACAAGTCCAAATGGCTCCAATCGGTCTTTGGACCTTCCATACCCCAAGAGATCCATCTGAAATGCCAGAACGTGAGTATCATCAAAGCATACAACGCAATGAAAATACCCCAGTACAAGACTTTCATTGCTGGCTTTTGAGAGCGAGCTAATGGCTGAGTAAAGGCTTCAACTTCGTACGTGAAGACCAACATCGCGAAATACAACGCTGGCAAGTAGTGGTGCACGTACGTGACTCTACCCATGATAACAAAGGGCATAAAATGCAAACCCCAGCCAAACATAGGATAGATGCCGCCCATCACAAACTTCTTGAGTTTCAGAGCCGTTTCAAAATCATTGATTTGTCTTTGCCATCTGATCAAGTGGTACAAAGTAATGAAGCAAAACAAGACAACACCGACAGAAGAAGTCCAAGTTGTAGCCGGAGAACCAATCAAAAAGTACTTTACCTTATCGTCGGCCCAGGAGCACATTCTGATACCAGAGTGCAATGTTGGCCATTGCCAGAACTTGGAAGCCAAGTCATCTTGCTTGTCATCGTCAGGAACCAAAGCATTGTTAGTAGCCATCATGGCCAAGTTGATTTGAATAAAGTCCTTGAAAAAGTTCGTTTTTGGCAACTGGAAGTCCTCAGGAGCATCAGGCAAAATCGCATTCCGGTTGTTTTCGATATTCCACCAAGTTCTCTTGTCCTTTTTGAATGGGTTCTTGAAACAGACAACCTCACCTTGTCTGAAACCCCATTGTGGCAAGGAGTTACCTGTGACACCTAGATAGCAGTTCATGACCTCACTCTTTAATCTAAAAGATGTGGTTAAAGGGTGCAATTTCAACGCGTCTTCTTTACCGTAAGATTCCATAACTTCAACAATCCAGTTATCCTTCAAGTCTCCAACAGTCATGTTTCCATAACAAGCGACTTCGTATTCAGACTTTTGTACTGGCGCCGAAATGTCATGAGTATGCAAGTTTCTACCTGTCTGTGGGTGGATCAATCTAACGGTCATGCCATCCAAAACATACTCAGCTTCTGAGTTTGTCTCTGTGTCATAGAAAGGTTGAGGGCGAGGTCTTTGGAAAATCCAGTTGTTGTTGGAATCCTTGTGGGAATATGTCGTCACCTGTTGTTGTTTAGAACCTTCAGGGAAAGTTTGAACGTGAGAGTGCAACAAACCACCGGTCAAACCTTGGTTCTTGAGGGTTACAAAAGAGTGACCAATTGTAACATCTCTTGGACCACCTCCCACATCAGAATTAAGCAAGTTGGCTTGGAACAAAGAAGACATGTTGGCATCACCTGTTCCTGACTTATATAACAAGTCAAAGTGGATCTTGAAGGACAACAAAAAGACAAGGAAAGGCACGATAATCAAGGCGAAGATACGCGTAGCCCAGTGGACAGCGTATTTCTTCCACGAAATAGACTTATCGCCGAATTTGTTCCACAAGTCAACCACAGTATAAATGCCCACCAAGGAGGTAACGAAAAGACCAACCATCTTGGTAGAGCAAGTACATCCGATGGAGATACCGGTAAGCAAAATCCACTTCCACCATTTGCGCGAGAATTCTTGCTTCTTGTTGTTAAAGTTGCTGAAGCGAGTGAAGGTAAACAAGGTAGCCGCAGTGAAAAACAAAAGAGGAGAGTCAAGCAAGATGAACTTGCCCAAAGTAATGTAGGACAACTCAAATGTAACCATTGTGGTGAACAACCACGTTGCAGGAATGGAGAAGCCAATTTCTTTGGAGGTGTAATAGGCCAATGGAACAATTAACGAGGCGAATGTAGCCTGGAAAAGTCTCATCTTAGTGTAGTCAATATAATCTGGGTAGATTTCACCGGATGGGAAGTCCCAGGAGCCGTTGTATCCTGCTAACCAACCAGACAAGCCAACCATCATTTTCCCCAAAGGTGGGTGCACGTCATGGTAAAACTCATGTCTCAAGTAGTAAGAACCAAACTTTCCAAAATGGGCTTCGTCCCAGACAACACCATTGTTCAAACTGATTCTGTACATTCTGAGGGCGAAGGATGTGATTGTGAAAAGTAGAGGTGCCAACCACGACTCCAATTTTGCAAGAGACTGGGCCGTGGACTCTTCGTATTTCTCAGCGGCGGAAATGTCGTGTTCTTCGGCTGGAGACCTTTCAGAAGCGACATTTCCCGCTTTTCTGGAACGGACAGACGATTTTTCGCCGGTGCTGATGCCAGATGAAGACATGGGTATGTACGGTAATGGTGGAGACTTTTTCTTGTTACGTGTTAAAACACGCGAGGTTTTCGGTGCAGGATATATCGCGTTGGTCGGCCGATCTATGCGACTCTAGTTGGCTTCATTTCTGTTGACTGTACAGTGATATTTTCTGGTATTTTCCGGGATATTTTTTCACCTCAGTTTCCACCCACCATCCATGAGACTTTTTTATTTGTCTTCTGAAGTTTAAGCCATCTGATAGCACGTTTGAAGCAGAAGCATATGTTGGTGAGCAGAATCTGCATTATACCTCAATCGATCTAAGCTCGGCCGAAGCGCGCATAAGGTTGATGATGAACCCTCGTAGTAATCCTACAAGATCCGGCCTGGTGCAACTGGAGTGTTTGAAGATTGAGAAAGAGACATTGTTTCAAAGTCCACCATTGCATGATACTCATTTTGGTCAATTGGTTCAGTCAATGGGGACAGATGCAAACTTACATAGTCTTATCGTTCTTGATGCTAAAAACATTGCTCTCTTCGTGCCTCAGCATTGCACTCGAGTCCTCCGTCATATGCGGTAGTAATATGCTGCTCCACACCTTGTGAGCTACACTACGTTTTTATTTTTTTTTATTTTTTTTTGATTCTGGGGGTGATCCATCTATTGGCACTGTTTTTGGAAAGCAAGCAATCGTAGCCCCAGCAAAGCACTATAGTAGGTGTTTGCTCTTTTTATTTCCTTTGCTCTACGCACTGTAATACAGGATTGATGAAAGCAGTATAGAAAATCGCCTCGAAGCCTCGTGAATCAGTAGATCTATTTACATTGTTCGTCTCGTGCGGTTTTTCACCAGTGTCATGAGCGAGCGAACTTGGTCGACATCATTAAAAAAAACTGCGGCTTTCGTGTCAGAGTCGCTGTGTATCACTTCGACGTAGGTAATCAGCTCTTAAGCTTGAAGTGTGGATCGGAATTTTCTTCTCCTCCTTCATTAGTCATCTTCCATGAAAGAGTGACTTTTGACTCACACGAAGGAAAATGTGCGCAAATTACAAATCACCTACAAGCCACAAGACACATTCATCAAAGGCACCAAACAAGACATTCAAGTGGACCATGATAAAAGCCAAGGTTTGAAGGCATATTCTGTATACTTCAATCTTGGTTTGCTCGGCCCAAGTCCCGGCGATTAGCGGCGCCCGGTGGCCCGGCTGGATAGATTTCAATTGGCACACGCACAATTATCTCCACAATTGCATTGCATACACCTTTACACCACAACTCGGCGACCTCGGCCAGCCTCTGAAAACACATAGCCAAAAACGAAGAAGGGACAGGCATTTTCCCTTCATTGCCTAGTATGGCATAATACGTCACCAAACCATGCATTATGGATTGTTAAGAGCTAATCTTCCTGGTGAAAAACCGCCACAAATTGACCATGACAGTGCTTGCTCGGAGTTTTCAGCGGAGGGCGTGCGCCCGGGCAAACATAGTGCATTGTGATGTAGGCGGCAAATATATGCCGGATACGCGCTTATGGAGCGGATTGCCCCGGCGGAGAAAAGTATATAAGTAGCCAGCGCAAGGCCCCCATTTCTAGAGAATTTTTCCCTTCAATTGATTACAACTTCAATTAACTACAAACAAAACTATCAATCATGGCTATCACTATCGGTATCAACGGTTTCGGCAGAATCGGTCGTCTCGTTTTGAGAATTGCCTTGTCTAGACCAGACATCAAGGTTGTTGCTGTCAACGACCCATTTATCGCCCCAGAGTACGCTGCTTACATGTTCAAGTACGACTCTACCCACGGCAGATACAAGGGTGAAGTTTCCTCTAACGGCGACAAGTTGGTGATTGACGGTAAGGAAATCACTGTCTATGGCGAAAGAGACCCAGCTCAAATCCCATGGGGTAAGGCTGGTGTTGACTTTGTCATTGAGTCCACCGGTGTTTTCACCACCACCGAGGGCGCCCAAAAGCACATTGACGGTGGTGCCAAGAAGGTTATCATCACCGCTCCATCTTCTGACGCTCCAATGTTCGTTGTTGGTGTCAACGAGAAGAAGTACGCTGGCGAAAAGATCATCTCTAACGCTTCCTGTACCACCAACTGTTTGGCTCCATTGGCCAAGGTTATCAACGACACCTTCGGTATTGAGGAAGGTTTGATGACCACTGTTCACTCTATCACCGCCACCCAAAAGACCGTTGACGGTCCATCCCACAAGGAGAGGAGAGGAGGTAGAACTGCTTCTGGTAACATCATTCCATCTTCCACCGGTGCTGCTAAGGCTGTTGGTAAGGTTATCCCAGAATTGAACGGTAAGTTGACTGGTATGTCCTTGAGAGTCCCAACCGTTGACGTTTCTGTTGTCGACTTGACCTGTAAGTTGAAGAAATCCGCTACCTACGAGGAGATCTCTGCTGCCATCAAGAAGGCTTCTGAAGGCGAATTGAAGGGTGTTTTGGGCTACACTGAAGATGCTGTTGTCTCCACTGACTTCTTGGGCTCTTCTTACTCCTCTATCTTTGACCAAAAGGCCGGTATCTTGTTGTCTCCAACTTTTGTCAAGTTGATCTCCTGGTACGACAACGAGTTCGGTTACTCCACCAGAGTTGTCGACTTGTTGGAGCACGTTGCTAAGAACTAACTATCCGTGAAATTATAAGCTATTTATAGCTGACTGAATTGACGTAATGACATAATGTGTTTTCAAAGTCGTACAGATTGACATGCAAGAAATTCGTATTTGTCCGTAGAACGAATGATAGGGTGTATGTTCGACTCTCTCGGCTCAATGCTTGAAAAATGTAGAAACTGCACATGCCAGTATGCGTATGCGCACATGAATTTTCTGATATCTTCATTCTTGTACATAAAACCGCGTCTGTTTATCATACATTAATGAAGTTCCTTCTAGATCACAACTTCCGAGTCTACAAAACATACCTGTGTCCGATAATCACAGATGCCCATGAATCGATAATCCACTCGCATATTGCTAGTTACATTTTTTTGAAATACCAATCGCAAACATCAGATTTGGTGCCGAAGTACAAGTCTGCTGAAGATGTCAAAGTCACAGTTACTTCTGGCCATTTGGCTGAATCTGATGTGGAAGTTAACTATGTGATTATTGGCCACGATCTCACACATATTATTGCGTTTGTTAAATCGGACGAGTCATTCATAGCGCTCATCAAGTCGCATACGCCCTTATATGTACTGCGGATTTTGGAGTCACTTGAGTTTGACAAACCATTGATTCTACAGCCTCTTTCAATCACCAGTCCCGTGATATTTAGCTTAGTAGATCACTTGGAGAGCTTAGTGGTCGAGGACCCGAGAGTTTTGGGGGATATTGATCTTGCTTTCTCTCCAAAGGAGAAATTAATTGGCGATTCCTTGAAAGAACTTATTGTGCGGGTACCATATAAAGACTCATCAAGGCTATTAAAAGACAGAAAGCTGCCTCCAATGCAAACTTTGGTAGACTGGCTAACAGAGCAGACGACTTTGAATTTTTCAAACCTCTTGTTGACCAAATTCAGCTCTAAAATACTTAATGTTCACCAGGATCATTTGACAATAGTTGGCGTTGACTTTCCGCTGGATAACACCATTGCCGAACTATTGAAAACTTTTTGCATAACGTTCAATTCTAATTAATTTGTACTATGGTACTCTAATTACGAGACTAAAGCCGCACCAGTCCAAAATATGGTAGAAGCCACGGCGATGAAGGCCACCCAAATAATGCAAGAGTGCGAAGTAGGGACTTCACGAAAACGATGGAAGCTGAGATTGATGCTAGTCATGCCAAAAATCAAAGCAAAAAGATAGCCAAGGACTAGAATAGACACAACAGAGAGGTTGTTAAATATTCCGAAATCGACATCTTCCTCTTGGAGTTTAAGCAAACCGTAAACAATGCCTAAATTAATACCAGAAATGAATAATGCGCTGATAGCGAGTGTAAAGTAAAGAATGGAAAGAACATGATCATAATCACAGATGAATAGCCTTTTGTAGTCATCCTCGCTGGTCAAGTATGTGGGATCTTCGTTGAGCGAGTCGTAATTAAGAATGCTAGAGCCCCTCTGATCAGAAAACTGTTGCTTGTGGTGCTTCCATATACTGTCATTTGCATCAAGAAATCTAAATGCGTACATCGCCCGTCTAACTCTGTGTTTAAACTTGATGAAAGATAACAAGACATTGTTTAAGAAGTTATGTTCAAGCTCACTGTTGAATGTCAAGTAAATGAAATAGCTGTCCTCTTCTTCATTATCGTCCAAAGTTTCTAGGTCATTATATCTTTGGGCATATGGGTTGTGATATGTGTCATAAAACGTAGACAGTACGATTGACGTTTGAGCGTCTTTCGTTTGACGAGAATTTGATACAGATTCATTATCAAATAGACTTGTGCGCTCATTTACTGGCGTAGCGACTCTCAGCGAAAGGCCATTTAAAGATTTGCATGACATTTGCCTCTTCAAAATGGATCGAGATTTATCTTGACTGATTGTCTCATCGACGTTAGTTTGTTTAGTCACATTTTCAACATTTTCATATGCTTTGAACAAATTTATATTCAAAAGTTTGGAATAATGATTGTTGATGTCATCTGGAACCACGTTGAAGTAACACGACCGCATATAGTCATAAATGGAGAGATTCTTCAACATGTGTACCGAAGTGTTGGAAACAAAATTCTGGAGCTTGACCGGCAATTTCTTCAAGGTTATAGCCTTATATTTAGAGTCCAAGATGTTTTCAGTAATCGTTGATTGGAGCGAAGTTTCGAAATGATGCAAGTTAGAGTCATTGGAGTAAATGCTGAATTTGTTAAAGGGGAAAGGATCCATAGTACTTGTATCGAACAGAACATGACCATGAATTTCGTTAGTCGTAAAAATGTCCTCATCAAAATGCATGTAATAACTGTCTTCATAAACTTTTGTGTCGACAGTTGACGGCGTATTGGACTCCGGACCATGGTCGTTGTCATACGGCGAGGCCGAAAGAGTATCTTTGACATCATCTTCATTCTCATGTTGAGTGGAATCCTTAGAGAGGTAATACCTTGTTCTGGTGCAAACAATTTTCAGAGAAGGCTTGAGATCACTACCAATGAGATGATTGAGGGTTAATCTAGTCATGTTGGACAGGTCTGACGAGTCAAGATATCTGAGAAGCTTTGTTTCTAATGTAGCCCTCGTTTTACCTTGTGCGTTGAGATATTCTAATAACACTTCGGTTATCGAGTTTGGAAGACTGCAGTATCCGTATTTGCGCAAACCACCCGTGAAAGCGATAATAATAGATAAATCCAGTTCCTCGTACGAAATGATGCTGCTAGGATTTGCGTCATCGATGCCCGTGGTCAAATAGGTAATCAGAACACGAGAAGCGCTGCCAAGCTTAGGCATATTCAAGTAAACTTCAATGCTAAGACACACATCATTTCTTGAGATTACATCTTTTGGAATGATGGTATGCAAAGAAAAGTTTTTCTTCACATTCGAGACAAGATCAAACTTCCCTATATGGTCCACAGAAAACTCGACACGGGGATCAATAGCAGATTCTGGCGATGAGCCTAAGGTAGTAATGGTTCTTGAAGACTTGGCCGTGGAAATCAGAGGGCGAGGTAGATGCTGACCTTGCATAGGTTCGTATAGATACTTTTTATGAACAAGTTCATTTAAAGAGTTCAGTTCCCTGGTGACGTTATCAAGAAGATTCAGTAGCTCGGATGTTAAGTGAGTTAAGTCGTAATTAAGGAAGGACTTGGGGTTAGACATGAGAATTTGGGTTAACGAGCCGATGAACGCCTGGCCCAAAGCTTCGTTAGGATAGTGTTTTTTGAACTTCTTGAGGATCTTCTTGACAGCAATCTTTTGGACAAGAATAAACTTGGTAAGCTTCCGAAGCTCACCGGAAATCTCGTTGATGATTTGGTAGTGTAAACTTGTGAGGTTGGATAGCCGTTCGGCATTTGAACTATTGGAGTCCTGCTCTATTAGTTGGAACTCATTCCGGCAAACCTTCAACTTCCTGGAAAGCTCACCGGATTTGCTCAGGACGAAAAGATTCAAGTAGTTGAAGTTCTCCACGAAGGCCTCGTGCAAAGAAGTCAAGTCGGAATGGGGAGATCTGGTCGCCTCCCGTATTTTCGCTTTCAAGTCATTATAGTCAAGGTTATACGCTTTCCATTCCGGAATCGATAGATATGCAAGATTTTTACCAAATTTCATAGTTCAGCCATGCGCTGAAAGCAGAAATGAAAAATGGGTGAACAAAAGAGGGACGCGAGGAAAGTATGGACGAGTGGTGCCTTATATTAATTTTTCTTCCTACACATTAAAATTCGATAAGATAGCCTACGTATTTACTATGCACACCTCATCTGAATTCATGACCATTTTCCCGAATCTTATATTTCATAGCCAACAGAGGTGATAGAGTACTGTGAAAAGCCCTTGGGCACCGTAAAGCCCAAAAATTCAAGATATTACTCTGTTGGTTTACTATGGTTGTTCGATCTTTCTTCCATCAAATTTTTTTTTTTTGGTTGGGAGTGATCATTCAGCTAATATGTGCAATGCAGGAGAGAGCTGCACGAGTACAGTTGGGGTCCCCTTTTAGGAAGTCGCTCTTGTGCTTGGGTATTTTTTTTTTTTTTTTTTGGAAAGTATTACATGTGCACATTTGACTAAGAATATTTATATTCCAAGCAACAACTTTTAACGGCTAGGAGCTGTAGTCTGCATTTAGGCAAATCGTATATCATGTACATTATTTCTTGGGTTTTGCTAAACTCTCTTTAATCAGAAAGGACGTTATGGTGATGCGCCCTTCTATCCTTCGATGAAATTCTAATAAAAAGTACGTAGTTTTTTTTTTTCAACATATAGTCGATCATCTCCTGTGTACGAGTAATAGAAACTGGCGCATGCTTCTCCAAAATGCACTCCCCACTATAAATTCGTACATAATTTTTCAACACGTGCGCCTCGCAATACGAGTGTACACATCAGCAATTTCTTTCTTTTTCGCTGTTCTTTGCCTCGAACAAGGGTGAAGTTGAAGCACCTAAAAGTTGCGGTTGCTCTACTCATAACGGTACGTTATCTTTCGTTTCCCTATCTTGTCGTGGATCGTAACCTTATTTTTTGATGCATGTGATTGTAGGCACAAAACTGTCGCCCAAATTGTACATGCAGAACATACCGTCCAGAGATGCCAACTTAATTTATTGCACCTGTATTAATCATCAGAATAGGACGTTCGTAAACATGCGATCGCAGTGACATACCACATTCGTGGTTCACGATTACATTCTCTCGTTCTTAACTTCTTACGTCCTTAATGCCGATCCCGTCCTTTGCCGATGCGGTTTTGACAAGTATGTTCCGTCTCTGTCAGTTTGATGGCGTCGCATACACACCCAAATGCATCAATTTTGGGGGTCGGGATGTGGCTGGAATATTTTCTACCAAACTCGCCGGACGGCCATTTGTCGGCGAGGTGCATAACGGAAACGTTAAAACCATCAAAAACGTAAATAACGTTCGATTTTTAAACGGCTTTGTCGACCGTTTCCATCGCTACTTTTTTTTGGCTGTGTTTGAGACTTTTCCGTGGACTGAGAAAATCATTTTGACCCGTGCAACTCTGTAATCGACGTCGTGAGAGGTGACCATGTACGTGACCTTCGAGTATGTTTCGAACCTCATCGGTGTATGTCGACAAGTAAGAAACTAGAAGCCTAACTTAGTCCATTTTTTTTTTTTGGATTACAGTATAGCGTAATTAGAAACACTCCCATGTGACCTCAAATCTACCGGAAATCTACAACTTGTCTTTTTGATCGCACGCGTGTCACGATCAGCTTCCGTCTTTCGCTTTTCTGACTCTGATTGACATTTTTCTATCTCCTGTACTTGCACCTCGATTTCTGCCGAACATTCGCACGCTCGTTTCATTGACATACAGCTAGAATAAAGAAGCGCTCTCCAAAAAAAAAAAAGGAAAAAAAAAATAACGTAAGCTAGATCTTACATGCCCTTGCAAAATCGAAGAAAGTAGCATCTTCATTTCAAGTCACATCATAGTCTACGTCGGGATATGGAACTAAACACACTAGCAATACGGTTACAGTATATTCGAACGAATCAATGGTACCTTAACCATCGTAGATGTCACATGTTACAAAAATGGCGATAAAGTATGAGTCACGAATTTGCACCCCAATGAAGCAAGAGTTTGACGCTGGAAACTTATACTCTTTATGTCGATAACGATTGGACCAAGAAATTAGGTGCCCACTACAAACCCAAACACCATTGGTACAAAGTATGCGATATCACTAGACCTGTCGTGCTCCAACCCCGCGACCAATGAAGATAGAAGGCTATCATATTATCCTGGGTCACGTGAGATTACTCAATGGATTAAAATTTGCGATTGCAGAGTATGCAGGGAAATCTCTAGCGCTATACAAGCGTGAAGCTTCCATATTATCCACCAGTAGTTGAAGTGACTAGGCGCTTTTCTTTCCCATTCCTTCTTCTATCACGAGCAAGACTTTGTTTGGCCCATCCGGTTTTTCCTTTGACCGTATTTTGTTTCAACTGCCTTTGCTAATCTGCTCTTGCACCCAATATCTGGTGGGGCTTATCTGATTTGGCAGACAAGTATAAATCGAACATGGCCGTTACTCAAACTCAAGCTATTGCCCAAGTTGTGGAGCAAGTTGGAGGCTCTGTCTTTGTGACACAACCAGCAAAGGCAATCCCTTCGCCCTTTGTGTCGCTTTTACCCAAGTCCCAATCGTTGGTTGATTCTCATGAACCATTACTGTTGGTGGCCAACTACATCGAAGAGCAAGAAGAACAAGAAGAACAAGAAACCAAAGAAGTGGTGACCATCACAACAAATGCCAAAACTTTGTACGACAACTTGCCCTTGTTGTCCCGTCCAGCTTACACATCTTCGCCAGTGGTTGTTCACGTTGAATTATCGTCTTTCGACTACGAGATTGTCACAGCCTTAACCAACTCGCCATATGTTGTATTGGTTTCCCAGACTCCAAAAGATGCAGCTCGGTACTCACAGGCTGCCTATGCAATTGCCGTGTCTCAGAAACAGACCGCTTTCCACTTTTATGCACCCTCTAATGTTCAGGAATCCATCAAGTTGAATAACGTATCTTCTTTGGACTTTTCATCCATCGCTGAAGTTTTGGAAGCCTACAAGATCTCCCCTTTTTCTATTCTAAATAAGGTTTCCAAGGCCAAAGACGCAGTGGTCTATTTAGGCCAGGTTTCTTCTGAGCTCACTTCTGCTGCATCTTCTGCAAAGGCCGCGTTGATCTCAGTTAACGTTTATCAGCCTTTCGACGTGGAGTATTTATTGTCGATAATCCCATCAAGCATCGAAACATTAACTTTTGTTGAACAGTCTTCAAAGGTTGCCGCATTTTCGCCTATGCTTTTGGAATTTTTCAAACGCTACTCTAGCCTTCATCACTTGAAGAGCTTTTCTAAAGTGGTTGGTGCAAGATTTGGATATGTTTCCCCTGAAAAGTACAATGTCGCTGTCTCTAATCTTTTGGCTAATACCAGGTCCGATGCTCCAATCCAAAACTTGTCCTTTGGCAAGTTGACCGAATTGTCAACTAAGGCTAACCAACAAAAACAATTGGAGAAAGATGCTGGAATTCAAAACGTATACAAGTTGGAGCAAGCCTACCTCAAAGTATTGGCTCAAGTGAATGCTGACTCCAAGGTTTTGAACGATTTATCTTCTGAAAATGTGGGCGCAACCAACCCAGAATTTGGCTTTGGTTCTTTCTTGCGTTTCAAAGAAAAGCAAAACGAATTGGTGGACGTGGTCTCTTCAGCCGTGCAAGCAGGTGCTTTCAGTACAGTTTACAATGAAAGCTTGATTGAAAACTTGTCGCAATGGTTGGTTCAGACTAAGCAAGGGAAACCTTCTAATAATGTTCCAGAAATATTGAAATTATTGACCAGTGACAACTCTGAAGCTGCAAAAGATATCCTTTCTCTTAAGGAATACCTTGCTGTGTCTTCTAACTGGTTGGTGGGATCCGATGCATGGGCTTACGATTTGGGATCATCTGGTGTCCACCACGTTATTTCGTCAGGTGAAAACATCAATATGTTGGTGATCGAGTCCGAGCCATATGCGAAGAAGAAATTGAGTGTCCGTAAGAAAGATATTGGTTTGTATGCCATGAACTACGGCAATTGTTATGTGGCTTCTGTTGCTATTTATTCTTCTTACACGCAAGTGTTGCAAGCACTTATTGAGGCTGAGAAGTTCGAGGGCCCTTCTATCGTGTTAGCATACTTGCCATACGAATCTGAGAACACCGACATCTTGAGTATCTTGAAGGATACTAAGAGTGCTGTTGATTCTGGTCACTGGCCTCTTTACAGATACAATCCATCAATTGAAGATGACAAGGAAAAATTCAAGTTGGACTCGTCTTCTTTGAGAAATCAATTGAAAGACTTTTTAGACCGTGAGAACAAGTTGACCTTGTTGGCTTCCAAGAATCCTGAGCTTCTGCGGAACTTGACAGCTACTGCCAATTCTCACATCAAGAAGCAACAAGCTAAGGTGGAGAACGACTCCTTCCAGCAATTGTTGCAAGGATTGTCTGGTCCACCATTGACCATCGGATTTGCTTCTGATGGTGGAAATGCAGAGGCTGTTGCTAAAAAGATCAACAGACAAGCTTTGGCTAGAGGATTGAAGTCAGTCGTTTTGTCCATGGATGACATTTCTGTTGAGGATTTGCCTACTGAAACAAATGTGATTTTTGTGACTTCCACTGCCGGACAAGGTGAGTTCCCTAACAATGGAAAAGCATTCTGGGATGAATTGAAACAATCACAAGACTTGGACTTGTCCCCTATTAGATTCTCTGTTTTCGGTTTGGGTGACTCTAAGTACTGGCCTAGAAAGGAAGACAAGCACTACTACAACAAACCTGCTACCGATTTGTACGCCAAATTAAAGCTCTATGGTGCCGTTGAGTTGGCTGAATTGGGCTTGGGTGATGATCAAGATCCTGATGGATTCAGCACCGGTTATGATGCATGGCTTCCAAAAATTTGGACTGCGTTGGGTGTTGACAACATAGAAGGTGTTGAAGAGCCAAAGCCATTGACTAATGAGGACATGAAAATCCAATCCGACTACTTGAGAGGAACCATTGTCGAAGGCTTGCAAGATCAGTCTACTGGAGCTATTTGTGCTGTTGATCAACAGTTGACCAAATTCCATGGTATTTACATGCAAGATGACCGTGATATTAGAGAAGAAAGAAAGTCACAGGGCAAGGAACCCGCTTACTCCTTTATGGTCCGTCTTAGATTGCCAGGTGGTGCTGCCTCGCCATATCAGTATTTGAGGTTGGACGAGCTTGCTGACCAAAGAGGTAACGGAACATTGAAGATTACCACAAGAGCGACATTCCAATTGCACGGTGTGGTCAAGCACGACTTGAAACCAGCTATTAGAGGCATGAATGCTGTTTTGTTGGACACATTGGCAGCTTGTGGTGACGTCAACAGAAATGTGATGATTTCGGCACTTCCAGAAAATGCCAAGGTGCACCTGCAAATTGCTCAAGTGGGCACTTTGATTTCTGAGCACTTGTTACCACAGACCACCGCGTACCACGAGATTTGGTTGGAAGGTTCCGATGAGGGAGACAAACCAGGAGATTCCGAGGCTTGGAGCAAGAGAAAAGATGGACCTGTTAAAAAGAAAACCATGGTTGCAGGTAACGCTTTAGTTGACTATGAGCCTATGTATGGCCCAACGTACTTGCCAAGAAAGTTCAAGATCGTCATCACTGTTCCACCTTACAATGACGTCGATGTATATGCGCATGACATTGGTTTGATTGCCATTGTTGAGAATGACGAAGTTGTTGGATTTAATCTTCTTGCTGGCGGTGGTATGGGCTCCACTCATAACAACACCAAGACTTACCCAAGAACTGGATCTATGATGGGCTACGTATCCAAGGAAAAGGTCCATCTTGCGTGCGAGCAAATTATGTTGGTGCAAAGAGACTTTGGAGACAGGACTAACAGAAAGCATGCTAGATTGAAGTACACTATAGATGATATCGGAGTTGACGAATTCAGAGCTAAAGTCGAAGAATACTGGGGTGATAAGTTTGAAGAGCCTAGACCTTTTGAAATCAAAAGCAATATTGACTACTTCGGTTGGGTTAAGGATGAAGAGGGCTTCAATCATTTTACAGCATTCATTGAGAACGGTAGAATCGAAGATACTCCAGAATTACCACAAAAGTCCGGTTTAAAGAAGATTGCCGAGTATTTGCTTGAAAACGGAAAGCCTGGTGAATTCAGATTGACTGGTAACCAGCATCTTCTTATCTCAAAGATTGCAGACGAGGACTTAGACACTGTGAAATCTTTGCTCGCTCAGTACAAGTTGGACAACACCGATTTTTCGGGGTTGAGATTGTCTTCTTCATCATGTGTTGCTTTGCCAACATGTGGATTGGCAATGGCCGAGTCCGAACGGTACTTGCCTGAATTGATTTCCAAGTTGGAGGCTGCTTTGGAAGAGTACGGTTTGAGACATGACTCTGTTGTTATGAGAATGACCGGTTGTCCTAACGGTTGCGCTCGTCCTTGGTTAGCGGAAGTGGCTTTGGTTGGTAAAGCCATGGGTGCGTACAACTTGATGTTGGGTGGAGGCCATCACGGCCAGAGATTGAACAAGATTTACAGATACTCCATTAAGGAAGATGAGATCATGGACATCTTGAAGCCATTATTCAAGAAATGGAGTTTGGAGAGACATGAAGGTGAGCCATTCGGCGATTTCTGTATTAGAATTGGTGTGATCAAGGAAACCACCGAAGGCAAGTACTTCCATGAAGGTATTCCTGAGGACGCTTAGATGACATGACATTTTTATATTATTCAATTCTGGATATTTGATCCACTTCATTTCGCATCAGAATACATATACAACATTAAAAGCGTGCGAGTAGAATCATCGTGAGTTTTGTGTATCCTGCGAGATTTTCCGGAAATCAGCCAATGTCGGTGAGTGCTGTCGTTCCAACTGTAGAATTTGCAGGAGCTTGACTTTTTGAAATGTGACGCTCACATTATTTAGGCGTCTGGCGACTTTGTTTTCACATTTCTTGGAGATCCGATCGGCCTCAGCAACAAGAAACGCAATCTGCCTCTTTTTGAGTGCTCGTAGCCCTTTTAGGAGCTCCTCTTTATCTTTCTTGGTGATTGTTTGTACCATAAATGGCGAAAGAACGAAGTTAATGAGAAGTAAATATCAATCCGAAAATGAGTGCAGGCTCGCACTCTTGATTATCAGAGATAGGCTAAGAACACCACATGGAATTCGAAGGACAAAAACATTGAATACGAAAATTACAGCAAACCAGTTAAAAAAAATCTTGAGATGCTTGAAATGGGTAGGGGATTTTGCTGTGTAAGATCGTATAATTCAATGGTCACTTCAATGGACACACCAGTAGAATTAATTGGTCAGAGACAATTGAATATTCAAGTTAGAGTATTTGTCAGACACATCCTTGCAGATTGGGCATTTTCCATACAATTATCTTGTTTAGACGATACATCTCCACTACTTCTCCTTTTAGGTATTCATGGTAGACATATTTTGGAGTACACACGACCCAACGCCTTCCTAACGACACCTCCACATTCCTCAACTATCACATACAAATCAAACCAAAAAAAACCCCAGATCCAAGATGGTGCTTGAAGCAACAATGATAGCAATAGATAACTCCGAGTACATGCGTAACGGAGATTATCTCACGACAAGATATGATGCACAACTCACAGCAACAGAGTTCATTTTCCAGAACAAAGTCAACTCCAACCCAGAGAACACAGTGGGTTTATTGTCTTACGGTGACAACGGACCGCAAGTGTTGTCGACATTGACCACGGATTTTGGAAAGATTTTGTCTGGCGCCCACGGAACAAAAATCGGGGGCGAGAACCACTTTTCTAGCGGCATTCAAGTTGCAGCGTTGGCGTTGAAACATAGGCAAAACAAGGTACAAAACCAACGGATCATTGCATTTGTTGGAAGCCCCATCAAGGAAAGTGAAAAGGAGTTGGAGAAATTGGCCAAGAAAATGAAGAAGAACAACGTGGCTGTCGACATTATAAATTTCGGCGAAGAAGAAGTGAACACGGCAAAGTTGGAGAAGTTCCATGCGGCTGTCAACAACCACGATAACTCACATTTGGTGACTGTTCCACCTGGTCCAAGATTATTGTACGAGGTGATTGCTTCATCTCCGATTTTGATGGAGGAAGGATTTGAAATGGGCGAATCGGGCGACTTTTTCGGCATGGGCGGCATGGATGCCAATATGGACCCAGATTTGGCACTTGCCTTGAGATTGTCTTTGGAAGAAGAGAAATTGAGGCAGGAAAGAGAGGCGGCAGAGTCTAAGGGCGGTGACTTGGACAAGATCGAAGAAGAGGCCGAAGATAAGAAAGAGGACAAATAGAGGGCAATGGCTAATTGGTGAAGTAGAGTGGTGGTTTTCATATGCCTCTGATACTCTACTTCGTTCGCACCAAGGCTTGTAATATATGCGACACGCAATCATGTTTGTAAGTTGGTGCGAACGTACTTGTGCGTACTTGTACACTTGATGTTGGAGAAAGAAAAAGAGGATCATGGGTTTGCGGAACACCATATGGATATTCCAACACAGATGGGAACTTTTGAAAGCAGTACTGTAAGGCGGTTGGACATGTCTGTTTCACAATTCATCGATGAGTATTCAAAAGTATGTGTATCTGACCAGTGTACGCTAAGCATTATACTAATTCGTAGGGTCAGTCTAATTTGTCTCACAGTAACTGCCCATTGTGTATGGACGATGTGGGTTTTATGGCAGCTCCGGATTGTTACAATGACCGAAGTCGAAACAAGGAAGTTTCCAGATATTTGCATTTAGGAAACTGGAACGATGAACTGACTATGAGGAACATAATCTCAGACATTCAAAAGACTTACAACATCAGAGGTGTAAGTATTTCTTTGATTTACAAAGCAAGAACGATTGTGAAGTACGAAAACAGACTCAACGTTAGAGAAATGCCACGTTCTGTCCTGATTGATGGCCATTGCATCTTGTCAAATTCGCTGTTGGTTCTATTTGATACCACTAAAGACTGGCGTACAAGCAAAAACCCATTGGTTGCTGGCTCTCCTTACATTCGCTTTTATTATGGAGTTCATTTAAAAGGCTCGCAAGGTAGCACCATTGGCGTCCTATCTATCTTTGACAATATACCTCGACCAGATTTCTCCCAACAAGACGTTCAGAACTTAAACAACTTTGCCCGAACCATCATGAGCTTTCTAAACATGCCATATCAGACAAATAAAACCAATAAAAGGAATGGAAAACAGCACGAGACAAGGTTCTCCCACGAAAAACCGAACATTACGAAGCAGTTGGGAAGAGCCACAAGCCGTGGATATAACTTAACCATATTTGATAAAGATGGATCGGGTACATCTTATTTGGCTAATATGAACGAAATGAACCAGTGTACTTCCAAAACAGTGGTTGAAAACACTGTAAGCTCAACTCACAAGCAAGCCATTGTAAAACGAATCTATGGTCTCAATACCATCAAGCAAGGAGCAGCTGCCATTTGCAGAATTATAGTTGCAAATGAAAAAGTGGACTATGCTTGCATCTATGAAGTGAAAGTTTCGGATGTGTATTCTATAGCAAAAGATGTGGCAACGAAAAATCTGTCCGGCAACACAATCTCATACGATCTAAAAGACTATACAGAGGCTAAAATTTCAGAGAAATTTAGAGCAAGGATGTTAGGTGCCTCTGCGGAAGAGCCTTGTCCCATTGCACATCAATACTTGCGAGCAGCATTCGAAAGCACAAACGGAATTGATTATGCCTCCAATACAAACAGTGCGGTTTTCAACACGGGAGTATTTCTAACTTTTCATAAATCAGAGAAAAGCTCATTCGCCAGCCGCCAAAATGTTGGTTCTGGAGACATTCGTGTGCGTTCTGGAGGATTTGTGATTTGCGTTTTGAACAAGTCGCCAGAGGACCGTATTGAGCAACAAAAAGCATCAAGAATATTTGACTATTCACGGATTGTGCGTCTGGTTTACTTGTACTGATCAATATTGGTTTCCCGTCACATTCCCATTTCTTTCATAATGTTATACTCGTCCTCATAGCGGTCGTAGTCTTCTAGATCCTCTTCAGGGAAATCTTCTTGAGGAAGTTCATCTTGGTTGGAAGTGTTATCACCCGTAGTGGCGCTACTTATTGTAGGTTTAGGAGCGTTGGGAATTGAATCGACGTCGTCATCCTCATCATCAATAAATAATCCATTAGATCTGCGAGGAACAGAAAGGAATCCCCAATCATCTTCATCATCGTCATCATTATTTGCATTAGTGGTCTCGGTGGTTTTATGAGATGTTTCTGCCTCATCGACCGCGGCAATATCGTTATTCGGCGCCGGATTATATAGATCATCATCAGAGTCCATATCTGCTGTATCTGTACTTTCATTTATGAGACCCTTCTCCACTTTCAAGCGGTGGATTTGCTGGGAGATGAGCTCCCTTCTGTATTCTTTGAGTTTGAATGATTTATACGATCGAAGCATATCCACACAGTCTTTAAATGTTGCTCTTGGAAACAATCCATGACACCAAAGTTGGTAGAATTGCAAAACAGAGCCCATATTTTTCACTTCTGCTTCAACCCGCAACAGGTGTGCAGCCTGCTTGGAGTACGTGCCTCCTTTGAACTTTTCAGCCAACTTCTTATCGTGTTTCTTAATGGAACGGCTTAGCTTGGGGTAATTCGCTATAACCTGGGGGAGGCCACGAACGCGGTCGAAAAGAAGCTCATCTGTCAATTTAGGGATTCGGGAAACACGCCCAAGTTTTATTGGCTTATCAAGGCCCAAGTTATCATTGTTTTCTTCGGCCATGGATGATGTAGATTTGGACTGAAGAAACGCGTATGCTAGCAGATTTCTAGCCTGCATTCATTAATCCTACAGCGCGTTAAGATATAGATTAGCATGCCCACACATGATACGGAGCAAACTACAAAACTCAATTGAGTACAAGCGTAAAAGAACCGTTACAAGAAGGAAAATACTTTCAAGAATAAAGACATTGGATTAACGGAAATTAATGGTGAAGGGAGCCTGCACACAGTCCCGTTGGATGCTGGGGCCCGACCGAAATCTATCGCACTGCCCATTTTAGCCATCTCCGCATGTGACCGAATGGCATATTGTTCTAAATGGTCACAGCGAAAAGAAACCACACAAAAAGAAGAGGCACCAAAGTCTAACAAGTCGCAATAATTCTTTCAATGATTGGCATTGTCGTTTGGGTGCTTCCGTGGGTATTCTCTCTTTTATCCTTCTGGCTTCCTCTCCTCCTTTCGGTGAAGGCATTGGCAAATCCGGTCCAGCATCAGCTCCATTTCTTGCTAACGTATTGGCTTGTGTACATTGTGCAATCATATGTGCAAAAAATCCTCTTTGGGCTTCTTCCCGTTCCCGCCTGGAGAATTGCCTTTGACCTTCTGTCCTTGTGGATGTTTTATTGTCGTGGCTGTCTTGTATTGTCAAGCCATTTTTTGCCAGGCGCCATGCGCAGTGTTTCGGGTTTCACTTCCTTTGCGCAGTTCGAATCTACATGGCTAGATCCGCAAGGCGAATGGATCGTGAGGAATAAAGAGACAATTGTTCGCTTTGCATCGTGCCTTCCGAAGTCTGTTTCAAATCCAATAATTCACTTTACAAAAGAAGCTAAGAAATCGTATGCCGCCGGGAACCGATCATTACTTCTGTTTGGATTGGCCTTCTTTTGCTATCCTGAGCTGGCTCAAGAGGTCAAGGCGCGCGTCGTACTGAGCCAGCGCGTGCTAGATTCGTTGCGCCCCGGAAAAAGAGGCGAAGGAAAAAGATGGCCCGCGCCGCCTCTTTCTGACGACCCTCCAGCTAAAGTTTCAGGCGCGCGCCTGAATCTCAGAGCTGCCAGTTACAGTTGATTGCAGACGGTACCTCAAGCCTGGTGACTGGAAATTAATCGTTAATACCCTATACATACTAAAAAACACTGAGGACCAGTATTGCCATGAGCAAATGAATAACTTGAAGATTTCATCTAACATTACCATCTCTTGATTGACAGCGCGCATCGGGCTACGATCATCATCGCTTATTTTTCCACCATATTCCATGTATCTCGCCGAATATCTACCGAGATTGAAGCAGGTTTCAGTCAAAGTAGAAGTTGGCACATCCGAATCGATAGAAGCGGTTTCATTGGCTGAAAATGTGCTACTAATCCGCACTCCAACTTCAACCGTCGAGGTACCGCTACCTGTATCCCACACAGCTTCCACTAAACCTACTGGTTATTCTTTTCACGATGGGGTTCTTTCTATGACATTCTCAACTGCTTCAGACACCAAGGGAAGCTCTACTTTCATGGAATTAGCTCGCTCGAACGCTCAGCTTTGGTCTGTCAGCGATCTCGTGGCGAAAACTCCAAGAGACTCCAAGAATGTGAATATATTTCAGTTTTGCTGCTCCAATTGTCACGCAGTGATAATCGATTCCAAATCTCTCAAATTCATCGACATGCCTTCGGAGTTTTGGCAAGAGATGATGGACTTTTGGCATTGCCATAAACCCCACGAACACCACCATAATGAGAACGATAAAAACTACAACGGAAAAATTCAGCCTCTGCAAAATCAGGTCTACATCGGGTCTTATTACCTCCTACTTAGTGGGCAGTCAGAGAAATGTGAAAAGTGTGGATCGTCTTTGGGAATAGTAGAACAGGGATCGACCAAACTCTATAAATGGCGCTTGAATTTATGCTATAAAGAGACAAGGGAAACATACCCCCCTTTTGCAGCAATTTTTTATTTGATCCTAGACAAAGTTAACTCATCGGCCATCCGGAAATTCACATTCGAAACCAAATCTGCTTCCACCAATATTTGGGTGCTCAATTTGGGCTTATCGGTTTCTGTCGCAGAAGTACCTGTCTTGGAAAATGCCTTAAAAATATTTTACATCGAGAATCCAGCAGAGACTGAAGATGAAGTGGTCGAGGTACCGGAAGAAGTTTATGCGTCGTTTATTACCGAAATATCATTAATCAATTCTAGAATGCCAAGTGATTGTCAAGAGGCAGAAATGAAAGTCGATGAAGACAGCAAACTATATAAGGTAAGTTATTTAGTCTCTAGACATGGCTCATCTAAATGAGTTTCCCCTCCTCAATTATAGATTTCACAATTGGAACAACCTGCTTCCTTGTAGCATTTACGTTCCCTTGATTAAAAACTTGAAATAAGTTATTCTTGTTGATTTCCTCAGCAGCCACAGAAACGATTTCTGAATTGTATATGTTCTGATTGAGGTCCAAACCAGTTGCATATTTGGCTAAGTCTTTGAGCTCAGGTTTCAGCGAATAGTAAGAAAACTCTCTCAAGTGTTCGTTGGTTTCCTTTTTAGTGAAAGAGGTGGTCATAACCATAGCGTCCAAATGGAAATTAGCAAGCATTTGGTCTAGCGATGAAGAAATCTCTTGAGCAGGATATTTCTTTGTCAACCATGACATACCCTTTCCTATGGAGCTAAAACCAATGGCCACTCGGACACCCGAAACGCTCGTGAATACGAACTGCTTGTAATCCTTTCTCAAAATATCATAGAAGGAAAAGCCTTCCAAATCCTTCTTTGCACCTTTAAGCACACTGTAGAAGGAAGTGAGTGAGTTCGCGTCTGCAACAGCCAAAGTTGTTTCCAAAGGCACAGAAGTGCTTTGTAATAGCTTTTCATAACGGGAGAACGCCTCAACATCACCCTGCTCAACCTTTTGAGTCATGTTAGAAGTATCAATCAACAACGGACCCAAAAGCAAAGATACACACTCCAATGGGACTTGTCCTCCCAACTGCTCGTACCAATAGTTGAACACAAGACAGGTACAAGAACCATTTGGCTGGATTAAGCGGGGGTTTGCGTCTTTGAACACTTCTTCATCAGCATGATGATCGATGATACCAGTAACTTGAATTCTATTCTGCTCGTGAAGAGCGTGCAAGAGTTCTCCTTGAATGTTACAATGATCCACGAGGACAACTTCAAATTTGGTGGAGCCAGATTCAGCAAGCTTCAGTACATCGTCCAAGAAAAACAAGTCATCTTCTGTAATTGAGTGAGACTTGAGAAGCAACATAATATCCCTTCTCAATTTCATTTCTTCTCTTGCTATGTTGACCATGGGGAGAAATGGCTGTTCATTTGGGAACTTTTGAGAGTGGAGAAAGGAATACGAAATTGCACTCACAACAGAGTCCATATCTGCTGATTGATTTCCTGTCACCAAACGTATAACATTGCTAACATTGCAAGGTTTCACTGCCAGTCGAAGGCGTTGGAGGAACAGTTTCAATGACATGTAATTCTGATGAGTATCACCGTTTGTCATCGCGAGAATATATTAATCCTGTGGGCATCATACATACAGATAGGCGATTATAATACTCATACGAATGTTTATCAAGACTAAAAGATATGTACCAGAGCAAACTTATTCAAAGGAAGTCAGCATACTCAATTGTTTTTTTTTTTGTTTCCTCTCTTTTACATTACTTTGCATAGTGCAACGCAATGTCCATCCACTGTCTCTTTTGCACTTCCTCTGGAGTCAAGGCAAAGTTACCATAAGTGGTGGCTCTCATGAACCAAAAGATACCAAACTAAGGCGACAATAATAGCAGCAGTGGAGAGGAGAAGTTTCCTCTTTTGCAAACCAAGTGGAGGAACGCCATTGCTGTTTGTGAAGCCCTTATTGGTGCAAATGAACTCCACGAAACCACCAGTAAACAAAGCAGCAATCAAATGCGCTGGCAAGTAATGGTGTAAGAATTTTTGCCTGTTCATCAAGTAGAACGGGAAGTAGTGAGCCGCCCAACCCACGAACAAGAAGCCCAATGTGTTGTACATTCTAGATCTCGATTGATGGTTCAAGATGTTCACAGCCCGGCGAGTGGTGACGAGATCAGCTAACACAAAGCCAACAAATATAGCCAAGAAACCGGCCTCGAGCCAAAAACCAACAACGTTTCCAATAAAGTAAATCTGCTGTCTAAGATCATTGTCGTTCCAGAAGGAGACACCAGAAAAGGAAAGCGGCCATGCGTCTGGCTGAGAAGCAAACGGATGTTCTGACGACAAGAGATTGTTGTGCATGAACATTAAGCCTTGCAACTCCCACCACTTCTTCAAGAATGGGATGTGCTTGACTGTCTTAGGAATATAGTGTTGCCTTACGTCTGTAGGGTCCATGTTAACAATGCGTTCAAATGTCCATATGTTGTCCTTATCTTGCACTTTTTTGTTTCCGCTAACCTCTTGTTGGCCCAAGCCCCATTCGGGTAACAACTCATCATTGTGAGTCCACATTGCCACTACAGTATCCATGTGAAGAATTCTTAACACAGTCCCCAAAGTCTTCACTTGAACTCGCTTATTTTGGTTGCTTTTGCCAGGTTCAGCAAGACGTAAGCGGAACAATGTTTCATTGTACCTGTTTTGCGCTGCTTCATCATGCACCACAATGAATTCTTCGTTGGTAGCTCTCAATGGAGAAGCGACATCATGGGTCAACAAGTACCCTCCCGTACCAACGTGTCTAAAACGGACAATGTCGTTAGTGAAAACACCATCTCCCTTTTTAGCATCTGTGGTTGGAATAATTTCCCAGTGGCTATTGGCATCGGCGATTGCATTACCTTCCTTGTCAACAATGCATGTCACTTGTTGTTGGTTAGAGGAAATTCTACCAGATTCGTACCGCAATGGATATTTGAACTCATGCGAGTGCAAATAGGACTCGGTGTCTTTATGCTTGATTGTGATCATGTCATAGTAATTGACATTCTTAGATTCCTTGGCCAAAGGAGATTCCTGCAAAGATTCTTGGAAGTCTGCCGACATGAAGGCATCGCCAGGACCTGATCTTGTGAGGATAGCAAAGTGTAAATAAAACCAAAATAAGTAGATGCAGAATGGGAACACAATCAAGGTGAAGAAACGAGCAAGGAAATGCTGCGTGAACTCTTCCATGGTAAGACCTTTCTTAATGTCAAGCAAGATCCACAACTCGTGTAACACCCCTAAACCAATGGTGAAATAAGTGAATACACCCACATATTTTGTGGAGATAACACACGATAAAGAAACACCGGTTGCCAAAAGCCACGTCCACCACCATTTGCTGAAAGGTTGGCGACGGTAAGTGCTGAACTTGGCATAACTCAACATGGTAAGAGCGACACTTAAAATCAAAGTTGCATCAAGCAAAATCAATCTCGAATCAATGATTTGTGCATTGTCAAATGCAACAATGGCAGAGGATAAGACGCAAGCAAGAACAGAAAACTTGAGAGCTTTCATGGTCAAAAACATCACAGGAACAATAGCAGTACCTTGAAGAGCCAGTAATGTACGGTACGCGACGTAAGGAACCTTGTTTGCTGTGTAACTCTCACCAATGGTTTCGAACTTAAACAGTCCATCATACCCAACTAACCATCCAGCAAAGGCAATGAGCAATTTGGCAAACGGAGGGTGTAAATCAAAGAAGTAGGTTCTTTGCAAGTAGTAAGAGGCAAACTTTTCCAAAATGGACTTCGTCAAACACAACTTTATCTGGATATCCGAGAATACGAAATCTCACAAAAGCTGCGACCCGCGGTCACAAATAGCCATGGCGATGTAATATTCTTGTTGAGACTCCTGTTTTCTTGGAGTCAATTTCTTTTTCATTTCTGAAACATCGGGATCCTGGGCAAGTGAGACTGGACTGGCTGTCTTCTTGCCCCGCTTCTTCAATGTTTGAGACATGTCGAATAAATCAGAGACGAAATTTGTACAGTACTTGACAGGTAAGCCAAAAGTGTCGATTTCCGCACGTGACCACACAGTTCGTGATGCTAAATGCATTGCAGAGAATACCAAAAGTTAAATTATTTCCCTCGTCTAGTAATTGTGAATTCTCTTTCATGATTCGGCCCCACTTAAGAATTCAATGGTGAACTTGTAAGCGCTCTCCGTTGAAAAATCTTTAGTGTGGAACATATTCATAATTGAAGGTTCCATTTTCTTTATTCGCCGAACAATCACGAAATAATTTGGAAAGTACTCTACTCGATGTCTAACATCGATTTTAAAGTTTCCTCTCTACCATAATCTTGAGTCCTCTAATTGGTGTGTGGTTGACTCTCCTATTTTAGATTGTTTCCAAATTCCTAGACGCGTCTTACAATCATTGACAGGACTAAGTGAAGTATTGACAATAGCTCGCATCCGGACATAGCTGATCCGCTATTCCTTTTTAACAGAACATCTTTGTTTATTTATGTTGACAACAATGACAGTTTGCACAGTTTCGCACCCTATCTTGTTCTATGTTCTACTTGAAACTAATGGTAGCAAGTCGGCAAATAGTAATATCGTACAGATCATGCCAAAAAAAAACTCATCATCGATTAAAGACGCTCAAATTTTATTGAGAGATTTTAAGGAGCAGAAAAAAAAAAAAAAAAAAAAAATTAGAGAGGAAGAAAAATATTGAAGATATGTTAGGCATGGTCGCTCATTTGAGGAAGATACGAGTCCAGTCCCCAATTAATTTTCCTCACTCAGTAGTTGATTCAATAGTCTGATAAGCGGATATAATTACATGACTTTTTTAACCCGCTTCTGGTAACCACCACGGCCCTTAATAGTGGGGAAAGACTGGGTGGAGGATTGTCTCGAACTGTGCTTATTTGCAAAATTGCCCAGCGGCGTAGAAGCCAGAGAAGTGTTTGCAGAATCTTCATGACCACGGTTAAAATAGTCCTGGGTCACATTTGCTGCAGAAACCTCCGGCCTCGTCCTTTGCTCCTCGACGCTGTTGGAAGCGCTTACAGTTGGGATTCGAATGGGCTTGGATGTTGACAATTGTATAATGTGAGAATTCCTTTCCTCCAAGGATGCCTCGAGTTTAGCGATCACAAGGTTGAGTTCCTGAATTTTTCGTTCATAGCTTCCAGCGCTTTTTCTCAACTGTTCGCCTAAATCAAGTTTCACCAATTCCATCTCTTTTTTGTAGCGCTTTTCGCCGTCATCAAGCATCTGACGAGAATTTTGAAGTTCACTAGCAAATCTTTGGTTATGCTCTTTTAAAAAATCAAGTTCCCTCTGTAAATCAAAAATCTTTTTCTCACTCACGTCAACAAAGACTTTCGACGATTCAGGAAGTTCCTCTCTCTCGCTGGTTTCCACTTTTCCATTCGAGTCATTACAATCCAAAAGGTTTCGAATTTTCACTCTTAAATCTTTCACTTCCGCCTCATGAATAGAGCAATCCCTCTGAATTTTTTGAATCATGCTGCGAGAGTTTGTCAACTCAGACTCAGATTCAGACAATCGACGTTGTAAATCCTCGCAACGCAGTTGAATTTCATCTAGCCGACCGAGTAACTTGGCTACTTCTTCATCTTTATGCTCCAAAGCTTGCACATTTCGAATTTCTGAATGCTTCAAAGTATCCAAAAGATCATTATATGCCTTGACAGGAACCGTTTCTTCAAGGCTTGGCTTTTTAGAAAGCTCATGCACGATCCGATTGAGTTTGAGCTTCAACTTGAGATAACTGTATTTGTTCAAGTGTTTCATGTAGCTAGTAAATTCCATTTCATTCTTCATTAGCAAAAGCTCCCGTTGGTAAAACTCAATAGTTTTCTCCAGGCGAGAAGCCGGACGTTTTTCCTCTACACTAGATATCTCCAGTGAATCCTTATTTGGCTTGTTCTGTGAACCTTCACATTTCAATTGTTCAGTCAATAGATTCGACGCAGACTTTGAGACTGTTTGAAAACTTCCAACTGCGAAATTATTGTCCATATTGATTGGCATATTGGTGTTTGAAGGTGCGTTTCCAGTATAGAGCTTCTCATGCGACATAAAAAGCGGTGAAAGTGCATCTTCTTTTGTTGTGTCTTCCCCGTCACCATTCAGATTACGTGTCAGCTGTCCATTGAAATGAACCTTGTTGAGTTGAATACCTGTCGATTCTTCCTTGGCTACTTCTCCAACATCAGGTTCAATCACTAAATCCGTTGGTACAATGGATAATTTGCGGTCCAAGTTCTGCCACTGCGCTGGTAGTTCGAGTTTTAAGCCAAAAGAGGACTTTTCGCTGTTGCTCAGAGCAATGGAGTGGCGAGCAGAGTTAGGCAAAGTTGTACTAACGTGAGACTTGTCCTTGTGGAAAAAAGGCTCCTTTCTGTTTGGTTCGTGTCCTTTATTGGTCAGCGAGAATTGGCGAATAACAGATTTGGTGGAAACAATATAATCTGGGAACGAAAGGAAGATATCTGGATTCAATCGTAAACACGCCGAAATGACATCTTCTTCTGTTACATCTTCACCACTATTCTCGACAAGGATCCACCGTATAGGTTCTTCAATCTCTTCTTCTATAGATATACCGTTGATAATATTGGGATGCAACATGACCCTTCTCAAGAGACTTTTAGCATTTTGACTAACATATGCAAAATGTGTGAACTGTAAAGTCTCTTCTAGTTCAATCACAAACTCCAAGGACAAGATTGAAGGTGAAGTATCACGCAAGTAAGCCCCTGGCAGTTTAGTGAAACGAAGTATATTTGACGGATAAAGACCATATAGTATGCTCAAAAGATACAGTAAGTCAAACTCGCCATCTTTATTTAAAGCCGTTTGAACTATTGGGGACTCATTATCACTGTAAGCAATGCTCCATGGAGTATTCAGCATGGCGAGGTACTTTGCAAGGGCTGTTTCACGGTGTTCAAGGAATTTTTCATACTTTCTCCATGTGCTGAGCCTGCCAAAAATCACTAATAGCTCTGGAAGATATTCAGATAATCGATTGCAAACTTTGCCGAGTAACATTAAAAGAGCAAAAAGAGCACCGGATAGGATGCATTCGCTGAAATCAAATAGGAGACACCGAAGTACATTTGAAAACAAAGGAGTATCCATAATGACTCGTAATTGAGACACGTTCAGAGAGAGTATTTGGCAGAGCAAAACCAAGACTTTTTGTCGCAGAGCAACGATGCAAAAGTGTTGATCAAGCAAATTGAAGTATTCCCTGGGCATCTGCAAACCCCAATCATTTAAAAAATCTGATGCGTTTTCCAACACAAACCGCATTCTCTCTTCGTATGCTTCTGTATCCCTTTCCTTTTCTGGTGTATACATTCCCATTATTTTCTGTGTTTCCGGGTCTTTGAGGTATATTTTCAATATAGATTCCGTGACCATAGATGAGTTTAGTGTCCTTTGATGTGAAACAGCTTCGTCTGAACCCATTGGAGCTAAAGCAACACTTTTAAAAAACAGCCGGGCCTTTTCAACGAAAACCAAATCATATCCAGCACTATCTAGAGCAGGGCGTAAGTATGTTTGCAAGCTGGATTTAATTTGAGCTGCGTTCAACAGAGGCAGAAGTCTGGTGAGAATTTCAAGGTAGAAAATTTCTTTGGAGAGACTCTCTGATTTCTCAATATAGTTTTCATAGGTGGATCGTAGAGATTCATTAAGAGTGGTGCTTATGGAACTAAGGGAATTATGCTTTTTATTATAGGCATCAATCACGATATATAGGTCCTTGATCTCTGTCGAAGGGGACGAAAGCCAGCTATCATCTTCTTTCCAGTTTTCAAGGACACTGTTTAAAGCACGTAGAAGCGATTTTGAAGACCCTAGCATGGGTTGGAAACTTACAATGATTATGATCGCTTCTTAGACTGGTCTGCATCACGTGCAGTATACAGAATAAGATTTAGAGTAGTTCAGACTTGTGGCATAGGGTAAAAAATTCAGCATCAAAGCAGTTCAGATAAGGACAAAGAATAGTATTAGAATCAACACAGGCTTATAGAGGCTCTTCTAACCTTCTTTCGTATATTGTCTTTTTGGACTGAAGATTTACTTTTCGCACTCTACAAATATCTAGAGCTTATCTTCACGTCCTTGCACCAGACCGTTCCTTTCGCCGTATACTTACTTTAACTACCATGGCAACGAATCATGAACCGCCAAAACATCATAAATCTACTGAAACAGGCCTTAGGGCTCCATCTATAACTACGCCCGATGACGATTGCACTTCTGAACTGCTAGTTTCTGCTATACAATCATACCTAGATAAACGTTTGGCCAAGTACCACCATATTGCTAGCGATGCCGCCTATATTGAGGCTGCGCAGACTTTTCCAGATGAGGCTATGAGCTGTTTGAAGCAGCTCATGATGTGTGACATACAGAAAAACCGCTCTTTGTGGTTATATTCTGTGGGAGAATTAGTACGCAGTGCGTTAGTGTTGATGGTATACGTTAATTCTATTCCAGAACTGACGACTCAGCTCTCGTCAGCTACAACGATGATGATTCCTTGTTTCAGCGAGCTATGTCTTTCACTCGAAACGCTAGCCAAAGAATGGGATGTGGGGACTATGCCGCATTCAGCAGCGTTGGCGGAGCGACAGTACCAATATTTCTATCGGACTTTAGCTCTTGCATGTGAGTGGTTTACTAAGGGCCCAGATCTAGTGCACGAAAAGTTCACTCTCTGTGCCATTGCGTCTAGGCTTTCTCGGGATTACGAGGAACAACTGCCGAAAGCCCAGTTTTCCACCCAACAAGCAGAAGCGTTCCCGGCTCTTGTTCAGTTGGCAAGAGCATGTTACATATGCGCCTATCCTGAAATTGCATTGGAACTAACTTCCGATGAAAAAGGTGAGCCTTGTGCTAGCGTTGCACGCGCAAGTTCCCTTTTGTTGCACACCAAACTAGAATTCAGTGACTTGATCGATTTCTGTCGATATTTTGGTTATTGTCTCGTTACATATGTTGCTTCCAGCCCATCGATTGATCAAAAGGTATGCAATCGTGCGGATGTGTTCTTGTCTACTCTTCTCGGACTTCCAAACTTGCGTCTAAGCCATTATGCCGTGATGCCCAACTCTTTAGTCCCTGAACCATCCGTATCCGATCCCCCCAAGCGTTACATATCCGTGAGAGAAAGGGAAGAATTGTCGCTCTTTTACATAGTCAACAGCATATTTCGCATGACTTTCTTGACTCAATTTGTCTCTCCCAGTCACCAATTTAGAGGCGAATGCAAATTTCTTTTGGCTAGCCTCCGCTCAAAAGTGTCGCTGGACCTCGATGTACTGGCTTCAGCACCTCAGTCACGATCTGCCAGTATCGCCTCTCTTCCAGTCTTCGAGTTGCAAGCTCTGAGTACGATACCCACACGGAAACTGAAAACCATGAGTTCCATCCTCACCGAAGGTACATACAAGGAGAAAATCAACATTGTGCTTGCATTTGTGCGGTATTTTGTCATTAATGGTGCTGGAAACAATACCAGGGCCGGCGACCTGCTTGTGGACTTTGTTCAGATATTCAGTTCTGCTCTTGCCCCGGGTGAGAATCTACCCACAATGTTTGCTCACGACGATGTAAAATACTTGATTCAAAAGATCAATAAGTCCGATTATCCTGGCAAAATATTGTTTGTGGAGGCTATGCGTAAGATTGTTTTGTTGTCACAGTTGCTTTTCGTGAAGCATATATATTCAACTACCGGCATCAGATGCGGGGCCCAAACACTTGTGCAGCAAGTTTTTCAAACGCAGACTCCCTTTGATGATATTCTTAATGTGAAGGCATTGATCCAGTTGAATAACGACGGGCAGGTGCAACTCTATTCTTTGCCAAGACCGCTGGAAGAAGAGAAGATTGAAGATCATCTTCGGCATTTGGAGCAGGTCCGGTTGCTAGAGGAGCAGTGCTGAGTGAGAGTAACAATAATACAAACACTTCAAATTGCTAACGTAAATAATACACATCAAACTGCTAACTTCTCCGAGAAGCTATCTACACTACTTGATTATCTTTCTCATCTGTCGGCGACAGCAGTAAAGATGCAACCGAAGCGAAGAAGCGTCACCTGCTTCCTTCGTTCGTTGCTCAATTGCTCGAGTTTCCGCGCTCGTAAAAACACACAAAGGGGCACTGCTGTCTAAGTTCGGTTATAGCTATGGACCGAAGGGTTCATTAAGTGACGCAGCGCGCCACTGCGCGGCCAAGCCGCGATTATGGAGCGACAATGGGTGGCGCACGCCCTGGGCCTTTCGGTTCAAGCACGCGCGTTACTGCCGATGTAACGGTAAATGGCTCATATCGGCGTGCGTAATCAACCGAAGTGCGCTATAATGTTCCTCACGGCCGTTCGTCCTGAATCCTGCCGCACCTTCAATACGAATGACTCTTCGGACCTTCCGGTGCCGGTGTACTCATTTCACGTTGGATGAAAATTCATGGAGCTTAAATATAAATTGGTTGGCGTCCAGTTCCGTGGTATGGCACTTTTCCCGCGTGTCAGGGCTCCTCTTGTTGCCATGGATACTATCAGCCGTGCCCCACAAAGTGGGTGCGAAAAAAAAAAAAAAAAAAAAAAAAAAGACCAAGGGCGCACGAGCAAAATCATGCATGGGGCATCTTTGCCGGTCTGCGGTTTCACGTTGCCGTGGATAATTCCGGGGCAGTATATAACTGTGGCCGTTTCCTCTGCCATGTGCTTGTATCTATAATCAAACTAACATGTCTCAGAGCATTGACAGCGCGTCCAGTGTTGACGCTGAGGCAAAACCATATGCTGGATCCAGCGAGAGTCCCCACCCTGTTGACCAAGAGTCGGACTTGAAAAGAATTCTCACCGAAAACAAAGGTGTGCAGCTGATCATCAGCAGATTGCAAGAAGATGCCGGTGTTCTTGGACCTTTAGAACAAGGCTATGATGTGGAGAAAGTTCTCACTAGGCCTGACCCTCATTCTGACTTCCACCCGGAAGATGAATGGAAGTACCCTGTCGACATGGAGACCAAGTTGCGTTTGGTTGAGTTTGTTCCTGGCGACAAAGGTAACCCAAAGAACATGGGAACGGGTAGAAAATGGCTTCTTACAGTTTCCTTAGGTATGATTTGTTTTGTTGTCGCCTTGGGTTCTGCTATCGTCACTGGTGATTTGGCAGGTCCAGTCGAATACTTCAAGGTTTCTCAGGAGGTCGTCATTCTCTCCTCAGTGACGGTTTTCGTTGTGGGTTTTGGAGTCGGCCCCTTATTGTTTGCGCCAATGTCGGAAGAACTTGGCCGTTCCATTATTTATGCTGTGACTTTGGGCATGGCGGTTATTTTTATTATCCCCTGTGCCGTGGCGAAGAACATTGGCACTTTGTTGATTTGCCGTTTGATTGACGGTGTTTTGTTCAGTGCGCCCATGACTTTGATCGGTGGCTCCTTGGCTGACATTTGGGATGCAAACGAGCGTGGTAAAGCCATGGCTGTGTTCTCGGCTGCTCCATTTTTGGGTCCGTGCTTGGGTCCTATTTTTGGTGGTTTGTTGGGTGACTATACTTCAACATGGAGATGGGTGTACTGGGCGTATCTCATTATTGCAGGTGTCTTCTATATACTTTTCTTGCTCATTGTTCCCGAAACTCACCACAACACTCTTTTGAAGAGAAGAGCAGCGAAGCTTAGAAAGTTGACTGGAGATGAATCCTACAGATGCTTGGCAGAATTGCAAGTCAGATCTTTCCTGGAGGTTGCGCGTGTGTCCTTATTGCGTCCCTTCTTGCTTCTTAGTGAACTTATCATTAGTTTGGTCACTCTTTACATGTCTGTTGTCTACGGATTATTGTACATGTTTTTCTTTGCTTACCCTGTCATTTATATGGAAGATAAGGGTTGGTCTGCTTCGAAAACTGGTGTCATGTTTCTCCCAATTGCCGGTGGTGTTGTCCTCAGTTCCATCTCAGCTCCCTTCATTAACAATGACTACAACAAACGGGCAAAAGCTTACAGAGATCGTGGCGAAATGCCACCTCCAGAGTTGCGCTTAATTCCAATGATGTTCGGCTGCTGGTTTGTGCCAGCTGGCTTGTTCGCATGGGCATGGTCTTCTTATGCTAGACTCTCTTGGGCAGGACCAGCATTTAGTGGCTTCGCATGTGGCTACGGTTTTCTTTCACTTTATAATCCGGCGAACAACTACATTGTTGATTCTTACCAGCATTATGCTGCCAGTGGGTTGGCGGCAAAGACATTTGTCAGATCAATTTGGGGTGCCTGTGTGCCTCTTTTCACAATCCAAATGTATCATAAATTAGGAAATCAATGGGCCACATCTTTGATGGCTTTTATTGCATTGGCCTGCTGCGCCATTCCTTATTTATTCTACTTTTATGGGGCCAAGATTAGAAAGTTTTCCAGATATGCTTACTCGCCGGAGAAGCATCAAGCATAGTTGATAACTCAACTTCGAGTTACGCAATATTATTATTATAGGTCTAAATGTCCTCGAGTATCCGAATAATTTAATACATGTTCTTCTTATGATCTTTTTCGTACATAAAAGTCAAGTTGTAAGTAGATAGTCTTACAATGTATGTTTGATTTGATAGGGTTCCAACTTGTGTTTCGCTCGCCAAGAAAGTGCTTCGCTAGCTCAGTTGGCAGAGCGTCAGTCTCATAACAATAGTTGTGAAATCTGAAGGTCGACAGTTCGAACCTGCCGCGGAGCATTTCTTATCTTTCATATTGCTTCGCTAGCTCAGTTGGCAGAGCGTCAGTCTCATAACAACCTGTTGTGTAATCTGAAGGTCGACAGTTCGAACCTGCCGCGGAGCATAATTTTTCCAGTATATTCTTTTTTTGGCACTAATTTCTTGCATTGTTTAATATATAACTATGTACTTTTATGCCTCTTAGCCTCATCAGATGGGAGTTCCTCGTGGACTCTTTTCAAAGATTCCACTACCACAACTTCATCTTGGGTATTCAGAACATCTGATTGCTCATTCACGTCGATATCAACAACTCTGGAATTCCCGCTTTTATTGGTATCTCTGGGTTCAGCTTGAGGATATGACGTATCAAATTCTGGTTCACTATCTAGATTAATGATAATCGGTTCTTCGTTCTTCACTCCTTTTGATTTGGTTTTGTCGTAGCCACTCTCAGTGTCGTCTAATTTTTGATACGGTATCTCATTTTCAATACATTGGACAGAGGGCGACCTTTCCAAATTTTGATTTTGAATATTCGAATTCTGAAGGCAATGCAAACAGACAGGATTCGCCTTAGTGTCATTGTTGGCAATAGGCATTTGCATACCTTGATCAGTTATTGTATCTGTTTTAGCAGTTTTCGTCGTAACGGGAAAATCACGGTTATGAGATGAGTTAAGGTGCTCCCCCGTCTGGAAACTGGCTTGAGGCCAGGGATTCAGGATCGAATCAGTTCCATACAAAACAGCTGTAGGGAACTTTGATGATTGTGTTTGCATTTCACTGCTTTGGTCATGCGTGCTATTATTTTCATTTGGATTTGAACCTAATTGAAATGCCACATCCTTTGTTACATGTGGAGATACCTTAAACTTCGAGAAGGCTCCTGGATCCTGGCGTGCAAGATGACTGGAGAGTTCTGTATCGGAAACAGTATTGATGGGCGTTTGAGCTCGGGCTGCCTCTGCCTCTCGACGAAGACGTTCTTCTGCCTCTCGACGAAGACGTTCTTCTGCCTCTTGACGAAGACGTTCTTCTTCCTCGATTCTCTTGCGGCTCTCTTCCGTAAAAGTCCGAATGTATTCATTCAATGCAGTTGGGTCTTCTTTCGTGACCGCTTCATTATCCTTCTTGAACTTTGCAATTAGTTCGTTAATGAACGGGAAGAAATCCTTTTTCGCCAATCTTTTCAACCGCCCATTTGGAGATTCCGTAACAGGAACAACTTTATCATCTGCCATAGAAGAATAAATCTCAATATAGATTGCACAAAGTGTGTCGTCGACTTGGGATGTTGGTCCAAATCCATTGTTGAGCTTCTTCATATCGTTAATTGCTTGCAAGAAGCATAAAAGGCCTTTAATGCGACTCGATAATCCTTGTTCTTTCACACGATCAGGAAGCATTTTGGCATTGCTTATAAATTTGTAGTGCAAATTGTGCATCATAAACCGTTCCACATAATTTGGTTTGATCACAAGTGAAGTACGCACAATATCACAAATGGATGAACAAAGTTTTTCCCATGCAAAATACAACAGTACCATTGTCGAGTTTGCTCGTCTCAATTTTGGTAACATCTGCACCAACGACGATATATCCTTCGTGCTTTTCAATAAATTAATGTAAAACTGAGTGTACTGGAACATGTAAACGAAGTGCTTGCCGGGGCGTTCGTGCTCGGGTTTCCACATTTGAAGAAATGTTTTGTTAGACACATTCAAGAAGAAAAACTTCGACATGACATCCTTTGCTGCTTCGCAATCATTAAACTCCTCATGCATTATAGAAGCAATTCTGTAATGTGGCTTATGGTACCAGCCTTTCTTATCCAAGGCTATAAGTTTCCTTAAAGCTTCAATAATCAAGCAGTAAAAGCTTTTCTTATCGTTCATTGCTTCATTGATATTCATTTGCAAAATCGTATCTTTGTTTAGATAGTCTACCGCCTTATCCATTGCGATCTGTGAAGATTTCACATACTTGTAAAGGAGGACACAAAGTTTGTATGGAGCTTCAAGAAGCGGATCTGATACAGTACCTTGTTCTTTGCTTAACGCGATTGCTGTGACTAATGCATCTAAAGTCTCGCTCGGTTGGTGTTTAAGTTTATCTTTAACTTTCGCCATATAATAATACGACGACCAATCTTTTGAGTTGGACTTAATTGATATCTGTAAGCATCTTAATATCAATCTGAGACAAAATTTCATAGTGGCGCTTGGTTTGTCAGAAATAGCCAGAAACATTGTTTGATTATGTCTTCTCACAAACTTTGATCCCGAATATGCCTTCAAAGCAATCATATCCATGGGACTCCGTAACGCGCTATAGAATTCTTTAGCGAAGGAATTAGTTAAAACACTCACGATTGATTTCAAGCTCTCCATATTTTCGTTTTCTCGAGTGATCATGTTTATAGCTATCATGTAACTGAGAAGTGACTTCCTCTGAAGGTTGGCTGTCTGAACTTTTCTGTCAATTGTATTCAACTTGTCGGAAGTCCATATCAAATCATCTTCAACTATGAATCCGTATGCCTGCCCAAGAAGTATCCAACTTTCGATCCTCTTGGTACCAAAAATCAAGTCATCCTTGAGTAATCTAATGATTCGTTCTAATTCCACAGTTCTGCTTTGAGCAGACTTTTTTCTTATCTTGTAAGAGTTAAACATGAGGACTGCCTCCAAGTAATAAATTCCACCGTGCACAATTGTGCCATCAGTCTGTGGGGTTACAAAATCCAAGTTGTGCAAGCCATAGAATGCTTTTTTCACAAAGCGAGAGTCGATTTCAGTATTATCCAAGAACTTTTCCAACATAACGTTATTTGAGACCAATCCCGGATCTGACTCAATATCAGCCTCTCCGATAATCTCGAAAAGGTCGTCTATAACTTGTTTCGTATCATTCCGAGGGGCACGTAGAAGTGGGGAATGGCGGAAACATAAAGGTAAAATGAATGCGGCAAGCTCTTTAGCACTAGACTTATCTAGTTCACCGCATTTGTTTGTATAATGATCGACAGGAAAACGATCATTAATTTTCACTTTGTAGTGAAAGCGACAAGAAAGTAATTGTGCGAGTTCCTGGTCCGGCTTCTCTGGTAGGCCAACTAATGTGTCTTCTGCAAACCTTAAGAAAAGACCCTCAGATGAGTCGCAAAGTCGACGTAAACCGAGTTGGCTGTGCACTAAGATAAGCAAATCTTTAATCATAGTATCCTTATCGTCTGATGGTCTCACCTGAATTTTGTTCACCGAATATATCAAAATGAGACAAATACTCTCAATACAAAAGTCTTTAAACCGCGAAAAAGCTTCATTAGAGACAGTGGAGAGCGAGATTTTGTTTCCTGTTATAAGTGAAGCCTCCTCATGCAAACTGAAAGAATAACATAGCTCAAAAATTCGGCACAAATTACTTACAACTTTGACTTGATTTCCTGAATCAGGTAAAGGAAGTTTCCACTTGTTGTCGGAAAGATATTTGATGAATGCAGAGCAGTAGCTTCCATAAAAGCTTAAAGAATTGAGAAGAACGCTGACTCTATCCACCTTGTATTCCTTATAGCGGTCGCTATTCCAGAATTGGAGCACAAAGTCTAAAGTTTGCTCAAAGCCCTTCTGAAATCCAGTTGCCAAACCCTTTCCTTTATAGTACAGAAATAAAATATTCCAGAGACTCAACCTTAAATCTATCGGACACTCCGCAAGAAAATCACGAACACTTTTAAGTGATTGTGCATCGAGGGTTGCACGGCCATAGATCACTGAGTCCACCAATGAATTTTCCTCCTCGTTCTTACCATTTGCTGCTGTTATTGATGGATCTTCTTCAATTAAAATTCGTTCAAGCAAGTCGATTGTTTCATTGTCTTCATCGATTTTGGAATCATTATTATAGAGAATTTTCGAGAAAATTGACAAAATTGAGGAAGTCGTGAGTCTTCTGTTGACAGCTTCTTCTTTGAATTCTCCAATATGTGCATAATTGGGGAACGCTATGTAAGGATATGGTTCTCCTGCATTTTTCAAAAAGTCATCTAACTCCTTTAAATGGATCACAACGTATTTTTTCTCTCTCCAGGTGAAACTATTAGACGCAATGAAGTAATTAGAGACCCACGAAAATCTGGATAGAGATCTGAGGTTTGCATTGGACGTCTTTATATTGACCTTTTGTCGAAGAAAACTGTAATTTATGAAGTCTCTCCATCTTAAAATTCTGTCATGAAGTCTCAAAAGTTCAATGGATGTGGAATTAAGAGACGACTTTGTTGATTTTGAAGAGGTCGAACTTGACCTTGATTCCACCAGCTTTTCAATTTGGCTTTTTAGTTCAATGTACAGATTAATGAGAATCTCCACGACACTAACAGCAGCGCTGAAAGTTGCTTCAAATCTCAGACTGTCAACATGATTCCATCGGTTACAAAGTTCTGATTCTAAATGGAACACCCATTCCTTCAATGCCAGAAACATTTCTGTAGACCATTTTGTCAGCGTGAGTAGATTATTGCCATGGTCGCTGAGAAGGTGCTCAAGTATTTCGATTTTTGATCGGACATAATGCATGTTTTCGGTCCTTTGAAGAATTATTTCGATTAGCTTGAAATTCTCTAATGTATCAATATTCTCTTGCACAATTTCCTCCTCCTCTAAATTTTGATCTCCGAAACGAACAAGTACGTCAAGTAACTTCAACTTGTCATTCTCTGCAGTAGAATTGGTCTTCAGTTTTGATGAGGTCTCTGGCAATAAAAGAGGAGTGTATGTTTTTCTTTTCCACTCGTTAAGTGCCAGGACGAAATCCCTAATGTACGTTGGTTTTTCTTTTGTTGGGATGTCGACAATATAATCTACGACATCGCGTAAAAAGGTTTCATCTGAAGTGTAAACTTTCAGGAGCTTAGTGTTCAAAGCATCAAAGAAAAGTTCTGTTTCAATGAAATAATGCCTAGTAAGTCGAATATTATCTGGCTCTAATGGGGTTTGATCACCTGGATTTAGTCTTCTGGAAGATCGCTGTATTGCCTTTTCTGAAGAAATGGGCTGTGGGGTGGGTAACTTTTCTTCAGTTGGAACTTCGTCAGTTGTTCCCAGTTCTTGCATGGCCAGAGTTTCTTCTGAATTGTCGGCTTTCTCCGGAGCAGTAATAGAAGCAGTGTCTTCTACTTTCTCCATTTCTCCCGCCTCCAAATATGTGTATGAAATTGCTTCCAAGGGCGATTCTGAAGTAACGTAAGGATCGAGATATTTTAAAGACATCCTACCATATTCAGCCGCTTTCTCCTTGTCTTGATGTTTCTTGATACAAGTATTGTAGCAATGAAAGATATCAAGCCAATTTGAATCAGCTTTTACCAGTACTTCAGCATTCTCCTTATCAAACTTTTTCTCCATTTGTTGTTGGAGATCGCTTCTAATTGGTTCAAGGAATAGTAAGCGAGATTCAATATCATCGCGAATGGAGGAGTTAGAATGGTTTTCCTTGAGAAAAGTATCATATAGTAAGCAAAGTTTTTTATGGACTGGAAGAATGCTTGTAATGTCATCGCTCTCAGCATGAAATGATTTGGCATATTCGAGAGAAAATCTCGCCAACCTCTGGAAATCAAAGAACACGCAAATATCATATAAAAGTTCCAAAAGAGACTCATCTGCTTCTTGATATAGAAAACAATTGATGAAATCATCCAACATAGAATAAAAGAGTGACTTTGAAAACTCGAATACCGACAATTGAGGCGACGATGAAGTGTGGGCAGACCTCTCAGATTCGTAAGCTTTTTCGACTTCGGGTGTACCCTTCCTTAGTATGTTGAAGTAAAGAAATCCTCTGTTTCTGAAGTAAAGAAAGCGAATTGTTTTGTCACTTTGTGATAAAAAGCTCAATTCATCTGGCTGCGAGTTAAGTCTTCCATTCTGAAGCCCTTTGATATAGTCTGCTTCCTCGTAGTAATGATTATTGATCACATCCCTCTTTGCTAGCTCTGTGTATTTCACATATGCTCCTATGAAATCCTTTGACTTCTGTAGAACGATGGCATCCTGGAATTCCTTAAAAGCATTTTCAATCTCAATCTCACGGGTTAGACTCTCCTCTTGGTCTTTCTTCGAGATCTCCTTCACTAAATTCAAAGGCGAGAAGGCAGACTGGTCTCTGTTAGTTGATCTCTAGGTGTTTCGGCTTTCTTTGTTTACATACCATGAATTTTGTGTGGAAACACTCACTTCCAAGAATTGAAGCTCTAAGTACGCGATAAACGTTATATTCATGTGTGCCTGCAGATACACGTAGAACAGAAGCTTTAGTGCCCAAAAGCCAAACAGCATGAAAGAGTCTTTTAGGCGTCTTCATACTCCTCTGTAATAGCTTCCATTCCTGCTCTTTGATTACTTTCAATTTCATAAAATTTTGTGCATCTATCTTTCAGTTTTAGCTTGAAGTATAATTCATGTTCACTTCTTCTACAAATGGTTACAGTAGCCTTCGTACAGCCATTCTACTTTTCTTCCTGTCACGGTAAATGTATAGTAATTTCAAATGTATTAGTGCAGAGTGTGTAAGTCAACACAATAGTAGTTCCTATTGGACACACAGTCGTGTGAACATAGGTACGCAATAAATAAAACCTTAATCTTCTCCTCCCAGTTATGGATATCTCATTCATCCAGTACAAGTCTAGAGTGATGAGTGGAAATCACCTGTACTTCCGACTCATCTTTGAGTTCTGATTCCTCAGACAGTACCGTCTTCTCCATCTTTTCCTCCTTGATTATCTGTCTGCCCCCGGTCAAGTACCAGACGATCTGCGAGGCAAAAATACCTAATTCCATTGCCAATACTATTGCGTAAAGGACGAGACTCATAATATCCATGTTCCCGACCACCACACTCAAGATGGAGAAAAGGGCACCACCCGAATCCATGGCCAAAAAGAAAAAGTTGAATCCAACGACGCGACCCTTCCGCTTGGCTAACTCAAAGTATGGAGGAATCAAGCCCACTGCAAGTAGCACAGAGGCAACGATTCCAATCACTAACATGGGCCATTCGATACCCCTCCGGTAAAGAGGACGCAACCACAAGATTAGCCCCACTTCTAGTCCGATGCTTACCACGCAGAATGCAGCAACATAAATAACTAGTCTTCTAATCGGTAACCTCACAGGTGGGTAGTATAAGGTTTGGCCCCATGATACGGTGCAAAAGAACGTGAAAAGCTGGGGTTGCACCCGCAATGGGATCGACGAATCACTTCCGATGAAGTAAATCGAAAATGGAACGCCACTGACGGCCCAGCAAAACATCATAAGCGCCGGAAGACCCGTGCAGTCTTTACTCCGATAGTTTCTCCAGATCTGAGGAGTCAACTGGATACACCATAGGATTGTTCCTATCGTTCCCAACACATTCACAGCAACAGAGTCACCCATAGTAGTAGTAAAATAAGATTATTAAAGGACGAGACGTGCAATTAAATATTCCGCAGATTGCGGAGAACGTATGGGCATGTAACAAAAGTTATATGTGTTAGTCTCAGTTGATACTTGACGAGCGCAAACCCGTTAGGAAAAGCGCAATTCTGTAAGGGTGTGTGCACGAAAAGCGCAATTGGAAGGAAATATAAGCCTATTAAAGAATTTAGAGCCGATATGCACATCGCGAATCGCCATCTTTCAACGCAATCAGTCTCATGACACTAATGAATCAAGAGAAAGAAGAAAAATGCTCACACTTGTATTACAAATACTATTCTGAATCACTATACTCGAACCCAAATTCGGCTTCTTCTTGCTCAATCCGCGGATCGAGTTGCTCACTTTGGTTCGTATTGCCACTAGTTATCGCATCCTCTAAATCCTCTGCATGACAAGGATCTGCATCCAGCTCCACTTTACGAAATTTGTCCAATGGTGGCGTCTCTAGAGTGATATTGTGAAATTCCGTAATTCCGTTGCCATTATTCACGTCAGCATCGCGGGTGCTTGTACTTGAATTTTTTAGAGATACCGCAGTCCGCGGAGTTTGATTACTATAATTGCATGCCATCCAATCGCTTGCACCTTCGTTTTCTGGTCCATTACTTGCCCCATCATTTTCATGTTTGCAAACTTGCTCGTGTGCCTGATGAGCTTCTATACTGTTTGCGCGTGCAAGAACTAAATCAGGCTCGATTTTTGCAACTTGTTCGTTTTCTTCTCTGTATCCGGACAAAGTATCCAGACTTTGAACTGTGCCATAGTTTTGATGTATTTCTTTTTCATCTTTACTAGACTCGGTGGGGAAATCGAATGTTGCTTTTCTGGTCAATTCTTTGTCCGTATCGTCTTGTAGAGTTTCCGAATTAGTGTCTCTCATAGGATCTGACCTTTCATCCACAGGAACCGATTTCGCGGTACCAAGGTCGGGGTTAACCAAGAATCCTCCCTCATGGGATTCAAAGACTTTGGCAGTTCTTTCATTGTCATCTTCAACAATGAAACCACCTCCATCAGATTCATCATTCTCTAAATTATCTTCTTCAATAATAAAGCCTCCCTCGTTTAACTCAGCATAATTTTGGTTCCTATCTTCAGAAATAGTGTTACCATTGAAACCTGTTTCACTGAAGAAGCCTCCTCCACCTAGATCGTCACTATGGTTAAAGTTGTTTTCCGGCTCTACACTTAACCGACGTCGCTTTCGCGGAACATAGTTATCGTCAGACCCTGCTTCTTCACTTCCCACACTAAAGTATCCCTCTTCCTCATCTGAATCCTCTTCCTGAAACTTTCTTTTCTCGACTTCTCCATGTTCACTATCAAGTCGGCGCACAATCCGAAGTTTTGCTAAGAAGAACTTCCAGCAGCGAAGCGCATTGAGCTCCACGGCCTTTCTTTTCTCTTCTTCTTGAATTTCAACCAAGCCATTCAAAACGAGATGCATAGCTTCTTTGTATTGTACATCGATCAAAATACCCCCTTCCTTCGGAGTTGTTGTGCCCTTCTTGCCAAAATCAAACGAAACAATTGCCTTTGCATAATCAATATGTAGAACATCTCTCGCTGCTTTTTCAAGTAGTTTCATGGGCATAGTTTCTGAGAGCTTGACCAAATATCCGTTCTCAGGGATCATTGTGGCTGTGAAAATTTCCACATTGCCAAATGCATTTTTGGTGATCTTGCCATCCACAATTGGTGGTGGGATATATAGTTCTGTTTGGAAATCTGCATAAAGTCGTACTTGTCCATCATCGTCTGTGGTTTCATCATTAGTCATAATCACGTTAGAGGCTTTCGTTTTCAAAGGCTGGGCTCCCATTTTGAGGAGTCGTCCTTTCATATGCCACGCTTTAGCAGTTCGAAGTCTGTGAACGTGTGAGCGCTTATAGATCGGTTCTATATGCGATTTTGTGATCGATCTGAAAGTCCCACATTTACTTGTATTGTCCTTTGGATAGATGACCTCGTCTTGCCGAAGTTGGGATTCCAATGCGTACACTGGGTGATTTTTGAAGTCTGCTTTGCTCTTTGGGATACCTTCGCAAATATCTCGATCATAAAACTCTTTAGATTCGAGTATCTCTGCCTCTTGAAATTTGTTGCTTTTTTGTGAAGCCGCTCTAAGAAGCATTTGATACCAATGCTCGTCCTCATCAGACGCAGAGTCAATCCTTTTTTTCAGCACTTTTGCATTATAATATTGCGTATACCGCCTTGTAACATCCTTTACTCTTCCATATCGGTCAAATGCTAGCACATACATAGTCTGGTGAGTTTTCTCTGTACCTGGTGGTTCAAACCTACATCGCTTGCGCATAGGGCAAACTTCGATGCTTTGAAACACAATTGGGTCTATGGATATCCACTTTCGATTATATTTGTTCCATGCTTCAACCCAGAACACAGGATACTTAGACATTGGAAAGTTGTATTGACGCCGCAATGGCTCCAGTGAAGTAGCCCCAGCTCTTATGCTTGTGAGTACCTCTCTTTTCGCGTTTGGGATGAAAACTGGGTCAAACTCTGATTTTGGTTTCTTTTCTTTCTCTTCAGCGGCGGCCTTCGCTTTTGTCGATTGTGCTTGTGACACGGAGCGAAAATCTGGAGGCTGAAGGGAGAATACTAGACGAGCATGAACGCCACACGCCCGTAATAATGCAACGAACCCCTGAGCCCCAATATCTCGGGAACCTTGTAGTTGAGAAACCAATCTTTTAAACTTAGCGCGGTTCACATTCTTTTCGGTATAATTTTGCTCTTGCTGTAGATCACCCCAGTCTTTGCGCACTAGGCCCTGGCAAGTCACCTTGAATCTTTGCGAGTAAAGATGGAGTAGCTTCTGAAGGCCATCGATAAATTTACGGCCCTTTATATGATCTTGGCCAGACTTTCCACTCTGATCAAGCAAATTGCGTATGACTTGAGGGACCATTTTATCAGCGAGGGACTTGAAAAAAGGATCATTGCACCATCGACTTCTTATCTCACCATGGGTTACCATCGATACAATATACAACTTGTGGATAAGTTTCCGCTGTTGTCTCTCTTCTCTAGAGATTGGCGTGTGTTTCTTAGCTTTCTTCTTCACCGGTTGTTCTTGTGTATTGATGGTGAAAGTGAGTGTCTCGTTTGCAGGAGAAGGTGTCTCAGCAAAAGCTGCTTCCAAATCCACATCCTCCAAATCTTGGAAATCATCTACTTCTTCGGCAGCACTTTCGTCTGGGGTCTGCGTGACTTCACGCGATGAGACATCAGCTCCACTCAAATCTACATCCTCAAGATCATCGTCGTCGTCATCTGAGGAAGTTGAGGAGGAGGAAATAGTGACTATCTCTTGTTCTTTTGGTTTGGCTGCTCGTCTCTTTCGCCTTTCGGCGCGTATGGGGTTTTCTTTTACGCTCTGCCGAACCATTTTCTTGAGAAGAGGATTCACCGACATTTCTGCAAAAGCTTCAGTGTAGTATGCTCATTCAAAGATGCCTCTAGAATAATTTTGACAGTTGCAATAAGACGCAGAAATGGCCCAAGTAAAGCGAAGCAGGTGGTCGCATCTTACTTAGATGTTGCTCCAGAGTCGCGCATGAGACATCTCACTTATCCAAATCCCACATACGCAGGACAGCATTTTTTCAAAGCTGCACCAGGAGAAAAGTACATAGGCAAGGGCAGCCAGAAACGCCACTTTCGAATGTCTTTCAGAACACTATTGCGTTTCGAGCTACGACATTACTTCCTGAATGCTGCAAGTTCCCTTACATCCGCATCTAATTCATCCAAATGGGCAAATGTGCCAGTGATGGTGAGATTGCAAGACAAGTCCCATCGAACCTTGTACCGAACGCTAGAAACAGAAGCTCTTCGGTACCGGAAAGGCAAGAATACGAATTGTATCACCCTACGGCCTGATATACAAAGTTTCTTGGTATGGCTTCACAAGCATCAAGATCAAAAACCTCACCAGGCGATTCTTGGAAAGCCGTTTCTTCCTCCAACAATGAAGGAGGGTGCTGTAATGGAAATCGCAATGTTCCATCTTCTAACGTGTTTCTTTTCTCTGGCACAGGATCATCTGTGGCTTGACGAACAGACTAACCATTTGGATGTACTATTACATCGCATCTCCTCGCATAAACGATACAAGCATAATGTTAGAGAGGCTACAGATGAAGAAGCAATTGCGTTGGCGGGATCATTAGGATTTGATCTAACGGGTCGCAAGCTTACAGTTGCAAGAAAAGCTCTCAGCTGCATTTTTCTCGTTTCCAAGAGCGGATTAGTGGTGAACGACCTTTCGCCGTGGATTGCATCTATGTTAGCACCATCAGTGTCTCAAGCATGTCAGGAGCTTGCTAATCTCTCAATTATCCCGGCATTCGTTACATGTGATATTTTAAGACGCACTCCACTCTCTCAGAACGATCTTTATCTCCAATTAGATCTCTGGAACAAATTTCAAGAAAGCATAGCTAAAGCATACCATGAAAAAACATCTTTCATCACTAGCATTGTGAAAAACATAACCTTCTATTGTGTTCAGTTTGACCCTTATAAACTTCCCCAGTTTATTAGTTGTACTGTCGAATTTCTAAGCTCAAAAAATTCAGGCTATGTCTTCAAAGTACTAGACAAAGAGTTCACCAACAGTCTTATTTATTCAATTGCATTTTATTTCATTCAGGCATCGCTCAAAAACCACGATGGTGCCATGTGTGTCATTCGGGCACAAGAGGTTTTGGTGAAGCATGTTACGCACCCTAACTTGAATCAACAGGGGTTTATGGGGGTGGTCATGGCCATCAACTACGTTTCCGAGGAAAAGGCACAAAGGCTTCTTGAAGTTTCCCATTTACATTTTCCTGAACGGTCAAGCTACTTCCATCTTGCGCAAATTCATGTTTCTTCCACTCCCGAACAACTATTGCATTCATTCAACTCTGGGATGGCACAGTACCCTCACTCAGCGTCTATGTGGCTTGTTTTTGTGAAGAAATTACAGTCACTTGAGCTTCTTTCAGAGCGGCGTGCCCATAAACTTTTGGACCAACTACTTTCACGTAGACAGCATCTCATCATATCCAAAGACATTGTGCTGACGCTTCTTCATGCGGTCGAAAGCATCAATGGCATCGAGCATTTTATCATGGAACTAGAAAAGGCCCAACTTCTCCCGAAATTCCAGCAAATTGTCATCAGCAAGTATATGAGTCTTCTCTATCGCCTGGGTAACGAGAAAAATGTACGCAAGCCGTACTTAGACAAAATGGTGCGGCGCTCCAGCAACCTTGAGTGTGCGCGGTTTTTGTTCGAGCGAACTCAACGCAAAACTCCAGCGTTCGTTGCAATGATGCTCAACGGCGAAGTGGCTCACCGGCCCGAGGAAATTTTCTCACTCTACTGCGAGCACCTCGAGGGCAAAATTCCTGATCAGCAATGCCTTGCGGCGCTTCTCCGTGCGTGTTTGGAGAGGAAGCACGGCCACGTTATTTCGTGGGGCGCCTTGTATGCGCCTCAAGTCGCAGTGCACGAATTCAAAAAGTACGTTGCGCAAAAAGTGCCGCTGACTCGTCCAAGCGAGGATGGACTTGTGCCGTCGAACCAGCTCTGGAAATTGTATATCCGTGTGTTAGTGGAGGCCAGTTATTTGGCCGAGTTGGCGGAAATCATACGGTGGTGGGAACAGGTGCAGTTCCGCCCGCCCAAGAGCACGCTCTTGCTTCTTTTGCGCGCCCTTCCGCGCGAGTTCGCTGAGCGCCATATAAAACATGCTGCGAGCGTTCCGGCAGACGCACATTTTCTTCTGCTGTGGCCCTGGCCCACAGTAGACGAATTGTAACATAGATTAATAACACAGGCTCAAGGGTTCATCAAGACGAAGAGGAAAACTGTAGAGGACCAGATTCTATGTAGATATCTTCGAGAATAGGAATTCTTCAAAACAGGGGATTACTGAAGCTGTTGTCTTTAGAAATGCACAATTGCCTAGCCTTTTTAGCGATTAGAGATGTGCACTTTTCACTTTTACTTCCAGTGAAGCTATTAAGCCGAGAATTGTTCACACGCTGCGAGAAGGTGTTGACTTTACTGTCTGTATGAACGCTCTTCCAACTTATGTTGGTGCGGCATATGCCGATGAACTTCGAGCCCGGAGTTTCTCAGGACAACTCCGGGAACCTTTCGGAAAGATTTTAACTGTACCGTTTAGGCTCACAAATACTTGTTTCCCCGTATGCGCGGCTCTTGTCCCCCAAATATGGAGTTGTCTGTTTCTCCGCCGAGAATCCGAAGCGCCGAACACGACTGTCTTCATTGATTTGTTGAAGAGAAAACCAATTTATCGATTATTGCAATAGATCAAAGCCTAAAATCTTAGGTCTATTTCAACATTTGGCCCCATTTTGCTTTAGTAGCTCCGATTTCATTTTCTTCCTCTTCCTCTCTTACCTATTGGTATACATCTATGTGAAACCTTCTATTGTGGGGCCGATTCGGTCCTGCAGAACTAATAGTGGTGCGTCGACCAATAAAAGCGTGCCGCCGGATCCGTCATATAAAGAAGCGACAATCCACCGTTCTTGTCCTCCAAATTAATCATGTTGAGACTTTCCCAAGCTAGAGCTTCTGCAACTTTCACCAGACAAATTTCCTCCACATCTTCGCTCATGAAGTCCGCCACCAGAATCGAAACCGACGCTTTTGGTGAGATCGAGGTTGACGCCTCCAAGTACTATGGTGCCCAAACCGCCAGATCTAAAATGAACTTCAAGATCGGCGGCCCTGCTGCTCGTATGCCAATTCCTGTTGTCAGAGCTTTTGGTATCTTGAAGAAAGCTGCTGCTATTGTCAACGAAAGCTACGGCACTTTGGACCCTAAGGTCGCTGGTGCCATCAAGCAAGCAGCCACCGAAGTTTCCGAAGGTAAATTGGACGACCACTTTCCATTGGTTGTGTTCCAAACCGGTTCTGGTACCCAGAGTAACATGAACGCTAATGAGGTTATCTCCAACAGAGCCATTGAGATCTTGGGCGGTGAATTGGGCTCCAAGAAACCAGTGCACCCAAATGACCACTGTAACATGTCTCAGTCTTCTAACGACACCTTCCCTACCGTTATGCACATTGCGGCTGTCACTGAAATCAACAACACTTTGCTTCCTGAGTTGAAGGCTTTGCGTGACTCTTTGCACAGCAAGGCTGAGGAATTCAAGGACATCATCAAGATTGGTAGAACCCACTTGCAAGATGCTACTCCTTTGACCTTGGGCCAGGAGTTCTCCGGCTACGTTCAACAACTCACTAATGGCATTGCTAGAGTGGAGGCCACTTTGCCCCACTTGTTGTGCTTGGCTCAAGGTGGTACTGCTGTCGGTACCGGTTTGAACACCAGAAAGGGATGGGACTCCAGAATTGCCGAGGAAGTGTCTAACTTGACTGGTTTCCAATTCAAGCCAGCTCCAAACAAGTTTGAAGCTTTGGCTGCCCACGATGCCATTGTTGAGGCTTCCGGTGCTTTGAACACTTTGGCTGTTTCTTTGTACAAGATCGCCAACGACATTAGATACTTGGGTTCTGGTCCAAGATGTGGTTACGGCGAGTTGTCCTTGCCAGAGAACGAGCCGGGCTCGTCCATCATGCCTGGTAAGGTCAACCCTACCCAAAACGAGGCCTTGACTATGGTTGCTGTCCAAGTTATGGGTAACAACAGTGCTATCACTTTTGCTGGTGCATCTGGTCAATTCGAATTGAACGTTTTCAAGCCTGTCATGATTGCTAACTTGTTGAGCTCTATTAGATTGATTGCTGACGGTGCCAAGTCTTTCAGAGTCCACTGTGTGGACGGCATCAAGGCTAACACTGACAAGATCGAAAAGGTCTTGCATGAGTCCTTGATGTTGGTGACAGCCTTGAACCCTAAGATTGGTTACGATGCTGCCTCCAAGGTTGCCAAGAACGCTCACAAGAAGGGTTTGACTTTGAAGGAATCTACCTTGGAATTGGGCGTCTTGACTGCTGAAGAGTTTGACCAATGGGTCAAGCCTGAGACTATGATCGGTCCTAAGAACTAAGCCTCCATTGATACCATTGTAAATAACTATCGAATTATATATTCAACCAACTATACGGCAAATTGTATCTTGGAGTAGCCGAACAAGCCGATCCATTGCCGGGATGTTTTTGCCATCTACTTCTTCATGTATCGTATCATAAAATGGATGGTACGGGATCACCAAGTTGAGCCCACCAGAATCGGTGCTAACCATGTTGAAAATAAAATGATAATTGACTGATGTATTCAGGCCGAACCAAGCATTGACAATTCTCCATTGCAGCAAAGGGACATCTACAACTTTACCAAGGTTTGAGATCATCGTCGTATACCTTAAAGTGCTGCCTATCTTGTGGTACATCATTTTCGGGAAGTCAATTATTCCCATTAGCCACACTTTTTTAAAAGAGCGTCGTGTTTGAATCTCGTCTTGGATTATTTGATGGAACTCTTGGGTACAGCGGATAAGATCGGTATCTGAATGCGCCTCTATGGGGTGATAAATAACTGCGGCTCCGCATACCAATGTACCGTATACAAATGCTTTGAAACGGTCTTTGTAATATCTTCTTCCATCAATAGCAATGAAGTTGCTGCTAGAGAAACAAGCTTCGCCATTTTCATGAGGAAAATGTGGGTAGATAACCTTCTCGATGCTGTTCAAACCTATGACATTGAAAAATGGAGTCAATGTGACACCAATGGAGCGGCAAAACTTTGTGATCTTGGCTACTTGAGCCGGGGAGAAATTCACTATTTTGAATTTCGTGTCCAAATTCTTTTCAATCGGAACGCTATAGAAGACGGGGGGTAATGATTTTTTTTGATTCCCAGAGATCAAATCCCAGACCCTCTGCAATGTTGCAAAAACACAAGGAAACCGGACCTGGGTCCAATACCATATTCTCTGAAAAAAACCCGGATAGTAAAGATCTGTGAGGCTTTCTGTGGGCCGTTTGATGGGAGGAAGCTTTGAATCGTAGACGAACAAAGTATCAATCTCGGTTTCCACGTCATCAAACAGCTCCAATTCATGAAGAAGGTCACGATGAAATTGCAAGGCTGTCCCGCCATCAGCAAGGCTATGGCAAAAATACGCACACACATATTGTGTATTTTCTGTTTCGAAAACGCAAATTTGCCAAAGTGGAGCGTCATCTCTTCCCACTTCATTTTTGAATGTGTTTATTTCCTCCAATACTTTTTCATCGAAGTGGTGAATTTTTCTGTATGAGACCACAGAATCAAAACAGATTTTGTTCACATAACGAAGTTCATAATCGTTTTTGACGTTGGGTGGTTCACTATGACAAATTGGAAAGAAATTGTAAGATAGCCAATAGTTTTTCTTGATCAATGAAGATAAGGCATGTGATAAGACAGCTCTCAGAATATGTTTGCTATAACAAGCTGTGACATTGAAGTTAGAATAGTATGAGTCAATGTTTCTATAAAGAAATGCCTGTTCGTTGAATCCAGGAGATCTTCGATGATCAGGTCTCACCATGTAAATACGATAGATATCTATAGTAAAGTCCACTTGTGTTTTAGTGAATGGACGGAAGTTGCAAGGAATAAAGTCAATGAATAAGCATAAATAAAAGTACAAGACGAGCGGATTTCAACATTTTGCGCGATAAGAGGTATAGATCTCGTATTTTGCAAATGATCAGATCCGATAAGAGTATCTTCGTAATTGGATGATGAGACCATCGTATTAATCGGAGTTATGAACCAGTCGTTCATAGCTAACCTATCTAGAAATTTCGGATTAGTAAGTCAAGCGTTTACATTGAATAATAGAGACACCAGTTCAAGTTCAGTATTACACACGCTCAGGTCTTTCTAACTGCATATGCACTTAAGAGGATACAGCCTGCGACATTATCAGTGCAATGGGTCGCTCCAGTATAAGAGCAATCTTTTACTCACTATAATCTCTTTTTTCTCCAATGGCAAAAATGAAGTTGGATCTTTCTGCATACTTGGTAACTGACTCCACTATGATACCGGAGTCTTCGAGTTTCTTATCGCAAGTGCAACAAGCGGTCGAAAACGGTGTAACAATTGTGCAACTCAGAGAAAAGAACATTCTGACCAGAGACTTTATCGATAGGGCCAAGGATGTTTTGAAAATTACCAGACCCCGTGGTGTGCCTTTGATTATCAACGACAGAGTCGATGTTGCTCTCGCAGTAGATGCAGATGGTGTTCATGTTGGCCAAGATGATATGCCAGCCCGCATCGTCCGTCAACTCATCGGCCCCCATAAAATCCTAGGCGTTTCGTGTGGCAATGAGGAAGAGACAACAGAAGTGTGTGAGCAGAAAGTGGCCGATTACGTGGGGCTAGGTACGTTGTACCCAACGCAAACGAAAGATGTTAAAAATGTCTGTGGTCCGATTGGTGTGAGACGCCTGCTTCAAGTGTTGAAAAAGTACAAGGAACAAGGCACATACGTGCAATCCGTTGCTATAGGAGGCATTAACTCCTCAAATGCGTCCAAGGTCATGTACCAATGCCGTGTCCCCGGTTATGCAGTAAACGGAGTTGCTTTCGTGTCTTGCATCATGGCAGCACCCGATGCCACCCAGGCGACGAAAAAACTTTTGGACCAGCTCAAGAATTCACCTCCATGGGTAACTGCTTCCACTGCAACATTGGAGAGCCTCCAGAGCAAACCATTGGTACACCACATCACAAATAATGTTGTGAAACATTTCAGTGCCAATGTCACTTTGGCAGTAGGAGGTTCACCCATCATGTCCGAGTTACCAGATGAGTTTGATGAGCTTGCATCCCTACCTCTTCCTACTGCCCTTGTGATAAATTTAGGAACTCCATCTTCAACGCTCATGTCTGTTTTCCTTGAAGGAATCAAGGTTTACAATAACCATGGACGACCAATAGTGTTTGATCCAGTTGCAGCAGGCGCATCCAAGGCAAGATTGGACGCTTGTAGAGTTCTACTCAATGCGGGCCAAGTTAGCGTGATCAAGGGCAATCTTGGAGAGATTTTGGCAATTGATAAATTGACCAGCAGCTCTCCGTTCGCAAAAGAGGCCAATTTAATGAGAGGTGTGGACTCCGTTGCTGAAATGGGTCCTGCTGAAATAAGCGAAGTGTGCAAAAGAGTTGCGTTGGAATTCCAGTGCGTCACTGTTATCACTGGAGAGGTCAATCACATTTTCGACGGCACTCGGCCAGACTCTCAAGTTGTTACAATTCAGGGCGGAAGCCCGCTTATGGGATCTGTTGTGGGAATCGGATGTGCTTTGGGAAGCGTCATTGGCGTATTCGTTGCATGTGCTCAGGCTCAGAAGGCTCAACTTGGTCAAGCTGTTGAGTTGGCGTTGAAAGTTTATAACCTGGCAGGGAGACAAGCAGCCGTGGACCACAAACAGGGTCTCGGGAGCTACATGATCAAGTTCCTCGACGAGTTGTCCGAATCGGCGAAACCATACGCATAAGAGAGTCCATTTTCATCATTACTTGTAGAAAAGCACGCGTAGTAGCCTCATCGACTGGCGCTATTTGCTTAGTGAAGATGAGTCTTGACAAAAGAGCAGTCTTACATCAGGTTAATTCAATCATCTATCCATGCATGCCTGATTAATTAATTGATAGTGAAGGCGGTGCACATGCATGGAGACAGATCTGAGTACTTAAAAGTCAAATCCCACAGAAATAAAAAAAAGTCACACAATCATATACGCTAGTAGCGATGTTTGACTGACAAAATCGCAATACAACAACAAACTTTCACAAAAGCCAAGTCTTATCGCAAAGATAATATAGTTGTGAGCCAGCTATTGTTCGCACGATGTTCTGTACTTTGACATCTATCCCCGATGCATGCGCACTTACTTACATGACACCCCACATAATATAAACTACCATCGTAACTCTATCTTCCAGTCTTTTTCAAGCTCATAAGTCCTTAACCAGTCTCCCTTCTTCAATATCTTGCTATGGTCGTTGAAGCGCCGCCAAGTAAGCCGAATCCCAACGGCCCGAATCGGCCCTCACCCGTTTCCAACATCACCAAAATCTCCAGCTTAAAGAGATATCCAGATCGAGACTATGCTTTAGACCTTCTCCATCAAATAGCCAAGTCTGTCGGGCCCATAATACACCAGTATAAATTTAAAGTGGGTCTATTGTGTGAAATGTACCCAAAAAGCGACGCGCTTCTTGGGTTGAACGTGAACAAGGGTCAGAAAATCCTCATTCGTCTTCGGAAACCGTACAACTCGCGTGAGTTCTATCCCATGAGTGACTTGATCGGCACTTTTCTTCACGAACTCACTCACAATATTCACGGCCCACATGACGCTAAATTCTATGCTTTATGGGATGAGTTGAGAGAAAAGTACGAAAGCGGCAGTATAGGCCTCAGTAGTAACTATGTGTGTGAAGAAAACAGGTTGGGCGCGGGGTTCACGGCCCCATGGAGTACGCCCAAGACTATTAGAGAAAAACGGCTAGAAGCGCTTTCAAAGGGCAAATACAAGGCCGAGTCTCGCCGGTTGGGTGGTGCTAAACCATCAGGTGAGAATCTACGAAGTACATTGTTAAAAGCTGCGAATCGGAGATTGAAGGACTCAAAATGGTGCCCTCTGGCTGATTTGGAAAAACTAAATTTGGATGATATTGAGCATCCTGATACTATCGAGAAGTTTAAAGAAGTGATAGACCTCACAAAAGAGCAGAATGAGGACGACTCAGAAGAGATTGAAATCATTGAAGTGGACGCTTGTGAGGCTGATTCTACTTCATCCAATAAAGTAAAGGGTTCGCAACTGTGGGCAAGTGTGTTGAGGCCACCCCTTAACGAAGCTTCTTTTGAGGTAAAGCCTCCCATTAACAACAGACCCGAAATACAATACAGAAGATCCAACTCCCCAGGAAAGACGTTCATTAGTCAGGGAGATATCTACCCTCGTCGCAAATTGGTAGCGGACATGGATTTTGATGAGATAATTAAGAAAGGTGAATTGATCCAACAAGCCACACAAGAACCATCACATCCAAAGACGATTGAAAACCGAACAAAGAAACTGCCACATCCCGAGGAGTTCCTAGAGCCTAAAAGGAGAGTACGGTTTCTGGAGTCCGGTCATGATCCTACTCTAGACGAAGGTACTGGGCCTACGAAAGATAGTAATCCCACCACTGTCATTACTGGACATGGGCAATCAAATGTGGCCCTGGAGGAAGAAAAGAAACCGGGCAAAGGTAAGACCGTTCGAAGCAAAATGACCGCCCTGTCGAAGAAAAAAGAGAGCCACGCAAAACGGAAAATTCCAAAAAAACATACCGAAGTCCAGTCCGATATTCGGAGTAAAAAAAAAGTCCGCTCTATAACTTTTGACGAAATATTGGGCAAATGATGTAAGCAAGTGGAGCGAAGCAGTTCTTTCCAAGCCTAGAAGGTGCCTATGCGCGCACGTGACGGTATAGATTATGCTCGTTGAAAGAGTGACCCTCGCCATTACAACCGAGCTTCATCTCCCTAAAGAATAATGGCAAAGACGAAAGGAAAATCAAGCTTACAAGCCTTCGAGGAGCAAGAACGAGTGATGGAAAAAAGTGATTCGGTTGTGAACTTGACTAAGCCATCATTATACGGTATTTACAATGACTCGTCTACTAGTTTGAACAAGGAAAATGAGGAGGTTGAGGAATACCTAGAGGGCAACCAACTCCACATCAAGGCAAAGGACTCTTCCAAGCGGCCACGGAATCAAGGTACCGTCAAAACATCACACCAGAAAGTGTCCTCGCCTCAAAGAATTGCTTCGATTTTGTTTCGCGTAGCAACTGTTTCGACAGCTGCCCTCGTATACAACGAAGTCACCAAGCATATACATGCGAGTAATCTCAATGATATCGGAACACAAATCAATGCGTATTTGGTTACATTTATGGAGAATTGGAAGCCCATAAGATATCTTGCAAATGTGGATCATCCAGCAGATGCATTTTTCAGCTTGGCCCTGGAAGGTCTTATTTTAAGCAGCATCCTCCCTCTTTTGGACAATGTCATGCCTGGATCCTTTTCCAAGAGACTATTATCCTCGAGTCCCGACCCTTATTACAGGTCGAACTTGATGAACGACATTGTAAGGTCGCTGATTGCATTTTTGGGTGTATCTTACGCTATTAGACACATTGAGTGGAAATCATCGCTTCAGATGGCAATGACATGGTCCCTTATAAACCCGTGCTTGTGGTTGTTGTTAGATGGAACTATTAGTGGATTCATTGCGTCGACAGGCACTGCATTCGGCGGGTCGGCCATCGTCTACTATCAAAATGGCGTTAAGTTCTCCACCGACAAAGATACTGATCTTATCATTCTCCTTTTTATTGCAAGTTTCTTCTTTTGCGGTGTTATCATCTTTGGCAAATTGGGTAGACTCTTATTTGGGAAGCTGAAGTTTCAGAACTAATTGTTCCTGTGGTTGTTTGACTCTGTGAAACATGGTTTACAGTTTATTTCTGTATCGAAGTTTACCTCTACTATCGCTCATGGACACAAGATATAGGTTGGTGGTACGCAGTCTGCGCATCAATATAAATTCAACAATAATCTATAGCTGCTTATGCGCAAGTATACAATTTCGTTTAATAGAAACCTTTATTTGACGCTCTTAAATTAAGCTTTTCTCGTAGAATGTTGCTTCTTTTGATGCTTCATTATCTTTTGCAACGAGCTAAAGATTTCGTGTTGTTCTCCCATATTGAATATCCTGTATATAACATGGCCAATGAAAACCTCGTCAAAAACACTTCACTAAAAATCTCATACGCATTTCCACTACACCATTTATCATGAGCGGAGGTCCAATCCCAGTTTGGAAAAAATACACATCCAGACCCACAGGAATCTGGGAAAAATTAAGACAAGTGTTGGTGCTTGTGCCCAACAGATCTTCTGGTAACCCTCTTGTCCAGTTTTTCAGAGCCATTCCACCAGGTGCCAGAATTGAAGAAGCCAACAACTATAAGGAGCCTGGTACCATTCCAGCATCGGACATCAAGGGAAACCCATACTATAAGCGTGACTACAGAAGAAATTACCCTCAGGTTCACGGCTTCAACCAGACTAAAGTTTCTGGTTTGTTGACATTGGGTTCTGCTGCCAAACCCAGAGTTTCCATTGGCGAGAAGGGTACCAAAGAATTGGCTGCATTTTCTCCTGGCCAGGTTGTGAGCTTGTCGACCACTTTGACATCTCTTGACCCTAAGGTCGTCAAGGGCGAAGTTTTGGGCCAAGCTGGAGAACCAATTGTGGCTCCTTCTTTGCGCAAATTCCAGTGGAAAGTTTTGGAGGAACCACAGCACGGAATGTTCACAGACGAGTACCCATGTCGTATTTTCAGCGACTCAACCCCGGCTTCCTCTGCCAAATAGAGGGTTTTCTTCTCTTCTCCTTGTGATCTAGTACGATCATGCTGCATCTGTTATTTAATCTACATGAGGGTATTGTAATACATATTCGAGTATTAACTAGTCATCGTCATCTTCCAGAGAGGGCACCCGCAATTGAAGGTCTGGAAAAAGTAGTTGGAGATGAATTCCAAACCAACCTGTAAGGTAGTACAACGTTTTCTTGTCAGAGATGTTTGCAAGAAATGTCTCTGATTCACAAGGATGACACATGAGATAAGGAACGTCAAGCAAAGGATGGATCTCCAAATCACCATATGGGCCGGGGTAATCAAGAGAACCGTTCACTTTAAAGTAGAGAACAGGCATTTCGAAAATCTCATGGTAAACAATTGAAATATCAATGATATCCTCACCATTCTGAAACTGCACCATATTATACATATCACCATTTGCCGAAGACTTGACATAGTTGTGGAGTATTTCAAATGACTCTGGTGAAGTCAAGTGGAGCAAAATCCTTCTGTGGAGGGCTGGTAGCGTTTGATTGAAGTCTTCTTTCCTCATGTTGATGTGTAGATGACAATAGACATACACGAAACAAATTGATGGGCGATATTGCAAGTTATCCAGTTTCTTGGTTCTCACTTCACTATTTCCTGAAACAACGATGGTGCGGGAAATTATCTTGTTTGAGAATCTACAACATTCGGGATTGCCCCAGATTAGTTACACAGATATATAATCTGAATCTCCAGAGAGGGATATACACTTGTGCTCCCTTTATTGTTCAAGAGGTTACACATCATAGCCCTCATAAGTTAGATTTCTTACTTTTCGTCTGATGGATTCTTCTTCAAGGATCATCCAATTCTAACTACACCTCACTTATTAACATGCTAAACTCATCTGCCCCTTACAAAAAACTTCGAAAGACTCCAGTGGATAAGTCTCTAATTTACCAGCAAGAAGTCAGGTGTGCATAGAGCTGATTATTGCACTCTCTAACTAGGCTAGTTTTGTCTCATAGACAAACCAGGATGAGGAGTTTCAATCACGATACAAGCTATGCAAGAATTACCGTAAAATCCCTATAACTTCACATATCATAATGAGCTTCCTCAAGTTATTAGGAAGCCAGGAACTGGCAATGACTACTTCTGAATACACATAATAACGATTACGAACCTCACATTTGAGTACAGGTATATTCACTGTAAAAAAGATAGAGTGACCGTGCATAAAGAAGAAGTTTCTCATAACACAGCCAATCCTGAAACCAATCATAGAACTAAAAGAAAAAATAGTGTGAATTGGCGAATACGAGTAGTTTCGATACGTTTCTTATGATATGAGTGGCGTAGATACATTAGGGCCACAGAAGTGGCGAGCAGGTGACCAAGTCACCAAACACTAAATTGATAAGGCAAGTAAAAAAGAAACACATGGGCAAGCCCTAGCTCTGCTTGGGTTCCGGGTCGTCTGAAGTGGATTCACTCAACAAGTTCAGCTTGCCATTGAACATGATTCCAGAGTTCCCCGCACTGATGGAGTTTCTGTTATAAATTTCTTTCACTTTCTCAGCATTGGGGTGTCTCATAGGAATGCCTCCAAAATTGGATTTCTGGCCTCCCTTTTGGTTTTGCATGGCGTAGTCTCCGCTATCAAAGTACTTCTTATCTTGAAACTTGGAGGAAAGAATCTGCTGGGTGGTTGGGAGCTTTCCATACATGCGGTATATTCTCAACTCCTGAGGAGACAACTTGGATAAGTCAATGCCTTGTTCGTTCTTTGGCGGACACAATGGATCTTCATCTGAGGACATGTTGCTAGTTTGCAGATATAAAGGAGGTATGAGCAAATGATGAAGGCGTGCCCATGTTTATGTGCAGGTCAAAATTTTGCTTTTCTTGACTCTTGTATAGAAAAGTGAATGTCTCTATTTTAATATTGTGCTCAAAAGAAGACTCTGAATGTAGGGGAAAAGTGGCACCATCAAAATGCAAATATCCACCAAGTAGGCAATAATGCTATACACCTCAATGGGGATCGGAAATGAGTTTGGAAGTTTCGACACAACCAAACTAAACTCCACAAACGCAGGTAAGTCAGACACAACGGCGAAAAAATCAGCCTCTATCAGAATGTCAATGTAAATGTCTAATGTATCCTTAGCTGCGTCTGTCTCGCCAAACTCTTTGGCACGGAGAAATGTATGGCTGAGATCAAAGTTGAAAGGATAGGTGGCTGGCCAACAGAGCTTGACATTGATCACATCGTTGGAGTCAAATGTCAGGTTGGCGTAATTGTTGAGTTTAACCAAAAGCCGCTGGCTGCGCTTCGAGTGAAAATCGTATGGAAGCTTTATGATGCTGTCGGATGTATCGTAATTCGTGGCGTTGACTATAGGAAACTCGAACATAACCCATGTACTTGAATTGTACTGTTCAAGATGGGTATCGACATATGGAGAAGTTCGTACAGGGACGTTGTAGTAGTTTGGGACGGTAAACAGAAACGTTTCTGTATTTGCCAAGACTCCTACTGTAAGAAGAACAAGAAACCACAACACCTTTCGAAGCATACCTCTTGCAGGCTTAGAAACACGAACCAAGGAAGATATCGAGATGCTGGTGTACGGGTCTTTCCACGCCAGAGATGCGCATATACATTTGCAGTCAGTTTCCTAACACATTGTCAACGGTTAATTTGAGGTTTGGGACAGTTTCACAATCAGCAACAAATTCTCGGACACCGAGATCACCAAAACATTCAAGCAAAAGTTTGATGGATGTTGGAAAGCGAAACTTATGTTGTTTCAACCCAGTTCGTAGATAAGCCAAGTTTGCAGTCCATCCTTCAAGCACAAGCAGCTCCAATGCATCAAAAGTATGTAGAAGTCTGGAAAAAATGGTCATGGTGAGAAACTTTTTGTTGCATGTTATGCCAAAAAAACTGATTTTGATGTTTCTAAGCGAGCTGGCGCGGCTTGGGAATGGCGCTTCGAGAAAGTTGATGAATCTTTCCAGCAAAATGAATGGATTGTTGTTTGAGTACGTGATAGATAAGTCATGGAGGCTATCGCTGTGATTGAAATATTCCAAGTTGAAAGGGTACTCCCACGTACAGTCCTGGAGAGATAACGTTTCTAGCGTCGAGAGGTTGAGAGCTTCTTCTTCAATCCAGTTGAAATGGTACTTTGACAAACAAAGCTGCCGAAGGCCATGAAGGCCAGCAATATGCGAAAGATGGAAGATCTTGATGCTGTTGACCTCCTTGTCTGAGTATAGGCTCAACGACCGAATGTGGAAGCTTTCATTGTACTTGAGCCAGTACGACAGATTGTCTGAATTGACCGTCACACGAATTAAATTCGGTAGCACACTAGGAGATAGAAGTGTGCCAAATGTTTTTTGCTGGTACTCGTTGAACGAGTTGGCCTCTATGATACGAAGAGACCTTACTAGATGTCGATACTGCGAGATGGCTGTACCTTGCTTGTTTTCGTGGAGATCGATGATTTGGTCCCAGGTAGCCTTGATATGCTTAAACATGTATATGACTAACCGTTCTCGGAATTCTCGACATACCAACGAAAGTGATTTGACATCGGAAGGAAGCAAATGACTGAATATGATCTCTAGCAAATCCTCTGGAAGATCCGTAAGCAAGCGCTGCCTCTTGTACCTTTTTGCAGAAGGAGACATTAGTACAAACTTTAAGATCTTCCACGGTTATACATCTAAACAAGACCTCACTATGCTTTAGAGACGACTTTTTGCTATAATCAATGTACACCTCATTGTAACTTTTGTGTCTTATCGTGATGAGTGGGGTGCGCACGACAAACTATATCTTTACACATTCAACAAATGCCACTATTCAATGCAATGGGAAGAACCAACGGGCTCGTCTTTCTTCTTCTTATCTTTTCTATTATAGCATGGTACCGGTTTTCGTACCGTCCTTCTCATGATGTGAGGGACACTCATGTCTTAGAATTTGAGTATGAACCCACAGAACGATTCAATTTGGACAGCAAATGGAGTTGGGCCCTCACAATCTTGATTCTTGTCATCACCAGTGTTTTCATTTCAAACTGAGAATGCCAGTCTATGCATATTTCTCCATCTTTTTACATGATTCGTGGCCCATATCTTTAAGAAACGTGATGGGTACGATTGAATGATATTTGATATTCCACCAAAGTTTCGTTGATTGCCAAATCTGTTTGAAATCTACTCTCTTGATTCTATTTACTTTCTTTTTTATTTCTTGTTGTCGAAACTTGCCGTGTCCATCTAACAGCATTACACACCATCATCGGTTCTTTTTTTCCTTTCGCGAACTCCATCATCACTCTACAATGAAAGAAGAAGAACTTCATCGGCGTATCCAAGAGCTTGAGGCAGAAAATGCTAAGCTAAGGCAAGGTTACAATCCGCAAGAACACATTTTCGAAAAAATCGACTCTCACTTTTCGTTGGAAGAGTACAGGCGGTATGGGCGTCAGATGATAGTTTCAGAATTTGGGTCTCTACCGGCGCAGAAACGGCTCAAAGATGCCAGTATTTTGGTTGTTGGTGCCGGTGGCCTTGGCTGTCCAGCCTTATTGTACCTAGGTGGGGCTGGAATAGGTAAAATCGGTATCGTTGATAATGACATTGTCGATGTCAGCAATTTGCACAGACAGGTTCTTCATACGACAGAGACTGTTGGGATGCTCAAATGTGAATCAGCAAAGCTATACCTAAATCGCCTCAACCCCCATGTTAGTGTCGCTACTCATCCAGAGAGACTAACAAACGAGAATGCGTTTGGTATCATCAATCAATACGATTTGGTTCTCGATTGTACCGACACACCAGCAACACGTTACTTAATCAATGACGTCTCTGTGCTTTGCGGTAAAACTATAGTGAGTGGATCCGGGGTGAAGACAGATGGCCAAATCACTATCTTAAACTTCCGGTCAGAAGGACCGTGCTACCGGTGTTTTTATCCTACTCCTCCAAAACCGGAATCCGTTTCCACATGTGGTGATGCTGGTGTTCTTGGCCCTGCTATAGGAATAACGGGGATTGCAATAGCTATGGAGGCAATCAAAGTTCTCACCGGTTACTATGATAAGTCATTTGAGCCGTTCTTATCTATGTATTCAGCATACCCGATGCAAAACATGAGAGTCTTCAAAATGCGCAAGAGACAGAAACATTGTCTTGTCTGTGGCGAGGCTCCTACAATAACAAGAGAAGTAGTGGAGTCGGGTAAGATTGACTACGCTGTTTTCTGTGGATCGGTCAACAATAATATTTTGACCAGCGAACAGAGAATAGACGTGAAGGAATTTCATTCACTAAGATCAGCAAATCCAAACAGTATTTTAATCGATGTGAGACCACGGGAACAGTTTTTGATCACAAAGCTACCGAATGCCATAAACATTGACTGGACTAGCATCTTGTCCAAGATTGATTCTGTGGATGACTACATCCCTCTGTCATTCAACAAGAATGAAGATGCATTATATGTAATTTGCAGATATGGCAATGACTCGCAATTGGCAGCGCAAAAGCTTCATGAATTAGGTTTCAAGAAAGTTAAGGACATAAAAGGTGGTATGTACAAATGGAGCTGCGATGTTGATCCTGGAATCCCTATATATTAATTCATCAAAGGATCTAATCTTTCTAGAACTAAAAGACCCGTGTATGTACCAAATGCATAAGTTGAACTGCTTTCGAGTGTCTCATTCCATGCAGAAGCAGAAATAACTACTTCTGGAGGAGTAAAACTGTACAAAACGTCTGATTTTTCCGAAGAGGTTGGAACGTAATCTCCTCTAAGATTAATGATACTTCCGGTTTCATCTTTTGTTAGCGACCAAAGTTTGAGCGGGACAACTAATTTGTTATTGGCTTTGGGAACTCCAAAGATTTTCCGTCCAATATTCATAACGTAAACGTCACCCATGATGTTTCCCACAAGCGCAAACGGATGATTAAGGAATTCACTAATGTGAAATGTTGACACTAGTTCCGTTCGAAGCAAAAGAACATGCTTTTGGTGCGGATGACGGACAAAAGTATATCCTATACTTTCAGCACTATCAGGATACACGAATATACGATATCCATTGTGATGTAGAGGCTTCAACGTCGAAATTGTGTAATTGCTTTCGACTCTACCTTGTCGCAAATTGTCATATTGTAAAGCAAATGCTTGAGTTGTTGCAGTATTGACTAAAAGCACATGAGATTTCTGCACTGGGGCTATTGTGATGGATACTATGCTTGAGTCAGCCAAATATTCCATGAAGGATGGGATTTTCAAAGTTTTAGGGTCCTCTAAACCGGGCAACATGAATTCAGCTATAGCGCCATCTAGTGTCCCCACAATAACCTTAGTATGATCTAATAGATCATAGGACGTAATTGGAACAATTTCTTGCTTCTCTTGTCTCTCATCTTTAACGGCGATTGTGAATGAAGGCTCCAATATCTCATAATAGTTCGTTTGTTCTGAGATGGAGCGCACGATCTTGTAGAAATGCAACTTGCCATCAGAAAACCCTCCCATAAGAACACCTATTGTTTCGTTGCTAAACTTGACGGGAAGCCAAGAAAGCTCCTTCGTAACACCAAACGCAGTTGTATCGTAAACGGCAGATAACGTCATTGAGCGAACATCGTCAGAGCAAGTCCATATCTGAATGCATGATTTCACTTTTCCATTTGCTTTGTTTGGTAGTATGCTCAAAGTAGGATCTGAAATCGATGCGGCTAGCCCATCTTCGTGATTGATCACAAATACAGCTAAACAAGAGATATCTCCGTAAGGTAGCCACTTCATTGCAGTGATAGTACCTCCAACATTCAATGCCAAACCGTTTCTCCCGATCTTGGAATGGAGGTCAACTGAATCTCCTCTTGCCAATGCTTGTTCATGGGATTGATCTCCTTTGCTAAAATTCATGTGTATGGGAGTATTCTGCCCAAACTTTTCGTAAAATGATTCTTCCAGTACATTCTGGACATTAAGGTCTGCAAAACCGAGGTCATTTGAAGAGATTGGTACCTCCTTTATCTTGTGCTTTTCCTCTTGGACCCAATTACTAAATTGTTTTTCATTAATGTAAAAGAGCTTATCCCCCCACAATTCTTTCTGGTCTAGAAGGAACTCGAAAAGATCATTTTCAAATCCGAAATTATGATGGAACCTTCCAACAAAACTCAAGTCCCTTACACGGGGCAAATTTGCCTTGAGTATGACTTTGTTACTATCTGTAGTCATAAGGAAGAGATGTTTACTATTGTTATTTCGCGAGATAAATAAAGACATGTGCCAATCGCAAAATGTAGATACTACGAATCTCAAATCGTAAGCGATTTCACAAGTATGCTGTATGAAAAAGGGGTGAAGATGATAGTTCAAATTTATTTGGTATTATTTCCGTTTGTCCCATAAACATTGGTTTATTTTGTTTTCTTGTATGACAAGCCAACCTCTTCTCCGCGACTATACGATTATATTATCTGACAAAGACATAGACACAGAAGACGTCAATAGTATGAGCAACAATCTGCTGCCTTCGAAAGGGAAGAAGAAGAAAATCTCTTTTCTACAAGACGATGACTTTTTTGTCATAAAGAAGAGTAAAAAGCAAAAGACTCCATCGTCGGCATTGGTCGAACATCAAGAATCAAATCCACCTTCTGAAAGACAGACATCCGAACCCCAATCCATTATCACACCTCAAGCCACAGACAATTTAGAGTCCGATGATTTGTATCAGTCGTTTCATTCTGCCCGAGATTCATTTTCTGTTACTGATGCAGATGATGATCTGGAAACATTGCAAGTGACAGGGCATGCAAGAACAGCTTCCAAAGAAGTCCATGAAAGACTAGACGATTCTATAGAAGAGATTGACGATGACGACCTCAATACTTTTTTTAAAGAAATCAAGAGTTCCCGACATCTCGATAAGACAAACACCACTAGCGAACGCACTCGCATCTATATCATCAGAATCATTAACAAATATGGCCTTCCCCTTGAGACTGAGGTAGCTGTTTCAGGCGACAAAACTTTTGGAAGCATCTTGGACGACTTAGACATGGGAGACAAGGAATACCCAGTACTAGGTGTGAACGGTGCTTTGGTTTGGGTCGAAGGAAAATCAGAGCTCAAACGGTTTTTTAAACCCAGCACACTACGAATCCCTATTCCTACCGATGGAGATTCGACCAGATTGACAGTTTTATATATACCGCCTGAGAATGTGGATCGATTCGAAAGCATTTATCCTGAGTTTCAGGATACACATAATAATAATCTGCAAAACGTCATTGATCTTCTGGATACCAGTGATGAAGGAGGGCAGCAGACCTCAGCAGTTTCAGAAACGCTTTCGAAGCAGAGCTATTTCATTATTGGACTAAAGGGGAAAGACAATAAGCGAATAGAGTGTGAAGTGGGACCAGATACAAAAATACGGGATTTATTGTGCTATTATATTAAAGTGAAGGGCATAGATGAAAACACCGTGCAGCATCCAAAGTTGGTTTTTGACGATGAGGAGTTAGATCTCGAAGGTTTGGTAAAAGATACAGAATTGGAGGAGGAGTTTGAGGTGCAAGTATATATATAATTGATGGGTATCTATTGCTCAATGGGCTCTGGCATTCTCATCCACGTTAAAGAAGACTTCCAAATATGCCTCCGATGTAGCCAATGACATAACTACCAAACCAGGTCACCGTACTAGCGCCAAAAGGGAAGTAGCTAAAAAATGTAGTAGAGGATTGCAAACATCTCGATGACACTAGCAAAGATCGTTAGCAATGTACTTTTGAGAATAGCAGCGCAATACATTGTCGTCAAAACAGAACCGAAGAAGACAGACGTGAAGACAATTCTCTCGCGTCCCATCAAATGCTTCACATATGCATGTGGGCCTTGAAGGATCCCAAAGGAAACAACAAACAAAAGAGATCCCATCAGCCAAAGGAACGCAAATTTGGTAGGCTTTAAAGCAAGTACTGGAAACATGAAAAAGCCCAAGGCAAAACAAAGTAAAGATGCTCCCAAGCAGCATCCAAATCCGACGATTCTCTCGAATCGGCTCATCTGAAACCAAGAAGGTTCTTGGCTGGCGCTGGTGCTTGTGTTATAAGACGGCAAAGCGTCATATAGATTGTTTGCTCCCGATCTGACATAGTCTCCCCATTCAGCAAATGCTGGAAGCGAAGTTCGAGGTTGAGTGGGATTTCTGTTTGCCCAGTTGCCAAACTGGGCCCTGAAATCCGATTCTGGTAGCGACATTGCAGATTAGACAAGAATTCAGACCAACTGTGGGGACTTTGCTCTGCTGGGTGTATATCGGGGTGTACGGGTGTCTTGGTCTACGTATGGGCCCTTAGCTTGAAAGCAAGTGTAGTATTGTTGTCATATAAGAAAGAGAGTAGCATGATAGACTACGGGACAAACTTTACAGGCAACAGTCTTTATCTCAATTTTGTCTGTTCAATTTCTACAACTTCTCAACCAGTTCCAAGGCTTCTTTCAACGACTCGTGGAGCTTGCCCAACTTCTCAAAGTCCGTTTCTTGCGCTGGCCAGCCCACTCCCAATCCTGTAGCTTCGTCCCTCTTGGGGATGAGGTGGAAGTGTACGTGGTCCACCTCTTGGTGGGCAATTCTGCCGTTGTTCTGCAAAACGTTATAGCCCTCGCCTTCAGGGGTATTGTTTTCATCGAGTTTCAAGACTTTGGTCAACTTCTTGACCATTGGCAATAACTCGGCAAGATACTCATCGGGAATATTGTGCAACTTGGCGCCGTGGTATTTGGGAATAATAAGACAATGAGCCTCAGCAGTGGGTTGAATGTCCAAGAAGGAGTAAGCGTGCTTTGTCTCAAGCAACTTGAAAGAAGGGATTTCACCCTTGATGATTTTGCAGAAAATGCACGATGCGTTGAGCGACATGGTATATATAGATCTGTGGGGAACTGTGGTGGTTACGTGAGGTTATTATAGTGATCCGTGGAGGCACGGGTGCGCTAGCTCGCATTTCTCCATAGTTAAGACTGATTGCTATGGGCTAAAGCTCCCAAGGTTAAACAAAAAAACCAAATTAGTGACTCAATGTCAAAGGTAGAGACTACTAACCAGATAGATATTATTGTCAAGCCACAAAAACTTCCAGTAGATTGGAGTTTCTAGATGACATTTCCCGAATGACCACTTTCGGCAACAACATGTAAAGTGTTATCTTTGAGTAAAAATACTCCAAAATATTTATAGCTGCGAATGAAGTATGCATTTTGACTAACCGAGAAAATGAGTTACTGAAAAACGATCATCAACGCATTTCAACACTGGCAGTCATGATGGTCTTGATTATTCAATATGAGGCGGCATAAAATTAGCCCTTCTAAATCACCCAAGAAATGTAAGGCCATAAATACCAACCACTCTGAGATGTAGATAGATGTACCCCGGTCTTTCTTCTATGATCGATTATTCTTGTCATGTTTTCCTCATTTACTTTCTTATCCTCGTTTCCTGAGTTGATTTTGCCCTTACTGTCTTATCGCCCAGTCCTACGCAATGACACATTAGTATTGCCAATCTATGCTATGCTCTCTCACAACAAAGTTGACAATCATATACATCGATTTTGCATCATGATGGTATTACATAGACATACACACAGATTTTTCATTTCCTTAACACCATATCGACTTTGCCACCACAGCTTCACACAATGTTCCATTTACTTCGATACTGATCTCGTAAGGGCCTCGGGCGCGAAACCCGTACACCACCCCTCTCGGTCGCACAGTTGCCCGTTCTACTTTGGATAGATTTAGTGGCAACATTCTTTCTTGTTAACATCTGTTTTTAACGAACTCATAATGACAGAAGACAAAAAGCCATTGTTGGATGCCTCTGGCGCCAGCCACAGTGAAGATAAAACTGCGACTGCGATTTTAAGAAGAAAAAAGAAGGACAATGCCTTGATTGTCGATGACGCCACCAATGACGATAACTCGGTCATCACCATGTCTTCGGCCACAATGGAACTTTTAGAATTGTTCAGAGGTGATACTGTTTTGGTCAAGGGTAAAAAGAGAAAGGACACTGTCTTGATTGTTTTGGCCGACGACGATATGGAACCTGGTGTTGCACGTGTCAATAGATGTGTTCGTAACAACTTGAGAGTCAGATTGGGTGACATTGTTACAATCCACCCTTGCCCAGATATCAAGTATGCCAATAGAATTTCCGTTTTACCTATTGCTGACACGGTGGAGGGAATTACCGGTTCCTTGTTTGATGTCTACTTGAAGCCATATTTCGTCGAGGCGTACAGACCTGTTCGTAAAGGCGATTTGTTCACTGTGAGAGGCGGAATGAGACAGGTTGAATTCAAAGTGGTTGATGTTGATCCTGAAGACTACGCCATTGTCGCACAAGATACTATTATTCACTGTGAGGGTGAACCTATCAACCGTGAGGATGAGGAAAACAACTTGAATGAGGTTGGCTATGACGACATTGGTGGTTGCAAGAAGCAGATGGCTCAAATTAGAGAATTAGTTGAGTTGCCTTTGAGACACCCACAATTGTTCAAGTCCATTGGTATCAAGCCACCAAAGGGTATTTTGATGTACGGACCTCCTGGTACTGGTAAAACCATCATGGCTAGAGCAGTTGCCAACGAAACAGGTGCATTCTTCTTTTTGATCAATGGTCCTGAAATTATGTCGAAGATGGCCGGTGAATCCGAGTCCAACTTGAGAAAAGCATTTGAAGAAGCCGAGAAGAACTCCCCTGCTATTATCTTCATTGACGAAATTGATTCCATTGCCCCAAAGAGAGACAAGACGAATGGTGAAGTTGAAAGAAGAGTGGTTTCCCAGTTGTTGACTTTAATGGATGGTATGAAGGCCAGATCTAATGTTGTTGTGATTGCTGCCACTAACAGACCAAACTCCATTGACCCAGCCTTGAGAAGATTCGGCAGATTCGACAGAGAAGTTGACATTGGTGTTCCTGATGCTGCAGGTCGGTTGGAAATCTTGAAGATTCACACCAAGAACATGAAATTGGCAGGTGACGTCGACTTGGAGGCTATTGCTTCTGAAACCCACGGTTTCGTTGGTGCTGACGTGGCATCCTTGTGTTCTGAAGCCGCTATGCAGCAGATCCGTGAAAAGATGGATCTCATTGATTTGGAAGAAGAAACCATCGACGCCGAGATTTTGGATTCTTTGGGCGTTACCATGGACAACTTCAGATTTGCTTTGGGTAACTCCAACCCATCTGCCTTGCGTGAAACTGTTGTTGAAAATGTCAACGTCACCTGGGATGACATTGGTGGATTGGACGGCATCAAGAACGAATTGAAGGAAACTGTTGAATACCCAGTCTTGCACCCAGATCAATACCAGAAGTTTGGCTTGGCTCCTACGAAGGGTGTTTTGTTCTTTGGCCCACCTGGTACAGGTAAAACTTTGTTAGCTAAAGCTGTTGCAACCGAAGTTTCTGCCAACTTCATTTCTGTTAAAGGCCCAGAATTGTTGAGTATGTGGTACGGTGAGTCTGAGTCCAATATTCGTGATATTTTCGATAAGGCTAGAGCGGCCGCCCCTACTGTGGTCTTTTTGGATGAGCTAGACTCTATTGCTAAGGCAAGAGGTGCTTCCCAAGGTGATGCTGGTGGTGCTTCTGACAGAGTTGTCAATCAATTGTTGACCGAGATGGACGGTATGAATGCAAAGAAGAATGTGTTCGTCATTGGTGCGACTAATAGACCTGACCAAATTGACCCAGCATTGTTGAGACCAGGTAGATTGGATCAGTTGATTTACGTCCCATTGCCAGATGAGCCAGCGAGATTGTCCATTTTGCAAGCTCAGTTGAGAAACACTCCATTGGAGCCTGGCTTGGACTTGAACGAAATTGCCAAGATTACGAATGGTTTCTCTGGTGCTGATTTGTCCTACATTGTGCAAAGAGCTGCTAAGTTCGCGATCAAGGATTCCATTGAAGCACAAATTAAGCTCTCGAAGGCAAAGGAGCAAGAGGTGAAGCAGGAATCTTCTGACGACGTCGAAATGACCGACAAGTCTAAGGCCGAAGAAGAAGAAGAGGAGATAGAAGACCCTGTTCCTTTCATCACAAGAGCACATTTCGAAGAGGCTATGAAGACTGCTAAGCGTTCTGTTTCTGATGCAGACTTGCGTCGTTATGAAGCATATGCGCAACAGCTACAAGCTTCCAGGGGCCAATTTTCCAACTTTAGATTCGCTGAGAACGCCGGTGCAGGTGCTAACGTTGGTCAGGATACCCTTGCTCAAGAGGCTGAAGAAGACGACTTATACAGCTAGGAAGGTTGGTTCCATTTATAGGAGCAATAAATAAAGCTTATCTTGTTCTTTGAAACCCGGGACATATCGATTATTCTTGGACCAGAGCCTCTCAGCGTTACACGTACTGATAAGCTTCGGTATATGAGATGTAGATTTTTACTTTCTACCTATGTGAGACCCTCGTTTTTTATGCTAGACTAGATCTGAATATCCATATAGAATGAGGATTGGCGTTACAATTGCTTTGCAAGATTGATGTCCGACGTGGTATGGTGTGCACTGGCTGAATATATATAGACTATGTACGCTCTGTTGGGATTGCTAGACGATGACGGTACACCAGATGTCAGGCAATCGCAGTGCTGTGGTGTATACATTACCAGTGAATGCAACTATCATAACTGTGGGCAATGACACGATGACAATTACTTTGCTCCCAGATCTACATGAAGACCAGCAAAATACTTTTATACGTGTTGTTTGAATTATCATAGGCATTTAGGCAGCCTTGATGATACAACATGGCAGACGTTGACGCATCACGGTAGTAGGTTGCCGAATTTCGCGGGTACGCAAAGATATTGAATATAAAACGGCAGGTACACTTAATTATCTGGTCTGCTCCGTACTCCGTACTGATAAGCGTATGAGATTAGACTAGCCCCTTTTTTGCCGTATTCACTACTATAAGAACTGACGAGTAAAAGCCACGAACCAGAACCAGGAAAGTTCGATTTCAGTATACATTACCATTCGTATTCAGAAGCACACTCATAATCATTCTTTACGTCCTTTGTGTTTGTATCTCTTCATTAAAACATTACTAAGCATATAGAGTATCTCGAACATGTAAAACTAGCTAATTGCAATTTGATTTTTTTTTTTTTCTAAGACTTCATCCGGGAATGTTTAGGGACACGGAAAACCCAGTAAAAGATAACAGTCATGACAACATTGAAGACTAAGAATCCGATGAAAATGCCAATATCTCTCCATCTAAGTTTGTATTTCGCATCAATCGATTGCAAAAACGCATTAGTCGACGCCATTGTGCAGTATTTGCAGTTTCCAGTGGCACTTTCATCAAGAAGATATCCTCCAGCCCGCAGCATATAATCTTTCATGTACTCTCCGCAAGTAAGATTGCCAGTGGGGCGAATATTCAATAACTCTTCTTTGGCGCAAGTCACAGATGAATTTGCCAAAGAAACAGTCAACATCGATGAAATCAAATAGGTGAAAGGATTAAATCTGTATAAGAACCTCCAGAACTTGGGCATCTTTTTGTATGTCACTAAAACACCAGAAAAGTTCAAACACACAGTGAACATCAAAGTTGCCAAATTAGCGGCGTTGTCAGCCAATTCGAAAAACGAAATACACAACTGAGCCAATGTAGATGTGTAGATGAAAAAGATAACGATGATGAACCACATCGTTGCACCTCTTTCGTGGACAGTATCAGTTGGGGTTGCATTGTTATACAATCCAGCAGGGTAGTACCAACAGAAGAAGGCCAAAGTACCGCAAAGGATATTCCACGGAACTTCAGATGTGATTTGGGCAGTGATGAAGGCAAGCCAAGAAAAGGTTTTTGATGGTCTTTCTCTCACTTCGTAAAGTGATCTCTGTGCAACATAATGAGGAAGATACTGTTGAATCAAAGTCATGATAACAACCAAAAACATAAACACCGAGAACATTTGATTTTGCAAGCCTTGTTCTGTCTTTTTTGCTTTGAAGAAGGTGAAACCATTGAAAAGTGCAGAAGTGATGGCCAAAAAAACCTTTGAATAAGTGTACTGTGGTGTTCTCCAGTATTGTTGGAAAACTCTGTGTAACACGAGCCAATATTGAAGTAAGTAACCAGCTGCATAAGACTTGAACCTCTCCGGATCATCTGATTCGGGAATATTAGGTAATTCTCTTTCCATTTCATCCAACTCGCGCTGTACTTCCTCATACTCTTTGGATTTCAACCACACTTGATAGTAGTCCTGATTAGCATGAGAACCCGGGGCTGCACCAATAACTTCCAACATCCATTCCACTGGATTCGCCTCTGGCGGACATTTTGGAGCACCGTATTTCTCAAAGTAATTGATCAACGTATTACATCCTTCACCGAGTTTACCGAAATAAATGGTTTGGCCACCTTTCTGCAAGAATAAAAGACGATCGAACTCTTTGATCAACATTGCTGATGGTTGATGGATTGTACACAAGATAGCCTGGCCGTGGTCTGCCAATTTTCTTATCAATTTACAGATGGACCAAGCAGTTTGAGAGTCCAATCCTGAAGTTGGCTCATCCAAAAATACCAAAAGTCTTGGTCTAGCAGCCAATTCAACACCAATGGTTAATCTCTTCCTTTGCTCGACGTTAAGACCTTCTCCTGGCACACCCACCACAGCATCTGCGTATTTTCTCATTTCCAATAAGTCGATAATATACTCCACATAAGAATTTTTCTCCGCCTTTGTAACTGATGATGCCTGCCGTAAATAGGCTGAAAAACGCAAAGCCTCACGTACAGTAGATGTGCTCAAGTGTAAATCCTGTTGTTGAACATATCCAATCGATCTTTGGAAAGATGAGTCTAAATGGCGACCATTAACCATCCTTGTTCCAGTCTCGATGACTCCAGAGGTGAGTCTGTCAGATAAACAATTCAACAAAGTAGTCTTACCTGCTCCTGAAGCACCCATCAAAGCAGTAAGCTCTCCTGGTTTCACCCATCCATCAATCTTATCTAAAAGAATTCTCTTTTCATTTTTGACCTTGACGGAATAGGTTATGTCTCTCCAATGGAATGTGTTAGTAGATTTAGGTAGTCTGTTATCATTGTCGCTGTCCTTTTCGTCATCAAAATCATCCTCTGGGCGGGGTTTTTCAGTATTACCCTCTTCAAGATCACGAGCGAGTTTTTTGTGTTTCTTTATTGCAGACCGTTGAAACACCAAAATTTCACCCTTTTGCATAGCACCCTTGTTATATTCCACAAGGATGATGTAAGTGAATAAAAAGAATATAACATAAGCAACCACGATGCCCCAGTTTCTCCATTTATGTTTGTTATAATAATCAAACGAAAGTTCAATGTACCGATCCCCATTCACAGTGTCTTCTCCCACAACAGCGCCCACAACAGAACAGATTCTGTTAAAACTGCCAATGTTTTCATATCCTGGTCCACTAGGGACATAAGCTGAACATTTGAAGTTACGATTGTGGAATTCATTGGACACTAACGCCTCAAATGCATAAGCGACTGGATCAATATAATTGATCCACCGACACCAGCCATGCATTTTCTTAGGTGGAATAACAAAACCAGTGAAGATAGTCAATGCCAACAACAAGATAGAAGCGGGTGTCATGGCCTGAGATAATGACTTCGTGGCTGCACCAATGGTTCTAAACAAATGAGACATGGCTAGTGTAGCTGTGAAATTCATAAGCATGTAAAAGAAAAAATACCCTGGTTCTCGTCTCAAATGTACAATAAAGTACAAAATGAGATTGAAACATATGCAATTACAGATCTTTGTGGGAAGTTCAGTCATGATAGATGCCAAAGCATCTGCCGAAGGGTGGTATAAAGCATATTTTTTGTGTTTTTCGACAATTGCACGAGCTTCATACAACGAGAAGACTTCCAATAACGAGGAGAAGGCATTAAACAAAACGGCGAAGAAAAGAACAGCTGTTCTCAGATAGAATTTCGCTGTAGTTGGAGCTAAGCTCAAAAACATTGTCGAAATAACAATTGAAATAAATGTATTTCCACCAACCACAAACAATGGGACGGAAGGGTCACCACGTAATCTTAAGATATTTCTCTGCATGATGTATTTCACTTGCATTCCAAAGGAAACGGTAAAAGCAGAATGTGGACGAGACTTCTTGGATTGACGGGCGTTGTGGTGGGCATAAAATTCCTCCCGTTTGTTTTCATGGTTATCACTTTGCCAAATTTCATCAATCTTCTTTGTTGTAGCCTGATTCTCTGGGGTATTCTGCCAGTAATTGTAAAACTCAATGGGGGTGCGGGGAACCTTATCTTCAAATCCTTTTCTCACTTCACGTTCCTTTGGATTAGTCAAGGAAGTTAAGAAATCAGCCGTTGTCTGACGAGCTGGGCAGTGGTAACCCATATTAATGAAAAATTCTTTTGCAGAGCGGGCATCACCAGAATAAATTTGATAACCCTCGTACAATAAAATCACATTGTCAAACAAGTCATACGCATCCTGGGAACATTGATAAATAGCCACAATCGGAGTAGCATTTGCGATCCTCGCATTTGTCTTAAGAGCCCTAACAAACTCCAAAGCTGTGGCTGAATCTAAACCACGAGTGGAGTTATCCCAGCATTGCACATTAGCCTGAGACAAATAAACCTCTGCGATAGAAACTCTTTTTCTTTCACCACCAGATACACCTCTGATGAAGTCATTACCCACCTTTGTGTATCTGGTATGGCTCAAACCAAAAGTGGCCATAGCAACATCTGCCATGTGCTTGGCATACATTTCTCTAGTTACACCCTTTGGCCGGTTCTGTGGGGTTCTCATTTTAGCTGCAAGAGTTAAGGTATCTCCAACAGTCATTTGAGGGAAGTGATTCTCAGTCTCAGCACAATAAACAACGTCACCTCTAAAATGACGTTCGATCTCCTGTGGTGTAAGTCCATCATAAGAGATGATCGACTCTTCACCAACATGAAAACCGTAAGTTTGCGACGCAATAGTTTTCAAAAAAGTTGAGCATCCCGCACCAGGACGGCCCAAAACGACAGTTAATTTCCCAGTGGGAACTATCCCGTCCATGCTCTTCAAAATATCAAATTCATTGCTTTTCTGGTAATTTTTGTCAAACTTTCTGATTGCTTGTGTAAGACCCTTGAGAGGAGAATTACCAAACGTTGGCTGGTAGTCGGAGCCCACAGCATGGCCGTAACATCTAAGATTCTTGTAAATGACACTGAGGGAAGATGGTTTGAAGTAGTCTGGGTCACTGTATGTCATTTTACGCATGTTCTTGATCCAGAACTCAGAACTAAACGAATCGGAATTGGGGTCCAAACGAGGATCAATTTCTTCATCCAATATGGGATTGACAGGCGGACCACCCTGGCTCGAAAGACGACTCAATGTTCTAACGAGATTGAGCTCATGGTCATTAGAAGCATTCTGCGAGTCTCTGGTCATTGATCTGGCCAACAGTCTGATGTTGTCTCGGACTTCTGGCGTGAAACCCTCATAGTGGGAAGGCCCTCTTGAGTTTGAAGTGTTTAAGGACGAATTGTCCTGTTTATCGCTCTCTTCACTCATGGCGAAGAAGTAGATTGAAGATTGCAGAGTAGAAATACAAATGCAGGGGGCAAAACCCTCATCTTTTACGTTAATGGCCCAATGTCATTATTTTCCATAATAGTCCATCCACCTCATCCTCGGCATGGAAAGTCTACCGATACCGTGTGCGTTTTAATTCCGGCCGACAGGATCCGGGGCCCCAGAGAAGGATTCCTGTCTGTATGCAGGAGAAAGTGATGCAGAATGGTACGATTGTCGGAGTACATGACCAGCGTTTCTCTGCAGAAACGGCAAACAATAAGGGTTTGCATTGGGGGAGTGTCGCAACTCAAAAAAAAAAAAAGCTGCTAACGTCGATCACACAGCAAAGTGGGAAGGGTCCTTTCCACCGGTCAAGTAGATGGGGTGGGCGGCTTGTATTGTGCAGTAAAACTACCCAGGAATTCGATATTTTGGATGTTTACTATTGTTGCTCTTTATTGTTATTTTCTCTATAACCAGTGTCCGGAGCCGGAAAAACATATCGTACCGGTTCTCACGCAGTACGAAACGTCAAGAGCACACATAGCCTCAAGCTCTATCCACTCCTGGCATGGACTTACCAAGTCTGACTGCAATTCCCACTGGATTGGCAATAACCGTATCCAAGTCCCAAATGCCCGACTTGTAGTAGATGTCTTTTTTCAAAAACTCAAGCACCTCCTCTCTCGATTCTGCCATCAAGTGGAAAGTGCTTCCAGCAAATTGAGTCTTTTCCACATCTTTGTAGATGGCACCGGCTGAGTTCACAATCCCTGCGTTGACGGTGGCTGGAATGGCGGCCACGTGCTCTGGCCTAACCTTGCTTCTGTCGGTGCCTGGTTTGTCGTATACAATAACGTTCCATTCAATTGGAGCCATCTTGTCTTGTGGTGAGTGTGTCACTGGTGGATAGTTGCGTGAAAACCTCCCCATATATTGGCGGTGTACGGGTGCCCTTGCCCAATGAGGCGCTACACTGACATCATTGGTAGCCGAACATCAAGATGAAGATTTATTTTTTTCATGTTGATGCTGGCTCTGTGGCATTCTACTAGCACAAGATGTTATTTTCCCGCATCTGTTTATTGCTATTGCTAGCAGTTGCTTCTGGTTCTTGTCTCCCTTAACGGTATAATTCAGGCGCCGTGCATACCGCCTGTGTCACTAAAAAAGAACACCAAAGCGCACGTAAATCCTGTCTTGTATGCATGTTGCCTGACCAGCGAAGAGACAACCGAATGCCCTGGTATTGCCGTTTTCTGCATATCACCGACGCCACGACAAAAATAAACAGATGCAATTACCTTCGCTTGAAGCGTGTTGCACGGCAGGAAAAGAATTGCATGTTTATCCCCGTACATTGCCGTCGTAATTACAGATCCACATTTGTTTCGTCGTTTGTTTTTGCGGTTGTGGTCCGTATTCGGGCCTAATAGCTCTCAAAGCGGAGACTTGGGGGCCGTCTCACAGCAACTGAAGTCAAATTTGTATTGCTATGTTATTTTCTGCATTGTCTTCGGACGGGAAGTGAATGCTACCTTAGTCGTGCGGCGCGGGTACGGCTAGTCAAAAGATCCCGAAATTCCCCAACTACGAGCGCGAAGCCATTTTTGAGACACATCAAAATTTCCGAAAAAATACGATGGCAGCACAATACCAAAACACAGCTTTCGTACATGGCAAGAACTGTATCGATATCACGGCAAATGAAGTAACCATTCCGTGAACGAAAGGAAATAAGATATGCAGCAAGAAATCACCGCTCTTATTTCCGGCCGCATCTAGCCACTCATTGCAACAGCATGACAGGCAGAGGTTTCTTTTTAGTATCCGTAAACCTGTGTCCTGTCGATAAATGGCTGAGAAGAAAAGAACGGAACTGAAAAATGAACAGCATTCCGGCCCTATGGTAAAAATACAGGTTTCGCGAAAAGAATGAACCGCCGCAGTCTCTGTGCACAAAAGAAGGTCCTACTGGGGTTCGAACCCAGGTTACCGGAATCAGAATCCGAGGTGATACCACTACACTATAGGACCAGTTTTTTGACTACATGCTAGAACGCACATATGTATGATGTTTGCTTGACTCTCCAAGACACTATTAACTGTGTGGACGACCTTGTAGTGCTACGTCAATATTTGAAGCATTAATGCTTTACGAAACTTTATGTGCATGTGGGATGATGTTGTGCGTAATAATGTTTATTGTGTAGAAATATGAAGCCAAAAAGAATGAGGTCCGCAGCCCTCAATGATGAATGCAATGGTGTAAACGGGTGCTCCCGTCCCAGAAGCAGCCGGAGTATTACTGTAGGAATCTGCCTTGTGGCCTTCGGCGGATAACAGAAAGCTCATTAGTTCTCCAATGGAGCAAAGTATCTGGTTCTTTCCTTTCTTGGACCCAACTTGTCGGTCTTGATGGAGGCACCAAACTGCTCACCGTATGGAGAGGCGGCCGGAATTAAGTTGGTTGGAGCAGCACCAATAACTTCTCTTCTGTATTGTCTCTGGCCGATACCACCTTTGTCTCTGATGAAAGTTTTGATAAAAGAGCTCTTGTATTTTTTCAAGTATGCTTCGTTCCTCAACTGAACACGGTCATCCTGTTGCTGGTACAATGGAGTCTTTATAACTGGTTCCTTGGTGCTTCTGTAAAAATATAACGAAACGCCAGCCAACAAGGCAACACCAAACACTTTTGTGGCATCGATTTCATTTTGTGTCGAAGCTGGCGCCTGATGATGGTCAGCAGAGTAGAATCTTCTGAATCCACTTTTGGCGGCACGGGTAGTCGCTCTGAACATAATGGATGAGTGTATCGATGTAAGACTGAGTGAACTTCACTGCTTTCTAGTGAGGATTAGGATGCGCACGCCTCTGGTGGTTTGGCCAATAGTAACGCTGAAGATTTTAATTGGTTTGCATTGGTCGTTCGCAAACCGAAAACTGCCATGTTTTTGGTCACGTGCGGATATCGTTGTCCCAAGTGTCTTGGTCCTTTTACTGAGGAGACATGGACTTGTAGAATACGACAAAAAAGCGAATGAGCGGAGAAACCAAAAGAATTCATCCGGTAACTTGTAAAAGGTCCTCGTTCCTTTATTTTTTTTTTTTGCTTTTGCAATTGCAGTTTGTTCTGTAATCTTGAGCTCTAAGCATTGTCTTCCCCATAAATAGTATTACCCTTCTAACCAATGCGTATAAGACTAACTCATGGATCGAATAATGTACTTTTTCGTGCATTTCTAGTTTGCCCTGACAAGTTACTCTCCTTGACATGGTCAACCTTCTCTGCACTATATACAGAATTGATCGGCTGTTGACGTGGTCAAGTATACGACGGCCTAACCTTGTATCAAACTCAAAGGACGGAGCGTCAGGCTCGAAGAGAATGGTTTGAGAAGCGAACGTTTCGATCTCCGTCACCTAAAAGGCGACTAACCGGAAGTTATCCCTGCCCTACAAACCTTACAACCTGCTAAACGTAGTATGTTATTCAATTAGCAAAGAAAACGTATTTAGTAACCAACACTAATCAAGTAATCAGCCAACTTTTCAACGACCGAGGTGGCCTCAGGAGCTTGAACTCCCGATGGGTAGTGAGCAATGACAATTGCTTGTTTAGTCTTGACAGCAACAATACCTTGGTCGTCCTGCTTAGCGTAGATGGATCTTTCATCGGCTCTCAACAAGAAGTACTTCTGGCCTTGCATATGCAAGCCGTGAGCTTGCAATTGCAGTGGATCAGCATAGCCACCTGCAATGGTAAGAATTTCTTGCTGGGCAATCTGGAATCCACCGGACTCAGCCCAAAGAGAATCGCCTGCAGCAGAATAGATTGCGGCCTTGTCGATTTTTCCAGTAGAAATAAGACTGTCAGTGTATGCGTTCCAAGACATGTTAAAGAATGTGGATGTAGACAGTGGAAGGATTTACTTGGCCTGCCTTATAGTCTCTGGGGTACGGGCCTGTCTTGTGCAGGGTCAGGGACGGCCCTTCTCTCGGTTCATATGGTCATTTGTGCCTTTATGCTTACCTACAGAATTTATAATACAGATTTATCTTGTATGAACCGGTTCCTTAATCAATAATCTCAAAATGCCCATCGTCGATTTTCCGTCTTTTTCTTTGGGACTTCTCTTCGTCTCCTTCGTCCTCGGGTTCCGTATCGTCTAATACAATTGTTCGCGACGAGTATTCGTCTTCTTGATTTTCGGCTTCTTCATCCTGTTTAGCCCCTTCTACCTCCTTGAAAATTTGCTTCGGCCGAAGCACCAAATCCGGTAATGAAGTTTGCTCTGAATTAGTTTCTTGTATCCAGAGTTCTAGGTTTTCCAACTCATCCTCTTCGTCTTGAATGAGCACAACTTCATTCCCAGAAAACCCAGCAATATCTCGAAGTTTTTTGTTCGCATTACTAGTGAAATCATAATCGTAAATCAATTTTGATGCTCCCAATATAATGGAAATGTCTCCACTAAAACCATATTTGGACACAATCATGTCTATGAAATTCAGAAGTGTCATATCAAAATCTTTGCTTTGTATCTGAAAGATGCCCTTTGAGACGATTCCACAGCTTGCACACTTAGGATTGGGTTTCTCCACCTGCGCAGACGTGATTCTCTTATTATGTTTGATACTGATGAAAATAGATTTAGACGTAGAAGCACTCGACTTATCCCTCATGTATGTCAATGCTCCTAGGTTGGAAAAACCCACTGATGATTGCGTTTGTCGTTGCAATGGCAGGAATAATATTTCCTGCGATTTGTTTGATATCAAACTTCGTCTTGATAGGAATGTTGAAAACATGAGATCTTAAATTTGCTGCTGCTGCAACAAAATTCAAGGTATCCTCGTCGTCTTTGTCAAAAGAAATCACAGCCTCTTTGCCACTTTTCACGCGGTTTTGTAACGATTCGGTGGATTTGTATAAGACGTACAAATTCTCTGCAATAGACCATTGCTTCGTATCGCTGTTCAATAGATAATCATTCAGTTGCTTAGCTAACAAGGCATTCAAACTTGAGAGTAGTTCTCCTTGTAATACCAATGGTTTTGGTTTTTCTCTTGTCTTCCACAACGATTCAAGGTTCAACGATTTTTCGACGTCGTCTTGGTAGATCTTCTTCATTAGCTTTATAGGGAAATCCTTGGCATCCATCATTGACTTAAGGGCAGATAGTTCATTTGCCTCTGAGATGATTCTTTTGATTTCCTCCTGATCGTCGGTCTCTTTGCTTAGATCGGCTTGAGAAACCTCACTTTCTGTGGTCTCGCCAAAAAGCTGGTTGAATAAAAACTCCTTGGCCCAAACAATACAGTGGACTGGTTGGGATGGAGTAGATCTAATAGTACAGACAGGAAAAGTTTTCGGAGTTTCCTTGACTTGGCACTCGAAGCATTCTGAACTATAAGGAAAGATGGGTTGAATCTGGCCATGGAAACCCGTAGTGCCTGATTCCATTAAAGGCTTGTGCAAAAACAAAGCGACCTTGTTTACGTATCTTCGTGCTTCTAAGTTGTCTAAGGCATTGAAAATGTAGTCGAATTGATTCCACCATTCGATAGGAAATTGCGACAGGTTCATAACATTCCCATGGTGTGGTACAAGTCTGGTTTGAAAGTAATTGAAGCTCTGTACTGCTTTTGTAACTGTCAATGACTTCAGTTTATCGATATCTTTTTTGCGGAAAAGGAATTGTCTGTTTAGGTTTGACAAGGTGATTGTGTCCAAGTCTATAATATGGATTTCGCCGAATCCTGATAAGACGAGATCCTTCAAAAGTTCACATCCAATGCCACCAGCACCTACCATAAGCACTTTCGAAGCTCTAACTGCCTCATAGCTTTCCTTTCCGAGAATTTTTTTAAGATAAGTGTCTTTTGCCATAGCGCTGGGAAAATGCGGCTTCTATTGTGATAGAACTTCTCCATTAGAAACGTCGAATGTACGGATGTTTGATTAAATGTACTTTGAAAGTTTGGAGCAGAAGTTTCTTGTACTGGAGAGGAACAGGTTGTAAAATATTTGATGTGAGTTTCGAACAAACATTGATCTAGGAATTGGGAACTTGATACGGTTTTCCTTTCTGCTGTATATTTTTGAATTTTTTTGAAATTTTTCGAATTTTTTTGGATTCTTTTGGATTTTTTCGAATCTTAGAATAAAAATTGTGAATAAATGCAAATTCTATGAGGAACTATCGACAAATATTCCTCTTGCAAAATAAAAACAGACGAAAGAAAATCAAAAAGAATGCCATTCACAAAAACATAAGGACAAATGATTTACAATAGAAATAGAGAATAAATTTACACATATATAAAAAAGAGATGCTTCTTTCGTCACGGCTTCAATTACTTAGTGTATACAAAAGTACTACATAACATGAACAATTCAAACACTGATGAACAAAGACCACACTCCCTTCAAGTATTGCACAATTTCATCACCGCCCAATTTAGATTCACCATACAATCTGTCAACAAAGTTGATTGGACATTCACCCACAGTAAAACCCAAAGCTTTCGCTCTGACCATCATTTCCATTTGGAAAACGTAACCCTTGGATTTAGTTTCACTAATGACCTTGGCCAAAACATCCTTCTTGTACAAACGGAAAGAGCCAGTCAAGTCGGACACATGAGGTCTCAACACAGTAGAGGCCAAAAAGTTAGCACCACGAGAAACCAATTTTCTCTTCAAGTCCCAGCCGTAAACACCTCCGTCACCAGCATAACGAGTTCCTGTGACAATGTCGTAGTTGCCTTGTTTCTGCTTTGCAATGAATTGTGGAATAGCTTCTGGGTGGTGGGAGAAATCTGCATCCATGATGATGACAAAGTTACCTGTAACAAATTGCAAACCATGCACGTAAGCGGTACCCAAACCCAACTTGCCAGCTCTTGGTCTCAACTGGATGTGCTCAGGACCGAAAACATCAATCAACTTCTTGGCGATATCTTGAGTTCCATCGGGTGAGTTGTCATCCACAATGATAACTTCCCAGTCCAATTTTTCCTTCTTGAAAGTCTTATCCAAAAGATAAACAAGAATCGGCAAGTTTTTTTTTTCGTTATACGTGGGCAAGATAATAGAGTATTTGTCTCCCATTTTTGCTCAGAACTATAGTCTCCAAAAGTGCGTTCGCTGAATCCTCCAGAAGTCCACGGTGTTGTTCTTAGTCGCGTTTTGCATACAGCTACATGATATTATTCCACCAATACATTATTCACCATCCTAACCAAATGTGACATGGTTTGTAATTGGCGACCAATACGACAAATATATCCCATACGCCTATGAACACCCCCTAATCATACTCTTTAAAGTGGAGAATAGAAATAAAACACCACATAATATATGATTCCACACGTAACCTGATGTCTCTCCATACTTTGTGAGTACGTTGTTTTTATGTTCCTCTGTCTCCTCCACAAAAAACCCTGCTATGGATTATAAAAATCACACTATCTCACACCGGTTCAACTCAACCGATGCCCTCCAACAAAAATGAGAAAAAAAAAATGAAAATATTACTAAAAATCAGGCAGACCTTAACATCTGAAACCAATATTCCCTCCAGCCATGACATATCCAAAAAAGGCGACGATAAAAAAAATTTGTAGGTTGGAAACGGACGAGCAAGGCACAGGCATAAACGACGTAACCATATTGTTCAACAAGCTGAATCACTTAAACGCCTGAGTTTTGCAAGCTTAAAGAGCTGATTTGACTGCTGAGCAAGTTCACACCATTCTCTGAAGAGTTGTTTGTGCCTCTGTATTGGTAGCCCTGCTTTTGAACGTATAAACCAGGCGAGCTGCTGGATGATTGAGATTTACCCGAATTAGAGTGCGATACAGGGCCTTGGCCTTGCAACAACGCCAAATGTTGCGGCAATTGAGATGATCCTGCTTGCTTTCCTTGTTGCTCGTAAGGGAATTGTTGCAAAGGTGTCATATTAGAGTAGAGGCCACCACCGTGGATGGGAGAAGGTGACGACCCAGCTTGCGAGCCTTGTCTAGACTGAGGCAGACTCAAGTTTAGAAAGTTGCTGAGGTTCAAGGATTGCCCGCTGGCAGTGGCTGCAGCAATTGCAGTGGCTGCAGACCCAGTTCCACGTCCCGATGCAGAATTTGCTGATGCCGTAGTGATGCCATTATGACCGTTAGCATTTCCCGTGTTATTTGAATTTCCACCAGAAGAATTAGAGTGATGTCCATTATGATGACCCGAATTGACAGATGATGGTCTGGCACCACCACATTTCAAGCAACATACGTTCTTGGCAAAATTGTGGTAGAGACAGCTTTCATTGGTACATTTCCAGTCTCCTGCCCGAAATGGAACAGAGTTTCCAAAATGCTGGCGCTGGCCATTGCCACCGTTCTGATGGGAGTATCCATGATTATAGTTGTACCCATTTCCATTTTTCAATGCGTGGTGAGAATTCAGATAGTGGTCCTGGTATCCACCGAAAGCTGGAGACCCTTGCTTGTCGTCACTTTTGTTGCGCCTCATGTTAGTATGAGACGGATCCTGGTTTCCAGACACATTGTTAGAACTAGGGTACATCTGCTCCTGAATTGCAACGGCACTTGTTGCAGGAAATGAGCAACGGAAACATGCAATTCTGCGCTGGAAATTCGAGAATCCACATGAAGGACACGTCCAGTCACCTGGTCTAGGGCGGTTTTTCAGAGGAGGGAATGGGGTCAACAACTCAGATGCGCGATCTAGCACCCTGGTTGAAGACGCCTGAACTTCCACCACACGGTCGTTCAACACGCGCCCATTCATGTACAACGAGTCTGCTGCGTCCTCGTGTTTAGAAAAAACCGCAAACCCCGAGATTCCCTTGGCCTTGTTGGCTTGAGATTTCGAGTCTGCATCGACATTTTTCAAAGTCCAAAATGCAACAGGACGGCCACCATATTGTGTAAACCACGATTCAAGCTCGGACTGCGTCGTTTCGGGAGGTAAGTTTGAAAGATAAAGGATTTTCGACCGTTCGGCCAAAAAGATCTTTGCGTCATGAGCAGAGTCGTATGGCTTGGTTAAAACCAGCGGGTGGGCTTCAAGAGGTAAGGATTTCTTCACCAACAGGGCCAATACGTTAGCATACACCTCCACCGTAAGCTGCAGATCGTTTGGTCCATCTTCTTTCCACGAAGATGGAACAGAAACGTCCAAAGCAGTGATGATGTTGCTCAAGCACGAACCAGGATAGCTCATGGCTTCTGGATGGGTAGACTGCCACTTCAGGTATTCGTTGAACAAATCAAAAACACGAGGGTGCTGCAAATACACGGGCAAAACCACCGATTTGTCCCGTGCTTCTCTGGGAAGCAGAACACGGAGACTATGGAGGTCCACGGTGACAAAGGAAAAATCTTTGCCAGCGATCGTATTCATGAGCTTCTTGTTGAACTCGGCGATGGCATCCCGAAACAGAAAGCCGTCCTTCACACTTTCCCATGTGAGGTTGTATTTATGTTGACACGCTGGGGTAACAGGTGTATTTGTGGGCTTCACCAAGACTGATTCTCGCGGCAGCATTTGCAAAGTTTTGGCATCTACTGTAGTCCATGAAAGCTCGATCAACTCGCAGGCATCACGAGGCACGTAGATTCCAGTGTCATCACAGGTGGAAGCAAGGTGCACCACCACATAAACGTCGGACATTATGGGTAACAGAAGATAAGACTTTGAAAAGGCTTTTCACAAGTGGGTAATTTTTTATTCACTTGTTTGTGCGAGTGTGCAGATAAGCAGAAATATATCTTATGGTGGGGTTTAAAGCATGCTGCTGAATCTTTGTTTATACAGCATCTGTATCTTCAGGAACGAAATGGACCAGACTCTTGTTCGGCAAAAAAATTTCTTTCATCGACGGGGTTACAGTTCTTAGCATCTTTTAGATAAGTGAAATAGCATTTGGTTTTGCAGTACGTGCAGTACTCGCATACCCACGTATTAGACTTCTGCCTTGACTTTGATTACTATTTGCAAAAAAAGGGTAATGAGCGAAGAATACACAACAAGATGAAATCTCCAAATATTGTGAGCTGAAAAGCTTTAGCATCAATCCTCTCATTGTGGCTCTGTAGTTTTCGCTATGCTCGTCCTTCATTAATAATGTATTATTCTCTCAATTTCTCTGACTTTAGTACAGGCGCAGATTGCTGTCCAGAGATCAGTAGATAAAAGAATACATATACGTAAGCGGTGTTTCTACAAGTAAATGAAGCCACACAAGGGCCAATGTAGACAATCATGAGTATACGACAATAGATGTCGTATGCACTTATTCCGACATCGGCTACATTGAGCGAAGTATATGATCTTTCCATACAGAAGCGCGTCAAATCTAAACTACTACTCCCATGTTGGATGACGATAACAAAATATATGGGCCGAGCCAACTGCGTGTGTTCAGAACACAGTTGGCCCTTTCCCTAGCGATAGGATTGTCCTCCTTTCTTTTGTTCTGTTTCCTCCGCAGAAGATGGCCCCACATGTATGCCGTTCGTACTCTTCGAAAGGGCCTGCTTCGCCATCGACAATTGCCAGACGATCTCTTCAAATGGGTTGGTGCCGTGCTTTTGATTTCGGATGAGGAAGTGCTTGAGTACTCTGGACTCGATGCTTATGTCGTATTGGCATTTTTCAAGATGGGGATCAAGATCTTCCTTCTTCTCACGGCGCTTGGGATGTTTGTGTTGAGTCCGATCCGGTACTACTTCACTGGCAATTACGATAAGGATAATGTATCATGGACGACTATGGCCAAATCAGGCGGCAAGCAGCCTCCTCTTCACGAAGAGTTCCCTCGCTACTTGTGGGTGTACCCATTGTTCACCTATCTTTTCTCCATCATAGTGTACCACCAATTATTTGCGTACACAAAGTTGGTGATCAAGATGCGACAGAAGTACTTGGCTTCTCAGAACTCCATTACTGACCGAACCATCAAACTTGATGGCATCCCCAAACGTCTCATTCGCAAGAATGACCCCTCGGCTCTCAAACGTTTCATCGAAGATTTGGGCGTTGGCCGCGTGGTAGATATCAAATTGATTTACGACTGGTCGGTATTAGAAGACTTGTTTGAAAGAAGAAAACAGATTATCTCTAGGCTTGAGAAGCATTATTCGCATTACTATGATCTACAAGTTGACTTGTACAACGAACACAAGTTGCCGCGGGTCCTCCCAGTAATACCGACAAACAACCTGGGTAAACCTCGTCTGTCGAAGTTGAAGCTTCGCAAGAAAATAGATCAAGGTGCGAGAGAATTGGTTGAGGTAGATCGAAAAATTCGAAACATTCGAAACAAATTCGACACTTCTCTGTCAACAATGCCCATCGGGCCCGAATCTGACATTCGCATCTTGCCCTCAGCATTCATAACCATGGACTCGGTTGCTTCAGCCCAAATGGCAGCCCAAACGGTTTTGGATCCTCGTGTTTACAAACTTATGGTATCGTTGGCACCAGCAGCTAAAGATATCAATTGGAAGAATTTGAAACTTTCATACTATGAAAAGCTTTACAATTCCTACATGATAACATCCTTAATAGTTCTTAGTTACTCCGTTGTGTTCTTTTTGGTTACTACATTGTCGACATTGATTGATGTCAAAACTATCACCAAGTTTTGGCCAGCTTTGGGCAACTTGATTTCAAAATCAAAATGGTTGAGTACATTTGTTACTGGTATTTTGCCTCCCCTTTTATTCTCCCTCATGAATGTGTCATTCCCATACCTTTACCGCAGTCTTTCTCAAATGCAAGGATATTCGCTGTCTAGTGAAGTTGAGTTGTCTTCCTTACTGAAGAATTTTTTTTTCATATTCTTCATATTATTTTTGGTCTTTACCATCACTGGTACACTCTGGGACTATATTTCCTCCATAGGAGACACGACTCGATTTGCTTCACAGCTAGCAAGTTCATTAAAAAAATTATCTCTCTTTTATGTGGATTTGATTTTATTGCAAGGTCTTGCCATGTTTCCAGTAAAGCTTCTTCAAATAGGAGACTTTGTGATTTTGAACATCATTGGAAAGCTTTTTTTCATCAAAAGTCTCTTCTTGAGAACCCCGCGTGACTATCGCTTTTTCTATTACACACCGCCAGTATTCGATTTTGGTCTCAATCTCCCGCAGCACATTTTGATCTTCATCATTATCCTTATTTACTCGGTTGTTTCCACAAAAATAGTTACTAGCGGGCTAGTCTATTTTTTGTTGGGGTTCTTTGTTTACAAATACCAACTTATCTACAGTTATGTTCATCCTCCCCACTCTACAGGCAAAGTGTGGCCAATGATTTTCCGGAGGTTAATATTTGGACTTATAATCTTTCAGCTTTTCATGTGTGGAACGTTGGCTTTAGAAGGAGCTATACTCTTGTCCATCATATGTACTCCATTATTTTTGGTGACAATGGCTGTGTCTTGGAACTTTGAGAAGTATTACCTTCCGCTTCATAATTTCATTGCCCTTCGGGCGATCCAGAGCCCTGTCGATTTCGATACGCAGTTCGATGACGATCAACTGCTGGCTCTGGCTCCATCAGAGGAGGTGTTGAGGTATGAATCTTCCCGATCTCCAGGACCAGAAAACCACACAACGGAGGAGGCAACAGAAACCTCCGTTCTACTTGATGGCGATTTTTCAATTTCCAACGCGTCGCCTCAACGAAGACATAGACGCAAAGTCTCCACGGTGGATGAAGAACGAGAGCAATTTACAGATTATACTCACCCTGATTTGGTAAACCCTCTTTACGGACCATGGATTGGTTTTGAAGGGGACTATATACTGATGGTGGAGTATCTGCTAACCGATGATAGCCCTGTTGACATAAGTGGCCACGAACTCGAAAATGGCAGGACCCAGATAGAAGATTCTCGGGATGGGGAATATATCCTTCGTCGACAAATTCAGGTTCCCGAATGGGAATAGTAGTTTTAATATCGCGGCTATTACTACATCCCATTGTTCCTGAACCAGTGATATGTTTTGTGGTTGCTGCAGCCACAATTTCTTTTTTATGCGTAATTTATTCAAGACGAATGATTTAGTTGGGTAAGATGCCAATTGCCAAAAAAATAAATATGCTGCAGCTTTTTTAGCGAAAAAAAACGGAAATTACACCGTATAATCCCGGAATTTAGAGACGTGTATTAAATCCGCATGCACCTTGGGTTAAACCATCTTAATGCGAGAAACTTACACACAGATTGAACATGATATATGCATTGGGTGATATTTTATTGAACATCCAACAAATAATACTATATAGCAAGAAAGAGGTTTATAATCGGACGTAAAAAAATTGCCACGTGCAAGAAATCAGAAGATTTTATTCTTCTAACCAAGGCACTAGCTGTTAAATCGACAATGGAGCTAAAGTGATAAAAATAGGCTTGAAAATCATATTGAGGACAGAGACTAGGCATCATTTGCGTACCGGTTTAGTGCCTGAAGTACAACGTCTTTTCTTGGTAGTAATGGAATCCAATTTTCTTCTCCGAAGCTCTTTATCAGACACATAATCTGGTCGATTCGGTGAGTAATCGCATTGGATACCAAAGCGGACACAATTATAGCAGACAGGCTTTCTCTCATCACATTTTAAGTGTTTGATCCTACAGATCCAACATCCATTTCTGGATCTGGCCATAATGTGTTTGCGAGTATGTTTTTTGGGAACAGGCTCGCTAGCCGAAACATTATTCTTGAGTTGTGTTTGATCAACCAAGTTTCTTTTCTTCGGCATTTCTGATTCTGGAAGAGGGAGTGAAAATTCAGGAGTAAGAATTGACTCGGGGACAGAGAGAACGGAGGTGTTCGGTAAAGGTGTATCTATTGTCGAAGCACCACTAGTAGAGTCAACTTCTTGAAAGCTCTGCAGAAAGGGCTCTTCCTTCATGAGGTCATTTTTGACCACTTGGAATCGTAGTTCCTGGTAAAGCTGGACTTGAAACTTTAGGATGTCGTCCAGCGAGTAGTAAGGCTCGTAGTGATATTGGGGAAAGGGTGTCTGGAACTGGTTCAATTGAAATGGATACGACTTTGCAACCGCATCGGAAGTGCTTGTTCCAAAGCCATAGGGAGAATAATCAAAGGGAATAGCCAGCTCATTCAAAAGGTTATCCATATTATGGAATCCAGATCTTCCAAGTGCATTGCCTTGGGCAGAGTTTGGGGAATTGATTAATGATTCTGCCATTTTAGCACAATTGAAACTTGGAACCTCCTGGTAACGTGGAAACGTTGGTGTTATAATTGATGTTCAACAGGTAAAGATTGAACAAATGGAGGGTATAATTAGGTGACAGGTTCTAAAGAAGAGCCCAATGAATGGAAATAGGAATGAAACGAATGTGGGTGACAGCAGCAACTGAAATATGGGATGAAAAGAAATTCTCCTGTGATCAGATTTAGGTCCGTATCAGCAAGGGAAAAGAATAGTCTGAGTGTTTATACTCACAGAGAGGGAAAATGCCAAAATGCCTTCGAATGAAAGAAGGACAAACAAAAAATAGAAAAAAGAACGAGGATACCACGGGAGCTCGTCAACTCGCAGATGAGAAATGAAGGAATGAATAATTGAGTCGGAAAGAACTCAAGAATGGAGACAGCCAAAACTTGTGAGCAAGAAGAAACGGAGGGAAGATAAAATGGTATTAATGCATCCACTTTTCTTGTGCTGGCCAAAGATGCACACAAAGATAACGTGAATTTATTATTTCAAAATAATGCATTCTTCGGCTCGCAGGCAACTAAACTTCCTATTTAGTCAAACAATAGGGTTCACGTTGAACTGGAGGTGCTGCCGCTAATTTCAGGCGGCAGATGCATGCAGCCGCCTGTAACTTAAAAATGCTTGTGCAATATTGACGTGCACATCTCTGTACAGTTTTGTGTAATGTCCAAGTTAGCTGATAATGCGCGGTAGTTATGCCACCACAAATAAAGCCGCAACTCGCGTACTGCGTTTCGCATTAGACGAGCAGCATGAACTAACAGTTTTACCGATATCCCGAAGAGGTTGAAAACTCGAGACACAGCATTACAACAGAGATCTCTTCACTGCTTTTCGATTTACTGGCTTTTAGAACTCAAATCATTCCCGAAATCCACAAATACCAGTAGCAAATATGCATGAACTGTAGTTTTACTCTACAAGCTTAATTTAGTGCAAGTAATTTTGACATTTATCCTCCGATGCATGTTGCGCGTAATTGAGCTCCACTTCCGTTCGTAAAGGCTGTGGATTGCGAATATAAGAAAAAAAAAAAAAAAAAAAAAAGAAAAAAAAAAGAAAGAAAAAGGAATGAAAGCGGAAAACTATCAGCGATCATCGAGAATGGTGCCGAAGTTAGCGCTTAGTTCGTGGAAAATACTACCACACAGCTTGGCGTGGGTGCTAATATCTTGAGAAAAAATGTAACAATGCGATAGTTTATTGATAGCTAAAGTGGGATCTTTATGGTTCAACGTCGAAGAGGAGCGCCAATTGGCTTTTTCCCCCCTGGCCAAAAAGAGGTCCATTGTGTAGGCGGGTGAAGTTTTTCTGGTTACGTTCATGCGATTCAAGTTACTGTGCGTAGGATGGTTAAAATAGGCGAGTTTTAACGAACCCGCAGCATATCCAACACGATGCATAGCATACGATGATATCAAGTGAATGTAAGGCTGGAGGAATGTCGCCTCCGGATTTGTTTAAGAGACCAGTAAACCCGAGAAGCGAAAATGAGCAGACGAGCTAGCGGAGAAGTATCACCGGAAGTGTGAAACGGAAAAATTAGGTGTGTACGTAAGGCCGCCCACCAAACAAGGCGGTGGGTCACATAAACCTGTTCACAGCGATACAATATAACCTCAGCAGCTAGCCATCAAGAGTTCTAAATTCAAAAACCTACTACCCCTCTTTACCAATGCGCTCCTCCGGTTTGGTAAACCTCTATATCACTGCAAAGCACGCCGTTATTTGATGCACACGCATGCTGTGCATTTACGCATACCGACCGCTGTGGTACTTGCGCACCTGCGTCCTGTTCAGGCACAGTTTGTGTTTTGCGGAACCAATCAAAGGACATACCTGTACCGTCCACTTTCCTAAAGCAGTACGGAGAACTGAAAATGGACTAATTCAACCCAATGCGGACAAACCACGTCTTGTGAGCATCGCATGGGACGACGCAGGCACATGCGTTCAAGCCGGCTACCTTTATTTTACGCTGGCAATTTCAAAGTTGCATTACACTTTCGGTTTCTCAAGCTGTCTTCTTTTTATTTATTTTTTCTGAATTTCTTTTTTCTTCTTCAAGTTTTTCCGCAAACGTCAGTAATAGCGTTTCATTTATTATCCAAACGGTGCTAACATTGACGTTGAACGCGCACTGAATTTTCAATCGCGAACATTGGCCCACGCACGACTGTAGAAGTGGCCGCTGCGCAAACCATAAAAAAAATTTCTCACGCTCTAGTACTTTTCTTCTTCACATATTTTATTACCCATTCGGAGTACCAGCGAAACCAACATTCCTCTATTTGGTCAAGCAAAAATGGCCGGATGCAGAAAAAACAGACCAAGATTATAATCCATGGCGGTGTCGTCTTTTCGAAGACAGTTGTCGTGATGGTTCGCTTCTTGGAAACATTTGTGGAAGATTTTCATTTAGTAGATACAGTAGTTTAATTGCGCTCTTTCTTATCCAACTTTGCTGCGACTGTAAATTCACAACTCTTTATAAAGGCAGAGAGTGGGAGTCATGACTCGATGAGTTTCTTTTAGGACAAACAAGTCTGTATTTGTCTTTACCTTTGCAAACAAATGACGTCGACAAAGCGTGATGATCTGTATTGTTAAGCAATAGTGTACGCATACTTGAGTACAAACTAGATGGTTTTAAGAGTGGCAACAAGGGAAGCAGAAAAATATCGACGGGCTTCAAAATAATAGACGTCTATATGATCGAACGCTGTCGACACACTTTACGAGGTATTCCGCCTTGTCCTACATCCACAGTGAACAGCCATCTAGATTGCCCATTCTCCTTTCAAACAGTGCCACATCCGAAAGTGATTTGGGTACGCACATTTTCAGACCTAGTTTCTGCATTTTCTACTAAGGATCAATACTCATGCAGATTATGATTATGGTCTTCTGACCGTAAACTATGAGTGCACAATTTACGAAGCCGATGGAAGGAAAGCGAAGTCCTAGTATGCATATAGTACCAATGATTTGTCCAGCCGCGTATTCCGCCGCACTATTGTTCGAAGCGCGTTTTGTTTTGGGATACGTATCTTTTGGTACGGGGTCTTACGAGAAAAATCATTTGTTATCAAATTTTTTTCCTCTTTTTCTTATCATTACCCCGACTTTCTCATGAGCTCGCAAACGACGAAAGTATTCCAAACAGGAATCAAAGACTTGAAGATCTCTCTACCCTCAAAAGCTCAGACATATACTGAACTTAGATGTAACGTTATTCTTGTCGCTAAATATGATTTCGAGGCTGAATCGGAACACGAACTTTCGGTGAAGAAAGGGGTTGTTGTCAAATTGTTAAACCGCATGAAAAACGGATGGGTGCTTGTTCAGCTTCTTGATGAGGTCAAGCCGCCTGGTTTGGTTCCATCGTCTTATGTCGATATCGCTGTGAATGATCCAAGACATCCAATCACTTTGCAATGGCTCCGCTCGATGGATGAAACAGCAGGCGGGAAATCAAAAACGTTCATGGACGTAGAGGTGAGAACTTTACTAGAAAACAATACTCCTGTCACTTTCAACAACAAACCTTATCCCTTGAGTGCTTCTGTTGCTCATTATCTTACGTTCGAAGACCGTTTTTGGTACCGTGTGGATGTTGATTACAGTACTGGGGAACACGGCTACCTATGCCGTTACTATCAAGATTTCTACGATTTGCATGTGCATTTACTTGAGAATTTCACTTCGGTCGATATCGGCGAGTCTGAGGAAAGTGTCAAGCTTCCAAAACTCCCTGAACCCGTCCCTTCTCTGTCGTGTTCATCAGAGGATGCTGAAGTATTCCTGCGTCGTTGTAAGCAGTTGTCATCCTATATGAGTGATCTTATATCCAACAAGCACTATCAAACGTGCTTTGCTTTAGTTGAATGGTTAGAGGCAGACTACAAGGGCCTTCCTGGTATAGTTACACCACAACTGATAAATGATTCGACGGAAGCTATCAATCAAAAAATATTACCGGGATCGGTGACTTTGGCTTCTAAGACAAAACCACCAGCCACACCTCGAAGTGATCCAACACCAAAACCTTCCCCAGCGGAACAATCGGAATATGGCATTCCTAGTGCTCCTTCAGGTCCACAAAGGACGCGAACGCAGTCCAAGAATATCTACAATCACTACAGGCAGATATTAAACTATTCACCTGACGCTGCATCTCTTCAAAGATCGTCTACAACAAAAGAAGTCACGCGAAACGGGCTGATAAACGTCGGTAAACGCAATGTTTCAGGAGGTCTTCTGAGGGCCCGTACAGTCCAAGTTGCTACAACTGCCACGAATGCTCCTTCGACGCCGAAGGTTGGAGGAGAAAGCCCAGGTCAAAACCTCCTGGGTCATCCAAAGTTCTCTACACCCCCTAATGTTCATGGTGACATGTCTTCGCAAGAGCCGTACGCTCCTCCAAAATTCTCGTCCAGTCCCAGTTTGAAGGGAGGAAGCCCCGGGTCACAAATGCATCCTAAATTCTCTACACCAAAAATCGGAGGCGAAAGTCCGCTGTTTGCCCCTTTCACACCCCCTCAGAATGATGCTTGGATCAAATGTCAAGTCAAAACGCAACGTGGGGATGTTATTTCTATCCGTGTAGAAAAGAAGAGCTTCACTACCATTGAAGATTTCAAAAAGGTTATTTACTCGAAAGTTGCCTTCAATAATTTATTCATCAAACTACCTCATTCCGAATCGTTTGAGGAGATAGAATCACCGGAGACCGATAGTCTTAACTTTCTCAATTCCTCGAGCAAGGTACTTCTTCTACTTACATGATTCTTGCATGCACCATTCTCTTGGGCGAGAAGTACCTGTTCATGTTTTTCGTTCAGGAGAAGTACCGGCCAATGTAAATTGGTCAAAACGCATTAACCTTTAACATTTAATAAAAAATAATTCATGAGAAGAAATGGGAAAAAAATAACAGAAAATAATAGAACTGTGGAATAATAGGTGGAGATCGCTCATTTAATACGCCCCGTTATTAAGTAGTCGGTAGCGGGTTTTCTTGTAGATCCCGAGTTGGAAAAAGGTAATAATAGCCCACGTATTATGCAGTGATTTGTTGAAACGAAGATGTAAGATTTATTATTGACGAGCGAGGCACTTGCACCAAAGATCTATTTCAGTCTCGAATGCGCGCACTCGTCAATATTTAACATGGCTAAAGACTGCCTACGTTCGTTCACATGTTTTACCTGAGATCCGTTGATATGTTGCTCTGATTTGAAAAAGTTGTACAATTGTATAAGGAGCTTTGGAGGCTTCCAATGGCATATGGTTATTGAAGGGACAATACTTCTAACCTTACAAAAAGGAGTAATCGTAGGCGGTTCTTTGCATGAATGAGGACCCTCTAGTGATTCTTGGATAGAACATTGGATTTTTGTGTATTATCACGCAAATCAAAGCCGCAAAAGACCATCAGGGAAGAACAATCGGGGCGCCGATCTAAAAATTGGGCTGTTATTGTTTGGCTCCGACAGCAATTTCATTGCATTGTTACTTCATCTTCGTCTAACCCGAGAGTGAATCGTTAGATAGTTTCAGTCTCGTAGCCTCAGTATTTAACCATGTAAACTAAATCAGATATCGAGATTTGAGTTTGCAATGGCCTGATTGAGTAGATGCCCCAGTTTTTTTTTTCTCAAATTTTTTTTTTTTTTTTTTTTTTTGCGTTTCATGCGGTGCGTCAGACGAATGGGGTTTGCACATAAACGCAATTCTCCAGTTTACATAAGCAGGATGATGTTAAATATGATAAGAAGCATGTTAACCCGTTCTGCATATGTAGCTCGATGCCGCAAATGCAGACTTGCATATGTCCCATGTTTTGATCATCAGCTGTGAGAACAAAACACATTAGTGCCTCAACAACTCTTGATTCCCAGCCTTGCATAACCCAAAGTAAGAAATTTTCAGATTGTCTTGTTCCCATCCCTTTCTTTTTTGATTGTTCGTTGCCCTTCACTGTTTTCTTATTGACTACCATAGACTGGTGTAACACTTCCTCGTTAAAACTCAGCCTACTGTCATAGCCTTGAAGCGTTTTTTTTTGTTGTTTTAACTTGTTTGGATTTAATAATGGCACTGGGTCTCTTTCACACAAAACATTTCAAGTCCTCAAGAAACTTACGGAAGCTTCTGATATCTTCGCCCATTCCAACGTCTCCAGCCCACAGCCCAATTTCTTCGTCCTCTCCTACTTTCAGCCTGGCAGGCCCTTTGGTGGTTTTAAAAGCAAAATATGGCTTCACTGGTGTTTCGTTCCCTGAAATCTCTGTCAGTGAAGGCGACTACTGCAAATTAATTGAACGTTTAGATAACGGCTGGCTAATGGTACAATGTATCGACAGAGCAGAGTTGGGAATTGTTCCTGCTCTGTATGTTGAGATTGCCGTCAATGACACGGAGAACCCAATTTCGCCCGAGTGGCTTCGAGATTGCAAAAAGAGAAGCACATCTATTCAGGATCATCCAAGATCTGGTACGGTTTCGCAAGTTCTGCTTGATTCTAATGGCCGTTTCTGGTACCTTTACCGGGTCCGCATGTATTCGGGAAAAAAGGTGTTTCTAGGAAAGTACTATCAAGACTTTTATCATCTACATTGGGCCTTGCAGGAAAGTCTAGGCAGCGAAGTTACGTTACCATCATTACCAAAACCAATTAGTGTATGCGGCGGGGAGGAGAAGGAATTCAAGTTGGGGAAGATTCTCAAGCGATGTAAAGAGTTGGATGATTACCAGCGCAGTCTTTTGAGTATTGCAGATGTGAGTCGTAGTCTGTTAATGATGAACTTCGTTACAGAGAATAAGAATCATCGAGTTGTCTATGAAAGAGGAGAGTCGGTTCCTCCTACAGAAGAGATTATTCAAATGATTTACAAAGACTCTAATAGCATCCAAAGCCTTCTTCATGTATCGACAAAGAGCTCCTTTTCCACGACCGAGCCACTCCCTCTTGTCGATTCTTTTGGAAACAGATTGAAATACTCGGCCCCGAGGCATTCAACCACTTGAACACGAAATATCTGTCATACATCAACCAAAATCCTTCTACGAGCTCACTCAGGTCCCAAGATAATGCAAAATTATCCGTCAATGCGCTTGGAGGACAAGACGGGCTAGCGCTGTCTAAAAGCTCCCAAACGCTATCTAGTTTCTCGTCGTTGATCGACAAATATGATGACATGACTGACACTTCTGTGGATGCCTCCTTTCCTCATACGATGGAATCGGATATACGGCAAGGCATAGCATCCTAATTCACTTGGTCGTCTCTAAGGGCTTAGATCATCTAAACATCATAAACAGGCTTGTTTAGAGAGAACATTTCACATTTCTCCGCTTGCAAAACCGGATATGTGAAGAATACGATCATAGCAAGAGACTAGATACTCTATTATTCTGTGTGAGTTTCATTGCACGTGGCTACGGGGATACGCATTAAGCAGAGTAAACAGTTTCTATTCTGCATGTTTCGGCGTCATTGAAATACGCCAATCGAAGCTAGCGCGATTTATTTCCACTTAAGCAGGCTTAGCTACGGAGAATTTATTTACTAGTTGTGTATAGTATTTAGGTACGAGTGTTACACGTGCAGTTAAGAACAATTGTTTCAAGTAGTTTTCTGACTCTCATGACGATCAATTACTTTTCGCAAAAAGTCTTCCTCAGAAGTCTTTAGAAGTACAACTCATTCTTCGAGGCGATACGTTTTAACGAAAAACGTGCTGCTTCAATGCGCGGAACATAATATCGTTCACGTCATTGAAGGCAGTTTCTGTGCCACCTGCACGAAACTTGGTACATGTAAATTATAGTCTGCAGAAACCATACACTGACAATATAATCAACAGAGAAACCGTGACTGGGGCCCTCCAGCAAAGAAAAATGGCTGATATTTTTGCAATGGACGACTATGAGGCTCCTTCCTCTGTAAGGGAGTTGAACTATCGACTTCTTGAAGAAGAGGCCAATCCTCCTAGTCCGGATTTTCCACCACCGGGTGTAATTGTGGACGAAGCTCTACTAGTTGACGAAAATTACAGCTCCGATAGTGATACGGTGGCGGACCTTTTACCAATTCCGCTTCCCATTAAGTCCAGGAAAATGTCCAGCACCTCGAAATACTCTTCGTCCTACGAGATTGATATCAATGAATCTTTTGTGTCCTCGTCATTACAAAAAGAATGTTCTATTGACTACAAACCTCGACTCGATGATTTTGAGCCTCTTAAAGTCTTGGGCCAGGGATCTTACGGAAAAGTTATTCTTGTACGTGAAAAGGCGACGGGAAAGTTGTTTGCTCAAAAGCAGTTGAAAAAGGCATCTTTGATTATTAATGACACCAACGAAATTCACAGCAAAAACTATCAACGCACTCTCAACGAAAAGACCATACTAGAAAAAGTGAATCACCCAAATATCGTCAAATTATACTACGCCTTCCAAGACCACAATAAGGTTTACTTGATTCTCGAGTACTTGGATGGTGGGGAACTTTTCCATCATCTCGATCAGCAGAAATTTATGAGTGAAAAGGATGCTGCCTACTATATTGCACAAATTGTTTTGGCTTTGAGGTATCTCCATTTGGACATGAAAGTCATTTATCGTGACTTGAAACCAGAAAATTGCATGCTAAATTCAGAGGGAAATCTTGTCCTCACTGATTTTGGATTGTCGAAAGTGTCGTCTGATGACGGTGCTAAACATTCCATGATCGGAACAGCGCAGTATATGGCACCGGAAATCATCAAAGGAGAAGATTACGACTATTCGGTCGACTGGTGGTCATTGGGTTGTGTTGCATTTGACATGTTGACAGGTGCTCCCCCTTTTACAGGCCATACCAACGAAAGAATTATGGATAAAATTGTGCATTCCAAAAAGCATCTCAAGTTTCCTTTCTACCTCTCGTTGGATGCAAAAGACTTGTTAAGAAAACTCTTACAGCCCAATCCTGAGAAAAGATTCAATATCGACGAGGAATTCGATAAGCTAAAAAGTCACCGTTTTTTTCGGCATTTGGATTGGCAAAGCCTCATGGGTCCTGTCAGTGAAGATTACCTACCACCTATTCTTCCTGTTATTACTGATCCTATTTTGGCTGAAAATTTTGATGAAGAATTTACAAGCATGCCATTTACACCACCATCATCCTCTGCATTAAATCCAAGCAGCAAAAGTCCAGGTGACATATTGCATGTTAATGGGTTCACGTTCACCAACGAGAGTTATTTGATCAATATCTACAAAAATGGTGCACATTGAGGTCCAATTACGCATATTAAATATTTATTCTTTCTGATGCATTTACCCAAATAAGGAACAATAGACGATTATGAATAAAGCGAGTGTGATGAAGAAATCAATAGCAGTGGTGATTCTGTGGGAGAGCGTAGACTGTTGATGTAGATAATTGTTTGAGAATAACTTAGCAATCATCATCAAAACCACTAAGCATGGCGACAGACTTGCAAAACTTGGGTTTAAGAACAATGAGGACAATATTAGAGTGTATGCAAAATGACGTAAGCCATTGGTGATTCCGTAAAGTACAAATTGGAACACGGATAGCTTTGAAAGCAAGATCCCAAACCTGAGAAAGGAAGGGTCAATACTGGCATTAGAGTCAGTTGAATGTGAAGAAGATGCGTCGAAGTACTTATTGGAGAAGGCCGCAAACTTGTAGAATTCGTGTACATTTTCAGATGTGTCATTGATGGAATAGGACTGGTTCTCAAGGTCAATAGCACCGTACAGAGATCTCAAGCCATGCGACTTTAAGGTAGCCGTCTCACTATTCAATGTAAATGAGGATAGTTTCTTATTAATGAAGCGTTTCACTTCATGAGGTGATGGCTGGAATTGTTGATTCTGGAATGAGCTTGGCAATGGCAAAAGCCAGTTAAACCATTTTAAAGCACTTCGCACTGTACCAACCGGTGAACGGCTCTTTAAAGTCTCCGCATCACTGCTTGAGGATGACGTAAATGAGGCACCATCAGAATTAAATTCATGACAGTTAAAATGAGCTTCAAAATTCTCGGGCTGAGTATACTCTATAATAGACGGTTCTTCTGAATGTTGATCCATAGCATGCAAATTATCAATCGAGGGCACCCATTTGGTGTCCGATTCGATTTGAAGATGAAGGGTATTCTTGGGAGACACAGAATATAAGCGGTCAATCATATTGAGATGAGCTTGTTGTGAGTTTTGTACCAAGACGGGCATCAGTTTGGAATGACTGAGTTTGTGAAGCGGGCGAAAAGAGTCTAAATTGAAAGTAGGTTTCGGTTCCACTTCTGCTGCTAGCAGATACAAATCTGTATCTTTTAGAGTCGTATATGAAGGCTGTGGTAATTTGGGCCCGGGTTTGGACGAAGTGTAAATGCTATGTTGATGGAGAAATCTCTCGTAACGTTGTTTGTAATGCAATGGAGAAAACGTCATGACATAGGCTGCGCAAAAGTTGGCTGAGTAGACAAAGGCTACCACATAGACAGAGTAAATGTCAATCAGAAAATTGGGGCCTCCCAATGTGCTTGCTAAGGTAATGACGGACAATCTTGACATCTCTCCGACGATAGGTTTTAGAAACTTATCAACAAACCCTGAAGGACAAGACTCGGGTAGTTTTTGATACCGCCCGCTACGGACCAAAACCCGTGTAACGGTCCATAAAAGCTGATAGCATAGAATCACGACTTGTACGAACACAATGAGTCGAATGTAATGTGAGTAGGGATGTTCTGGAACTGTGGGTATATAGAACACAGACAACATCAAAAGGATTAGCACTAGCACCAACAGCGGTACACCAACCGCAAGAAACGACGGTGTATCCATTTTGTGGAACTTTGATCAAGAAGGAAACTTGCAATGAATTATGGAAGGGGTTGGTGGATTCTTTAAACAAGTGCAGGTGATCTAGACTTACCCAAAATGAGCATTAGAAAAATACTCCGCAGTTGAAACAGGGTATTGCGTGGAAGGGCCGACCTACATTTTCACATGAATTTGGGTCATTTTATGTTTGTCTGAGTCCATCATTTGATGTGACTACAGATTTTGCTACAATCCCAGACTATATTGTATAAGTATAGCACCCATGTATAGGGCCATTATGTATGATCCTGCACGCAGTTCTTCGCTTCCAGACATCGCTGATTACTTATCAGTGTTACTAAGTTCTCTTGTAAACCATGGCCGACACAAAACGAGTGATTCCTATTGAGTCTAACCCAGAGATTTTCAGCTCCTTGGCTCATAACATTGGCCTTTCCCCAATATTGGCGTTTCAGGATGTCTACTCCATTACCGATCCAGATTTATTGGCCTTTTTGCCCCGCCCAGTTATGGGTGTCACGATGTTGTTTCCCATCACGGAAAAGTACGAAGAGTACCGCAAACATCAGGATGAAATCAACCTTAATCAATCCAAAGGTGCTCATTGGTTCAAGCAAACCGTTGCTAATGGGTGTGGTTTCTATGCGATTCTCCACATACTAGCGAATTTGCCTCGTGACTTGATAATCGAAAATCTGATCTTGAACAAGTTACTTCTTCTGCAACTCTCTGACGAATTGAGTGTGGAAGAAATATCATCTTTGGTTGAAATGCTTGAGCAAAACATACAGCTTGACTCCAATTATGGTAATCAAGGCCAAACTGCGGCACCCAGTGCGGAAGAAGCTGTGGAATACCATTTCATCTCTTTTGTCAGAGGAAAAGACGGCCACTTGTATGAATTAGATGGAAGGCGCACAGGACCAGTTGACTTGGGTCCCTCGGATAATGAAGATATAATTAATGACAAAAAGTTATTGGACAAAATCCAGTTCTATATGGATAATACCGAAGAACGCCAACGTGATAATTTTGCATTGATGGCTTTAACGCCATCTTTGTGAGATCATTTTTACTTCTGTCCTTTTATATCAACTTTCTTGAAGTTTCCTCGCTCAACTATCCCATGCACTGTCTGTTTTGCCATTGAACAAATCAAAGTCTTGACCTACAAGATATTGACCAAGATTGTGGCTCGAGAGGAACATTTCAATTGTTTCTCGTCCTTTCTCATTTCTTTGATTTGCATCTCTTATCTGGCCTGAATCTTGTTCCTCAATGTCGTCAAAACCTAACTCGACCCTCATGTAACTTTTAGGCAATTTCTTATAAGCCTTACACATGGTGTTTATGGCAAGAAGCCTTTGCTTTGTGATCAAAAATTGGTCAATGAGATGGCTGGCACATTTCATCGTGTCAACAGCTTTTATTTGCTGGAATGTTTTGAAAAATTGATGATAATTGCCCTGCTCTATAAATGTTAGTAGATCAAGTGATTTATACATGCACATGCGTTTCTCTTTGTACTTCTTAGCCATGTCGTTATCATCTGTCCCTTTTCCTTTATCAGTCATCAAAAGACTGAGCCGGATTTTGTTGACCTCAGCAAAGTTGCCTGTTAGTACAAAATACAAGATCCTATAGCAGGTGAATTCATACGTCTCACAAAAGCTATAGGAGTCTTTGTTCTTAGCATATAGATGAGTCAATTGAGACAGACACTGATTAAACTCACCAAGATCATCATTAGCGATAGCAATGCGTCCATGTGTCTCATAAACGGTGACTGCCAAGTCGTTTTCAATGTGCTGCACTGTTAAATCTTGCCTGATGGCCTTTAGTTGGTCATTCACATACAGATACCCTGCGTCAGAGTTGTGGTACTTATTGCAAACGAAATCAAGACTACGCCTGAGCGTTTCTTCTGATCTAACCAAGGCAGGATCTGGTTCGGATGTAAGTCTTAGGTAACGTTTTTCTAGTGCTGTCAGATAACCCTTTACGGGACCATCAGATGGTATTGGTACTGGGGATGATTTTCTCGTTGTAGAAGCAAAACGGTCCATCCTTTGCCGTTTCCTCTCCTTCGAATCAAAATCACCTTGACGTTTCGCACCAAAAGATTTGGACAGCATTCCCACGCCATCATTTCTAACGTCATTCACGTCCTGGACTCCATCTGTAGCTTTTGTGGGGCTTTGCTGTTCCGTTGAAACGGTAGTCTGATCCATGATAGATGGTCTTGCGAACACATTCTCATACAAATCCAAAGGACAAGCTGGGTCAAATACTGGCAACAGCTGAAGTTCCCAAGGATTAGTCCATACTTTGTTCTGTGTTATTGCACGTTCCATGAGAGTCTGCATTTGCGAAGCAAACACGGTCTGTATTTCCGGGCTTAGCGTTTTGACTCGTGCAAACAGTTTGTTCACGAAATCTGAAAGGGACTGGGGCCATTTGGCTTCGTTATCGTTGCTATCGTTAGTCTGTGGGCTCTTAACTTTATGCTCTTTCTTCCGCTCCCGTGGTTTTTTTTTCCCCAATTTCTTGGGTGTCACTTCATTATAGCTGGACATAGCTGGAGAAGGTTGTAATGGGGCATCAACTCTATATGTGACTTATGGTGTACGGATCTAGTAATATTCAAGTATGTAAGTGGCTAAAGCGAAGGTTCAGATATTGGCACAGTCAACGGACGGAATATGAAGAAGAAATATGAAGTTAGAAAGAAAACTGGAACAAAGGGAGAAAGAAAAAAGGACGGGAATTACCCCGAATTAACGGCTTTATATGAAAACAAGTACTTCACACAGCCGAACATTCATTGAATTTTCTGCCAGCTGCCTTTTTTGAAATAACTGTTTCCAATTTATGATATGCTTGTGTTTTCGTGCAATCATCCTATTTGGCTTCAAATTCTCTGTTCTCTTTTGGCTTCGGCTAATTTCCTTCTAACATTGTTAGTTCCTGTATTTGGATCGCATACTTTGAAGACCTCACTATCGAAGTTCTTATCTCGAGTTCTAATGGCATGAAATCGGCCATCTTTCAAGAACAAAGCCATTCGGCGGAGAGCCGTATCCCCAAAAAACCTCATGTTGGAATAAAAGGCATCAGGTCTTTAGGAGCATCAGTAACGCTGTCTCCCAGCAACCTCTCACTGCTCAATTGGAACTTGGATGAATTGATAACTTTGTACAACAGTACCGGAGTCCTTCCACCTAAGCTTTCTCCCAAATTACCTCCGCAATTCGATTTCATGAGCAATGATAACAAACATCTGAGGAAAGAGGATGACTCGGCTGAAAGCGATATAGATAATATGCCTATGTCTCTTTTGTCTCCGACTCTACCAAATCTGTTTCCAGAGACATCTAGGAATGAAAAGAGAAAACCACAGAAGGAGAATCTGAAGTCGGAATTAGTTCAGCCGTCTCCCAGGAGTGCAGCAACAGTTTCATCTGTTTTGACGGAGCGCAACTCGAAAAGCAATCGCGTCAGATGGATCAATAAAATCAATGACCGGGAAAAGCCCAGGTTCTTGATGCGCATTACCTTTAAACGCCTGCTTCCCAAGTACAAAGACATATTCAGCCCAAAATCACCTGTTAAGTATCAAGGCTTGGGCATAGATATGAATGAGGCTTCTGAGGCCAGCGCGAAGGAATACTGGCTTAAGGTAGCTAAGGACATTCAGAGTAATGGCGAAAAGCTCACCTCTCGTCACTCAATGCTATTACTCGTATATCAGTTCGACTGGATACTATGCCTTTTGATTGCTCATGGACAAGATGGTGTTGATACTTCTTCTGAGAGACATTGGTATGCTTTGCGCAACGAAATTCCACCACTTGTACAGCGGATCGAAAAGTATGTGAAAACCAACAATGTGGACGACAAAAAACCATATTTGACATTCCTTGTGGGCATTCTTTTAACTATAAAAGCTCTTATTCTCAAAAGAGTCAATTCTATCTTGAAATCGTCAGTTGAAGGCTACTTTGATCAAAAGGACCCTAATGCACAAATGATGAATAAGGTTATCAACTTGCAAAAACGAATCATCAGTAATCAGCAGCAATCTGAGGATGATCTAGCTGAATCTCAAGCTTGCTTCACAAAGTGTGGTCCTCCTGCTAAATTATTCCCTAAAAGTTGGGAATTTCGCAAAAATGCATTTCAGCGACAATCCTCCTTTGTACTAACTCCGTCGACAGACAAATATTTTTTGCCTTTGGGTGTATACTCTGACCTTCGTGAGGGTTGTGCCTATCTATATTGTTGTGTCAGGGAGTTTTTAGATCTTTATTATTCCGAAATATGTGGGGATGTCCGGTACACTCTCCAATCTGGTCAAAGAAAAAAAGTAATGCCTTGATTTATATGCCTATGTCCTTCCTTTAAATAAAATCGTCTCGTGCTAACAGACGGGTGAAATTATTGTTTTTACCTTTTCGATTTCCCCTTTGCCATGTACTTTTCCTTGTAAATCCAACTGTTGCCTATAATTCTGGAATCAAAGAGCTCTCCAAGTCTTAACCATGCTGCAGCTTGATGTAAATCTTTTTTAAAATGCTTCGACTTCGAGCTCCAAAGCTCGCCCAACTTAACCATGGCTTCTGAAGATCCCAAGGAAGCAGCTTTACTTAAAAACATTCGACCAACAACCTCGTCTTTGACCAAGGAGTCTAAACCTAGCAATACACACTCGCCTAGCTGAAAGTATGCTCCACCAACAGTATTGCTATCCTTTGAATTGATCTGGATCATTTTGTTAATCGTTTGCTGAGGAAAGCTTGAAAAGTGATCAAACAAAGCAATCGGATCTAATGTTTCCGTTTCTATGTTTTTCTTTACCATGGCAACACACTCTTGCGGACCTAGCTCGCTCAATTTAGTGGCATAATTGTTCATGCTACTAGCGTCGATGGTAACGGTCTCAAGTATATAGGATACTAGAATACAGCGGGAGAACCATTTGATTGCATGTGCTTCGTTCAATTTGACCCCCTGTCCTAACTTGAGTGCTTTTCCGTAAAGATACATGGCCTTGGGGTAATTGTTGGGAATATTAGCTATAGTTTGAAGCAGATATGACGCTTCCCGGAGGTTACCCTGGGCTTTCGTTTGCAATGCCTTCTTCACCATTTGCTCCAAAGACGGGTCAAATTTAGTGTTTGGATTGAAGATGGGAATGTTCAGTGTCTCTAGCGAAGAATTAGATGCGTTGGAGGATGATGAAAGATTCCTCTTCCCATTTGGTTGTGGGGACGGGATATAGTGGATGGTCTCTGGAGAAGATGTGTTCGAACCAGGCTTCTCCGAATACTCATCTTTACTTTGTTCTTGATTTTCGGAAACAAAAGATCTAGATCCCGTTGAATCTAGCCGCATAAGCGTATGTGGCAATGGAGGAGGCAAGTTTTCAGATGATACCAAAGAAGTAGAGGAGTTTTGATACAGATTAGAAAAGTCCGCTTTTAGTGACACAACAGAACCATTTTCCCGCCGCAGAATTGTTTTGTAGGTCGTGGATTTTAATGGCATTCTTGCACTTTGAGACTGTATTCTTGCGGGAATGCTGGAACCGGATCTCATCCTTTCCAAGCTTATAGAAGAACTGGCGCGTATTGGCTTTACTCTCAGATCAACAGACGGAAGACTGGAGGTACCTTGTTCGTTGGTATTGTCATCGAGCCCCAAGCGATCTAATAAGCGGCCAGTAGAATGTATCAGGCTGTAGGAATCTCTTCGCGTGGTCTGTTCATCGTCATAACTGAAGTCTTCCGAATCCAAGTCTAACCGGTCTAAAAGTCGACCATTGGTCGAGACTGACTCAAACGAATAAACACTTTCATTGTCATTCAAGGTCTGTAGTCCATTTGCCGAATAGCTTACAATGGAATCCAGCTCTGAAGAAGAGGAATTATTGAACATCGGCCTTGTCCTTGGGCGCATTGACAGTAGATCCTTTGATATTTCACTCTGTAGTTTATGTAACGGAGACCTCATTTTATCCGGAAGAGGGTTTTCAGATGGCATGGCGATAGGAAAAGAATAATAAACTGGCGGATGTATTTAAAGGAGTAGGTAAAGCGAAGGTGCTGTTTAACAGAAGACTATAATTAGTGTATGGAAGTGTTATGGGCACTCTTGAAATCGAGACCGGTCGGTCACGTGCACACATGTTTATTGTATAGTTGACTTCATACTAAACGAAACGGATGTTTAAAGCTTATTAAATGCGAATTGTTTCGAAGGTATCTTGTTCCTTACAATACTGTTGTTTTATCCAAATTCTGTTACCTTTCATTTTTTATTGTGGTTTTTTTTTTGTAAACAACATAGTCTCTAACGACACATTCGACTGTTCTACGGAAAATATGCGAATCGCCCACAACATTCTCTTTGTTATTTCAAATTTTCCAGCGCCTTAAAATGAGCAGATAAACAAGAGCAAAAACAAAACTCAAATAATAAAAAAGAAAGACCATGCAAGATAAGGAACTGAAAAGTTACTTCTCTAATGGAGTAACTATGATTTCCTCTTGCGGAGCATGAAGCATGTCTCGCAACGTAAAAACCAAAATAGGCAAGGCATAAACCGTTTTGAGAATCGAACGGCTACCGAAGCTTTCGGAACGATCTTGCAGATATGCATGCACGAAAGTGCCAAGTTAAACGGCATTTGGCATTAGACCACTCCCGCTTCTCTAAACGGCTTCAGACAGGCAAACGGCATCTGGTTTACTCCTGTATGGAGCGGCGATTTACCCTCTCCTTCATATCCCTACCTTCCAAAAAAACTTCCAGTAGGCCATATCCGGAAAACGAGCACAACTTGATTGTTCTCTTTACTAGAACCTAGCTTCCATTGTATTTGTTGCCCAATATGGATGTCGTAAACAGCCGTCGTCCTAAAGTATCGCCGGAGATTGATCCCTCCACACTTTCAAACTACACCAACTTTAAAGTCGGTCCCACCAAGTTGTCGTTTGATGTTGACTTTGAGAAGAAAATTGTGAGCGGTAGCGTTGTCTATGATCTTGAAAAGTTGACTGCTGTTGACAATGTTGTTTTGGACACTTCTGTGTTGAAAGTCAAGGCTTGTTCCATCAACGGAAAGAGCGCCGCTTTTTCGCTCTCTGATGTTGTGGGTCCTTTGGGCTCTCCGTTGACGATCGAGGCAGAGACGCCAGAAAAGAAACTCGAGGTGGTTGTTGATTTCGAGACAACAGAAAATTGCACGGCATTACAATTTTTGGACAAGGAAGCCACTGATGGTAAAAGTTCTCCTTACTTGTTTTCCCAATGTCAAGCCATCCACGCCAGAAGTTTGTTCCCATGTTTCGACACGCCAGCTGTCAAAACCGCTTATAAGTTTACTGCCACTTCTCCACTTCCTGTGATCATGGGTGGAAGACCAGTGTCTGTTGAGGGCAAGGTTTACACATTTGATCAACCAATACCAATCCCATCCTACTTGGTCGCAATTGCCTCTGGTGATATTACAAAGTTGCCAATTGGTCCTAGATCTCACGTGTACTGTGAGGGCGTCAAGGTGAAAGCTTGTCAGCACGAATTTGAAGCTGACATGGAGAACTTTCTTCAAGCAGCTGAAAAGTTGGTGTTCAACTACGAGTGGGACCAGTACGACGCTCTTGTTTTGCCACTGAGTTTTCCTTATGGTGGTATGGAGAATCCTAATGCCACATTTGTCACTCCTACTTTGATTAGTGGAGACCGCGAGAATGTGGATGTCATTGCTCACGAACTTGCTCACTCGTGGTCAGGTAATTTGGTCACCAACTGCTCGTGGGAACACTTTTGGCTCAATGAAGGTTGGACCGTTTACTTGGAAAGAAGAATCCAAGGCAGTATTCACGGCGAAGCTACAAGACATTTTTCAGCCATCATCGGGTGGTCGGACTTGGAAAACTCCATCAAGGCAATGGGCGACAGTGCCGAGAGATATTCCACGTTGGTTCAAGATTTGAAAGATCGCAGCGACCCGGACGACGCGTTTTCCACGGTGCCTTATGAAAAGGGATTCAACTTGTTGTTCCATATTGAGCAGACCGTGGGCGGAAAAGAGGTGTTTGATGCCTTCATTCCTCACTATTTCAAAACTTTCAGATACAAGTCGCTCGACACCTACCAGTTCCTCGACACATTGTACGCATTTTTCGCTGACAAGAAAAAGGAGTTGGACTCCATTGATTGGGACACTTGGTTGTACAAGCCCGGAATGCCACCAATCAAGCCCGCTTTCGACACTACCTTAGTTGACCAGTGCTACAGCTTGGCTGACAAATGGTTCAACGCCGTTAGCAAGTCCTCTTCCACCAACTTGCATTCTGTATTCAAGCCAAGTGACATTGTCGACTTCACTTCCAACCAGTCTGTGGTGTTTTTGGACACCATCACATCATACAACAAGTTGCCCGACTTCAAGTGGGCTAATCATGTGGATGCATTGAAAGCCATGAGCGAGATTTACGCGGCGTACTCTACATCGTCAAACGCCGAAGTGTTGTTCCGCTGGTTTGTTGTGCAAGTGGGTGGCCATAATACATCGTACTACGACAAGTTGGGACAATGGCTTGGAACCGTGGGCAGAATGAAGTTTGTCAGACCAGGCTATGTGTTATTGAACACAGTCGACCACGACCTCGCCATCAAATACTTCACCAAGTTCGAGGCTACCTACCATCCAATTTGCAAAGCCATGGTTCGGAAAGATTTGGGTTTGGCATGAACCTTTGCGTGTGTATAGTATAACATGACATTTTCAGCATAAGCACAGCCGAATGGCATTTTAAGCCTGTACAGGCAGCGCATCTTGAGGCGCGCCTTTATCCAAACAATCCACGCCCAAGATCCAACTACAAGTTTCTCCTGCTGTTGTCTTCCTCAAGAATGTCGGGTTACTCTCTTGCAAACATTCCAGTACGTTTTTGATTACCAAGACTTAAGCGAAAGGGAAACAGGAAATTTCAAATGTTTACCTTCCGTGCTGCCTCCTTGCTTCTTGTACTAACACCTGTCCTTTAGTTTTCCCAGTTTTCTGATAGATTCAATCTTGACAGACTTCGCAACGATGTCGGATCTCTTCAAGCGGTCGTTTCCAAAATAAGGCCTCCACAGGAGTTTTTCGATTACAGAAGACTTTCCAAGCCCGCCAACTTTGGTGAACTCCAGGGTAGAGTCGGCTACAACTTGGGCTATTTCCAAGGCAACTACATCGCGATTGTATCCATCTTGAGTATTTATGCCTTGATCACCAACTTGTTGTTGTTGTTTGTCATTCTTTTCGTCGGAGGCGGCATCCTTGGTATCAGCAAGTTGGGTGGAAATGATTTGGTTTTGCCCGTGGGCAGATTCAACACTTCGCAATTATACACTGGTTTGTTGATCGTGGCGGTGCCATTGGGCTTTTTAGCCAGTCCCATTTCCACCATGATGTGGCTCATTGGTTCGTCATCTGTTTCTGTCTTGTCTCATGCTTCCTTCATGGAGAAGCCAATAGAAACTGTCTTTGAAGAAGAAGTTTAAAAGCAGAGAGCAACGACGGTGCTTAGATTAATAAACGCTGCTCTTTTGGTTTCTGTAATACTCTAAGTTTTGTCTGTTTCCGATTGTTCTAATTACTGTAGCGATATGCCCTCATCACGCTACGTTCTACAAATGTGTTCTTAGCTAGAGGATGTATTTCCTATACGTTATGTGTACATGAAAAGGATTAAAGACCACAGAAAAACACGCTTAGATGTTCAACTTAGTTCTTCTCCAGTGTCTTCTCTTAGCGTTGTATCTGACCTTGTTGTCGGTCTTCAATCTGATCCATTGAGGCAATGGTCTGTTTTGCTTGGAAGCTTTAGCCAACTTTTGCTTGGTTCTGAAAGATTTGTTAGCCTGTCCATGTTAGTAAATATATTCCACAATCTGCGATTTTGAGATGATGGCTGGCGTTTCAGCCTAGCACAATGAGCCCCCTTGGTTCCTGGAAAAGCTTATGCCATTTGGATATGCTCTCTGAGCTCAACAAGGGATCCAACTCTCTTCAAAACGACATGTAACGCTTGTACATACAGGCATCTTAACTAATTCAATGACAGTAGAAGATTTGTTGCAGTCTTACGAAAAGTTTTTTTTCGCCCTGGGCCAGAGTGCGAAGCGAGGATGCCCTGCATGTGGAGATGGGAGTGAGAATGCGACTGCATATTGATAGAGTCTCTCCCTCTTGTGACTGTTTTTTTTCTCATTCTGAGCATGTACTTGGTTATGGTGTACGGGTCTAGTTTCGCACTGCGACTGCCAGTGTAGGAAGGAAAAAAAAACGCTGAAAATTTCACCGGTTTTCTTGATTCTTCAACTTTAAGCAGAAATGACCAGAACTTCCGTCCTCGCTGACGCTTTGAACGCCATCAACAACGCTGAAAAGACCGGTAAGCGTCAAGTCTTGATCAGACCATCCTCCAAGGTCATCATCAAGTTCTTGCAAGTTATGCAAAAGCACGGCTACATCGGTGAGTTCGAATACATCGATGACCACAGATCCGGTAAGATTGTTGTTCAATTGACCGGTAGATTGAACAAGTGTGGTGTCATCTCCCCAAGATTCAACGTCAAGATTGGCGACATCGAGAGATGGACTGACAACTTGTTGCCAGCCAGACAATTCGGTTACGTTATCTTGACCACCTCTGCTGGTATCATGGACCACGAAGAGGCCAGAAGAAAGCACGTTTCTGGTAAGATCTTGGGTTTCGTTTACTAAGCGCTTCTCCTGTACTTCTAGCTTAATACAAACTTTTGATACCACTATTGTAGTTCTACACCGTTTGTAAGTCATTCACTACACGTCAATATTACTATTCTGTATTGTTAACCACCCTGGAAGAGACACTGTCATAAGGGCATGAGATGTCATATATTAGGGCTATAACCCTCAACAACCTTTGTGCACGTGAGGGGCTATCTGCACGCATTTTCTTCGATTGTCGCAACGTGTGCAGGTCTGCAACCAATCATCCCAGGAAAATTTCTCAAGAAACTCGTTCCAAAATTTTCATTCTTACAACTTTATTTGTACACTACAGGTAAACATGTCTGCTGGTATGTGCTTCCCAAACCTATAGCTAAACCCAAAAGAATCATCCCCAACGCTATTCCCACCATTGTTCCCATATATTTCTTGACCCAAACGTTGTTACTTTGAGCCTTTAATGTGTGGTTTGAATTGGAGTGGAAGCAACGGGATTCGAACGGGAAAAAAAAGATTTCAATACATCATTCATTTTAGCAAATATCCTGTCTTCATATACTAACGTTATAGACCGTTCTCAAGTCTTCGGTGTTGCTCGTATCTTCGCCTCTTTTAACGATACTTTCGTTCATGTTACCGATCTCTCTGGTAAGGAAACCATTGCCAGAGTCACTGGTGGTATGAAGGTTAAGGCCGACAGAGATGAATCCACTCCTTACGCTGCTATGTTGGCTTCTCAAGATGTTGCTGCTAAGTGCAAAGAAGTCGGTATTACTGCCGTCCACATCAAGATCAGAGCTACTGGTGGTACCAAGACCAAGACCCCAGGTCCAGGTGGTCAAGCTGCTGTGAGAGCTTTGGCTAGATCCGGTTTGAGAATTGGCAGAATCGAGGATGTTACCCCAGTTCCATCTGACTCCACCAGAAGAAAGGGTGGTAGAAGAGGTAGAAGATTGTAATTTTGCTATTGCTGGTATTTGCGCTGGTGCTTGCATGTTATAATCACGAGTATCTCTACTTTTTTATAATGTTTAATTAGATGGTGTGGATGTGATCCAATTATCGATCAGGAAGAGACTCTGTTCTCGACCAATTATAGGGCATTTCTGTCATATAAAAATGTACATTTGATGAAGTTTGTCGTAGCTTTCCCGTTTCTCTAATTGTACGTCGTCTCGCGAACACCGGTTGGTTTTGACAGATTTCCCCCGGTAATTCTTCGTATTTCTGCCTTGGAACGGGGCCAACCTACTGTATCGGTATATTTGTACAAACTGTTTTGTCTACGAAGCTTTGAAGAAAATTACAATCACATATCACCACGATAACAAGATATTCTGTTCCTTTCAAAAGTCTTTGTATATTGTGGACAAAGTTGAGGTACAGAAGATAGGTTAATGAGGGTGTGACCTTATTTTGTGCATCTTCTATTGAACTATACATACGGTTTTTTGGGTGCCATTCGATAAGAGTAAGTGAGAAAGGTTGCCTGATCTGAGGATTTCCTTTTTGCAGAGCTTTGGAAGGAAACTTCATCTGCATTTGGGTCAAATTGTGAAATATGGGATCATTAATGTGACATACTGTATTGTTTGTCCGAATGCGGTAAATATTTCCCACAAAGCCCTTTTGTGCGATAAGGGTGCACAGACTTGGGCTGTTTTCGCAGCTACTGTTTGGGCAAAGAAACCCATTCTTTATCAGTGTATTCCACTTGGCTATATAAATAAACCGCCTTCGCTGTAAAATTAGTAAATTGATAAGTGATATTTTCACTGTCTAAACAAATCATGACAGACTTTGTTTTGCTATCCTTAGTGGTTTCTGCCGTCGCTATATTACTTACTGCTTCTAAGCAAACTCGGCTGTTACTTAGCAACTCCTTCCAGAAGTACTACAAAAAATATGTAAGTACATCTGCAGGCTCAACACCTGTTCAGAGCAGGAAGAACTCTTACAACTCTCCCAACGAACCTTTGCCCAAGCCAACGCCTCTCATGATCACTCCTGATGAAGTTCAGAACTGGGATGACAGACCATGGAGACCTTTCAGATGGCCTTACCATCAAACAATGTCCATTTTCAAGTTGGATATTAACCACTGGTTGGATATGGATAAGTACTACTGGCACTACATTGAGGAAAAGAAGAGAATCTGGCATACGTATGGACGTCAGAACATTGACTGGCTTCCAGAAGCATATGATGCTTGCTTGGAATTGATGGAAACAGTCCGTACTCACATGGTTGACCGTTATCCTTTGCTTTTCACTGTGTTGGTCGATAAGAAGGAAAATGGTGTCGTTCTTAGAAACGAGTTGACAAAGGAGATCTTGGATATGACCTTACCATTGAAAGAACACCCATTATTGTATGTGACTAAGATGGCTAAGGAGGACTTTTATATTGTTTTGAAGGACCCAAAAGATGGGAAACATTACTTGAAAGCCGCTGCAGTTCCTTTCCCTGGTGGATCTTTCGGTATTGACAATAAAATCGGAAAGCATTTGGATATTATCCATAGCGAAGTTCCTTACTACGAGGAAAAATTGAAGAGGTCAATGGAAAGATGGTTCGAGCGTTTGGATGAAAACAACCCAGTTGAACGTGCTTCTTGGTACATTTCGTGGGACCACAAGTTGAAGGTGAACAACATTTACCAGTTGCCTAAATTCGTTCCTAACTTGGAGGCAGACATGAAGTCCACAGACCCCAAGCAGTTCAACGTTCGTGTTGAACGCCAAACTTTGAGAAGATTACCAAAGAGTAGGGCTATTATCTTCACAAACCATCCAATCTTTTATTCTATTGACGAGATGAAGGATGAACCCAATGTTCCTTCTCTTCTCAAGAAAATCATCTACGAGGCCCCAGAAGGTATCATAAAGTACAAGAACTTTGACTTTATCAGAGACCACATCTCAACCTATTTGGACTCACTTATCCAGCGCCAAAGAGATTTGGGCATCATAGATGCAGACACTCCAGTGAAAACTTTGCCCACTTATCCTTTTGCTCATTGGGCTAAGACAAACTTTGATTATGTAAATGGCTGGTCCAATCCATCATTCGCTGGAAACAAGCCCAATTATAAGGAAGAAGTGAAGAAAGAGGTTGTATACCCTAACGACTAAAACCATGTTCGCGCAGGATGTGAATTGGCGTCTGGTTTGTTTTGAGCGAAAGACCTTGTGTGCCATACGAAATTATATACTTAAATAAATTTAGATGTGCCCTATAGAAGTGGTTATATGATTAGACTCTGTACGGACAGATGAAGAAACTTATGGGTTCGGCGTTAGGATTGCATATAGGCATTCCCGATGTGGAGTATGACTTGCTTGAGAGTTAGTCATCTCCATGGATCCCACGATTACGGATTTCTTTTCCCTGCCCGCTTTCTTTGTTATTAATATTTTGACAATTATTCTTTAATTTTCCATTTTCCTGCAATGCAAACCATTCAGTTGAAGACAATTGGTGCTTCTGGACCCGCTTCTGGCAATAGCCAAGCCCAATCATCTGCAAATGATCATGTTTTAGATATCAGTGTATCTAGCTCTTCTAATGAAGATGAACCCCCACAGATGCTGGATACAGAGCAAGATATCACCGATTTCCCAGATGGCGGGTGGAAAGCTTATAGCGTTCTCCTAGGCTCTCATATTGGTTTAATTATTAATTTTGGAATTTTAAATTCCGTTGGTGCCGTCCAAGCTTATATCTCAACCCATCAGTTGGCTGGAGAAAAAGTAAGCGATTTATCATGGGTATTTTCCATCTACATGTGTCTCCCTTTTTTACTAGGGATGTTTGTGGGTCCAGTCTTTGATTCTCGTGGAAGTACAGTCCTTCTTTCTATTTCGACTGTGTTATTATTCGGTGGTTTTATGGCTGTGAGTTTTAGCAAGTCCATTGTGGCTTTCCTTTTTTCCCTCTCTATATGTATGGGAACGGCGCATGCCCTTGCTATCACGCCCTTAGTTTCCCTGGTAAGTCACTGGTTTCTCTTGAACAGAGGTAAAGCCTTAGGGTTGGCCAGTTTGGGTGGATCTGTTGGAGGTACTATATGGCCTCTTATTCTTCGAGCGTTGTATGGTTCTGTGGGCTTTGGTTGGGGTATCCGTATTGTTGGATTCATCTGCTTAGCCGGACTGCTTGTCTCGGTGATTTTGGTCAAGCTGAGAGTTCGGAGAGTCATATCTCCCACCAGTGCGGAGCATATGGAAAAGACGAAGAAATTGTTGATGCATACGAAGAATTTTTTTGATGTCACTGCTTTCAAAGAAGGTAGTTTCACCTTTTTGGTTCTCGGTGTGTTTTTCACCGAAACTGCTCTTATGAGTATTCTCACGTACTTGGCCACATTTGCAATTGCCCACGGCTTTACAGAGAATAATTCGCTTATTCTTGTTACTGTGCTTAATGCTACGGGAATTCCTGGAAGATACATTCCTGGGTATCTCGCAGATCGTTATGGAAACTTTAATGTCATGGTGATCATGTTAACAGGGTTTTCGCTTTCGATCCTTGCCTGTCTTTTACCCTTCGGTAGTTCTGCTGCAGGTTTATACACGTTTTCTGTATTGTGTGGATTTTTCTCGTCCTCCGTCTTGAGCTTAACACCTACATGCCTTGGATCTATAACACAAGTTGACAAGTTTGGACAGCGGTATGGACTCATGTACACCTGTTCCAGTACAGGGATCCTTTTCGGAATTCCAGTTGGCGCAGCTATCATTGGCGACGAAAGCATGTATAACTACAAGGTCTTTACCGTGTTTTGTGGCGTGTTTGCAGTCGTTGGAACTACATGTTGGGCAATCAGCCGGTATTGTGTTGTTGGCGCTCAATTAAGGGTAAAAGTTTAGCCTTATAGATTTAATACATCATTATTTCCATACTCATTATCATTTTCTCTTCCGGCCCTGCTGAGAGGCTCTGCCCGTAGTCTTGGAGGTCGCCACATTGCTAGCAATTTGTGCTTGTGCCGTATTTGCCTCCAACCTTTCCGCCTCTTCTCTATGAGCTGTCATCTCGTATCCTTCATTTTTCATCTCATTGATTCTGTCAACCATGTCTGGAGCAACGTAGCTAAGAATCGTCGGAACGATTAAAGTGAACAATGCCACCGCAAAAAATGCAGTGTACATTTTGTTTTTGAAAATCACGCCAAAGGGACTCTCCATTACCATTGTACTCAACTTTCCTTGAGCACTTTCATAGTACTGCTTGTAGTCAACGACATTCAAAATAAGAGGCTCTTTGTCGCTGACGGTACGTGCAGATGTCGTATTAAGCCCTTCGCTAGCCAAATAATCGTCATATACATGGATCTGATCTTCATCAACAATGACTCTGAACCGAGTATTGCGAAGATTGAAATCATAGGAACTGACCAAGAGTTCGTACGCTCCTTCAGATAAATCTTCAACTTTGAAGGTAAAGTCTTCAGCAACTGGATACTTTCGTATTTTCAACTCATTTGAGGCGTCAAGATCGATTATTTTAACACTTGTTCGAGCCTGATAGTTTAACCCATTTACTATAGGAGAACCAATGTTTCCCGACTGCGCCTCAATGGCATCCTGAGGAACTCCAACAAACTTGCCCTCAAATCCTCTGCAGAGGACACTAGTGAAAAACTGCAGTATAAATAAGATTATCGTAATCGCCAACATCGCTAGTACAATGTAGCCATGAGGTGTGGATCACGTATAGTAGTAAAGGTGCGCGCATTACCCGGACGATTTGATATGATATAAAACCGGCAGATATCGCACAGACAAAATTTTCTTCTCTATTGTACCATGTATGTGTATTATTGTAGGGCTACAATTCCGAAGGCTGTCGAGTTTTCGCCCAGAATTGCGGCTCTCTACAACACATACTAGAGTAGACTATTTTTTTAGTCACGGGAGTTTTGGGCGTGGTTGTTTAATGGATCTCTGATCTACATGTCAACTGCGCATTCCAGTTTTTCCACACATTAATGAAATGAATCTTTGTAATGCTTTCTATCTTCTATTTTCCTTCACGCTTCTAGAGCCCCATCTGTCATAGCAATATAGACCGAGGCTGATGAGACATAAACCTTGTAACTGCGAAGTTGAAATCTTGCCAAACCATTTGTTTGACGAGTCATTACCTGAAGACTCGACAAAAAGAAGACCCACGAAAATGATGACAATTCTCTTCATCATAGATGCAATAGAGTATGAGAGAGCATGGATCGAACCAAGCAATATGAACGAAAGTGAGCTCTGGCAAAAATGCGATAATGAATCCAACACGATTAAAGTAAGAACAAGCACAAGGTCCTGGGTGCTCTCCAAAGTTCCTTTGAAATGCGAAGGGTCTCCTATACTGTGTAAAATGTTGAACAACTCGTAAATGACGAACCCAGCAAAGGAGAAAATAAATCCAATCACGGATATATAAAAGATGACGGTAAACTTATCAGGCTTTTTCGTGAGCCTGGTAGGTGCAAGTTTGGCAAACGGATTTGTGTATGTTCGGCCCTTTTGGTATTCATTAACATACCGACTGTGTGCCTGGGCTTGTTGATCGAGTTTCAAGTCCGACATCGAATACGGAAGAGTACCTAAGTTCGACTTGCTCTCAAAATGATTTGAAGAAGGCAGGCCAAGTGGAGCGGGACTGGCAGGCCGACTAGGATCTGTGTTCAAAACTAAGGACGCGGGGTTCGCCTTTGTTCGAGAATCCCATGTTATTAGCTCCTTGCCATACATTTGCTGACTTGCCATAAACACAGCACTCAACGCACTGTAAATTAAGCCCTCCACATTTTTTCCTTCAAACGAGCTGACTAGCACAGACTGCTTTTCCTGCTTGCTCTTTTGATCTGGATCGACCAAAATCATCATTATTACACCTGCCAAGAGGGGGGTTAGCAGAAGGTATGTCAACATAGGAATGTGTACTCCGTATACTACTCTGTAACCAAAAACCAAGAGCATGGGACTTAGCGCTTTCATAGTGGCCACGGTTGCGACCGGAATCAACAGAGTGGCGCTTAATGAGAAGTATTTCAGGGCAAACTGAAGCAATCCCAATGGGAGAATCTTCAAGAACATTTCTTTGCTGATTATCGGCCTGTTTGCATCTGCTGGAAGTGTATCTGGAGGAAATAGGCTCTTGAGTTGGGGAAATATTCGCAGACTCTGAATTAGACTATAGGACAAGATACCTCCAATGAGAAACTGGGCTGAAGAAAGAAGGAAAGGGTATGTCATCTTTTGTAAGATAACTTTAGTCACTTGAGACGTGAATGACAGAACCAGGTACCATGCTAAACATAAAAGCAAAGTCTTGATTGAAATCGGAGGTAGTATGGATGCCATTGTATCTTCTATTTCTATGTTTCGAGGAGTGTAAATGTATAACGCTGCAAAATTGGCTCTATCTGCTTGCTTTTTCCTCTTCTATAGAATGGCTGTTCACTCCTATTTGTTATCTAGTGGATGCTGGACCTTCATCAATAAGGTGAGGTGTCCTGTCTATATAGGTGCTATATGTATGCGCAATTTCTAAAACTAGAAAGTATACACGCATCCCGCAGAATCACCAATGATGACTTGAAATCTGCCACGATTGATCTTCTCCTCGTGGTCTGTTTCCGATACCTTCAAGGCTTGCATGCATGATACATCTCCCTTTATATGGGACTTGAGATCAACCTCTTGAAGTATAGTTAGCTTCCAATCTTTGAGTCCAACTGTCAACTCGTGTATCTGTAGATTTTTGCCTGCTGTGGCGTAGCAAACGAAAACTACTTCACTAGACCAGTACTTATGACATAATTCCTGTCGAGGTGAGTCAATCAATGCATCGGAAAAACTGGCAATTGATACGGCAGAAACTGGACCTGGTGCGATCGCTTTTTGTATGATCATATCGCCATTCAAGGTGTAAAGAGTGAGTATGTTCGAGTACATGGTGCTGTAAACGGTACAAATATTTCCCGTATCATTTGAAATAGAAACATTCACTTTGACATGATCAGATGAGGTTGGAGAGGAGATTTTTCTCACAAACTTGAACCGTGTGAAATCCCAAAGAATCATGCATCCATCGGTATCGACACTAAGGCACACCTTAAATGTTTTGCTATAATGAAACTGGTGAATAGCACTGAAATGACCCCTTAATGTATGTTGATAGAGAACACTTGTTGTCGGTTTTAGGGTGCACTTCCATACATGAATAGCTCCATCAGACGAACCAGTGACAAATCTTTTGTTTCCAATCTGGGCCAAAGTAGTTATGTTTGCAGAATGGAGGTTCATGAACAAAACTGTATTGATAATCAAGGACCCACAGAAAAATTTTGACTGCAGTGGCGAGGGCTTTCTTATAAGGAGATCATCTTCTGAAGAAACACACCATGGTCTGCCAATCCATTTGCCTGTCTTGGAACTGATTTCCAATTTTGCAATTGGTAGATTTAGTTTGGACTCAAACGACAAATTCGGTTGATTTTTGTTCAAATCAAGTAGCGTAAGATACAAACTGGGAAGATTAAGAATCTCTTTTGCTGGATGAGGCTTGATAAACAATTTAGCTGGTGTTTGACCAAAATTGTTAATCATTCCAATAACAGCTCGCTTCTCCAAGTCATCCTTAATATGATCTAGATCAACAGCACCCTCATAGGACAGATGATGAAAAACGTTAAGTGCTTCGACAGCTTCTGGTCCGCTTTGTTTGTAACCAAAAATCAAATCAATCCACTTGTGCAAGTTCGCGGAAACGTAAGGACTTTCAAGTGCTTCCCTATTTTTAGCGATGAAAATCTTAGGATCGCCCTTTGCCCATTTTGGTAAAGCAACGTCACCAATGGACTCGCCACTTTGAAGTTTTCCAAATTCAAAATTATTGATATTGGTTAAAAATTCCGGGAGGTAGAAGAATTCGGGAATTAATTCACGAATATCCGTTGTATTGTCCCTAGAGGCCGAATCCCAAGCTCTCTCGATAGAGTTGAAAAGTCTATCCGCATGGTCAAACTTTCCCCCTTGCAATAATAGATACGAGTGGACGTAAGGTTTGAGACGGATTAAATAGGATGCAACAATCATCGCTGAAGAATAATGCGTACCATAGTGAAAAGGAGGAGTATTTGGATCATTGAGACTCAGCAATGCCTCATATCTCTCTCTAAACTGTTGCGCTCTATCAGCTGTTTGAGCCCCCATAGGCTTTGAAAGGTCTCGGAAAGATTTGGGGTCAGAAAGGTCCAACTCTTCACTCTCATAATCAGCAATAACCCATGGAAATACTGGATACTGTGTTAAATCATTAAATGTTCTTCCAGCCATAGTATTGAGGGTCATCAAATAGTAAAAGTTAGACATTTCCCCCATCCTCCATTTTTTGGTGGCTGATAGCGATGATGGACTGTTAAAGTTGTGTGAGAATGCCGCAGCCAACCTAGACGTGGAGAAAAGTCCTGAAAATGAGGACAGACCTGAGTTATGCAGAAGGTTCGATGATACTTCCAACGTGGTTGCAAATTCTTTATCCAATCCTTTCTTCGTTGCATACGGAGATAAGCTGTTGTGGATGGAATCTCTCTGCTTCGACGACAAGCAGGTGATTAGAATACTTGCACCATCATCGAAAAACATTTCCAAAGCAAGATCCCGCAACAAAAATTTTCTTCTTGATATGGAGCCAAGGGAATCCAAGCTCAAGCTGCTCACACGATGCGACTTAAGCCCAGTTTTGGTCGTGGCCTTGATTAACTGAAGGTATGGGTCACGCAAGTCTGGAGACGCCTCATCTATATCTACCACGTTCCCATCTGAGCAATGGAAGTAGTTCTCTATCAAGTATAAGTGAGTGAAGCCCAAAATCATCAAACTTTCCACTGCATCTAGACCATTTATCCGAGAAACATTCCACAAAGCTTGAATTTGGTCACCCATGTACAAGCTGCGAAGGACTTTTCTGTTCCGATCTTCATAGACAGAGACTGCGTTTTGCTCTTCATTATCCACAACTTCTTCGCTGTCATCGAAATCGACGTCTAAAGTCCCAAGAGTGATATCTGATAAATGTAAGGAGTCTAATCCAGATTCTGAAAATGCAACCCCACAGTCATCGAAATCATTTAGTTCTGCGCCTTGAGTAGATATAGGCTTTAAGGGTACGGACACATTGTAAGTCAACTTTTCTGAATCAGCAAGTTGTGCTTCAACAACTAGTAGTTTTCTCATTCTATCAACACCTTCAATGTAATCCAAAATGTAATCGCTCCTCTTAGCGAAAGAGCCAAAAAAGGATCTAAATATTTCCATTTTCATGGAGTTGAACAAATTAAGAGATATCAGGTCATTCTCTTGTTTATCCAGTAACTCTCTATTGAAATTAGTGAGCTCAGTATTTATCGCCAGCGTTCTGAGTGTTTCACAATCCTTTGTAAAACTTTTGATGTAAACATCATTCATGTAGCCTAACCTGCCGCCATTGTTGAGCATTACCGAGATCATATCTATCACTTTCAATGTACCAGTTTCCTTTAACTTTGTTACTCGAAAATGGAATTTTTTATTGAAAATGTGTTTCAATGTCGGAAGTTTTTGCAAGTGCCTAATCGATTCTTCATCATTTTTCGAAATCAAGGTATGAAAAAACTCATTAACAACTTCATTCGAGTTAGCATAATCAGATACACTGCAAATTTCATTAATAACATCGTCAAATGACTCCTGCCGGCAAATGTAAGAGGTTCTCATGAAATTCAAAAAATGTTCCGAGAAAGCCACTTCATTCACAACTTGAAGTTTAAGGAAGTTACCCATTAATAGTTCGATGATACTTGCTAAGTACGAGTTTGAAAGGATCCCATCCTTCATCAATATCACTTGCTTAAGTAAGATCAGCTTCACTCGTTCGTCAAATTGCTTTGCGAAGTTATTTTCGATCTCCTCTTCTTCTTCTTCTTCTTCTTCTTCTTCTTCTCCCTCTTCTTCTTCCAACGTCCCCGTACTGCAGTAAGAGAGCTGCGATAGCTGAATTACAATTGTGCGTCCCAAAATTGCACCTAGTTTGTGAGAGTTATGATCGGTCCTGTTGTTGGATGCAACTTCAAGTACCGCAACAATGCAATCGCTAAAGGTTTCTAGATCTGTAGTGCTAACGTAGAAGTTCGCTTCCACGAACTCCTTATAGTGGTAGTAGATTAAGTCCAAGATTCCATCAAGAAAGATCTTCTCGTTGAAAATGAATTTTGAACTGCTCATGTATTCGTTCACGTGTTCAAAGATTTTGGGAAAGATTGAGTCCAATGCAATCTTTGTGGTTATGTCACTTAATGACCTTAACATTTCTAGAAGCTCTTTCATTTTGGAAAGCTTTGCTATGAAAATCTGGCTCAAAACTGACACAAACTTCGCAGTGCTCAGCTCAAATTCCCGAACTAGAGACAGCGATAGCCATGTAAGAGAAAGCCGTAAATGGCCAAGGAGCTCAAATGCTCCTTCAAGCCATTCCTTACCAAAAAAGAACTTCTGTAAAGCTATGGAGTTCCCGTTCCCAATTTCGATCATATCTGCGTATTGATTGATAAAATGCAATACATTGCTAGATAAATGGGAAATTTCCTCATGGGGAAATTCAGTTGCTTTCGATCCTTTCATAGGAGAGCTGGGAACACTCAATATTCTTCCGTGCTTCAGACTCAAAACGTACATTCCTGTAAGGGCCATGTTATTCAAAATAAGCAAGAATTCAGGTATGAGGAGCTTGTTAGGTTTCGCAGTCAAAGAATCATCCTTTGCTAATTTAACAAGAGATATATCTGGATTCATTGGACCCTGAACATCATAACCAAAACTGGCTTCAAAAAGTAAACATGTTACTTCGTCGGTATCCCACCAATTTTTCAAGAAATGGGTAAGAACATTAAGGCCATTGTTACCATGGAAGAATCGCTTGATAATATGAGGTCCTAAAACTCTTAAAAGCTTGGCCAAAGACTGCAAACCGCTGCAAACAACTCCTTTCGAAAGCTGTGTATGATCATTCGGGTAACTCAACAATAGCAATATCCAGTGAATGGTAATAGACCTTGAAAACTTCTTGAGAGATTTAATCGACGATGAAGGTTTGCATAACTCGTCCGTAAGGGTTTGAAGTGCAGATACGCCAATTTCTCGGGAACCATATTCAGCCGTATGGAATAATGTAAATATGATGAACCTTGAGATGGAACGAATCGTTTCAACGCTCACATCATGACAGATTACTGTATTCAATGTCGTTGATAGATGTTCAATCTCCTCTCCCAGCATCTTTCCCTCTAGTATTTGAAGTTTGATGTGTTGTATAAGCCTTCTCAAAAGCTTCATTTTTGAAAGCTGCTTCACATTGAAAGTAGCAAACTTGCCTTTACTGATTAAAGCTTGTAAATGCGCATGGAGAATGCAAAAATCCGAAGTGCCTGAGTAGAAGTCTAGGTTTAGGACAAGTGAGCGATAAGCCACAGAATTGTATATGAGTGACTCTTGTTCGTTTCCTTGACGGCAGCCGACAAACACCAAAAATCTTTGCAAAAGCCCATGACATCTCTCAAAAGCAGAAGTCGCAGGAATTGAAAGTTCTGATGATTCCCTGTCGCTAAAATAACTAGTCGTCTTTGTCTCGAAAATCAATTTTGGATTGAAGTTATCTTTAAAGTAAGAAAGAATTATGGCCAAAATGTCATAGCCATCATTATTCTCGAACTCCTTATCAAGCCTCCAGTCACTCAAAAGACACTCTAAAAGTAAATCAACTGATTGTAAGAATATCTCGTTCCTTGTCTGAGCTGATCTGTATTCAGCTTTTGTGAGAACTTCAATCAAGGTCAATAGTAGCCCAGAACCACCTAATGAGTACAAAGCGCCATGTATACTTTCCGATTGATGTACAAGAACTCTCAGACTTGATGCGTTCTCCATTTTTTCCAGGAAACTAATTTCACTTGTATCAAAGCGAATATGAGACATCTTAGGCATGGACTTGAATAATACATTCACTATTGTCTTCTTGTCAGCAGTGCCATTGCTAGAATTTTTTGTTGTAGAGGAAAAGAATGGACCTGACTGTTTTGAAGGTTTGAATTTTGAAAGTCTGGCGTGAGAATTTGAGTGAATGATATCGTTTACCTTGAAGCCCATCTTAACCAATGCTTTGTGACTCATATGATTGAGAATGCTGATAATGTTCTCACGAGAGAATTCCTTGTAATTCCAATTGTAGCCGATTCCTAAGCAAAATATCAATGCAACCCATTCGTAAGAAAGGTTCAGGTTGAAAATAACCAAATCTTTCAAAAGCAATTCGTCTCTGTTAACTTTACCGAATTCACTCGATTCCAATACTGGGCCAATACAGATTGAGCTCCACTGCCCAATCATTTCAGACAAAGGAGAGCAAGGAATTGACTCACTATACTCGCCATCGATGAACAAATTGAGGTTTTTCTCTTGATCATACGCGAGACCAAGATGAATGTATCCTTGATTTTCATTTGGTGAAGCTTCAATGATGTGGTTAAAAGCGAACTGTATTCGAGAACCGTTTGCAACGCTATGTATTTCGATCATCACCTGCTTATAATCGACTAGTTGGATTTTTAAAATTGAAAGAGTTCCCGTCGGATGCATTGGCAAGCAGAAATAAAGTTATGACTGGAATCTCATCAGCAGCTCTTGTCTGGGGAGCTGGTTGGTTTACTTTAAACCAAGTGACGATAGAGATACATTTCAGCAGATGCATGTCGGCTGTAAGCGCTAAAGAAGCCGGCTTCTTGGTAAAGCTGTTAAAGACGTAGAAGCTAAAATGGGAAGCATTCCGATTGAAAGTCAAGTACAAAGTGGTCAAAAGTAGCTGCTTGGTTTGCGTTTTGATTCTAGACGAATTCGAAAGCAAAGGGAGTATAATGGCCTTCAAAACCTTGACACCACATCCGAGTTCGAGAAATGCAACCAAGAAGCGAATTTTTTGAGCTGCTAACCCACTTTTCGTGCAATAGGTTTCAGGTTCAGTTGCTTCTGCGTGCTTAACGACCTCATTGACTAAAATCGGGAGTGAGTTGTATCGATAGAGTTGGATTTTAGCCATATAGGAAAATGTTGTCGTTTGGATGAGTAGCTCATAGATCAAAAGCTTGAAATCATAGTATACTGAATCATCCAACTCATCAAGGGACTTTAGGCACTTGACAAGGGCATCTTTGTTGGAACGAGCAAAATAGATATGCGATTGAGGAAACAGTAGAATGACTTCTTCCAGAACGACGCCCACTAATAACGAACTCTTAGTGGCACAATCGCTGAGCTCTGTTTGCCAATTACATAAGAGCTCAGTGTTGATGGAGAAATTCGTTAGCACTTCACGGGATAATAGATGTATCAATTGGATGTCTCGCAGTTCGTCAGCTGGAGGCCCAGAAATACTGGTACTCAGAGATGACATGATGCAAGTGTGGAATACAAAGCCTCTTTTTAAGGAAAAATGTGCTGAGATGTAGAGGTGAATTTACACGGGTCGGATATGATATTTCGCCGCTCAAGACTGGGGTAAAAGCTAGTCCCAGTCAGGATAAGAAGATCACGTGCGCAATGGCAAGTCTGCTTGCTGTTGACATGTCCTTTGAGCCAAGTGGCCGAAAACAAAAAAAAAAAAAAAAAAAGGATTGAGCGAGAAGTATTCACTAAGTCCTGGTCTATCTTCAAAATACCGAGACCTCCGAACGAAACTCCCCTTCATTCACGAGCTGAAAGAATACTGGATAGCCGCACTAGCCTTTCGCACGGCATCTACACACTACGCGAACCACAGACTCTGTCAGTATATTAGATTCTTCAGCTCCAGCTTGTTCATACTCAATGAGCGAGGAGCTTCAAATACCGCAAATGGCTCTGCATGCCTCTTCTGACCAGACCGAGCCTCCTCACATTCCTCCGGTGGAGCATGAGCCTTCGCCACCGCTGGCTGGTGATGCTGTGGATAATGCCAATGTCGATATTGCTCTGTTACAAGCCGAATGGCGTCGGCTAATGGACACAAAACCGGTAGATGGCGATGTATGTTATGTTATACCACGCGATTTCATTCAGAGGGTACTTTCTCCGACCGATTGCGCTTGTCTAAAGGATTTTGCATCTTTCGTGGGAAAGTTGGACAACACGCGGATTCTTGATGCAGCGGGGAACTTGTTTCCACTCGGAGAAGAGAAGGTGGAAACAGCATTCGTGTCACCTGAGTTGTATCGTCTGTTCCAATGCCACTTTGGCCTGCTTGGGCCTCCAGTAATTCGCAATGTATTGGTTGATGCAGAAGGTAATGCGGTTTTGGAAAGATTTCCTCCGTATTTTCTTGTCCACACATTGTGCAAAAACGCTCCAACAACAAGAGCAATCTCACATATTGGAGGCTTAGAATCCCATTCTAAATGTGCATTTCTGCTCTCGCAAACCAAAACATTCAAGGATTTGGTCGATACAATTCGCAATCTCATGAACGTTGACAAGAACTCAAGCTTAAGAGTCTGGTTTATCACCACTGACAATGTGGAAGAATTGTCAGCAAATATTCCTGTCTCGTCTTTCATCAACAAGATACAGCATAAGAAAATCGTGACGCCACAAGTCATGACGTTTCTGTTACAAAGCCAGGGTATACGCTCCTCCAGGCTTCATTTGGTGGTGGAAGTAAGTGAAAAATCCAGCAAGAAGTTTATTTTGGATCAAGCCGTTGCTTCGACGTCCCTTTCCCTGTTCGACATGAATAAAATCACAACGACTGGTGGCAACTTGGGACTATCCAATCTCGGTAACACTTGCTACATGAACTCTGCTTTGCAATGTCTTGTTCACGTTCCCGAAATCAACTTTTATTTCTTCTATGACTTGTTTGAGAAGGAGTTGAACAGAAGCAACCCCTTGGGGAATCTGGGCGACGTAGCAGTTGCATTTTCTAATTTACTTCATAAGTTGTTCGATTATCCTGGGAGCTCGACAAGCCTGGTTACGCCTAGAGAATTCAAGTACACAATTGGTCGTTACTCATCTATGTTTCACGGCTATCAGCAACAAGACTCTCAAGAGTTTCTAAGCTGGCTTTTAGATGCTCTTCATGAAGATCTCAATCGAATTTATGATAAACCGTATTGTGAGAAACCAGAACTCAAAGATGAGGATGTGGAGAATCCTCAAGCAATCGTGGACTTGGCCAAAGAATGTTGGAATCTACATAAAAAGAGAAATGATTCTGTGATTGTTGATCTCTTCACAGGAATGTATCAATCAACATTGCTCTGCCCGGTATGCTACAAAAAGTCTGTCACTTTTGATCCTTTCAATGATTTAACTTTGCCTTTGCCTGTTAACAAGAAGTGGTATCACGAATTTACCATTGTCGATTTGAGCGGCTCTTATTTAGACTCCTTCATTATGAAACTTGAAGTTGAGCTCTCTAAATCCTCTACGTATGAAGATTTGGTGGCTTACTTGAGTAAACATTTGGGTGTCCCTCGAGATTTCTTGTTCCTTTTTGAGATTTTCAGGAATTTCTTTTACAAAGATTTTCAGGAGGATAACTATCAACAGTCATTTTTGCCCATCAATGAGATTATCGGTGACGATGATGCCATCTTTGTGTATATCATCCCATACACACCTGATGATCGAATCATTCCGGTGATCAACGTTGCGAAAGATGAGGATAGGTCGTATGATATAACGGAACCATTTGGTATTCCGTTATTCATAGTTTTGAACAAGCAAAGCGAATGCTCAAGGTTGCTGCAGATCGAGAAGAAAGTCTCACTCATTGCGAACCGTTTATCTACGGCCAACAGTAGTGAAATCAAATCACAGGCAACCATCGTGGGGGGTGAAGCTAGTGACGAAGTGATGACTGAAGCATCTGAAACGTCACAGGAAGAGGCTAAGGAGTCTTCGGCCCTGATAACCGATAGTCAAAGCGACGCTAAGTACGATATAAGGTATTACAGGGAAGGAAATCCAAAATTCAGTCTGAGCTATCGCAGGCATGCCCGTCATCATGTGGGTCAGCCGGAAAAGAATTTTGCGGAAAAGATTTTGAATATACCGCATGAGAGACCACATTTTAATAATTTACCACTCTTGATCGAGGCGTTTCTGAAGCCACAACGTCAAAATCTGAGGCTTAGTACTGAAAGAAGCGATAGTCTTGAACCCAAGTTGGATGATCAAAACCCCGATGCAAACTTGAAAGTTTTGAGTGATGATGAGGATGGTAATCTTTGTACTCCTTCCATAATAGGAGATGATGAACAGCGTCTGATTGGTGAGAACACTGACAATGAAACCAATTGGGATAATCTTGATAGTATGTTTTCTTCAGTTGACAATTTACCACCAATTGAAAATTCTAAATCTGCTGAAGGCACTTCTGAAAAAGATTCAGATCCTGAAAAGAACGAAATAGACGGTATCCTCCAAGGAAATGAGCTTTTAGTGATAGATTGGAAGAGCCATAGTTACCAAGACTATTTCGCGGATACGGATAAACGAGCATGGGAGAATCTTGATTACGTTTCTAATCCAGAGTTAGAGGAGAACAAACGCAAGCTTGCGGCGCAGCAGAGAACAACTATTTCCTTGTATGACTGTTTACGGAATTTCAGTACGCCTGAGGTATTGGGTGATCAAGATTTATGGTACTGTCCTAGGTGCAAAGAGCATAGAAGAGCTACCAAAACTATTCAGGTGTGGTCCACCGGCGATATCTTGACATTTCACTTGAAGCGCTTTCAGAGTGCACGGTCATTGAGCGATAAAATCAATATGGTTGTTGACTTCCCCATTGAAGGTTTAGACATGACAGATTATGTGACTTCCAGTCAAATCTCAAAGCAACCACTCATATATGATTTGATTGCCGTTGATAACCATTATGGTGGATTAGGTGGAGGTCATTACACTGCCTCGGTCAAAAACTTTAGAGACAACAAATGGTACTATTTCAATGATAGCCGCGTCACTCCATTAGAAGATCCGAAGGAGTGCGTGACTGGAGCTGCGTATTTGTTGTTTTACAAGAAACGAAGCAGTAATCAATTTGCTGGAGGAGAGTCAGTGGGGCAATTTATTGATAAGGGCCGCAATGAATTTGAGCAAAAATTGAGTAAACTCAAAGACCTGTTGCTTCAAGTCACAGAAGAACTTGGTTTATACAGAGAACAAGAGGCCGTAGAGAGTGCAAACCTGTTAGAAGTGGAAAATAATGAGGAAGAAGACCTCTATGAGGATGCTGAAGATGATCTACAGAAAGTGCCAGCGCTTGCATCGGCGAAGAAATCTAGATCTCCAGTCACAGAGCAAAACATGAAATTTGAGAACCAGCGCAAGCAAAGGCTAATTTCGAAAGGCTCGGACCTGCCTCGCTCCGTGAACATCAACTTGAATTATTCTTCATCTACGTCAAACTTAGCTTCTCCTGGTGGATCTACCGACGATGAGAGAGATGTGTGAGAAACGAGATCCTGTGGAAACGTATTAAAATTATACTCTTCATTCTTATAGATAATGTACACACAAGATTAAACTTTCTTCAAAGCTATTGCTCTGCTGTTAGAAATCGCAATAGCTTTTTGTATGGTTTCCAAAGAGATATTAGCCCCACCACCGTTTATGCTGACATGCTTAAGCTTTTTCCCAGTACTAACGATTGTCATTTGTGACTCAGCACAAAATTCCTCGGCCTCGCCCTCCAAATCAGCCAAAAGAACAGACTTGTTTGCTTCCTCCTCGAGCTCTATTAGTCCAAAGCTCGATGAAATGCCAATGTCTTCAAGCGAAAGGTTAACAGGCTGTGCAAGGGCCCAGTTAGAGTCGATATGGAACAACCCTGAAGACTGGTTTAAATGGCCAAAGTTCTTCCGCGAACGGACTGGCACTTTCACGTTAGGGTCAATACCAGATTCTGCCATGTATATACGAGGTAACTTGACATTTTGCAAAGCGCACATCAAGGAATGTTGCACAGCGTCGAAAAGTGGGCCCGAACGCGAGAAAACCTTGATGTGAGCGTACAAAGCGTATTTGTACCTCTTCTGTGTGATATTGATGGTGCTGCTGAGGCTTTCAAGGTCTGTCTTATCCATCGAAGAGTCATCGGGATACACAATGGAAGTGGTGTTGCTCGCTTCGTCGGTGATCTGGTATCCTGGCACCATTCGAAGACTGGCCAGGGGCAAGATTCGCAGATAAAGAATGTGATTGTACAACTTCTGTGAGAGTATCATCTCCTCGTCACTAGGAGCGCCACTGCGGCCACGAGCCACCTCCACCACTGGATACACCGATGAGTACAGAGGGTTCCCAGTATCAGAGGCAAGAAGCTCGTCTGGTCCACTCAGTTCGGTAATTCCCATGGTGATTTCGCACAATATGTGTGTGTTGCCGTTCTTCACCGTAGACAGCCCCACAACAATGTTTGGCCCATAACTATTGAGTGTACCTGGCGATGCCAACAATGGGCGAAATTCTTCAAAGCCACGCAAGCAGGGGCGAAGACCCAACAGCAAATGGCGTTGAAGAGATACATCGGGTGCGATGCGTGCTAGGACATCCGGAGGAAACACCGCGTGCTGTGGAGGTTCGGACATGCTAGAGAATATTTCTTCAAGATGGAGGCTGATGAGATGAAGCGAGCATTCTTGGATGTATGGTCACGTGATCAATCCACTCAAACGTTTGGCTATTCATGGCTGCTTTTGGCTAATTGGGATGGTTGTCATGTGGGAATGTTACTGTGTTTTTGTCTACGATTTCCCTCTTTTTCTGCCAAATACGTGTTTGGTTTGGAATTGTGTCCAATGGTTCCACTATCTTCACACTCATACGGCTGTGCAGGACTACATACATGCTGAAGGTGGATCATGAGTAAATGAACATCCAAAGAGGAGTTTTATATCATCAACAGACGCCTACGAAGATATGATACGGCTTTAAACGCAGTGCTGTTTGCGGAACCAAATAGCTTACTGTAGCATTTTTTGATCACCCAGGTATGTAAGTGGTTTGGTTCGATTTCGCACACAGTATGTAAAAAGACGAAACTTTTATGAACAGTCTACACTAAGTGAATACAAATACTCTCTGAAAAAAATCCGAAAATTATCTATCACCCCCCACATTGATGACTTTGTCAAAACGTCATCCGGCTCCCCATCGTACAAACGCCACGCACCCCGCATGTTCGCTATCATCTTAACACCGTTCACCACCAGTTTCTCCACCTGCACTCGCCCACCGGTGTTTTCTCAGCCAGGCCTAAGATGCACTCCGATGCTTCAGCCTATCATCGAATCACAACGGACATATTCGGACTTTGTCTCCATGCAGGGTCGGATATCTTGCCTCAATATGGAACAACCAGTGTCAACCTTCAGACCAAGCACAAGTCAAAACAAACGAGAGAAAAACCTCTCAAAAGTTGCATCTGCCTCCATATCTATCCGACGTAATACCTTCTAATGCGAAAGTGCTTCATGTATCTCCGCAACCCATTGTTCCCCTGCCCACTATGTCTCTTTTTTTTTCTCTGACTCATGAGTCACATGGACTTCACCCCGCATCGGTGCATTCCGGTAGCTCAAGTAAGTTGCGCCGATGCAGTCCGCCGACGGCCCGGCACGACTTTGATAACGCTCGACATGACGTTCGAAGCAGTTTTGATTGGACAAAGCTGCGCGAACTGGGCAATTATACAGGCGTGGTAGATGATGCGCACGCTTCGAAGTGCGGTGGGACAAACAACGATTTCGGCCCTATTCAGGAGAGCTCGGGAAAATTTTTTGGATTAATTACGCCTCCAGTGTCCCAAATTTTCAAAAACTTTTTTTTTTTCTTCTTTCTTGTTCTTTCAGCAAAGCTTTTTTTGTCTTAAGTCTGGCCCTTTATTGCTCCACCTATAGTCGAGTGGCTGCTGTTCTTCCCTAGTTGCGTGTCCTCCCTTGTCAATTCACTGGCACACATCAGACTGACTCTGATCGATTTGCGGAAAAATCTTGAATCATACTTCCCCCATTGGAACGTTTATCCTCCGAAACAAAAACACTACTTCAACCACTGACTTAAATTTCAATTCGCCATAACTGATTGTATGTAAAATTTCCCTTCGTTCGCCCCAATATTATACTAACTGCTTCAGATAACATGGCCTCATACTTACCGCAGAAAGAGTTTGAAACTGTCAACATCTACAACTACGATGAAGTCCCAGAAAACTCCTCCTGGGCATCTGCTTTGCCTGTAGCAAAGGGATTGTACAATCCTGAAAACGAAAAAGACGCTTGTGGTGTTGGTTTCACTTGCCACCTTAGAGGAGAAACATCCCACAAAATTGTTTCTGATGCTAAAAGCTTACTTTGTAACATGACTCACAGAGGTGGTGAGTTGAACCCAAAGGATGGTGACGGTGCTGGTTTGTTGTCTTCCATACCCCATAAGTTTTTGGTCAGAGAATTCAAGTACCACTTTGGTGTGGACTTGCCACCATTAGGCCAGTATGGTACTGGTAATGTCTTCTTTAAGAAAGACGAGGTTGTCTTCGAAAAATCAAAGAAGACTTTTGAGAAAATCGCCTCTTCTTTGGGCTTGAAGGTTTTGGGTTGGAGACAGGTCCCCCACGACTCTAGCATTTTGGGCCCTGCTTCCTTGTCCAGAGAGCCTTACATCTTACAACCAGCAGTGGTGCTTGCTGAAACTTTTGGCACGGACATCACTCCAGAGGAATTCGAGGCAAAATACAAAAAGGACTTTGAAAAGAAGATGTTCATTTTGAGAAAACAAGCTTCTCACACAATTGGCTTGCACAACTGGTTTTACATTTGTTCTTTGTCATCGAAGACAATTGTTTACAAGGGTCAATTAGCTCCTAACCAGGTTTATGCTTACTATTACGATTTGGTTAATGCTGACTACGAGGCTCATTTTGCTCTTGTCCACTCACGTTTCTCAACTAATACCTTCCCATCGTGGGACAGAGCACAACCTTTGAGAATTGCGGCTCACAATGGTGAAATCAACACCTTAAGAGGAAACAAGAATTGGATGAGAGCAAAAGAAGGTGTGATGTCTTCAGAATTGTTTGGTGAAGAATTGGAAAAGTTGTTCCCCATCATTGAAGAAGGTGGCTCCGACTCTGCAGCATTTGACAATGTTTTGGAATTGTTGGTGATTAATGGCGTTTTATCCTTGCCTGAAGCCGTCATGACCATGATTCCTGAAGCTTGGCAAAACGACAAGAACATTGACATGAAGAAAAAAGCATTCTACGAGTGGGCTGCCTGTTTGATGGAACCATGGGATGGCCCAGCATTGTTCACTTTTGCCGATGACAGGTACTGTGGTGCTAACTTGGATAGAAACGGTTTGAGACCTTGTCGTTACTACGTTACCGACGACGAGAGAATCATTTGTGCTTCCGAAGTTGGTGTAATTGATGTCGAACCCGAGAAGGTTTTGCAAAAGGGTAGATTGCAACCTGGTAGAATGTTGTTGGTTGACACCAAAGAAGGAAGAATTGTTGACGACCGTGAATTAAAGAGCTCTGTCGCCTCGAGATTCGACTTCAAGTCATGGGTAACCGCAAACATGATTACCATTGATGACTTGTTTGCCAAGTTGTCCACAAGAGATGTTGACTTGGACGACTACCACATGACAGAAGAAGGCAGCAAGTCTGTTCAAACAGATCCTCGTTTGATTGCTTTTGGTTACTCCAACGAGCAAATGAATGTCATTTTGGCTCCTATGGCTGAAGCAAAGGAAGCTTTGGGCTCCATGGGTAATGATGCTGCATTGGCATGTATCTCTGAGCAGCCAAGATTATTGTACGAATATTTCCGTCAGTTGTTTGCTCAGGTTACCAACCCTCCAATCGACCCTATCAGAGAAGAGATTGTCATGTCCTTGGAATGCTATGTTGGTCCTCAAGGTAACTTGTTGGAAATGAAGCCGAGCCAATGTAACAGATTGCTTTTGAAGTCCCCAATCATTTCCTCAAAGGAATTAAATGCCATCAAACACATGCAAAAGGTGTATCCAACGTGGTCTGTGGCCAACATTGACATCACCTTCGAGAGATCTGAGGGTATTCAAGGTTACATCAACAAGATCGAAGAAGTTTGTCAAGAAGCTTCCAAAGCTATCTCAGAGAACAAGAAGGTTATCATTTTGACAGACCGTGCTACAAGCTTCAACAGAATTCCAATCTCTGCCTTGATTGCCACTGGTGCTGTGCACCATCACTTGGTGAGACAAAAGCAGCGTTCTAAGGTTGCTATAATTGTTGAGACGGCTGAAGCAAGAGAAGTCCACCACACTTGTTGCTTGGTCGGTTACGGTGCTGATGGTATCAACCCATACTTGGCTATTGAGACATTGTGCAAAATGAGAGATGAAGGATTGTTGAAGGTGGATTTCTCAAACGACAAAATCATCTCCAACTACAAGTCCGCTGTGAACGCTGGTATCATGAAAGTCATGTCCAAGATGGGTATTTCGACCTTAGCGTCTTACAAGGGTGCCCAAATTTTTGAGGCTTTGGGTATTGACAACTCTGTTATCGACAGATGTTTTGCTGGTACTGCTTCCAGAATCAAGGGTATTACCTTTGAGTACATCGCTCAAGATGCCTTTTCCTTGCACGAAAGAGGTTACCCATCTAGAGAAACTATCAAGCCTATTGCCTTGCCAGAAACAGGCGAATACCACTGGAGAGACGGTGGCGAGAAGCATGTCAACGATCCTGCCGCCATTGCTTCCATGCAAGACGCCGTCAAGAACAAAAACGAGAAGGCTTACGAGGCATACTCGAAGAAAGAGTATGATGCTATCAAGCACTGTACTTTGAGAGGCTTGTTAGATTTTGACTTCGAATCTGCCACCCCGGTGCCAATCGATCAGGTCGAGCCATGGACAGAAATCGTCAGAAGATTCTTTACAGGTGCCATGTCTTACGGTTCCATTTCTATGGAAGCCCACTCTACTCTTGCTGTGGCTATGAACAGATTGGGTGGTAAGTCCAATACCGGTGAAGGTGGTGAAGATCCCGCAAGATCTCAAGTCAATGCTAATGGTGACACCATGAGATCTTCCATCAAGCAAATTGCATCTGGTAGATTTGGTGTCACTTCCTTCTACTTAGCGGATGCCGATGAGTTGCAGATTAAGATGGCTCAAGGTGCTAAGCCTGGTGAAGGTGGTGAATTGCCTGGCCACAAAGTGTCTGAGTCTATTGGTAAAACTAGACATTCTACTCCAGGTGTTGGTTTAATCTCTCCACCTCCTCACCACGATATTTACTCCATCGAGGACTTGAAACAATTGTTGTATGACTTGAAATGTTCTAACCCAAGAGCAAGAACCTCAGTTAAGTTAGTCTCTGAAGTCGGTGTGGGTATTGTTGCTGCTGGTGTTGCCAAGGCCGGTTCCGAGAACATTTTGGTCTCTGGTGGTGATGGTGGTACTGGTGCCGCCAAGTGGACTTCCGTCAAGTACGCAGGTTTGCCATGGGAATTGGGTCTTGCTGAGTCGCACCAAACCTTGGTGTTGAACGACTTGAGAGGAAGAGTTATCTTGCAAACTGACGGTCAAATCCGTACTGGTCGTGATGTTGCCATCGCTTGTTTGCTTGGTGCCGAAGAGTGGGGTTTTGCCACTACTCCTTTGATTGCCATGGGCTGTATCATGATGAAGAAGTGTCATCTTAACTCTTGTCCAGTTGGTATTGCTACTCAGAACCCTGAGCTTAGAAAGAAGTTCAAAGGTACTCCAGAGTCCGTTATCAACTTCTTCTACTACGTGGCCAATGAGTTGAGACAGTACATGGCCAAGTTGGGTTTCCGTACCATCAACGAGATGGTCGGTAAGACAGAGCTTTTGAAAGTCAGAGATGACTTGAGAAACACAAAGAATGCCAATATTGACTTGTCTCCTATCTTGACTCCCGCACATACCATTAGACCAGGTGTGGCAACCCACTGTGTCAGAAAGCAAGACCACAAGTTGCATGTCCGTCTTGACAACAAGTTGATAGATGAATCCGAATTGACTTTATCGAAGGGCTTGCCTGTCACTATCGACTGCAATGTTGTTAACACTGACCGTTCTTTGGGAACTACTTTGTCTTACAGAGTGTCGAAGATTTTCGGCGAACAAGGCTTGCCACATGACACTATTCATGTCAACGTGAAAGGATCTGCTGGTCAATCGTTCGGTGCCTTCTTGGCATCTGGTATCACCTTGGAGTTGGAAGGTGACGCCAACGATTACATCGGTAAAGGTTTGTCTGGAGGTAGAATCATTGTCTATCCACCTAAGGAGTCCAAGTTCAAGGCTGAAGACCAAATTATCGCTGGTAACACCGCTTTCTTTGGCGCTACTTCTGGTACCGCTTTCATCAGAGGTATTGCCGCCGAAAGATTTGCTGTTAGAAACTCTGGAGCGGTTATCGTCACTGAAGGTACCGGTGATCATGGCTGTGAGTACATGTCTGGTGGTAGAGTTGTTGTCTTGGGTTCTACTGGTCGTAACTTCGCTGCCGGTATGTGTGGTGGTATTGCGTATGTTTTGGATATGGCTCAAGATTTCATGACTAAGGTCAACTCTGAAACTGTCGAGTTATCTTCAGTTACCGACCCTACTGAAATTGCTTTCTTGAGAGGCTTGATTGAAGACCACCGCCACTACACAGGCTCGGAAGTCTCTGACAACATTTTGAACGATTTCAACAGAATATTGCCAAGATTCGTCAAGGTGTTGCCTCATGACTACAAAAAGGTTCTTGAGAAGGAGAAACAGAAGCAAGAGGAGGCCAAGAAGAATGAGTTGAACAACTTCTTGAAGTCCATTAAGGAAGATCCAGAGAGCGATGCTACAAACGGTGAAGCCGCCAAGATCAAGAGGGGTCATGTGAACCATGCCGCCAAGAGTGCAGCTCACGAGCCAAAGGTTTTGGATCTCGAAGACACCATCAAGGACACAGAAGTGGCTAAGAAGGCTGTAGCAAAGTTGGACAAGACTTTTGGCTTCATGAAGTACAAGAGAAGAAACGAAAAGTACAGACCAGCCCAAGAGAGAACCAAGGATTGGAACGAAATGACCTCGCGTTTGACAAAGGAAGAGTTGCAGGTGGAGACCGCAAGATGTATGGACTGTGGTGTCCCATTCTGTACCTCGGACACCGGATGTCCTATCTCCAACATCATCCCTAAATGGAACGAGTTGGTGTTTAAGGACAGATGGTACGATGCTTTGCAGAGACTAATGATGACCAACAACTTCCCTGAGTTCACTGGAAGAATTTGCCCAGCCCCATGTAACGGTGCCTGTGTCGTTGGAATCAATGATGACCCAGTCAACATTAAGTCTGTTGAATGTGCCATTATCGACCACGCTTTCGAGCAAGGCTGGATCAAGCCAAACCCACCTCAACACAGAACTGGAAAGACAGTTGCCATCATTGGTTCTGGTCCTTCTGGTTTGGCTGCAGCAGACCAATTGAACAGAGCTGGTCACTCGGTGACTGTGTACGAGAGATCGGACAGACCAGGTGGTTTGTTGATGTACGGTATTCCTAACATGAAATTGGATAAGCGTATCGTGCAGAGAAGAACCGACTTGTTGGCCGCCGAAGGTGTCGAGTTCGTGTGCAACACCACTGTTGGCGAAGACATTAGTGCTGAAGAATTGAAAGCTACGAACGATGCGGTCATTTTTGCTGTTGGTTCCACCATTCCAAGAGACTTGAAGATCCCTGGCCGTGATTTGAAGAACATTGACTTTGCTATGAAGTTGTTACACTCCAACACCAAGGCTTTGTTGGATGGCACGTTAGAGGAAATCAGAAAGACTATTGCCGGTAAGAATGTTGTGGTTATTGGTGGTGGTGACACTGGTAATGATTGCTTGGGTACCTCTACTAGACATGGAGCCAAGTCTGTCACCAACTTTGAATTGTTGCCACTCCCACCAAACGCTCGTCCAAAGGACAACCCATGGCCTCAATGGCCAAGAGTCTTCAGAGTCGACTATGGTCACACTGAGGTTGCTACTCATTATGGCAAGGACCCAAGAGAGTACTCGATTTTGTCCAAGGAGTTTGTTGGTGACGAAGAAGGCAACGTCAAGGGTATTAATACCGTGAGAGTCGAATGGAAGCGTTCTGACTCGGGCGCATGGCAAATGGCTGAGGTTCCAGGTTCTGAAGAATTTTTCCCAGCTGAGGTTGTCTTGTTATCTATGGGTTTCGTTGGTCCTGATGCCGACAAGCTTCAGGTTAACAAAACCAAGAGAGGCACCATCGGTACTACTGATCCTAGTGGCTACAGAGTGTCTGCTAACGAAAACGTGTTTGCTGCTGGTGATTGCAGAAGAGGTCAATCTTTGGTTGTGTGGGGTATTCAAGAAGGCAGACAGTGTGCCAAGGAGGTTGATGTCTACTTGATGGGCACCACGAGATTGCCAGGTAACGGTTCTATTGAACAGCGTGACTTTAAACTTTTGGAAGAGTTGGCTGAGAAGATCTAGATTTTATAGTAAATGAAAGCAACCAGCTAATTTTCTGTACTTGCAACTATTGATCTAGAGCATATCATGGGTATATACACTTGAAAAATTACGGTAGATTATTACATTGACACTTCGGAGCAAACGTGGGATGCACATAAAGTGTTACGGGCACGTATGTTATGCATTTCGATGCGCCAAGACGATAATCGAACCCATGAGAAAAAGGTACTAGTGTGAATGGAATACTAGCTAGTTTGGCGTCCCTAAAATTATGCTAGAGCTGAAAAACGCAATCCTTATGTTGCCTTGCAGGCTGTAGAAACATAAAGAAAAAACAAGAAAAGCAAGAAAAAACAACAAAAAAAAAAGGTAAGAAAATAAGTTTCGGCGCTCGGGAAAATCAGGATATCGAAGCGAATAGAAACATAGCCATCCAGCTTCTAAATTTACAAGTTCCACTAGCAAAAGCCAGCGCTCGTGATGCTTCTCTCCTCTTTTCTTTTTCCAGTGCTTGGTATTTTCCACGACACACTCATTACCGATGCCTGAATTGATAAAGGTACACATAATGTTTCACATTGCTTGGGCAGATGCACGAGCTAGAAGACGCCTTGCGTGTGTGCATGAAATTGCCCTCGGAATACGCCGGTGGCCCATTGCCAAATCAGGTTAACTTAGTGTGGTGTCAAAGCTCACGCTCTGCATCCGACCCAAGGTTATGCATTGTCTCCCTTGATTTCGGGGACTCTTTTATACGCTGGTGTGACTTTTTTCCCCTCATTAAATCTTAACATCAATATACACTGTTGCACTTTGACCCAAATAGTAAGAATCAAAAAAAAAAAAAAAAACAACAAAAAAGAACAACGGGTATTATCTTACATTGCCGATAAGCCTACAACAGTATGGAATTCTATTCATGTGTTTTGCTTTCATAGCGTATTGTGAAATTAAATAGTATGCGACGTCCGCGGATGGGAACTTTTTTTTATCTAGATCGCTATCTGCTTGGGAGTGATATGGCGCAAGCAGTTTCGTTTGTTTTTGTTCTCAGAAATGGCGGCTGGCTCAGGCGACCATTTGGTTGGACGATGATGAGTATATGCCGTCTGTGTACCCTCGGCCCGGCCCTCGTATGTATGATCGGTTATGTTTATTTCTCTAACACAACATAAGGCGCAGTGGGCAGCGCCCTCGGAATACTGCGTGGTAATTTTTTCCGCTCAAATCAAGCAGACTGTTTTCGTCCACTCCATGCGGCAAAGAATATATAAATAACCCCCTTTTCTCTAACCTTCTTTTAGTCGAATTTGTTACTTTTCGAGTTTTAAATCCCTTAGTACCGATCGTTCGCTATGCAATTTAAGTCTTTGCTCGCCATCGCCGCTGCCTCTGGCTTGGCTGTTGCTGCTAACAGTATGTATTTTGTTCCCGGCCCAATGTTGTCGTGAAAATTTTACCGACTTTGATCTCGACATTTTTTGCCTCAATACTTCCCCGTTTTGTCAATCTCCATGTTTCATACTCGGATATGTGTTCCGTGGCAATGGCTCACATTATTCCTCGAGCACCAAGTGTTTTCGGCCAATTTCCTATGTTTTTGTTGAATTTATACTGACCCATTTCTAGACTCTTCTTTGACCACTGCTACCCCTTCTGTTAACAAGGCGTGCTCCTTCAGTGACTTCACTGCTACTGCTGCCACCCAAGTCTCTCAGATTGCTGCTTGCGCTACCGCTGTCGGTGACATCACCATTAGCGGTGAGGGCATTGGAAGCGTTGAATTGAACGGTGTCCAAGCCGTTTACGGTAGCTTGCTCGTCAATGGTACCAAGGCTACCGTTCTTGACGCCCCAACTTTGCAATTTGGTTGCTGGTGACTTGACTGTTTCTGACTCCACCATCTTGTCTACTGTCAACTTTGCTCAATTGACTACTGTCGGTTCTTTGACCTTCAATGCTTTGCCAGCTTTGGAGAAGACTGGTTTGACAACCGGTTTGACCTCCGCCGAGGAAATTACCATCCAAAACACTGGTTTGACCTCTTTGGACGGTATTAACGTTTTCGAACTTAAGACTTTCGACGTCAACAACAACGCCGACATTGAGTCTATCGACTCTGGTTTGCAATCTGTGACTGACTTCTTGTCCATTAACTACAACGCTGACAAGGTCGAGGTTGTCTTGGACAAGTTGACCAGTGCCAACAATGTGGAATTCCAACACATTTCTTCTCTTTCCGTTGCTAACTTGACTACCGTCAACGGCTCTTTATCTTTGCAATCCAACACTTTCGAGTCCATTGAATTCCCTCAATTGAAGTCTATTGGTAAGTCTCTTTCTATCAACAAGAACGACGAGTTGGAGGAGTTTGACTTCCCTAAGTTGACTACTGTTGGTGGTGCTTTGAACGTTCAAGACAACCAAAAGTTGGACTCTTTCTCTGGCTTTCCAAAGGTTAAGCAAATCAGTGGTTCCGTGAACCTTGCTGGTGACTTCAACAACGGTACTTTCCCAGACTTGGAGAGAGTTGCTGGTGGTTTCAACTTGACCTCTACTGGTGACTTGACTTGTGACTCTTTCGTTAAGTTGAACAAGGACGGTGACATCAAGGGTGACAAGTTTTACTGTGAGGGTGCTTCCTCCACCATCTCTTCTTCTTCCTCTAAGAGCGGTAACGCTAACGGTTCCTCTACTGAGAGCTCTGACTCTGACTCCAGCTCTGGCTCCAACTCTAGCTCTTCTGCTTCTTCCTCCTCTTCTTCTTCTTCTTCCAAGAAGTCTGGTGCTGCTCCAGTTGCCGGTGTTCAATTGGCTTCCTTTGCTGTTGCCTTTGCTGGTATTGGTGCTTTCTTGTACTAAGCAATTTGTCAAGCAAAAATGCATATTCAACATGGCCCAGAAGAGGTATTGCTGAATCTATTTCTTCAAAGAAGAGGAAAATTGCGATGCATGTCAGCATCTCAAGTACAAACTAATTTTTACTACTTCCCATTTTTTTCTTCCTCTTACGTTTACTTTATTTTCGAACAGTCGTATAACCAAAAAAAAACGTACTAAGATTTGTCGTCTAAGTTTGGAGTAGAATTAGCGCTTCGTTTTGCGTGCGTGCGGGCGCGCGTGATCACAATATGCCGTAGGAATACAGGAGAAGCCAAGTGAAACACCTTTTTATACCCCAGTTACTTTCTGTACCACCATGAAGTTCACAAATATTGCAGTTCTATTATTTGCAAGTGTTGCTCTTTCCAAAAACGTCATGAATCTTGAGAATTTGCATGCGGCTATTGACAAAGAGGAAAAGTCAAAACGAGATGCTAAAAATGTGGTTTCCGTAGATGACTTGTGGGCAGCTATCGATAAGGAAGAAGGAAAGTCAAAGAGGGAGGCAAAAAACGTACAAAATATTGAAGATTTTTTCAAGAACCACAATAAGAGAAACCAAGATGTTCTTCTGACACCAGGGGATGCCTTGCTTCAAAATATTCTTCCCCTGATGCCCAGTGTTTCTATCTTTGCTGGGTACTTAAGAGACGACGCAGAAATACTTTCCGGAATGGAAGCGAAAGAAACTTTTACGTTTTTACTTGCTCCTTCAGATGATGCTATTGCCACTAAGCTTGGTGGTTTGAAACCGTGGGAGTTTCCAAAACAAGTAAAGAATGATGATAGCGATGATGAAGTTATTGCTTCAAATATCGACAACTTCTTGAAGGCTCATATATCATCAGATGCAGCAGTTCGGGCTGGATCTTCTGAACTCTCTACTGTTTTGCTCAATGGAAAAAGCGTGATTATACAAAGTGATCCTGCTACTGGAGTTTATACCTTACAGGTTGAGGGAAAGCCAATTCCAGTGTCTAGCTACCGTCTGGCAGGGAATGGCGTCGTTTTGATTATTGAGGACGTGTTGAGTAAGCCTCAAGTTTAAATTGATTGATTTCAGTGTTTTTAGTTCCTTTTCTATATTCAATTCAGGTTACATTCACAAGCTTGTATGGTGCTGTCGCACCATTTAGTGCTAAGCCTAGGTACCGCGGAGCTTTGTTAGCTTTTCTAACTTATTCGCTCAAATTGCTGATTCCAGTTTCTGTGTGAGCCTGACCGTTTGCAGAATACTCAAGCTTCCACTTCACCTTCAATGCCTTATTCACCGGATTTTCAATTGAGAATTCTTGGCTGAATCCACGTGCTGCAAACGGTTGTATCACATTACCACTCTGTGGACGCAAATCTAACTTGCAACCCTTCGGAACAGCTACCAGAAGCTTTGCTGCTGACAACAAGGAACTCAGCAAATTACTCACAAGGAATTTTCCCTTGAAAAGAGCGGCATTGGCCGCAGTGAGTGATTCAACCTCCAACTTAGTTTCTCCACTCTCGAAAAGTGTCTTTACATCGACAGCAGCAGCATTAGCACTTGAGGCTTGGACCTGGGCAGGAGAAGACGTTGGAAAGTCGAAACCAAAGGGATCAAGCTGTGTAGATGTGTTAGACTGAAGTTGAGGAGATGGCGAATGGAGGTCACTTAAGAAGTCAAAATTGTTTGCGCTATTTTGAGTAGTCGAAGGTTTGGGTTGCTGAACAGAAGCACCACTTGAAGTAAACAAAGAAGAGTTTGTAGCTCCACCACCAAGGGCAATGGAACCTCCAGATCCATAAAAGTCCAATGGATTGGTCTGTTTGTTGGACGACCCTGGACCTGGCTCTGAAAAGGTCAAGTTTGACAAGTCACTGAGTAAATCGTTATAACCCTGCTGGTCTTTGCTAGATTCTCCCGACTCAGTAGGCTCATCATCATCAAAGTCAATTAAATTCAACTCCTTAGCAGCAGAAGCAGCAGCAGCACCGCCACTAACCTTGATATTTGAAGCTTCTTCAATATTACCGTTCTTGATGAGTTGGAACTTTTGAGTTAGTTGATTAATAGTATCATTCAAGGCCAACAAATCTTGCACATATTCCTCATTATCGTGCTCCTCTTCAATAATTTTGGTGACGCTAGGCTGTGCACTCTTGATCAGACCGTACAAGTCAAAAATGGTCTCATTCGAATCGTCAATTTTGGCACCACCTGCTTCCACACTGTTCAACATCTCGGCAAAAATTTCGGTTTTCCTCTTCAATCTAGCAACATCATCGTTAACCTGTTTTTTGTTCTCTTGAACATTATCGTCTTTGAAGCCAGCCATGATTTTCATCAACTTGTTGGCCTCCTGCAAGTCTTCTGGTTTTCCTCTTCGGATCAACTCTTGCAACTTTGCACTGTGGACAATTGCTTCTTCCTTTTGAATGTCCTCCAAAGATTTCAAGGTATCAGCTGGATTCAAAACCGCAGCATCCTCAACCTTCACTTCGGGGAAAACATATCCCTTATTCAACAACAAACGATGCATGTCTCTAATATACCCGAAATCCAGCTTGTACTTTGAAGTTTTGCAGATGGTCTGATACCACTCTTCAATCTGAGCCAATATCATCCTCTGAACACGATTGTAGCGCATAGTGGGTCTCTCCGGAAATCTCTTAACAAGCTCGTTCAAAAACTCCTTTCTGGATATCTGTAAATGGAACGGATAACCGCAATTCTTTACCAAATTGTCCAACAAATGAATGGCCAATTCCGAAGTTTGAGGGTCTCTTTGATTGATTAGCTTGACGACTGCAATTGCAGCTTCACGTGGAATGGACCCTTGCTTGGCATTGACATAATCGCAGATCTCCAAGTTCAAAGCAAGATTAGGCTCACTGAGAGTTGGCCGACAAGCACGATCTAGATGAATTAGTAGCTTCCTTCAAAGTTGGTATATGTTTAATACATACAGATCCTCCGCAAAAGCTTTGGGTTAATTTTAGAAAGTGAGTACCCAGATGAGCTGGACATTGTGTCTTGTGGAATACGATCAGATAGATACACCTGTTAGGGGTGGCTAGATTGAAGTAGAACTAAGTCCGAGAGGTACGGGTGTATAGCTAGAAACGTGTATAACTCTCTTGTAGAAAAAAAAGACAAAATAGCATTCTGATTCCGTCCATTTTAATGTCGCAGCAATAAAATACACAACGTGAACTAATTATCGTGCTTCTTTGAAGTCGTACTTCAATAGGTGTGGAGAGGCTAAGCCTTGCGAGGTACGGATGTATATACACATTTTGCGCGTACTAAGGAGATCTTTGACCGTATCTTCCTCTGTAATGACAGAGGATTCCGTTGATGATGATCCATTACAATTAAAAGACCTTGCGGTGAAGTATTCTTACCTAATGTACAAAATCACTGACCACATTTCCAACTTAAGTGAGCTTACCTATGAATCAGTAACGAGAAAGGAGAAGCTTATTGACCAAGAGTACTTTGATAAGCAGCTACATTTAGATGAACAGCTACAAGAAGCGAATGATATGATCAAAGAATGCGACCAGATAGAAGCGGCATATATGAAACTAGACCAATTGTACCTATTTGTGGAAGATTTCAAAGCGAGAATCACCCACTTGGAGAATGTGTTTAAAGAGCTATAATAATCACACCATGTTGTACAGATCTTGTTTCACTTTACTGTCTGGAACTGTATGTGGTACAGAAGCTGTCACTGGTGTAGCTAGCGCTTTCGCTCGATACTTTTCAACTAAGTGTTTCTCTAGCAAGACAAAATTCCTCAGATTGCACTTGTACATGACATTGATGAAATCTCCCACAATGGGGATTAGCCCAATACCAAAATCAAAGGCAATATTGTACTTCATCTTCAGGACTAAGGCTGGAGGTAACCCTCCGTCTATCTTCTCAGCCGTTCTTAACAATTGCATCGCTAATGTGGCGGCAATTATGTCACCGATCCATGGAATAAGGCCAATAATGCCAGCCCAACCTAAACGTATCCCGCAGATACTTAACTGTAAATCCAAACGATACGCTTTTCGCTTGACAGAGTTCAAGATTTTCAAGTCGTGCTTACCTATGAAGTCAGGAAGTTTCCTCTTTCTTTTACTTCCCTTTTTTTGGTAGAAATACAACTCGTTCTCAGGAATCTCTTCGAAGTATGGATCATCTTGAGGCCCCACGGCGAAGACATGGTCTAGATTAGTCTGTGGTGTTAGCACATTGCTGAAAATTGAGTTGAAATAGACGAACCTTCTTTAGGAAATATTTATAGAGAAGCTGAGACATGGAGAAGTAGTGAAGCAAACAAACAAAAAAAAAAAAACAAATGAAAGAAATTAAAGAAGAATTAAAATACGTTTGGTAGCAATCATCAAGCGGCTGAAAATGACATTCCTGGCGCGCACAATATTAGGCTGAGCCACGCAGCTCCAGATAAGCGTAAATCATAAAATATTAAAGCCATATCGTAACTGCATAACTATAGTTAACAAAATTAAAAAGCATAGAAATTAAGGTTTGACGATCACAAAGTCTTTAAATTCTCTTCTCTTTCTTTAGCTTGGCAAAATACTCTTTCCGCAAGTTTCTCAAGTCTGGGGGCTGTTCGATGCCAAGAGACCGGCGAAGTTCATTGACATCCATTTCCAAACTTTTCTCCCAATAGACATTAATCAATGGCTTGGCATTAAGTCCGCTTCTAAATGCCCAAGGATAGTAGATGCTGTACAATCTTTCTCTTTGCGAGGGCTTCAATCGCAAAGGTGCTAAAAGTGCTCCCAATCCTGGCATAAGAATTCCCATGTTCATGAATTCTAAGACTTTCACAGCAATTTCGCCTTCAATAATGATAGGCAAGCCAGTGATAGCATGGTAGAAATCGTGGCATTCTCTGTATCGTTGATAGATGTATGCCAATTCCTCATTATCAATAAAGCGAACAGGAACCCTCGTATCAGGAGAAACACCCTCCCGATCAAGCCAGCTCACGTAAGTATGTCCAAGAGTATTTTTAGGTAAGGCTCTCAAGTGATCCAAGTTTAAAGAGGTGCTAGTCATTCTCGGTTTTTCTCTTAAAATCTGTCGTCCAACAGGGTCAGAGAGCATTTGCCTCTGTAACTTTCTCAACACAGGCTCAATTGCTGTAGATTCACCTAATGCAACTATATTAGCGTTATTTTCCGGATGGAAAAATGATCCAAGCCCAGACCCTATAAACATCATGAACTTCTCTATTCCATAAAGAGGCACATGTCCGGGATATTCCGATTCCCGCCTGCTAAAGTACTTGTTACTAGCAGGGGATACTTTTTTCTCATTCAATGATGCATTAGGGTCGTCATAATGAAGCTCACCTCTTTCCATTTTCGAAGCGAGTTGATTGTTCTCATTGAATATCATAGACCCAAAAACGGCACTAGCCGCAGTCAAGAGGAACAGTCTATTCTGAGACCGTTGTAAAGAAACTGATTTTGAAAAGATTGAACGGGAGATCATTGAACAGGAATGAGGCGAGATCCACGTCTTCGAAAGCTCTTGTAAAATCGCGCCAGAAGTTACACCATTCTGAACACCTTTACACCATCATCTTCAGTTGGACCCTTACATCAAGAAATTTGAAATGGAATTGAGAGAATCCACAGAATGTGAAACCATCTAAATGCAACCCATGTAATGTTAGGTCATATCTTAAGCATTAAATACAGTTAATGATAAGCAAGAAAGTACAAAAAAAGATGGGTTTATAATAACTCTTGCAACCCAATTATCGTTTCCGTTCGTATATTCATGCTAAACCATTCGTTCATTTGTTCGATGTTTGATACAAGTATCCAGCGACGACAACAACGACTCCCAAGATTACCCCTTGATTTCTGAAACTAGCCAACAGCAGAGACAAATGGCGCAAATATGGATATTCAGCAGCTGAAGGTTCTGTCACCGAGTCGTTACTCTCAGGAGTATGATGTGCTATGACGCTCGACTTGCCTTCATCATCGTCCTTTTCATACCTTATAGGCATATATTGGTCATTTTTGGATTCATCAGGAGAACCAGAAGATGGCGTTTTCAAAACTTTAGCTGCAGGCGTAACAGTTGCAATGTTAGAGGTTTTCTTCACGTCAGAGCATGTAGCATCAACTATGCGGGATATCTTGCTTACACCATTAGAAGTCTGTGTCGTTCGATCGAGTGTTCCATTAGCATCAGGCTTGTCAGTCTCCTCAGCTTTTGCCAGAGACATTTGTTTTTGTAGCTTCGAATCAAGTTCTGCCTTTTCTAGTTTGAGGTTATGAACTTGTTCCTCTAGTTTCTCAATGACCGAGCGATGTCTGTCCTTCTCCTTTTCATTTTCTAGAGAGATGACCTTTAATTTTTTCTGGAACTCTTGGTCACGAGCTTCCAACTCAGCTTTCAAAAAGCGGGAATTGAGTTCATCCATCTTTGTAGTATAGTTTTTGAGGTAAGTTTCTAATGAGCTCAAAGAACTGTTTTGTTGCTTTACTAAAGCCAAGTTCGCCATGAGAGTGTCAATCGTGGACCCAACATTAGGCGCATTAACGATAAGTGAGTTTTTGAAAATTCCAGCATTCAAACTGTCCTCCGATGTAGATGCTAGCGCATCTTCCAAAGAAGGGAAAATATCTCCGAACATTGCCCTTTCAAAAGCTTTGAAAGATTCATTTTCTTCTTCTTCCACCAGTTCGTCGAACTCTTTATCCTTGTTATCCAGTAACAGGGCGAAAATTCTTTGAATAAAGTCAAAGTGTCTCATCTCGGACGCAGAGAACTTATTTATATCATCTTGCGTTAGATTGGGTAGACCACTAAGAACTGGTCCAGTTGGATTATTGGATACAATATTGATATTTTCAATCCGGGCGCTGATTTGTTTATGACTCGTTTCGATTTGAATGTTGAACCCAAGATTTATAGAGTCACCTATATTTATGGGAACTGGTTCGGCGCCTATCTTGTTTTGGTTGACGAAGGTACCGTTAGATGATCCCATGTCTTGAATCATCAACTGGCCAGTCTTTGGCTCAATGTACATGCAAGCGTGCGTTCGACTGAGAACACGGGAGTCAAAATAGCCGTTGTTAACGTGCGGTTTGATTTTTGTGCCTGTCGGGCGCCCTAATTTGCAAGTTTCTGGGTAATAGGGGACATGAATGTGCTTTTTCACAAAAGTATCGTTCAATGGAGCTAGTGTAACATAGTACTCTGCTTGATGTCTTTTTTGTGGCTTGGCGTTCATGTGGTGGCTTGCTGAGCCAACGCCACGGCCTAAAATGTTCGACGGAGACGAGTTCAAACGTGGTGGTAGGTACATTGACAGAGCAACAACCTGTGACTGAGAGTTTGATCTTTTCCGTAAGGCTGGGCCACTTTCCGGCACTGAAGAGGTACTAGTCTGGAAAAGCTCCGACACATTGAAACCGGATGATTCAAGTTGGCTCATGGTGTCGGGTATTTGTGGGCAAAAGCTCGTCTAGATTCTTTACACCAACTTATGTGGACAGTAGTGCATACACCCGTACACCACATCAACCTTTCTTCTTCGGTTCTACTCCGATTGAAACATATGCATATCTTTACAAGCAAGAGTCACAGAGGAAACCCTAGGAGGTTAGGCATTTGCATACCCGAACTTTTTATCAATGAAGCTCGCCACAAATACGACTAAGAAGCATGGGAAAATATTTCTTGTGTGTCGATCTTTTCTCGAGAAAAACAGAGGGCAATCATAATTAAGAGCAAAAACCGAAACCTTTCTTAGTAGTAGAATCAAGAATTCTTTGTTGGAATAAAGCTGAAGCTAGTTTTCAAAGACAATGATCATGGTTTGCACATAACCTCACGTCAAGTAAACATAACTTCTCGCGCTTTGAGGATGTGATAATAGCGTGTCACGTACTATGAAGAAGTCGCCTTTATATACAAGTGTCCATATACTTGACAGCTCAGTCGAGCTTCTCAACTCATCCATAAGATCGTTAGAGTATGCAACTCGAGACGTTAAACGGATCAAAACAGTTCTCAAAATACGCAAAAAGTTTTTGGTGTTGTACCTGAGCTGGACTTAGAAAGCGCAAAGCGACAAGTACAAAGCGAAACAAACACGCAAGTCTCTACCTTGATGGGAAAATTAGAGAAAGAACTTGAACGCCTACGGAGGAAGAAAGCTGGTCTTGAAAACAAGTTCAAACTCCAACAGGTGAGGCTTGAAACTGCAGAAAAAAACGGTCGAGAGTCATTCACCACCACATTACGAGGCGGAATACACAAAAGCGCAGAAGAATCAAAAATATCCAGGCTAAGGCTCTTGCAAAACAAGAAAGAGAGACTAAAATATAGCTTGTCGCGCATGAATTTACAAGATACAAAGGCTCGTTTGAGCATGATTCCTTCATTACCGCCCCAGAAATAATCAAATCGTTTACTATTTACAGTTGCTCGGTCTTCTCTGGCTTCATAAAGTCCGAGCCATCCATGTGTTCAATTTTCAGAATGTTTAAAAGTTTCGCAACTTCCTTTGCGAACTGCTCACCCACAACCTTGATACTTTCAGCTTTGCCTGGCCTTAACTCTTCCAATGACGTAGCAGTTGCATCTGGTAATCCACACATAGTATATGTGTTCAAGAACTTGAGGTCTGGATTTACATTCAAGCCAATGCCATAAGAGGTGATTGCTCGTTGGATATTGCATCCGACAGAAGATATTTTCTTGTCGTTAGGTTGCATCCAAACTCCTGGATTCTCATTGACATAGCTGTCTAGATTATAGTTTTTCTTCAACAAATTTTGAACACCCTTGAGCAAAACACTGTCTACGAAACACCGCACAGTCAAATTAGAAAACTGCTTCAAGTCCATAATCAAGTAAGCAGTCAACTGTCCTTTGCCATGCCATGTAACTTGCCCTCCACGTTCCAATTGGTAATATGAACATCCCAATTTTTCATATGCTTTTATCTTTTCTTGCATCTGTGGATCTTGTTTCATTTGTTTTCCTCCAGTGTACACATTCTCAAACTCGAAAGTCAAGAGGGTGGGAAATGGCTTCATTGATAATACTTTCTGGATGAAATCTTGCTCATATTGGGTTGAGAATAATGGCCCCAGGTCTGCGATTTTCCTTTCTGCTGGTTTCGAAATCTTTGAATTCCCATTTTTCTTTGAAAATCTTAGGTTTCGGCAATTTACCCATTATTTCCTGGCTTGAAAATTTCCCTGGG